GCAGAGGAATTCTAGCGTGCTCAGGAGGAACTCCGCGCAGACGCTGGGGTTGGCGTAGTCCGCCGGGCGGGGGGGATATAGGATAGCCGCCGTGTTCATGTCCTGTTCGTTCCAGGCTTCCTTCTGCGCGGGCATGGTGTTTTCGAAGATGCCTAACCAGGTGCAGGTTTGCGGTAGCGGGAAGGGTTTCTCGTCCGGTTTTGCGTACTCCCCTTCGAAGGTGAGGAGGACAGGGGGGGGTGCGGCATCCGGGGGGGGATCCTGCATGTGTTGGTCGGCTTGCTCGTTCTCCCCGTTTGGGCCCTGCGTTCCGACCGGGTTTGTGGCGGAGGGGTTCGCGGTAGGGAGGGTCGCTACGCCGGTGGCAGGCGCGCCGGCAGTAGGGGGTGCTGCGGTAGACGGGGTGCCCCTAGTGTGGGGCGTGCTGGCAGGGGGAGCGCCGGAGGGGGGCGCGCTCGTGCGGGGTATGGCGGCGGCGGGCACGCCTGCGTGTTGCGGTGCGTCCTGCATCTCAAGTTCCGGGGCGGGCGAGGGGCCTCGCTCACGTCTTGGTTCCTCGTGTTGGGGGGAGGGGCTATTGTTTGCAGTGCTGGGCGTCTGGGTGCCGTTGCCTAGCATGCTCCTTTGGGAGTAGGGGGTGATGTGCTCGGTCTGAACCTCGCTCCCTCCGGGTGATGGAGAGGGGGATGTGTCCTTCCTCGGTCGTTGGTGGTTCCGGTTCGATCGAGGAGGGGTACCTGGGTGTTTTTCGCCCGCGTTGGCTAGTATCTGTCCGCGCGGGCGGAGGCTTTCTGGGCGTGTCGCTCCGTACAGGGTGGGCGCTGTGCGTAGTACTTTAGTGGTGGTGGGTGTGGGTCGGGGGGGTACGCCGTTACCCGGCTATTCCTCAGCGGTTTTGTTCAGTTTTCCCTCGCTGCGTCGCTTAGGGCATTCGTTTTTTGCTCTGCTTATTTTCGTTCACGCGTTCACGTGGTCGGCAACTGCGGTTGGCTTTGCTCGCGCGGGCGGCGACGGGTTACATCCCGGGCCTCCACCGTTTGGTGTCATGCAGGGGGGGTTGGGCACTCAGTCGGCCCAGCGTGCTGTTTGCTTTTTCGTGGTGTGTGGGCGCCGCTGGTGACGGGTTGGTGTGGCGCTCTTAGGGAGCGCCTGCGCGTGGGGTTGCGCGGCCCTTGCGGGCGGTTTGCACTACTGTACAGTAGTTGGAGGGGGGGCTCCGGTAGAATAGTCTCGCAGCGAGATATCCTCCTTTTGGTAGAAAGGAGTTAACCCCTCCGTCCGTACTGTTAGGTACTGAGTGGACAGAGGGTTAGCACGGGTAGGTACCGTGCCCAACATTTCGACGGTAGAGTCAAAAGCCAAGGAGCCCCCCATGCGATTTGTTCTTCAAGGCAGATACTTCGGGTTCTGTAGCTCATCAGAAATGGCCTGGTATGGGGTTAGGATTCAATTCGAAGAGAGAAGGAGAGTTCATCGGCAAGATGCCGGATAAGGACTCCGATGACTCCGCCACAAAACGACTGATCTTCCGGAGATGAGGCTGTCCGCGTCCTGCTCCGTGCCTCGAGGCAGCTGCTTCATGCGGGAAACATGCGGCGTACGACCTTGTTCTTCATCTCGTCCTCACCTCGCCTTCCTTCCCATCGGTGGCCCGAGGACAGGCCATTATCTTTCTCTCCACCTGTAATCTGGCACCTTCGCTAGTCCGACGTATCTCCTCTCGAGCTCGAGAGGCGCTCGCACTTGACTTCGTCAGGACCTCATCGGAAGGCGCAATGTCTGACGCCGTCGGGAAGTGGGCAGCGGGGACACATTGTGTGTATGGACTCCCATGGTAGATTGATCTTTTGTCTGATGAAATCTCTATATAGATGGCCCTGTGCTCACCCAAACCGATTTGTACCTCCTCAACACCGATCTCCAACTCAACCCGATCCTCACAAACAGCAACTCCGATTTCCACCTCGTCTTCAACGTCTCCACAGGGCAGACCGGCGGATTCAACCCCGACGCGAGGGACAGAGATTTGCCGTTCACGGCGAAAGACGAACCCGCGACGTTACCCCGCGTGACGGAGCTCATCCTGATTAGCAACCTCACGCCATGGTGCACCATCGTCAAGAATGAGCGAGGTGTTACTTTGAGCGACGTATGCACCACTATATGGAAGGAGTGAGCAAAGCATGCTTGCGCGGCTCTTTGGCGCGTCCGAGGCTAACGGCAGTGTGTTTTGTGGCGCAGTTACACGGAAAACTTCGTTACCGACGGCGAATACGCGGCATTGCCACCACGCTTGCAAGAGCATGTAAGACGCACGGCTGCGCACAATCAAGGTGGATGGAGCGGATTCTACACGCCGGCACCACAGGTGAATCGCTTCAAGCGAGTCGGTACGTGTTCGATCCCGACATGCTCGCATTCCATAGGCTGATCGTCCCATTCCTGTGCATAGACTGGCTTCGGGAGCGCGTGTACTTCGAGGGCCTCGATCGCAACGACAACTACGCCGTCCAACGGCTTGGCTTCAAGGCGCCGAACATCTTCGTCATGCAGTTCGTCTCTTGAGCGCCACGTCCTATTTTGTATTTCTTCTTCCTGCTATCCTTTGTCTGTATGCGCATATGATTGTTGATACCTTGCAATCTCTGCTATCTTGTATTTCCAGGTTGCGGTGTCTTCGCTTTTGTGACCTATGCGGTTCTATCCCGACTGATTACCTTGGCCGTGGTCCGAAAGGCGTCGCACTGCGGCCACGTTCCTGCGATCCGACATTGCCTCTGAATAGCAATGGATACATGATATCCCGTACTGTCGGGGACTGCTCTGCTGGACCTTGGCATTCCGGCCATAGCCTTCGTACCGCCTGTACGGGCTTCGCAGCCGGAGCGCCAGGTAAGATCGACTGCGCAAACATAGCACGATCTTCGGCGTAGCACATTCGACGAGATTCTCTCAGGCGGGCCGAGCATCTCGCCGGGAGACGTGTGGCCTTGGAGGTCGTATGTGCCCGCTCTTGGAGATGAGCCTTTGAGTTGACAATCATGGTATCTTCACCTCTAAAGCATGGTGCTTCCATATTCGCGCTAGCTTTGCCTTGCTCCTTGTTCCCTCTGGCGAAGAACAATAGCCATATGTGTATGAGAGAGGGATTGCGCTGGACCAATATTCAGTATTCCATAGCCTATAGGCCATTTGTCGGGCCACGCACAGCTTGCATAGCCAGCGCGAAGTCAGTTTCAAACTCAGCAATGTCGGGGCACTCGGGCCACCAAACTGCGTTTCCATAAATTCTCTTACGCACCGTCACCATGCCCCACCTCACTTCGCAGCTTGCGACCCGGCACTCCTGCCGGCCTCTTCAGATCAACGTCGCCCGCTAACTCGTCATGCCTGGCGTACTCGCACAGCAATTACAGGACAGATTCCCCTCGATTACCCAACGCCTCGGTTCGGAGTCGCCCCAACAGCCTCGGCGGACGAACACCGTTATCGTGACCCAGATACCGCAGGAATTCTTCCAGTCCGAGATCATACATGTTTTACGGACACACTTTGAGTCGTACGGGCCGTTGCACGCGTTTGCGCCACTCAGAAGCTTCGCGCGAGCGATACTGGTTTACTATTCTGAAGACGACGCCGAGATGGTGAAGCAGCTCTGCGACGGTGTCACCATCGAGCAAACAAGTACCAGGTGAGCTATTTCGATTGATCTGCCTAGGCAGCACAAGTCTCAACGACGCCATCGTCTCAGCCCTGCAGTCACCCTTCGCGTCTTTCGCGCAGATCCGACACCCATCCTGGCTGGATCATCAGAAGGCCCGTCAGACAACCACCTCCGACCTCCACCACTCGAGAAGAACTTCCTCATATCACCTCCGGGCTCGCCGCCCGTCGGATGGGAACCGATCCAAGAAGAACCACCGAACGCCACGCCTCTGGCTGACGACCTCATCCACGCACTTCAGAAATTGCAGCTCCTGGAGCGACGGAAGACCGGGCCCGAGGTCCTGCTCCACGCTGAAGACAACGCCGGCATTGCGGTGTACGTCGAGGATTGTACGGATGGCGAGGAGGAGGGTAGGGAAGCGATGGATGAGGACTGGGTCTACGGAGAGACGAGGGGCGATCGGACGAACTGGAAGCCAGCGCCGACCTCCAGGCCTCCAGCATCTATCGTTGCTTAGGTGAGTTCAGAGTTCCCAGCTGCCTGACTTCCAGGATGTAACAATCTCAGACCTGTACCGATGCTCGTTGACCGGACATTTGAGGATATCTTCATATTGCCTTTTTTATCTGATCCCTCGTTTGCTCTCGATATGGAATCCTGGTTTGCTGACGTACCCCTCCATAGTCGGCGCGGTGTGCACCCGACGCTGTCTCGTAGCGTGTGTCCGACCTTCGCATGACGCCGTTGATCACTCATATAACTGGCTGTGGATTTGTGTTTCCAGTTTCGGGACTTTATTAGTGTTACCCTATGCATAGAACACATCGTGTACTTCCTACCATCGTTGATATTCCGGTGTACTCTTACGTTCTTGAATCCCTCGCGGGGAACTTCAGTTGTGTCCATCGCGTTCCACGCTCCCAGTCGTGTGCAAATGTTGTCTACTGAGAATCAGGTGGAATATATAGGCTGCCGTGGACTTAGCCTCATATGGGCGAGCCTTCGCAGCTTCTCTACAAATTCGCCTCCATGAGGAGTAACTCGTACACGAATGCCCACGACGCCGGGAGCCTCACGTCCGTTATCGCCTTCCTCCCTCTGATTGGTACCTGATGTACTCGCTAGTCCTGAACGCGTGTCGTCCGCTTACGCGGACGCGAAAGTCGAATCATATCCATCTTCATCGCCGTTCCTGCAGTCATATAAAATAATCTGAGACCAGGAACACAGGCTACCTGCAGCTAAACCCTCGAAACTCCGTTTTGACCCTCGCCCATCATCATGTCTATCCTGGCCGGTTTGCCAGACGACATCATCCTCGAAATCATTGACCATGTTCACTCGAGAACGCTATGCGACTCTATACTCCTGAACAACTGGCCGGTCGTCGCGTCCCGCGTATGCAGGCGGTGGAGGGCACTCCTGCTGGGGCACACTCGATACTGGTCCGACGTTCGCATACGTCTGTGGATACCCATAGACCTCAACAAGGCGCAGGTCTATCTCGCCCGTTCCGGCGAATGCCCTTTAGACGTTAGGTTGTATAGCGGCACCACAGGCGCAGTCGACGTGCGGCAGGTGCATCATGCGATGTATCTGCTCATCCCGCAACTCTTCCGGTGGCGCAGATTCGTCGCCGTCGTCGACGGTGCGGAATTGGCGGAACGCATCATCACGGTTCTACGGGAGAGGAGGGCGGAGTGGTTGGAAACGTTCGAAATACACAACTCGGGCATAGACGATGGGCCTTCCCTCTGTTCCGATAGGCTGGTCTTGGCGCTCTCCGGAGGAGTGCCGGCCCTCAAATGCCATCGCCTCGGAAGCCTGGGCTTGACCTGGACGTCGGCGTCAGGGCCTATCCCACTCTTACAAGGCCTTACAACTCTGGAGTTGTACTCTGATGGGTGCGATGAAATGCCGACACAGACGTTCAAGGACCTCCTCGCAGCGTCACCTCGTCTGGAACACCTTGTTCTACACGGTTACATGATTGTGCGCGCCCCTGGCGAGCCTGAACGAGTTGAGGCATGCCATCTATCGGAAATGAGACGTCTGGTCATCGGATGGCTCCCAGATCACGACGAGATAGATTCCTACCGACGCCCTTGGTTGTTGATAAAGTGGACGAAGTTACAGGAATTGAAGGTTGTGGGCGACATTCTCGATTTCCTGGGCAATCTGTCAGAAGAAATTGTCGACTATTCTCCTATTACGACCTTGATCCTCCAGGAGACCGTCGCATGGCATCACCTCCCACGATATCCGTCTCTCCTCACGGTTCTTGCAACATTTCGCGGCCTGCGACATATGTGCGCGGTGACGAGCAGCAAACGGTCCCGGAGATTCCTCAGGCATTTCCTTGCTCCCGAAGTCGACCCATCACGGAATCGACGCATGGCAGTTCAGAGCCTCACGATCCCCGTATCTGAGGCACATCTTCTCAGAAAGCTCTTCGGTTTTCTCGCGATAGAGCATCTTCGCCTGCTGGCCGATCCTCGTTACGATTTTTCGGCAGACGCAGCGACGCTCGATTATCTTGCGGCCCATGTCTGCCGTGTGGAGCGAAAGATGGTCGGTGACTCGGAGGGTAGCGGGGTGCCGGATGAAGAGGGAGTTCAATATCTGCCGTCATGATATACTGCTCGCGTAGGCGAGTAAGGCTTTCTGTGCTGCTATTCGCCCTTTGACCATGCGCGCACTATTAGTTGAAGCTGCACCGCCGCCTCATAAAGTTACCCCGCATATACTGCCTTAAGCCTGAGCCGGGGTGAGATGGTTTTTGTCATCTTGGAATTGTCGGTGTGCATTAATGTCAATAGAGTACGGCTGGGCAAGACGTTGGTACTTTGCCTGCAGGGTCGGTCAACTTTCCGTTATTTTTGGACGGAGTCGCCGAGCTTCATGTATGCATAGAACAAACTGCTAGTGTGATTAGACTCGCCGCTGGTCGTGCAGTGTTGAGCTCACCGTAATCTGATATAATTCCAAGGCAACGGCTTTGTCATTCCAAATCGCAGTAAGCCGAGCACAACATGCCTTTTGTAGGCCTACCCTATGGTGGGATACTTGGCCTGACAACGACCTCACACTGAGACGCCGGTGACGCTTTCATACATAACATCTACAAGATGAACTCCCCTCCTATGGCCAGCACTTTACCGCCCGAAATCGACCACGTTCAATGTCCGCGTTCGGCCTTGCTGGAAATGCCTTCTGAGATACTCTTGAACATTTTTGAGTTGTATCTCGCCGAACATCGTCGCATACTCCACAATCGCATGCCGAAGAATGACCATCTACGCTTGCTGACCCTTTGCCGTCGCATTCATCAAGAGATCGGACCGTTATTGACTCAGTATCTCTCTCTATATGACGATGACATCTCGAGAAGATATTCTACGGTACTAGACTTCGAAGATAGAATTCGAGGGCTGCGCATGCTCGATGTGCTTGCGGTGAGTTATAACAGTTACTCGCCCGCCCTGACCCATGCTCATGCTGGCGATCTTAGGCGAGGTTCTCCGTCCACTTTCATACGCATATCACACAGAAGTCTAAGCATCTGCGACAATTGCGCATATTCAACAGGTTCGAGATCACTTCGATGCGGCTCATCGCGGAAAGTACGCATACAACCTGTCTTCTGTTTTTGTACGAGTCCCGAACTGACGCTGCCATGGCAGGTCCGCATGCGTCTTATCTTCCTCTGGAGCCCATGGTCATCAACATCGATGCCGACCTCAGGGATCTGGAGGTGTACGAAGTTTTCGTCGATCCGTATACAAGGTACATGGTATGCATTCACGTCATGCCTGACAATCTGCGCCGCCTACGACTCTCCGGGAAATGTGGATTCCCTTTCTCCCAGCTTCTGAGGCGGCCCGCCAGAAACCTCCGCCATGTCGTGCTGCACGCCGTCGACTGCACGGAATTCGATCAAATACCTCTGGGCGACATCTTCATGGATGCTCCGCTGGAGTCGTTTGCCTTCTCCATGGCCGGTCGAGTGGACGGGCCGTTGTCGGGACAACATCTCCTGTCATTGGTGAACGGACCTGGGCGAAATCTGCGCAAGCTCGTGCTGCTCGGAGCGAACGTGGCTACACCTGCTTTATCCGAATGCCTCGACATGCTCTCTTCGAGCCTCGAGTATCTCGCGTTAGCGATCATTGTTACGGACGATGCTCCGCGAATCAACCTCATGCGGCATCTCCCCTCGCAGTTAATGACGCTGAAGATTCAGGTCAGGCATGTCGAAGGGCGCCCTAGCGATATCGGTTTGGAGACAGATAGGCAATGGTGCCACGCGCTCGAACGATACCTGAGGGACCGGAATAGCCCCATGCAAGTCGTCCACGCTTTCTTCGGACCGCAACTGGCTGTCGAGGATGGCCTGTTGGAACGTTGGAAGACACTCGCCGAAGAGAAACGCTTCCGGTTAGACTGGGGCCTTTGGGACCGAGCAGAAGCATTGTGATCGTACGCTTCATGCTGTCGGCGGAGACGAAGTGGAACCGGATGGGATGCAAAGCGCTAACGTCGAAGCAAGTTGGGAGGTCTGTTCCGCCGCGCGTGGTCTGTTCGGGCACGTGATCGTCTTCCGGGCATCAGGCTGGTTCAGAGTCAGACTGTTTCCGGCGCGCGACATCTCAAACGGCTAGGGAAGACTGCAGGCTGTGGTTGGATGGAACCCAACCTTACGATTCTTGAGAATGCATTGCGGTGGCCTAGTATTGACAAACTCAAGAACAAGAGGCGCGCGTCGAGGCATTACGTAACCATCACCGCCATTGTACTACTGTTCCCACGCCTCAAAGGAGAACAATAGCCCTCCATTCTCCTCGGTCGCAGCTACGCGACGCTATTGACGGACGAGCACAAAAGCAATGTCGGCGGCCCTCGTTCCACACGCCTTTTTGGGCACCCCAGACCCGCGAGTTCGTTCATATCTCTCTTTCTCTTTCCACCAGCGCTGCTGGCCACGATGCCCAACTTCCTTGCTTTACTCGCCCCGATAATATTCGGCGCTGCTGTCGGTGGGTGCTGCAACGCTAGTCGGTGCTACTCAATACTGATCAATAGCTTACAGCAGCCGCACAATCTGCTTCATCATCAACTGTCGTATGCGTTGCTGGGCAATGCCTCCAAGGGTTCACGAACACGACCAGTACGCTCCGGCCACCTCACCTTATGACCTAACCACTGACGACGCGTTGCAGTTGGCGCGACATTGTCGGCGAAAGACGCGTCCACTAGCGTTCTTCTGCTTCCGGGAACGTACACCTCGACAACCAATCCTGCCCTGCTCCATTCCCTCCTCACAGCATCCTCCGCGTCGCTCTCCCCCGCGACGGGCTTCAACGTTTCGAACTCTGTCTCACTTCCTCTCAACGTCGCTCTATCATCGGGCCTCGCCGTCTATCCATCGGCCAACTACTCTGGCTCTGCCTCTTTCAGCGGACTTCCCAGTGCGCCAGCAGGCAACTCGTCCTCCTCCACCCCACTATCTGCCGGTTCACTAGCACTAGCCTCCAACATTTGGGTGGCTGTCTCCACATCTTCATCGTCAAGCGATCGCGTCATCCTCTGGGATTCCATTCCGGACGTCGCGCAGCTCCCTGCTGGTTCGGGCTCGTCCCTTTCCTTGCTCGACCTCCAATCCTCGTCTTGCTCACCGCCCTGCTCTGGGAACGGCGTTTGCTCCGCCTCCGGAACGTGCACATGCCCCACAGGATTCACCGGCTCGTCCTGCGAGTCGTGCGCGGACGGGTTCTTCGGGTCTGAATGTCAGGCGTGCCCGGCCGGTTGCACGGACTGCGACGATGGGATGTCGGGTACGGGACGTTGTCTGAGCGTCACGGTATCGAACCCGCCGAGCAGCTGCAACTGCCTCAATGGCGAATGTCAGAGTGATGGAAGCTGTACCTGTATCGCTGGATGGACGACGGCCACGAACGGTACCGCATGTGGCAAGTGCGCATCTGGCTTCTTCCTGACCGATGCCGGCGACTGCGAAGGTAAGCCTTCTATAATATGTATAGGTATGGACGTGTCTGACGTCACGTTCCAGTTTGTGCACTGGGGTGCACGGATTGCGCCGATTCCAGTGGTACATGCATCACCTGCTCTAGTGGTTTCACGCAGAACGCCAATGATCGTACTCAGTGTGTGGCGACGGCCGCCTCGACGTCTACCGGTACTGTCTGTCCCGACGGCAGCTTCAGCAACGGGACTGCTTGCCAGCCGTGCGCAGCCACCTGCCAGACGTGTAACGGACCTACTTCGAACGACTGTATCATCTGTGGCACGGGCAACTACAAGCTGAACGGTTCATGTGTTTCCACGGACAGCAATGGCGTTTGCGAGGGCACGACCGGGATGGTTGCGGACAACAACAAGCACGAGTGCAACAGTAAGTCATGCACTCTTTTATGTGGATCGAAACTTACCTACCTGCAGCGTGTCCCGCTAAATGCACCGGATGCAAGATCCCCAACTTCACTGTTGCATCGACGATTGATCAAGCCCAATGCACTGGCTGCCTGCCTGGCTTCGTCCTCTCAAATGGCAAGTGCGTTGAGAGCTGCCCGTCAGCAACCTTCCTTTCACCCACGGACAACCTCACCTGCACTGGTACGCACATTTCCACCTGTTAGCACCCATCGCCTGACCGAGACATCCAGCTTGCGACTCGTCCTGCAGCACGTGCGCTGGCTCGTCGACGTTCTGCTTGACTTGCGCGAACAATCAACTGGCGTCTGAGGGATCATGCGTCGCGTCCTGTCCCTCAAATACGTTCAGTTCTTCTGGCAAATGCATCCCCTGTCATCCGGACTGCGCGACCTGCTCGGGCGCAGGGTTCAACCAATGCTCATCTTGCCCATCAAATCGGCCGGTTCTTACCAACGGCCGATGCTTGCCCACGTGCAGCAAGAACCAGTTTTTCGACAAGACCTCGAGCACCTGCCAAAGCTGTGATAGCAGCTGCAGCAGTTGTTCCGGATCGGGCCCGAGCAACTGCTTGGCGTGCTCAAGTTCGAGCCAGGTTCTGAGAGGGGGCACTTGCGCTTCCGCAAGCTGCTCTGGCAACTCTACCGTGGTCCCCGGACTTGGCATATGCCTTTCCGATCTTGTAATGGTCCCTGTCGTCACGGCGTCTGGCACAACATCCGCCGTACCGCTCCCTACTATCACCGGCATCAACACGCCGATCACGACGAAGAGCTCATTACGCCCTTTGGCTTGGTGGGAGATACTCCTTATGGCCTTGGGCTGCGCCTTCATCTTCGTGGTAATCCTCATGCTCTGGCGCCGACGCGCACGCCAGAAGCGCGCCCAGCAAACGGCCCAGTTCGCGACCGCTCGCGGGATCAAGCCCCCCAGCTGGAGACGCCGAATGCTCTGGCGCCTCTTCGGGCGCGGTCAGCAGCCCATTCAACTCACCGTGACGGCCCCGGACGATGCGGAGGCGATCAAGCTGATGAAGATCAGGAACGCGGAGGAGGCGCGGCACCACCACGAAATGGAGAAGTTGCAGCTCTACGGCGCTTACGAGTACTCGACGCGTTCCAGCCCCTCGAGGGCGCCTTCCGCCTTGCCTTCACTGCATGACGACAGGCATTTCGATCATCGCAGAGATTCCAGCTGGAGCGGCTCCGGCCAGGGGCTGAACCGCCTTTCCAGCTCAGACGGGAGCATCTACTCGCAGATCACTGGCATGCCGCGCAAAGGGCCGGAGCCACGTCAGCCCGTCAAAGACCGCGACGGCGCGGGCAGGCTCATGCCCCCGACCTCCCGGTTTTCCATGTCCACCAAGAGCTCGAACGGCCGTCCACCGTCCGAGACTCAGGACACCGTCGCGGTCGCTCCTCTCATCGATCTTGACCAGGAGGATAGGAGATCGTCGGCGGAACGGTACGCGACGGACATGAGGGCGCAGAAGCACCTCGTTTCCGCGAACACTGGCGGTTCGTCATCGTCACTAGGGTCGCGCAACCCGTTCCGACGATGAATGGGGGAAGGCTTGGTTGAAGACCCGGACTCATTCTCTCCGTTTCACTGCACGACTCCGCGTACGGACCACGACACCAACATCTGTATTAGACCCGTTTCGCACTCACTTTACCAGATGCATACATAGTTTAGACTCTTCGTATTCATCACAATGTATCTACCCCAATATATAATCGCTACTGTAGCATAACCTCCGCGATTCGCGCGGCTCGCGTCCTGTATACCCTCGACGGCGCGTCACTTGATCATGAAGTCGCACCCTCTCCCGACGGCTTCCCGCGGGAATGCCCGTACATCAGAGAAAACGTTGAGTCGGATTTGGCTGAAGCTGCCCGTTTCAACTCAAATATTTCATCAGGGCATCAAGGCTCTGAAAACCTGGCAACACCACCGGCCTCGAGGCGGACCGGAGGCCACGTGCCCCAGAGCTCGCGACCAAACGAGAGGGATCCGTAAACGTCCCGCCACGAATGGAAGGAGGAACTTGCCTGCAGGCGTCTCGAGGGGGGCTTATTACCATCAATATCGCGTTGCCATTGGCTTATGTGGCACCCCCGCGCCCAAGTCAAGCCTTATCGCCATGACCCGGCGACCCGGTGCACGCGCCAGTTTCGGGACGGATCCGGGCGTCGCGGACAGGGTGTGTATCTAGCGCGATACTATATAAAGTGCGACGGGCAGGCCCGAGGAGACGACACATGGACGCCGCCGCCCTTTCACTGTAATGCTCGTTGATTCACAACGGACGCGATCGGTCCGCGACGGTTTGCTCTCCGTGACATCGCTGGAGAGCGCCGTTCCCTCCGCACGTGCTTATGCGCGTGCAGAAGAGATGCCGGGGACGAGGTGTGACCCCGAAGACGACATCTGGCCATGTCCGTTCGAGCTCTTGACGGAGAGGGGCATTCAGGAGAGGATAGAGGAGTTGGCGAATCCCCAGAGTCAAGTTCTAGACGCGAAGAGAGGATGGAAAGCCGATTTCTTGAGCTTCCAGCCGTGTTTTGGTTCCGCGAATCAGGATCGGCTCGTGGTGAAGCAATTGAATGTTGGGGGAAAGCAATGGACTCTTACCGGCGTCTTCGACGGTAAGCGGTCCACATGGGCGCGAGTCGGACATCTGTATATTTCCTTGGAATAATACAACCTTTGCCGACAGGTCACCTTGGGGACGCGACAGTTAAGCATAGCGCGTATCACATACCGATCATGGTCGAAGAGCATTTGAACAAGGCGCTGAAGTCCACTCCATTGTCGAAGGAGGTGCTCGGACCCAGGACAGTAGCCGATATATTGTGTCGATGCTTCGCATCTTTCGATGAAGCCATTGCAGCTGACGTCCTGAGCCTCTTTCCGGGCGGAGTGAAAACCTTGCCATATCTGTCCGACCGCGTCATAAGAGACGTGATGAACGACCCGAAAGGCGACGTTCTGCAGAAGGCGAGACTTTGCATGCATGGGACGACAGCGCTGGTAGCTCTTGTGGACCCTGATCACGAACACCTCTGGGTGGCGAATTTAGGAGACAGTCAAGCATGTAAGTCGTTTGCTCGTGTTAGGCAAAGAAGCAGCTAAATCTTATCATTGCTTCGCAAGTCCTGATGTCGCCTACGCATACGAATTCGTCCATCACGCGACGGAGGACCAGCCTCCTCACCTCGAAGCACAACGGGGCCAACGACGCGGAGGTCGAGAGAGTATTAAATGAACACCCGGAAGAACCGGCAGCTGTAGCAGATGGCCGGGTACTGGGGGTGATTGCACCATTTCGCAGTGAGTGCAGGAGATCTGTATATCCCATTTCAGCTAACAATGACGAAAACGCAGGTATTGGAGACGTACCATTCAAGTTGCCTCCGGAGTTCACGCGCAGGATCCTCTACAACCTTGGTCCCGGAATCCCCGAAGACGCGACGCATCCTTGGGAAGAGTTCCTGCAGCACAATCAGACGCCGCCGTACATATCAACCGAGGCCGAAGTCACGTACCGAAAACTGGATAGAAGCAGGACTGAGAGCTACTTTCTGGTACTCTGTTCGGACGGCCTAACGGATCTCCATTTTCCGAAAACCGACGGGGAGACGGTGTGTGCCATCGCGAGGTGTTTATCGTCGCCTATAGGAGACTCGAACCTAGCGACAAGACTTCTACGAGATGCGATAGGGGGCGGGGACAGGAGGAAGGTGTCCGCGGTGTTGACTCTTGATACAGATGTATCGTGGATCGATGACACTACCATCGTCGTCCAGTCGCTTTAGTAGTTCAGCAAAGTATACCCAAGACCATACCTGATACTGCCCAATCCTAGCCGACTCTGTAACGCACTGAGTTCGGCATGCGTAGGATCCAGAAGATATCGACCATCAAGCGCCTCTCTCCTTTATCAGCATGTCCCCTCGGTCACGGATCACTGGAGTCGGGAGTGGAATGAACGGCTCGTAGACTAAGCATGGTACCAATATACAATCTCTTCGCGGGTCATTGAATACCGATTCGGATCATTCCTGCAGGCAGCCTGCAGTGCACATTGAGCTCGTCAAAGTCACGACCGATCGCGAGTGACGGACCATCCAGGGACGCGTCAGGTGAACGGATGCGACAGCGATTCCGCATGGGAAGTATGAAATTCTGAGAGCCCGGCATCCGTGATGAACTGGTGCGTTGATTCAACCGTAGCAGCAGTGGTCGATGTATAGCGCAAAGGCCAGCAAGAGTGAGGCTAAAAATAGGACGACTAAGTTCCATCCACAAGTCCCGACCGCGAGTAGCGTCTATCGTCTGTGAATATTTGAATAAGAACGAACGCCCAAATCCCCATTAATCAAGGATTAGATTGGCGCAAACGAAAACCCAGTGGCTGTCTGGACGCCGTAATACCGTAGAATATATGTTACGCGCCGGGTACCAGCATTTGTGCCGCGGTGCGCGCCAGTCAAGGGCTAGACAGTGTATCGATAAATCATAGGGTTCGCTCTTTTCAACGTCGTGTAGCCTCCCCAGAGTGGTCGCCAACAGGTAGTAGTCGCGTGTCCCCATGTGATCCATCGCATCATGGCACAGCAGCTGTATCGCAACGTAACCCCGAAGCCACAGGCTGAGTTGTCGTCTCCTCTCGTCTCCTTCGTCGTCGTCACAAAGGAGTGTAAGGAGGCACGTTCGCTTTGGGGCTGGAGACATCGCTTGCGGCCCCCGATATCCAACTTCATCCACTCTGACAGACTTCGTTAAGGATGATACTCGCAAGAAGCTCCAAAATCACAGACGAACGAGCATCATCATTATTATCGACTGCATCCGAGGTGAGATCTCAATCGACCGTGGAGCGTTCAAAGCTCTTTTCGAGTACGTATCACCTCATTGCAGAACGCGATGACATCACGATGCAGCCCCAGCTCCTCGACGATAACGCTGGTATGTCTCAGGCGTGCACGGTGCAGGGATAGGGAAACATACACACGAGAATTTGACAAATACCCGGGAGGAATACTCTGAGAAAGAGCGAATATTGATACTATGTAGCTGTATGGCAGTATGTCCGCGCGACTCCTAGTTCAACCCTCCATTTGCACGCGAATCCGAATCAGTACCAGTATCAGGAGGTCATGAATTCAAGTCGTCGGATGCCACCTCGAACGTCATCAAAGACTCGATTCCGCGTATCGTGGATGCACGGCCTGTCGCGGCAGGCTTCCGTCAGTCTCGGATGCGTTTCCACCACGTCACTGAAATATCCACGGAAATGGGAAATGCTGAGTCTCGGTTTGAAAGAGCGCTTTGTCGCTGGATCTGACTGGAACCTCCGGCGAGCACAGTCCAAGATGCCGACCACGAGGCGGAAACGAACGCCTACTTCGTGACTGCGCGCCTAATTATACGTTCTGCGAGGTTGAATGTATTGATGAAAAGGCGCGGCGCGCCTGACCCACCGAGCTAAATGAAGCGTGAACGAAGCCGGAACTTCCGGGGCTAAAACCAGCTGAAAGCAAAGAATAAGACTGCATGATTATTGGCACGCGACTCCAGCCCGAGATGCCTCCGGAGTTCGCTCGCCGCCGGGGTTTTCTGGATCACCAAAAAAGCGAGCGAGGTGCGCCTATCTCTGTCCCGCGTTCTATACGTAGCTCATTCGTCTCTGCAAGTCGCAGTGCGCGACGGAGCTCGAGCGCCCTGAGGATGACGAGCCGAAGGTTGTACCGTGACGGCATCCCAGAATGACACATGCGGTGTATGCGCAGGATAGCACGTGAAACTGGTCGTCCACCACGAAGCGGGCAAGAGCTCTGAACGTTCGGTTGCTATCATAGTCTTGACCAGTAGTGCCAGAACATGACCGATAACGACGACAGATAACGGTTCTGTAAGTTGCCCACTACTTATGGCCGCGGGATCCACCCAAGAGGCAAGGCATTCTCACTGTATGACGTCCCCGCAGCAGCGTTAGCGACTTGATGATGTCTTTACGCGCTATTTTTTGAGCGTCCGTGTGTCTCGTCGAGGGTTAAATGAGCCCGCATGAGAGAGCGTACGGTCCGAAAGCCAAGAGCCAACGATGTACATCGTATTTGTAGCAAGCAGAGCTTGCTAGACTGCGGAGAACGGTGAATACTGCATGTCTGGGAGGATCGTTGCCGTAGAGGGATATCGAGAGCGGAAGAAAGGGACGTGCGTGGCAGTCACGTTATGTATCTACGTCGCAGAGCTTGGCATTGCCAGTGGTGAGGGCGACTGTGCCGCGGATAAGTCCCGGGAGGGCGCGAGTCGAGTGCTCTACGGATGCCGGGTTATGTCGATGTCAAGATATGCTAGCTGGTAAACTTGATAAACTTTTCGAGTTCGCCGGAAACGATTCCAGGCTGTCCATGAGTTTTGTATGATAAGAAGCATCGTGCGCAAGTCGCGCAAAATTCCAGCTCCGGGCGAACTTCCAGAGAATGAACATTCAGTTCGAAGGTTCGACGTTCATGAGCGGGTCCAGCGCGCACCGGATCGTGGACGTCGGTGCATCAGGGGCATTGTACAGCTTGCGCTCGGACCTCCCGACTTCGCGAGCTTCACCGACGCTTCTCCGGGGTGTTGCGTCTCGAACACCGGATGGAGGTGAAGCCCTGCCACGCTTCTGTATTAATATTCCACAGGCGGTGCTTTCACGTCCCGAACAAGGTTATAGCCTTGAACATACCCTATGAGCAAGTTATTAAGAAGTGGTTCGGAAGACGGAGAGCGCCGTGGCGGGAAGACACGGTGCAATTCATGGAACGTGCTATGCAGTAGCTACGGGGACTCGAGATGCTCGATGGAGGATGATCTACCTCTGTTCAATATACACGGAATGTTGGCAGAGCGATGAGAATGAGATCATCAGATTGCGAGAAGACGATGCATGGGAGGGCTTGCGCCATGCATAGTGCCATTGCTAGCGTTTGAGAGATCCTGCCGCTATACACTGACGCTGTCTCCGTTTGTGCGAATGAGCACAAGCATTGCACCCGGTCTTGAGCCTTCTGAAGGCCGCGAACAATGAATCCCGAATTCTGACATAGGCGCGAAGATAGGGCATGTACCAAGCGAGCCCCGACACTGCATAGTGCTAGCTAGCTCGGGCGTATGCAGCCGTATCAATACCGAAGAGCTCAGGCCCTATGCAGCCGTACCAGGCCGACACCATGGAGATTCGGTCAAGAGGAAGAAGCCGGCGAACTATATCAGACACCGCAACCCGCGAGCGATGGCGTCAAGTTGGTGTCGATACGCGAACCTGAAGATATCCAAAAACGGGTATCCCCGTCCTGCAACGATATCAACTGAGCCAGAAGCCAAGGGTTTCTCCCGCACAATTAGATGGGACGATCCGACCAGTGACGGGGGTGTTGGGTGCTGTGATGCGAATCAGATTAGCGCTCGGCACGCGACATCAAAGAGTAATAGTAGCGAAGAATGTGTTAATAACGGTATGTACTCACTCTAGCGAGGGCGCGGGATCTTGGATCAGATTCTGGTGCGGAAACGAGTCCTTACACCGCTCTACGACCCCTCCCTTCTGGGGAAAACGAGAAAGCCTCGAAACCCGGTCCACGAAAGGCTATAACGCCACGCTGCGGAGGGTCGATCAGGGCGTAGTTTCGTCGTCCCGCAGCTTTTGCTTCCGCTCAGCCGCGCTTCGGCGCCTTCTGCGGTACATCGCATCTGATGGAGATGTGCAGGAGAGAAGAGAGAGAACAGAACAGAGACATCTTGTTCGTTCGAATCAAGAAGAGAGAGACCCTGGCGTCCCTGACGATAAAGCATGATGGAGAGACAGAGAACCCGCGTTGACATTGCCAGCGACGCGCCGGTGGAGTTGCCCAAATAGGCGATCACCGGCCTGGACCGGCCGGCCGGGAGGGCTCCCCCGTCCGTGTGATTTCCCGGCGTCCCAATGTTCCGGCTGCACCAAAGAGCCAAGGTGAACAAAACGCCCGTTCAGATGGCGCATCAAATGGAATCGACAAGTAGTGTGAGTGATGCCAGATGATGGCGTGTGCGTTCTGGAGAGCCCATATGGAGGTCCACATGGCCGATAGAGGAGTGATGGGTTGATGGTACCTCCCAAGCCCTGTCGAGTCTGGGAGCGGCGGGCGGCGAGGCGAGGAGGAGAAGGAGGTGGAAGGGGGAGGTAAGTTCAACAGGCGCGTTCGATAGATGGGCCAGAACGTCAGATAGAGTATGACAGGCTGCAGAAAGGCGTGTTATCGGCGACTCTGTCGAACCGGTGACTCGAGGTCCTGCGATGGCTCGTCGGGCTAATGGGACGAGCTTCGACGAGATTCTGCCTGCAAGTCTCGACTGACTCGAGGTGTAGGAGGGTATCGTCGGGATACTGCTCTTTTTCCGGATCGGACGGACTCGCTCGCGGACTCGGGATCGGCGATCATTCGCATCTCATTTAGGGGATTCAGCAGATTGAGTTCACCGTTTTTTTTTCATCGTTTCGCCATCTCCCGGAACACCCATGTGGACGCAGCTCACTCCGTCGCCGTAACGCGTGACAGTGCGACAAGGTTCAGACGGCGGGGCGACGACGACGGAGGTTCGACGAGCGCTGTGTCATGGGCGGGGTTCTTTCACCTTTGAGGGCTATTTTTCTTGGTAAATGGAAAGAAACGGTACGCGGTGTACACTGTACTGCATGGTCCCTCCGTCGCTTTGTGGATGGAGGCGGAGGCCGGAACCCTGAGCACACGATCGAAAACTCGTCCGGGGGTCCGAGAGGGGCCGAAGGACACCCAGGCTCTGACAATGGGCTGGACAACGAGCTCGGGCTCCACCGACAGATGGCGGTGTCGCAGCGCTGCTGATGGTGATGGAGACCCCCGTTTTCTATTCCTGGGCGCGCGGGAAAGGGGAAAAGGCTCGTAAAGTGGGAGAGGATGACGCGTAAAAACGGAACGGGGACTACGGGGAGACCGTGGGCGCGCACCGGCCGGAAAGGCGATGGCACTGTGTGCGAGAGGCTCTGCGGGATCTCGATGGGACAGGCCAAGCCAATTCAGGAACGGCTGGAAGCGCCGCCGATTGAGAGACGGTCGCATGGAACGATGGAGCACATGCTCCAATCAACTCCCGGGTCTTATCGCCTTTCCCAAGCACTTAAAGTCGGGGACGCGCACGAATCCCGCCTTTCCTCAATTCTCCTGCCAGCCATGTCGACCGCCTACCAAGAGGGCGCCGTGCATCCGAGCACTCCCTCTGTGGATGAGAAGTACGACGCAGAGAAGGCGCGTCACGGTCAGTCAATCAACGTTTAGGATGTGTGTCCTACTGCCTAAATCTCATCACCGCCCCCCGCAGTCCCCGACATTCACGAGGTGACCGGCGCCGAGTTCGACGATCCTAATGTCGATATCAACGCCATTGGCCCCGGGCTCGAGGACGACTCGCCTTACCCCGAGGTGCGGTCCGCCGTCGCGAACACGGATGACCCGGACATGCCCGTCTCCACCCTCCGGGCATGGGTAATTGGTGAGTAATGACTCGAATACATCCCCCGTACGAGTACTGAAGTCTACCCCCCTTCCCGTCCAGGTCTCATCTGGGCCATCATCATCCCCGGCCTCAACCAATTCTTCTTCTTCCGTTATCCGTCCGTCACCATCTCGGGTCTCGTCGCCCAGCTGCTCTCTTTCCCCGTCGGCCGTGCGTGGGCCAAGTTCCTTCCCAACGTCAAGATCTTTGGCGTTGCCATTAACCCCGGTAAGCTTTTCTTCCCGTTGCGGGCGCGCGTGATGTGCATCCGTGGCTAAATTTGGAAACAAGGTCCGTTCACGGTCAAGGAGCACGTGCTTGTGACGATTATGGCGTCCGTCGGCGCCGGTTCGGCATACGCCACCGACATTGTCGCCGTGCAGCGTGTCTATTACGGCCAAATTTACAACTTCGGCTACCAATGGATGGTCGTTATGTCCACCCAGCTCATCGGTTTCTCCATTGGTGGTATCGGGAGGCGTTTCCTCGTCTCGCCCCCGTCGATGAGTGAGTTCATCAATCACGCTGTTCATTCCGCTGGAAATTGATCGCTTCCCTTCGTTTCCTAGTTTGGCCCGCGAACTTGGTGCTCTGCGCCTTGTTCAACACCCTCCACTCGCAGGAGTACGCCGGTATCGGTAACCGCGGAGGTATCAGCCGTGAACGCTTCTTCCTGTACGCGTTCCTCGGCTCCTTCTGCTGGTACTTCTTCCCCGGCTACATCTTCACCGCCCTCTCCTACTTCTCCTGGGTCTGCTGGATTGCCCCGAACAACGTCAAGGTCAACCAGCTATTCGGCTACATCAGCGGGCTTGGCATGGGCCTCATCACCTTCGACTGGTCCCAAATTGCTTACATTGGCTCCCCGCTCGCCACTCCCTGGTGGGCTGAGGCCAACGTCGCTGGTGGTTTCCTTTTCTTCTTCTGGTTCATCACCCCCATCCTATACTACACCAACACTTGGTACTCCGAGTACATGCCAATGTCTTCCCGTGGCTCGTTCGACAACACTGGTGGATCGTACAACGTCTCCCGCATCCTCAACCCGGATTCGACCATCAACCTCGAGGCGTACCACAACTACTCCCCGCTCTTCCTCTCCACCACCTTTGCGCTGTCCTACGGTCTCTCGTTCGCTTCCATCACCGCGACGATCATGCACGCCATCCTTTACTTCCGCAAGCAGATTTGGGTCCAGTCCCGTCGCTCGCTCTCCGAGCAGCCCGACATCCACGCCCGTCTCATGTCCCGCTACCCTCAGGTGCCGGAGTGGTGGTACGCGTGCATCTTCCTGACCATGTTCGTCTTCGGTATCGTCTCGATCGAGGTTTGGCCGACGCAGTTCCCCGTCTGGGGCTTCGTGCTCGCGCTCATCATCGCCTTCGTCTACATCATCCCCATCGGCATGATCCAGGCTATCACCAACCAGCAGGTCGGCCTGAACGTCATCACCGAGCTCATCATCGGTTACGCCCTCCCGGGCCGCCCCGTCGCGATGATGATGTTCAAGACCTGGGGCTACATCACCATGGCGCAGGCGCTCACCTTCGCATCCGACTTCAAGCTCGGCCACTACATGAAGATCCCCCCGCGCCCCATGTTCTGGGCTCAGACCTGGGCGACCGTCGTCGCCGGCACCGTCCAGCTTGGCGTACAGGCGTGGATGTTCACCAACATCAACGGCATGTGCGACTCTGACCAGCCTGACGGTTTCATCTGCCCCTCGACCGAGGTGTTCGGCACCGCGTCCATCATCTGGGGCGTCATTGGCCCGGCCCTGCAGTTCTCCAAGGGCCAGCTCTACTACGGCCTCACGTTCTTCTTCCTCATCGGTGCCATCGCCCCTTGCATCCCGTGGTTGATCACCCGCAAGTACCCGAACTCGTTCTTCAAATACGTGAACATGCCCGGTACGTCCCGTCTTCTAACCCCCGATTTCAAATCGTCTTACTGACCGCGTCCGACAGTCATCTTCACCGGCACTGGTCTCATCCCGCCCGCCACCGCTATCAACTACGTGCCCTGGACGATCGTCGGCTTCATCTTCCAGTACGTCATCCGCCGGCGTCACTTCGCCTGGTGGACCAAGTACAACTACGTCCTGTCCGCCGCGCTCGACTCGGGTGTCGCCGTCTCGATCATCATCATCTTCTTCTGCCTCCAGTTCCCGAAGAACGGCACGATCGGCGAGAACTCGATCCTCACCTGGTGGGGCAACACCGTCTACCTCAACAACGGCGACGCGAACGGCGTCACCATGAAGACTCTCGCGCCCGGCGAGACCTTCGGCCCCTCGCACTGGTAAATGTGTTGTCTGGGGTGTTGTAAAAGCAGTCGGTCGCGTCGCGCCTGTATCTATCGCGTTACCTCCTCCCCCTCTCCTCCCCCTCCTACATTGTTGGATATTTGTGTGGATGCTGGTCGGGTCATATTTTGGATGAAGGTGGTCATTATATCCCCCCCTGCTGTCTGTGCTGTAGCTCTGCGCCCTGAGGCGGCGGAGTATTTGCTTTAGATATGACCTTGTACGATAATACGACAGCTTTAACGCTAGATATGATGTCTGTAATTATTAATCGAGTTCCTTCAATCTTGTCATTAGAGCAACCTGAATTACGCGCGAGCTTCGGGCGCTTAACTGAAGTGCCACGCTTTTTGCGGTGGACTCGGCACGGGCCTTTTGACTTTTGCGACTTCATCGGCTGTATGCGTTCCCGCACTGGATTCGACATCATGGCGTACGAACTGGAGGATCGATCGCTCCATTCAACGAGAAATGCAGTCGTAAACAGAAGATGGTTCAATCCTGTCCCACTGGGCTTTACTATGCTTGCTTGCGGAAGAGAAACGGCTGTCGGCCGCTTATTGGTGCTCCTCGCGGGTCGACTACTACTGCGTCGTCGAAGGGGATGTATATATCGATTCTTGATGGAAGAAACAGCCTACATTGACCTGTCTGCTACTGGCATTGGACTGGTCCACGGATTGCTCATTACAGTCTCGATCAAATGACTGGCCTCCAGCAAACAACATCATCGACGCGCCATCCAGCTTGCTCTCACTGCAACTGGCATTGCACTGCCGTGGCAACGTTGGTCGGTTCTCCAAACTTCTTTTCGACAAGCAGCTTTGCAGCGAGCACGCCGCCTTGAGCAGCATGCGGCACGTGATCAACGACCGCGATGGTCCTGATCCCTACTGCTTACGCGACGCGCGCGACGCGTTGTTCTATAAATCGCGCTCGGATAGCTGCCTATCCAGCAAGTCGCGATGGATTCCACACCGCAAGTAGAAGGTGAACTTTACATTCCAACCTGGATCATCTACGATCGTCTTACTTGGTAACTCGTTGCTCCAGGCGATCACCACCAACATCATGCTCATTCGCATGACTTTACCGAAGCCAACCGGCAACACTTCAACACCAGTGTAGAAGCCGCACATCACGCAGATCGGCCCGACTATCTCAAGATTGCGAAGAAGGTTGGGAAATTGATCGTGGATGCCTACCCTTTCGACGAGGAAAAGACGACGCTCATGGATTTCGCTTGCGGTACAGGTTGGCGCCAGGATCGTATTGCTCCATACGTGCAAGCATAACTGACCGCTTCCCCAGGTGGTTTATCCAGGGAACTTGCTCCTCACGTGAAATCCATCGTCGGAGTTGACATCAGTCAAAGCATGGTCGATGAGTTCAACCGCCGAGTGAGTAACCAGGGAATACCTCCGGAGGAGATGAAAGCCGTATGCACGGATCTCCAAGCCGCAGAAGGAGCGCTCGACGGGCAAAAATTCGACGTGGTCGTGGTCTGTATCTTTTTCGGCGTACTATGGTTCGAAAGAGGTGACCGGTTTCGTGATCCTAGTGCCTTGCTGCTTATCACCATTTTGCCTCACCTTCGGAGGTGAGCCGAACGCTGGTGTACTTTCTGAAGCCAGGAGGAGCGCTCTTCGTGATGGACGTCATGAAGAATCCGTCTGGAGAAGTCGTCATTCCGGCGACCCACAACCACGTCGTCCCTCACCCCTTCGGGTTCGACGAAGCAGATATGCGAGTTATACTGGAGGGCGCCGGTCTCGAGAACTTCAATTATCAGAAGGCGCTCTCGGCTACCATGAGAGGTAACAAGGCAGACCTATTCATTGCCAATGCCTCCAAACCCGCTGTGCATTGATGCCTCAGGCTGCAGCATGTCTCTTTTGGTGGGGTACTGGATTGATTGATTGTTATCTCGATGCATTCATTCTGAATTGGTGTTTTGATATAATAATCACGTACATCGGAATGCTATGGATACAATGCGTGGTATACATGAATTTCCGTTAGCGATACAAGACAAAGAACGATGATGACAACTACGAGAAGAAACAGATCTAGCGCACTGAAACGTTACCACCAAATCGTTTCCTAGAAACGACATCCATTCGACCCTTCACCTCACGGAAGGCCTTCCACCAACTCCGTCCCACCATCTCCGAAGTGATTCTGCCCTCTGGATCCACAGGCATGTCCCCCTGAACATGTTCCCATACACCGAAGTGTGTTCTGAGCACAATTAGCCACCACTTCAGCACGCCTATCGCCTTGTGGATCCCGCCGTCCGTCGACCGCTCGCCCTCCATGCTCTGCACGAGGAACTTGGCGAAGAACTCGACGTCCCTGTCGTTCGGGAGTTGTTCGCGGAACCGGTCCACCCACGCTTCTATCAGGTCCTGAACATCCTCCGCAAGCGTGAAGAACAGCTTCTTCCCCTGAGATATCTGCTTCAAGAAGGGCGGTTCGGGATGATACACGTGAGGTGGCGGCGGGGGAATGTATCGCACTGCGTTGGGGTCCTTGATGAAACCCGTCATGGGCTTCAAGGGCTTGCGTTTACCCTCGGCGAAGACAACCGTTGCCCCGCCCAGACCCCTCGCATATCGTGCACCGGCCAGTTGCTCGCGTTGGACGTCCTTAGGGAGCATAGTGAAGATGTCCGGATCGATGTCAAGCTCCCGCAATTCATCAGGGGTGACATTGGCTACTGAAGTGGTCGGGAATATAATCTTTTGCTTTTGCTTTCCCTTGTCGATCTTGGCAAAGATCGTAGTATTCTTCGGAGAGCGCACCCCCCGATTCTTCGGGGCCAAGGCCTGGGTGATGCGCTTGACATTGGATCCTTTCACCGACAACTTGAACAGCGGAGCCTTGACAGGCGACGCACGCAAACCGAGGTTTACGGGCGCCGGTGGGATCGGAGCCACAAGGGGAGAGGCTGATCGTCGTTTATATTCAACCTCCAGCTCCTTCCGTACGTCGTCTGGCAGGGCATCAAACACGGACCGATCCACCTGAGAAAAGGAAGGCAGGTCAACCGGAGCGGCAGGAATAGATGTCTTAATGTTCTTCATGGCGACCTCCTTCAACGGAGAAACTGACCGACGTTGGTATTCCGCCTGCAGTTCCTTCCGGACATCGTCCGGTAGGGCGTCGAATACGGACCGGTCCACCTGGGAGAACGAGGGAAGGTCGACTGGAACGGCAGGAACAGGCAGATTAGCGTCCTTCAGGGCAGCCTCAGCCTTGTCAGGCACATCAATCATAATGACTTCGTCGTTTTGAGAGGGCGGCAGGACAACGGTGGGAGGCGCGGCGGGCGGTGGTTGTCCTTGCTTCGCTTGGTTGATTGGCATCGCGGCAGCAGGTGGGAAGAACAGTTTGCCTTGCCCTTGGTCAGGCACGGATTGGGCGACTTTCTGAAGCTTCTGGATTTGTATACCGATGCCTCTTAACTCCTTCGGGTCAAACGCTAGGGACTTGAGTAGTCTCCATGCGCAGTCGCCAATAAGCTTAGGTTCACTTGTCGTGCGCAATAATGCTGCCTGCTTCGTAAATTGCTGACACCACCCATGCCCCATGAACTACACTGCGATCAGCTCGCTATCGCGGTATGATTGTCATTTAATGCACCTTAGGAGCTTCGACAGGCGCTTCGGGGTGACGTTTGAGAATCTTGAGGGTCAAAGACTGGCCGCGCATGTGGATAGCATCAAGTCGACGAGCTACCTCTTCAGCCATTTGATAGATAAAATGTTCAGCCTGGCCATTGTCCTCAAAGCGGATACCATACTGCAAAATCGTTAGCCCTTTTCTCCAGCAGCACGTACTAGACTTACATTGATGTCGCAGCTAACGCTCTTCCTGGGTTTATCACTCTCTAGTTTCTTATCATCAATCCCTCGTATAGCCTTCCATACTGTGTCTCCCGTGCCCTTCCCTAGAGCATCGCAAAGGGTGCCTTTGCTCCTTTTCCGTAGTTCGCCAAGGATCGTCGTCCCCAGCTTCTCCTGGGCCTTCTGCGCTGAGGCATACCCGAAGCCGTGAAGATCGTCCAGCTTTAATGGCGCCAGAAAATCCTCTGCTTCATCTGGATGAATGTGCAAAGCACCGGCCGGTTTCGCGCGTCGGTTTGCGAGGCGCGCGAGCATGACGTTGTGTGCAATACCGATGCTAACTTCGCAATTCGTAGCTGCCCGTACCTGCGAACGTATACGGTTCGCAAGCTCTAAAGCAGGGTCCACAGCAGGTTCGCTCGTAGTAGAGGTGGAGTGCGCATGATCGATGATTCGACTCGTGACATCAATCAGTGCTTCATCCACCGACACGGCTTGCAGGTCATCCGCATAACGCATCAAGATAGTGTAGAACTCCAATGAGTACTTCTTGTACCTGCCGTTGAGGGGCTGATTAGCAAGCGTAACGAGTACTCAGAGTGAAGTCACGAACGTTTCGAACTCATAGGGTATGGTAATTATGCCTGGACAAAGTTGTCTGGCCTGTTGCAAACTGGAGACAGGTGAGAATCTCCCGAAACGTCCCATATGCTTACGACGAACCTCATCCCGCCCCGTATACCAAACTCGCGCGCCTCGTAGCTAGCGCTCGCAATCTCGCTCGTACTAGCATTGCCACCTTGAGCACCCTGCGAATGGCACACAACAACGGGTTTGCCCTTCAACTGCGGGCGTGAAACCAGGCCGGCGGATACGAAGAAGCAGTCGAAATCACAATGCATAATGACACGGCGTTTGGAATCGGCAGAACGACTCGCATCTTTGACCTTCCTCACCAACGGGTTCAAAGCCAGGGCTGCTCCTCGCATACTGACCGAATCTGCGATCGCCGCAGCAGCCCGGGTATCTTTCTCGCAAATATTGTCGCCGTCCGCTTCTGCTGGTATGTCGATTGATGACTGCGATGGGTCACCCTGGCTGCTTTGCTCTGGTTCGTCCACGTCCGCTTTGTCCACGATATGCTCTGCCTTCTCTTGCGCCTGCTGGAGCAGCCCGCGTAGCTCAGCCTTCCACATGCTCAGATGATGGAGTCGAGAGTTCTTGTAATATCCTATCGACACGGAAAATCTAAAATTAACACGATGGACAGCGAGTCGAGGTTAACCATCGACAAACCCTCTATGAAACCTTCGCTGATACTAGTGTGAGCCTTGCGCCACTCTACGTTCTTCATTGCCTTCTGAGCGGCAAGGTTCGAGTCGTGCATAGCGTAACCCGGCACCCGCTGCGCTTGATCTGGGGAGACTGGGTCGGTAGTGTACAGCGCATGATCTGCCTTCGGGGTGGTTGGCGTGCGAGGTACGAACACAGGGAGTGCTTTGTTGGGCGTGCTTGGCGTGGACACATGAGGGGAACCCAACGCTTTTGGCTTCTTTGGAGTTTGAGGGGCGGTGGCTGGCACCTTCGGTGCGGCTTGAGCGTCAACTGCGGAGTCGCGGCTTGCTGCTGATGCTCCGGTGCTGTGCTTGACACCCGCAGTTCCCTTGAATAGCATTGGTCTCGGTACCACCTTGCCCTGATAGTCTTCCTCGGCCCTCTCCTCCACCTTCCATATGTAAGCCTGCCAGGGCAGGAGGGCGCCCTGCGCGATGCTATCTACAAGCCATGCAGGAGTGACGACCTTCATACGCGCAAATTCTCGTATCTTCGCAGCTGTAAGCGTAGATGTGATTATATGCGTTCTGGACGAGCGTGAACATGAGGTCGCGGTATTGTAGAACGAGAACTTACATGTACGATTTCTGGTCCATGTACGCTTGATATGTGCCTCCGTGTTGTACGATCAGTTCTCGAAGTTTGTGCTCAGGCGGGTCCGTATATCCGTTAATCTGATCAAATATGACGACTGTGAATGTTGGTGAATGCGTTCAAGGAAGTATACGCACGTATAGTGACAACCCCTTGAAGATATCGCTCCTCTTCTCTTGTGCGCTATCAAGCACGTCCTCTATCTGGGCGTTCTGGACTTGCAACTTGACCCTCTTGCGCCGCATGAAATCGCTTATCCCACCAAACTTTGATGCCGAGTAGGTATCTTCATCCATATACGACAATCCGTCGCCGGCGAGTGGTCGCGACGTTCCGCTGGCCGAGCTGCCAACGCCATCGTCATCCACATGCGCCGCGGCCAACGCTGTTGTGGCTTTTAGCACCGGATCGTCCGCAATCGGGGTGCTCGCATGATCACGTTCCTTGGTAGCTCCTGATGTAAGAGAACTAGAGCTTCCAACGTGCCTCGGGGGCTTGACGGAGGTTGACTGACGCGTGGGTTGGGAAGCGAAAGCGTCCAACACCCTCTGAGACGTCTTCCGACCTTCGGCCTGGTCCAGTCGATTCCCCGCCACATATTTGTAGTCTGTCCAGGGAAGGAGCCTGCCGGCTTCTACGCTATCGGTAAGCCAGCTAGGCGTAGCCAATTTCATGTGCTGGAATTCCTTCATCTTCGCTGGAGTCAGGGAGCAGGTGATGACGTGCGTGCTGCGAGCGTTAAATAAGCAAGCCGCCAGGTAGTATATGAACTGGGCGTACACCAGCGACTTCCGATCTAGATAGGGATGAAACACTCCTCCGTGTTGAATTATCAGTCGTCGGAGCTCTTGGACGGAAGGGGTGGTGTAACCATTGATCTATCATCCGTGGATTGCCAGTCAGTTCTGACGATTTGAGGCAGAACAGCGACGCACGTATATTCTGAGCCCCTCGAAGAACTTACTACTTTCGTCAGCCATCCCTCCGCCGCCATCGCCGTCACTTGGTATTTCTGCGTTCTGAATTTGCAATTTGGCGCGTTTGCGACGCATATATTCGCCCCATCCATTGAACTTCGATGCACCGTATGTGCTGGTATCGTCCATGTACGATGATCCATCTTCAGTGGTGAGTTGCTCTAGAGTAGCCGGGTGTTCTGACTTCGGCGAGGGAGAGCGATGGCGTTTTCGAAGCTGCACAGCTGGCTGTAAATCTGTAGCTTTCGCCTGAATCGGTTCATAGGAGGCTTCGGCTTCGTCGATTGCGTTCAGAATGTCTGGGGTATACTCGTCGAAGAGGTCTGGGTAACTTGACGTCGAAGGTTCAGACATAGCTCGGGGGCTGCTCGTTATGTTAATCTCCAGCTTCGGAAGCTAAGCTGAGCACAAAGCAGAGTATCATTGCTTGAAGGCGTCCAACTCGCGTGAACCGTGGTCACTGTCCAGACCAAGGAAGCTGCCGCTGACGCGAGCGTCGGAGCGAAGGGCTTCTCTGCCATAATGCCGCGTCACGGGATCGATTCAGGGGCATTGCGCCCCCCAGCTCGCACGACGTCACGGTCGACGCAGCCTCGCCAATGGCATTGGCAACGCCCACTGCGCGTCCCATGCTCTACTGACCATGACCATCGTGGACGGGCAATGCTACTTCCCGTCTCCGTGCTCATCAACATCAAGCAAACCGTCAGTCCTGCCGTCTACGCCTCCCCGAATAGTCACCTTCCGTGACCTGCTGGCCCGTCAGCGCGGTCGGCCTGGGTGGACCTACTCTCCGAACACTTTCGGCTGAGACGGAGCTTATTCGGTTCCCTCCCCGCTTTGACTGTTTGTGCGCGATGCGCGGACGAATGCACTGGCAGCTCAAGCCGCTAGCCAGGGCAGTTATTTGTGATATGCGCTCCTTGGAGATATTCCATCAGACTTCTTTCATACGCTTTCGCGACGTGTGAGGTTCCTTCGCTTCCGGGCTATATATCCTTATAACCTCTCATGAGTTGTTTGCTACGTCCATCCGAGTTTCGCTCTCGCCCCCATCCGTGCTTTTGCCAAGGCATCGGCAAACATGGTCCGTTCAGTCATTGTCGGAACTCTGGGCCTCCTTCCTTTCGTTGTCGCCCAGCGTACGTAATGCCTCGTAAAATGCAGACCTCCACCCTCACATTGAGGGTTGATCGGATTTTAGTGGGCAACTCCCAGTGGGATGATGCGTACACCAAAGCGCAAGCGGCCGTTGCGAAGCTCTCCCAGAGCGACAAGGTGTCGCTCGCGACAGGGACCGGCGAATTCGGCGGCAATTGCACTGGCAACATTGGGCCGATTTCAAGCATTGGCTTTCCCGGGCTCTGTCTGGAAGGTGCGACCCACGTAAACGCGATATCCCTCGTTGACAACTGATTGTCCCATGGCCATCGTTCAGATAGTCCGCTGGGCGTTCGGGGCACGGATCTCGTATCCGCTTTTCCTGCGTATGTCCCTCGAGTTCGTAGACTTGAGTAAATTGCTGTACTAACAATCTCTTGCGCATACATGCAGTGGGATCAATGCGGCCGCCACGTTAGACTTCTCAGAATGCCAACAAAATAAGCCTCGCTGACGTCTTATTGACTGCTCAGATTCAGCCGAGATCTGATCCAACAACGCGGCGCGGCCATGGGCCAGGAGTTCCGCGGAAAGGGCGTGAACGTGCAGCTTGGACCCATGATGTTGGTCATGCGAATTCCAGATCTCAAATTCTCCGCGAAGCAACCGTCCTGACATTCCTTTTGCGCTTAGGAATCTCATGCGCAATCCCGATGCGGGTAGAAATTGGGAAGGTTTCGGTGGTGATCCGTACCTTTCCGGCGAAGCAGCGTTCGAAACTATCACCGGCATTCAAGCTCAGGGTGTGCAAGCCTGCATGAGTGAGCCAATCGCGATCTCTTCGACTTCAGCGAAACCCTCATTTCGTTTCAGAGCATATCATCGCTAACGAGCAAGAGCACTTCCGCACGTTGGAGACTTCTAACGTGGATGACAGAACTATACACGAGCTCTACCTCCATCCGGTAAGCTATATCACTCAAAGCGCCAATTCTGTTTCTCATCTTAGCTTAGTTCCTCCGCAGCGTTCAAGCCAACGTCGCGGCCGCGATGTGCAGCTATAACAGGAGTTCGTCTTGGCTACTTCACTCAACATACAGCTGAGGTGCTCAAGGCTACCTCACACAGTCAACGGCACCTACGCCTGCGAGAATGATCACATCCTGAATGACCTGATCAAGACCGAGCTTGGATTCCGGGGCTGTACGTCGCGCAGTTCGATTTCACATTACCCCAACGTAGTCTCATTGAATTCCCTTACTACTAGATGTCATGTCCGACTGGTTTGCAACGACTTCTACCTCTGGCGCCGTTAACGGAGGCTTGGACGTACGTGATTATGATCAACGCGCTGCGATGTCCAGAGCTAAGCCGCTCGCAGATGGAGATGCCGGGTGGTCTCTATGAGGATTTGTTGGGTTTCTTCGGCGATCTGCTGATCCTCGCGAACGATATCGGGACCGTGTCGGATGCCAGATTGGACGAGATGGCTACGCGCATCCTTGCGGGCTGGTATCTCCTCGGCCAGGACCAGGGCTACCCAACGGTCAACTTCGATGCGAACGACGCGAACAGCAAAGTGAATCAGCACGTTAACGTCCAAGGAAACCATAAGGAGTAAGCGCCTACAAACCCGTCTATGTACTGACAATCACGTTGATGTTTCCGTAGAATAATCAGGACAATTGGTGCTGCGTCCACTGTGCTGCTGAAGAACACGGGAGGCGTCCTTCCCTTGCATAAGCCCAGGACCATCGGGATCATTGGTGCGCGTCACCCTCCATTATCGTAATTTTAGCTCTTTGCGACCGTGCTCCCAGGCAGCGATGCGGGCCCCAACCCGAACGGCCTTAACAGCTGTGGTGATCTCAACGCATGCGACTCCGGTATTCTTGCGATGGGCTGGGGCGTACGTGATTTCTCATATTCATCCTCTCAAACGCTGACCTCAGCCCACAGAGTGGGTAAAGATTGTTCTCTGCCATACGTGTAATGAATACCGGGCTCATCCCTTTTAACGCACGTAGCTCCGGCAGTTTCCCGTATCTGATCGCTGTGAGCCCTGTTCCCTCGACGCTTTCTTTGCACGCGGAGGCTCACGTCATTGCGGAATACAGCCTGTGGACGCGATTACGAATCGCTCCGCTCAAGATGGGACTGTGGTCACCTCAAGCCTGTCTGATACCGATGTTAAGGCTGCCGCGAGCGTAGCAGCCGGCAAGGTGCGCACCCATTTCAAGCGTCACGGAAGATCGTGCCTGACGAACCTGCTTATTCCAAGGATTACGCATTCGTCTTCCTGAGTTCCGACTCCGGCGAGGATGGCAGCCTGGTGGAGTTAAACACTGGCGACCGCAACGACCTGAACGCATGGCACAGCGGAGATGCTCTGTGCGCCTCATATGTTATTATCTACACATCTATACAGCTGACGAGTGTTTCCTGCACAGCGTTGAAGCTGTGGCCGCGGTGAACAATAACACGGTGGTGATAGTGAATAGCGTCGGACCGATGACCGTCGAGAAGTGGATTGATCATCCCAATGGTGCGTGACTACTCTGGAAAGGGCGAACAACATGCTTGAAGCGCTGGTTAAACAGTGACCGCGTTGGTTTGGAGCGGACTGGCTGGGCAAGAAGCCGGTAATTCGCTTGTAGATGTGTTGTATGGCGTATACAACCCAAGGTATTTTGTTGAGATCCGCTGTCTACCTAGCCATATAGCTAACTGCCTGATAGCGGCCGGCTTCCGTACACCATCGCAAAGGATCCCGACGATTACGCGTCCCACTGGCAATTAGCCCTCGACATCGACTACACAGAAGGTATCGTGCCGGTTGACGGACTCAGAATGTTTGACTGAAAAGCGTGCAGGGCTTTTCATCGATTACAGGCACTTTGATCAGGCTGGTATCACGCCTCGATATGAATTTGGGTTTGGGTTGTCTTACACAACCTTCGCCTATTCTGGCTTGAGCATTTCCGGATCTGTGGGCTCGTACACACCGCCCACGGGTGCGGGATCGTCGCTTGATTCATCGTGCGTTCGTTCTTTTATACCCGTGACAAAGCGCTGAACATGGGTTCAGGTTGCACGAGAAGGTCTACACTGTGACGTTCACCGTGAGGAACAACGGAACGGTGAACGGACACGAGGTGCCCCAGCTGTATATTAGCAAACCCGCCTCGGCGAACTCTCCTCCCAAGGAATTGAAAGGGTTCGTCTCCGCAGCTTAACGTGGTGTTAGGCGCCTGACGTCGTGATTTCCGTAGCTTTGACTACATTGCCCTCGCCGCGGGAGCTTCGTCCGAGGTAACAATGCAGCTTTCCCGCTACGACCTCTCAATTTGGGACGTCGTGTCGCAACAGTGGATCATTCCTAGCGGCGCGTTCACTGTCTCTGTTGGCGCTAGCAGCCGCGACCTCCGATTGACTGGTTCTTTCAACGTATAACACACGAAACATCGAGCTTCTTCTGTAATGATATTTTCTCGTTGATCAGGGACCCTCATTCAATAACCCCTCTCGTAATACTGTCGGTCATTCGTCACCTCATCTATAGTTGCATATCACATGCAGGAGGGCTCTTCAACCCAAATCCGCTCTTTGTCCAATGATTTTTGTCGCATAGTACTGAGAATCATCATATAGTCCTTGTCGTTGGTCTTGCACATCGTGCGGAGGCCTTCAAGACGCCATTTGGAATGGTGGCAGGGGCTGCTATTACGAATCGGGAAACAACTTTGCATCGGGTAGCAGAGCCGTAACTACAAGAGCTCTCAGATCCCGACGTCTCGACAAACGATGCCAAAGGAGCTATCGACAAGTCGTGCTCGCGAGATGATGACAGAAACTGCTGCCATGGTAGTCCAATGAATACAGTCCCCGAAACCAGGCTGCGACGAATCAGAGGCTCAAATTTGAAGGCTTGACCATGCCATAAAGCGCGGCCTTGTCGGATGAATTCTCAACAAGTTCAAAGAACAGCCCCTTCCGTTGCGCAAGGAGTTCGCTTGGCGTGCCAAATTGTGCCAGTCGGCCTGAATCCAAAACCATCTACGGCAATCCAATTAGTAGATTCAACGATGAGCTTCATCATTGGCACCCACGATTTTGTCCGAGTCCATGATTGTTTGCAGACGGTGCGCTATTGTAATGATAGTAATATCGTCACCTAGATTGGAACGAATAGACTCTTGAATGGCTGCGTCCGTTTCATAATCTATGATATACCACACGTAAGTGAAGCTTGTGCGATGAACAGGTCAAACCTCACCGATGGCAGCCGTGGCTTCATCCATGATCATGAGCTTGCTCCTCCGAACATACGCTCGGGCCAACGCGATGATCTGCGACACCATCAGGAAATGGAACATTACAGCTAAATCAAAGACATGCACCTGACGTTGCCCATGGGAGAAGTTCATACCTCCTTGTTCTACTTCGCTGTCCAGTGTGATGGCCGCCGCATCTCCGCTTTTCTGTAAACGGAACAACCCGGCAGATTGCAATGCCTCGTTCAATGTTGCATCGTCGTGCTCGCCAAATGGGTCCAGGTTTTCGCGTATGTTCCCGGATAGCAGATCAGGGTGTTGCGGGATGAAGGTGATGTTCGCACGCAGAGAATTGAGATTGATCTTGTGAATATCGAGGCCATCATAGAGGACTTGCCCACTGGAGTTGAGAGCACGTAGCAATGCCAAGCTGATTGTCGACTTCCCGGCACCCGTCCTCCCGACCACACCGATACGTTCGCCCGACTTGACATCGAACGAAACATGATGAAGCACATCCGCAGAATCTGGATTGGTAAAGCTCTGCGTAGTCACCACTTCGATCGGAGGAAGAGTTTACCTAGGGCATAACGCGCAGACAGGTTCTTCGCTCGAAGAGATCCACTTGCTGGCCAGTATGCTGGAGGGACACCTTCTTTTGTTGGCTCTGGTTCGTGTTCAATCTTCAGGAAGTCGAGGATGCGTTCCAGACTGTTCGCTAGATCACACCTGATCAGCATGAGTCTCAAACCGAAACTAGCACACTCACATTCCACCTCAGCCGTGTTGGAAAATCGTACGAGGACGAAAACCTCCGTTCCGAAGCCAAGTACTTGCAACAAGGCAAATCCAGCGTCCCCTACACTGATTAGGCCGCCATAAAGCACACTAGCAGCGACGATCGCCGAGAACATGGCCCCAAGAGTGTTGATACGGACTACTACCCATCTATTGATGTTCTGTAAGTTCCGCGTGAGCATCGTGTAGTGATTGATGCGCGTGGTCAGCTGTCTGCCGAAATGCTCTTGAGCACCGTATGCGCGTATAGAGGCTACACCGTGATACGTCAATCCACAAGTCGTATGTACTGGACCTGGACGTACGAAGACCAGCCAAGCCGGCACCGAACAAGCTGAGAACAGGAGCTTTGGCGACACTCTGCTCTCGCTTCACCGCTGACAGATACATCACGGTAAGCAAGGGAAGGGATCGTCGGAGTTGCATAGTCTGACCTCGTTGCGCCGTGTTATAGAATCTTCCCATACCAAATCCAATGATCAGGACTGTAAGACCCGCCGCCAGAGCGCCCCATCCCACAACGTACACTATGGCAACGATGCGGAACAGGACGCTGACAATCAATATCTGCTGTACATTGTACATGTTCCGCACACCCCCGTCTACCGATCGGATATCCTTGTTGAGATGCTTGTCAATGATGCACATGATTACCAATATCAGATACAGACCTTGGTACAACGCGCAATAACTCGAGAAACTGGCACCGTATCAAGCCATCTTTGTGGCAATCAGTTTGATGATACATGCTCATAGACGATCTCGTACCGGAAGGTCGCCCCGAAGACCGACTCGACGAGTAATCGATGTATTCTAGCAGATGCCCGCATCGAGCCCGCAAGCCATAAGGTCCAGGCCAAGGCCCCAGTGACCAGCTCAAGGAGGCATAAGGCTGCGTATCCAGAGAGATATCTGGAAGGAGGTAATCAGAAGGGTACCACATTCGCGGTCAGGTATGACTAGCACGTACTTCGTGGCCGGTACATCGGCGGCATCGTGGTCCATATACTGATTCGACCAGATACCGAGGAAGTAAGGCTCGTACAATTTGAATGCCGCACTCGTAGCGACGAAAGTCAGGCGCCAAAACCAAAACCAGGGTCCTCCAACATTGCGCAGATACAGCATGATTGCATCCATGCCGACGGTACCATGCGCGATGTCCTCCGCGACAATCAGCTTCCCTGCATTACCGCTATCGTCCTTTTTGGCCGCCGCATCACCGGGTTCTTCGAATGGAATTGCAGCTTCGGCCTTCTGCACCAATTCCTCTTCTTTCGCAAGTTCTTGACCGAGAGACGCATCGTGCTCGATAGCCTCGTTCAACGAACTTTCGGCCATGACGTGACCTTGTCTGTCTACGCGGATCACCTTTTTGGCCAGCGAGCGTGTCAGAGCCAGATTGTGCGTTACGAGAAGTACGGTCCGTCCCCGTAGCAAGTCTCCTTTGAGGCATCTGTCAACGACATGCTTGGCAGTGTGGACGTCCAGGGCCGCCAGAACATCATCTAGCAGGACTATGTCTGCTTTCGAGTACACCGCACGCGCTAGCGTAACACGAGCCTTCTGTCCTCCGCTATAGGTCAGTAGCCAGTAGTCTAATTCAGCAGCATGCTATCGTCGTATACCATCGACCACCTGCCTTAGAGTAATGCCCTACATAACATATATCAGCATGAACAATCATGAGATCAAAGACCATGGACACAACACCCTGGACATACCTTCTCACCAACTTCCGTCCGATCTCCAGATGCGAGCATATCTAAGTCTTGCACTAGCGCGCATTGTGCAATCACTTCAAGCTCGTCAGGATGTTGTCCCGAGACCGTGATGTAGAACACGTACCTTTCTGATAACGTGCCTCATCGAAAGGCGAACCGAAGACGATATTTTCCTACGTGGACTTTCAAAAAACAAAGCTACCCCTCTCTTATCATTGGACCTACCCGGATAGTCTCATTCAGTACCCACGACTCTTGGGCGGCGTAAGCAATGTGGCCGCCACGTGGAAGATTGTACCACGATGCCTCATTCTGCGGATAGTAATACATCTCGCCTACATGCATGATTCAGTTGGCCGGTCGATTGGTCGAAACCCAAACTCACCCAGCAAAGCGAGCAATGTACTCGTCTTCCCCGAGCCCGTCGGTCCGACGATCAAGTTAATAGCGCCCCTTTCGAACGTCACCTCGCCCGCGATGCTCAACCGGAAATGGCGCTTCTTGGCGTTTTTGGTTCGTCCAGTCTCGATTTTGTCCCAGGTGAAGGTGGCATCAGCGAACCCGACCCGAGAGTCATCATTATAAGAAGGCGGGATTTGAGTGGGAGCATCTTCCAAACCAGCATTGGGTCTGATCAGTTCAGTCTATGTATAGCATTGTGTCAACAAGGCTTTGGGGCCCGATTATTATGCGACTCACATCGTTGAAGAATTCATTGATCCGATCCAAGGCTACCTTCGCTACAGCGTATCGTTAGTGACGTATGAGCGAAGTCCCAAGGGTACTGCCAATACCGTTGAGAATATCGGGAAGCATATAGGTTATCTGCGATATTTGTCCCTGCAGAATTGTGAAGACAGTGATGGAGGTGAAGATGCGTGCGCCTGTCAGTTCTTGCTTCATGACGAGGGTCTGTCGAACACAACTTCAGGAAACAGTTGATGCACGTATTTTTGGAACTGACGTATATGCCAAATGTCGCAAGAACGTTGCACAAGGGCAAGATCTATAGAAGAAACTCCTTCAGAACGCGCGCGAAATGATCAGCTCTCTGAACCATCTCACACTCTGAATCAGAAAATCAAGCAGACGTCAGAATCTTCGCCTTTGGTAAGGTGCGAACTCTTACATCGAGTGCATAGGTGGACAACCACAGATAACCATTGTAACGTATCCACGATATCTCTTCTTCCCTGAGTTTCGCAAGCCGCTCCATATATTTGCGTTCCCATGCAAACAGCTTGATCATCCTCAAGACGTTCATGACCTGCGAGACGGCCTGTACGCGCCGATCAGAGGCAGCCATCTTTCCCCGCTGAGAGCTCATCATCTTGCCAGCAGCCCATGCGGGAACGGGCAGTGTGACCACTACTATCACTATACCCACAAATGCGCTGAGCCGACAGTCAGCTTACCGACCGTTGACGACTGCGTGGGGTAACTCACCTCCATCCGAGCAGATCCCAGAGTAAATAGACGGAGATGACTGTCGACATGAAGTGTGAAACTGCAAGAGACGATGAGTACCGGGGACTCAACAGGAAAGCATAGATAGCTTACGGAGTTCAGGGAAGTCCCTCGCCTGCTGCATCTCGCTTACATCGCTCGTGACGAGATTATTGATCCTGCCAATCATCTGCCTGGTCCTCTGTTTCTCATCTTCTTCGGCCTTCTGGCCCTGCTTTGCCTTAGTATCGTCGGTCGCACCGCTGTCAGAAGGCGCGACAGTCGCAGTCGAGGCCCGACTGGTGCTGCGCTCTTCCGTCGAGGCAGGATCCGCTTCTTCACCTTGCTCCTCGTTTGGAGTTGGCGCTGGGCTAGGATCGTCCTCTTGAGCGCCGCTCTCTTCTGCAACTTCGGCGTCGCCTGCCAGCGGCTCGTCCTTCGGCTTCATCCGAATCCGCAAAGCGTGCTTGAACGCCAATTGTGTCACGATCGCCTCCGACCTCACTAGGATCTGCGAGCCAAGATACAGATACCAGTTCGACACGACAGAGTATACGATCGGCCCCAGACCGATCCACAGCACCCACACCCACGGTCGCACGCGCGCCGCGTCCGGGTCCTCGAGATACGACAGCACGTGCCGGACACCGACAAGCGAGACGAAGCCAGTAACACTCTCGCAGAGCGCCACGAGGATCATGAGCGCGTAGTCCCATTTGAAAATGTCGAGAAGGGACCAGATGACGTGCCGCGGGCGTTTCAGTGCAACAGGATCAATCTTGGGGAAGGCGTGTGCGATGAGGTAGGACGTTTCGTCATGAGGGTCGAGAGGGGGAAGCTTGGAGGGAGGGAGGTGGCCGTGGCGCGCTGCGTACCAGATGGCCGGGGTATAGTAACCCCAGGTTAGGAACGAGCCTATTGAAGCGCGCTTCACGGGGTCCTGGGTAGTAAGATGGTGAGCGATCTGGAAAGGCCTGTAGAAAGAAGGAGACTGACGGACGATTGGGGACCGGGTATGGCGAGTGGAACGAAGATGCAAAGAATGAATAGGGACAGGAGTTGTGCACTATACCAGATGTACCAGGGCGTCGTCCCCCTGCCAGGTGGATCTTGCCCAACTATGGTCACAGCACGAAGATATATGTATGCTGATACACCGAAGTGGGCGAGCAGGAGGATGCCAAGGTGAGCGTCACACCTGCGCTGCCACCTCCTGGAAGTAGATAAAGATAATGCTCCGAGTACAAACGCGTAGCCCTGGAGAGTTATCTGCATGAGTCGGGGATGCCCGTGGTGGACATAAATCCGAGGCTCACGGTAACGACTGCTTCAAGTACGACATCGAAGTGAAGACCAGAACCAGAACCAGAATTTGAGATTAGGTAGGCAATCGCAGATACCGCGTAAATTGCTGTCCCTACTGCCCTCACAGCCCTCAGAAACACGCCATAGATTCCTCCCGAGTATGCGATTCTGGCACGCCATCCATGTCCTTCCGCGATCGCGTGTTCAGAGAGTGGTGTGCGCCGATCTCGAATGACCAGGTAAAACAGGTGAGCGAGTGATGATACCGCCAGGGCGAGAGACACCGCGCGCAGCACCATATAGCCGGATGCGTCCGTCGCGTCCGTCGCGCTCGCGAAGGCAGGAAGTCGGGCTGCCATGGGTGATGGTGGTGTAGTCGAGTGCGTACCCCCGCTACGAACGACCTCACGAGTTATTATATAGCGAATTGCAGTCTCGGAGAGTAGCCACATTTCTCCCTGCGATACACGAAATCATGGTGAAATCACGAGGCCATCAATGGATGTGGTTGTTGTTCTCTCCGTTTTCCCACTGGGGCGGTTTCAGAGAAGATAACGCGAGAGGCCGTGGAGGCAGCAGAAGTGGGCGCTTGAGCGCGGTTAGCCCGGTCAGTGCTCCTGTGATTAGGGGGCCTCAAAGTTGGCGATTATGGGACAGATTACGGAGTGGATTCGAAAGTCGATTATGGTCGCGGATTATGGTCGAATCGAGTGTAGCGGCTCCAGAGCCGCTACACTCGATTCGACCCATAATCCGATTCTGCTACGACTATCGCTACATCGGAGTTTGGAATCCTTCCCACCGGGTCTGGGATGTCCACTCGCCTCTTCGTCCTGACCAACCCCGCCGCATCGTCGTTCTTCCGTCCTCTCTCCGGTTTTTATCAACGTATAGTTCTGGCCCTGACCATCCACGTCGTATTGACGTTCTTCGTCCTCTTCATGGTTCTCATCGGCGTATAAGGAACTCCATGGATGGCAGGGAATCATTCAATGCGGGCCTGGCGGGACGGCACGTTTTCCTGTGGGTACAACACCACCTACGTCGTTCAACAATACGATTTGGAATGCACATGGTGCTGGAGGTGGTTGCAAGTAAATCAGCACGGTATGTGTGTAGCTCAGATGTTCCTCTCTCCCCCGGCAGTATCTTTACGCTCATTTGTCACGATCAAGATCGTATCACCGTCCTGCGTCGCTCCCGGACGTGCCTTCCGCATCAACATGCCTTTGGCCAAGCTTGACCTTGTGGTTTGCGGGCTGATGGCTCGTCATCGCGCTTCAGGGAATCTGGGCGCAATATCGCAGCCGTCCAGCGGAATCCCAATGTGAGCGGCTTAGTGACGGCACATAGAGGACGTTGGGGATGGTGTTCTTAGTACTGATATGTAACACTACCTTATGTCCATGTATTCCATGAGGTCGCGCCTCGTCGCCACTAAAGGCACCTGGTCATATAGTAACTCAGTACTGCTGTCATTGTTTCAGCCAGACAATATACAAATTTTCCTTCACCCGACAGGAATGTCAACGTCAGTATACCCAGAGGTGTCTGAATATCCTCGGGACTTAGGTGAGGTGCTCATTCTTCGACTTGGGCACAAACGCAGGCTCGGCCGTGCGGCCGAACTCGGTATTCAAGCTCAGAAGGACATGCCGGCGAGTCGGCAGGAGGAGATTCATGTTCATAATCCAGACAGAATCCGGGGATGTAGCGGGGGGTTCAAAGTTGAGAGTCGGATTATGGCGGTGTAGCGACACGAGAATCGACACAGAATCGACACATAATCCGACGCATAATCAGTGCATAATCGCCAACTTTGAGGCCCCCTATTGACTGCACCACCGGTACTTACTGTACTTGGCGCCACAACTCCTTGACCTCCGGAAAACCAACAGAGCCTCGGAATATCTGAATAGCGCAGGAGCGTAGAAAGACTACCTGCATATCATTTGATGGAGCGTTTGCACCATGCGCTGTGTAACGCTAGCATGGCAATAAGAGAATACGGCGTCGAAGACCGTCTGGGAGACTGGGACCCAGTGCTCTTACTCTGACCGAGCGATGCGACAGAAAGGGACCGCCACCGACAGTCTACGACATGATGGCAGCGCGCATGCCTCGTGGATCATGCATCCTTCCCCCAAAGGTGTCACGGCATTGATCGCAGAAGACCCTATTATTGATACATGGGAAGACGCATGGGAAGACGCATGGGAAGACGGCCAGCTCCACAAAGAGTCTCAGGGTGCAATTATCCCATTCAGACACGGAACACAATCTTTTCCGCGCTTAGCTTACCGCTCTTCATATACTCGAAGCCGTCACCAAACGCATCGAGCCCTCCGGGAAGGAGCTTAATCGGATTGGGCTTCACCTTCCCTTGCTTCAACTGCGTTCATCGCTCAGCAACTCAGGGTAGCAGCCAATGAAAGGACGGCATGCTCACCAGCTCTGTTATCTTCGGCATCCATTCAGCCACTTGCAGGCGATCTTCGGGAACAGCGGGTATGTCCCAGCCCCAGTAGGTCCTGAAGGCGCGACCACCTACAGTATACAGAATGATACCTGTAGAGAAGCGTTTATGTTCATCCTAGGTGAGAACTCCTAGAGAACAATACACACCTTTAAGCTCGACGTCATTCCGTAGCGCTTGAGCGCTCTCATGCAAGAACGAGATCGTAATCAGCTTGCCGGGCGCTGGGCCGAAAGCCTTGAACGATGCTTGCTGGCCCTCCACCGTGCCGACTGTGTCCAATCCCAAGGAAAAGCTGTTACCCGTAATATCTTTGATTTTTGTAACGATATCAGGATCTCGATAGTCGATGACCGCGTTGGCGCCCATTGACTTGACCAGATCCCAGTTCTTAGGCGACGCAGTCGTCACGACGCGGTATCCGGATATGTGCGCAAGTTGGATCGCGTACAGACCAACCGACGTTGCTCCGGAGTAGATCAGAACCCATGGCGCATGCTCGGGGGGCACTTTGTCCGGATAACCCACCAAGTTCAGGTTCTTCGGGTGGAAAAGGGCCTGAACAGCTGTGAAGAACCTGTGGATGACTTACATATTAGCAAGTGCACGGAAGTTAGCCTTCGATACCACCACTCACCCCACACTCATAGTGGCGGCCTCTTCATAAGACACCTCGTCCGGAATGTGCCACGAAAGCGCATAGTCGTTCCTCAGGTACTCCGCGAACGCGCCTCTGTCCTTATACTGCGACCCGTGAATGAATCCAGAGACTCTGTCTCCAACGCGGAACCCTTCCGCGCCTTCCGCAACTTGCACGACATCCCCGGCAAAGTCGCAGCCAACGATGAGATCGGGCTCGTTGACGCCCTCGACATGCTTCCAGTCTGTCGGGTTCTGGGCGACGGCAACAACCCTGACCAGGATTTCGCCTGGGTCAGGTTTCGGTGTTGGGACTTCCTTCACGACTGCGGTGTGGCCTTCTGCGGTGACGACGGCGCGCATCATTGGCGGTATCGACGTAGACATGCTGCACAAATGGGGTGTCTGCTGTGGTTGCGCGTCGTGATGCCGATCACTTATATGTCCCGTTGCGTCATCGAAACCGCAAATGAGATGACTAACCACAGAGTTTTGGCTTAGTAAAGACAAGGATTGCGACCTTGACGCTGATGTTGAATGCAGTATGGGTATGGCGAACCGTGTGCGAAGGTTGAACGAGAACGGCGTATTTAGGGTAGCCTCGAAAGTTGATCGTGACAAAGCGCGACAGCCAGACGTGAATTTTGTGCAAGCTTTTTTTTCACATCTGAGGCAGGGAAGAACGCATACAGAGCGTATGTGGAAAAGTGTGGATGTCCCAGCCTAGGCCAGCAAAGCCCACACGCTACAGCCGAGGGTCGAGTATGTTCTATGAGGTCGCTGAGTCACCGGCGAGGAGGGAGGGGCACAAGACTGATCAAAGGGATGAGACTCGAACCAGTGTTGCGCGTCTTCAACTGCGGTCCAATGTGTATATCGGAGAGTGGTAGAGAAAGGCCAGTTGAGCAGCAGAGAATTCACGAGCGAGGACGTATGTTCACCCCTCTCTCTTGATGACAGTGACTCGCAGATGCGAGGTCAACTTTAATCGGGAAGACTGGACCATGACCGCAATCGCACCAAAAAACATATGAAGAGTGGGTGGGCCATTATACAAGCCGGGCGGATCGAGGTGAAGATGGTTGTCAGATCAAGGTGCACAGTGGCCTGTTTCATTCGAGGCAGGACGGTGTGATTACAGGTAAACGTCCTAGGCCAAATTAGCGAAGCCAACACGACTGTGACCAAGATCGAAAGCGGTGTAAACGTTGCGCATGAAGACATCGCCAACAATCCAAAAGGCTGCGGAAGATAGCCATCAGACGATGGCCATGTCAGGGGAATGTAGGGTACTCACAGGCGCCGATGTTCTGGCCGACGATGCCGCCGATGCATCTTGTCGATGTCATAGATTCGCGGCCGAGGTTGAAGGTGGAAGCGGAAAGATGGAATTGACGACCCCCGAATGTCAAGCTGACATCAGGAACATTGGCGCAAGGGAAGGCTGGGCGAACACGAATGTCAATGACATGATACAGGGGGCAAAAGGTGAAAAACTCACAGTAAAAGCCTTGTCCAAATTCATTGGCAGGCTGGGCACCGGGGATATTGCTGTAAAGTTGCTGAACCGCATGGGGTTCACCAATGATAAGGGTGGTGCCGGAGTCGATGATGACACTGGTCCCGCCGATCACTCGACCGCCATTAACGTTTACCCCGTCCATGTTAACCTGCCAGTAGCCTTGATACGTCACCGGGACATACGTGAACGAACCGGTGTACAGTGCATTGTTGACGCCGCCAATAGTGAGCTCGGAGCCAGACTGTGCAAGCTTGAACGCAAATACTGAGTCGCTCGTCTGACGCTGAGAGACAAGTGTTTGGAATAGAGGCGGTGCGCTGTAGACGGAAATGGACTGGAAGCCCATGCCCAGCAAGCCGTCCGCAGGAAATCGAGGGGACTGGAAGCCGCTGGAGTATTGAGTCGACGCGCCGAGCGTTTGCGCTGTCGCCTGCAGACCGGTGATCGACACCGAGTCTGTGTATTGTTCACCGGACACGGACGAACCGTCGCCATAGGAAAGTTTATAGGTCTTGTGAAGGTCTCGGGCAGTGCTGCTGTGGGATGGGTCGTAGACCTTGTGACCGGACTGATGACAAGATGTCAGACATATCGTCGTGGCCTCGACAACAAGTCACTTACGCATGTCTGGCCACACGAAGGACCTGCAAGGAAGAGGTCACTGCTTCCAGTGTCGAAGTCGACTGTGTATTGAACGGCAGGAGTACCCGCAGTGATCGCGCCATACCATAGAACGTTGTTGTTGTCGGTGAGCCCATCATGACCGACAGCGCGTTGGACGTTATGATGCTCTAGCATATCGGCAGGATGGCGTTGGCCCATGTTCTTCTCGTACGCGGACATGCCTCTGGCGATTTTCCTGAAGGAAATCGGAGCACCCGTGAGTGGAGAAGCATCAATGGAAAGAACGTCGCGACATACCCCATTGTCATCTGCATCTGACCTTCCAGATTTTTCAAGTTGACGACACCTTGTGCGTCCTGGAGCTCCCAGCGCCTTGCCAGGGGAATCGAAGTTGGCTGCTGTAACTGTTCCACAGGGATTGCCGAACCAGCGGCGAAGAAGGGCATGATGCTGATCAGGGCGATGAGACTGAGAGCGCTGTGCATTCTGAAATGTTGCCGATGCGAAGGTGGATGGTCGCGATTGATAGGTTTGGAAAGCGAATCGAGTAGCAGGGTTAGAGGCGTTTCAAAGCGAGGACAGCGTTTCTCGAAAACTGATTGGTTTGAAGGCTTGAGGGGTGGAGAGGATATTTGACTTGATGACCCGACCCTGTTGCAGGTGGTGGGGTTTATATGGACGAACGGCAGATGAATAGGAGAGGCAGGTATATCCGCGCGGGCTTGCGGATGTGCGATTGACTCTTGCGCAAGTGCGGAATGATCCATGGGCAGCGAATGTATCCGAACCCGCGTCCAGAATGGGTGAACCGGTGTGAAGCGGTCATGCGTGATCGGATCGAGGAGGAGGAGCAAGCCATCGGGAAAGCCCTCGCCTTTCCTTCGTTCATCCCGTCGTACCGGCCCACCGATCGTCTACCACAGGCAAGTAGATAGAGGGGTAGTTAGTATTATCCGGCGCGATCCCAATAACGGAACAGCCGGTTCCGAGGCCTCGCTTCCGCGAGCTGGGACAAGTTTCCTCCTTCCAGCTGGAACACAGTGGCCTCAACGTTTCCCATCGGCTCGTGTAGAGCTAACACACCGCCTGGGCCAAAGCGTGCATGCTGGTAGGTAGGGGCATCCCGCACGCCGAGCCGATGCTGACTGCACGAACGCCTCGTCAGCGAGAGCGCGATCCTAGAAACTAGTAAGGATGAGAGGACGAGGAACCTCGTATTTCATGACAGAACTCGCACCTGTTCCCGTCAATCATAGCATATGTCCTGAACGCACTCCATCTTCTTCCACCGTCGCGTTGACTCTTCGTGGTTAACTGGATGACTTCATCCTGTGAGGTGGTCCAGCATTCGTGGTCGTGACACCAAGTGGCTCTACCAGAGACACATAATGGGGCGCGTTCAATCCATGACAGTAAAGTGGATGCAAGGCAACTGCAGTTTGCTTGAGGGTTGGGAGCAGGCAAAGAGCGGATAGGCGCCTGCGCAGCCTCGTTTTGTCCATTATCGCTCGTCCGCGGACCACGTTGCGCCCAGCCCGGGACTCACTCAACCATATATCTTGACCCTTTCAGGCATCATTATTCGCATTGAATGTTCTGTTGACTGTATCAGCTTGATCCTTGGGAAACATACTCGACTACTTTACGTGCCGGACACGTACACCGACCAGATGACTTCCCGCAAGCTCCGTGTCGCGTTCATCCACCCGGACCTAGGGATCGGTGCGCAGGCATGCATAAGATATCGAAGGGTCTTAACTGCAAAGTATAGGCGGCGCGGAACGTCTCGTGGTCGACGCTGCCCTCGGCCTCCAGCGCCTTGGCCACTCCGTAGACATTTACACGTCGCACCACGACCCCTCTCACTGTTTCGAAGAGACACGCGACGGCACGTCTAGCTCTCATGTGTCTGCGTATCTCTGACTCACGAATGGACTCCTTAGGGACACTGCGAGTGCACCACATCAAGCCCCCCTTTCCGCGCTCCTACAAAGGCAAATTCCATATACTCCTTGCTCACGCACGCCAGCTGCACTTGACATGCTACCTTCTTTCGCGCTCCGCCCCAGTGTACGATGTCTACTTCGTTGATCAGCTGTCGACATGTGTACCCCTCCTCCGAGCGTTCGGCCATACTCGAGTATTGTTTTACTGCCACTTCCCGGATAAGTTGTTAGCGGATGGCGAGTACGTCGCAGGCAAGATCCGGAAGAAGAACAGCTTGCTTAAGAGAATATATCGGATGCCGATGGATATGCTGGAAGAGCTCACGACTCGTGCGTTCTCTTTCGAATCATCAGATGCACATGGCGGTCTGACCAACAAACATGAACGCAAACAGGACAAGCAGATGTGATCCTCGCCAACTCCAAATTCACCGCTTCGGTGTTCCGCGCACACTTCACGTCCATCCGCATCGATCCCAAGGTCGTATACCCCGGGATCAATATATCCGTCTATGAGACGGCATTTGATTCATCTGATCCAGATATACAATCGGTTGCTTCGTAGGTATTTGTGGTCCTTCACCACCGTGTTTTCACTGACGAAATTTCTGGGAAGATAGGGACCGACCGACTCTGCTATCCATCAACCGCTTCGAGAAAAAGAAGAACGCAGCGCTTGCAGTTGAAGCGTTTGCGCTGCTGCGGCGTAAGCCGGCATCGACGCCATCGTCGCCTTGCTCCAACCTACGACTCGTTCTCGCAGGTATATGGTTCCGTGGCATCAGCATAACACCTCAATCAATCACGCGTTGATATTCACAGGCGGTTACGATCCCCGCGTAGAGGACAATCTCCTTACGCTCGCAGGTCTCATCGACTTCGTCAAGTCGCGATCGCTTTCCTACGCCATCACAAAACCTGTTTCCTCTCCCGTGGCACTCCCACCCTTCAATACGGCCTCCTCCAACCCCGATGTTCTGTTCCTCCTCAACTTCGCCACCTCCCAGCGCTCCGCGCTGCTTACCGCGCCTTCCACGCTCGGATTACTGTACACGCCGACAAATGAACACTTCGGCATAGGCCCCGTGGAAGCGATGGTGTGCGGCCTGCCCGTTCTCGCGTGCGACAGCGGCGGGCCGACGGAAAGCGTGGTCGATCCCTCGTACCCCGGTTCCGGTACCGTGGGCGAGCGTACGGGCTGGCTTCGCAAGCCGGACCCGACAGTTTGGGCAGAAGCGCTGGAGGAGATCGTGTCTCTGCCGCCTGCCGAACGGGCGGCAATTGCCGAGCGCGCGAAAGCGCGGGTGAAGGATATGTTCAGTATGGAGGCGATGTCGAACAGGGTCGAGCAGGCACTAGGGGAGGCAGTTGCACTCGGCCCAGTTGGCGGACGATGGATTCTTTGGATGATGATAGCGATCCTGACGATTTTGTCGTCGTATGTTGCTGGGATCGCCGTTGGTCGAGCGCTGTAATCGCGCGGCCTTGCTTTTTTCTCGCACGGTACCGCTTCTACTCCAATACTAATAATGTATATCCCGACTGTCCTCGATGATACCGCGATTCTGACGTTCAAGGGAGAAAGGAAATTCAACCTGCTTGATTGACATCCGCCGACATAGACTCCGATGTCAGCAGAGACGTATCTGGATCTAGTGCGTCCTCCATGACCACATCCGCATCGTCCGCCGCCGTTTGGTCAGCATCAACAGCTGCATCTGCACCTTCCTCGTCCCCTTCCGCCTCATCTTGCACACTGGCCTTGGTCCGCGTTCTACCTCTACCACGGCCTCTCCCCCTCGCTCGTCCTCGCGGTCTTCCCCTAGTCTTTGCAGCAGGCACCGGTGTGGACCCTTCTGTATCCTCTTCTCCTTCTTCACGGTTGACATAATTGGGTTTGACAGTCGATGGCCGTCCCCTGCCACGACCTCTCCTAACCGCCCTCCCTCGTTTCACTGCGGCCACTCCGCGTCCCCGTGCTGCCAAAGCCGGCTCCGCATCCTGGTCCACGTCGTTCTCGCCGTCGTAGTACTCATTCCTCGCCGTCGTCCGCTCGCTGCGCATGTCGGCCGGGAACGCGGTGCTCTTCAACTCTTCGTTCCGCTCCGCCTCTTCCTTCAGCCAGTTCTCCAGATCCGGCGGCAGCTCCTGCATCTGCACGCTCGGCGCGCCCTGTATATACCGCAGCTTGTTTCGTATGCTGATGATTATCTTCTGCAGCGATTGCGGCGTGTTCATGTTGTCCACTCGACCAGTGAGCGGCGGGTGCAGCTTCCACTGCGAGTCGCGGAAGAACGAGTCGTATACCGTGCGCGGCAACTCGTCGGGAATCTCCGCGCCGACGAGGACAGAGGTCTCGTACGTCCAGCACCGGCTGACGTTTTTGATGTTGTATCCGCCGCCGCCCAGAACCAGCAATGGGACGTTGTACTTGCGCACAAAGTTGACGCACTCGCCGTGGGCAGCTATCGACAAGTTGAACGCGCCGAGACGGTCGCAGCCCAGAGAATCTGCACCGCATTGCAGGACAATGACGCTAGGTCGAAAAGCCGTGACGGTGTCGTCGACAACCGTCTTAAATATTTCCAGATACATTTCGTCGGTAATGCCGTCAGATAGGGGCACGTTGAGCGCGAAGTATTTCCCCAGTTCAGCTCCGTTGTCGTCCAGTTTCCCGGTGGCTGGGAAGAAGTCACCGTTGTACTTGTGGAACGAGAGCGTCATGACGCGGTTCGTGTGGTAGAACGCTAGTTCAACACCGTCTCCGTGGTGAATGTCGATATCGATGTACAGAACCCTGGGGTGATACCTGAACCTCATATCAGAGAGACAGTTTATCACTACCCCCGGATCGGCAACTTACTTCAGGATCTCCAAAATGGCAAGCACGATGTCATTAACGTAGCAAAAGCCACTCGCCTCGCCTCGTTTAGCATGGTGCAGTCCTCCTGACCAGTTTATGGCGATGTCCGTCGTGCCTGCGCAGAGTTTTCTCGCAGCGGCTAGCGAGGAACCGGCATACATACGACAGAAGTCGTACATCTCCGCAAATATCGGGCAATCCTCTGTGCAGTTGTGATTTTCTATGAGGTGCTTCATATTATTCTGGTTCTGATTCTGCGGAGTCACTCTGTCGTCTGTCAGCACGGACTCTGCACCTTCGATGCATCCGCTCCCACCTTGACAGAAAATCAATATAATCTGGATCGTGATATCCCAAGAGTTCTTCTCGGGAGGCTCGCGGGGGGTTATATATATTGTGTATCTGTTTATCTAGGCCGTAACCCAGCACGAGCTCGTTGGTCAAGGTTAACCGATGAGGTTTCATCGGATGACGGTCCTGAGTGCGGCGTCAGTATGGTGAAGAATCCCGTGTGAGTGCCGGAATCACCCCATAATGGTGTTCGCCGACACCCTTTGGGAAGTAGTACGACACTATCGGTCTCGAATGTGGCTAACCACGTTCACGTTAGTTGATCGTGCGCGAGCGTAGGTTCAACATTGAATGGAGCGCCTACGTTGATTCTTTCCGTGATTGGCTGTGCAACACCGTTGGAACCTCTGTCGTCAAAGTACGCAGAGGCCGAAAAGGTTGTGGATTGGGACGCGCGAACCATAGTTAGTGCGCCGACCTCGTAAACGCGAATAATGTGGAGGTTGCGTTACTTGAAGCGGAGCCCAGAAATGTACTAAAAATGGCTAAAGCGCGGTCCTGATGATGTGGCTGTTTCAAAAGCCTATCGGATAGTATACGCTGCAGCGTATCCCGTGTGTTTAGCACTGAAGGTGACGGCAGGCTCTGTGCTTTCCAGTCAGGGGTAAGTTTGAGAAGGAACTCGAAAAGGAGTTCGCGTCAGCCACGATATGGGAACCCGACTCGTTTTCACTCTCCGACCACCAGACCACCGCCTTTCTCCTTCTGCCCTAGTGCGAACCGATACCGAGTGGACGATGGGATTGCCCTGATAGCTTAGAGGGTCAATCTGCGTCAGACTTGTTTGACGATTTGGATGCTGTGATAAGCACGTCCAATCGCACGTTAGCTCGAATTCGCCGACCCTGGATCACGCTCGCACCGAACTCGCAACCCCTACCACGAGACCTCTACGAACAAGCTTGTCTGACAACACATGGGTTGCAGACTACGCTCTGGTATGCCCCGCTGGGGTCTCGAAGGGACCTGGATGGCTCGTAACTACCGACTACTCACGGCCGACTGTCTGTTTCGGCGAGGATTAGACACGACCCGTTGTCTTCCCACCGGTCCAAAACTTGCCGTGTGTGGACACGATCTGGCGCGATGGCGGCCCTTCTTGCAGTCCGATCGGAGGCCGACGTCAGCACTAGTGGTAACCACTGGAGCGGGTTTGCAATCGGGCATGGCTTAGCAGTAGGTCCCGGTCTGAGAAACGTTACCACGAGGCACCTGCCGTATATATATTGCTGTGGCTCGTTTGGTGAAGGAGTTCTCGACTGCGATAACGTTCCGCTCCTGCTGCACCTGAGTTGGACTCGCGCTTGACTATCCGCTTGCATGTCCCAACACCTGGTCTTCACCACAACAAGCATCCGTAACGTTGTCATCGCTACGAAGAGCGACAGCATCTACTACGAGGTCACTACTCCTGAATGGGAGAGGCATCTTACACGCATCCGAAGACTAGACCCGCTTACGAAACAATACTCAATCGTCGCTGAAATTCTTAACGAGGATGATAATCCAGCTGCCGTGCACATGTACGGGCGAGAGCTGATACCCGCCGATGACTTTCTACGACGGGATGAAAAAGCGTAAGCCGTCATTGGCCGCACCTCTTCAAATGGCTTACGTCCTCCCTAGAGTCGGTGTATTCAGAGGAAAGGACGGCAGAACTTACACATGGACTGTGAAGGATGATCACCTGGAGGTACGTTCCAGTGACATTGGCTTCTTGCTTCCTCATCCGCGCTGAAATCCGACATCGAACAGCTTTTGCGAAACGATATTTCTGAATACCACCCATTGGCGGTATATCATAAGCATCGCCGGTTCATGCATGTTCTCCGGGTGTCGGAGCATCCGTATCTGGAAGTTGATCCCATCGCGCTTGATACCCTAGACAGCCTCATTAGTACGTGTCCGATTCGCCGTTACAGTAGCTTGGCGGACGCTGACCATTCCACAAGTCACATTCCTTCTCGCCGAGAGGAAAAGACGCCTGGGAAAGTGAATACGAGGAGAACGCACTACCATACACGGATTTTCCGAAGGACTTCTTTCTCCATAATTGACTCATAGAGCATGATCTGGACATTCACCTTACAACTTGGCGCAGCGCGTCTGCTTCTTCGATTTTAATTATATTGTAAGAATTCATGGGATTCCGTCTTCTCGGATGTATGTCAAGTATGATTGGCCATGATAGCGAACATGGACGCTTAGGAGGGCGCATTGCTGCGCCTACGAGGTCACTCCTGAACCAATTTCCTCCTATGTTGTGCAAGGAGTGGGATTGGCTTCTCAGCTCAAGATACAAGAATTGCGCAGCAGAATGTACTCCAGTGGAAGCCTATGCAAATCTTAGGGACAGTCATGGGGCGATAATCTCCGCAGCCGGTGGAGCGATCAGTTTATGGAGATGCTGTACTTCGTGGTTGTGAGGGTTGCCGAGCCTACGAACACCCCCGATCAGATTCCATCCTACGAACACATGGCAGTACTTACCGACGAAAGGTTCGGTGCCGGCCTGCGCCTGCACAAGGAACTGGGAAGAAGGCACTCCCTGATTCGCAGTTAGGAATGCTGGAACTGTGATTCAATGTCCACTTCTAACAGCGTCGGGGGGCGGACGCACTGAAGAATGGCTTGAGATCCGAGTTGAAGTCTGTTATTTCCGTGGGTGCGACGAAGGAGAAGACGGTCCAAGTCGACACGGTTCCCTTGAAAAGCTTCCACGTGACCCCATTCACGCTTCGATACAGATGAATGAGCGGGCCAGCTACTTTCAATCACAACTATTCACCTTGCAGTCCCAATCTGAGAACCAGCCGGACCGGCTCTGTGCAGTGATTTCATGAGCAGTTTTTTTCGAACGTAACAAAACAACCCACTCACCCTCCACGAGCGCTCAACCATACCATCACTTCGAAGGTGCTGGTGGACGAGGCTAGGTTGTTCGATGAGCAGAGTTTCAGGCGAGTCGAAGCAAAATACTACCTCCGCTCGAGTTAGCAACGTTCGAAAGCCACAGATCATAGCTAACATCGGCGACCTGCAAAAGTGATCATGACATCGTTGTTCGTCAACGTTATCGCGATGGATGATACCCACCAAGTCAGATGAAGCTGAGGTATAGGTCCAATCCCACGTCGTCGGAATGGACGTGATCGACGACAGAGACTTGCCTATGCCAACCCTCAGATCAAGGTTGGCGTCTAAGGCGCACGTTAGCCGTCGTAAACATCGTGTCATATCATGGCACAACGTACAGCTCTTTACTTGGAATGGTCCGCCCGCCCAGGTGTACGTAGTGTGCCACGATATGGTATCCCCACTGGTTGCTGTCACCTGAGACGTCTGAGAGCCTAAAGCGCGTTCAATCGGTACAGCAACGTCATTCATGCTCCTACAGGCTTACCGCTGGTGGCTGCAGACTCTCCCCACAAGTTATTCTCCAGAACGAACCGCCTTTGACTCTGGATTGCATCATGTCCCGCGTTCTAGACGAGTCTTGACTTACCCGCCATCCTGTCATTTGTAGAGTCAGCACCACGTCATGAGGCAGGAAAACAGGGTTCAAGACGGACCTCAGACTCCGAATCAAATTGCCCCGTCAACACGGCTCCGCGTTTCTGGAGCGAGCTGCCGTCGTAGGGTATCAGAGGTGATGCGAGGGATAGAGCAGCAAGTGCCAATGAGACAGCCACGATGAAAGCTTTCATGATGGTTGGTCGAAGAGTGGACGAGGTAGTCCGTCGACTAACGATCACTCCCTACGTTCCCGCATTTATGCCCGCGCGCAAGCATCATCCGGACCGCTATAATGATGCCGTCTCCATCTTCTGGAGGTCATGTTACATGGCAAGATGAGACGAGGGACCCAGATGGTGTCGTGGACGGTGCCTTTGACGGAGCTGCACCAATATAGAAACGGTATTTCTTCCTTCTCGCCATATAAGGCGCGTGAGCTCACCGGATTGTCCTGCGTGCTCGTCGTGCATGCGGGCGGCAGGGAACAACTGACAGGCAAGACGCAGCAATTTCACAGATGTCTAGCAAGAAGTCAGCTAAAATGGATTCGACGCGAGAAATAAGGACGCACATGACGACCGGGGCAGAGCGTACGCACCGGAACAAAACCATGCGCAACCTTCTTTTCCCAGGCTCGGCACGCGGACACTCCCAAGGGTAACCGGCACGTCTGGCCTTAGATTCCCTGTACGGTAGAGTCGCCCTTCGTGCTCGTTGTAAAGGTCTCATGGACGAGGAAATCCGCTGCACTACCGCGTTTACCTCAATGCTGAGGCGGCCGCGGCAGGTATGGGTACGGACAAAGAGCAAGGAGTGATAGCATTCAACAGCAGCCATGTTCGTACACTTCGGGCGTTACATCGACAAGTACCTGACCGATGGCGTGAGCGACGAAACAAGGCAAAAGCGAGAATATACAAACCTACTCTAGTTTTTGCGGTCTCCACCCGTCATCTCGTGCATCTTGTACGAGAAAATTGTACCAAAACAGAGCTATAGGTGCCGTCGCGAGGTGCCATAGCGAGTGGGCATCGATGACGCGTCCCCAAGGAGGGAAGTCAAATAGCTCGAGTCCGGTGGCTGCAGTAGTGAAAATAACGAACACAGCTGCCTTGCCCGTGAAAGAAGGTCTGTACGATCTCTCGCGGTAAGGGAATCTTCTGAACGTGGAGAGTATCGCCGGCATGGAATAGAGCAGCCAAAGCAGGTTGTGGGCCATCCCGACTACTAGGTTAAAAATAATGTTGTAGGTGTAGTCGAAGCGGGGGAGAATGGAGAGGTAGGTTACGTGACCTAGGAAGGCCAGGACGCATGTCCACTTCCAGACGAGGTGCGCAATGGGGTGAGGGGATTCCGGGTTTGAAGTGAGGGTCAGGCGGTTGCGCGGTTCAGAAGGATACAGGTGGAAAACACGGATGACGATGATGTATAGTGCATACAAGATAGCGAGGGCCGCGGAGAAATAGTCGAGTTTTTCGGTGAGGGGAAGATCTAATCAATCGTCAGAGAAGGAGTTGGAGCGGGACAAGGGGCTAATACTCACCTCGCGTATGGAATACAGAAGACCAAACCCATGCATTTATGCTCACCAGCGACCAATACAAATAATATCTTCTCATTGGATGCGATTCACGGACGTATCTCTGGATCTTCCGCGTCCCTCGAGCATGTGCCCAGAGGTTTAGCAACGAGAACGCCACCGATGCCGGCTCCTGCATACCGGCAAAGCGCCAGAAGGGCCATTTCCCGTAGTACTGCTCGACGGGGCGGTGGTTGGCAATCGCGTCGTCAGTCAGCTGGTGCATGCATGAATATTTGCATTCGTCAACGCATGTCCATCGCGTTAGCCTGAGCGGTAACGAAAGGGGTGTCGCTCCTTCTATGCATAGCTTCGATTGGCAGGCACCGTTGCAATCGTGATACTCCTTTGAGCGATCTCCAGAGGAAGCCCAAGCCAGAGATGGCAGAAGGAGCAAGACAACGTATCCAGGGCTTGCACGCATCGGAGTTTGGTGGACTAAACGCGGTGGTAGTAGGTGAAGTGATGCTAGCAAGCCGGGATGTACAAGTTCTAGAGGCCCGATGTGTAGGCCATGTAGAGGTACAAAAGTCCGTCGCCGTCAGTGTTGGCAAGGGTGAAGTCGCCGCGAACGCGTTGTGGTGGTGGTTGTCGTCACGGTCAACGCAGTCGCACGACTCCGACTTCGTTTCTTCCATCTTTAGGTGCGCCCCGCCACACCGGAGCTCTGCTGGCTTCGCATGCTCATGTACTTCGATATGTAGGCTGCGCGAGAATGGCCTTGTCTACGCTACCGACAGAGATCTGGCACCATATCCTCGCCGTCGCGACAGCCGTTCCAGGGGCCCTGGACGTTGGCCCTCGCGATCCTTTCCACGCACCGCCGCGTCTACCGTTCTTTGATGAGCAGAATGCCTTACAGGACTCGCTGAAGATAAAGGGCTCATTATCGAGGGTTTGCAAAGTTTGGAGGGCGTTGGTCGAGCCGTACCTTTACGAGGCTATCGTAATTGGCCCCCGCGGAGCGAGTACATTGCCGTCTCTAGCTGCTGCGCTACTCAAATCCAAGAAACAAGCAGAACAGCGTGCATCCTCTGAAACCTGCCCCTTGGGCAACTGGACGAGACGTCTGGATTTGCGAATGCACGAGCATCGTGCTATCGAACTCGGCTCACTTGCCAGTGTCGTTGGATGTCTGCCCAACCTCAGTATCTTGGCAGTATACGTGACAGAACCCATCTATGCCCACGTACAAATGCCTCGCAATGTGGTAGAGGCCCTCATACAGACATGCGCGTCGTCCCTTCAGATCATCCACTGCTGCAGCGACCGTCTTCATTTCTCGCGGGCGGATTGGAAGGAGCTGCTCGCTGCGTCACCATCGCTACGGCATATACACCACGAGACATTCGCACCTCCAACCTTGCGAGAGGACGCTCAATCAATCACACTACGATCCTCGTGGGCCGAACCGCCCGCCAACTGGGTGCACATAGCGTCATCATTCAAGGACCTCCACTATTTGCGATACATTAGCGCGTACGAGGACGATCTATCCCTGCGCACGGCGCTCCTTCTATTCGGTCGCTCCTTGCGCATCCTAGAGCTTGATCGCTACTCAAACGCCACATCATCCAATCCCGTTTTCGGGCTTCAGAACGTGTCTGATTTGTGCCCTGCTCTGGAGAAGCTGACGCTGCAATTCCTGGCTTGGGAGGAAACGGCGGAGCTTGAACGCCTTCCAAAGACCGTCACACACCTCGGCGTTCGCTGCTACTCCTGGTCGACGACCGGGGAGCAATACGCCGACCTGTTTGAGACTCTAAGATACGTTGATGCCGAATCGTTGCGTGAAATATGGTTCCTTGACGATGCCCGATCTTACGATCTACGGGTCCGCTATCCGGGAGCGCTTCGGGTAGGCTTGGGGGTATGCGAAGAACGCACTTGGGAGTTGAAGGATTCTGTTGGAAACCCCTTCACGTTGGGCGATATCAGAATACATCACTAACGTCAGTTCTATCGCTCTGTCATTCAGCCGCGGCTAGCATACTTACAGGCTCCGTAGACTCAGGTCCGCGGTAGGCTTGCGTCGATTCTCCGTCTGCCGCTCCATGCACCTGCTTCGGTACCAGCGGCTCTGCCACATGTGGTGCATCATACATCAGCTGCGGAATGGTACACATACAATGCAGTTCTTCTGCACGGCTTCTCTTATGATACTCAGTTGATTCTGAAGGACTAACATTTTTTATCAATGCCATACTTCGCTTCGAGACCTACCTACCTTTGTTCAAGCATACGTGAAAGGAAATGAATGTGGTTTGACGCTCTCCTTGGAAGGCTGCGTAAAGGCTGCGTATTGGACATCATAATACATTGGCCTCCTGCGTGCACGTGCCAACGCAACTTGCATTCTGCCACCCCCAGGTGAGTTCTGTTAGTTGCATCACTACTGCACACGGCCGTTGATTTGAGATATCTGTACCAAGAAACGGTTTTGTTCCATAAATCATGACGTCCTCGGAAACCCTATCGGGGGGCTGGTGGAAACCGGCGCCGAAGCCGTTACCCCAACTTCCCCCCGAAATTTGGCAGCACATCTTCCAATGGGCCACTTGTGTCCCTGGTGCACTCGACAGCGGTCTCGTCGACCCTTTCAGATGTTCTGGCTTTGCTTCTCGGGCAGAGGAACACAAGCTGCTTCGTCATTCGTTAGTCACCAAGCGCTACCTCGTTCGGGTTTGCAAGGCCTGGCACACCCTAGCGACTCGCTATCTGTACGAGATCGTGATCATAGGGCGTTGTAAGATCATGCCGTCGTTAGCGGAAACTCTTTCGAGGTCCAAAAGACAGAGCAATATCAGCACGGGAGGCACGCCTTTAGGTTGGTGGACGAGAAGACTCGATCTGGCAATGCGGGACCCTCGCGTTCCGGAAGAGGGTGAAGATCTCGGTATCATCATCAGTTGCCTTCCCAATCTGGGCGTACTCGTCAGTAGACCAATCCACTCCACCTACGGCGGTACCACCATACCGAAGCCTGCCGTCAAGGCACTCGTTGATGTCTGTTCGCCCTCCATTAGGGCTCTTCGCATGTATGCGGCACAATCATTCCACGACGGTGATTGGGAATCAATCTACGACATGTGTACCTTACTGGACGCAGTTGATTCCTACGGGTCGAAGCCTCCTAGACTTCCAGAGAATGCACGATCTGTGACCGTGCGCGTAGCGTGGCTAATTGTGGAGCCCGTCCTTGCTATTCCCAACAATCTCGAGGAGCTTCGGTACATATTCCGGAACCATGCGCCGCTAGCGGCGGAATTGAACTTGATCCTGTCAACGTCTGCGGCGAAATCGCTGAAAAGCCTTCATCTCGAGTTTGACACAACATTCACTGGTGCCCACCCGGACGGAGCTATCAAGGAGAAGATCCTCAGCTGCCCAAACCTCACTCAACTGGTACTCAAGCTATATAACCTCGACAGTTTCACCAGTTTCCCGTTCTTGCCTTCGACAATCACCCACCTGGGCATCCAGCCCCTGAGAAAGCAGCCGTCATGCCGACAAATCCGTTCCTTCTTCGCTGCGCTCGCCGCTCATGATGTGCCTGAACTCAGAACGATCAGGTTTACCGACCGCGCAACCTGTGACAATATACGCGCAATTTGCGCTGATGGTTTTCGTCCTCTGAGGTCCGTGTTGCGTCTCATTCAGCAGAGAGATTGGCGGGTAGAGGATCGGGAAGGTCGCCCGGTGCTGTTAGCGTGACTTGCGCAATTATCGGTATAAATAAACCGTCGGAGAATAGAGCGGAAATGGAAAAATGTAGCAGTATTACGAGGTCAAGTCGTGAGAACATGATAACTCAATTGATTAATGACCTGATCGCGGTGGCCATCGACTCATCCTTTCCCCGTACCACGATCCTCACCGACTCTACGACAGAACTCAGTTGGTCATGGCACCCAAGGGAGGAAATGCGAAGAAGGAGAGTGGCCGTGCGAAAAAGGCTGAGAATGAGGCAAACAAGAGGGCTGCCGCCGCAGCGGAGGCGGTCAGTGGCACCGACGACATCCAGGTAACATCTATTGACCCTGTGGTACGTTCAGGAGCGCAAAGAAGCGAATGAATGGGCAGATGGTGCAAAAGGCGTCAACAAGAAGAAAGCCGACGCAGAGGCCAAACGCCAAGCAGATTTAGCGCGCAAGGCCGAGAAGGCCAAGTTGCTCGCAGAGGAAGAAGCAAGTGCGCCTTCCAAGCCGAAGGCAGCGCCAAAGGCGGGCGCAAAGAAGGCGGCGCCAAAGCCTGCTGGTCCTGGTGCGATCGCCGCTGGCGGTGGGCTCGGTGTCGCTGAGCCCAAGGCGAAGGAAGAGCCTGAGGTCCTGGCCGCCACCGGCATCGACAATGCGATCGACCTGTTGGAGGTGGTCACGGCTAAGATGGACAAGGCTAGCGTGGGCTCTCAGGCTGCGAAGATCGAGCAACACCCCGAAAGGCGGTTCAAGGTATGTTCGATGTGCCTCGATTCACCGCACTATACCCATCCTCGTTCCAGGCTGCCTTTGAAGCATACAAGGAACGAGAACTTCCCGTCCTTAGGTCCGAGCAGCCAGGCCTGCGTCTACAGCAGTATCAAGATCTGCTTTATAAGAGATTCCAGAAGAGCCCCGAGAATCCGTACGTTGCAAAGAATTTCCCGCCCTCTGTCGGACTGACAGCTGGATTCATTCCTAGATTCAACCAAGTTACGGTCTCTTACGATGCTTCCAAGGACGACAAGGTTGCAGCGCTGAAGAAGAAGCAAGACGAGGTTACTTCTCGCCTGCGTCTGTAAGGCAGGCCAACTCTGCCTCACATTTATCACGCTGGGCGAGTGTCCCTCCCGTCCGCGCCGGCCATGCAATATCACGACAGGTACGATTTCGCCACAGATCTATATTTGGCGAGCCGCGCAGTACTAACGCTCAATCAGGCCTTGGATCCATATTTATGGTTTCGATAGACACTGACCCCGGTCACGGAGCTGGCCGGGATCATCGGACGCCAATCAAGAGGTGGGAGGTGGGCAAGCCCCAAAGGGGACGAGCATCAAGCGCGTGGATTCGGCCTAGGTTCGAAAACGACCAGGCTTGGTGGCAGATAGAGTTCCCTTGTATGCAGACGGTTCCGCGGTGAATCCAGAATATGTACCAAATTCGCCGAGGGTGAACATATGGAAAATCTCGGGCACAATTTGAATATAGTGGCGCAGTGCAAGTCTACGTGCAACGATACGCACCGGGATACTAATCACATCCGATTATAAGGTACATATGATCAAGGAAAATTAGTACAGTTCACCGAAGGGTTCCAAGGCCGCCTATCAGTATGCGATGCTAACGACCTTGTTATCCCACTTCTCCCAGTCTTTGATGACGTCCTCAGCTACAAAACGAGCGACGTCCTGCCTTGATATCGTGGTGAAGCCCTTGCCATGGTCGCCGACGGATGTACGGTACTTCCCAGTGCACGCGCCGTCTGTTAGAAGCGCGGGCCGCACGACCACGGTGCTCGCGATGGCGCCTGTTGGGGGTAGATCGTTCTTCCACGAACCATCGGATGAGAGGATATGGGAGACGGGCTCCTCGTCCGTCCAGGGCGTGCCGGTGGCTTGTGCGAGCACACGCTCCATGCCGAGCTTGTCTTCGTGCGGGGACCGGAGGAGGTAGCCGTACATGGGACGAATGGTCCACGGGAGGTTCTTGTGCGAGGTCTCGGTGACGCCGGTCGAGGAGATGATGGCACCTTTGAGCTTTGGTGGGGACTGCGAAGGAGCGGCACGAAGGATGTTGGCGAGGGATCGCGTGCAGAGGTCGGGAGGAGTGATGACGGCGCCGTTGCAGATGTTGAATGTGGTAGTTCCGCCTGTTTAGAGGATGCGGGTCAGCAAACTGCGAACTGTGCCGCAACGATGGAAGAGCTAACCGAGGGTGAAGAGGAGCAAGTCGACGTCGGTACCGCCTGCCGCCTGCCAACCCGCGCGGACCTCTTCTTGGTTCAGGGCGTCGCCTTTCACAAGCTTTGCTTTGCCGGAGGCGACAAAGCTTTGGATTGTCTCGTCGTCGTCAAAGCAGGTGGGCGAACGTAGCAGAAATGTCACGGTGTTCCCTGCGTCTGTCGTAGGGTATGAGTGCGATGTCGGGCTGGAGGCGAGGTTGCACCTACTCAAGAGTCAAGAGACGGATAGCGGCATGGTATACAATGTTACGCGAACCGCCGACACAGAAAACGTTCATGATAGAACAGCTCGTCAATTGAGGGCTTGCAGGGGGTGTTGTGGAGGCACCGGGATCGATTAATGGAGAACGTCGGGCATCCTCGCGCTTTTATACGCCAAGACCACTCATGCGCGATAGCCATATCGTCCGCGGTCTTCATAAGCGTCGTCGTCGATCATACACGTAGTAGGGAGGTGCTGCCGAATACCCACTGCGGGTCGCAGTGCATGATGTTACCTTACGAGACGATGTCGCCCTCACCGGAAGATTTTGGACTGCGGAAGCCTGTCCGTCTCGTTCGGACGCCTGCACCACGAGCGACCTCAGAAACGAGTATCACCTGGGGGCGGTACACGAAGCACCAGAACGTGCTGCGCCGTGCAGCGGGCGCGCGCAGTCGTGCGCCTGCCAATCCAAAACTCCAGCGTTCGACGCATTTCCTCCTCGTCTAGACGAACTTCCTCCCACCAGCGCAGCGCCCTCGAATATCGGTCTGGTCATCCAAACTTCCAGCCTCGGCTAAGCGCGCCGCAGGCAGACTCACCGACTCAGTCGGGCCTCGGAGGAAATGCCGGGCGGGGGGGTAGGTGGATTGACGAGTGGTAGGTCTGCAGCTGGGTGGGTTTGCAGTTTGGTGACATGGATTGCTCGTAGAGGACCACAGCTTACCGCTATGCTGTCGGAATCTCCGCCTATGACATCGAGGTTTGGTGCGAAGTCGACGGCTGCGCGTGCGCAATAAATTGGGAACATCTCAGGTTGGGGCCAGGGGAACACACGCATAAGTGTACGGGTCGTGATTGGCTCTAGAGCTATTCAGACCTATATAGAGGCATAGCATAGATACTGTGCCCAATTGCTCGGGGAAGAGGACCTTATGGATGCGCAAGATGCAGAACCAGTACCATTAGGTAGTAAAGTAAGTAAGTAATACTATGTGGCCCATCGCAAACCCGCGTACCGGGCAAACTGAACGCGTCTGGTCGCGTCGCAACCCACGTGACACAAGGTGACACCGCGTTTCTCACACCGACGTCGACAACCAGACAACCATAAATTTGGATTCTTCTGAATCCATATGCGCTAGACGTATAGTGCATCGCGTTTCACTTCTGCATATGCAAGAATATCACACTCAGGACATTTCCTCGAAAACCAGCACGACCTTGAGAAAGAGCCAACAACAATGCCACGCGTCGCGATTCCACCCCGGCCTGTCTGATGGACGAAAGGTCCGAACAGAACCAGTCCGTGCCTGTAGGTGCAAGCGCTGAAGCTCAAGTATTAGGATCCGATTGGCATTTTGTAGCTACGACGCAACTTAATCCAGATGTGATGCAAGAATCTACAAGTGTTCTTCGTTGCTTCTCTGGTTGCAGCGTCTGATTGCCTTGGATTGGCCATATGCCTTCGAAACCTCGGGTTATTTTCGATCACGCGGATACTCCCTTCCGCTGTGCTCTGAAGGCTGCCGGCCCGCTTTGACTCTGGTGTGCGAGCACCGTAGGACGAGAAGGTGTAGGCGGAAGGCGGACGATGCTTGTTTTCAGCGCCAAGACTATTGCTATGTCCACGGGCTCTGTCACCAGGCGTAGCGGCCTTGATGAGGCGGCGCTTCCGAGGTGTAATACTTTTCCGAATGGACTATCTCTCGGTTGCTGTCACGGAAGAATCGTTCGGTGGCAAATCCGCGTTCCGCGTACAAAGGATCGAGCAACGGTCCATTGTGCGCCGGTTTAGCCACGCTGTGCGGTCTCGTTATCACGACGTGGTCCTCTCTCGTCTATGGCGTTGGTTTGTTTGGAGTCTTTGTGTCCTCCGCTTTCGGCTTCGGGGCCACTCAGTCCGGAGACTATCTGACCGTGGACACCAGTGGAGGTGAGTCCTGCGACTGGTAATCGAAGAACAAAACCATAAACACGACACTATTAGGGCTTGTGTTTACCGGTGCGCGGCACTGGATATCTGAATGTACTTATCCACGAGTCTCAAGTCACATCTTTCAGTGCACATGACGTGAACGCATGACCAGCGCGTCATGGATCCTCTGATCTCCAGCTACTCGCTTCAGCAATGGCGACATAACATCCCTGAAGTTCAATGGAGTGGAGGTATGCTGCCTTTTCCAGAGAAAGGCGAATGCTGCTGATATCCGTCTCGCAATTCAGGCACAGGACTCAAGCAAATTCAGTCAGATTGTACGCCAGCATTCCCTGACACCTCGCCAAATTGCTGTTGATGTCGGCCACAGAGCTCAGGACTAGGCAGCGCGTCTTGCTCCTGGGTGCGCACCGGCAACGACGACAATTACATCTTGATCACCTGTACCACAAGCACGTTAACGCAGTAAGTCGCTCGAGAGTTCGGCGCCTCCGATGATCTCATGTCTTCCTACAGATACTATGGTATGCGCACCACTATCGTCACTCAAAGATTGTGCCTCAGTCTTGACCCCTCTAGTCGCAAGGTACAAAGATCCAGCAGTTCATATGGCGACCTAGTATGTTGGCACATCTGGCCATGTATCGCATTGCTCTAATCATACATCCAGTACCACCGCGGAGCCCAGCGTTGGGGAACTTCGTTTCATTGCTCGCCTCAACAAGGATGTTTTGTACAGCGGATACACCGTCTCAGACGTCGAGGACGGCACTGCAATCGAAGGCAGCGATGTCTTCCTGGTCGATGGACAGACTCGGTCGAAGTGTTCGTTCAAATCGATTGCATTAACATTCACCCGAAACTGATATTGTGCACCGTTCGCAGTCTATTCATCCAGACAATTCATCGACGATAGCATCCATGGTGTCACCGGAAGTAGCATTGGTGCGCAATGCCTTGTCCTCTCATGATCCAGGACGGCTCGATATCGAACCACGCATAGGTGCCTACATGATCGTCACTACGACTGGATACGAATCGAGCTCCGGTGGACCATTCTTCCGGTAAACAGTCTTCTTAACGTGAACTCTCGAAATGATACTTACTGTCGAGCTCAACAGTGACATCGATAACCAAGGATGTGAGCCAGCATTGCTTTGCCTCCGCTGACAGCCACTTACGATGATCCCAATCAGCGTCTCAGCAGGAACTGTACTTCTGTAAGACGTCCATCTTCTATACGCGTTGACACGATGCTGACATCATTTTCTCGATGCAGATATGGTCAGCAGTGAAGCAGACATGTCATCTTCGTCGCTGACATGACGTATCACCAGAATTCTGGTCACACCCAGACGGAGTCGTACCGTCAAGGTCTCCACGGTCCTTATGCGCTCTGGGTACATACTGCCCCTCCGTTGATTCCTTGCGTGAAACTAATGGGCAAAACCAGTTCACGACGGGTTCGGCACCTTCGTCCTCTATCGGTGAGTTCGGCACCTTTGTTTCCAAGGTCCGTCTGAGCTCACCCGATTCCCGTTAGATACCACCTTCTGGGAAGCTTTGGGCATTTCCGGCTACGTCGCCAAGGCGGCACGCGGTTACGTGATCGGCAAAGCCATTGATGTCCCCTCTGCTTTCGCGAGCCTTGTCAGCGTCGGCTGGAGCAACTCGGAGGCACAATACTGGGCTCGTGCGGATTCGAGCACCCAGGACTTCTCCTCGCCTCCGATGAAGCCAGGAACTTTTACGATGACCTGTCAGTGTTCCCTGCCATACCTGCACGACGGCGTCTAACCCTTAATACATATATGCAGTGTACAAAACCGAGCTGGCTGTGGGATCACAGTCCGTATCTGTGTCTGCTGGTAGCACGACAACTTCCAACATCCACTCAACCGCCGATGTGAAATCTTTAGCGCCTATGATTTTTTTAAAGAAAAGTTATGAACCTGTGCATCGCTAGCCGACGCCGTCCAGCCCCATCTGGCAGATTGGCGACTTCGATGGTACCCCCAGAGGTTTCTTGAACGCAGAGTAAGTCCAATCGTAGACCAATCTGACGATTCTCTGATGATATTACACTACAGTATGATTGAGACAATGCAGTGAGTTGACACCATAGATGCATTAGCCGCTTGCCCTGACGTTCGGCCACCAGCCCATCGGACTCCCGTATGCATGATTGGTTGAGGACCTACACTGTCGGTCAACAGGATATCGGCTATTTCCCCATGGCCGTATTCAAGGTCGGTCATGGCGATTTCTCTGTTGGCGGGTCGGACGATTGACGACCTTGGTCCAGGACGTTGGGCCCGTCACGGTTCGCTTCGCTCTCGCATCTGGTCAAGGTGGGGCACGCACCTTGGTCATCGGCACGACGCTGGCCTTCGCTGGCGGTCGTCCTTCGGTGACCATCAATGGCTGGAGTGGTCCCGCCCCGGCGGCGCCCTCCCAGCCCGACAGCCGAGGTGTCACAAGAGGTACCTGGAGAGGCAACGTGAGTGACTAATGTACGCTCATGCGATGTCAATGTCTGACGCTTTCATGTAGAATATCCTCTACACCGTTAGCATTCGTGCGTATATCAGGCTTGCAGATGCATCGCCGGTATCAACTGAGACGATTACCAGCTTCTGGCACGCTTTACACCGGATCGACTGTGAACGTCCTGACGATCTACGCCATCTCGGGCTCATCTGGCACCGACTATTTGTACGTCCTTGCTACGCTTGCATCACCATAAACCTAACCCATCGAATGTTAGGTCACCCAACTTCGTTGTAGATGCTCTCGCTCTTTACTAGTTTAGTGCTTGCCGTTGTGTTTGGGACCCATTGTTAAGTACTTCCGTGACCTGTGTGAAAATGGCGGGTTTTCTCCTTGCGTTGTATGCCTGCTGCGAGGATTGGGTCTGCTAGCCTCATGGCGCGGAGCCAAGGCTCGATGATGTCACCGCGGTCAACTGCCGCCAAGACTCTCGAGCTGGGCCGGCCCGCTAAGTCTCGCTTGACCGGAGACTTCCTCGTACTTCCGGCGACACCTCCATCTCCACCAACACCGAAAGACCGCGGCTCGAGGTGGCGCGGTCGAGTTACTACATACAACCTATCCTATAATCCTACCACCATGGCTCCGTCCGGTCTGACGGTCAACAACGACTCACATCTTACGCGCTCGAAGCTCAGACGAGTCGCCCCTGAAATCGGTGGATCAGAAGGAGGTGCGTTTGGTCGATCCCACTGTCTTTCGTCGAGGACATCCGAGTGAATCAGGACGGGTGCTTGGTTGAATAGGTTTCATCGGCCTCGTCGTGGGTCTATGCCTTATAATCGTCATCTGCTGCGTCGTCGTCGTCGTCCTCCTCCGAAAACCAGAGCCCACGCCTGCCGACCGCGCCCGCCGCCGCCGACAAATGCAAGCACGACAATCTGCACAATCATCGTCCAACAGCTTTGTGGCCAAAATCCGCGCCGTGTTCTCCTCCCGGTCCGGCAATGGCCACGACGTTCCGTCTGGCGAGCGCGGGTTCAGCCTCGAGCGCGGGCGGAAGATCATCCGCGGGCTGAGCATGACTTCGACCGACCGCCGCGTGCGCGGCTGGCTGCAGGCGAGCGGGGATGACTGGGACGACGCGGACGAGGTCGCGCACTGGCGGGACGAGTCGCCGGGGCCGAACGCGAACCGGTGGTCGGGCAGCACCATCAGCGGGGACCACGCCGAGCTGCCGAAGGACATACAAGACGAATCGCGCTCGTCGTTCAGACACGGGGCCCACGACGACGATGACGACGAAACGGACGAGGAGGGGGAGAACCGCGTGGAGATGCACCCCGTGCGGCGGCCGTCTCCCGAGCTGCATATACGCCCGGCGGGCGCGGCGACGCCTGTGGTCGTCGCGCTGCACCATCCGACGCGGGATCGGCAGGGATCGGTCGCGGGGGAGAGGGGGATGACCCCTAGCACGGAGGGCCCGGGTCATTCGAGGGAGGGCAGCGCGGACACGGCCGGCAGCAGCAGTACCGTGCAAGTCGGGAGACCACGAACGAGGGACAGCACGATGAGCGGGATGACGAGCCCGACAGGCTCGATATGGACGTTCGAGCGGGGGACGAAGTTCAAGGAAAACATCTGATTGCGCGGGATTTCGGTGTGGTATGTATGGACTGTGGTGTGGGACCTGAATGACCTGGTCGACTGTTGACGTTTGGGGCTGGTTCTTGCTCGTGTTCCACAATTGTATTCATTATCATCTCACCTCTGCTCTTCGTGTATCGGCTAGTGCTTGTGTAGCTGGTATGCGTGGTGTACTAGTAGTATGCGACAACGGACGGTCTGGAGCCCGTCCATGACTTATTCGATCCTCAGAAACGATACGACGCGCAATGATCGTAAATGGAATCTGTCTTGATACATTTGCCGGCCAAATACTACATCTCTGTAAAGGTAAACCACCAGGGCGCACTAAGATCGAGACCGAGAACGGCCAGATATACCCCATACCATAACTACCGATGGAGATAAGCTAAAACGAGCGACGATGAGGGTACCAGTATTGGAGCAAACGATACAGATGGATGTGATTGATGCCTGGATATTCAGCAGTGTATGGATGGGAGTAGAGGAAGGAGAAGGAAGCGTGCATGCAACTGTGGATGCATCGGGCAGGCCGGTCGACGGCCGACGCACGAGCGAAGGTGGACCAAGCGAAGGCCCGTCGAGGGCGGCAGGTGTATAGAGAAAATGCGAAGCGCGCAGATGTGGTGAGTCTAGTTGTAGACGGCGATGTAGTTGATCTTCCACTTGGCGACTAAGGGAACGACACAGATTAGCCTTCTTGGGCACTTGTAGATAGAGCATGACGGTTGTGGAACTCACAATTGAAGTTGGCGCCGTTGGCGACGGCCTCGACGCAGGTACCGGGGCATCCCGAGTTGGCGTAGTCGGGGCCGGCCCAGTCGCCGCAGATGTCGGTGTTGAGCACGAGGGTGTGCTCGTAAAAGTGCGAGGCGATGTCGCAGCTCGACGAGCTGAACAACGCCGACGGGCTCGGCCAGGTGCTCGGGTCGGGCGTGCCGGCGGTGATGTCCGCGGGGATCTCGGCGCGGGTGAAGTGCCAGATCGCGATGCCGGTCGAGTCCCAGAGGTGGGCGAAGACGCCGCCGTAGGCCATGTTGAACCCGTGGCCGAAGGAGGTCGAACCCGCGTCCTGGATCGCGCAGCCGGCGTTGTTCCCGTCGGAGGACGCGCATTGCGTGCCGAGGACGTTGCCGGTGAAGGGCTCGGTCGCGTTGGCGGAGGAGGAGGCGAGCGCGGAGGGCGTCTTGTCGAGCGTGCAGCCGGCGCCGGAGTGGAGGGTGTATTGGTTCTGCTTGTTGGTGTTCACGCCCTCGATCACGTCGATTTCGCCGGCGGCGGGCCAGTTGGGGCCGACGCTCCACCTGCGTGGGACGGGGGTTCGTGAGTTGGGGATGCGAAGAGGGGAGGAGGAGGGTAGGGCTCACCATGCGGGCCAGACGCCGCAGCCATGAGGCATCGCGAAGAAGTCGGCGATGAAAAGGCCGCTGCTGTAGCTCTTCTGGCTCTGGAGGCGGACCCTGCGTGGAGATGAGATGTCGGCTGAGAGATACCTGCAAGATAGACTTACGACTTGCGCTGGCCGCCGGCGGCAACCGTGCTCTTGGTGTCGACGTCCACGGACACAGTGCCGTCGCTCTGAACGTAGGCGAGGCCTTCGGACATGGCGGTATTCTTGTCGACATATTGAACGTTGCCGTGCGTGGGGTCAGCGCCGGTGTAAAAGTCCCAGCCGCTGCAAGGCACGGGTTCGCGTCAATATCCATGATGAAAGGCACGCCGATCACCAATGGCTGCTCACTCGAAGAAGTTGTCGCCCTGCCACTTGTCCGTGAGGTTGTAGGTCTTGGAGCGGATGTTGAAATTCCGTGCACGGTGCCTCCTCTGTTTGGAAGAGCCCTCGTGGGGGTTGCCTGCGAGCGCCGCGAGGGGCAGGGCTGCGAGAACGAACGCCGTAAGACCGTGCATCGCGCGTGAAGTTGTGGGGAGGCTCGTCGGGATCGTGAAGCGGAAGAAGGGAGACGGAGTGAGGCCGGAGAGCGGGCGAAAGGAGGGAGGGGAAAGTTTGTAGATGGCTCTGCATGTTGCGGCAGCCGTTCCTTTTATACAGCATGCGGTGGTTGGACCGAAGCGCGTTGCGTGGCCGGAGTAGGAAGCCAGGGCGTGGACCGTCCAAATTTAGTCGCGTATTGTCCGCTTCCCTCATTGTTTGTCTACCCCACCTTCCGCACACCACAAAGCCACGAAGACATGGACAGTAACAACGTTGCGTTGAAAGAAACAACGAAGCTCAGCTAGCTCGCCTGCCTCTGCATGTTGGCCACCCTCTGCTCAGTCCCAGTCGTCCCCCGGCCACATCAATATCAGCTCCATCGCCGGGTCCGGCAAAAAGTCTGCTGCGTAGCGACGGACCCCCGGCAGGTGGACCCAGACCTCGCTCCGATCAGGAATCAATGGAGATCAGGGACGCCAGCGATGCCCAACTGAGCTCGACTTCAGTAGTGAGAGCGACATAGATAGGACGGCGAACGACTGCCATCTCATCAGTACTGTCGCATATGGACAGTCGGGCCTTAGCATGCTCGATGGGTTGCGCGTTTACTGATGCATGATTCAAGTCATAAAAATACTCTGGTGAATCTGGATGTAACCATGTCTCCCCGGCAGCATCTTGGGCCGCCGAATTGCCTGCAACTCATAAGGCGGCAAGCAATTCATATGCATCAACGGCAGAGGCCGAGAAGCCGCCCTGACGGCGATACATAGGGCTCTACGGAACCCTGATGCTGAGTACATGGAAATATGAAGGAAAAGGAAACCCAGCTGCATTAATGACTCCCACATTGAAACCACACGCGGAAAGGGCTTCGAGCATCAGCTCAAGGCGCGTCAACACTTGCCAAAGATAACGACGGATAAAGCGTTATAGACGGTTACATCCTTCATTTGGCCCAACGCCCGCATCAGGCCTGTTCATCTGCCGAATATTGCACATGAGGCGCGCTTGAGGAGTTGGAACGATCAACGAAAGCTACATACCTCGGACTTTCAAGCCTCAAGTGTGGGATAAGTACTGTCGATGACATGCAATACTGCGGCTAATACCTCACAAAGACGGGCTTTGACTCGATGTTGTTCGCGCGGGTATGTCAGAGCATAACGCAGGGCACCAAAACTGGCCCTCGGAATAGCGGCTGCATGGTCGGTGCCGATTCACAATCGTGCGCCTGAAAAAGTCGGGCAGGGCTCAGAGTACGCCGAGTTTCAATAACACAGAGGAACGGTTAAATGACAGTTGCCGAGGAAGCCCGTGAAAGCCGGTTTGGTTGAGCGAAGGCCAGGGTTCTCTATCGAGAGTGGCTGGCACAAGTACGAGCAAGAACAACGCCGATATTGTGAGCCGGCATGATCTCCTGTTGAGGGGGCTGTGTAGGCCGTCGACGCGCCATGGGCCATGGTGACGACCGCACGCATGCACATGCTCTTGGCATTATTGTGTTGAGCCAGATCACGTTTCTGTGGAGGTTTGGGCTGCAAACGTCGAGCAAAGCGCCGTGAATGTACGGCCCAGAGACGGCGCCTTGCTCGTGATCGTCGGGCAAGACGTGCAAGCTGTGGGTTCACATACATGATACAATTTGTGCCCCACTTCTCCGGTAAGCGGACGCTGTGAAGGAGTACCCTACATAAGCGGGCAGTTTTCCTGGAGAAGCCGCGACGGTGGAGCGCTGTTGTCGATAGGCTTGGCAAGTGCAGGATCAGTTGACGTTGCGACTCTGCCTCTTTGCATGCAGTGAAAATGTTGGTGTCTTGCTCTACCTTTTGTGGCATGCTCGCTCGACTGAAACATGGCCAGCCGCTGCGAAATGATCGACATTGGACTGCACAATGGTTCAGAGACCGTGGCTACGCAAAGATAAAAAGGGAAGATGTCGAAGGACGCGCGCGCCCTAGTGTTGTCGACGAGCGAGTTCGAGCGAGTTCGAGTGGCGCCACTCGTCGAAACTCGCAACTTCGAGCTGAGTCGAGTTGGCTCGACGAGTGGTCGGATTCAATAGACATTTATAGCTAAGTACTGTATGCAATCTAATACTCGTCGCAGTAGAACAATGCTACGTATGAGATGATTCCGTGCTGTCTGCGAGTAAGAATCGCAGTTCGTCAGCTCCCTCAGGGCCCACATTTCGTAGCTCGTTGTAAGCATATTCAGTCAGAGGGCCTTCTATAGCATAGTCCTCGGGACGGGCAACAAAATCTTCTGTGAAGGAGAGGGACTCCCGGCGGTAGTAGCTCTTGAGGAACTGCAGGACTTCCATCAGTTCGGGAGAGAGACGATTGCGGCGAAGGGTGTCAGTTTCTTTGGCGGATGAGAAGAATCTCTCGCAGCTGACTGATGATGCCTGTGCGGGTAGAATATCGAGTGCGATGCGATACAGGAGGGGGTACTCGTATCGTTTGGTCTACAAGCTGAGAGGTGAGTGATGATGAACATGAAGAGCAAATTCGCGGCATACCTGCCAATACCACAGCAAATCCAGTCCATCCTCGATGCCGTTCTCTATGACTGGCTCGGCACAATATCTATCGAGCTCTGCGAGTGCTTGAAGACGGTCGTCCGCGTCGTGTGTCCGTTGTGCCGGGTCACAATCACAAGAGACTTGCATCGGGCCAGGAGAGAGACAGGTTGCGTCGAAGAGCGGTAGAATACAATGCAAACGAGTAAATTCCTCATTATAAGTGACGACAGCGGTGGAGCGACATGAAACGAATGTACAAGCGACGCTATAGCGGTCGGATTTTCGTTCAACGCGCCGAGACGCGACGAGATCAGACGGTGTCGCGCTGGGACCCATCACGTGCTCGCGAGCAGCCGCTGACACAGCAAGGTGCTCCAACTCGGAGCCCCAACTCGAAAAGTCAATCGATTGGACTCGATTTTCGAGTTTTTGACGAGTTTACGTCCGAGTCGAGCGAGTTTCGAGTTTGACTCGACTCGAACGACAACACTAGCGCGCCCTCCCCCATCACGGTGGAAACCCCCGTTTTCCCACGATTACGATTACTTGTAGGCACAGGCGGCCTCCGGCTCTTTACCCTCCCCTTCACGCCTTCCGCACCTCCCTCCCCTTCTCCGCCGATCCGACTTGTTTACGTTGTTCCTTGTGTACTGTCCTGTCTTAAACAGCTTTTTTCAAGGTACGAACTTCGTTTATCCACTTTACAACACGCGTCTCACTCTAAGTTTCATACTCGAACCACAGGAATCCACTCTCGTTTAACAGGAAATCGCCACTATGTACGCTCTCAAGGCACTCGTCTTCCTCGCATCCCTCCTGGTCTTTGTCGAGGCCGGTGAACACCGGGTCAACCGCGGCGCGCACCGTCGCCACCACGCGCGCGGCGCGGGTGTCAACCGTCGCAGCACATGTCCCAAGCGCACCGTCTCATCCTCGGCTGTCTCCGCCACCGCCGCCTCCGCCTCGGTGGTAGCCTCCAGCACCCACGTCTCGAGCAGCGCGGTCGCGAGCTCGTCCAAGGCCGCGAGCACGAAGGCCGCTACAAGCAGCGCTGTTTCCTCTTCCAGCAGCCATGCGTCCTCCACCGCCACCAAGTCGTCGTCCTCGGAGAAGGCGTCGGCGACCTCCAACAGCCTGTCATCCTCCCTCCTCACCGCCCTGTTCCCCGTGGACACCGTCACCTCCTGGACCACTTCCTCGTCGTCCAAGGACGCGCTCACGCTCTCGGACTCGACGCTCAAGCCGTTCAAGGTGCTCAGCGCGCTGAGTCACAAATACGTCCAGCAGGACGGTAAGACGGCGATGCACGCTCACTACCCGAAGGGCTCGTTCAACTTCCAGCACACCCCCCTCGGCGGCATCTCGTTCTACGCTCCCGGCCCGGACAGCCTCGACATCACCACCGCCAAGGAGCTCACCTTCGGCTACTCGGTCTTCTTCGACAGCGACTTCGACTTCAACAAGGGCGGTAAACTTCCCGGTATCTACGGCGGCAACAGCGCGGACAAGGCCATCTCTTGCTCCGGTGGCCGGCGGGACGACGCCTGCTTCAGGTAAGCTGGACCGTCGGCTCCCCCACATACACACCGATGTCTCACAACTGCTCTTTATCAGTGCTCGTCTCATGTGGCGCACGGACGGCGCGGGTGAGATGTATACCTACCTCCCGCCCTCGTACAGCGCCAACGACAACGTCTGCAACGTCGCTCCGTTCTCCGAGTGCAACCCGACCTATGGCGCCTCGGTCGGCCGTGGCTCCTTCAAGTTCAACAAGGGCGACTGGACGACCGTCTCCGAGCGCATCAAGCTCAACGACGTCGGCAAGGAGAACGGCGAGCTCGAGCTCTTCGTCGGCGGCAAGAGCGTTCTCTCTGCCACCGGCCTCGTCCTCCGTGACTCGTCGGCGGGCGTCATGAGGGGTATCCAGATGCAGACTTTCTTCGGAGGTACGTTGGAACTCATGTTTATCGTGCGATCTTCTTGCGGTATTAATAGGTGCTCCCATCAGGTTCGGACAGCTCTTGGGCGTCTCCCAAGGACCAGGACGTGTACTTTGCAGACTTCTCGATGGCCATCACCGAGAAGCTCTGAGGCATCTCCGGTTTCACGAGCATACGACACGGACCGACGTTCTCGACTCTTCACCGGCTCCAACCTCTCTCGTTGGCCGCCCGTTCTCGCTCTTCCAATAGCACCACACTCGCTCAACAACACCGCAACATATCAACGCATCTTTCATCAATGTGTATATATCCCCTCTGCATTTACCGGTTCCAATCTCACGATGAGAATAACGGGTTGTGATCATCTTATTTCATACTTTAATGCTGCGACGTCCACTCGGCCATCGGACGGGTCCTGTGCATGGGACGTCAGGGACTGCGGGTCGGCGCGATGGAGTCACGCTGCTTGGTCCTTCTAGCATATAGCCTTATAGATGTACTCGATGTCTCTATAGGCCACCAGTCGATCTGGAATATCATTGCCTTGAACCATGGTCTGACGGTGCGAGTTGTCCCATCAGCGGTTGAACGAGTGGATATCTGCATTCAAGTCCTCCGCCATGTCGCCTCAGACGCGGTCATCTGCATGAGTCATTGACGATGACCTTGCTATCGTTGTCATTTACCTCCGGTTTCCATGGGGGTTTTTTTTTTTTCATCAACGTCATAAATGCAGCTCGATTTATTCTCCGCGGGAGGCAATCAACACGAATTAAGCAGCAGAAGTACATTTACGGCAGACATAGATCCTCTTGTTCTTTATTTGTGGTGTGCACGACACGTCAGAGTCGATACTCTGTTTACTTCTTGCCAAAGATGGTGGCGACCGTCGTGCCTTGAAAGCTACAGTGGCATTCGTGAACGAGCCAACATCAATTCCGATGAACGTACCCGATGAAAGCTGGACCCGGGTCGTTGAAAACTCTACTCGCCAAATAAAAAAAAGTAATTGAATGTCTCCGCAGAGAACGAATGCAATAAGCACTGACACGTAGCCGCGATTACCAGGAATTCCGAGCGTCTTTTGAAAATGTTCAAATATGATCTTGCTGTACTTCTCGTTGAGCTCCGGATTGATGTTGTTCAAATCCGTCTTCCGTCAAGTCAACATAGGCAGTAGGATCGTGCCGGCCATTATCAGCACTCACGATGTTGAGAACGAACGCGGGATCAAACGTGCCCCCGAACGAAAGGTTCTTGTCGTAGTTGTAGCTGACCGAGATGTACAGCTCGGGCTTCCCCAGGAATTCGGCGGCAAGCTATGAATCGTAAGGGCCATCGGATTAAGCAAATATAGCGTTAGACCACACCCTTGAGACATCCTTGACCCATGCTTGGACATCGGGCACCTATCCATGAGTATACGCCATCAGACAAGATCACAACGGTCGAAGTCAAGCCAATGAGGAGTCGCTGCTTGGTCGCCTCGAAAGGATCCAAGCCGGGCCGTATACTGGCACACACCTTCACATTCGTCTGCAGAGCGAGACTGGGCATTGCGGAAAGGCGGAGCTTGTGTTACAAAGAGTTCGATGAACGAACGAATGCTTGACCGCCGACTCGATGATGGTTTATATGCAATCGGAAGGCCAACCGGTAGACGCCACGAGAGCATACATCAGTCAGCACAGGTATATGTGCAAGAGGTTCGGGCGAACGCGGATTCTCTCTCATCTGCGTCAGCTGTCGCAGCCCGTATACAAGCCGAGGCCGGCGACGGTAGAAAATCAGAGAGCATGACTGAGCTATGTGACCATTTGACCTCCAGATATCATTTTCATGTTGATTGGAGTCGAGCGCCGCGCGCTGGAAGCACTGATATACGCATCGCCGGAGCAAGTATTGGGCACCGGAACGCTTCTGCTGAGTCACTTGGTGCCGAAATGACCGTCGCGGTTATTGTAACCAGACGGCACATTGGAGAGCCAGAGCTAGCAATCTTATAGCTAAGTGCCGTTTCCGAGTGAAGAAGCGCTTGTATCGGCAGCCGCGGTGATTCAAAATTTGGGACGGGATTCGGCCTTCGTGGAGGTAGCATACACAGAGAGCAAGGAATCGTGTAGACCGTGCAAGCCACGGTGATGTTGGTGACTGAAGGGCCGCGAGCGACGGTAGATCCGGCGCGTCGGGAGGCGTACAGCTCTGCTTTTTGCAATTTGAATTTGCGACAAGTATCGAGAGTAGTTTCGTGCTCCTTAGCGATTATATTTTGAGCATATACATACTCGGGGTCTTAACATCCAAAAATCCGTACAAAAAAAGTACATACAACATAACACAAGGCAAGACAGCAAACGGAATAGCGATTTGAGAGAAGACGTATATGCGGAGATTGCAAATATTGACGGTCAATTAGATGGGATAAGGGGGATGATTGCAGTACGTATGGGACCAGATTGCCGATAGTGTACCGAGGCCAGGAGAGTATATTGAGGCCAGGAGAGAAAGGGATTTTCAGTCAGGCCCTCGGCTCCTGGACCTCGAGTGCCTCGAAAGCACAGAGCGCGGACGAGACCGGGCCTCCGCCTCAAGCTGCTCCTGGTTCCGGATCTCCTCCTCGGTCAGCGCGTACATCTTCTTGCACGTCAACACGAACGTGCACGACAGCCCCGCCGCGTGCTCGCGCACGTACCGGTCGTTCTCTTCCAGCCCGCCCCACATCGTCTCCCGGCACAGCCAATCAAGCCTGCGCATCCCCGCACCGAGGCGCCCGCCGGGAACGCCGTGCGCCGTCGAGCGATTGAAGTGGTAGGCCTCGTTCATCATCTTGCTCCGCTGTTTGCCCGCGTGCGCATACTCCTCCTTCCGGACGAGCTCGTGCAGGAACTTGTCGAGCTGCTGGATGACGTCCCCGCAGGTAACGCCGATCCCGCGGTCCTCGGCCCGGACGTCGACCGTCCACGGGAAGGAGGGCGAGATGATCCGGAGGTGGGTGACGCGCGGGAAGGTCGCGGGTTCGTCGCGCCCGACCATCCATGAGCGGTGCGGAGGGTCGGAGGAGCGCTGGCAGAAGGATTCGGGGAAGAGCATGCACCATTTGAGGTAGGGCGGGTCTTTGTCCGGGGAGTGATTGTCTGCGGGCGCTTGCAGGAGCGGGTTCAGCTCCAAGTGGGCTCTGACCACCTTGGCCACGAAAGGTTCAAGTACAGGTCCATCTACGCCCCATTGTCAGTGCAGGCTTGTTTGCTGATCGAGAATATACACACAGTTCGGTCCCGGAGTAAAGCGCGGTACCCTATCGCCGGATTCCTTGTGAGGTCCGAAAGAGCTCTTCCGGCTGCGAGTCATGGGAGGCGCCATCGGCTGATTAGGTACGCCTGGGCTCGCAAGCAGCATCCCGCCCATGCCCCATCCAGGTGTCGCTGCTGCCATAGCTGCTGCCTGAGCTTGTGCCTGCGCTTGTGCCGTCGCCCCGGGCCATCCAGCAGGCGCTACCTGTGGCCAACCGCCCATCCCAGCCATGGGCATGGTACCCATCATGGGTGTTACGAACGCTGTCGAGGCTGCGGGAGTGGGCCAACCTGAGGGAGCACCACCACCATGCAGTGCGGCGTGAGGCGCTGCAGGGGTACGTCCCGCTAGACGCTGCGCCTGCTCAAAGCCGATCCAATCATTTGACAAACCCGTATGAGGGTCGACTTGGTGCGTAGACCCTGGGGCGCCAGCGGGGGGCAAAGCCACTGGAGGTATGAAGTAGGACTGCGGGATGCCACCCGCAGGTGCGGCGGGCGTGAAGTGTTGAGCGCCCGGAAAGACGCCGGGCATCATGGGAACAACAAGTCCTTGCGGTGTCGGGTATCCCATCGGGAAGTTGCCCATGTTGGTCATGTCGATGGTGGGCCAGCCCGGGCGCTCGCCAGGCTGTGGAGGGCGATCAACGAGGGGCGGAGGCGAAAGCTGGTTGGAGACGCTCGCGGGGGAGAACCCGGGTTGCGGTGGGATAAATGGTGTGACTGGGGTCGACATGATGACGACGGGAGCACAAATAGGATGCTATGCGCTACGGGTATGGGAGGATTCCTGAATGGATATCATGGTGTAAAGCTGTGTTTCGGTGCCGCAAGCAGTTCGGAGGACTCACTTGGCTGGATGTTCGTGCCCAACGTTTATATATCGAGCGAGCGCAGAGATCGTCTTGCAGGATGATCAGAGCCGCGGTCGTTTTGAGGCCCGAGAGTAAAGCAGTCGATCGTCGAGTCAAGTATATCGTGAGACGTCAGTCCTTGCGTTTTAATAGATGCTGGATCCGCGATGCTTTCAAGATACTTTTCGGGTTGTCGTCAAAGTCGTTCGCGCAGGACAGGAAGACGGACGGAACGCCGTCCCCGTCACTGCAACCAGAGGGGAAAGAGACAAGAGAGGATGGGCGCTAGATGTCGCAAGAACCACTTGCGACCGAGACAAGCGGTCGCTACACGTGTTGGGCTGTAACGCCGTTTGCCCTCTACCCATCTTATCTTGGTCGACATCTTCACCGCAGCTACGAATCTCATGTTCTCTGCTATATTCGCTCCAGGGCACACTCCAGGGAATATCGCCGCAATCAACACAGTCTTGGCCCCAAATATGCGGTAGCGGAGGCACATGGTGTACTCTGTGGTTCCTGCGGTTCACCGAAGCCCTGCGATGAAGGTTTAAACCACATGCCGTACGCGTTGCAGGCAATCCTCAACCCGCACCAGGTCCTTCTCTGGCTTCGTATACTTCGGTACCTTTCATTGTGAGACCATCTACTGAATCAATTATGGCGCTTTCAACACATCGCGAACCATCGCATCAATTTGCCAGAACGTCGATGCTGTCGCAGCTCCGGACGACGCGCCCTGCTTTGGTGAAATGCATTGCTGGGATATTTCAAACAACTACATTGAAGTCTTACGCAAATTTCATCGAAACTTCTGAGAAGGTCAACAGGCCGGGTATACTCTTCGTGCATAACGGAAGTTGCATACGGGCATGGGCTAGCCGCTCGCCTCCGCCATATCATATGGATTAGGTTCCTGTTTGGTGTTTCTGTAATACTTATACTTATGTATCGTAGCCCATTACCCACTTGCAGCTCATTATTACGGCGCTCCCTACAACACGTGCGTGTTTGTAGAGCACTCCTTCCCTTCACCATGAGCTCGATCGCAGCCCAAGAAAGCCGCTGATGAATGACGTGAACGAGCTGGTTTGACTCTGACGGAAGACCGGCGGTACGCGAAGAAGAATCCTGGGGGTCTTTGCCAGCCACGGTGACTCAATCGGTTCCCAAGTCCGGGGACACTGGTATCATGTATGGTCCACCTACTTCTGCCGCTGTTCATGGTCATACCTCGCCACGCCTGACAATCACCGGCCAGGGGATGATTATTCTTCCTCAAATGTGTATGCGGCCCGCTGGCCGCGCGCGTTGCGCTTCTCCATGATCATATGCTCGTTCGTGCTGTCGCACGATGGGGTATGACACTCCGCACTATCGTTATGCTCGTTTCGGTTGGCTCATATATGGGCAGCGTAGAGGGCGAGGACCATGAGATGCATTCTTCGCGATGGCGCCAAGATCTGCTGTCGCACTGGTCTCTCTCTCGTTCTTCTGGCTGTCGCGCCAAGTTCTCGCCTCACCGTCGCCCTCTTCTTCTAGTAGTCTCCCATTCATCGGCCATGACATCAGCTCGTTGATCATGCTGGAGGAGGAGCAGAGGTATGATTACTCATCTTGACCTCCTGTATTGCCTGCCCTTGTACTAACCTCGCGCATTTCCAGTGTTCAATATGTCAATCTCGCAGGAGAAATCCAGCCTCTCGAATATATCCTGGCCGCAGGAGGAGCGAACGCGGCTCGCATGCGCATTTGGGTCGATCCCGTCGAGGGCGTCTACAACCTCACCTACAACTTGAACCTCGCCTCCAGAGTGGAGAAGGCCGATATGAAGGTCTACCTTGACTTCCATTACAGCGATACGTGGGCGGATCCTCAACGTGAGCGGATGGCCATGTTCTACGTATGGATGATCTGACAAATCTTCATAAGACCAGATCAAGCCTGCAGCATGGGCAAACTTGTCCTTCCCTTCGCTTGTAGCACAGATTGGACGATATACGCGCGATACTATTGCTGCATTCCGCTCAAGTAACATACGGTTGGACCTCGTGGAACTGGGGAATGAAATACGGAATGGTCTGTTATGGCCCGACGGAGAAACTCCCAATTACCCAAACATCGCCAAACTGCTGAAGTCCGCGTCTGAAGGTGCCAGAGCCGTCAAGTCCACGTCCAGATGGCAAGCACCGATTATTGGGATCCACATGTTAGTTTGTGCTGTGGTCTGACGCCTTGATGACATCAACTTGACCACGATATTGTATGGATAGAGACGACGGATACTCGTGGCAGGTGCAGCAGACATTCTATGACTCCGTGCTCGAGACTGGACTCTTTGGTCTCGGTGACTTCGACGCGCAACTCGTCTCTTATTACCCCTTCTACAACGAAAGCGCTTCCCTCCAAAATCTAGCTCTCACCACTACCAATATGGCGCATCGATATGCTAAGCCAATCATCGTGGCGGAGACTGACTGGCCAGTGAAGTGCAGTAAGTTATATGTCAATCCTTCTCTCCAACCCGTGTGATCGGTGCTAACATATCATACACAATCAGCGAACATGACTCAATTTCCCTTCCCACCATCCACCGCAAACATTCCCTTTTCCCATCAGGGCCAAATCGCGTGGACTCGAGACATACTGCACGTTGTGGAGAGCATACCCAATGGCTTGGGAAAAGGCCTCTTCTACTGGGAACCCGGATATCTGAACAATACTGGGTGAGACTACATTTTCGCCGAGGTAGAGTTCTTGCTTCTGACGACGGCTGGCAGGCTCGGGAGCGAGTGCGAAGACGTCCTGCTGTTTGACCAAGACTGGTCTCAATGGCCGACACATGTCTTCGGGCGGGCACGTCCAAGCGTTAACATGTTCAAGGGTTTTTGATTCCGATAGTACCATACGTCTATTGTATTCTATCCCATCCAGTAAAACAAACCCCGGTTCAGTCCGTTCAGTCAAGCAATCCGATCGCAGGAAACACGAGCATGTTACATCAGACGTCGAAGCGATGGAGACAAAGAAAAACGAGATCAAGCCTTAACCATTCCGTATAGCACTTCCTTGTCGTGGGACCTTTCCACGAGCTCGAAGAACAGCCCCTTCTTTTGAGAGAGAAGCTCTTTAGGGGTACCGAACTCTACCAACCGGCCCGAGTCCAGGACCATCTGTATTGGTTGCGTCAGCAAGTTTTATACAACGCCAGAGCTTTGTTGCTTACAATTTTGTCCGAGTCCATGATCGTCTGCAGACGGTGGGCGATAGTAATGATGGTTATATCACTGCCCAAGTTAGTGCGGATGGACTCCTGAATTGCAGCGTCCGTCTCATAGTCTGTACCGATAATTCGTCAGCACGTCTTGATAGTAGACACATTATGCCATCCTCACCGATAGCAGCCGTGGCTTCGTCCATGATCATCAGCTTGCTCTTGCGGACGTACGCTCGGGCAAGTGCAATGATCTGATTCGAATGTTCAATACCAACAGCGGAAGAGCTAGAACAAATACGAACCTGGCGTTGGCCATGCGAGAAGTTCGAACCCCCGGACTCGACTTCGCTATCTAACGTGATGGCCGCCGGGTCTCCTTCCTTCTGCAGCCGGAACAGCCCTGCAGACCGGAGAGCGTCATTCAACGTAGCGTCATCGTGCTCTCCGAACGGGTCAAGATTGTCGCGTAGGCTGCCGGAGAGAAGGTCCGGGTGTTGCGGGATGAGTGTTATATTGGCCCGAAGAGCATCGAGGTTGATATTGTGGATATCAATGCCATCATACAGCACCTGCCCGCCTGTAAGTATGCCACGCAGCAACGCGAGCGTGATGGTCGATTTTCCGGCCCCGGTTCTTCCTACCACGCCGACGCGCTCGCCGGACTTGATGTCGAAAGTGACCTCACGTAAAACCTCGGGAGAATCTTCGAAAGAACTTTGAGTACGGTTCTAGGAACTCTTAGCGAGCCTGCTCCTTACCTACGGCATACCGGGCACTCAGTTTCTCGGCGTGAAGAGCACCGCTGGCTGGCCAATATGCAGGCGGAATTCCTTCTTTCGTTGGCGTCGGTTCGTGTTCAATGTTCAGGAAATCGAGTATGCGCTCCAAACAGTTAGCTGTTGAACGACGCACGCGTCAGTAGGTGGGCCACGAATTTACTGTGAAGGCGACGTACATGCCAACTCGGCATTGTTGGCCATGCGCACAATGACGAAGATTTCGCCAGCAAATCCAAGCACTTGCGATAGCGCATAGCCTGCGTTCCCTGCCCCGATAAGACGTCCGTATACGACTGCAAAAGCCACAGCTGCGCAGAATATATTGCTGAGACCGTCCATACGAACGCCCATCCACCTGTCCATGTCCGCAAAGTTGCGGTTGAGCATAGTGTACCGGTTTATCCTTGCGCTCAGTTGCTTGCTGAAATGCCGCTGAGCACCGTACGCTCTGATAGAGGCTAAATCCCGGTTGAGCTGATATTCAGAGGCATGCCACGAAAACTTACTGAGACCGGCTATGCCAGCACCGAATAAGCTAAGGATCGGCGCTTTGGCAACGCTGTGTTCGCGCTTGACCGCTGCAAAATATGACAAATTGAGCCAACGCGAATCCGTGGCGCACGGTAAAAACGTACACCTCTGCGCCTGGATATAAAATCGTCCGATCCCAAGCGAGACCGTGAATATAGAAAAGCCCGCAACACACGCGCTCCACCCCACTACATACATGATGGAGAAGATCCTGAAGATGGCGTTCACAATCATCACTTGTTCGACAGCATATATTTGCCGTAGGGCATTGTCGACGGTTTGGAGATCCTATGCATGTATCAGGAAGGTCTATACCGAGCGCCCCGACAACCCCTCACCTGCGTACAGCGCGCAATCACTCGTGCAACCGGAACAGTATCCAACCACCTGATGGTGATCAGCGAGAACATATGGCCAGCAACGCAGCGCTTACCGGAAGGTTGAGCTGAAGATGGAAGTAATCAATAGCCGGTGTATAATCTTGGACGCTCGTATCGCTGCACGAAGCCAGAAAATAGCCGCCACAAGTCCAGCTCCAGTTTCCACTAGCGCAAGAAGAGCGTAGCCAATGAGGTATCTGACGATGATGTCACACATGCGTTAGCCCGAGGTAGACTAGACTGGAGAATTGACATACTTGGCTGCTGGCACCTCGGAAGCGTTGTGATGTTCATATTGATTGGACCACAGGCCCAGGTAATAGGGCAGGTACAACTTCAACAGCGAGCTGAAAACCAGAAGGATGGCACGCGAGATCCAGAACGATGGACCCCCGAGGTTACGCAGGTACAGCATGAAGGCCGCCATGCTAACGTTGCCGTGCGCAATTTCCTCCGCCATGATCAGCTTTCCGGCGGGACTGTCGTCCTTCTTGTCCTTGTCCTCTTCGGTTCCTTCCGCTTCCGCGACGGCTTCGGATTTCTCCACGAGTTTCTCTTCCTTGGTGAATTCGACTCGCAAGGCTGTGTCGTGCTCGATCGCTTGCGCCAGAGACGCTTCGGCCGTGACGCGGCCCTGTCCGTCCACGCGGATGACCTTCCTAGCGATCGAGCGTGCAAGTGCTAGGTTGTGCGTAACAAGAAGCACAGTCCGATCCCGGAGCAATTCGCCCTTCAGACATTTCTCAACAACATGCCTTGCCGTGTGGACGTCGAGAGCTGCGAGGACGTCGTCCAGAAGCACCACTTCTGCTTTCGAGTATATTGCCCGAGCGAGGGTGACCCGTGCTTTCTGTCCACCACTACCGGAAGCGGTCCAGGTTAGTGCGGTGCGATGGGCATCCGTATGAGCCTACCTCAGAGTCAGTCCCTGAACGAAAGGCGTGGTAAGCATTATAATAATGCCGAATCGGGAAGCACGACGAACCTTTTCACCAACTTCTGTCTTATCTCCCGCAGCAAACATATTCAAGTCCTGTACGAGCGCACATTGCTCGAGAACTTGTCACACATCAGTACCGCAAACTCGGATGAAGAACCACGCCTACCTTTCTGGTAGCGCTCTTCGTCAAACGGCGAACCAAACACGATGTTTTCCTGCGCCAATTTGGTCAGTCCGATGGCCCCCCTCGCATTGAGATGTACCAACCCGGATGGTCTCGTTCAGCACCCACGTCTCTTGAGCAGCGTACGCAACACCGCCTCCCCGAGGAAGGTTGTACCATGACTGTTCGTTGTTCGGGTGGTAATACATCTCACCTACGGCACCATCAGCGGCTTTCTTCCCAATCGCGAGTCAAAGGCTACCCACCAAGTAGAGCGAGCAAAACGCTCGTTTTCCCGGAGCCCGTCGGCCCAATGACCAAGTTGATCGCGTCTTTTTCGAACAGCAACTCGCCTTCGATGCGCAAGCGGAAGTCGCGCTTCTTCGGGTCCGCTACCCGCGGCTCCGCGCCGGGTCCGCGTGTTTCCCAAGTGAAAGTCGCGTCCGAGAAGCCTATCCTGTCGTCCTCGTCGCGGTTCGCCAACGCTTGCTCATAAAGCTCATTAGTCACGTTCGACTCGGCCGTCGGATCAATGAGCTCCGACTGCATCGGCAAGTCAGCGCAGTTGTACGTTTTTGTAACAAACGACAACCCACGTCGTTGAGGAACTCGCTAATCCGATCCAAAGATACCTTGGCTGCCATTATGGTCAACCTCTTATTCTGAGTCAACTCGACAGGACGAGCTTACCGGATATTATCATGGGAAGCATGAAGGTGAGGCTTTGTATTTGTCCTTTCATGATGTTGAAAACCGAGATAGATGTGAATATGCGCGACGCGGTGAGCTCTTGTTTCATTATTAGGGTCTATTGGGTGTATAACGGTCACTCGAGTGTGCGCAGACCACAAAGTAGTGAGACTGACGTATACGCCGAACGTCGCGAGGATGTTCAGCAAAGGCAAGATCTGCAACATAGCTCAGTCATCGCGTCATTGTACAATAATCGCGCAAACCACCCACATTCTAGCAGTAGCAAAGGTTCGTCAGCAGTTCGTTCGGTCCTCGGGAAGAAGACGCACAACTCACGGTCACGGTGTTTGTCAACAGGAACAACGTCGCGCTCCACTGGACCCATACGAGTTCCTCATCCCTCAGCTTCTCCAATTTTTCGAGCGACCGGTTCTCCCATGCGAAGAGCTTGATCATGCGCACGACGCCCATGAACTGGTTCACGCCCTGGACGCGCTTATCAGACGCCTCCATCTTCTTCTTACCGGATGCCAGAGTAAGCTTGGAAATCCAGGTAGGGATGGGCAAACCGGCGACGATGACGGCGATACCGACGAAAGCACTGAGGTCCACCTCGGTCAGTCAGGCCACTGTGATTTAGGTATCGTTACATACCTCCATCCCAGCAGATTGTAGAGGAAGAACACAGAACCGAAGGTCGCGACGACCGCCTCGACTGTCAGCACAGAACCATCGGAACAGCCTCAGTTATAGTACGAGGACGATGATATACGGTTCACAGACTGAGATATGGCCAGTCCCTTGCTTGCGAGAGCGAGCTCAGGTCGGAGGTGACGAGATTGTTGATCTTCCCGACGATCTGTTTCGCACTCTTCTTCTCGTCGCTCTTTGCCCCATCCTTCTTGTCTTTGGACAAGTCCGCCTCGGACGGTGTAGCGGTCGCGGTGGAGGCCGTAGGACTCGGGCTGCGCTCCGTATCCGATTCAGCCACGGTCGTACTCTCCGTCTCAGTCCCCGTCTCCGTCTCCGTCTCCGTCGCGGATTCACCACCCGAAGTGGAGGCCTCGGCAGATGCGGGCGCTGCAGCTGCGTCCTTTCCCTTGCCTTTATCCTTCGCACCGTCGCCCTCCTTCTTCTCGGCATCTTCCTCGCCCTTCAGCCGGATCCTCAGAGCATGCACGAACACGAGCTGGGTCACGATTGCCTCCGCGCGCACGGTCATCTTCGTCGATACGAACACGTACCACTCCGCGAGCATCACCCAGACCATCGGCGTCGCGCCCATCCAGATCACCCACACCCAGGGCCGGACCCTCGACGCCGTCGGATCCTCCAGATGCTTAAGGATCTGATTGATACCGATGGGAACGAAGAAGGTGGAGCCGGCCTCGAGGAGCACCATGAGTGTGACGAGCGCGTAGTCCCATTTAAAAATGTCGAGCAGGCTCCATATGACGTGTCGCTTCCGTTTGAGTAGGACCGGGTCGATCTTGGGGAAGTCTTTCTGCACGAGGTGGTTGACTTCGTCGTCGGGAGAGAGCGGGGGCAGTTTCTCCGGCGGGAGGTGGTCGTGCCGCGCGGCGTACCAGATGATGGGCGTGAAGTAACTCCAGGTCAAGTAGGAGCCCAGAGAGGCGCTCTCGACGATGTTCTGTACGCGTGTAGAGGGAATCTCAGTGGTCAATGACGTTATACAAGACAGCGTGAAGTCGATCTTACGGAAGATTGAGGACCAGGGATCGCGAGCGGTACCACGACTCCGATCACGAGAAGGGACGCTAGGTGGATAGCGTTTCCCACAATGACAGACTTCCTCGATGGGAGTTCGCCGATGACGGCCAACGGGCGCAAGTCGACGTACGTATATACGCAAACGACGGCGAACAATATCGCGCCGAGATGAGCATCGCTGACCCTCTGCCATCTCCGCGACGCGAAGAGCGAGAGAGCGGCCAGCAAAGACGCGTATGCCTATGAGGAACGCAAATATCAGCAAACAACGCGCATACATCAGCCCAAATGATGGGCGCTCACGTATATGACAGTCGCCAGGATTGGGGCGCGGTTCAATGTGCGTGCAGCGACCGCGAACACCTGGGCGAGCGAGAGGCCGGTGAACGCGAGGGTGCCGACCAGCCTGAGCGCTCGGAGTGCTATCCCAAACCATCCTCCAGATTCAGCGACTTTACCGACGCCCTCTTCGGAGGCAGGATCTTCGGACGCGGGGTCATCCGACGTCGACGCGGCGCCGCCGCTCTCTTTCGAACGCGAGTGCAATCTGAGGAGGGCGAGCAGCGTGAGATGCGGCAAAGACAGCGCGCCGAAGGCGAGCGGGATTAGGAGCAACTGCTCGAGTTTGGGCGCGCCAGACGCGTCGGACACGTCTGCGAGACGCGAGACGAGCCACGACTCCATCGTCGCGGTACCTTGTCAAGCTACAGGGTCCGGATGGATGAGTCTCGAATATACGCTCGCTTCATATAAAACTTGTATGATGAGGACGACTGCGATCAACGAAGAACGACCAGTCAGCCGATGGCCCACGCGGCGCCTTGGATGGGCGCGCTGACGCCGCGCAGGCAGTAGACCACCTCGCCCATCGCCTTGGCTCTATAGAGTCTTCACAGAGCTTATTACACCGCCACCCAGCCCTCGGACCGGAAGCTCCTGGTTTACCGGTTACCTTCAGAGATTTACCCGTACAGTGTAAAGGCACTGCTTGATGCAGCCGCACTGCTTGATGCAAACGACAATTCCACACGAAGGAAGTGTCTGAGAGTTCTGAGATTAAATCATGGGGTAGATTCATGCTTGAATATACTATATCCGAGTTTTCTAACGAATCGAAGGACTCTCTGATTTTCTAAAAATCGTTCACTTTCGCAAACAGGCTGTTTTGAGTATTTACCACAAGATATGCATCCTGTTTCGCTTCCAATTACAATCAGATAACCTCCACAAAGCACCAATGCATTGTTTTATATCTCGGGTGCAGTTTTCATTAGTGACATAGGGTCGTCTGTGGCGGGTAGCAACTCAGAGCCTATCCTGAAGAGCGGAAGGTGATGCACCAACGCACGACGCGCCTTGGGAGCGTGTGAGAGCTTACCGGACGGTGTGACCTGATGTGATGGCTGCATCAGTTGCCGGGGGCACTGCCACTGCATCAACGAACGTTTTCTGCGTGCCAGGCCTCCCCTGGGCGGATCAACCGTCATTGCTCACTTCCGCCCAGATTTCATCCGAAAAAATTTGTGCAGTATGGAAGTAGTAGCTTACATAGTTGTAGGTGGTCAAAAGAAAGAGAATGTGGCATGTGCGAAGTGTAGGAGCCTGCCGGTTTTGAGTGCATCAACCAGTGCCTTTACACTGTATGAGCTTGACGTAAACGGCAGTGTGCTGCTTGGGCGGGAAAATCACAGCCAAAGACAGGGGTTCGGAGGACAGCCACAAATGCTATTTTTGCCTGGTAACCACGGACAGCGAACGCCTGAGACCGCTTTGCGCGTGCATTTGAGATGTGATGGCCGCAGCAAAAACTCTACGCAGAAGTCCTGAAGCCTCCCGAAGGAGAACAAGGTAGCTAGGGTGTTATGCGCGTGCGATCGCGCAAAGACCTATCCAAACTTGAAATCCACGGAGCTCGCGGGTTGATGTACGAGATATGACAGCTAGACTCATAACTTGATCTAGTGTGGACAGAAACCGACGAGTAAAGGACCCAAGCTCAGCCTGTACGCTTGCGACATACCTGCAAGGACAAAGAAAGGATTCTGCGCCCAGTTCATATATTCACAGGAGCCAAGTTACGCTGGATATTCGTGCCCAACGACAGCATTCAGGATTTGACCATGTCATACAATACATCCTTATCGTGCGATTTTTCTACGAGTTCGAAGAAAAGCCCCTTCTTCTGCAAGAGCAGCTCTCGCGGGCTTCCGAACTCTACCAGCCGACCCGCATCCAGAACCATCTGCAGTCGTCAGAAACGGTAGGCATGAGGCAATGTGACCAAGTGAGCGAGCGAAGGAACGCACGATTTTATCCGAATCCATGATGGTTTGCAGACGATGAGCTATCGTGATGATGGTGATGTCGCTCCCCAGATTCGCACGAATGGATTCTTGGATGGCCGAATCCGTTTCATAGTCTATAAACGGAAGGGTTCATCGCTAGGTAAGCTGAACTGCGGGGAGCGATGAAAACAATGGAAAATCACCAATAGCAGCCGTTGCTTCATCCATAATCATTAGCTTGCTCCTCCGGACATACGCGCGAGCCAACGCAATGATCTGTACGATGCAGTCAATAGAATACGTAACACGATAGTAGCGAAGAGAACCGCGTACCTGACGCTGACCATGCGAGAAGTTGGATCCTCCAGCATCCACTTCGCTGTCAAGCGTGATAGCCGCCGCCGCGTCTCCCTCCTTCTGCAGCCTCTCCAGCCCCGCGGACCGAAGCGCGTCGTTCAGCGCCGCATCATCATGCTCGCCGAACGGGTCCAGGTTCTCGCGCACGCTACCCGCAAGCAGGTCCGGGTGCTGCGGGATGAGCGTCACGTTCGCCCGGAGCGCGTCGAGGTTGACGGCGTGGATGTCGATCCCATCGTAGAAGACCTTGCCCCTTGTGATCAGCGCCCGGAGCAGCGCCAGGCTGATCGTCGATTTGCCCGCGCCCGTCCGCCCGACGACGCCCACGCGCTCGCCCGACTTGATGTCGAACGAAATGTCGCGCAGGACGTCCACCGAATCTATGAAACATGCCCCCTGCTCAGCCAGATCGTAGGCGCGTGCCCAAAGCGGGTGATTTACCTGGGCTGTAGCGAGCAGAGAGCTTCTCCGCCCTCAGTGACCCGCTGGCTGGCCAGTACGCTGGCGGTACGCCGTCTTGCTTCGGCTCCGGTTCATGTTCAATCTTGAGGAAGTCGAGAATACGCTCCAAGCTGTTACCTGCCGGCCGTGTCAAGTCAGATCATTCCACACAGACCACAGAGCATCAGCCACATACATTCCACCTCAGCCATGTTTGCAACACGGACGAAGACGAAGACCTCCGTAGCAAAACCGAGCACCTGAGACAGAGCGAAGCCAGCGTTCCCCACGCTGATGAAACCACCGTATACAATCCCGGCAGCGACAATTGACGAGAAGACGGCGCCCAAGCCATCGACTCGGACGCCCACCCATCTGTTGATGTTGTAGAAGTTTCGGGTAAGCACCGTGTAATGGTTGATGCGCGTGATCAGCCGTTCGCTGAAATAATCTTGGGCGCCATACGCCCGTATAGACGCTGCAAAGTAAGTCAATATTCGCAAAGATGCCGTCCGCTCAGGTTAACCACGTACCGAGTCCTACCAGCCCCGCTCCAAATAAGCTGAGTACCGGAGCTTTCGCGACGCTTTGCTCTCGTTTCAGCTCTGTAAGCAGCAGTCGGTCAGGATCACGATGAAAGCACCAGGACTACTGCCAATACCAACCTCGCTGTGCCGCAATGTAGAACCGGCCCACGCCAAGTGCAATGACGAGAACCGCCAGCCCAGCAGCCAGCACACTCCACCCCACAACGTATACAATAGCAGCGAAACGTAGTACGATGTTGACGATCATCATTTGCTGCAGGCTGAATATCTGCCGTATCATCTCGTCCACTGATTGTAGGTCCTATCGACGTGACGCGTTTCAGGTTGGTGGATCCGTGACAAAAGAGAAAAACCTTTGCCTTGGTACATCGAGCGATAACCCTGGAGACGGGAACAGTGTCTAGCCATCTGCACGGGGTGAATCAGGGCCTCGTCTGAACATTTTATGTAATCTCTCACCGGAACGTTGCCCCGAACACAGATTCAACAAGCTGCCGATGTATTTTCCCGGAAGCATGCAACGAGCCATTGAGCCATACAATCCATGCAATAACATCGCTTGCGAGCTGAAACAGGCACAGTATCGCATAGCCACAGAGGTACCTGCTCATGGGTAAGCCACCTACGCGCATGTGAAAGAGCAGTTACACACTTTGAGGCTGGTACCTCGGATGCCTCATGATTCTCATACTCGTTCGACCAGAGCCCAAGGTAGTATGGCTCGTACAGCTTGAACACCACGCCCGAGACGACGAGAGATAGACGGAAGAACCAAAACCACGGTCCGCCCACGTGGCGCAGATACAACATGACGGCTTCCAAGCTGACAGTACCGTGTGCAATATCTTCCGCGACAATCAACTTCCCGGTTGACGCGTCGTCTTTCTTGGTCGTCTGATCTCCAGATTCCCGATCCTGGGCTTTCTGCACTGTTTCCTCCTCTTTCGCGAGCTCTTGACGCAGGGTGTCATCGTGCTCGATGGCCTCCGCCAGCGACGCTTCCGCCGTAACATGGCCTTGACCATCCACACGGATAACCTTCTTTGCCACCAAACGCGCAAGCGCTAGGTTATGTGTCACGAGTAGCACCGTCCGATCGCGCAACAAATCGCCCTTCAGGCACTTGTCGACCACGTGCCTTGCGGTGTGAACGTCTAGGGCTGCAAGGATGTCGTCGAGGAGTACTATTTTCGCTTTCGAATAGACCGCCCGTGCCAAGGTGACCCGAGCCTTCTGCCCACCACTGGAAATGGGAAGTGAAATGAGCATATATTTTGAGTGTAAGCGCCAGCAAGACCTGCCTCAGAGTCAGACCCTACACGTAGTATGAGAGTTAGTATGCGAGCCTGCAGAAAAGGGCTAAATAATGGGTGACCAACCTTTTCGCCAACCTCGGTCTGATCTCCAGCGGCAAACATACCCAAGTCTTGCACAAGCGCACATTGCTCAAGGACTGTTGGGTCTTGTCAGCGTTGTGCGAATACGAGCCCATACAGGATGTAGCACCTTTCTGATACCGCTCTTGGTCGAAGGGCGAGCCGAACACAATGTTGTCCTATCGGTTGGTCAGCCAGAGCTCAACTTGTCGCCGACACGTGATAATATTTTCACCTGGATAGTTTCATTCAACACCCAGCTTTCTTGGGCGGCGTATGCGATTCCGCCTCCCCTTGGAAGATTGTACCACGAACCGCCACTCTGCGGAGAATAATGCATTTCCCCTTCACGGCAGCCAAGTAAACAATATACCTCCATCTTATCTGGGCTGCGCACTCACCAAGTAAGGCGAGTAAAACACTTGTTTTACCCGCGCCAGTTGGACCTACTATCAGGTTCACGGCGTCTTTCTCGAATATTATCTCCTTATCAATCCTCAGTCGGAAGTCGCGTTTCTTGGGGTCATATGCTGCCCCATCGTCCTCGAGCCTATCCCAGGTGAAGACGGCGTCGCAGAAGCCTGTGCTGTTGTTCTCATCAGGGGCAACTAGGGCCGTGGATGGGGCGACGGAAGGGCTCCCATCCTCTGGCGTGATCAATTCCGTCTACCAATAACCGTCTATGGGTTACTGGATAGAGGTCCCGTATGGTGATCAGGACTCACATCGTTGAGGAACTCGTTGATCCGATCCAGAGACACTTTCGCTGCACGAGCTTGTCAGCTTCCTCTTCTGATAACTGATATTGGACATACCGTTCAAGAGCGTAGGAAGCATGAATACCAACTGGCTAATCTGACGTTGCAAAATGGCGAAGACGGAAATGGACGTGAAGATACGTGCAGCAGTCAGCTCCTGCTTCATGACCAAGGTCTACCGTGTACGGGCGTTAGCCGAGACAAGGACGCTGCTTGGATCCGAAGGACTGACATATACACCGAAAATCGCGACGATGTTGCACAACGGTAGAATCTGTACTCAATTCACTTGGTCAGAGAAAAGGCACACCGGGAATCACAGGGTCTCTCACGTTCTACACATCGGAACACGCACATTAGCACCTCTGTCGGGATAGTTTGAGTTCGTACTCACATTAAGCACATACGTCGACAGATACAACCAACCGTTGTAACGGATCCAGCTCAATTCCTCGGCCCTCAGCTTCTCTAACTTCTCTACCGACTTGTGTTCCCATGCAAAGAGCTTGATCATACGGACGACACTCATTGTTTGCGTGACAGCCTGCACACGCGCGTCAGAGACGGCCATCTTCTTGCGCGTCGAGTCCATCATCTGGGTTGCAGCCCAGGCGGGGACCGGGAGCGTGATCACGGCGACTGCAATGCCTACGAATGCGCTACAGTAGGTCTTTAGGCGACCACCAGCGGGGATGCACATGGAGCAGACGTACCTCCAGCCGAGAAGATCGTAGAGGAAAAAGACAGATATGATCGTTGCGGACAAGCCACTGACTGCAAACCCGAGTCGTGAGAATATGTGCGACCCGGCGTAGGTAGAAGAAGCACTCACGCAGCTGCGGGAAATCCCTAGCCTGCTGCATCGCGCTCACGTCCGTCGTGATAATATTGTTGATCCTGCCTATCATCTGTTTCTCGTTCTGCTTCTCATTATCCTCATCCTTCTTGTCTTGCTTCGCCTTCGCGTTATCCGGCACACCACCTTCCGAGGGCGTGACGGTGGCTGAGGATGATGTGGGACTTGCGCTCCGCTCCTCGCTGGCATCTGTATACGTCTCAGAACCTCCATCGACAGTAGATGAAGTTGCTGTTGGGCTGGCGCTCCGTTCCTCCGCCTGTACCTCCGTCGTGCGCTCGCCAGTGCCTTCCTTCTTGCGCTCTTCCTTTCCCTTCATCCGTATCCTCAGTGCATGCCTAAACGCTAACTGTGTCACGATCGCCTCCGCCCTCCTCAACATCTTCGTCGCCAAATACAGATACCACTCCGCCGTGATTGAGTATACCATCGGGCCCACACCGATCCATACGACCCATACCCAAGGCTGCACGGTCGCAGCGCTCGGATCTTCCAGGTAGGTAAGAATCTGCCTGACGCCGATGGGGGCAAGGAAATACGAAACGCTCTCGCAAAGCGTGAGCGTGGTCATGACCGCGTAGTCCCATTTGAATATATCGAGCAAGGACCAGATGACGTGTCGCTTGCGTTTGAGGAGGAGAGGGTCAATTTTGGGGAAGGTGTGGGTGATGAGGTAGGACACATCGTCGTGGGGATCCAGTGGGGGTAATTTCGAGGATGGGAGGTGGCCATGCCGCGCGGCGTACCAAATAGCGGGCGTGAAGTAGTCCCAAGTGAGGATAGAGCCCAGAGAGGCGCTCTTGATCGGATCCTATGAGAATACCAACCTAAACTTGCAAATCAAGGGGACAAGGAACCGAGGGACTGACGGATGATTGGGGACCAGGTATGGCCAGAGGCACGAAGATGCATATGACGAAGAGATAGAGCAGCTCTGAGACGTAGCGATAGTACCAACGTCCCGTTGGGTGTTCGCCGACATCAGACAGGACACGGAGATCAAAATACGCGGAAACGAAGAAATGGGCCAAAAGAACGATGCCTATGTGTGCATCGCTGATCCTCTGCCATTTTCGGGACGAGAAAAGCGAGAACGCTCCCAGTATAGTCGCGTACAACTGATGAAAAATACCGGCTTAGTACATCGGAAGAACGCGTATCCGAAAATACATACGCTGACAGCAGCCGGGAAGACAATATGAAGGTAACAATCCGTGTTGGGGATGGAGAACAACGAAATGAGTGCAGATACCGCATACGTAGCTGTTCCTGCCACCCTGAGTACTCTGAGAAACACTCCAAAAAAACCCCCGGAGTATGCGAGTCTGGTTCGCCATCCTTGTTCCTCGGATACCGCACCCTCAGAAACGTGACGGGGTGTGCAGCGGTAGTGGATGACGAGGTAAGCGAAGTGTGCAACCGATGCTAGGACGATTGCGAAAGGTATGGCACGCAGTACGACGACACTGGGGGCGTCCGACACGTTCATCGTGCGTGCCGAACGAATCCATGTGTTCGCGTCGACGATTGCAAAAGCCGTGTTGACCGGGTTGATCGGTGACTCATGCTTCGCCAGGCTTTGATCTCTCCTGCGCAGCCCTGTAGGTAGGTAGGTAGTAGGTAGTATTAACCGGCGCGATCCCAATACCGGAACAGCCGGACCCCAGGGCCTCGCACTAGTGGCGAGCCGGGACACCCTGGTCTACACGGTTCCCGTCCGCTCTATGAGCCAACACACCGCTTCGACCAGAGTGTGCATAATTACATGAATGTGTATCGTACTGTATACCCTACTCCAGGTGTATCGTACTATCTGTTCTACCCCAGAGTCCTGACCTCTTCAGGCCCCTACCTGCGCTATAGTCGATCCATGTCGGCGCACTAAAAACCCAACCACTAAAACCCAGTGGGAAAAAAGTGGCTGGGAAAAGCATCCTCGATAGACTGAGCAACATAGGTATATGTCAATCATCGGCTTTCAGAAGCGAGGCAGGGGATGCCATCACCAGCGCGGTCTCGCAACAGGCCGAGAGGCGGGGTCAGGGAGAGCCCCGACGGAACAGGCTCCCAGAGGCGGAGCAGGGGATGCCATCGCCGGCGCGATCTCGCAACAGGCCGAGAAGCGGGGTCAGGGAGAGCCCAGACGGAACAGGCTCCCGGAGGCGGAGCGAGGGGATGCCATCGCCGGCGCGGTCTCGCAACAGGCCGAGAGGCGGGGTCAGGGAGAACCCAATTGGAAGGCGGAGCGGGGCCAATGCGACAAGGCTCAACGCGGGATGCGGAGAAGACTGAGTCACGCTTGCGAGGTGCAGAGCGGGTGGGCGTGGTCCTGGCTCGCTCAAGGCGGAGCATTCAACGTAGCAAGCCTCGCGCACAAAGCGGAGGTCTAAGGGAGAGCTCAACGCGCAAGGCGGAGCAGACAGGTAGACGCGGGGAAGATGCGTCACGTGACCGATGTAGATGGAGCGGATGTTCGACGTTCGGCGGGGCGGAGGCGACAAGGGGGCACAGAAGTGCGGTGGTCGTTGAAGGAAGTGAAGCTAATGGGATGATATGATATGACTTGAAAGTCTTCGTTGGATGTCTTCATCGGAGGGAGGAAGGGTGCGTCCGTGGTCGCGGTCCAACGGGGGTCCAAGGCAAGTGTAGGATATCCACCGCAAAGCGACAGGGGGGCGTCGTCTCCCGGCTTGAAAGGACTGATGTTCAATCAAGAGATAACGGTTATTGCAACAGGCGAGACCAGGTTTGAATGTGCTCTGGCACACGATGCGAGAGGGGAGCCGACAGGGGCGCCAGTGAGTGTAGCAACATCCGACCCGCCGTTGGTGCATCCATCGCAGGAAGTCTTGGAAATCACCTCCTTTGCGTTGCGTATCGTAGGGAAGGTTCGTGGTTATCCAGTTTGAGGATCGTGGAGAGAGGGAAGAGTAGAGCCCTGGTCATTGATATATCATGAGTGATCAGGATTTCTTGGGCGTTGTCGCACCTGAACCGGCCGCAGCCTTAGCCACAGCGCTAGCGGTCGTCCGGGGCCCTCCTCACGCAATAAGGTAAAATTCGAACACCAGCCTGGAGGGCAACCAGAAAAACGAGTATGCATATACAGAAATGGACAATTACTTGGGATATAGACTACATAGCGAATATAAAATCTCGGGGATGTTACGCGCTCCTCAGGCCAAGTTCGCAAAGCCAACACGGTTGTGGCCGAGGTCGAACGCGGTATACACGTTTCGCATGAAGACGTCTCCCACGATCCAGAAAGCTGCAAAGGTAATGTTCAGACATCCGACGAGATCCGGAAAGGTGAGATACACACAAGCGCCGATATTCTGGCCCACGACACCGCCGATGCACCTATTTGACGACGCAGACTCGCGGCCAAGATTGAAAGTGTCCGCGGAGAGGTGGAACTGATGGCCTCCGAAGGTCAAACTAACATCGGGGATGTTGGCGCAAGGGAACGCTGCGAAAGAGCACACATCAATGGTGCGCGAGAATGAGCATGAAACAGGAGACGTACAATAAAAGCCTTGGCCGAATTCGTTGGCAGGTTGGGCGCCAGGGATATTGCTGTACAGCCGCTGGACCGCGTGCGGTTCCCCAACGATGAGAGTCGTGCCAGAATCGATGATGACGCTGGTTCCGCCGAGGACTCGGCCTCCGTTAACGCTGACGCCATCCATGTTGACTTGCCAGTATCCTTGGTGCGTCACCGGTACATACGTAAAGGAATCTCTGTACAACGCGTTGTTGACACCACCGATGGTAAGCTCGGAGCCAGATTTCGCGAGCTTGAAAGCGAAGATCGGGGTGCTGATTTGACGTTGGGAGACGAGCGTCTGGAAAAGGGGCGGCGCGTTGTAGACGGATATGGACTGAAAACCCATCCCCAACAGACCGTCGGCGGGGAAGCGCGGAGATTGGAAACCACTGGAGTATTGTGTAGATGCGCCGAGTGTCTGGCCGGTGGCTTTCTTTCCGGTTATTGATACAGCGTCCGCATACTGTTCGCCGCGTACAGACGAACCGTCCCCGTAGGAGAGCCTGTAGGTCTTGTGAAGATCCCTCGAGGTGCTGCTATGAGACGGGTTATAGACTTTGTGACCGGACTGATGGCAAGGTGTCAGTGATATACGAATATCAAATCTTTGAGCCACCTACGCAAGTCTGGCCGCACGAAGGTCCGGGCAGGAAGAGGTCGCTACTTCCGGTATCGAAATCGACTGTGTACTGAACGGCAGGAGTACCCGCAGTGATCGTTCCGTACCAAAGAACATTGTTGTCGTCCGCAAGCCCGTCATGGCCGACAGCACGTTCAAGGTTACGGTGTTCGAGAAGGTCGGCGGGGTGGCGTTGGCCCATGTTCTTCTCATACGCAACCATCCCTCTTGCAATTTTACTTACGAAGTTGATGCGTTAGTAAAGCGTTCCTCCAGAAATACTGAGCGATAACATACCTCGTAGTCATCTGCATCTGGCCCTGCAGGTTTTGATAGTCAACGATGCCTTCAGCATCTTGAACCTCCCAGCGCCTGGTAAGAGCAACGGAGTTCTGTTGCATCTGATCGAAAGGAATAGCCGAACCAGCGGCGAGTAAGGGCAAAAGGGTGATCATAACGATGAGGCTGAGGGTGTTGCGCATCTTGGATAATAAATAGTGCTTCGATGGCTTTGATGTAGAGTAGAACGTGTGAAAAACGAGCTGAAAGATCGCAGATCTTGGAGGACCGAGGGAGAGAGAGCTTAAGGACGAGAACCGATGGGCATCCCGTTGACGTTCGTGCTGGTATTTATGTAGGGCAGAAGAGGCCGATATTATCCGCGCGGATAGACTGGCGGCAGCGGGTGGTGGTTTTTCGGCTGTACACGACGTTGGATGTCCATAGTGAGCTGTAGGGCGCGGATGGTAGCGGCCAGACTTGAAAGAGGTTAGCCGGTCGTCGAGAGTCAAGGATAGGATCAAGGGACGCGCCAGAGGAAGAAGTAAGTGCCCACATTGGATCGATCATGTGAGCGTGCCTCCCCGGCACTTGCTGGGCATTGCCAGCGTCGAATAATTGAAGCTCAGCAACGAGCGCTAGTGGGTTTGCAGTATATGTATACTGAGATACAGCGTAGTACACGCAGGAGGGATCGCGCGTATTATATGAGGGTGGAGGAACGCAGTCACCGGAATGGGAGAGCCGAGCTGAAAGATTGCCAACCTCTGCTCAAACTAACCTCCGTCGTGTCGTCTGATACTAAGACGAACAAGCGGTAACGTATAGCGTCAATCCACAAGCTTGTTGGACAATCGCTAGGGCTTGACCATGCTATACAAGTCGTCTCTATCGTGAGATTTCTCCACGAGCTCGTAGAAGAGGCCTTTCTGAGGGGGAACGACTCATCGTCGGATTGACCGCGTGGGCGCGTGGGGGCGGATCACTGGCCACTCCGCGAGATGACGCGACTCTGTATCAGCGATAGCTCTCGCTACGTTGTGAGTCGACGCGGTCCGCTTCGACGGTTGTTGAATCCACCACCATCGCTTAGTGCATACGGATATCGCGATTGAGTGTCCTGGATAGGGTACATGAAAAGAGTTGTTGAAGGACGTGCCCAAATTAACGAAGATGGACAATTCTCCGTGTAGGCCCAATAACCTATCGAGAGCGCACAAAGAGACGGCATAAAGGGGTATCATATGATTCTACGAGGTCGTTACGACTTTACCAGATTATACAGCACATCCTTATCGTGCGATTTCTCTACGAGCTCGTAGAAAAGGCCTTTCTTTTGTGCAAGGAGCTCTTTGGGAGAACCGAACTCCGCCAATCTGCCGGCGTCAAGTACCATCTATTTCGCAATGTCAGAGTGGCAAGGTTAGCGCGGCAAGACGAGCACTCACGATCTTGTCCGAGTCCATGATGGTCTGCAGTCGATGAGCTATGGTGATGATGGTGATGTCGTTGCCCAGGGTGGTCCTGATCGACTCCTGAATGGCCGAATCGGTCTCATAGTCTATGCCGCAAAGCGCATTAGTGAGCTGTACCCACTACGCGGAATTTCGAGGACTTGGGCACGTACCGATAGCCGCAGTGGCCTCGTCCATGATCATGAGCTTACTCCTCCGTACGTGAGCTCGTGCGAGAGCAATGATCTAAATCATGATCAGAGTGCAGTATTATGGGATGACAGGCGTGCTTACCTGACGTTGACCATGCGAGAAGTTCGATCCTCCGGTCTCTACCTCTGTATCCAAAGTGATGGCGGCAGGATCTCCTTCCTTTTGTATCCGGAACAAGCCGGCAGAGCGCAAGGCGTCGTTCAATGTGGCATCATCGTGCTCGCCGAAGGGATCTAGGTTCTCGCGCACGGTTCCGGCAAGAAGATCGGGATGCTGCGGGATAAGCGTAACGTTGGCTCGGAGGTCACGTAGGTTGATTTTATGGATGTCGATGCCGTCATAGAACACTTGACCGCTCGTCAAGATACCACGCAAGAGGGCAAGACTAATCGTCGATTTTCCGGCTCCGGTCCTACCGACCACACCTACACGTTCGCCGGACTTGATGTCGAAGGATATTTCATGCAAAACCTCAGGAGATTCTAGATCGAAATTCATTTAATCATTACTCGACGACCATCTGCGAGGCACGCATACGGACCTGGACCATAACGGGCACTGAGCTTCTCGGCACGTAAAGAACCACTCGCAGGCCAGTAAGCCGGCGGAGTGCCTTCCTCGGTTGGCTCAGGTTCATGTTCGATCTTGAGGAAATCAAGGATGCGCTCCAAGCTATTGCCTGAAGGTAGGAGCTTGCATAAGTGAACGTCCAGAATTTCAATGAACTGAACTCACACTCCACTTCGGCCATGTTCGCAATACGAACGAAGAAGAATACCTCCATGGAGAAGCCTAAGACTTGAGACAGAGCGAAACCAGCATCGCCGGTGCTGATGAGTCCGCCATATAGAACGCCACCGGCAACAACCGCGGAGAAGATACCACCCAGCGTGTCGATGCGAACGCCGACCCATCGGTTGATGTTGTAGAAATTACGCGAGAGGCGAGTGTGTCGGTTGATACGTGTGACCAACTGCTTGCTGAAGTGCTCTTGAGCATCATAAGCTCTGATGGAAGCTGAACAATAGTTTAACATAGGGCCAAAGTCGGAGGCAATAGACCGAACTTACCAAGTCCAGCCAGACCAGCGCCGAACAGGCTGAGAATGGGAGCCTTGGCGACACTTTGTTCGCGCTTCACCGCTGGAGGCAGGTTAGTAACCGACACTTGGCGATAGCAAAGAAGCGCAGATACACACATCGTTGAGCAGTGATATAGAACCGTCCGATAAGCATCCCGCCCACCAGAACGAGGACACCAGCAGCCAAGGCGCTCCAACCCACGATATAGACAATCGCGATCAGCCTCAAGATCAGGTTGGCGGTAATCGTGAATTGCGTATTGAAGATCTGCCGGATCATTTGGTCGACCGATTGCAAGTCCTAAGGTAAACAATCAATGATCTGCGCAGCATGCCAGATGTCTATATACCAACCTGAGTACACCGAGTGATGACACGCGCAACGGGGACTGTGTCCAGCCATCTGCGAACGATTCGGTTTGCAAGGGCGGAGTATCAGATAGACTGGAACGTACCGGAACGTCGACCCGAAAACGGATTGCACAAGCGCCTTGTGAATTCGGCTGGAAGCCTTCATGGCGCCATTCACCCAAACTAACCATCCGATGACTCCTGCCGCGAGCTCGGCCAGGGCAAGAATGGCGTAGCCAGTCATATACCTAGCAAAATGAGAGGTAAGACGATGGAGTGTTTGCAAATTGTGGCCGTACTTCATTGCCGGAACCTCAGACGCAGGATGCTTTGCATATTGATTCGACCAGAGACCAAGGAAGTACGGCATGGCAAGACCGAGGCAAGCTTCGAAGAAAATGATGAAGAAGCGGAAAACCCAGAACCCAACGCCGCCACAGTTGCGAATATAGAGCATCACGGCTTCCAGCCCCACAGTACCGTGAGCGACGTCCTCGGCGATTGTCAGCTTCCCTGCAGAGCTTTTCGGTTTCTTTTCTTCGGCAGCCTCCTCCTGCGCGGGGGCATCGCTTTTGGTGGCCTGCTCCTCCTTGACAAGCTCAGCCCGCAGTGCTGCATCGTGTTCCACAGCTGCGGCGAGAGAGGGCTCGACTTTCACGCGACCGCGGCCATCCACCCGTACGGTTTTCTTCGCCAAGGAATTCGTTAATGCCAGATTGTGAGTGACGAGGAGCACAGTGCGATCGTGGAGGAGGTCGCCCTTGAAACACTTGTTCACCACATGTCTCGCCGTGTGAACGTCCAGAGCCGCAAGAACGTCGTCCAGGAGTACGATTTGAGCCTTCGAATAGACAGCGCGAGCAAGGGTAATTCGTGCCTATGAACATAATATTAGTACAGATTTGTGGACGCGTGAATGGCTGTTGACGATGTGTACCTTCTGCCCACCACTATGGAAGTGCAAAGGTGGAAGATTGTTCAGGAAAGCTCGCATGTCAGCTGGTTCGTAGCGTACCTTAAAGTCAAGCCCTACGCGAAGAACTTCAGTTATGCATTTGGGATGAGCGCTTAGCCGACCAATGACGTACCTTCTCGCCAACCTCGGTTTCATCACCGGCAGCGAACAGATCGAGGTCCTGTACGAGCGCGCACTGCTCAAGCACTGTGCAGGACGTGAGTATGGTTAATACAAAAGGAAGGTGCCGTTTTCACCTTTGTTATAGCGTTCCTCCTCGTACGCCGACCCGAAGAGGATGTTTTCCTGTCCAACTGTGAGGTGGAGTCATGCAATGAAGCCCGTATCACGTACGCGGATAGTCTCGTTCAGTACCCACGTCTCCTGTGCAGCGTATGCTACGCCACCGTTCCTGGGCAGGTTGTACCAAGAATCAGGACCGTCCGAATGGTAGTACATCTCGCCTAAGCATCGCTCAGCTCCACGATAAAGGGGATCTGAGCAGCTGGCCTACCAAGCAGCGCGGCGAGCAAGGACGTCTTGCCAGCGCCCGTAGGACCCACGATGAGATTGACGGTTCCTCTATCAAAGGTGACCTCTCCGTTGATGGTCAGGCGGAAGTCGCGTTTCTTGGCGTCCTTGAGCTTGCCCTCCGCATCCAGCGCGTCCCAGGAGAACGTCGCGTCTTTGAAACCGATGACATCGTCCTCGGCAACGACAGCGGGTGTTTCAGAAGCGACATCCTCGGTGTCACGCGGTTTAATCAACTCGGTCTGTCATAGAACGTCATCAGTGATTGGACCTTCACTAGATAGAGAATTATCCACCTTCCAAAGGAAGTCGTTGATACGGTCCATGGATACCTTGGCTATATGACAGATTCAACAAGAATAGACGGTCTAACGCAAGTGTTCAATTACCGTTGAGAAGCATAGGCAGTTGGTACGTCATCCGCGCGACAGAGTTCTGCAGGATTGAGAATACGGAGATCGAGGTGAAGATGCGTGAAGCAGTGAGCTCTTGGTGCATGATGAGCGTCTGGAAAGGACGTCAGTCTCGGCTTAAACTGAGGAAGGTGAGCGTGGACTGACGTATAAGCCGAAGGTTGCGAGGATATTGCACAGAGGCAGGATCTATGTATGATGCAAAGTGAGTTTCATGGATCCTGAACCACCACATTGTCAATTACCGTCTGCAACAGGCGAATGTCAGCGAAGGCGGTCAAACGCAGAAGGAACGGACTCACGTTCGTTGCGTAGTTTACCAACTGAAGGGTACCGTTGTATCGGATCCACGAAAGTTCTTCTTCTCGGATCTTCGACAGTTTCTCGAGCGATTTGTCCTCCCAGGCAAACAACTTGATCATCCGGACAACGCTCATGATCTGGTTGACGGCTTGCACGCGGCGATCGGACTGGTCCGAACGAATCAGCGACGTGCAGATGGATGAAACGACGTGGTCGTGCACGTACGACTTTCATTTTCTCACGTTGAGAACCCATCTGCTGTTTGGCTACCCACGCCGGAATGGGCAAAGTGATCACGATGACGGCAGTCCCGACCAGCGAGCTTTTCATGCAGTGAGTATGCAGCTCGCGAAGATGAGATGCTATGCTCACCTCCATCCGAGCATTTGGTATAAAAACACCACACTGAAGATGACTGATAGGAGCGCTTGTACTGTCGCGGGCGTAAGCACGCAAGCAACACATCATTGCTCAAGGCCAAGACATCGACTCACTGATATACGGGAAGTCGCGAGCTCTGCCGAGAGCATTAACGTCGGACGTGACGAGATTGTTGATCTTTCCGATCATCTGCTTCGTGCTCTTCTTTTCTTCCTCTTCCTTGGCCTTCTTCTCGCTAGTCTTGTCCTTCTTCCCTTTGCCGTCTTTCTTATCCTTCGAGGTAGTCGACTCCTCAGTGTCCGACGCCGCTGCGGTCTCCGAGGAGGCCGTTGGGCTAGGGCTACGATCCGACGAGGCTACCGACGAAGCAGACGATCCAGCGGCGGTCTCGCTGGAGGTGTCGTCTTCCACAGCGGTACTGCTCGACGACGCTTCGGGCGAGTGCGCAGCGGGCTCAGCCGAGTCATTCTTGTCGTCTTTTTTGCTGTCAGCCTTCTTGTCGTCTTTCTTGTCGTCATCCTGAGACTTCAGTCGGATCCTCAGCGAGTGGCGGAAGATCAGCTGCGTCATGAGTGCTTCCGCGCGCGTGAGGATCTTGGTGGCATGGTGCAGGTACCACTCGCTCAAGAGCGAGTTCACCACTGGACCGAGGCCAATCCAAACGACCCAGACCCAAGGGCGAATACCATTCGTAGAAGAGCCTTCCATGTAGCTGTAACATGATGCACATTATCAATATCTCCGTCGGAGCAGAATATGCTCCTACTGACGAAAGAATCTGATTGATACCGATGGGCGCCAAGAAGCTGGCTCCGCTCTGGGCAGGATCGATTAGCTACTCAACCATTTGTAAGAAGTTTCAGATACCTCGAGGAGGACCAAGGTCAGCATGACCACGTACTCCCGCTCTGTGCAAGACGTCAGCAAGGGCATTCATGACATGTCAAGGGCCTACTGAAGACAGCCAGAAGACTCCAGGCAATGTAACGCTGCTTCGGCAACAACAAGGGGTCGACTTTCTGCAAGGCCATCGTTATACTGGGTTCCTTCTCTGGGATGATACGGCACCCACCTTGAAATCCTTCTCGGCGAGGTAGGCGGCATCATCGCCTTGCTCCAGTGGCGGAAGCATTTCGGGAGGCAGGTGAGGATGGCGCGACGCGTACCAGATGATCGGGTTAAAGTAACCCCACGTCAAGAACGAGCCCAGCGATGAACTGCTGATAGCGTCCTGGATTGCACGATGAGTATCCGACGGTATGCTTGCGCACGGCAACGTACCGAAGTCTGCGGGCCGGGTGTCGCAAGGGAAACAACGATGCTGACGACGAAAAGCAACGCCAGGCGGATGATAGCAGTCTGGCTGGGTTGTTCGCCACCGATGACCGCGAGAGGGACGAGATCTTTCGTGACGAAGACGCCGAAGATGGCAAGCAGAATGATGCCAAGATGCGCATCCAGCACCCTCCGCCATCTTTGACTGCCCGTGATGAACGAAGCGGCGCTCAGTGCGGATGCATACACCTAAGGATGGACACCGACATGAACGCGAGTTTGCGATGAATCGTAGAGAAACATACGTAAAATGCTACCAGCAGTATTTTTGTTCTGTTCCATCCACTTCCCAAGGCCAGCTCGTACCCCAAAAGACCGAGGAGACCTAACACCCTCAGCTCTCTCAACACGATTCCCTGCCATCCACCCCGCTTCGCGACCGGTCCAAGCGTCGGCTCGGACTGGTCTTGGGCAGCCTCCTCGTCCTGGAGAGCTATGGGCCCGTACTGCTTCTTGGCTCGGACGTGTTGTAGAACGACATGTCCAGCGACGTGTATGGCAGACAAACCGGCCAGCGAAACCGGTATGAGCAAGAGGTCCGCCAACGGAGGGCCGCTGACGACCGCGGCCGCGGTGGCCACGTACGTGCTGACCCAATCCATGTCGAGGGCCTGATAGAGGGGGGGCACAAGAACGCTTGATTGAAATGGACACACGAGCCCATATACTTATTGGGCGCGCGTCGCCGCCCGTGACTCTGTTGGCGGCGCGGACACGATTCAGGGGAACCGAGGCTGGCTTCGATTCTCACCTGCTGTGCTGCACCGCATGGACCTCAAGGTAGCCAATCCAACGGGGCGTCCCGGCTGCGCGATTTTGATCCGCGAACCTGGCTGAACCTGACTCATCTGCGGGGCGAGTCCATGATCACCGGCGGCTCGGTTTCCGATTTACTGTAAAAGATTAAGTACGTGGGACAGCCACGGAGTTGTGGACATGGACATGTCTTGAATTTCAAAGCAAGAATCCATACATACAGGCTTAGACAATACGCCGGCGCAGAGAGAGTAAAGAAATCGTTTTTAGATGCTTTGCGCTTCCCGCGCCGGAATTGATATGGGTCACCGAATGTGAGCAACCGGTAACGTGCAGCTGAAGGGACAGGAATGACATTGCTAATCTGCAATGGCTCGCATGGCGTCCACGACTCACAGCTACTTACTGACTAGCACTCGGAAACGAATTATATCAACGTTCCGAGAAAGAGTCAGGTTACCCGAAATCAGACAACCGCCGGACTTCGACCTGAGTGCGCATCGCGCAAGTCTGCAAGAATAGACTAGATAACCCCCGCAGTGATGGAGGCGGGTGTCATTTCCGTGGAGAGCGGACTGCGCCGAAAGGACACGCTGCTAGGTTATCAGCTGGTGGTCCTACGTACTATCACAGGAAACATTGCCACCTTCAGCGCGCCGTCGAAATAAACAAACCGAAGTCAATAGACGAGGTACTCTGACAATCCTCCGGGCTCTGGATCACTTCCGAGTCAAGTCAATGAAGGAACTACACCCCGAGCACTTGAGTACTGAGTAGTGTTCGATCTTCCTTTCTTCTATTCACGCCTACGACAACTCCATCGCCATGTCCCAGAAACGCTTCTCGAACAAAGTACACCGCGCCCAAACCCTTTTCCACTCCTCAAAACGTTTCGCACTCGGCGGGTCCGCCACGGCGCAATCTTCTATCAAAGCTATTCCATGTCGGAAGAACAACGGGCGGCATTCGTCAGCTCCTGCAGTACTGTATTTAAAACGCGCGGTGACCCACCTATGCCCGTTTTGACGGCACTTTGATACATCTCGCCTGAATAGTCGTCGATCCATTTCTGGTACGGGTTGTCTTCCAGCTTGACCCAGGTCTTCGGCTTCGCAGCCTCTTTTTTCAACCAAAGGCCAACCTCGCCGTAACCGAGCAAGCACGATGCCAGAGCCATCACAAGCTTTGCGTAGTCGCCTGCATCGGACGGTGGCTGATCAGCACCCGTTCCGTTCGCGGTGGCGGTCGAACGTCACCCACCCTCGATGCCCGTATCAAGCAAGAACGCGCCGTAGGCCGTCGTGGCTGCCGACTCCGGCGTGTTCTCCAGCTCTTCCTCAGATACACCCCACTGGGCGCAGAACGATTTGTGCATGACGGACTCGGTGATAACGTTCATGATCGTTTGGGCAGCAGGTTTCATCGCGGAAAAGGAAAAGCCCTTGGCGACAAGAAGCCTACACGTCGCCGTCAGGTGTGCGAACGTATGTATAATGCAAATTCCTACCCATATGCACGCGCGTAATATTTGAGATAATGATAATCTTGTCTGGCCTTCGATGAACATAACGGTCTTTCCAATCGGGGTATGAGAACGCTCACTTGATGAAGTGAACAAAGCTTTCTCTCCGTAATGTCCCAGAGCCCAGCTGCTTCACGAAGTCATGCTCCACATATTTTTTCCACACATCGGACGTGGACTTGATCAGTGCATAGGTGAGCGGATGAGGATTGACGGGACTTGGCCTGTAAGAAGCGACAAGATGTTTCAGTGATCGAAGACCAATGCATCAACCGTGGTCATACAGCGCGATAACCCGGGAAGTTGTCGAATGTATGTGGTTGAGAGGACCGTGGCCGGAGCCCATTGGGAACGCATGCTCGATCCCAAGGTGTGTATAGAGAGTTGCATTCTCCAACGCCCGAGCGACTATAGGCATGTCATAGGTTAAGGTTAGGACTCCCGTTAGAACAGACTAACGATCATCTCCTCGAGCAAGCATGCACACGAGTGCAGCGCTCAGAGTGCAGCCAGTGCCATGCGTGCTCATGGAATCGAGCCTCGGCCGCACGAAAAGCGTACTTTTTCCTGGTTTCTCGCAGAGCACGTCGACGACGAGTTGTGGATCTTGAGCGACGTTTTGGGCAACTTTCAGTACCTCCATCTTCTCATCCAATAACAGGGATTTGACGAGGCGCACGTCCGACTCAGTCGATAGCAACCTATCGACGTCGGACAAAGTCGCAGTGAGGTGACCGCCCTTGACCAAAACGGCGTTCGGTCCCAGTGAGAGCAGGTTTCTTGCAGCGGTGAGCATGTCTCCGAGCGACTCAATCTTCCTCAAAGAGAAATCTTCGCATCGCGAGAGGAACAGCTCCGCCTCTTGTCTATTGGGAGTGATGAGATGCGCGAGGGGGAAGAGTTCCTTGACGATGACATCGACGGCGTCCGGGTGCAGGAGCTCATGCCCGGATGTCGAGACACAGACGGGATCGACGACGAGAGGCGGCATTGTTCTGCTTCCTCCACCGTAGTGCGCTTGCAACGCCTTGATAACGGATTGAGCGTTGCTCGAGTCATAGAGCATCCCCGTCTTCAGAGCCTTGACATCGGTATCGCTCAGCACGGAGTCGAGCTACACTTCAATCGCATCAGTACGTTCAGGGCGCAGGACACCGAGCAAAAATCGTGTCGTGCCTGCTGGGCAACAAAACCCGGCGGAGAGGGGTGCACACCCTGCACTCCCGTCGTATTCTGTGCGGTCAGCGCCGTTATGACGCTGGTGCCATAGCACCCCAGGGCGGTGAAAGTCTTGAGGTCGGCCTTGAGAGGTTCAGCGATGAGATACGCTCTCGGTATCTCGAAGGATTCGTCTGCGCACTTGAATGCCAGCACCTCCACTCGAATCAGACCCAGCTATCGTGAGCACGGCGGGAGGGGCTGGAGTCCGGTAGCTTAAGGGCATGGGCATTTGTTCTCTGGCGATCAGAACGAAGATGCGTTGTGTATTCGCCAGAAGTGATGATAAGGGCGAATTCACGAAGCAGATCAAGCTTTGCTGCGATCAGGCCTCCGCCGCCACGCGTGAATCAGACGGGTCATTCGAGGTCCGAATCCGACTCGTTCCCCCAGAAGTCGCCATCGGCACGGAGGATCGCATGCACGTTGCATCGCCCCCCGCGTGGGCTGAACCCCTTTGTAAGGCTTAAGCTTGACCTCGACCACTAACACCTCCCAAGCCATGGCTAGCGCGAAACCTCCGACCGATCTCGAAGAGGTGCTAGACAACGAAATCAAGTGAGCCTTTCGTACGCTCGTTTGTCTTCGGGGCGCTGAGCCAGCACTTGCCAGGGAGTGGCATTTCCGTTCGTCATCCACCTCGATTAGGAAGATGCCCGTTCATACAAACATACATATCAGACATTTACTTTCACCAGAACAACGCAGACGAGCACAAGGCTGCTTTGGACCTCCGTGATTCGGTCTTGCGGCTGAGGAAGAACGGCGCATTCATCGCCGTTCCTCTCTATCGGGTCAACACCGGACCTATTGGTCCACATCCTTGTGGTGACTACTATATCGCCATCATGCCGACGTGACAGAGTACCCATCCAGATTGATAGGCTCATACGAAATTTGGGTCCCCTACGAGTCCTTTGCGGCGGTCTACTCCTACTTGGTTCTCCACAGGGGTTCTCTCAGGTACGTCGACATGCTCTATATCTTTCGGAGGACATCGATGACGAGAATACGGTGCTAGCATCCTCGTGCATCCTCTGACTCGGGAAGAACGGGCCGACCACGAAGTCCGTAACTCGTGGATAGGCCCATCTTTCCCACTGGATCTCTCCACTCTTCCAGTGAAGAGTGAAGATGTGCCCTCGCAGTATCACAGCTTGAGTAGGGAGATTGTATTTGCCATTTACCGAACGGTACTGATATCGTTTTCCAGAGCTCGGTTACTCCTCTACGGCACCGAAGCTTTCGCTGGATGAAAGGCGGAAGATAGGGGCGAACGTGGAGAAAATTCTGCAGGGGGAGAAGGAGGCCGCTAAGGCTCCAGTGGATGCCTAGGTCGCGTTGTATGGTCTATATCTCGATTGCTTGCTTGTTTATACCTATGGATCTGCGTTTTACTGGTCGGCCAACTTGCGTGAAACGACTCGTAACACCGGCATCTTCCAAAAAGAACACAGCCACTGCGTACTTCAGTTCTTTCCTGGCCATGTCGTCTGCTGGCTCCCGTTCACCGAGCCCTCTGCCGGACCGTATAACACCATCCTTACCCTCTAGGGATAAACGAAAGAAAGAGAAGAAGAAGAAGACGCAGCCAGAGGTGGAATATACCAGCCATGGGAAGAATGAAGGCACAAGCTCGTACTGGGCCTACGAGCCGCCTAAGGACGCAGAGGTGATGGACCACGACGTGGATTGCGAAAACCTTGACTGGGATGCTATACGAGATGACGAGAATCTTGAACTTTGGCTTGTGCGCGTTCCAGAGAGGGTGAGTACTGCTACGATCACGAGGAAACGAGCTCATATTTCGGCTATAGGTCAAGCCCTCACATCTGGAGTCACTTCAGCTAGACGACCCGTCCTCCTCCAGGACCGGCATAATCGGGTCTTTGAAGCGTAAAAGCGCTGCGTACGAAGTTTGGTCCCTTGGCCAGGGAACTGGAGATAGTCTCGCCATCGGTGGCGAGGAACTCAAAAGCCTCTCATGTCTGCTTCCTCGGAAGAGGAAAGGCGGCAAGCTCTACCCAGGTACATCGAGCGGATATCCGACTCTGCGTGATCGGTGCTAACTCTACCACCCTTCCTCTAGCACCAAAACCCATCGCACGTCACGTAGTCATCACCAGCAGAGCGCCCATACCTTCACCGGTCGAATTACCCCAGTCGACAACTGCTCCGAATATTTATCAAAACCCGCCCCGACCGTCATATCCAGAGGAGGTCCTCAAACACCAGTTCAAGCCTTACGGCTCGGTCGTGATTCCGGACAATCACCCCTCAGCCGAAGGAAATCAGGACGTTGATATGGTTCAGGCGCGGGATGACTCTGAGGAGGCCGTTGAAGCGGCAGTGGCTGTACCGCGGAAGGAAAAGAAGGAGAAAAAAGAGAAGAAGCGTAAGGGCGAGGAAGGGACCATATCACCCAATAAGTTGAAGAAACTGAAAACTGACAGCTAGAGATGCATATCTGGGTACACAATTATTGGGTTCCGTCTTTCAATGTGACCGCATCCTGGTGATTTGAAAGGTGTGACCAGTATCCGGAGGGTTGGGTTGATTATAAAACTACAACGCCAGCAGTGATAAAAGCAAATAGAGAACGATAATCTTAAGGAAATCGCCAAGAACGGCTGCCCTATCCCAGTTCCATCGGGGTGCCATTCGGTAATGGTGCATTCGTGCTCGAGATCGCTTCAGCCCCGGATGCTCCCGCTTTGCCCTTCCCTTTCGGATCCTTCAGAGCGCTCTCTCTCAGGACAGGCGGCAGCATTTTCGCCCGCTCAAGTTCCGCCCTAACTTCATCCACTACTCCGACGAACACACTCTTTTCCCTCTCGGGGACGCCAATGATGGTCCCCTTCCTCTCCCGCTCCTTTTCCTCGAACACATGGCCGATCTGGTCAACCCACTGGCGCCGCGCCTTCACGAGCTGTATGAGCTGTTCCGGCACGTTCAGTACCGCCCTGTCGTCCTGACCTAACCCGAGCGCTGCGGGACTAGGCGGAACCACAGCGGGCGCTTTCGCATCCCCGTTCGCGCCAGCTAGCTCGCTCTTCGCTCTCTTCTTCTTCGACACTTTCGGTGCATCCTTCTTCTGTAACTTGTTATACAGGTTGGCGATGTTCCGGTCAAAGGCGTCGCGCATCTCGACGTAATCTTGGTAGCCCAAGCGATCCCGCACGATGTTCACGAGCCTCGCCTTCCGGGCCTTGTTGGTGGCAACTGTGACGCGTAACCGTTGCTGCGCATGCCTAAGCGCCGTTGCAATCGGGTCGTCAACTGGGTCATCCGTGACGGGTTCGTCATCCGGTACACCAAGCCACCTCAAACTCTCCCTGATTCGCTCCTCGAGATCGGCTATGGTCATCTTGTCCCTAGCTGCGGCAGCTGTCGCGCCTCCACCAGACCTCCCTTCCATTGCACCCTCAGCCTGTTTGACCCCGTTCCATACCGCTTCGCCGGGCATCGGTAGAAGTGCGCTGATGAGCCGTTCGGTTAGAGGCCCGTGACCCTTCTCCTCCGTGATGGAGTCCGCATCCGTGAGCGTCGCCGGCTCCCACTTCGCGTTCTTCTGAAAGAGCTTGCCACAATCGCTAGTACTTGCGAGCGCACTGGCCTGCGCTGCGGCGGTACCTGGAAGCGGAACACCATAGATAGCGATATCCTCTTCCTCCCAAACCGCCGAATAATGACGTCCAAGCTTCGGCATTACATAGGGTGTCACTTCGTCGGCGGTGTACTCGAGGAACCCCACATCTTCCTCCGTGAAAGGTCGTAACCAGGGTTCTATCGAGGTGTAAAACGTGTGCACGAGGATCTGAGAAGGCTGTTTCATCTTGCTGAAGTCCTCCTTCACGTCTGTAGCTTTGCTTGGCCCTGGTGCAGGCGCCGGTGGCACAGGAGGTCTGGGAGGTACTAGTGTCACCGGAGCAGGAAGCGTGAAGTCCTGACCACTCGGAAGCTACGACGCAAAAGGTGAGAAGTCGACGGCTAGTGCCGTGCGGGAACGCGTACCTTAGCGGATACGGCTGGAGGTGCTTTCATCGCTTTCTGGTTGTTGCTGGATACTACCGACGGGGAAGGCGATACCTTACGCGCGCGTTGTGGTTCTGTCCCAAGCTCAGTGTACTGACTGACACCGTCACGATCTATACATACCGGGCTCTCCGTCGCTGTCACCGAACTCTCGCTTCCGTTTTTTCTTCTTCTTGAGAAGATCCGACCTAGGCAACTGTCAGCGGAATATTCGATAATGGGCCTGTGGAAGGCCACGCACGAAGTCTTCAGGCTATCCAGTGAGGGCCTCTTGATGTACTGCGGAGCGGACGTAGAGGACGCCACCGAGGGAAATCGAGTGCGATTCACAGACAAGGCGCGCTCTTCAGAATCAACCGCCATGGGGGTGACTAACGGAAGCATTCAGCACATGGCGGCATTTGACACATAGCATATATATATATATAGCCGAACAAAGCCTCGTGAAGTCGAGATAAATGAACAAAACCAGTGACGAATGATGTCTGAGACGCGACAAAGCAACGGGGACGGAAAGAGGCAGTACCCACATCCGCGCTCCTTCTTGATCTTCTCCTCCTTCCGCTTCCCCTTCTGCTTCTCTTTCTCCTTGATAAACCTCCTGGACTCGTCCAATGTCTTGTAATCCGCTACCACCTTAGACATGAATTCCATAGACTTCAGTTTCAGAATCTGAAGTTCCGCCTGCGCGGCCTCCAGGTCATCCGTGCTGGGTACGGATTCCGGTGGATTCTTGATCACATTAGAACGTATTGGCGGGGGAGTCGAGTACGGAGAAACGATTGACGCCATTGCACTAGGCCGTCGATACGAGCATCCCCTTCGCGCGTTCACGGCTGCCCGCTAGCAAACAAAGCCAGCAAATTCCGAATCTAAGCTCAGATGAGGCCCGCAGATTGGTCCGAAAGGTCCGGTATAGCTGCTCGTTGACGACTGTCGAGGTAAGCGGTCAAGAAGGCAAGTCACGCGTTTCGGTCACGATTGCGGTGTTAAGGAAAAGTTCCCACGAAAGGGACGATGCCAGATGCGGGCGGTGGCGATGAACCCTCTTTATTACTGATTTCTTCACGTCCACATCGTTTGGGCACCTTGAACCACTAAAGCATCTTTGCCTCTCCCCGCTTGTGTTGAGTCCGGATCTCAAATTTACGGATTAAAATGTCCATACGTCGTCTTGGTTCAATTCGCTATATAGGCATGCGGAGACATCAACGGACTCGACAACTCGGCATCGCTATCTGTCACCTCCATGTCGTATAGTTCATGCTCACATGAAGCTTGAGTACTGAATATTGAATGCCCCGTGCATCTTAATCCAAAATTCAATGGCCATGCCCCTTGTGAGTGCAACTCAGCGATATCTTCGTGAGCTAGCAGCTCTGTAATCCCATGCCGACGCGCCCTGCACAGAACGCCGCATATGCGGAAAAAGCGGACAATGAACGACATCATGATGCCGGTCAATGCCATGAATGGCCAACGGCGTTTCAATGCCCAACATATCGGTCAATTCTGAATTTGGCGACGAATTTGACGAGCCGATCATTCCACTTCCATGACGTCACTGCTGCGACGCCGCCAACATTGGCTGACTCCAAAGCTGACCAACCATCCTGGAGCGTGGTTTACGTTGCTGAGAGTCGACAATGTATATCACCCTGCCTCGTTTGACATCTAGTGCTTGTGCTTGAAGTTCATCTCTCAGACTATGTCCGCTCCCGCTCCGCTGGAAATTCGCCCTCCGTCGCCCGCCACCACGGCGGTGTCCGCACAAGGCAGTAGCAGGTCCTCCACCATGCTCCGCAGGACGTCGCGTTCCCTCGACGAGGAGGAGATGCACGAGACTGGTGGCGATGAGCCTCAGGGTCCGCGTTCCTCGGAGTCCACCGTCCGGCCAGAACTGCCTGGCGAGAATTCCGATGAAGTCAATTGGGACGGGCCCGACGATCCTACTAACCCTCAAAACTGGCCTGAGGCGGTCAAATGGCGGTTGACCGTCCTATGTGCAGGCCTTACTATGACGGTGTCCGTCGAGTTGTCGTTTTGATGAATGATCCTAATATTCCTGCACCTCGTCGAATAGGACATTTGCGTCGTCGGCGCCGTCGTCCGCGATCCAGGTGCTGCAGAAGGAGTTCGGGGTGGGACGGGAAGTGACGGAGCTGGTGACGGCTCTTTTCCTTGGTACGTGATTGAAGTATCCGTATTCCTCCAGCTGCCGTCATATCACGCCCTGCCAGCCGGGTTTTGTGCCGGACCTCTTATATGGGCACCCGGGTCCGAACTATTTGGGCGCAGAGTGAGCCATGGCCGACTATGTCATAAAATAAACCCTCTTACTGTGTATTTACGATAGCCGATCTTCATCCTCTCATTATTCCTTTTCATGATTTTCCAGATCGGGTGCGCGCTTGCACAGAATATAGCGACAATTATTGTCATCCGTTTCTTGACTGGCGTTTTCTCGGCGAGTCCTTTGACAAACGCAGGTGGTGTCATTGCCGACATTTGGGATCCCATCAATCGAGGCGCGGCTATGAGCACCGTGAGTCACTCGTTCGGCATCGTTTTCCATGTGCACCGTAATAAAGAGCGTACAATAGTTCACCGCAAGTGTCTTCCTTGGTCCAATCATAGGTCCCTTCATCGGAGGTTTTCTGACAACCAGCTATCTTACATGGCGTTGGATATTTTGGCTTATAATGATTCTTTCTGCCACCGCGTGGATCTGTGTCATCCTGTTTTTCCCGGAAACCTTCGCGCCAGTGTTGCTCGCGACTAAGGTGAGACCCTGTGAAGATTGATTCTCTATGTCGCTCACCGTTTCTCGACTGGGCAGGCCAAGAAACTCCGTAAGCAAAACCCAGAGAAGAATGCGAAGATGTATGCGCCACACGAACGACAGGATTGGTCCTTCAGAGGCGTTCTACAGCGAACATTATATCGCCCTTTCCACATGCTTGCTTTGGAACCGATCTTGGTGCTTGTCACGATATACGTGTGTGCTTTCCTGATTATCTACTAATCTTTTGGCTCACTCTGTTATTAGCTGTCGATCGTCTATGGATTGCTCTACGGACGTAAGTCTGCGTATTGTTGATCGGCCATAGCCCAGACGATTGTATTCTCATTCAGTGTTCGAGGCATTTCCCCTGATATGGGCCGATCTTCGTGGCTTCAGTCCCGGCCTTGCGGGCCTGATTTTTATCGGCGTCGGGATCGGGAGCACATCAGGGGCGCTGTTGAATGTCTGGTTCTCTCGGAAGTACCGGACCCTCACACCGCAGTGGCGAGGAACACCCCCACCTGAATACAGGCTGTACGGGAGCATGCTCGGAGGTCCTCTGCTAGTCATCGGGATCTTCTTCCTTGGTTGGACGGGGGCGTACAAGAGCGTGCCGTGGTATGTACCGGCCTTGGCAACACCGATTATAGGCGCTGGGATCACACTCGTATTCATCTCCTTCTTGGTACGTTTGCATCATGGAACGCTTCGGGGCACAGTTTCTGACGTGTTCTAGACGTACATCGTCGACTGCTATCTAATGTATGCTGCAAGCGGCCTGGCGGCTAACACCATCGTGCGGTCCGCCATCGCAGCTGCTTTCCCCTTATTCACGGTGAGCTATGATAGTCGCCACTACGAAGAACCTTGAGCTGACGAGCATCGGTCCAGGTCCAAATGTTCGAATCGGTTTGTTCAAGTCGACCCAGTCGGACGATAAAATCACTGAATTGACGTTTACAGCTTGGGATTCAGTGGGCGTGCACGTTGATCGGATGCGTGGCTCTCGTTCTTGCTCCAAGTCCATTCTTCTTCTTCAAGGTCAGCGATGATGCGTTGCTATCTTTTCGCAGTCGTCTTACGAGATCGGATAGTATGGCGCCCGCATACGACAGAAGAGTCGGTTTGCCCCGGCCCCTGTAAGTGGGTATTCTTGACCTTGATCGCGATTACTGAAGCATTGCCCCAGGATCTCAAAGTCGCGCAAGACATTGAAGAGGAGAAGCGGCGAGCTGAGGCCTGAACTCGGCGTCTCCACTTGAGCGCAGCTGCGCTCGACGACGATCGAGAGGCGAGCTCCAACGATAAGTCGTGCCTGTATCGATGGAAAATGGAGTTGAGAAGCCCTTGTAATACGTTTGTTTCTGTTCGTATATGTGTTAGCGCAGCGCAGACTATACACTCCTCGTACTAACACACAACATGAACCAACACAATGAACACAATCCACCCTTAAGATACGATCTATGCATCGGGACGAAATCGACATAGGGGCAAAACACGTGGTAAGCAATGTAAATCCGGGAAAGCGGCGCGGACATCGGCATCTCTCGGCATGACATCGGGCCGGCTGCCGACGTCGTGGTTCCTTGCCCTCCTCCCTCTTCCGAGACTGGACACCCGCAGTTTCTGGCGAGGAAATGACCGTCAACAACCGCCAGCCAGCGTCATGGCTTTGGCTGATGTGCAAATCCGGCACTGCTACTATCGTGCCGGTAGATCCTGGACACTTAAGCTTGAGTGCACGATTGCACATGCTACATCTGCCCTTTCACCTTGATTCCTTTTTTGTGTGATAGTACGGAGTCTGATCTATAGTATACGATATAAAATTGGATGTTTCGCGAGCTCTTGGTCTTGTAAACGGAGGAGCGCGTCACTGAGTCGGTAGGTCAGCAGTTCGGGGGATGCTGGACACGTTTCCCACGGCCTTCCGCAACCTTCGCCTCGACGACCAGCGGCAACTGTCGGACTACTACGGCTCAGTAGGCACTTGGTATCTCGATTACGATGCTATATATGCTATCCTGTATAATTGGCAATAATTCCATTGGTTTATGCTGACTTGTTACCATACTGTGCTCTTCAGCAACTTTTCGGCCTTCTTCCATGCACAGTCCTCCGCTTTATGACAATTTCGGTCCTCCTCCATCCTGATGATGGCCTGATGTTTTCTCAGTTGCCTTGCTGTCGCCTATTGCTGTCTATCATCTTCGGCTGGTTTCACTTTATTCGCCTCCCGCTCCACTCATCTCCTTTCTGACCGTTTTGCATACCCGAAACACCTCAGCACCCGCTTTTTTTTGCAGTGTACACTCACTGATGTATCATATAATACACTCCGGTAGATAGCATGTAGAAGATATTGGTCCAAAAGCAGGAAGGGCAGGATTACTGGCGGCATAGCATGATTTCGTGACTTGCCAGGCTCATCGTGCTACTTTTTCCCAACCGATTCCAGTGATCTCAACACAGCACAGCAGACAAGATGTGTTACAATATATCTACACTAGTTTGGGCTCAGGAGTTTCACGGGAGGACGCAAGAAATTCGAGTGTCCAGGATCCCCGGGTGTCCAGCAAGTGTGGGAATGATAGTACCTGGACAGTGATGGCCAGAGGCGCCCGTTGACTGGCCTTCAATGAAGGCTTCTCTGAAGGCTTGGAGCCAATCGCACCCGCATCGGGGCTCTTCGAGTTCGGAGAATCGTTCGTCCCTCACAGTAATTGCAGCGAGACTATGATGCAGCTCTCCACCTCAGATGGTTCCAGGAGCGACTTGAACCCCGGAAATGTCGCTGATCGTATACTTATATACGAGCCACCGACGCTGTCGTAGGGACATGACCAGCTCAAACCCCACTTCCCCGCGCTCCCCTCACCCACCTTCCTCCACAAGGAGCTCTCATCTCAGCAGAAGTTCTTCCCCCGTCCTACGGACCACATCTTTGCACCGCACTCAGTCTGAATGGAGGGAAGAAGCGCGCCTACTCGCGTAGCCTCCAGAGACTCAGCAGCCGAAGAAGTCGAATTTCTATGAAACGGTCCAGACGATCTAGATAATCCGCACAGCTGGTCTCGAAGGCGCAAGCTATGGTTGACGTTCATCGCGTGCTACCTCGTATTCTTCGTATAAGCTTTCTTCGAATATCTTGTTTTAGCGAGTTTGTTTTAGCGCCTGTTCGCTCAATGCTGCTTGTGTAGAACATTCGTGTCGTCTGCGCCATCTCCTGCGGTCGAGACTGGCGAAAGATTTCGACACGTCCAGCGAGTTGATGCAGCTGATAACCTCTCTGTTCCTTGTTGACTTTTTCTTGGGTCCTCTCATCTGGGCCCCCGTGTCGGAGCTTTTCGGACGAAGGGTGAGCAAATCATCTGTTGAAACGCTCAATCATCGTACCGAATATGTTGGTTTCCTTGTCTTAGCCGATTTTTGTCATAATCCTCAAGATCTTCACTCTCCTGCAAATCGGCGAAACTCTTGCGCCGAATGTGCCGGCCCTCCTTGTTATACGGTTTCTCTCCGGCTTCTTCGGCGCGAGTCCAATGACGAATGGCGGTGGAGTTCTTGCAGACATCTGGGATCCGGTCGGAAGAGGCCCAGCCACAAGCATAGTGAGTATCCGAGAGGTAATGTCGGGATGATCTCTTAGCCTGTTCCAGCTCATGGTGACCGAGTTCGTCAGACCCCGCATTGCACCGTCCGTCGGCGGCTTTCTCACCACCGGCGATTTGACATGGAGATGGATATTCTGGATCGTCATGATTATCTCCGGTGTCTTATGGCTCGTTGTTGTGATATTCCTTCCGGAGACATGTGCTCCCGTGCTCCTTACTCACAAGGTTCGAAATCGTCGCACACCGTCTCACGTTGTTGCTCACGCTTAATTCCTCAAGGCAAAACGCCTGCGACGGCAAGACCCTGACGGCAACGACAAGCGCAATGCCAAACTGTTCACCGGTCACGAAAGAGCTGATTGGTCGGTCAGGGGCGTCATCCATTGCACGTTGTACCGTCAGTACAAGATGCTTGTGGCGGAGCCGATACTGCAGCTCGTAATCGTATATGTGCGCCTTTTGTTCTCGTCCAACCGCCTTCGGCTGAATTCCCCTCCAGCTTGCTATCATATACAGATTGCTGTGTGCCAGTACGAAGCCTGGATTCTACTATCCTTCGGTCCGGCAAGCTGGCATATTTCCCTGCAGTCGGGCCAAGAGCCAATTCGCCGTCAACCCTTTGAGTATAACTCTGACATAAGCAGGTCTACCCTAACATATGGCGTTCTCAGGACCTCGCCGTACGGAGAGAAAAAGGAGAATAGTCTCAGCAGAGGCAAGTGTAAAGACATGTATAGATTGCATGGGCTTCACGACACAATGACATGCGTATGCTAATCAGCTAGCCACAAACGATCAAGGGGATGTTGTACCACGACAGAATGGATAGATGCAGATGATGTCCATGTAGTCCGTGAAGCAGTCCATGGGCGTAACTCGGGTGCATTAGATCCAGCGACCAGCCAAGGCGCGGCCCACCACCCGCGATCTCAGGTTGCGACGAACAACAGCACTTGTTGAGGCAGGGCTCGCGACAGCGGCAGAGGTGGCTGCGGCGGAAGTCACAACTGCAGAGCTTGCAGCAGCGTCGGTAGTCGAGAGGGCCGCCGCGGTGTCAGCGGCAGAGGCAGCCTCCGTAACTGAAGCTGTAGCGTTGCTAGCCGCGGTTCCAGGGTTCGTGACTTGTGTAATCCCGTCAGTGTCTAGTAGATTTCAGGAAGGGGGTACGTACCCGCAGCGCAGCCTCCGAAAGGTCCCGCAACAGCACCGTTACGGCAACGGACCAGGCAAGCATCTCCGTTAGGACCACCAGTGCACGTCGTACCGGCGGGCATCGCTGCCGGTTGTGTCGTTAGCTGGAGTCAAAGGACGGCTTGCAGGAAGACCGTACCGGCGATGAGGGTGAAGTTAGTGGCCTTCGCCTTGCTGAGCGACAGAACGCCCGGGACGTTCTGCGTGACATCCATCGCGACGAAGTCCGCTCCAGTGCCGTCAGCACTAACGGCACAGGTGTATGGCCTACAAGGGCGCGCCGATTATCAGTATGAAATGCCAGTCCGAGTGAGAAGACGAACCCTGCGCCGTCTTGGTTCACTTGGTGGAGGGTCATTGTGACCGTACCATCCGCTGCAGCAGAGGGCAAACCTGCAGTTGAAGCGGCTGGCCGAAGTCATCAGGATCCGAACGCGCCCCTAAGAAGGTATGTCATACCTTCCAGCTGCGTCGCGACGTCGTTGTTGCCCGAAAGCTTAGTGCGACCGCAAGGACCGGTTTTTCCGGTTTTGATTTCGACATCTCTGCCATATTCACGTTAGCGGTCACGCCCTGCTGACCAGGAGAGTATGTACGGACCTGATGATACTGGTGTCTTGCTGTTGACGTGAAGCCGGTACGGTCAGACTATAATGTTGGAACACGAAGCATGATCCTCACCTCGAACGGTTTTGGGGTCGAGCCATCTCGGGGGGTAGCTGCGTCGACGCCGAACCCGACACCCGTCACGCCGTTCGCACCAGTGACGGCGGTGATGAGACCGTGACCGTGCACTGACTGCAAAGGGAGGAGGAACAAGATAGAGATGATAGAGCACGTAGAGAACTTCATATCTAGGTGATTGGGGGAAGGGGGGGTGGAACAAAAAAGGCGTGTATTAGGTTTGTAAAAGGAAGAGTTCAAGGGTGGCAATAACTGAATTATTCGAGTGCGCTGCACCGATGAAAGCGAAGAGAAAGTACGAGGTGGATTGTGCTGGTAGGCCAAGCTATGTCCTCAGGCATTTTATACGCGAGAGCGTCGTACAAGTATAGCACCAGCTAGGGTTAGCTCGGAGGACCCCTCTCAGGCTGAGTCCCTTCTCCGTACGCTCCATAGCAGCAAACTGTCAGTCTGCACGCGGGATGGAGACGAGTGCCGCCATAGAACCGCAATGGAATGGCGCCGGGTGCGGAGCTACTGTCATCGCGCAAACGTACACTGGCAAACAAACACTAACAGCTTCGGGAGTGCCTAATGCGTCGAGGCAATGATGGTCCGGATGCAGCGAAGAAGACATGTTCTGGGGACAGGAAGTTCCATAGAAGCCCAGGAGTGACATTCCTCCATCGGGTGCAGAGTTGGTCGATAGCGGCATAGCCAAGCGAGTATGTGCTTCCTGGCAACGACGATATGCAAAGGCTTTGAAAGAGAGTGGTCGTTCGACGCAGGCCTGCGTGACCTGTGTCTCACTGAATTGGCAGAGCCGATTGTATCTGGCTGTATCGATAGCGCGAAATGGTCGGTGTCCATCGGAAATACAAAGCTTCGATACGTGAACGAAACGCAGGGCTGATTCCCGGGCCATGCCTCGCGTGCAGATGTTGGTATGAGCATAGCCCGGTGAAACTTCTCCACCACGCATTCGCAGAGAAGATGTTCAACAAACAGGAGGCAGATCCTAGCGCGGGTCAGTTGCCCCTCGAGGTTGCCCGGAGATCAGTAATTCTCATTCAGATCGACGATGTTGGTGGCAACGCTGGCAGTGATGCTAAGTTTAGAATCTTTCAAGTCATCCACGATCACATGAACGCCAAGCTTGGCCAAACAACCGGTGTGGCTGAGTTTACACGCCATGGTGATCACTGTGGTCGTTGTGCTCTCTTTCATGTTCATTCTCCATTCAGATCACTATTGACCGTGTCTAGATTGTGGACCCAAATACACTCAGAGTATAACTTAAGAAGATACAACATGGCGGTCCTTATGATGAAGCACGGAAGTCCAACAAGAACACCCGATATCGTCTATATGCTCTCATCGGATCTAGCAAATTCAGCTTCGCGCTCACTCACTCTCTCCACATGGGACAATTGCTCCGGAATGCCCACGGAGCGACGTGCGGAAGCCAAGGCTAAACTTGATCATGGGATGCTCGGGATGCTCACATGGCGGCGAACTCGTTCAATTCACTTGCCCGCTGGCCCGGAGCGAAGAGAAGTCGGTCAGCAGTACCAAATTCTCGATAGGAACTGCCTGGTTGCAGTCCGTTTTGTGATGTAGCACCTGCAACGCCCTGGGCAGCCCGTGCTCTCTGAAGCTCCGCATATATATTTCAGACGGCCAGCTTATGCACCTAACACGAGCAGGGCCCCCGCTTCACGCATAACTTGGGTGGAATGATAATATCATCCAATCTTGATTTCCGGTGCTTTATTGGCTCTATGCCACATTTCTCACGTGGATCGCCTGCGGCAACCCTGGGCCACTATGCTGATCCGCAAAGCTCAACTGAAGACATGACGCGACAGAAATCCTTCTCTCGGCCCGCCCAAGTTCTGCTTTCTCCGACCTATGATCATGGTTATACCGTAAATATTGCGTCAACAGCAGGTCGTTGGTCGGCAATTTTTCCGTGCATCCTTATAAAAACAGCTCCACTCCCTGTGTGGTATGGACGAGGCACTTATCAGAATGCTGCGACATCTTGCCCTTCCTGCGCTGCTCTTCCTGGTTCTGATCAACCGATCTTTGGCAACCCTGCCTTACCTCGGTCACGATGTGAGCTCCTTGATCATGCTGGAGTCCGAGCAGAAGTGCGTTGCGTCCCCTTCTTTCGATGTGACGCATTGTGTTCATATCCAGGACCTGCTTCCAGCATCCAGTACAAGAACTCGGCTGGCCAGGTACAACCGCTCGAGACCATCCTCAAGAATGGAGGGGCCAAAGCTATCCGGATGCGCCTTTGGGTGAACCCCGTGGAGGGCGTCTACAACGTTGATTACAACCTGCAACTGGCCAGGCGTGCTGTGCGTCTGGACAACTCTCTTCGAATATGTCTAAGTTTGCGAATATGCTCGTGTACAGCAAGCTGCGGGCTTGGCGGTCTACCTTGATTTCCACTACAGCGACACGTGGGCCGACCCCGCACGTATGTTTAGTACACTCTCCACTCGGGTTTCACAAGTTATGACCCCATACGGTTTGTCAGACCAGACGAAACCAGCGGCATGGTCCAGCCTCTCCTTCAGCTCACTTGTGTCGCAGATCGGTCCCTGTGCGTACTCAGGATGTTCACCCTTCACCAGAGTAGGCACTCAGATGATCTATCGCAGACACGCAACAGACCGTACAAGCGTTCCGCTCCGGAGGCGTCCGACTCGACCTTATCTCCATCGGCAACGAGATCCGCAATGGGCTGCTGTGGCCCGACGGAGAATCACCCAACTGGTCGAACGCCGCTGCCCTCCTCAAATCAGCGTCGCAGGGTGCCAGAGCCGTCACTTCGACTTCTTCCTGGACGGCACCCCTGATCGGTATTCACATGTGAGGTGCTGTTTCTCTGATAGAGGGATACCGTAGACTAAACGTTCGCTCCCCAGCGATAACGGATGGTCGCTTAGTACACAGACCGGTTTCTACGACAGCATCCTCAACACGGGCCAGATCTCGCTCAGCGACTTCGACGTGCAGTTCGTCTCGTACTACCCGTTCTTCAGCAACCAGGCCTCGCTCGCGAATCTCCAGTCGTCCCTTAACGGCATGGCCAGCAAGTACGGCAAGCAGCTCATCATCGCGGAAACCAACTGGCCCGTCGAATGCAGTTCGTATCCCCCTCTGTCGTGGCTCCTTCCGCTCCTCTGACGCGAGAAATCGGCAGCATCCACTTCCGCGGACCCGTTCCCGCCTTCGACGTCCAACATCCCGTTCTCGGCTTCCGGACAGACGACCTGGGTCCATGACATCATTAACGTCGTGCAGAGCGTGCCAAATGGTCTCGGCAAGGGACTGTTCTACTGGGAACCGGCATGGCTGAACAACACTGGGTGAGCGGGCTGCTGAAAATCGAAGTTCGCGTGTTGATGATCCTTTCAGGCTCGGAAGCGAGTGCGAAGACAACCTGCTCTTCGACGGCGATTGGTCCCAATGGCCAACGCACGTCTACGGCAATGCACGTACCAGCGTTAATATGTTCCAGGGTTTCTGAGCCTACGCTTGGCCCATGTGTCCCGCACACATTCCGGTATTTTCCCAGCGGCACTGGCGGACGATGGAAATAGTGTATCATATGTGTGCTGTATGTATTGAGTGTTCAACATTGTTGAGTACAGCGTTTGGGTATGATGTGAGGGGGAAATGTCATCATGCGGTTGCTTGAGGATGCCCTGCTCCGTTGTCAAGTAGGAGCGTAGTACCATGCAGACTGCCCAATTCCCCGAGCGTGCGGGTGAAGATGTCGTCGAAACCTTGTTTAGCTCCCATCCTCTCCAGAGCTTGACGGAAATCCTCTCGCTCCACGTCCTGGGTGGAAAGCCATTCCTCCAGCGTATCCGTCCCGCTCATGATCAAGCTGCGCAATCGCGTGCGCTCGGTTTGTGTCATAGGCTTCGCATGTTCGTCTTCCGTGCACGGCATCTCAACGCCTGATCTGAGTGCTGGGTCCCATGGCTCTCGCCTGAGGACAGCCAGCCATCCCTTGTCCAGGTCATCCAGCCATTCGAGGAGGGCGACGAGCGACGGTGTGTCGGGTACGTAACCCGGGATGCAAGCCAGCGCTTCTCCGGTGAGCCGTAACAGCAGGGTCGTGCGAAGAGATGCAGAGGGATCTACGGGAGGGATCTGAAGTATCAAGGACATCACGCTGTGCGTCGCGTTCAGGTAGTCGATCATGGTGGATAGGTCTGACATTGGTAATGATCTTTTCGGAAGGATCGCCTCCGTAAGGACCGCGGGGACATGTTCAGCCATCAATGCTATGCCCACCGTTTCTTGTAAGACCTCGTTATCTGCAGCATTTTATCCTCGACGTGATCAACAAGACGTCGTTCTTGCGAAGCCGATAACGGGCGAATCTGTGCAGGGCCGGAGCCGTCTACCGTGGACGTCGACATGGTAGCTCACAAACGGGAGTAGGTGTGACGTCATCATCCGCATTCGAGTCCATACGCGCAATATCACATTGAACACAATAATCCGAGACTGTCAATGCTTGACTAACCCAAAAAGCACATCCTTGTCAGGGGGTCGCTCAACCCGGTCGGAGAATTGGCCGTTTCTCTCGACAGAAGCTCATGATGGGCCCCAAATTGTCAAGGCGACCCGAGTCGAGCACGATCTAACAGCAGGTGAAATCACGAACGAGAGCAAAAGCAAACACAATGGCACACACAATCTTGTCCGAGTCCATGATCGTTCGTAGACCCTGGGTAAGCCTTATGAACGTGATATAACTACTCCGCGTCGTATCTTGGATGGCGGCATTCGTCTCGTAATCTGTATGCTAGCCAGTGCAGATAAAGACAAACGAGATGGTTTATGAACCCATAGCAGCTGTCGCTTGAGGCAGATGGATACAGCGGCATGTCCGGAAAATTTATGGAGCAAAGGAAACGCACCTTCGTCCATGATCATCAACCTAAGACAAAGTCCTCGCCCATATCATGTACCAGACATATTGGCGTTGGCCATAGGCAAGTTAGCGCCTCCGCCTTTAACCTCACTGCAGGCACGGTTCAATGACAGATCTACGCAGACATACGATGGCAGGCACTGACGAATCGAGTGTCATGGCATTCGGATCCCCTTCTTGCTGCAGTACGTTGTTCAGTGTCACGTCATCGCATTCGCCATAGGGATCCAAGTCCTCCCGTAGAGTACCAGCCAGAACCTCCGAATGCTGAGATACGAGAGTGAGTGGTCGACATCGTTGTATAGCACCTTCCCGGAGGTAATGACGGCGCTCAGGTAAAGAGTAGCAAATGCAACGGCATACCGCAAGGCCGATAAAGAGCTGTTTAGCGTGGCGTGGACAGCTAGATCCGCGCTAGCTCCCAGGTAAAGAACGCGTATGCAAAACCGCCTATGTTATAGCCGCCACGGTCGACCACCATCTCATGCCATCCACGCTCCTCGGAGTCGTCTTCATTCAGTGAGGCATGGTCGTGTTCGTCCCTCTTAAACGAGATTAAGACGTGCACTAGAAGTGACGCGAACGAGAGGATAGCACCAACACCAGCTCTCCAGCTGCCGCGGTGAAACGGTGGACCATGGGGTCACCGGTAGGTCGTTCCGATGAGCGTCGAAGACCAACGGTCCTGACTAGTACTTGCAGTCTGGCCTGACCTCGTACTCGAGCTTAGTGTTTCAGCGAGTCGGCCGGACTGAGGATGTGGTTCCTGACGCGACGGAGCAGTCGTGAACAGAAATGTGGGTTGGCGCCGCAATGCGGGAAGAGCCTGCGCTAAAAATACACGCGTCATGATGCGGCGAGGGCGCGAGGGCCGAATTCACGCAACCCCCCAACAGGTCTATGAGTATGTACCTCTAGAGTTGCGCTCAGGCGTTACATCGCTCGAACATAATCCGATATGACAGCCTGCATGATCTACCGTGTCACCGGTACATGAACATGTCCATCTGGTAGAGTGTATGTTACTCTGCGGCACGCCTTCCGCGAGTAGACTTTGTCGTCAGTGCTTCACCATGCCGTAGAGTAGGTCCTTGTCGTGCGACTTCTCGACGAGTTCGTAGAATAGGCCTCTTTTCTGCGCGAGGAGCTCTTTGGGAGAACCAAATTCTGCCAGGCGACCGGAATCGAGAACCATCTATGGCGGGCGTCTCAGACAACGAGCCGCACGAGCGGAAACAACAAGCTCACGATTTTGTCAGAGTCCATGATGGTTTGCAGGCGATGCGCAATCGTGATAATGGTGATATCACTGCTCAGCGTTGTGCGTATGGATTCTTGAATGGCAGCGTCCGTCTCGTAATCTACACGAATAATGAGGTTCTGATGTCCACGAGAGTAATGTGACAAGTACCTATCGCAGCAGTCGCTACGCAGACGGATGTGTAAGTATAATTGTGGCTTTAGCAGTAGGGACGGGAACATACCTTCATCCATGATCATTAGCTTGCTCCTGCGAACTTGGGCTCGTGCCAGTGCAATGATCTGCAGACAACGTGAGCTCGATATGGCAGGCCAAGGCTTGTTAGGTCTTACCTGGCGCTGGCCATGGGAGAAGTTAGCACCTCCGCCTTCGACCTCCCTGCAATCCCGGTTAACGAACGTTATTTTCCACGAATCGAGAAGTACTGACGAATCCAAGGTGATCGCATCCGGGTCTCCTTCTTGCTGAAGACGGAAAAGCCCAGCGCATCGCAATGCGTCGTTCAGAGTTGCATCGTCGTGTTCGCCGTAAGGGTCCAGGTTGTCGCGCAGAGTACCGGCCAAAAGATCGGGATGTTGAGGAATAAGCGTGATATTCGACCTCAATGCGTCCAGATTGATGGTATGAGTGTCGATTCCGTCATAGAACACCTTCCCGCTGGTCAACACGGCGCGCAATAGCGCCAAGCTGATCGTGGATTTTCCAGCCCCTGTACGGCCCACCACGCCGACGCGCTCTCCGGACTTGATATCAAACGAGATCTCGTGCAGGACATCCGGCGAATCTGTTACTCATAAGTCCCCATCCCTGTCCAACACGGAAAGAATGCCGCTCACTAGGGCCGTATCGAGCGCTGAGCTTCTCCGCACGCAATGAACCACTGGCCGGCCAATACGCAGGTGGAACACCGTCCTGGGTCTTCTCCGGTTCGTGTTCAATGTCTAGGAAATCTCTGATCCTCTCAAGACTGCCCAGATCCCGTCAAAAATCGTGCTTTGGACCAACTAAAAGCCAGAAATACCTGTTGCCTTTCAAGGATTATTAGAATCGCGACTGACTTCCATCGGAAGGTGCACGTACTCTCAACCTCGGCAAAGTTGGCTAGCCGCACGACCCACATAATCAGCATCGAGAAGCCGACGACCTGCGACAAAGCATAACCTGCGTTCCCAACGTCCATCACGTTGCCGTACACAAGTGCAATCGCGACCAAAGCAGCGAATAATCCGCCGATTGCCTCAATTCGAATACCGACCCACCTGTCATCGTGTCAACTCACCAGAGTCAAAGTCCAGAACATTGCAAAGAAGGTCTCACCGATTCAAGTTGTAAAAGCTTTGAGTAAGCCTTGTGTAGTGATCGATGCGCTGCGAGAGCTTGTCGGTAAACTTGTCCTGAGCACCGTAGGCACGGATGGACGCTATAGGGAAGCACATCAGCTCTGTCCACTTGGGAGTAACATGCTTGCGCAACGCACGCAATCCCGCTAGCCCGGCACCGAAAAGGCTCAGAATAGGTGAACGAGCAACACTCTGCTCTCGTTTGATAGCTGTGCCACAATCAGCAGGTAGTTTCAAAAGTAAGAACAGGGGTATTCACATCTTTGAGCAGCCATGTAGATTCGGCCGAGGGACAAGGCAAGGGCAAGGGCAAAGGCGCCAGCCCCGAAACCACGCCAGCCAATGACAAAGATGACAGCAACCAGTTTGAATCCCAGGGAAGAGATGATTTGAGCGATGTTCATATATATGTTACGAATGTTCTGGTCTATTGATTGTAGATCCTGACGGGCGAGACTGCTCAGCGGCACGTTGATCGGAGGAATAGGAATGTCACTGACCTGCGTGCATCTGGTAATAACTCGCGCCACAGGAACGGTGTCAAGCCAACTGCCGTAATCGATTAGGTCGAGCCGGTATGAATGTAAAGAAGAAGAGTTTACCGGAAGGTTGATCCAAGGATCGATTCGATGAGCAGCGCATGTATCCTCCGTGAAGCTCTCATCGCTCCAAATACCCAAATCGTGACGCCACAGCATGAAACCAAGGTCTCCAGTACCTCGAGCAGCGAATACATAGTGAGATATCTGGACGAGTCGCTCAGCATCAATTATATATGGACGCGTATGATGGTTCAGACGCACTTTCCCGCAGCAACCTCCGACGGGTCGCGAATCTCGTACTGGTTTGACCATTGACCAAGGACGTAAGGCTCGCATATACGAACTCCAGCCTCGCCGAGCGTGAACAGAAGGAAAGAGATCCAAAAAAGTGCACCGCCCTCGTTCTGGAGGTAGAGCAAAATGGACTTCGCCGACACGGCGCCGTGGGCAACGTCTTCTGCTACGGTAAGCTTTCCTGACGGCCCCGCAGGAGCATCGCTTCCGGGAGCCTTCTCTTCTAACGTATCCTCGATTTCCTCCGTGTGTGCTGTATCCTTCTCGATTTCGGCGCGAAGGGCGGCATCACGCCTGATGGCTGCATCCACAGATTTTTCCTCGATCACGCGACCATGATGGTCGACTCGCAAGACTTTCTTCGCCAACGAGCTCGTTAGAGCAAGGTTGTTGCTGACCAGTAGGACAGTGCGGCCGTTGACGATGTCTCCTCTGAGGCATTTGTCGACGATATGTCTTGCAGTGTGGACATCGAGTGCCGCAAGTATATCGTCCAGCAAAATGACCTGAGCATCGGAATAAACAGCACGCGCCAGTGTTATCCGCGCCTGCCGATGGATCAGCAGCTGAACTCGCACGTCGAACCGACTATTACCTTTTGCCCACCACTACGAGTGAAGGCATGTCAGATACGTATCTGCATAGTGAATCGAAGCGCAAGTCTAGGCTTACCTCAAAGTCAAACCCTATAGGTTGCGCATCAGTGTGTTCATATTTCATGAAATCGCGGATACAGACCTTCTCCCCAACCTCGGTCTTATCTCCCGCAGCAAACAGGCTTAAATCATGAACAAGGGCGCACTGCTCCAAAACTGTGTGTAGTGTGAGCATGTAAACTTCGATACGTGGAGGTGCTTAATACCTTTCTGATATCTGTTCTCGTCGAAGGGAGATCCAAACAAGATATTTTCCTGAGACACGTATATCAGCGTGAGGATGGGTCCAGTAAAAGAGTGCTCACTCGTATAGTTTCGTTCAAAACCCATGTTTCCTGAGCGGCATACGCGACACCGCCTTGTCGAGGGAGATTGTACCAAGAATCCACAGTCAACGGGTGATAGTACATTTCCCCTGAAGATGGGTCAGCTCCGCCAACATACGATCGGTGATGTGAGCAGTACCTAGGAGTGCCATGAGCAGAGAAGTCTTCCCGGATCCTGTGGCTCCGATGATCAGGTTGACTGCACCGCGTTCGAAGCGGACTAAGCCGTCGATCTTCAAGCGGAAGTGACGTTGTCCAGCCGAGCGAGCCTCGTCCCATGTGAAGTGCGCTGCATTGATCCCAATGATATCTTGCTCGACGCCTCGCGGAATGGGCACACTTGCAGCTGCAGTCTCTTCGCGGCTCACGGGGTGAAGTAACGTCGTCTGTATTTAGAGTCAAGGGCGACCTAGAACGAATGACGAAAGCACTTACTCCGTTCAAGAACTCGTCCAGACGATCCATAGCCACCTTCGCTACAGACTACAGATGAGCCCACCGATAATGTTCGAGAAACTGTTGATCTCACCGTTCAGCATCTGCGGCAGCCAGAAAGAGAGTTGCTGCATCTGATTCTGCATCATGTAGAACAGCGATAGGGAGGTGAATACTCTCGACGCCGTCAGTTCGCCTTTCATGATCAAAGTCTAAGTGCGGTCATTGAATCAGAAATGTCTGCCTCGGCGGGCTGCGTCGCCATCGGCTACGTACGTATAAACCCAAAGTCACAACGATGTTGCACAACGGGAGGAGGTTGTTGATCGACTGGTTGATTAACCCGAGTATAGCGTTGTAGCGAATCCAGGTCAGTTCCTCCTCGCGCGTTTTGTTCAATTTCTCCAGTGACTTCTTTTCCCATGCAAACAGCTTGATCATCCTGATGACGTTCATCGTCTGCGTGACGTCCTGAACGCGGCGATCCGACTACGAGAGGTTATGGGCATATTGACAGCGATAAATGAAGGAAACGTGCTCACGACTTTCATTTTCTCTTTCTGGGATTGCATGAGTTGTTTGGCCACCCAGGCTGGTATGGGCAGAGAAACCACCAGAATGGCAGTACCAACAAGTGAACTAGTGTCAGGATAGTCAGTGGTGTACAGCACGCGCTTGTTATGTGTTAAACACGTACCTCCATCCAAGGAGATAATACAAAGATGCAACTGCCCCCATGATTTGCAGCAGCGAAAGGACTGGTAACGAATCAGAAACCGGATAGAAGCCATTACGGAGATTATGCTCACTGATGAGAGGAAAATCAGACGCCCTCCATATCGATGATACGTCGCTGGTGACAAGGTTCGTGATCTTGCCGACCATCTGCTTCGCCGTCCTTGCGGCCTCGTCCTCCTTCTCCAACTCCGATTTCGTCTTACTCTTGGGCGGGCCATCGCCACTCTCGGTGGCCCCGGAGATGGATGCAGTAGTCGAGGTAGGGCTGTCCTGGGATTCGGAATCGACGGCGGTCGTGGTCTCGGTGGGGGTAGCAGTGCCATCGGTTGGCGAGCTCGCGATTGATTCCACTTCGCTGGTGCCATCGGCGGCACTCGATGACGTCGAGTTGTCAGAAGACTTCTTGGCTGTGTCCGCCTTCATACGGATCCTGAGCGAATGCGTGAACACGACCTGGGTGACGATGGCCGACAATCGGACCATAATGACAGTCGTGATCCAGTTGTATCTCTCGTTGAGCCAGGCCTTGAGCGCCGGTCCGCTGCCGAGCCATATGATCCACACCCATGGCCGGAGGGTTGCCTCCTGAGGATGTTCTAGGTACCTATGTGTACGATGATGTTAGCATATCTCGACCGCATCTTCCTTGTGTTCTATGTAACATACGAGAGAAGTCGGTTCAGGCCGAGAGGCGCCATGAAACTGGCGCCCGCTTGTAGAACGATCAAGAAGATACACGCCAAGCATTCCCGATCTGATAATCGTGTCGTGAACATACTGGCAGGTAGAGCGTGAGGTGGCGGGTTTACGAAAGATTGCCCACATGCTCCGCACTAGACTGCGCTTCTTTTTGAGCATGGTAGGATCAATATCCTGACGAATTCAGTCATTAACACACGTGGATATCATGTTAACTGCGAGATCTAACTTTAGCATGTTTGTTGACAAGGAAGCTAGCCGTTTCTTCCGTAGGTAAAGGAGGGAGCTTCTCCGTTGGCAAATATTGATGCTTGTAGGCATACCAGATAATGGGGTCATAGTATCCCCAAGTGAGTTCAGCCCAGAGCGATGCGCTCTTTAGTGGGTCCTAAACGCGTAGTCATGAGCTGTGGTGCAGGCACTCGAGTCACGCAGAACGTACCGGGGACGGTCTTCCAGGCATGGCTAACGGAATGACGATCCCCAAAACGCAGAGAACGGCCAGCTGAGCGATCGCGAGCGGTCCAGGATCATCTCTGTCAACAAGCGCCAGAGGCACGAGGTCCCGGTATGCGCAGAACGCAAAGAATGCCAAAAACAGGAGGGCAAGGTGAATGTCTGCGCGTCTTCTCCAGTTTATCGAACCGACCAAGGCGACAACTGCAAGAGCTGTAGCATAAACCTACACCAAACGATCCAGTTGCCATCAAACAAGAAGAAACTGAGGACTGACATAGAAAATGACGCTTGCAATGTCGAGGTTCGACTTCGAGTTCGTCCAAGTGAGTACGGCATAGGTGGTGAGGGCGGCGCTGGCTGCCACCCTGAAGACCCGCATACTCAGGCCCCTGGAACCACCGCGACTGGCGACGACTTCATGCCAACCACGTCTTTCAGCATCCTGTTCCTCTACTTCGACACTACGTTGTCCCTTAGCCAATGAAATGGCAGCATAACCAAGCAGTGAGCCGACAGAGAGTACAGCGAGCGCGCAAGGGAGGAGCACGAGCTCTTCCGTTGTCGGTACGAACATGGGCGGGAGTCAAGATCCCTGCTGGCTTCGGAGCTGACTGGGGGTTGATCATAATTGCTATCTCTGACTCCAATCCCGCCCAGGCGCATGTGCTCGTAGCTGCGCGGCTGCGATCAATTTGAATAAGTCCGACTCGACCGGAGAATGTCGCGACAAGGGCTGGGCCTGAAATCCCCGTCACAACGGATCTGCGTGTCAGTCCATCGGGTAGTTTGGTACTTACTTGCCCAACGGGTGCTTCACGACACGTTCGCGAAAGGTACGTATATACAGCGTACTAAGGTAGGGGGTTAAAGCTCTTCACAGAGGGCGCAGGGGGTTGTCGATGTCATGCATGTTAGCATTTAGGTGTTTGTGCAAACGGTCCACCATACCCGTACGATGCAAATAGTTACATCAGAATTGCTGCTGCAGATGTCGTCCCTTTACGACAAGGGACATGCTCGTCTGGCTGAACTTTCCTGGAGGTCCGGTCTGACTGCGGCGTTTCTGCAGGTGGCCGAAACGTTCCAAACGCGATCTATATTCGCGGAAACCAAGGATTCGTAGACACATCCCACTTCAACACACCGACACCCGTGTCTTCAAGGCGCTCCAGTTTTGAGGGCTCTGCGCAGATCGACGTGTCTTTCAATCGGCTTATGAACTGAGGTAGCATCCCGTTAGGTCGGGCACAATTATGACTGTTCCATGCCGGAACACACCTGCGCGAATTCGCTGCTCCATTGGCTCGCCCATCCTATCGGTGAGGGCATATCTGCGATGCCTTGTAAAATCTCTCTTGCCTGTTGAAACAGGTGCGTAGGAGTTGCCCCACTATCCACCTCCTGTTCCGATGACATTAACGGACACCCCGATCGCGGCAATTCTGATGCTTACTTGGAGTGCCTCATGACACGCTTTAGGGTAAAGATCGAAGCAAGGCTGCGCGACAGGGTTCGTCGTGGCATCCGAGTACTCCGGCCTATATGCCCACTTGTTTCGCCGGAGGAAATTGAGGCGCAGACGTTCCCAGTCCGGTCGACGAGTTTGCGCAAGGAGTAGTATCTAGACGGCATCAATAGTCAGCTTGACGTACTATCACAAGCAGAGGATCAGGGGTACAATCAGCATTCCTTTGCACATGCAGAACAATGCGCGAAGGAACTTGAGGTGAACGTCCATGTCCGCACGCTCCGGCGTGCCTGCCGATTGGTTAGAGAAATCGCTTCCGAGTCACGGAAAGCCTCGTAACACACCGTCTGGCATTACTTTTAGTAGGCTCTCGAGACACGTTGCATGAGCCTCTATCGCCTGGCTAGCATACCAATACGCCAAAGGTTTCTCTTCGACGCTGTACAACTCCAACTGGAACCCAGACAGAACAACCTCGCGGATGTTGGCCAACCGCTTGCACAACACGACCACGGGCAATGACCGGATAAGAGGGGCACCTGGTTCATCCTGTGTTCGGTAACACGTTTTGAGTTACGGAACGGAACCGCGGATAGGAGGAAACATACCGATAAATGGAGTTGTTGCGTGACGCGAACAAGCAAATCGAACAAAATCTGCCAGTCAAGCAACGATTTCATCTGATATCGTCGGTGCCGAGGAGGGTTGCTCCATAGAGACCGCGTATCTCGGGCAAGCAACTATGGCCGTCGGTCGATAATAAGATCCCCCTTTTTGGCAGACGTCGTACCTTCGTAAGCCGGCGATCAATCTCTCCAATGGGGACATCGCCCTCGCCTCTCCACCGTTGCCGGAGAACGCGGCAAACCGATGACCACTCCAGCCCGATGCTCTCCTTGAAGAAACTGTTTACCAACCATTGCGGTGGATGATGGAGAAGCACTAATACGTCGTCGAAGAACAGGGACTAATCGCCGGCCACCGTCAGAATATATGTCATGAGCTTGTGTAATGAGCGGAAAAACCTGCATCATAGACCGCAGATACGGAATTCTTCGTTCGGGAATATTCTGCCACATGTTCAAGTGGCCGACCAACTGAGGTATTCGCTGGTTAGTAGCGATCCAGACACGCTACATGACTGTACGAACCTGCCAGGTAGCCAGCAACTCGACCTTGGCCATACGGAGCATTTCTTCGTAGCCGTCAATCAAGGCCTCGAGAGCGTCCCAAGTACTTTCCTGAGACGGCAGCTGCAGCGGACGCAGAGGAACGTAGGAGTGTAGGTGACGCATGACGCGTGGATCGAAGGCCTGCAACGCAGCGGAGGTCTCTCCGGGTTCTGGTGATGGATTGGCCCTGATCTGTTGAAGGAGCGACCGCGCTGACACGACTAGATTCTCGAGTTGCGTACGATCGCCGGGAAGGGACAATCCGAGGAGCTGTAGCATGATCTACGAAAGGGAGTCAGAGGGGTTTGACAGCACCGCATATCATTCACCTCACCTTGCGAAGCTGCAAGCGCATATGTAAAGAGGTACGCCACCGCGCATGTACTGTCGGCTTGATCAGCGTGGTTCATTTGTCGATCCCCAGTACATACGGAAGGGCGAGCCAAGAATCCAATCACTCGTTTCTTCCACGAGCGACAGCACCCGCCGCCAAGGTGTCCCTTCTAGCAAGGATATCTCGCATTTTTCGCCTTGCCAGTCCTCTTGCTGATCATAGGAATCAACTCGATATCAACGTGGCGTATATGATCAGATCCTCACGTCGAGAACACGGCCTTTCGAGAGCTCTCTCCAAGCCAGATCAACGCATTTGATCAAGCCCACCACACCGGCACGCAGCACGAATGTGACTAAGCTCCAAGGCCGCGCGGGGTCTTCCTGGAGGACTAGCTCCAACGGGAGGCATTCCGGGTCCAGATCTTCGAGGTTGTGAACGTATAAGCACGTGTATATCGTTTGAGAAAGTGTGGTCCCGGAGTGCCACGCCATCTATAGGGACATCAACGAAGCCGTTAGCTGAGCAAGAAAACTGTGGCTGGTGAACACACCATGCCCGATTTACCTCGCATGCAAATGTCCGATCTAGTATCCAACACACTTCTTCGGGTAGCAGAGGTGCCAGTGGATCGAAGAGTGGCTTGGTCACCTCGTCCGGAAGTACCACGCCGCTGTCCATGCGAGGTTCACCGATCTGCGGTACGCGTACCGTCTGAGCCACATCTCCGACGAAAAGAGAAGGATATATGCGAACCTCCAGGGCGCTCATAGCATCTGTGAGATCGAACCCACTCATGAAGATTAGTTCGCCCTGGCGCAGTTCTGCTTGCAAGATGATCATCGGAATCCAACATCCCGAGGGGGGTGGGGTTGACCTTGTGCTCCTTGGACCAGCACCTGGGTCACGTCCGTGAACTCGTCCCCGCCAGGCATCTCCAAGTAGACCGGTATGTTTTCCATCGAGAGTCTGTGTGCCGCGCGCTGGGCGAGCTGCGGTCGCGCGAGAAAGTAAGCCGGTTCTTTGCGCACCGCGTCATTCACCCGCGCTCGCATCATGCTGGCCTCTTGTTTCCGGCGGCGACTGGACCTCCTCACACCCGGCAGGCGCCTCGTATCTACTGCCGCTAATGCGAGCGCAAGCACATCAACGCGTCGCAAACGCGTCGTGTTCTCGGGCATCCAACCCACCGGTATACCTCATGTCAGTTTTTACACGCATACAATCCTAGCTCTCCGTCTGAACTGTGCACCAGTTAGGAAACTACCTCGGAGCGCTGTCCAATTGGAAAAGGCTGCAGGATGAAGCTGCACCCGAAGACGTCCTTATATTCTCCGTCGTGGGTTGGCACGCCCTTACCATGCCGCAAAATCCTGCGGAGCTGCGCCAGGCAAGGGCGAGCATGATGGCCGTCCTGCTTGCTATGGGATTAGACCCCAGGAGATCCGTTATTTTCCATCAGGACCACGTAACTACCATCCACTCAACGCCTTTTGAGACCCGTTTCCATTGACGGTGCACAGAATCCGGACCATACGGAGCTCGCATGGGTGTTCAATTGCATCACGCCTATCGGCAAACTACGCCGTATGACTACATGGAAGTCAAAGCTCGTTACGGCACGCAATGCGAATGATGAAACGGAAGTCGACGAGTCACTGCTCCATGTGGGTTTGTTCGACTACCCAGTGCTGCAAGCCGCAGATATCCTTGCGTACAAGTGAGCAGGACCTCGAGGCAGCACGACCTTTTGCTGATGACCGTGCAGAGCAACGCACGTCCCGGTAGGTGAAGACCAGCAACAGCATCTTGAACTATGTCGAGATATTGCGGACTCGTTCAATCGCACCTTCAAAGAACGTTCGCCGTTATTCCCCCTTCCCCAGCATGTCTTCAGTAAGCTGATTCTATACCGCATCTGGTTGCTTCGTGTGACATAGATTTCTCGTTGCAGCTCCACAAAAGCGGATCCTATCCCTCCGCGACTCCAGTGCAAAAATGTCAAAGTCCGCTCCAGATCCGAAGTCTCGGATTCTCCTCACCGACACCACCTCCGAAATAAGCAAAAAGATCGCCGGAGCCCAAACGGACTCGGATCCTTCGGTAACCTATGACCCCGTCTCCCGCCCCGGGCTAGCGAACCTCCTCACAATCTTCGCTGCCTGTACCGAAACGTCCCCCGAGGACCTCGCGAGGAAGTACGACGGCTCGAGCTTTGCCAAGCTCAAGAAAGATGCGGCGGAAGCCGTAAACGCTTTTCTCAGCGGCCCGAGGGCGGAGTTCGCGAAATTGAAGGACGAAACAGGGTATCTGGACGAAATAGCCAGGACCGGTGCGGAGAAGGCAAGAGATATCTCCGGTAAAACGATGTCGGAGGTTCGTCGACGAGTCGGTTTGGCTTGATGCCCATGTATCGCGAAGGCGCCGGAACTGCTACCCGCGCGGATTGGCACATTCGATCACCATACTTTCTGGGTTCCCTATACTACCGGCCTGTAGTATCACGTAGGGCCAACGTCGATCATATATTTTCCGAGGGCACCCAAGCACTCGCGGGCAGCGTTACCAGCGTATCCGTGCTCATTTCCCACGTCATGACGTCATGGAAATCTTACTGAAATGCTTTTCTCCGTCAAGTCTCGACGATCGTGTATCCGGCAAAGTCGGCCAGGCCCATCTACTCGGATTTCGCCACGAATATCCGCATCCCCCTTTATATTGTTTGGCTTGAGCATCTTGACCGCAGGCGTTCTGATTGCTGCCAGAGCTTACTACGCCTGCGCAATTTGGTTACGGAGCGCTGAGCTACTGAGTTCATGCATTGCGCTCACGCTTTGGAGGCGATGGCGTCATTTCAAGATTCCCATGGTACGCGATGGAATCCTGCAGGAGAGAACGGTGTGGGTACTTACTTGCACTGTAAGCAGTCATCCAGTCGCCTAGACTTGACCCACATACTTATAAAGATCTCGTTCAGGATCGCCGCATTCTATCTTTCGCTTCTGATTCCGTCACATTCACCAACAAACATGTCGTCAAAGATCCCTTCCACCATGCGCGCGGTGGTGAGCGCGGAGGGCAAATCAGTTACGGTCAAGGAGGTCCCGGTACCCAAGCTCGGCGAAGGCGAGATCCTCGTGAAGGTTGCCGCCGTCGCTCAGAACCCCACGGACTGGAAGCACGCCGAGTTCGTGCCTCCGGGGCGTATCCTCGGCGTCGACTTCGCTGGTACGATCGTGCAGGTCGGGCCGGGCGTACAGGGCTGGCAAATCGGCGAGCGTGTGGCCGGGTTCGAGCACGGTGGGCAGTGGGAGGATCGGGGCAGCTTCGCAGAGTATCTGAAAGCGCAGGCGGGCCTGGTATGGAAGATCCCCGAGGGTACCTCGTTTGAAGAAGCCTCAACGATGAACTGCGGGTAGGTGTAAACGTCGCTTGCGGACGCTCAGCTGCTGATAAGCACTCGACACTCATCAGCCTTTGGACCGCTATCCAGGCGCTGTATCACCCCACGCGTCTCGGTTTGGTGGGCCATCCAGATACAGTGCCAGGCCCCGATGCCCCATGGGTGCTCATCTACTCCGGTGCGACGTCCGTCGGCCAGTATGCTATCCAGCTTGCGCACGCTTCGGGATACCGTGTGGTCACCACCGCGTCTGCGACCAACTTTGAGTACGTCAAGTCGCTGGGCGCGGACGCTGCAGTCGACTACAACCACCCCGACGCCGCCGACAAGATCAAGGAGATCACCGGCGACTCCCTCTCGTTTGGCTTGGACACGTTCTCGACGGCACAGACACAGGAGACGGCTGTGAAGGCGTTCGGATCGAAGGGGGGCAAGCTCATCGTGATCCTTCCACCGCAAGAGAGCGCCAGGGCATTACGACCAGACGTAGAGATCAAGGGCGAGTTTTATCTTTACTGCGATCGCCTTGCATGGCGTGCTGAACCCGCCTCTAGGCACCCTGCTCTATACGGTGCTAGGCCGCGCATTCGCTCGTCCGAACGGCGTCGAAACGCCCGCAGCGCCTGAGGATCGCGATCACATGTCGAGCTGGATGCCGAAGATAACAGAAATGGTGAGCACCCGTCCTTTTCCTCGGAGGAGGTGATCCGTGCTCAGCTCACATATCCTTCTAGGTTGGCTCTGGTAAGATCAAGGCCAATCCGGTCAAGATTTGGCCAGGAGGGTTGGACGCAATCAAGGACGGGTTCGAGTACATGAAAGCGGGAAAGGTCCGCGCGGAGAAGATTGTCTATCAGATTTTATGAATGCTGGATCCTGTCGGCCTCCAACCAGCAATGTATCAAACACATTTCGCGCAGTACGCGTGAGGCGTGGCGATTATATCCCTGTGGGCGTGCGTGAATTTGCATATGCAAAATTATCGATAGGCGGTCGACATATCGAAGTGCAGTTTCGTCCGACTTTCTGTAAACGTATCGGTTCGTTACCATCCGAGTCGGAAACAGTCTCAAGATCTCCGCTCTTTCTGTAATCCGTGATTTTCGGATTCTCTGTGCCGATCTGGGCCGATACTCACGGACGCGTTGTCGTGGGAGAAAGACCGGTTACTTACCCGGTTGGTCATCCGAGCTTCCCGACTACTTGGTCATCTTCAGATGTTCGCCAGATGACGTGACCGAGTACATTTCAGCCTGTCGAGGCATGTTATCGTATGTTGAACATCCCCATTCAGCATAATTCCGGCTACGATGCGCGCCCTTGTCATCCTCGAGGGCCATACCACGGCCGTGAAGGAAGTGCCGACCCCCAAACCCGACGCCGGCGAGATTTTGGTCAAGGTCGTCGCCGTCGCGCAGAACCCCACGGACTGGAAGCATGTCGAGATGGTCACCGACGCCGGGGTCATAGTCGGCTGCGACTTCGCCGGCGATGTCGTGCAGCTGACCGAAGGCGTCAAAGGGTGGAAGGTCGGGGACAGAGTCTCCGGCTTCGTCCACGGCTCGCAGTACCACGACAGAGGCTCCTTCGCGGAGTATCTCAAGGTCGATCATGAGCTCGCGTGGCATATTCCCGATGGGGTTAGCTACGAAGAAGCTGCAACTGCGAACGTGGGGTGAGTCTAATTGTTCCTCGATATACTCTCGGGATAGGCCATGCTCAATCCCCGATCTCCCGAAGCTTCTTCACTGCTGTGCAGACCTTGTTCCACCCCAAGAACCTTGGGCTGGTCGGCTACCCGGACAAGGTCCCTGCCGAGAATGCGTCATGGGTCCTCGTCTTCTCCGGAGCGACGTCTGTCGGCCTGTATGCAATCCAGCTTTTGCATATTGTTGGTTATCGTGTCGTCACTACGACCTCGGCCAAGAACTTCGAGTTGGTCAAATCGCTTGGCGCCGACGTCGCAGTAGATTATCGAGACGCGGACGTCTCTAAGAAGATCCAAGACGCCACAGGCAATACTCTCTCGTTTGCCTTGGACACCATCGCGACGGCGGAGACGCAGGAAGCATCGGTCAAAGCCTTTGGTCCAGGGCCCGCCAAGCTGATCACGATCCAGCCGGTCCAAGACAGCGCTAAGGCGGTCCGGGACGATGTCGAGTTCAAGGGTGCGCGTCCTGTCTAGCGATCATAATTGTCAGACATCGTATACCAACGCTTCTCATAGCCACGCTTCTCTATACGGCGGCCGGTCGCGCCTTCAAGACCTCCTTCGGCTGGGAGTTGCCAGCTATCCCGGAAGATCGCCAGCAAGTCGCCGAATGGCTCCCGAAGATAACGGAGCTGGTGAGCAGTGCCTTCTCATGGGCAAGCATCACAAGTGCTGACCAGTGACACAGTTCCAGCACGGCAAGGTCAAGCCCAACCCCGTCAAGTTTTGGCCGGGCGGTCTTGATGCGATCAAGGACGGATTTGAGTACATGAAGAGTGGCAAACTTAGCGCGGAAAAGATCGTATACCGGATTTGAGTGAAGGTTCTGCGATGCTCAGCGTAACGACAGTTCGCTACGACAGTGCTGCGAAGTTGGCCTACAGATAACAGCAATGTATGTAACACTACACAATCTGAGATTTACCGGACGATCGTATGCCTGAAGTACCACGATGCCCTGGATGCCTTGACCAAACCTCGCACGCGCATTCCTAGGTGTCACGCCATCACTTTATCATCCCGTACAATGTCTCGCGATCGTGCGAGTTCTCGACAAGGTCGTAGAAGAGGCCTTTCTTCTCTGCCAGCAACTGCTTTGGAGAACCAAACTCGATGAGTCGGCCAGCATCGAGGACCATCTGGGTAAACAGTTCGTTAACACCGCAACGCAGCATGGGGGTACGAGCAGCTTACAATTTTGTCGTAGTCCATGATTGTTCGCAACCGATGAGCAATGGTTATCAGAGTAACGTCGCCTTTGAGGGTGTTACGGATGGATTCTTGGATGGCCGCGTCTGTTTCGTAATCTGTAGGGCCGGATTAGCTGGCTCCAGAAAGTGTATATCCCCCGTCATACCTATCGCAGCCGTAGCTAGGGTTCAAGGCTCTTAATTAGAGCAAGTCTCGCACATCGCTTGCAGAGGGAGTCTCACCTTCGTCCATGATAACGAGTTTGGTTCCGCGAACATGGGCCCGAGCCAAAGCGATTATCTGTGATGGTTGAGTCAGGTGTCCGATGACCTCTGATATACCAAACATACCTGGCGTTGCCCATGGGAGACGTTTGCACCTCCCGCGGCCACCTCGCTACATAGCCTTTGGTCAGAATTTCTTCCGTTAAAAAAAGTATACTAACGAGTCGAGCGTTAGTGCTGCCGGATCACCCTCCCTTTGTATTCGGGACAACCCCGCAGCGCGCAAAGCCTCAATCAAAGTGGTATCGTCGTTCTCCCCGAACGGGTCTAAGTTCTCGCGTAATGTGCCCGCCAGGAGATCCGGATGTTGGGGTATAAGCGTGATGTTGGACCGGAGTTTGTCCAGGTTGATCTTGTGGATTTCGATACCATCATAAAACACCTCGCCGCTGGTGACGATGGCGCGCAATAAAGCTAAAGCGATCGTGGACTTTCCAGCGCCGGTCCTTCCGACCACACCGACCCTCTCCCCGGAACGAATGTCGAAGCTCAGGTCTTTCAGCACGTCGGTGGAATCTGAATTATTAAAGGCGGTTTAAGTGGAAAGCGATGTACACATCTGGGTTTGCTCACCGCGAGAGTATCTGGCGGAAAGTCCAGAGACGTGCAAAGAGCCACTGGCGGGCCAGTACGCCGGAGGAATGCCATCGTCAGAGGAAGGAGGCTCGTGGTCGATGTCAATGAAGTCGCGGATTCTTTCAAGGCTGCGAACGATTGTGAGCAGTCGAACGTGCAAAGCAGACAACGACGTGCCTGTTGACTATCAACGTCGAGGTCAGTGACAATCTAACATCCACTCGGTAGGGTATCCACTCACATTCCACCTCAGCCATGTTGATCGTACGGGCAAACCAGAAGACTTCCACGGCGAACGCCAAGACTTGATTCAGAGCGAATCCTGCACTGGCAACGTCAATGACCTTTCCGTATACGATGCCCGCAGCGACAACAGCGGAGAAAACGGAGCCAATGGCATCAATGCGAACATCAACCCAACTGCAGAGGAGATTGGGTCAACAAATCGAAGCGTTTTCTCCGTATTCCACTCACCGATTCACACTGTATAAGTTCCGCGAGAGTCTCGTATAATTGTCGATGCGGATCATGAGCAGCCGAGTGAACTGCTCCTGTGCATTGTAGGCTCGGATGGATGCTAGTGCAAGGGAAGTCACGATACTGGTTCCATTGATAGGCATGGAAACTCACGTAGTCCTTCCAGTGCAGCATCAAAGAGACTCAACACTGGTGATCGAGCGACGCTCTGCTCTCGTTTGATGACTTGAACGGAATTCTCATTAAGTAACGCGCCAGGAGGAAGTGCTGGTGATACCAACCTCTCTGACCCTTGACCCAAATTCGTCCAACACCCATCGCAGATACTATAACGAAGAGACCGGCCACGGCCGCACGCCATCCCACGATGTACGTGATAGCAACAAACATCAGCACAATATTCGTCCCGATACTGATTTGCCAGGAGAAAATTGAGCCAATCATCTGATCGATAGAGCTGAGATCCTGTGCAGTGCCGTATCCTCAATATTTGATCGCATATATATAGAATACCATACCTTCGTGAACCGAGTGATGACACGCGCGTTCGGAACGGTATCCAGCCAGCTGGTATGTCATTGAGCATCGCTCATGTGCGGTCAAGATAGTAGAGCATACCGGAAGGTGGAGCTCAGAACGGACGCCACCAGAGAGCGGTGGATTCTCCGTGACGCTCGAATACCCCCGTAAATCCACAAGGCGTCCCCTGTCGCGCCGAAGAAGAGGGATGCAAAAACGACCCCTGCATAACCCGCAAGGTACCTGTAGCCGATGAATGATCGAGCAGAGCTGCAGCAACTTTATGTGCTCACAGCTTATCTGGTACTTGATCCGCAGGGCGAACTTCGTATTGGCTTGCCCACAATCCGAGGAAGAACGGCTGGTAGATGTAGAACCCGGATTTTCCCAACGCCGTGATAACTCTTGCGATCCAGAAGAAGGTTCCACCGAGGTTTCCCAAATAGAGCATGATGGCGCTCAAGCCAACCTGCCCATGCGATACCTCTTCAGTGACAACCAACTTCCCCGCTATGCTTTGATCTTCCCCTCCTTCCGATACATCTGGTTTTTCGTCGACTGCCTCTGCCTTCTGAACCAGCTTCTGAGACTTCAGAAGCTCTGCACGGAGGGAAGCGTCATGCTCGACAGCACTCTCCAGGGAGCGTTCCTCGGCCACGACGCCATTGTTGATACGGATAACCTTCTTCGCCAGAGATTGTGTCAAAGCCAAGTTGTGTGTGACGAAGAGGACTGTCCGATCACGAAGAAGGACGCCCTTCAAACATTTCTCGACAACCCATTTACCCGTATGTACGTCAAGGGCTGCTAGGATATCGTCCAGTAGGAGGATCTTCGCTTTCGAATATATGGCTCGAGCTAGAGTAATCCTAGCCTAGAAATGCCAGTTGAGCTCCGGATGAACATTCTGAGGAGGTGAACGAACCTTTTGACCGCCACTAACAGGGCGGAAGGAAGAGTCAGTAACATAGATTGCCACGTACAACCTCGGATGTTACCTCAAGTTCAAGCCCTGCACCGTTCGTGTCAGCATGCACGAGACAGTGATAACGACTCGTTCTACCTTTTCGCCCACTTCAGTGAGGTCACCGCCCGCAAACATCGCCAGATCTTGCTTGAGGGCACATTGTTCGAGCACTGCAACCATCTTCAGCAGGTAGGCGCACAACTTGCGCGGCCCGTGGCGTACCCTGATTATACCTGTCCTGGTCGAGAGGCGAACCGAAGATAATATTCTCCTATATCCACATGAGCACATGGGATATACAAAACCGCAAGGAACTTACTCGGATCGTGTCGTTCAAGATCCACGTTTCCTGTGCGGCGTAGGCCACTCCCCCATCACGCGACAGATGATACCAAGAGCGAGGCCCATCGGGGTGGTAGTTCATTTCCCCTGCCTTTCGGTGAGCAGACATGGGAAGGTAGATTCATCGCACATACCGAGAAGGGCGAGCAGGAGTGAGGTCTTCCCGCTTCCCGTCGGACCAACTATGAGGTTGATAGTGCCGGAGTCGAAGACGACCTCCTCCTTGACAATCAGCTTGAACCCTCGCTTCCTCGGATTTCCATCGGTCGCGCTGATCCCGTTCCATGTGAAGGTGGCATTGCTGATTCCCACGACTTCGTTTGCAGGCTGGGTAGCTTCAGCCAGGGACGACGAAGAAGGAGGCGAAAGTAGGTCCGTCTAAAATGGTAAATTCAATGGATAACGTGGTCTTGAGACTCGATAATGTATATACTTCGTGAAGGAACTCGTTGAGACGATCAAGAGAAACCTTTCCTGCAATGCCATTCAACAAAGGCCAAAGATCCAGCCGATAGATGCGCCTACCATTCATGATCAATGGAAGGATGCCCATCAGATTCCATATCTGACCGCTCAAGATGCTGAACACGGCAATGAAAGTGAACACCAGCGATGGTGCGAGGTCTTGTTTCATGACCAACACCTGGGCAGGTTTCTCAGAAGTCAGGCAGATCGTACGTTGACGAGAACTCACGTAGGTCCCGAAGATAGCCATCACCTGAAGCAGCGGCAGGAACTATGCGCCGAAGGAGCATATCAGTAAAACAAGAAAGCGAATACGAGTCGCATACGCACGTTCTATGGGCGGCAAAAGATAGAACTAATTAGTCAACGACGATGGCAACCATGGTACAACATTTCACGCACGCCGATGAAGTAGTCGATCAAACCAAGCAAACGACCGAAGCGAATCCAGCCCAATTCCTGCTCCCGGACGTCGTCGATCTTCCGCTCCGACCTGTCTTCCCAAGCAAACAACTTGATCATCCTAAGCACGCTCATCGCTGTCGAGCGTCAGCATGTTTTCGCCGTAGAGGCGTCAGAACGCGCTCACTTTGCGTAACAACCTGTACGCGTCGGTCGGACGCAGACATCTTCTCGCGCTGGGATCGTATGTGCACCTTCGCCACCCAAGTAGGCACGGGTAAGGTCAATACTAGCACAGCGGCGCCAACAAGCGCGCTGGTGCGTTCATGTTGATCATTGCTCGTATACGAACGGCGAGAAAACTGACCTCGACCCGAGTAGCCGATAAAGATATATCGTGCTGCCGATGAGAGGCAAGGCAGACCGCACTGCAAGGAATACGATTCATGAGAGGTCTTTGAACAGAACGCCGGCGGCGCGGGTGCTGTACTCACAGAGTAACATGAAATCGGCGCCACCTGCCATGTTGCTGAGATCGCTAGTGACCAGATTGTTGATCCTTCCAGCGAGCTGCTTTCCTGCTTCATCGTGTTGTTTGACGGTGCGCGATGCCGCATCGGCATCGACGAGTTCATTATCCGCAGCTTCGATCACCTCTTCGCCAACGGTGGTCACATCGTCGGAATCTGCCAGGATCGATGCTGCCGTCACGGTACTTTCGGACTCGCTCGCGGCTTCCGAGGTTTCGTCGGAGGATAGAACCTTTACATGTCCAGATTTGGCACCCACGCCCGCGCTCAGGCGCAACCTCAGGGAGTTCTGGAAAACGAGCTGGGTGATGATTGCCTCTGCCCGGGTGACGGTCCTCTGCGAGTAATGGAGATACCACTCCATGCAGAATGAGCGAACGAGGGGTCCGAGCGCGACCCACACGATCCAGACCCAAGGACGAATAGTCGCGTTCGAGCGTGCATCCCCGTTTTCGAGGTATTCGAGGAGGTTCTGAATACCAATCGGCGCTAAGAACATGGAGGCGGCGAGAACCAGGTTGAGGAAGAACATCTTGATATAGTCCCATTCTGTGAGGATGAGAGGGGTCAACCTCAAAGCTTGAAAGCAAAGGGGAGTGTGTTACTAAAAATCTCCATGAGGCTCCAGAAAACGTGGCGCTTGCTCTTCGATTGCAGGGGATCAATTTTCTATGATGTTCCCCTTAGCCAATGTCTCTCACATCGTGTACACGCTCTTACCGGAAGGCCCTTCGCAGAAAGCAGCTCCGCAGCGTCCCCCTGTTGTAGCGGAAGAAGTTTCTCGAGGGGAAGATCGTCGTGACGGGACGCATATAGAACGATACCGTCCATATAGCCCCATGTCAAGAGCGACCAGAGAGACGCACGCCGTAAGGGGTCCTGAGGCAGATATGAGCATGCAGTTCAATTACCAACGATCCATACGGCAGACATACTGAAGAAGAATCTCCGGGAAGTGCCAGTGGGATAAACACGCCCAGGAAGAACAGTACGATTAGACGCCCGAGTGCAGGGAATGCAGGCAAGGATCCATCAACAAGCACCAATTGGGACCCGTCTGCATACGCGTAAACCAGAAATGCTGCTAGGTAAAGTGCGCTAACATGCAACTCGACAGCTCGTTTCAATCCGTGCACTCCGGCCAACGATCCGAGTGCAAGGAGTGCAGCGTAGACCTAAGGGATTTATCAGCTCATGAAACCATTGTCAGGGACAAGTTCCAACGCACGTAGAAAGCACACGTCTCGACCCGGACCATCAACGGAAGTCGCCTCCCGTACAAGCTTGAAAACGCGAACGCGACGAGGTAGAGGCCGCCGATCGCCCGTAACACCTTCAGGACCAACCTGACGCGTGGCGTCCCATTCAAAGGTGCATCCGAGGGTCTAGTGTGCGACTCCGAGGGCTTGGGGAACAAGGTGGACGTGATAACGAGATGAATAGCGGAGAGCGCCGCCAGGCCGCACGGAACCAGCAACAGATACGCGAGATACGCGTCCGACATGGTTTCACTGCTGAACATGGTCGAGAGCGAATTGCAGTACGCTCAAGTATGGGAACCGGGGATGAATCCTGTGAGCATGGATTCAAGGTTTCCGACGGAAGTTAAGGCAACTCGGGCCCGGGGCGAATCCTTGGATGAGTCCTGGCCGTCCGCGTGGATCACTCGCGATCAACACGGACCTGGAACGACTCACTAAGCAACTTCTCAGGCCGGCCTGGTAAGTAGTTCAGTTGATGCTCGGGTACATATTCCTGCATGTTCGTTGCTCATGAGTTGCAGGTATGCGCCTTCGATAGTCCAACGCCAAGCGCAGGGCTCCTGGGCCAGACGGAAGAAGAGACAACACCGCCACTTGCCTAATACGGCAGGTCGACGTGCTTAAACCTGACGTGGACGACCAGCCATCCTTGTGAGTGAGTGAGTTTTCGAGAGCCATCCGGAACTGCGATTCTCATATCGATTTTTTTTTGGCTAGTAGCAGAGAGGCTTCATCAATGATGCAGGGAACAATCATCTCTCGTTTTCCCCTCGAGCTCTATGACAGGATCCTCGATTACCTCCACGACGACGCGTCGGCTTTAGGAATCTGTGCCCTCGTTTGCCGGGCATGGATACCGACCGCGCGGTTTCACGGCCTTGACGATCTAACGCTCACCAGAAATAACCACAGGCTCGTGTGCGGAGAAACCTCATCCATCCTCCCGTTCGTACGTACTCTGCGCATCACAGAGGACCCGGCGCATCCGTGGCTGGACGCGGCCTTGCCCAAAATGCAGTTCGGAGAGTTTCCCTCCCTCACCACCCTGCACATAGAGGACTTCTCAAGACATATGTCCATCGAATCGCTCCGTATTTTGTGTTTGCTATGCAAGCGCCTGGCGTATCTAAAGATTCACGTCTTGTCGGCCGAATCTCTCGCGCCGATGCTGGAACTTGTGTCCGCCGCACATTCGCTTCAAACCCTCTCGCTTTGCAGCTATGCATGTGGATACATTCCAGAAGCTGACATGGACTCGCCTCTATTAGGCGACCTCTGTCCAATTACGACCATACGGCTGTGTTCGACACTCTACCCCTATCTACAAAGCTTGCATCGCTCATACTCCCGGCTCTGTATCACGTCCCTCACGATTTGCGGGATCACTACACAACTTAACTCTGTCCTACCTGTTCTACAGACGCTGGGTGATACGCTCCAGCATCTCTCTATTACCTTCAGCCCATCCTGGCTTTATCTTAAGGATTTCCGGGGTGAGTTAACTCGCACTAGCTCGTCGCGATTCGCGGTTCACGCTGATAAAATATTTTAATCAGAACAGTTCCTTAAGGGTGGTTTAGGATGTCTCATTGCCCTACGCACATTGAATCTGCACGTCGATGCTCTCTACATCAACCCTCTGCTACGCACCATACGGTCAAATGCGCTTGAGAAGGTCACCATCTCCATGCGACCAACGATGCTTGACGCGCTCAACGTCAGCGAGCTCGTTAACATTTTCTCAACTCAGCCGTTTTCGTGCGTGCCTGCTCGACTAGAATTCCTGTCGTTGGGGAATGAGTTCGACGCTTCATCTTACGAATCGTTACTGCGCCGGGGAGCTGAGAGCTTGCGATGCTCAGAACGCTTGCGACTTGCTGGTCCGCAAGTAGTGGAATTGGCATGGATGAATCCCTGGTTATGGTAGGCGGTGCTTGGACGACCTGATAATGGCAACCTAAAGGAAAAGGATGTTAGGGAAAACCATTATAGAGATGCGCACAGACAGGCGTTCGAGAATCTAGAAAGGAAAAATCGCATCCTATGTTTTCTCCATATCAGATACTGGCAGATACACTCAGCACACTCACCACCGGCACCCAACATCGTAGGCGTTGCTTAATACAGTATTACTACATGTTCGCAATCAACACGTTTACTTATGTTATTTCTTTCTGAACCTCGTTCGCTTCCCTTATATTGTGAAGGAACGCGAGGATGGCATGTGTCCACCGCGAGTGTCGCTGATAGGTTCTCATACGCAGGTGGCGAGTAGCTTCGTTCATCCTGTAAGTAAGCGGGTTAGTACCGGAGGCCAGGGCAGAGAAACTGTTTCGTCGACGTCACGAGCGTCTCGAAATAGCACAGCTTTCAAGTTCACCCAGAAAGCTGCGCGCACTTGTCGGAGTACTCTGCTTGTTCATTCACGACTGCGATGCCTATACTCGAACACATATCCTCAACTGCCCGTTCTGCTTTGCTTGCGAGCGCCAACGTCACCGCTACGGAACTGTGGAACCATTCGCAAAATCATGCACGATACGGACATCCCCCCGGGCGCAACGCGGTCTACCTGCGCGATTTCGCGGACCAGATCAAGCCGAACCATACACAACGGACGACGCTCATTGTCGCTGGCTGCTATGTCGGCGCGATCGCACTATTGTGGCATTTACCGTACTTGAACGCCATCAGTGAGTTAGCCTGTGCCATCTATCACCATTCTGCCATGCCATATTGTCCTTCCTTCATCGAAGCTTGCTGATGCACTCTTACTCGATGCAACAGTATACCCCTTCAAGCTCCTCACTGTCGGATTTCACGAGATGTCGCACGCCTTCGTCGGCGTCCTCACCTGCGCGCGCATCCACTCCGTCCAGCTCGACCCGGACGAGGGCGGCGCGACCCGGATGTCGGGAGGAATACCCTGGCTCACGCTCCCCGCTGGCTACCTCGGCTCGTCCTTCATCGGCGCCGCGCTCATCGCATGCGGGTTCAACACCAACGCGTCCAAGGTGGCGTGTCTCGTACTCGCGGTCTTCTGGCTATTCACCCTCTGGTGGGCACGGAAGAGCTGGGTGTGCGTATCCTGGGCCTTGGGATCCTGTCCGAGACTTACATATGTTTTCAGGACGTGGTGTACGATATTACTCATGGCCGGCCTCATCATTCTCTTTTGGTTCGTTGAAGGTGGCGTAGCTCTGCGGTAAGCTTGAACGCTCTGTTCAACGAGCCGAACTTATTCCGGGGCTAGCTTCTTCATCCTTTTCATCGGCGTGATGAGCACCATGTACGTTCTCTGGGACATCATCGACGACACCATCGAACGCAAAGTCAACGGCTCGGATGCATACGCGTTCTCCGAAATCTGCGGATGCTGCGGATCCCGAGGTAAGCTTCGCACATCCTCTCCGATTATGCACGATTCTCATCAGCGTGTCGCATGTCAGCCTGGGGAGTCCTATGGCTGCTACAAGCGTTCGTTATGTTCGCCATCGGCGTCATCGTCGGGCTCGTCGCATTCAAGGTTTGTTTACACACGCTTTTCACGTACAACCATCACCTAACAGCGCTGCCACTTCTTGCAGCAATCGGAAGCCCAACAACGTGCCGACTCCCACCACTTCCTGCCCGTTCCTACTTCTGGCGGCCTAGCCACCCAGCCTTCGATGTGGGCGTCCGCCGCCGCGGCCCTCGGTTCTCTCGCCCTCGCCGCGTTATTTTCATGATCTACGACTCCTTTCAAATGACCCTGCTTTGTGCGACACCTCTAGACCCTCCAATGCGCGCCCAATGTACTACCGTCTTTGCTTCTTGCTTTCTTGAACGGATCCCTCTCCAATACCCTAACTGTACCGATGGCCACGAAAAGGGACACAATGTGACGACACGGACGATATATCAAAGATCACTTGTATCATATTGTTATATATACCGACAGCCTAGGCCGACTGGTCGTTGCATAGTCTACTCAATTTATGTCGACAGACCGTCGATACGACATTCCAGCGTTACTTTAGCATTCTTCGCCATTCTTGTACAGATTTTTGCCGCTGGGTCTAGCCTAAACTCTGGTAGCATGGATCCACGAGGGAGAACAGCATAGCCAACATACGAGCTCCTACTTCACTTACACATATAATCGACCAATGATCCTGGCTTTTTGACGGTTGCGGAGCGCTAGTACGACTATCGATCGCTCACCGCCTCCTATCAAACACCCTCTCCCTCGAGTCCCTCCGCTCGCGAGACACCGAGCGCCTGCGCGGCCTATCCCTCGAATCAGGCCGGCGCCGTCCATATCCATCGTGCTCGTCCCTCCGTACATATCCCTTCCCGGCGCGATCCGCATCAACCGACCCGTCGCGTTCTCTGCGCCTGCGCTCGTACTCATCTCGCCCGTTCCTGTCCCTGAGCGACTCCCTCTCGCGCTCGCGGGAATCGTCCCGGCGCCTCGGGGGCGGCGGTCCGCGCGAGTCGTCCCGGCGGCGGTACGGTGGCGGGCTGCGGGACACATTCTTCGGCCGCGTAGGCGGCGAGTCGTCGCGTCCTCTTGCCCTCGGCGGCGGACTGTCGTCGCGCGCGGGCCGCCTCGGAGGGGTGCCGACGCGACGTCTGGGCGGGGAGTCATCCCGAAGACGAGGCGGAGTATCGGGGCGGCGGCGAGGTGGAGTGTCGTCGCGCCGGCGGGGCGGACTAACGTCCCGTCGACGAGGCGGACTATCGACCCGACGGCGGGGCGGGGTTTCGTCGTGACGGCGGGGTGGTGTATCGGGGCGACGACGAGACGGATTTTCATTGCGACGACGGGGCGGGGTTTCGTCGCGACGACGGGGCGGAATGTCGTCTCGACGACGGGGCGATGTATCTTCGCGCCTGCGAGGAGGGGTCGCGGCGCGACGTCGAGGCGGGCTGTCCTCGCGTCCTCGAGGCGGCGTGCGGCGCCTGTCGCGTCGGCGAGAACCGTCCGAAGAGGGAGAGCGCCTCGAAGCGGTCTCGGAATCGGAGTCGCTGTCGCTGTCCGACGAGTCGTCCGAAGAGCTATCCGAGTCAGAGTCCGAGTCTGACGACGAAGACTCCGCTTCGAGCATCGCCCGGCGCTGCTCCATGATGATCCTCGGCGCGTTCTATACATTAGTACATCAGCATTGACACCAGCCAATATCGGGGAATAGACGCACCTTGAGATGCTCGCGCATCTCTTCCGTGATGGCGCCCATGTTGATGCTCGTGAAATAGTTGATGGCGAATCGCGTATCCTTCGGATTGTCCATCGGGAACATGCCCTTGCACAGCATCTTCACCTCCTCATCCCGGAAACGCTCGTGCACGGTCTTCATGCCCATGCTCTCGACTACCTCCGTTAGCATAATCTTGAGGAAGATGCGACTACTGCTCGTCGTGTCTTCCTCCGTCAGTTTGATGCACGACATTGCCGCCCATGAGATAGAATCGGTGGCGATGAGGTGCCCGAAGAATCGCCCGATGTTGCGTAGTCGGTTTGTCTCGTAGCGATGAATCGTTGTGTAGTAATTACCGAACGCCTCTTCGAAGCACTCTGTCCATACGCGATTTATCTTCGAGAAACGCTCGCCGACGAGGCCATAGAAGGTCGAGTAAGAACGTTCCTGAGAGCAACATTCGATGATCATGTTCGCCAGCTCGATCTGCGGTTTGCAGTTCAGCCACCTCAGACTTCTTCCGCGTATAGTAGTTGAAATTCGTACCTCTTTTCCTTCTGGTAGCTGCACTTTGAGCAATTTATGTACAGCCTCCTCGTAGTTGAGTGCGTTCATGATCGTGAGGTAGATCGTGCGGCGAAGGTTAACGAGATTCGTCTCCGTCCTGTCCTCAATGCCTTCCTTGGCCTCGACTACGATCGGCGTGAGCATGTTTGATATAGACCGTAAACGGGCCCGACATACCTTCTTCGCCCTCGTCCTCCGAGTCCTCTTCTTCGCTGCCTGACGATTCATCCGAGTCGCCCTCGCCCAAAATTTCTGCCCTAATCTCCTTGTATTTTTGCTCGTTCTCGAGGAAGTTCGAGTCGAACTTGAAGATGTCTGAGGGGGGCAATTCAGCCTTTATGCTAGACCGACGAACGGAGGTACACATACTGAGTCCCTCCTGCACCTGCAGGTCTTCCTCGAGCTGGATTTCGTGAGTGATCTGGTCCTCCTCTTCGACCAGGTCGAGCCCTTCCGGTATGACGGGATTGTCCTTGAACTTGTCCTTGCGAACCTGCATGAGGACCTCGATCATGTACTGCGCCCGATAACTGATCGAGCCTTCGTTCAGAACGGCGCGGAGGCGCTCGAAGATGGAGGCAAGGGCGCGAGGCGATTCGCGTTCAAGGAACGCGCCGACCTCGCGAGCGAAGCCGACGGCGATCTCGATAGAGTCGTCCGTAGGACGCTCAACGAGGAGGACGAGGATTTGCAGAGCGACCAGCTCATGGGCGACGCCTTGGTTGACGAGATGTGCGATGAACGTCGTTGTGGAGTGGCATACAATCTACAACGGCAGGTCAGAAGTGGAACGCTAGGATGAGTAAGTGGCGCGTACCTTGTCGTTGCGCTTGAATGAACGACGGAATTGGCTGATGAGCCTCGCCAAAAGGAGCTCTCCAACCTGCGGAAGCTTCGTGTTGATGACAGCCACCAGCGCGGCGAATACGGGCGTGAATGGCAAGCTGGCCGCCTGCGCCTTCATGATGCTCCGCGCGAAGAGGCCACGGCCGCGGATGAGATTCTCGCCAAACAGCTCAGGGATGATGTCCTTGATGTTGGTCACGTTCACCCTGTTCACGATACCGGTGATCGACTTGCGGAGGGCATCCCACGACAGCCGCTGGTACTCGGGGCTGCTCTTGTCTGACGACGCAGCCTCCTGCATCGCCCGCAGACGGGCGGGGGGCATGTACACCCCGCCCGAACGTGAGTTCGCGGTGAGCTTGGCGAACTCTGCGCGTGCGTCGGCGGTGGTCGCTACTTCCTTGCCGTCGCCGCTCTCCTTGCTCTTCTCCTTTTCGAGCTTCTCGAGCTCGATGGCGGCGAGGCGCGCGGCGAGCTGCCGCTCTCGCTCGGCGCGTCGCACGGGGTCAACATCTTCAACCCTTGGGGCGGTTTTGAGAGGGGGTGGAGGAGGGGAATAGGCCTTGCGGCGTGTAGCTGGCGGCTCGTCGTCGGAATTGGAGTTGGAGGGCGAACGCGACCTGCGACGACGTGAGGAAAGGGACAAAACGGTGGCATGCAACAGAAACGCACCTCTTCCTACTCGCCGCAGGTCCATCGACGTCCATATGGCTCATTGCTGTCGCCATTGCTGAGTGCAGAGCGCGAACAGGCGATTGTCCTCTGGCGCTTATGTAAGCGAGCCTCGCCCGAAGCAGCACGTGAGTTGTTCAAGGCGGAAGGGTGGAGATTTCCTGCTATACTCCTCAACATGTCAGAAGAACTGAGGCAAATCTCTGCATACATTCTTGCTCATGACGCGACCCACTTTGCCTGGACCTTTTCTCTTAGAGCCCTTTTCACTTGCGTACATGCATACATATGCCATGACTGAAATAGAGCATACGTCGTGGTCAGGTTACCTACTAATCGACGAGTCAGGGAGCAGTAGTTGGCGATGATACGCGGCCGATCGGTCACGATGGAGACGTAGTGGGACCAGCTCCTGGGCAACTCGTATGGTGTAAAACAGACAGCACGTTGGGCAGAGTATAAGTTACATCCTAGGCAGGGCTCACTCGACCTTGGAGGTCTTCTTCTTCCTCGAATCGCGATCATCCCCTGCCAGCCAGAAGGCCGAGAACAGCACAAAGCCCGCGCTGGTGCTGATCGCACCGGCGTAATAGGGCCAGGCAGCGCTGAGGAAGCGCGGATACTCGTCGTGCCGGGGTGGCACGACGGGCACGACAGTGTCGCTGTGTAGATGCGTCCATCTTTTGGATTCCATGAGAAGAGATGAAAACGGTCAGTATGCGGCATGGATGTGGAAAAGACGACGGAACGGACCCTTTGCGCTTGTAGTCGACGACGAACTTGAACACGCCGTGCCTGTCCGGCGCGCGGAAGGTGACCGAGTACTCGCCCGCTTTCCCGGGGACGGGAGGTAGCGACGTGCGGATGTGGGGGTCGAGCATCGTGAACTCGAGCTGCAGGTCAGTAATGCCGGAGTACGGTTCCCAGCTCGAGGTTGAGGGGTTGTACTTGGAGATGTGAGCGGTGTAAGTCTAAGATGAAGGACAATGTCAGAGTACAGGTAGGCAAAATCTCGAGTAGGACGCACAATCTCGTTATAGATGGTGTAATGGTCCCGAGGAGCGGTTTCGTCGACACGGTGGTGCGTGGTGTTGTCGATTCGAAGGACGAGCGACTCTTGGAACGTCCACGACACAAGGTCCTTGATAAACTGCAGATTGCCGCTCTTGGCCCCTCCAGTGGGGTTGGCTCCGCTGTAGCACAAAAACAGGTATGAGCTATCCCAGTCAAACGGAGAACAAAAACACGCATACATAGGAGCTTTTTGAATGTACTCGTCCGAGAACAGCTGTACACCGCCTACCCACGCCGCCCTCGCGCCGCCGCGAACCTGGAAGCCCGTCGCGACGCTCAGCTGCGATCCCGCCCAAAGGCCCTCTCCGCCCTTCTCGGACGCGTCCACGAGCGCGTCGGCGCCGCCGTCTCCCGTCGAGTCCGCCGCAAAGCTCTCCGCGGGCGCGCGCAGCAGCGGCACGAGCAGCGGGTTGTTGCCGAGCGCGAAGGGAACGCCGCTGAACCAGACCGGGGCGAGGCTCTTGGTGAAGATGGGCGAGACCGAGGTAGAGGGCGGGACGGGGATCGGGATGACGGAAGCCGGCTCGGAGCGCGCGGGGAAGTGTGAGAGGAGGGGCGTGCCGGGTGGTGGCAGGATGAGCGAGAATTCGGTCGCGAGAGACGAGAGAGGAGTCTGTTTGCTGCCGAGGGTGAAGAGGATGTTGACGCCCTGCTCAAGAAGGCTGACGAGCGCCTGAGGGGTTATATCCGGGGCGTAGGCTGGTCAATATGTCAGCAACCGAAGCATGCCACGAAATGACCGACGGAGCTTACCCTTGGTTTCCGGAGAGAACAAGATGATGTGCGAAAACGACGGCACGCCATCCTCGATGATGGCAGGCGAAGCATCCTTCGGTGCCCGGAACGTGAGGTTGTAACCTTGTCCTGCAACGTGAGCCGCGTCAGCACTTTTGCCACTGGCGCTTTGCCGTCCTAGGGGCGTGTCCAGCAGACCGAGCTGCACGCTCACCCTCTAGATCATCGAAGAATATAGAAAAGTCGTCGCGCTTCAAGCTCGGCTCGAGGACGACGAGGACCGAGTCGCCAGTGCTCGACTTGGCGTGGATCGCGGCGGCCAAGCTCAGCAAGGATGCAACCAGAGTACGAAGACCGAACATGGCGCCAGGTGAACTGGCTGGGTTGAGCTGAGGCCCAGTAGTGGTCACAGGCAATAAGACGGAGAGGTGTAATGCTGGCCGACGGCGCCCAAAGTTACACGTCGACTTCTATTTTTGGCCACGCGACACAGTATCCCTCAGTATCCCTCTGCTGCAACTTGGCCTACCCGCTACACGCGCCTAATATTATTAGTAGACAATGTCTACTGGGCTTTGCTAGACGCTATTCGCACTTGCTCTGCCATATCCGCAGGATACTGCACGCATTAACCGCCGATGACGGGTCTGCGTGCGAGCACATGGGAACATACTGCGCCAAATGTCTTCAAACCCCTGCGTCGAAGGAAGATGCAATTAACCTCGTGAGGTTCGCTCGACCACAACCGACAACGCCATCCTCCACTACACCGGGAATCGTGCGCGTCCAGAGCCCTCGAAAGGCATCCGACGATCATCACGCGGACCAGCTTCTCTCCTTCGCAACGTCTCGTCGTGCGATTGATGACTACAGCTCCTTCTGGCATTGAGTAAATACACGGGCTGATGGAGCTATATAACATCGGTGAACACCGTCGCATCGTCGTAACACACAACTGAGACTCACAACCGACTCGAAACATGAAAGCTGGTTTCATCCATTGGCTCACGGCCGGTCTCCTGCTTCGCTCAACGTGGAACGCACGAGCGGCAGAAGACGCGTGCAACTCCTTCCGAATCCCCTCCAGCGAGTTTCAACGCGTAGACGCCGTTGCGTGGAGCTCGACGTTCTTTGAGGCCGGTGCTCTCGTCAATATCACCAACTTGTTCTCTTCGATCAATACCACCGCCCTACCCGCTTTCTGCCGTGAATACGTTCTTTGCCCTGGGCTGACACTGGAAAACACGATTAAATCCACTCTCAGGTGTACGTTTGACCATCACCACCAACGAAACCTCGGGGTCATTCACCGACAGCGAGGTCTGGCTTCCCGAGCCAGATGCTTGGAACGGCCGCTTTCTCGGGCTCGGTAACGGAGGCACAGGAGGAGGCGGTGAGAACGTCTGATTACTGTTTGGTGGTGAGGTTATGTTGATGAAAGGATGTGTGCACAGTTGACGTGGCAGACCTCGGATTCGATGCCGTCGCCCAAGGATGTGAGTCGAATCCATCTCTGTAGCTGAAGCTACCTCTCATGTACGTGAAAAGTCGCTGGAATGTCCACCGATACCGGTCATAACTCGACGGTATTCGACGGATCTTGGCATGAACCCGTACGTCGTCGTCCTCGTCGTCGGTTCTGGAAGCTCGACGTTCAAATCGGCGTTTCATCAGAACCAGATCGTTGACTGGGCCTTCCGTGCCATGCACCTGAGCGTCATTGCAGGCAAGCAAGTCGTGGAAGCGTACTACGGCAAACAAGAGGACATGAAGTCGTACTACCTCGGATGTTCCACAGGCGAGGCCCTCCCCCTTCGTACGGAGTGCCAAATTTCTGACTCTTGTCGAACTTACAGGTGGAAGGCAAGGGTAAGCATTCTCTTCCGATACGCGACGCGCACTATGTTTCACGGACATATCCAGCCTCAAGGAGATCCAGCGTTTTCCAGAGGACTTTGATGGAATAGTGCGTTGGTCGCCCCCCCCCCCTCTCGATTCTGTCGGGGACGGAGGCTGACGTGCGCTGCATTGCATGCCTGCAGGTCATCGGCTCACCCGCGAACTGGATGTCGCACCTCCAATCGTTCTCGATCCACATCAACTTGAACGTCCTTCCCGTGAACGGGTCGCACTGGATCCCGCCCGCTCTCTGGAAGGGCCCGATCCACGACGAGGTGCTCAGACAGTGTGACATGATTGACGGGGTGCATCCATCCGATTTCCCCAACGAAAGGATCCGACAGCTCATCGTTTTCCTTCAAGGTCGCCGACGGCATCATCAACAACCCGCTCGCGTGCAAGTACGCCGACATCTATATCCCTCTCCTCGAGCCATTTTGCGACTAACCCACCTCTGTAAACTCAGCTTCCGTCCGGAAACGCTCTCCTGCCGACCCGGTCAAGACCCGTCCGCCTGCCTCACCCTTGACCAGATCGTCGCGCTCCGCAAGATCTACAGCGCATACATCGAGACGAACCAGACGTTCATCTTCAACGGGTACTACCCCGGCGGCGAGCTCGGCTTCCCGAACGGCCTCGTCGGCGAGAACATCCTCACCATCGCCCCCGAATATTTCCAGCTTTGGGTGCTAAAGTTAGTGCGCCTCGTTATCTTTCGCGCCCTGCTTGACAAGCGACTGACATATTTTGCCCGGAACACAGTGACACGTCGTTCAGTCCGTTCGACTTGACCCTCGCCGATATCGAGCTCGCGGACAAGATCGACCCCGGAACCCAAAACGTCTGTTTTGCTGTCTCATCTCATCCAAGTCATCCGGCCGCTGATGCTACCCTGGCGGTTTTGAAGGCGATCGACCCCAACATCACGGCCTTCGTCAGCGCGCCGCACAACGGCAAAGTACTGCACTACGTCGGTCCGTCCCTCTTCCGTTTCTCCATGTGTCCCCCAGTCCTTACCGGTTAAAAAAAAAGGGTGGGCCGACCAGCTCATCTCGCCGGGTAATTCGCTGCACTACTACGACACCGTGCAGGCGTTCATGCAGACCGAGACGGACGCGAGCGTCGACGACTTTTATCGGCTGTTTACCGTCGCGGGCATGCAGCACTGGTGGGCCGCTTCTTCTTCTTCTTCTTCCACGGACCGAGCGGATGAGTGACCGAACGGTGCAGCTCTGGCGGCTTCGGCGCGAACGCGTTCGGCGGGTCGGGCCAGGCCGCGGCGGGGATGCCGCCGCTGTCGAACGATCCTCGTGAGCACTCCTCGTCCCGCGTATCTCGTATTCCATTGACGGTCAATGCCCGAACGATCTCCGGTTTTTGCCCAGAGCATAACATATTATCCGCCATGGTAGCCTGGGTCGAGAACGGGACCGCGCCCGACAACTTTACGGCGGTGTGGTACGAAGATAACGACGCGACGCAGGGCGTCGGGTTCAGTCGGCCGCTGTGCAAGGTGCGTTCGTTCGCTCATTCGAGTTTGCACGCGTGCACGGAATCTCCGAGCTGAAATGACAACGATCGCTTTGCTCTACGTACGCAGTTCCCCGCCAACCTCCGGTTCGACGGGGGCAATTCGAACGCGTCGAGCAGCTTCACGTGCGTCTGATACGGTAGTGTCGATTCCGTTGAGTTTTCCGTCGGACCGGACGATTTGGCGTCACGTCTTAGTAGCGTGGGGGGCGGGGTCGAAATGAAGGGAGATAGGGTCAGGAATAAATCGATGACCTTTCTCCCGCCCGATGTATCGGGAAAAGTGCGCCACGGCCCTGCTCGCGGGCGCTGCTTGGCTGCGGAAGGTTTTGCGCTGCTGGGATATCTCGACCGACGGTTAGGTGTGCGATGCGAGGAGTCGCCAGACGGACGTACGATTGTATCGTTCTGCGGCAGGGAGTGTGCGTGTGTGTGCGGTTTTTCCTTGAAAACGCGCGGGAGGAGGTGGTTGTAACCGCACGAGAGTGCAGTGTCCCTGCGCGGGTGCCGGGGGAAAATGTTTCTCGTGTCCGTCCGGACCGGAATGCAGATGATGTGCCCGTCCGGCGGCTGTTGCGCTCCCTTGTGGTTGCCTCATTGGGGTTACGGTATCGCGGCGTTCGGGACTCGGGAGTGGGAGTGGCGCGTCTCGGCGTTGGGGATTGCGGAGCGGTGGGTGATGAAATCGAGATATCATCATTTATTGGTAGGTTTCGTTGATATGGTATGGTCGTTGAACGTTGAACCTGCATTCCTGCTTGTTGACGGGTGGGTCTGTGTATCGCGCGGCCGCACGCGGAACCTTGAAGGCAGAGATAAACGCGTCGACGCCTCTTGGATTTCGGAATGTTGTGGTGTCACCGTGGACGAATATGGCAAGTCGTGTCCCGTCGCGTCCGGAAACGGAGAGTCGTGTTTCATCAGGTGGTGGACCCAGGAATAGGTATCCGCGTCGGTGACGTCGTGGCCCGCTGCGCAATTGCGTCGCATTGCGAGTCGCCTGACACAGGCGGGACGAGAGAAGGATCACGTTTGCGATTGGCGTCCTACGAGACCGCGCGGCGGCGTCATACGTGCATCAGCGGTGTCGTAGCCAGCTGGCGTGCCGACGTCCGAATCTGCGTATAGTAATGTGTCTCGGAGGAGAGGATCGGCAAGGTCCAGCGATCTTTCCTGAAGGAAAGTTGACCTGTGTTACTTACTCGCCGAAGGTTTTGCCCCGATCCCACCGTCGGCGCCGACCCCGACGGCGGGACGAGACGCGCGCGAAGATGGCGTCATGGGAGAGTCAGTTCGTAGTATGCATCGCGTCAGCGTGTTCGGAAGGAGGCGGTGAGAGGCAGGAACAAGATGAGATATGAGATAGGAGTTGCCATGCGCATCATCTTGCCAACAGATAGGAGCATGTCGGGCTGCGTCGTTCGGGTACGACTGAGTCGCGCTCGACACCCGAGCAACTTGGAACTTTACGGTTGCGTGAAGCTCAAGGATGAGCTGGGCGAGCGAGCGAGACACCTGGGCCAGGATCGCTGCCAGGCCCAGATCCCCGCGAAGCGTCACGCAGGAAGGAGCGCAAGACCCACGATCGCGCTTCGTAGAACAGAAAACCACTGAATCGCAAACTCGCGGACCTCTGGAGCGACCGCGTCCCCGGATTCTGCCCCGTCGATGCCGGCATGGGGAGTTCCCCGCGAGTCCCCCATGGCCCGGCTCGCCGGTGTCTCTAGAATAAATGTTTGTGGAGGTGGTGTTCGACGGAGGAGGAACAAGGCGATGAAGTGGGTGGGCGGTTCTAGATCCGGATGGAACCGCGCGGGTAGGTGATCGGGGAATAAACTCAGCGCGAGAATGCTGCTTATGTCAGCCAGTCCGGGGCCTCGGTGGGATATGGACTCATAACGCCCGCCCTCCTGGCCCAGGGCTTTTTCTGCCCGCGCGAGCTTCTCGCTCCCGTTCACTGTTTTCTCTGCCCTCTTCTTCCCAGACTAACCGCCGGGCCTTGTGCTCTGGCAAACCGCGATCATCTCGCCTTCACGTGGATTGTCCGTGGAGATTGGCAGAAGACAGGCAAGAGCGGTTGCAGACGTCCGCCAGCGACCGATCCAACCTCTTGCACGCGTTTGACGGTTCAAACTTGTCTGGTTCGCGCGACCGTGCTGGCTGGGCGCGCCGTCGACAACACATCCTACTTGCACACCGACGCGGTCGACGTTCCAGTCTCGATTTCGGTCATCCAGGAATCTGGCCGCGCAAAGCCGTCTCATCTCGCCGTGCCATCCGGTCCGAGATAGCACATCATTTTCCCTTTCCCCCCGTCGCCACATAGCACACACCGTAAGCCCGTCCACCCTCCTTCTCCTCCGTTCCAGAGCTCCTCACGAGCGACCTATCGCGCCCCGCCCAGACCCCCGCCGCCGTCCTCCCGAGGCCAGGCGTCATCCTTCCCATGTCAGCAGCGGTCTACACCCCACCGCTGCCCTTCACGCGGGACGCGAACGCGGCCGGCCTCCCGCTCCCGTCCATCCCCCGGCGCACCTCCTCCACCACGCCTCGCGCCCGGCAAGCCTCCTCGGCACCGTCCATCCTCCTCGCCCAGGCCGGCCCGAGCTCTGTCGTCCTCCAGCCGCCCACGCCGCCGCACCCGCCGCCCCTATCACCCCCCGCGGCCGCGCTCCCGATCACCGCCAGGCCGCGCGCCGACTCGTCCGCGTCCGCGTCCACGTCCTCGAGCGCCGACACGCCCAGGCCCCTATCTCACCGCCGCCACGGCGACGACCTGCGGCTCGACCTCGACGCTATCGCCCCATCGCCTTCCCCCCGCCGCCTCTCCGCTCCCGCCCTCGCCGCCTCCGTCTCCCTCGACGCCGCTCAACCGCTCATGCAGCAGCCCCCCGCCGCCGCGACGCCGACCACCAAGGCGGGCACGCCCCTAAAGTCGTCCCTCAAGTCGCGCAGACCCAGCGAGGCCCGCCCCACGGCCCTCCAGGTCCTCGCCGGGTACGACAGCCTGCGGACCAAGTCGGAGCCGGTCACGCCCACCGCGGCGGCCAAGAACGTCCACTTTGACGACCGCCTCGAGCGCGTGCGGCATTTCCTCAGCGGGCAGAAGCCGAGCGCGGTCAGTCGGGACGGCAGCCCGCGCGAGACGACGGACGAGGAGGACAGCGATTGGCCGAGGTTTATCTACGGCCCCGGCCCGCCCTTACCGACCGAGAAGGACGCCGGGAAGCGGGTGTTGCGGATGCGCGTCGAGGACGGGCACGCGCCCGCCGGCGTCGGCCAGCGTATGGGCGACGACGTCGTGCTGGAGGAGATCAAGTTTGTGAACACGCCCGAGGGGGCGAGGGTCGAGGGCATCGTGAGGGTGCGCAACGTCGCGTTCGAGAAGCGCGTCGCGGTCCGGTTCACGTTCGATAACTGGACGACGACGAGCGAGGTCGCCGGGCGGTACCTCGTCTCCGCGCCGGATCACTCTTGGGACCGGTTCGGGTTCGAGATCAGGGTCCCCGTGCATCGGGCGGAGGAAAAGGTGCTCGTGATGGCGGTCAGCTATCATTCGGGCGGGAGGGAGATGTGGGATAGCAACGCGGGAAAGAATTATAGGGCGAGGTTCGAACTCGTGAAGGAGCAAGAGAAGCGGGCGTCGTATCGGCCGCAACAGCAGAGGAGCCGGTCCGCGCACCCGGGCGCGTCGTTCGCGACGAGCATCTCGGACGAGGAGATGAGCGACCTCACGTCAAAGCTCGAGAAGGTCGCCGCGGGGGGCAACGCCGCCAGGGCCGCAAACGACGACGAGCCGGAGTCGCCCAGGAAGGAAGCGAAGGCGGCGGACGCGTTCGAGTTTGAGAAGGGCGAGAGCCTGAGCAAGCGGTACGATTTTGCGGCGAGCTCGAGGATGGCGTGGCATCGCCCCGCGAGCCCGGCGTCGGTCGCGCGCATGGTGTCGCCTACGCGCGAGGACGGCGCGGTGCCGTGGCCTCGACAACAGCAGCAGCAACGCGGAACGCCGCGGAGGAGCGCGAGGGAGATTTTCCAGCTCGGAAGGGGATCGCCGCGCGAGCCGGACGAGGAAGACTGGAGGCGCGTGGTGGCGGACGCGGCGCGGGACGAGGTCGACGAGGGCGAGCTGCCGTTCGCGCGCCCGGCGCCGGCCAAGCAGCGGGGGAGGATCCATCAGCGGGGATATTTTGACCTCGGCTTCGACCTTGGACGCGCGGGGAGCGGGTTTCGCCCGTACGGTGCCCACCACACCATCAGCGACGACAAGAAGGGAGGAGGAGGAAGCGGCACGCCCCGTCTGGGACCGGATGGGTACGCCGCGCGGTTGAACTCGTATCCGCCTGTGGCGTCGCCGCCGCACGAGACGGGGACGCGGGAGACGTCGTTGTGGGGGAAGAGCGGGCCTGCGCCGGCTGCGTGGCATGCCGCCCTCGCGATGCGTCGGCCCTTGCACCACCAGCAGCACCGGGCCGGGGCTGGCGTCGGCAGCGAGGCCTCGACGCCGAGTTTTACGACCGGCGGGAGCTCGAGCAGCGAGCAGACGAGCCCGGAGTACGAACGCGAGAACCCGCTGAGCCCCGTCGGCGGGCCGGACTATACGGCGCTCGTGAACCAGTGAGTCATGTTCCTTTGGTCTTTGTGTCGTGGATAGAGCTGATCGTACGTCGGCAGGCTTTGCTTCTTCACGGGAGGGAACTCGCCGGGTAAAGGGTTCCTTACCCCGTCCGAGTTACCTGGCGACGAGCTCGTCCGTTCGCACTCGGCGAGCAGCGTTCAGGACTACTTCGGCTCGCCGGCGTCGTCTGTGCCGCCTCTGTTCGCGTCTTCGTCGTTCGAGGTGCAGAGATCGAGCAGCTTTGACGATGCGACGGGCGTCGGGAGGCGGAGCGGCAGCTCGACGCCTCGCGTGAGCCCCGTCGCTTGAAAGAAGATCCCTCCACCAGGATCAAGTACAAAAGTGCGAGACGCGCCAGGGCAAGAACCCAAAGACCTTTTTTTATGACTTTTCTATCACGGCACGAGGCGACCTACGGTACTGTACGATCAAAGTGAATCCGGGAGATGAAGAAGGAGGAGGAGGAGGAATCCGCACACCACGCACGACTTCGACAAGCCCTTTTAACTCGACGCCGCACCCACTCTATTCCTACCCTACGCATACATACGTCTACTTGGCCGCGATACACGAAGATTGGTAGAGACACAGAATACCCCATCTGTACCACTACTGCATCCGTTTTTCTTCACTTCGCCTTATCTTTCATATAGGGGTCCGCTGTTAGGGCAGACCCCTTTCGAGCTCCCTAAATCCTTATTTCTCTCATACATATCCTAGACTACCGTATGCACATTCATGATCACGAGCAATCACAGACTATCTCTCCCTCTAGATCTCTTGCTTTAACGTCCTGACACCCGCTTCCGAACGTCGTCAGCACTGATCCGCTTCGTGCGGCGGATCTGATCAGGTGCGGAACTGGACGTCGAACGAGCGCTGGCGCTTGATTTCCATGTCCAGCTGATGAATCTCCTTTTCTATCCCTAGTTCTGGCGTCAGATATGGACTAATAGCCATGGTGTGCGATTCTCGGTACAGTAGGCGTACAGTGCCCGATCAGTCACTTGTACAGTACCAGTCACTTGTACACCTGCCTTGATCTGGCTCCCCTCGCTCAGAATTAGCTACTTCCTCTTCGGACTACAGTACCATATAGTTAATATACATGCTGGCTACAATATTTGATACTGCATGGGATGCGATTTATCGACTCGATTAATTGTAAGACTGTCCAGAATGCGTGAAGTCCCATTTTGACCAAATTTCTGCTCCTTGCACGTTGTATGTAGAGCTACGATTGCGGAGTCTACTGACAACCGCAGCTCCTTGTATCAACCAAGTGTACCCAAGGCATATTTTCCGTACTCTTATGTGGGCACCAATGCGGAACTACGCCCACCAGGGTGCAAACCATGTGCAAAACAGCCGAAACGACGGGGAAAGTGTGACAGATTTGAGTCACACAGCCATCTTGGCTCCCAAATATGGTATCCATGACAGCTGTTTTGGCAGAGGCCGGCGTGACATAGCCGGTGTGCAAATGGATAGTTTGTGTCTTAAGCGCATGACAGCCAGTAATCGGCATCCACACAGCTCCTCAACACATTGCAAGCCATAACAATATGCTGAGTTTGTGCAGAAGCACAATGTGCATCATATGAGATAGTTTTTACAAGGTATGAATGGGAGGACATGGAGTAATGGTCAAATTACATTTTTGGTGTACAAAGGACTGGTCGGGTACTGTACTCGTCTAGGTCTAGGCGCGCCTCGTGAAGGAAGTGGACACTTGGCACTCCGCCTCGTTCAAACATACCCTGCAGCTCGTACGCGGCGACCTCATGCTGGGCTCGCAGGGCACGAACTCTTGCTGAGGGCTGAGGATGGGCAGCAAAATGGTTGTTGACAAGGGTAGGATGAAGCCGGCCGCAAAAGCGATCAGGCTAACGACGCTTGCTGTCAATGGTCATGTCCATCTCGAGTGTGAGGGGTTATGTCCTCGAAGAGGAAAGTGGGGAGCTTGGGGTTGTGAGTGGCCTTATGCGCGAATCAGGCATCCAAATGACCATATAAGGCAATCATGCCGTTCTTGCTTGCCTATGGCGCTGCAATAAAAATACGTGGACATGGAGCGTTTTATGATTTCGAAAGCGCGTATCTATTATGGACCTTCATAGGATCGGGATGCAGGACATTTGAAAAATATTACGAACAGAGCTAGGGAATGACTGGGAACATAGACCAGGGAATGGTACGGATAACAACGACGCAAAACATCGGGACGTGTCAAGCTGCACGTTCATCAATGAGATCTGATAGAAAAACATGAGAGACTAAATACTGTCTGGGGAGTTCTTCAGTTTGTCAAAAATCAAGACCAAGGCATTGGAACCAATGACTCGTCGTCTGGCAGCCTGGAAGCGTTATACAAGGTTTGCCCCCGGCCAGGTATTTCAAATATTTCCTTTTGCGCATTGCTGAGCTGATCTGCGATATAACGTGTTTGGCGCAGGAAAGGTTGATACACAGCAATTCGCTCAAACAAGGAGCGCGAACGCATCCAATCGATTTCCAAATCATGGATATTTTTCTTGATTCTATGTATCGAATCGTATAAGGACAAGGTCAGCAGAATGCTACTCAGCGGGAGCTTGGTCAAGAGAAACGTACCGATCGAGATTCCTGTACATGTCGTGGAGGAATCGGACATTCGGTGCCCGACCCCGCTCGAGGACTTCCTCGAGATCATGTTCAACGACCTTGCACTGTGCCTTCAGGCTTTCTAAACGCGTCGTGGGATAGAACAGCGATGAAATGAAACGCGACGCCAGTGGTGACAGGAAGCCGCCGGAGAAGGCAAGCAAACCGGCGACGTTGGCGGCTGCGTCCATGTGCGCCGGTGCTGGAGCGGGGTGTCGGCTGTTATAGCTCACAGGAACCGTGGATGCACTGTGTGCGCCAAGCCGCACGTACTATAAGACACCGGTTTAGGGCTCCGCGCGTCCCTTACACGGGGACGGGCCGTCTGTAACGGAGTACTCCGTAGTTAACCGTAGAGTAAACTTAGAATGGTCGCGGCTCCGCCGCGACTGAGAAATCACAATGTTGCCGCGCCCGTTGGGCGCCATATGGTCGAATCTTGCGTGCTTAACTTTACTCCTCCGGGCGCCTGATATCCGAGATATGATTATCTACGATATCTATGGCGTCTCGACTATAAAAGACTCTTTGCACGCCTGTATCTACATTCTATTTTGCTATACTACCGGATCCTGCTCTGTTGCCTGCGATCGTGACACCGCCACCGCCCGCCTCGCCCCCTTACGCCTATCTTACACCGTCTAAATACGGCAGAAATACGGGACGGGCCGTCACAAAACGGGCCGTCCCTTTGGTACATAGCAGAATATTATCATGAAGATAATGTACATTCATTGTTAAACCATAACAACGAATGAGCATCGCTGTGCAACCTCATCTTTGCACACACCTGCTGCTTCCAAATAGGTTATAGGTGACGTACTGGCGCACCGGACGTTGTGAGAAGAAACATCGCTGCGCACACCAGTCCACGAATTACCGGCAAGTAAGCACACGTTTTGTCAGGGGATCCCGAGTCAATTTCAGTACGAAAATTACAGTAAGATCACGCATTCTTAAACTGCATACATGCGGTTCTGCCACAACGTCTGTGTGTATGAGCGGTGTGCTAGCGCACACTTCGATACTCGTTCAGCGAGTTCTCCTCTCTCAGAAACTCAAGGAGCTCGTAAGGAGGTTGCGCATGAGCACGCATGTATAGTAGCGACGTTCACGCATTCGCGAGCCTCAATGACCCCTTCCTCTCCGAGGCCCCCATCGGCTATGTCTCCTTCCTCCCCCATCGTATCCTCCACCGTGCCCACCACCGCCCATAAATGGACCACCGTGTCCAACCACCCCTCCGCTCGCGCCCCCCGGTCCGAACATGAGTTCCTCTTGCGACGGTAGTGGCCCGTCTTGTCTACCTACCACCGGCCCCGTCGAAGGCGGGGGAGCTCCTGCAAAGCCGGGTATGGAGTCGTCGCTATCGGGACCGTGGCGAGAGTATCCATATCCACTGTTGCTGTTGCCGAGCCCAGGAGGGCTAGTGCCTAAGCCGGGCGGGAATACGCCAGTACCACTGGCGCCGAGGCCGGGAGGGCCTCCACCGCCGCCGAATCCGGGTGGCCCGCCGTAGCCGTCGTCTTCCTCCTTGCCCCGCCATCCTTGCGCTCCTTGCGCTCCGTTCGGTACCGTGTACGCTGTGCCCGCAGCCGCCCCCGCGCCGCCGGCAGATCCAAAGCCGGGAACGTACCCTTCCTCCTCCGCGTCGTAGCCATCGTCCCGCTCGCGCCCCTCCGCGTCGATCTGGCTGGTGTCGACGATCGTCGGGGGCTTTTCGCCGCCCACTTGCAGGTCGCCAGGCCGCTCCCGGGACCAGAAGCGCGTCGTCTGGTCGTTGGACGCGGAGGCGAGGAGGTGGCCGAGCGGGTGGAAGGCGAGCGACCAGACGTTGGAGTCGTGCGCCTGGGAGAGGGTGGCGCGCGGGGAAGGGATATTGGCGGCGGGGGCAGGCGCAGGCGCGGAGGGTGGAACAGAGGAGGTGTCTGGCGGAGCAGCGGAAACATCCCAGTGAAGGAGGGCGCCTTCGGAACCGCCGGAGACGAGAAGGGGGTGCACAGGATGCCATGCCAGTGCTGAGTAGATTGTTCAGATGTTGCAATGCGCATGAAGGGTGGCTGTGACTTACAGCAGACTTCTTTCTTGTGACCGCGAAGGATGCGGAATTCCTTCATGGCACGGATGTCGAAGACGCGGACGGTTTGATCGCGCGAGGCACTGGCGATGAGGTCGCCGTTCGGAGACCACGCGAGCGCTTGAATGGTATTCTTGTGCGTATGCCTGTAGTTCATGTCAGCTTTGTAATACAGCAATATGATGTCTATATGGACTTACAGAGTCGACAAACAGGTCCCTGTTCTTGGATCCCAGAATTTGATGAGGTTGTCTTTACTGCCTGATACCAGTAAACCCTTCGTCGGATGCCACTCGACGCACTTGACGTCCCATCCGTGTCCTGCGGAAGTTTGAATCGACGATGTATGTGGTTCACGAACATGACCGTACCAGTTAACACCCGTTCCTCCCTGCTCTCCTCAAAACTCCAAATTCGCAACGTCGAATCATCACTCGCTGTCGCGAACCGGCCGTCGTCCGGACTGAAGCTAAGCCCACGTATCGCCTCCCTATGGCCGGGCCACGCATTCAGGTTGTTCATGTTGGGTTGGAAGTATTTTATGATTCCACTCTGGTCGGCAGAGGCCAGGTATGCGCCCGAGTGCGTGAAGCGCATAGCGCGGATGGCGGAGTCGTGGGCTTGGAGAATCGTCTCAAAATTGAATGTGAGGCCATTCCAGAGCGTGAACTCTCCGGAGGTAGATCCGGTGAGGACTCGTCGACCTTCGGGAGTCCACTGCGTTGTTCATCAGAGCGAGATAGGGATGCAAGGTTGATGACTTACAGTGACCACGTTGACCGGGCACCGAATCTTGTTGGTGGAAGTGTGGATGAATTTGGTGCATAGGGAGGTGGAGGTGTTGTCCGGATATGCTTTCGGTGGAAGTAGCTGCAAGACATATTGAATACGATCTTTGACAGAGACACAGTCAAGAGCGCTTTACATACATCGATGATGTAGGGTGGCGCTGGACGCATATATGGTACGTGTCTCGGGCTGGGCCTATGCGCCCGTAACTATCTCACATGTCAACTAGAAAGCCGTGTCTCATCATCGTACACTCACCAAGGCCAACCTCCCCAACGCGGCGCCATAGTCGACTGTCCGCCTCGGTCTTATCTTCTTCACCGTTTTGCCGTCCATCGCCTGTCGCGCCATGGCCATCTCCATATCGTGCAACTTCGATTCATCTGGCGGTGGAGGCTGAGGAGGCTGCAGGTAGGCTTTGGGTTTCCAGGCATTGTCAACGAGGTCCTGGGGTATCTTCCTTGTCCTCGATGGGAGGAGCAAGGGCAAAGCAGTTTCCATGGTTTCACGGATTCAAGCACTACGGGCCAGTATTTAAATTCGAATCAACGCATCAGCCAGTTACCGGTTCAGAGCAACCCTGAGTGGCGAGGACGGCAAAGGCAAACGGAGAATGTGGCTGTGTAAAGTACACGTGACTGAAACGCGTCTGTGGCTGCGGTCAATGATTGAACGCCCGTCCGGCGCCGAGTGGCTGTTTGCGACCGACTCATCACGACGCGACCATCTCCTGCCACTCAGCCATGTCTGACGATTCTGACTACGAGGTCTACGACTCACAAGATACTTACTATGATGACGGAGACGACATGGAAGACATTCTCATGGACGACGTGCGCCGATCATTGCGTTCACCGCATCAAGTTCTTTGGGCTAACTTGAGCTTTGGCTACATGTTGCATAGGACGACGAGGACTTCAGACCACCGCCAGTCAACGCCAAGGGAAAGCAAACCGATTACGAGGTTCATTACGAGAGCTTGACTCCATATCAACTACAAACCCTGATCGACGACGACATCCGTCATGTGGCGGCTATAATTGGTTCCGAGGTTAGTATTGCTCCGATTTTCGCGATTTGCGGCATACATACATATCTGAAGCCCTCATCCTCTAGCCACCCATAGTGTCTATCCTGCTCCGTCACTTCAGATGGAACCGCGACCGTCTCCTGGATCGGTTCATGGACTCCGACGTTGCCGACATCCTGCGCGCCGCTGGCGAGCCTGAACACAACGCCGCAAATTCACCCACAACCAATCTGACCTGTGAGATCTGCTTCGATACCCCTTCGCCGGAGGACACATTTCAGCTGCGATGCCACCATCGCTTCTGCAGAGAATGCTGGTGGTGCTATGTCACGTCCAAGATCAAAGATGAAGGGCAATGTACGTTCGGGTGCATGAAGGACGGGTGCAAGACTATCGTAGATGAGCCCTCTGTCCGAGCACTGGTCGATGAACCTTGCTATGATCGGTGTGTTCCGACCCACACATTCTATCGGTTCACAGGTTTTCAACCTCGACTCTATCGTGCAGATATCGTACACTGATCCAGTCGTCGTACGTCACGTCTCACCCAACCCGCCTTCGCTTCTGCCCGTACCCCGCCTGCACTTCCGCTGTCTCGTGCTCCAACGGCTCCGGGTCGTCGCTGCTAACTCTGGTCCCTACCGTGACATGCGCTTCTGGCCATGCCTTCTGCTTTGGGTGCGGCATGTCCGAGAGCCATGCTCCTTTGCCGTGCAAGCTCGCTGCGACATGGCAAACAGCCGCGCGAGAGGATCAAGGAACGGCGCAGTGGATCAAGGCGAACACCCGTAACTGTCCCAAGTGTAAGAACAGCATTGAGAAAGGTGGAGGATGCAAGTGCGTATTATTATCTCTCGAACGTCGTTGCTTTGACAACGAATACGAACTGATCGAATGTATAATATAGCCGGATGACGTGCAGACACTGCAGCTACATGTTCTGCTGGATGTGCATGAGAGACTGGAACGTCCACGGGTATAACAATGAAGTATGCAATATCTGGAACGAACCCCCGCCTGACGAGAACATGACCACCGCCAGCCGCAATCTCCAGAAGTACGTCCGTTCTGTCTTGTTCACAACCTGAAGCCCTGTCTCACCGAGCATGTGCACGAAAGGTGGCTGTTCTACTATGACCATTTCACGAATCACGAGCTCTCTGCGCAGCTTGAAGGCGAGTTATACGAGCGCACCGCCGAGAAGATTGTGGAAATGCAAGACAAATCCGGCATCTCCTGGATTGAGGCGCAGTTCCTCAGGCGGGCCGTCGACGAGCTCTCGCGTTGCCGCGCGACCCTCAAGTGGACGTACGCCATGGCCCACTTTCTCGCGCAGGGGAACAAGAAGCAGATGCTGGAGGATATCCAGGCGGATCTGGAGAAGGCTGTCGAGCAACTGGCGCAGCTGATCGAGGAGCCAATAGAAGAGGGGAGCGTCAGGGACCTAAGGGCTCGAGTGGTGGATAAGATGGTGTACGTGCAGAAAAGACATGAAGTTGTGATGAAGGACACGGCGGCGGGGCTAATGGAGGGGAGCTGGGATTGGGACGCCCCTCTCGAATGAAGAACCCCTGACTGTAGCCTAAGATCCCTTCGCACACATGGATATGCCGAACCCATCTATTGACAGCAGCGAAAACATCAAACGAGTGTTGCGGTATGTGCGACGGAGTCCATGGCGCTACTATGTACACTCTAATCATGTCACTGTGCCATCGTCTATTTTGCCTTATAGATTTTAGACAGGTTGTCCCAGACGACACTTGGGCTCTGCGCGGCGTCAACGCCGTGCCACAGGCCCTTCTTCTTGTAGTAGTCGACGACGGGCCCGGTCGACTTGTGGTACGACGTGAGGCGCTTAGTGAGCGTCTCGACGTTGTCGTCGGACCGCTGGATGAGCGGCTCGCCGGTGACGTCGTCAGTCATGGGCTTTTTTGGCGGACTACGCAACATAGGTCATCACGAGAGCACCCAACAGAGAGAGGTGTAGACGCGTACTGGAACTCCTTGTGGTATGTCCGGCCAGAGGCGGGGTGAATCAGACGGCCGGTGATACGGGAAATGAGGAGCTGGTCGGGGATAATGAGCTCCACGACGGAGTCCAATTTCTCCTTGCGCGACTCGAGCATCTGGTCGAGCTTCTCCGCCTGAGGCACTGTGCGCGGGAACCCGTCCAGGACGAAGCTACGAATATCCCATTAACGCGTACGTTCTCCCCAAGTAACCGCGTAACGCTCACCCGTTCTTGCACTCCTTGTTGTTCTCGAGCTGGTCCTTGATGATGCCGACCATGATGTCGTCGCTGACGAGCCCACCCGCGTCCATGATCTTCTTGGCCTCGACACCAAGCGCGGTCTTCTGCGCGACCTGCTCCCGCAGCATGTCACCGGTCGCCAGGTGGCAGATGCAGAACTTTTCCCGGATCTTAGGAGCTTGCGTACCCTTGCCTATACCACACCACAAGACAAGCGCAGTCGCTCAGCTTTCACACATCCATGCTACGTATCATGAGCGTTGGAGACTTACCGGCACCAGGGGGACCGACGAGGATGGTACGCAGCTGCTCAGCGGGCGTCGGCGCAGAGATGGCGGCCTTGGCCTTGGCCTCGAGCGCGGCTATTTTGTCATTGAGCTGGCCGACGAGGGACTTGAGGTACTCGAGCTCGTCGCGAGGAGCCATTGTCGAATGCAACGCTTTGCGAGTGGAAGAGACCGGAAGACGTGGGCGGTCCGAGGTGGCTGTGGGCGAGCAGTTGATTATTCGCGATTTTCTCAGCTTTCGGCGGTTACGCTCATGACCATGGTGTAACGGTAGTATAATATTACCGTTGATACGCTTTGTAAGCCGCCGCCGCGGCATGATGAATTCAGTAACCACCGCGTCCCATTGGACGCGGTTAATCACTACAACTGAGAGGGCGCCGTATAACCATATGGCGCCCGTAGAACTATATTCCGAGCGAACGACATATAAACTACCTACGAGAGCTCATGTATCCGTCGTCCTTTTGCTCAATATCACTCGGTTCTGTTCAGTCGCGTCGTAGCATAGCTTTACATAAGCTACGCTACATATACACTTATTACACATGGGTACTCGCTTCTTGACCACCACGGCCGTCGGCGATAGACGACACCTACCAACGCTCATCGATCGCGCAGGGCGTGACGAAGGACAGGCTGTGTTCACTGTTCAAGTCTACGCCCGTTGCATCCGGTGTTTTACGAGAGGATACGGGGCATGGATAAAGTGCTGGCTCTAGATCTGCTTCTCAGGGCTCGTGTATTATTACTACGCCGCGCCGTCTACCTAACGATTGCCCCAGGAAACTCCTAATACTCCTCCCGGCTTAGGCGGCGTAAAAAGGTGCCGTTCACCAACGTAGCGACGTCCATGAAAGTATGGTACTGCGTGCCCTGCCCCGGTTGGCCGAACGCAGGGGCGATGGGACCTGAGGACACATTGAAGGGGGTGATAACCTCGTAGCGATGATAGTTGGCCGGAAAACTGTTGTCGTCGCGCGGCGTGTTGAGGCTCTGCGGCGGCAGGGCGCGCTGGATGTACGGCGTGTACGCCGGCGCCAAGAAAAAGCCTCCGACCTCGTTGCCGAATCGGTCGACCACCAAGTGTTTGGGGAGCGTCTGGGTGCCGTTAATGGTTTTGTTCGCGACGTCGAGCTGCCAGCCGTCGGGCTCGGGGTAGATGTACCTCCCCGTGCTGGCGTTGGTGTACGCCTTCAGGAACTCTCCGGGGCAGAGCCCAGCAAAGCGGTGGTAGTCGAAGACGACGTTGCCTAAGGGTAGTCCGGTCGGGAGTGTGGTTGGCCCTAGGCGGAAGTCGCCGCAGACGTAATGTGCATCGTCCGTCCGGTTCGTGCCTTGACAGTACTGATCGGAATTGAAGGGACCGCAGTCTACTTCCAACCCACTGGATGCCTGCTATGCAATTAGGATCAAGCACGAACAATTTGTGCGTGGCAGACTCACGCTGCTAACGATGGGTGAGGCGTTCGCAAATGCGAGTATACCCGCCAGGACCAAAGTCACGAATGTGCGCATTGTGTGGGGATGCTTGAGCTGCAGGAAGAGCCTGAGAAGTTGTTGGACCGACGAGCGGGCTGCTGAAGTTGTCCCGGTGCTGGCAACTTCTTTTATACGCTGGGGAGGCCGCGTTCTGACCGCGCATGGTTCGCATAGACGTATGGCGGGTGTCATATTCCTCGCCTAACAATTGGCGATGTATTGGACATCGATCACGTTCACCCATAGGTGTCGCGCCAGAACGGAAGACGATCGCCCCGATGTCACCAGCAAGACCGAAGTCAGATCGCGCCTGCTCCGCCCTCGGTGTTTGATTCGCAGCGGTAAGCTTCAGTCAGGGATGTTGTACAGACCGCCCATGTCCGCGTTATGAACGCCGAAATAGACGGATAGTCGACTTCACAATGCCATACTAGTGTGCTTGCACGAATGTGAATGACTGCGTCCTGGCTCCGTTGATGATAAATGATCGCGCCCATAGATCAAATGCCGACGTCGAGACTAGCGCAGAAACTCAGCTGTCGAAACAGCGCTTCCGAAGCTTCTGGTGGGTGCTGATTGCCCATGGTCCAGGTGAGCTGGTTGAGGATACTATCCAGGCGTTGGAGAACACATGATCCAGCATCAAGCCCTCGGAAGATACATCGGCTGCGCTTGGTGTATAGATTGGCCGTTGTGAATCTTGCGCTCGTTGAAGACAAGGAACCAGCAATTGCAGGTCCGTACTTGGCGCGGCGACTCACGGTCACGATCGCGGAAGAAAAACAATATGATTACGTAGCCGCATTCACGAGTTCAAGCGCTTAGCGCTAGATGGCTTGTACTCGTCTTTTCTCGCTGTAGACACTCTCGCTTCTGATAATAGACAGTAATCTCGCATTCCAAAACAACCTTATGCTCGACGCTGGATGAAGAAAACCACTCAAGTACGAGCGATTCGTGCGGGTCAACGAGCCCTCCAGCTGCTCGGAAGAAGGATTGAATCTCTATATCATGTATCTGGTGACCCGTCTCGTGAAAGTTAAGGTTTCCGTGTAGTACGGGAACGACCCCGGCCCGTATTTGGCATGGGAGTCGAACGATATCTCCCGTGTTATCAAGCACAACTTGCCCTAACAGTGAAAGTGAAAGCAAACGACAACCGACATGTCTTCCCCAGTATACACTGGCACACCAGTAACCGAAGAGGCTAAGATCATCTTATTGAAACTATTGAACGACATAGAGGCCCCCGATGGTGTGAAGGATCATGCAACTCAAGCGTCCTTCACCGGAGCTCCTCATCCAATGGTACGTGTTCTCCGTAGGCGATGGCCTCGTCATTGTCTCAAGCTCACCATCGTCTTCGCACGGACAGCTTCCGTTGCCCCACAAGCATTTCCCGGCGGTGGCAGCTCTCCAAGCACTCCACGGATCTTACGGGGCGCATATTTGGTCCATCAGAACTGGGAGGGATGATCCCGTCCAGCTCACCGTGGATACGGATCATGCACTGTTCTACCTAGCTTCGGCTATGTTGGCCCGCGTCGACGGTGTTCCCGCCGCTCTGGTCAAACAACCTCTGCTGGAATTAAAGACTAACGTAAGACGGGCTAATTGTCACTCACATCACGGATCGTTGACCATATGTCAGGATCCCCTCTCTCTTCTTCCAGCGAAGCATGCGGCCTCGGCCATCTTCCGCTGTACCGACGGGGTGTACTTTCACACCCACGGTTCGATCAATCCCCGAATCACGTTGGCTGCCATGGGTATCAACCCCGACGACGACAACCTCGATTTGCCGACGACTCGGCGACTCATGGAAGCGTTTGTCGAGACACGATCTAGCAAGGAGATGCTCGAATGGAAGGTCAAGCTGGGCCTTCCCGGAGACAGTGAGCAACGCAGCGTTTACTCTACCAAAATGCGTTCTGTACTGAAGAACCATTGTAGTCTGCTACAAGCCGGAAGAATATGCGCAAACGACCCACGTGAGATACCTTCTTGCTTCAAAAGGCTACCGGTCTCCAAATACGCACTGTTAGGGCAAAATCGCTACCAAATGGCCCTTGTTTACTACACCCGCGCAGCTTGAAGATGTCACACCTCCGGTAGCATTCACTAAGTCACCGGATCTGAAGCGCCCATTGGACGGCATCAAGGTGTGGCACTAGAATGCCTATGCCAGGACTCACTGTGACACTGATACACTAGGTCCTCGAGATGACGCGTGTTATCGCCGGACCAGCTATAGGAAGGCAGCTCGCTGAGATGGGCGCTACCATCGTCCGCGTCATCGCCCCGCATCTAATGGACTTCGGCGGCCATGTTATGCAGGCGAGAAGACTCCGATTATTGATTTCGATCATTTTGCTCACTCTTGCTTCAGGTGGATCTGAACCTCGGCAAAAGAGCGTGCTACGTCGACCGTGAGATTCCCTCTCCATTGGGGTCCATGGTCAATGCTGAGGACCACCATACTAGTTAAATCCGCTGAAGGTCGCTTGGTAATGTTGCACTTGCTCAAAGAGGCCGATGTATTCCTACATGGCTATCGGCCTGGTGTGTTGAGCAGGCTAGGCTTTGGCCCTGAGGTCCTAAACCAGATCGCTGTGAATCGCGGCAGGGGGTGTAGGTCGGATGTTACTTCATACATACTTGATCCTCATAACCTGGTCTGCTCAGTTGTTCAAGTGGTCGAGAATTGCTACGGGCACGAGGGACCATGGGCATGGAGGCCCGGTGTACGCCTACCATCAATCATCCTCAACCCTTGCATCTAATATCCCAGCGGTCGCACAGTTCCAACAGATAGCGGATGCGACGACCGGTGTCGCTTGGGAAACAGGCGTCGCATGCGGTCAGGCTACGCCCATCACACCTTGCCTGCCTATCAGTGGTAAGCTCACTCCATCCAATCTATGTGATGCTCTTAACGCATCTACAGATTACCAGACTGGCATCATCGGCTCCATATAGGCGCTTCGCGGCCTCTTGCTACGAGCGAAGCATGGAGGATCCTGGGATATGCGAGTATCGCTTTCGCAGTAAGCTCACAACACTCGAATTCCATACGGCACTACTAGTCCGCGTGCAGGTACGACATTTGGATCCGTCGACAAGGAATGTACGATTCGGGGTATGTCAAGTCACTATACGAAGCAGGACTCCAGTACAATTATAAGATGTCCATGGGTGAACTCGTCAGCGCGTGCATTACAATCGATATGCATCCCTTCGTCACGATCTGACGCTGGTTGTTGACGCAGTTCGATCAACTATATCCTTACCAGAAATCCGACCACATTCAAGAAACGGTACTTCTGCGACACTGCCGCCGCCTATGGCACCGTCACACATCTCAGACCCGTTTGCGAGTTCGCGAGTGGTACATTGGAACTTGGTTTTGACTTTGCGTCGTACTGGGGAGAAAAGAGGGCAGGGTGGGATGAGGACGACGCCGACGTACTCGAGGCAATGTTGCCCTCTGTCCGGTGAAGCGAAGGCTCGCTGCCATGCTTTCCGGCAGATTGACACCGGTGTGGGTAGGGGGTACGGCAAGGCTCGATCAGCATCGCGTCCTGAGACTATGACTTACTGGTTTACGATCGGTGTTTGGACAGCGTTCACTTCGCAAGGGACAATTTTGCCAGCCGAGTACGGGTATGATATTTAGGTCCAATTTGTTGTGGTAAACTGTACACGAGTATTTCGAATAACCACGATGCTACTTTACGAACAGCTATATATCCTTGGGTATCCGAATATTGGTACAATCCATTGACCTATCGTACACTGCAGGGTCGGTGAACCCTACGTCACACCTGCGAACAGTACATATTGCATGATAGGATGGGAATAAATCTCGTAGTCACCGCTGCTTGAGCGTTATTCGACCACTTCGCCTTCTTCCATTTCTCCTGCGTTGGGACGCGTCTTTTCCAAAGACAGCAGCTTTTCGCGGGCTACAGCAGCAAAACCTGATGGTGTCTCATCGTCGGTCTTCTCGTCTTCGTCGTCAGGTCGGAGCCCCGCCACCATAGCGTGCTTGCAGTCACAAAGGGTGGCTAGATTGTGTTCGTGTGCTTCACCAAACAGGATACCCAGAGCTTGCTCGGCGGCAAGGGCTTTGCAGAGCGATAAGCTGCTGCCTGGTATCGGCCCACAGATCGGAATATCATGGACGATGACAGAGATCCCATCGTTCCGGTCGACTTTAGGGTTGCTTTGGGTTTTCCTGTTAAGAGTTCAGATATGCGCAACCGGTGTGATACGGTAGTCTGCGAGGGTCGCCGCCATGCCCCTGGTGACGCCGCTCACGGACTATTCATGGCACACGAGGCAGGAGCAATGATATCACGTACTTGAAATTGATTCTACGGCAACCGGCTTTGGCAGTCGATATCATCAATTGCGAGATGGGGTCCGGAGGCAAGTCAAGAGTAAGAGCATCCAAGACATCCCTCATAACCCATTCCACCACAGCCTCGGATCGTTCGTAGTCATATGCAGTGTCCAACAGTACGGCGCCCATAATACTTTCCAATACGTCGCTAAGAGCCTTAGGAGGATCCAATTTCCAGCTTTTTGCGATGATATCTTCGGCCGAAAAGTCCTCGAGAATTGGTATGTACTTCGCCAAAGCTATGTTCAGCTCAGAGTTGTTCACTAGCATGATCTTGTTGAGCTCCAATTGGGTCACCGCGACCCATGCCATAGTCTGAGAGCACACTGCTCGAGAACGTGCCCAGGACAATTGGCCAGGCGTTCCCTCTGGGAATTTCCTATATAGATATTGCATCACGACTAGATCAATCAGTGCTGTGTGTAATCTTAGTCAGAAGGGCACCGACTATCATATGCTCCTGAACACTCACCGTCCCCGAGAAATTCAAGTCGCTGATACGACCCAAAGGTTCCCGACTCGAAAGAAGGATGAGTAGAAGCTTCGATGAGAAGGTCGCCATTGTGAAAGTCATAATGGAGCGCCTCCTGGACCCTGTGAAATAGAGCCGCGGGCGTTTTACCGATGGGTTTCCGACCATATCGCAAATTCCAGGGAACCGGACCGCCCAGTGACATGCCTAGAACGGTACCCGCCTGCAATGCCATGGGGATCCCACCGCCCAAGAATGCTGCCCCAAGTGTAGCTTCCATGCAATCCTGGAGACAGCGTCGAGGAATGGACCTCGCGACGAAACGTGCACTGGTAGTGTCGAAAGGGGTGTGCTGTTCTTCGGGGACGACGTGCCTCCACGTGCGAACGCTCATGGTTTCGCATGTCAGATAGCTTCCCAGTCCTATGGCATGCGCGCGTGCTAGCAAAGTGCGATTCGCAACGGCGTTTCGACGAAGCGCGTCCAATTGGCCTTCGTGCCGACGTCTGAATCTGTTGAGCAGGTGTACAATTACACACAGTTTGAGTACCGAGTCCCCGAGCGTTTCCAACCTTTGATTGCTGAAGCCGGCCCCGGTGTGCGGTAACGTGTAAGCCTCTACGAGCAGATCATCGGGTATAGGCGGCAACCCCAGCTCCTGCTTCGCTCGCTGCACCCGGTATAAGTCAGTCACACGGTGAAGCAGTCGAGGTAGAAGGTGGAAGGTCCGCCATAGATACGCGGACATATGAAGCCGCCGGAGGAACGCAAACGGGACTACCATGGATTTCGAAGCCGCGAACAAGGGCTCCGGGCTGAATTCGGTGCCGGCTGGGTGGAGAGGATATGAGGAATTCGTCCGACGCGTAACCATGCATACCTCCGCGAGCGGTGTATCGTCGGGTATGACAAGCGTAATACCTTTGCGTGACCATTTGTGCAAGAAGTATTCGCGGTAGGTTGGGTGCGTCGACTCTCGGGATCCCGGCGGAGGGGTGGACAGCGGGGTAATATCGTGACGCATTCGCTGCAAAATCAGTGCGCGACCATGTTCCCTCTGGTTCATGCATAATATGCCAGACCACTCTGCCTCCGAGATACCGGTCCAATCGCCGTGTCCCCAAGGATGGTTGACAACGCGTTCCATGGTGTCCCAATCAGGACGTAGGTCATTGGTAAGCGCAACGAGATACTGGCTCAAGGGTTGTTTTGGGCCTCTTAAGGTGACACACCATCGAATCCCAACCCAGGTGAACGCCTCCATGAGCTCCCGCTGCTGCATCGGCATGTCGAAAGCGACGACTTTGCCTCTTGACATCTGGACATGCGCCCCTGCGTGCGTAAACGAAACAGGCGGCAAAGACGTCCCAGTGACAAGCGCCGAAGTAGCTCTTCCATCCACACGAAGAACGTGCATCCAGAGTCTAGGGCCGAGCACCCAAGGGTCATGAACAGCGACCCGCAACATATCCGGGTACGCAGAGATGTCTGGAATCGGTATACCATCGGGGTCTTCAGCGTCCGTATCGTTGGAGCGACGCACCGGGAGCAAATAGTCATCGAAAACACCCAACTGATGAAGTTTGCGCACGGCCATGAAGGCCGCCGCACATTTCGCCTCCCTTTTAGACCGCTTCAGTGGTCCTACAAAGGTGAGATCTTCCGGGGGGAGTGGGAGGCTAGAGGGCAGCTGCAGCGTGACTTGGAATTCCCCGGTGTACTTGGGTTGATGAATGGGCGTGTAGCGATCGCGGGGGATCAAGGAGCAGAGGTGTGACAGCATACCGATCGCGGAGTGGTAGGTCAAGACGGCCAACGTGGACGGTATCACATAGCGTTCCCGTTCTGCCAGGTCTTCCGGATGCTCCGGCTCCTCGCATTCGCCTTCTTCTGTATCAGACTCGGCGGACAGCTGTTCAAGCGCGTTTTGAGTTTGATATATCTGCTTCATTTGAGGCTCGCTGTCGGCAAATGTCCGGTAACGCATGATATGTTGCTCGGAGCCTCGCGGGACCATTATCACGAAAGTGGATGTATGGTGACGTGCCCGCCCGCGCGATTGAAGATACCCAACCATGTGTTGCAGGGGGTCGAAGCGGATGACGAGGTCGCAAGCCTATGTGCAGTGAGGAATGAAGTGATGATAAGGTCATATGTAAGCCTACCGGAAAGTCAAGACCTTCCTCCGCAACAGACGTGGCAACCACTGATCTCGCGTATCAGAGCACTTGTCAGAGAGAAAAGGGGATTATGCATACGAAGATTTATTTCTCCTCTCCGAAACGCTCTAACTACGTCCTGCTGTCCCTGTATTTCCATGCCCTTGAGATTTGCGGTGGTCTGGCCGCCATGGCCTACCAGATCGGCGCAGCGAACACGCCCTCGCAATTCCGGTAACCTGCCCAAAAGCCTCGCTAACGCTACAGCAATATGGCGCTGCTCGACAAAGACAATCCCCTGAAAAGTGGGTTTGTAATGCGAGATCAGCGTCTCGGCTAATGCTGCGACTTGGGGCGTACACCACTCGATGTCGATGTCGATCTGGACGACGTCGGGATCCACTGAATCTGCGTCACCGAGCAGTGGGGCAAATTTATCGAGGACAGCGTTGGTGGAGGACAGAACGGCAGATGGTGAGCTGTGATGTGTCTCGATCGGCGGGGAGTCCAAGGCCATGGCATTCGTCATGTCCTCCAAAATTTCGTCGCGGCGGGCTTCCATCTGCAATAGCATGTATGCGGCGATCCTCTGCTTGACTTCAGCCCAAAGGTAGTATTCCGCGCCAAAAGGCCCTAGGATCTGGTGAGCACTATGGTAGCGCGTTTCAATCTTGTCAAGAGGAAGCTCCATTGCAGGAGGGAGAATAGTCAGATCGATGGAATTTGCAAGCAGCGGCGACGGATAAGTCGGATAGCTATCGGGAGGGGGTGGGTAATCAACCAATACCTAATTTTGAGTATGAAAACCCATTGACAACAAGTGGAAAACGTCTGGCGGCACCTCTTTTGGCTTCGGTATAATCGAGAGGAGTTCGCTTTCATGCTCGCGCACTGCGAAGACTTTCGCATCCATGTTCTTTTCCAGCGTTGCCAATGAAGTCGCTGCGTCTTTCGGATTCCATATCGGAGATGCCGTCATGCCGAAGATCTTGGGCCGGAGGTGACCCGGACATTGAAAATACTCGCGCATGATGCCATTATACGCGTGGTTCTTTCGTGTATGGTGGCACTCGTCGAAGACGAGCAACGAAACCTGATGAGCTATGAGCCAACGGTCCACGATAACATACAAAGGCCTCTATACCCTGTCCATGCTCCAATGCGAATGAGTAATCAGATTGAGGAATATCTGCGCTACAGGGTGTTCGGCGATGACTGAGACCCAGCAAGTTCAAGATACACGATACCTGTCATCACAATCACATCGGACGCTGCGAATTGTCTTCTCCATGCGCCTCGATCTGTGAGATCCCATGCGTTGGCACCATAGCACTGTCCGACGCGGAGCGGCGTCTGGCGCTCGATGAATGTCGCCTGCTGTTCAACGAGCGGAACCTTCGGAACAAGGAAGATGATAATCTTAGAAGACTCAGCAGGCTTCGACGCGATCCATTTCATGAGCAGCGTGCTAATAAAGGTCTTTCCACTGCCCGTGTCCAGGGCGGCAATGATATTGCCCTCCTGGGCGCGGACAAAGATTTCCTCCTGATAGCGACGCGGAAGCAGCTGATCGGAGACGGTCAAAGAGTCGATGCCGTCCATGTTCAAGCGCGTTTTCTCTGCTATATGTTCATGAGATGGAGGCGATTGAGCAAAGTCGAAGCTGTCGAGCTGGGCGAAAACAGCCTGATGATCGCTGTGCTCGTGACCGTGGGACACTACCAGAAGGGGCTGAGCGCTGCAGTATTACATTTACAGGCCGAGCAATAGGGCATTGTCTATATCTGCGGTCAGCTCTTGTGCTGCATCTATACACGGGAAAGTGTCCTGCAGTGAAACTGTTATTCAATCTCGGGAGGTGATGTGACCACCAATCGGCAGCAATTCGCAGAAGCATCATTGGACCTTGATCTTGCCCACAGAGTTCACAGAACGGCTTTTGCCTGGTTGACGATGTTCAGCCGCATTGCCATCGCGACTAAACTAGCATAACAGGACGCACCGTGTCGTGAGATCACCTTCACGTTGCGTTTGGACTGCCACGATCGCCTATACCCGCCGCCGTAGTTTTTCACGGCGCGAGCAACGAACATTACACCCAGCACCGCGGCGCACACAGCTCTGGCTGTCTCCGCGTCGAGAGGTTGCACACCGGGGCTCTTCTCGGTGGTTGTCGGGTCCTCTGGGATAGACCCGAGCAACCCGGCAAGGATGGCATGCGCTTCCGCCCAGAAGGGTTGGGCATGCGTAAGCAGGGCGTATAGCCCCGTTATCAACGGCGCACACCAGAGGTCCGTCGTTGACCAGCCATAGGGGAGTAGCTCGGCCGGCGTGGTGAGAGAGAGAGGTCCGGGTTGGAGGAACGATAACGAATTGAGCACGAAGAAACCCGTGTTCGCTGTGATCTGGTCAACGAAGTAAATGTTATCCTCGTCCAGTAGGTCGCCGCTTACAATACTCACCAAAGACGTGATGAGCAGTGTCCACGGTGAGGTGGATACCGCCGAAGAGGCGCTGGCCACCACCATCGGGGGTATGAGGTTGCATAGCAAGAATGCACGGGTAAGAGCGTCGAACGCCGCCAAAGGCAACTCGGATTGGAAGTTGAATACCGGCAACAAAGAGTTGGGTAGGTATTCCACGACCGCTTGCGTTAAGGTATAAAGCAAAGGGACAGTTCCGGAAATCATGAACGACGGCGTTTGGTTAAGCAACGGGGCTGTAGGACGCCGCAAAATCAACGTGCGGTCAGGACGAGCTGAACGGTAAATGATATTAGATATGTACCAGTGATTGCCTCTCCACCATATACAACGATTAATGTGGCTGTTAAATCGCGGACTATGCTGCGTTCTTCTACGCCATTATCCTTCGCGTTACTTGAGCCGGACGTTACTTGACGTTTCTTAACGTGAGCGACAAGGTTCGCTTCACGTATTTGACGCATCACAAGGCATAGTCGGACTGTAGCGCCCAAGTCAAGTGTCGTAAGGGGAAATCCTAGCCATGCAAAGGCGGGTATCGGACGCAGGAGAGCTTGATAAGAGTTGATAATGGGTGACAGCGCCGAGGAATAAGACATGTTGCAACGTAAGTTGTAAGCAGTATACTAAAGTAGTATCAGTGCCCAGGTCGCGGTGGACAAAGAGGCAGGTGGTGAGGAATGGCGGGCCTGAGGGATTCCTGCAGGCAGCCAGTGGCCCAGAGGAGGAACCCGAGACGCGTCGCGCGGTGGTGGACGAAACCGGAAATGGTGGCTATACACTCACCCACAGTCAGAATGCAAGATTCACACGATCAGAGAGCAAGCTGACTTCCTTCTGACGGGTCAGTCGGCGTCTTCATCCGACCGCCATCATCTCTCGTTCTCTTCAGTCTCCACCGCCAGCATGGCGGACGAGTACCCTTCTCTATTTCGTGAGTCTGATCCTTCGAACTCTGAAACAGTTGGCTGAGAAGCGAATCCAGGCTCCGAGGCGATGAGCCTCGTCCAGCTCTTCATACCAACCGAAGTCGCTCATGACACTGTTGCTGAGTTGGGAGAGCTGGGCAATGTCCAATTTAAGGATGTGTGTCTCAAATCTTGTTGATGTCGTCGTAGGGACTGACAAAGGCGACAGTTGAACCCCGATGTCAATCCTTTCCAACGCTCCTTCGTCGGCGAAATCCGCCGCGTCGACGAGATGGCGCGACGCATCCGCTTCTTCAACTCGCAAATCGAGAAAGAGAAGGAGAAGATTCCGATACGACCTCTCTACGACTCCGCACCGCTCATCACGGTTGGGCCGCGCTCTGCGCAGACCATCGACGAACTCGACTTCACCTTGAGCGAGCACGAGGCTCGTCTCAACCAGATGAACGAGAGCTACCAGAACTTAAGCAAGAACGCCACCGAGTTGATTGAGGCTCGCCATGTTTTACGCGAAACAAAGGTCTTCTTTGACCGCGTACGTCCCCTTGGATGGTTGACTGTGCACGCAGCTTGCTAACGCGCAGCGCTTGTGTAGGCCGAGACGCACCCGGTAGAAACGCGCAATTCTTTCGACGATAGCGCTGCGCCTCTTTTGCAGCACGACGACCGGGAGGCTAACTTCTCGAGCAATAATGTCCAGTTCGACCTTGAGTCAGTTTACACACTTTGATTTTCAGTACGCGGTGATATTCACGTCCGTGTCGTAGATTTGTTGCGGGTACCATCGATCGCGCGCGACTCCAAACTTTCGAGCGTGTACTCTGGCGTGTTCTCCGTGGCAACCTCTACATGAACTACACCGACATCACTGAGCCATTCGTCGACCCGGCTACCGGTGCCGAAACGCGCAAGAACGTTTTCATCGTGTTCGCTCATGGTGACGCCCTTCTTGCCAAGATCCGCAAGGTCGCAGACTCCATGGGTGCGACCATCTACCCCATTGACTCGAATGCGGACAAGCGCGTCCAGTCACTTAGGGAGGTGTCAGACCGCCTTGAAGACCTGGAGAACGTGCTGTACAACACGGGACTGAGCCGCCGCGCGGAGCTAGTCAAGATTGGCGAGAGCATCGCGAGCTGGCAGGACGTCGTCCTCAAGGAGAAGGCGATCTACGAGACCCTTAACCTGTTCAATTACGACGTGCGCAGGAAGACGTTGATTGCTGAGGGTTGGTGCCCGACCAGGGATATCACCACCATTCAACTTGCGCTTCGTCATGCCACGGTTCGTCTTCTTTATCATGAACCTGAATTTATTCTCAAGCCGTTTCTAGGAGGAATCTGGCACCAGCGTGCCCCCGATTTTGCACGAGCTGGCCACGCACAAGACACCACCTACCTTCCACAGGACGAACAAGTTCACCGAAGGCTTCCAGACGATCATGGACGCATACGGTATCGCCACATATCAGGAGGTCAATCCCGGCCTGTTCGCTGTTATTACCTTCCCCTTCCTCTTTGCCGTTATGTTCGGCGACATTGGACACGGTTTCATCACTTTCCTTGCTGCTCTAGCAATGATCCTCTGGGAGAGGAAACTAGCCAAGGCTGACCTCGGCGAAATCTTTGGCACGTTCTTCTTGTGAGTCTCCTCGCTTGTGCGGCGTCAACATCGTGCTCATAACCCATGCAGCGGTCGCTACATTATCTTACTCATGGGCGCCTTCTCGATGTACACGGGTCTTATCTACAACGACATCTTCTCGAGATCCCTTCACATCTGGCACTCCGGTTGGACATGGCAGGCAGGCCCGACGAACGACACGGCCGTGGCTATCTCGAATGGCCATACGTATCTCTTCGGTCTCGACCCTGCTTGGCACGAGGCGGAGAACGGCCTGATCTTCACCAACTCCTACAAGATGAAAATGTCCATCGTCCTGGGTGTGATTCACGTTCGTATACTCAATCTATATACGATCTTGCCTTTTTATTGACTTGATCACCAGATGACTTTCGCTCTCTGCCTTCAAGTCCCGAATCATATTCGTTTCAAGCGCTTTTCCGACATCTGGACCAACTTTATCCCCCAGATGATCTTTTTGCAGTCCATCTTCGGCTATCTCGTCCTGTGCATCCTGTACAAGTGGTCCATCGACTGGACGAAGGCTACCACCGAACCTCCGTCCCTTCTGACCATGCTCATCAGCATGTTCCTGTCGCCCGGCAGTATCGAGGAGGGCAAGGAGCTCTACCGTGGGCAGTCCACAATCCAGATCATCCTCTTGTTACTCGCTGCTGTTTGCGTTCCCTGGCTGTTGATCACGAAGCCATACTTACAATACCAGGAGATGAAGAAGATCCAGGGCCAGGGATATGTCCATGTGGATCAAGGTCCTGCTGTGCACGCCGCTGACGACACCCTGGAGGCTGAGGAAGAGGGCAATGGACGTGCGATTACTGAAGATGCGGAGGAAGAACATGTCGGTGATCTTCATTGTACATATGCCACCAACACTCAAACGCGTATCACAGGAATCGCACGATTTCGGCGAAGTCGTCATTCATCAAGTCATCCATACCATTGAGTTCTGCCTAGGCTGCATCTCCCACACTGCTTCCTACCTCCGTTTGTGGGCGCTGTCGCTTGCGCACGCTCAGCTTTCGGAAGTGCTGTGGTCCATGACGATTGAGGTTGTCCTCGGTTATGGCCTCACCGGTATCATCGGTTGGATTGCCTTGGTGGTCGTCGTCGTGTTGTGGTTCATTCTGACTGTCGCCATCCTGTGTATCATGGAGGTATGTGTGCATGGGAATGTTCGTACTCAAGATCACTGATAATGTTTCTAGGGTCTTTCCGCATTCTTGCACGCGCTCCGTTTGCACTGGGTGGAGGCGAACAGCAAGCATTACGAAGCCGGTGGATACGTGGGTTTGCTCCACCACCATCCAATGGATCGACGCTGACTTTCCTCCAGCAATTTGTCCCCCTCAGCTTCGCTGCTCTTGCGCAGAAGGAGTAAGGATGGCCAATGATGGAGTAGGCTATCGCAGCTTGTGCTCACCCACTAATCCGGAATGTCATAACAATTCTCATTGTGTTCATGAGCCTCGTTATAAACTATGCACGGCGCCCGGATTTCACCACGACCCGCCAACATAGGCCGAGTCGGATTTGTCTCGCAAAACATCGAGCAGATCAAGTGCTATAAGTATCCACAAACACGGGTTCATAAGCGATGCCCCCTCTCCAGCGCCTCCACAAGTTGCTCCGCCAAACAACGATTTATCGATTCGCAGATCCACAGTGCATGGTTGCGCTTGCGGGGGTTATCGAAATCGAAAATGCGCCAATGATAAGTACGGCCTGTATAAGGCGATGGGAGGGACGGGTAAGCATCTAGTGATTGCGAGACCCGTTGGATGTCCCTATGGGCAACGTCGTTGTGATCCACGAGGAATCTATTGAACTCCTGCAACATTTCAAGTACTTCCGTCCTGTGAGAGCTTCAGATGACGCGGAACTACTCGCGCTCAACTCAACACACCTGATTTCAGGGGTCAACAAATCTCCTACGGGTAGCCGTTCTTCATCAAGTCCCTCCATAAGGAGGAGACTGAGACGAAGGGGATATGGAACGCGAGGATCACGACGACTACGCTTGATCTGAAACTGGGGGTTAGTTATGATCGTCAGGGTCATCCTCGCCTTCAGAATTATCGTCATGCTCTAACTCCAACGGGTATTCGCCGTCGTCTTCGTCCATGCCTGCATCTAGACCACGCCATCTCCATGGAATAGTCTGAGTATTGTCTGGCAGAGTGGTCTTATAAAATCCAAAGGAACGGGGGAAGACAGAGCCTTGTAGGGCTTCCAATTCGTCATAGAACGTCCTTGCCAGGTTGACAGCCCGCTGTTGGTCTTTGAACAATAAATCGCTCATACACAGACGCGACACGGCGTTCTGCTCCTAGCATAGGCAGCGTCATGATCGATGGCACAGAGTGTTCACGTATATGTACGCACTAGATAACGTTTGGCCATGCTATTCACCGCTCGGTGCCGTTATAACCGCGAGGGGCGAAGGAAAGTTGACTTCCAGCCTTACAAACCGGACTAGAGCTTTCCAGGCGGGACTGTTTGGCGGTTTTGAACCCGGGTCAGGACTCAGGAGCGACGTCTGGGGGCATGCTGACGACGGGACCCGTGTGCCGCAAGGATGCTGCATGTTTCGCGAGGTCGGTCATTTACATAAATCTCGCGTAACGGGGGCGAGAAACAGCGACGAATAACGATCTGCAGGTGTAATGAGCATAAATCGCGATAAATCGGTCAACAATTCATCATGAGGCTCAGGTGCGATAAGTGAACGAACCTGGTAGGTAGGTAGTATTAACCGGCGCGGTCCCAATAAGTTACGATAAACTCGGGCGTGCGGCAGATGTCGATAAATCTCAGCATCATTGCGCGCGTTTTGAGCGTTGGCAATTTGTTACATAGTTCGATCCATGGAGCGAAAGCAATTGTCAACCCCCATTTGCGGACAGAGACTCGAGAGGATGTGAGGCTAACTATTGCCACCGTGAGCTAGAGATGATGTATGTATGTAATCACCCTCCGTAAGAACTTTCACTGACGGGGTCGCAAGCCCTAGTACAGGCAGTCCTTTCCTCGCGACCACCAAACATGGGCCGGACTGAAGCATCGGTGGCTCAGCCACCCCAGGCTACCCGAAAGGCTGCGAGAGCAAAACTTGCTAAGGATACGTTGAACAGGACCATACCTGCGTTGCTCGCATCCTATCTTCGAGCTAAACGAGGCTCGGACAGCGCTGAGCTGATTGTTCAACCAACACCCCCTGATAACAACAACACCACGGCGATGGGGATTTCATCCCTTCGGATACGTCTGGTGAACACCGACACTATCACCGCCGCGCAACAGCTCTCGCTTTCAGACAGACCCAACAAGAAAGCCGGCTCAGATGCTGGTACGATCGCCATCCTGAACATGGCATCACCCCTCCGACCCGGCAGCGGCTTCCTGCAAGGCGCGACCTCGCAAGAAGAGTTCCTCTGCATGCGCACGACGCTCCTTCCCTCCTTGCGCGACGAGTTCTACCGCCTGCCCGAGGTCGGCGGCGTGCACACGCCGGACGTGCTCGTCTTCCGCGACGGCGAGGGCGCAGATCTGCCCAAGAAGGACAGGTTCTTCATCGACGTTGTCAGCGCCGGTATGCTGCGCTTTCCCGACCTCGAGGAAGGGGGTCGCCGATACGCGAACGCGGCGGATAGGCAGCTGGTGGAGGCGAAGATGGAGGCTGTCATGAAAATATGTGCTGTGAAGAAAGCTGCTAGGGTCGTCTTGGGTGCTTGGGGATGTGGTGCGTACGGTAACCCTGTGGAGGAGATCGCTGGTGCGTGGAGAAAGGTGCTTCTGAAGGACAAGGGGCGGCGGAAAAGGGATTCAACCGCCGAGACGTGGCCAGGAATCGCCGAGGTTGTGTTTGCGATCACCGACAGGAAGATGTACGAGGGCTTCCGGCAACACTTCGAGGACGTGTTGCAGGTGCACGAACATCCCCCGGAAAAGCCTGGCCCAAGGGAAGACGTCGATGAAGGCGTTTTGTCCGAGATAGATCAAAAAGTCGCTGAGTTGGAGGCTCAGTTACAGGGCGTCAAATCCGATGCCTTGCGAGAACGGATCCAGTCGGTCGTAGACAGTCTCCGAGCGCGGTCGGGTCCATAGCACCATTGCAAAATCTGGGGCGACGCGCGACCCTACTAATTATTATCGTTCCTGTACTGTGGAGCATTCTCTGTGTGCAATCTTAGGACATATTCACATCCTGCGTTGTCTTGATGCCCACGGGCATACCCATAAACTGCGCTCCCCTGCCTGCCATGAAGAACTTGGGGTTCTTCCCGACGAGGTGGGCCGGCTTCGACCCGCAACGGGACGTCGTATTGTGATGGGTTTCCATTCAGTACTGCTGCGATCTTCTGTTTGAGTTCTAAGGGAGGAATGCGACAGTCCACTTCGACCAGTTCAGGAGGAACGTCAGTCATAGGGCGAACGCCCCAGACATTGAACAGGGACGGAAGTTGTGCCATCTCGTGGGTACCGGTCAAGACACTAGTCCCAGTGAACCGCGGGTAAGTATCGTCTCCTTGACTCAAATCAACGATGCCATAGAAGCATACGGGAAATCTTCCAAGTCCACCTCGCCCTCATGCAGGCTGGTCGCCACGGTCGATGCGCATCATAGCCTAGAGATTGTACAGTGATGCTCTGGAGATTCTGTATTCTGCCCACCTCTAGGAAGCGAGCTACGCGTATATGACATGCTACACAACTTTCTGCTCGTGCAATGATGCTCGCCGATGTCCGTTCATACGACATATAACCGCATGGCCGAAGCGGGAATCTGCTCTGGACCGACGGTGAGGGTTTGCAGTTTTTGGCACACCTTCACTGCAATTGAACGACTCGTGTTCTAGCCATGCTGGTGCGGAAAGGTCGTATTGCACCCACGATGCAAGCACGGTTCGCGACGATGACGCGCCGGTGGAATATCCTAAGCCCTATATAAAACGCATCTTCTAGCCTGAAGAATTCGGCCCATATCAAACTAAGCGGCGATTCCCAAACCCCAGTATGCAACACCTCGTCGTCGACCCTTCCAAGAGAGCCCCTACGACCCGAACTCACCCCGGCGCCTCTCACCTCCCTGCCGCCAAAGCAACGCACTACCACCCCATCCACCCCGAGTCCTCCGACGCGAACGCATCCCTCCAGTTCATCGGCACCGCGACAACCCTCCTCCACTTCTCCCCCCTCACCATCCTCACCGACCCCAACTTCCTCCACGCGGGCGACCACGTCCACCTTGGCCCGGGCGTGACCGCGACGCGCCTCACCAACCCGTCCGTCGACCTGCACGACCTCCCTCCGGTCGACCTCGTCCTGCTCTCACACTACCACGAAGACCACTTCGACCGCGAGGTCGAGGCCGAGCTCCGCCGCGACCTGCCGATCGTCACCACGCCGCATGCAAGGAAGTGCCTCGTGGACAAAAAGGAGCCTGGGGAGCGCTTCGAGAAGGTGGAGGCACTGAAGGAGTGGGATAGCCTGATGGTCGACGTCGAGGGCCAGGACCCCGATGCGCAGAATGGACGTGTAAGGGCCGTCAAGATAACCGGAATGCCTGGGAAGCACGTCCCAAGCGGAGGTATTCTCGGGAAGGTCAACGAGCTTGCCCACGCTGTAAGCCATTCCCTTTTGCAGCTTTTGCAGCAGCAAGCTAAACGCTTACGGTCGCTCGAACATCCAGGTCCCGCCTACGAACGGCTGGATGGTCGAGCTAGGCAGCAAACCCAAAGACGGCGACGATGTCGACTTCACCTGCGGCTATCGCATCTACATCTCCGGCGACACGCTCATGGTCGACGAGCTGCGCGAGATACCAACGCGATACGCAGGTCAGAACATCGATCTCATGCTCGTGCACCTCGGTGGCACGACGATACCGTCGCCTTCGATGCCTCTGCTCATGGTCACGATGGATGCCAAGCAAGGTCTCGAGCTCGTCCGACTCGTTAACCCGGATCTCACGATCCCGATCCACTACGACGACTACGACGCGTTCTTATCCCCGCTTGACGACTTCAAGAAGGCGATGGCCGAAGCCGGTCTGCAAGATAAGGTGGTCTATCTGGATAGGGGGGAAGAATACAAGTTCGTGGTCCGGTGAAGTGTGGAAGCCCGGTGAAGCGAAGAACGTCGTATACACCTGCTCCTGTACAACGATCCATCACCTCGTTGTCTTTGGGTTCGATGTGAAGCAGTAGAGCCGTCCAGAAGAACCCGACGACTTAGTATCTCCGTATGGCCGCAGGCTCGTCAGCTATATGCCACGAGTTCCCAGAGCAGAACACGTCGCGCATTATGAGCGTCGAGAACAGTCGCCCTATCGCAGATCGGCGCAGACTACCTCGCAAACCCGCTCTGCAGAAGCCTTGCAATCTCCGGGCTCAACGCCGCCGTCGCAGCAGCCGCAAACCCCTCATCCACAGGGCCCAAAAACCCATGTTTGGTCGGCGTCATCGCCTTCATCTCCTTTCGCTCCATCCTCGGCCCTCCCCCTCCCCCTCGCTTCAGATCATCCCCCACAGCGAGCGCGAACGTGCCGACCTGCACCTCCCCGCTGCCCCAGCCACCCACATAACACGTCCCGCCCCCTCCCATCCGGACTCGCCGTCCCGACGTACTTCCACCCGAATCGCCCATACGCCTTCACGAAACCGGAGATGATAGCCGTCGCACATCCCCTGGACGACGAACGTGCCCGCGTAGTCCCGTCCCCGACCGTGCACGAACCCCGTCTGCGGGTCGCGCATGAGCGGGAGCACGGTGCGCCCCCTGTCGCGCATGGCGAAGAGCCCGGTTGTACCACGCGTTGTAGAAGTAGAATCCGTCGAGGTCGAGGCTCTCCGTGGCCCTCGCCACTCCTGGTCGACGATGTTCATATTTTATCCATCCGTGATCCACGGTTGTATAGAAACGTAGTGCTCACTGATCTTCATGTCCTCGGGCGCCTGACAACATGACAGCAATCATTTAACCTGTAGTTCATACACCTCTCTTAGCGAGGGACGCACCTGTGCCCACGGATCCCCCTGGTCTTTTTCCGACTTCAACGGAAGAAAGGACAGATGGATATCATCATTCAAAAGTCATGCGCATATAATAGTAAACGTTACAAATCATGCCGAGAGGATTACACGCCATGGATGACCGTCGTAAGCTACACAATACCGCTAACGCCACAACAAGACGACAGGAGAGGAGAACATAGGAGAAATGAGAACGAAGATGAGTCATACAAGCATAGGACGTACGAGGCAGAGGAAGGAATGTCAAGGGGAGGGGAGACGAGGACGACGGAGAGAGCCTTTACAACTCCTCGTCGGTGAACACCTCCTCGCCGCGCTTCCGCCTCGCCATCCGCTCCTTCTTCGCCTTCCGCGCCTCTGCCGCCGTAATCTTCTTCTTCTTCTCCACCTTGATCTTGTTGCCCATAGCGTCGAGCATCTCCTCCTCCTCGCCGTCCTTCTTGTCGATGCGAGGACCGGAGCCCTGGCCCTCGACCCAGTTGTGGCCGGACGCCTCGAGGCGACCGTCGCGCATCGCCCACACTTCCTTGCAGAGCGACTCGGAGAAGTCGCGGTTGTGGGTGATGATGAGCACACCGCCCTCGAAGACCTGGAGGGCGGCGATGAGCGCCGCGAGCGACTCACGGTCGAGGTAGTTCGTCGGCTCGTCGAGGCAGATGATGTGCGGCCGGCGCCAGGTCGCGGCACCGAGCACGATCTTCACCTTCTGGCCACCGGAGAGACCGCGCATGGTGTTGTGCGAGACGAACTCGGGCTCGAGACCGAAGTCGGCGAAGTGCTTCTCGATCTCGCGACGGACGAGGGGACGGTTGAGGCCAAGACGCTGCGCCTCGCGGGTGTCGACCTCGAGCACCTTCTTCTCGAAACCGCGCTTGATGAGCTCGTCGCGAGACATCCAGATGTTCTCGGACGAGGACATGGCCTTGAAGGTGACCTCGTACTCGTACGACTGCTTCAGCTTCTTGCGGTTGATGATCTCGTCGATGATCCGCTTCTGGCCCTCGACGACGACCGTCGCACCGTCCTTCATCTTCTGCGCCTCCGCCTCGGAGATGACGCGGGTCGCCTTGCCCATCTCCTCGAGATCCTCACCCGTCTGGTACCGCCAGAGCATGTACTCGAGCGGGGTCTTGTCGAGGTGGTTGTCGATGTGGTGGAAAGCGTGCTGCGCGACGTAGCCGATGACCAAGTTGGGGTGCTTCCACACCTCACCGCCCTTGTTGGGCTCCGTCTCGCCGATGAGCAGCTTGACGAGGGTCGATTTGCCGGAACCGTTGGGACCGAGGATCGCGACACGGGACGAGAGCGAGACCTGGAGCGTAATGTCGTACAGCTGCTGCACCTTCGAGGTCGGGTACTGGAAGCCGACGTTGCGCATCTTGAGGAGCGACTTCTCCTTTGTCTTGACACCCTCGAGCAGGGGCGGGTCGGGGAGCTTGAACTTGTAGTCCTCGGCCGGGTCGAGGGTGTAGTACGACTTGGCCTCGGGCACCTGCTTGACGAACGACTCGAGGTTGCCCTTGTAGCGGCGGAGCTTGAACCGGTTAAGGTGAATAACGTCGGTGATAACGTTGTTGAGGAAGCCGGAGTCGTGCGAAACGATGATCGACGTGCAGTGGGTAAGGCTGGTAAGGTAGCCCTCGAGCCAGGCGACGTTGACGACGTCCAAGTGGTTGGTGGGCTCATCGAGGAGGAGAATGTCCGCCTTGAACAACATGGCACGAGCCAAGGCGAGCTTCATCTTCCAACCACCGGAAAGAGCGCCGATGGCCTGCGCCTGGCGCTCATCGGAGAAGCCGACTGACGCGAGCGCCTCGATGACCTCGCTCTCCGGGGCCAAGATACGCTTGTCGTTGAGGATGAACTGCAAGACGGTCGTGTCCTCGTCGGAGCCGTCAATGTCGTGCTCCACGTAGAAGGTGCGGACCTCGTCGGGTGACGGGAAGCCCTCGACTTGACTATAAGAGTATGGTATCAGAATGTAACTTTCAGTGACGATATGGGCTATGGAACTCACCCGTTGTGGATAGCACGCATGAGAGTGGACTTGCCGGTACCGTTCTTACCGCAGAGACCGTAGCGACGGCCACGCTTGAGACGGAGCGACGCGGTGTTGAGCAGGATCTTGGCACCGTAAGCGAGCGAGAACTGGCAGTTGCAGAGATCCTCGCCCTCCTCGTCGTCCTCGAGAGCGTCATCACCGCCTTCGTCCTCGGTAGCCGAGCGCACGGCCCACTCCGACGCGACCTGAGCCGGGTCGGGGGTAGCCGCGAGGAGCGCCAAGTGCGGGGCGAGCGTGGCCCACTGCGAATTGTCAAAGTTCTTGGCGTTGACCAAGTTGGCAGCGAGGTGCGCAACGTAGATCGCCTCGACGTTCGCGACGGACGGGAGCGGGTTGACGCCGAGCTTCTTGTAGATGGCGACCAGGCTGTGGCCGAGCTGACCGCCGTCGGCGTGCTTGAGAGGCGGGAGGTCGGAGCCGTCACCGTGGGGAACCTCACCAACCTGCCTGAGGGTGGCAATGGCGCGGCCGACGACGCTGCGCGCCTCGGGGTCACCGATGGTGGTCTCCACCTTGAGGAGGCCGGGGAGAAGCTTGGGGATGAACGGACGGACGGTGACGGGCGAGTCGACGAGCTTGGACATGTTGTCGATGATGACGGCGACCTTACGCTTGGTCGCGGTCGGCTTCTCGTTCAAGCCACGAGCGAGGAGGGGCACCATGAGGGAGAGCGTGGGGGAGTCTACTTCGGAAACGAAGGTGGTAGCCGAAAGCAGCTGGATGGTCTTGGGGACCTCCTCTACGGGGTTGATCAAAGCGTTAATGAGAGCCGGAATAAAGCGTTCTATGTCCTTGTTCGACACCAAAGCGGTGGTCTTCGTGAGTGTATCGCGGGCGGCCTTCTTCACGTCGGCCTTGGTGTCCCAGATCGCCTCGGAGAGGACGGGGACGATCTCGGGGGTGAGGCGGGCGATCTGGACCGGGGCGGAAGCAACGAGCTGGTTCAAGACGACGAGAGAGCCCGTCTTGATCTGCCACTTGCCGGCGGTCTTGATCTCGTGAAGGAGGGCGGGGAGGATGAGAGCAGCACCCCAGGGGTTCATCTTCTCGGCGAAGGCGCGGACGGCCTCGACGGCCGCGGTCCGGACTGCGGGCATCTTGTCGGCGAACGCCTCGAGGAACGCGGCGTAGACGCCGGTGTCGACGAAGTACGGCTCGAATGCCTTGATCGCGGGCGACTTGGCGAGGGTCGCGACGAGGTTCGCGGCGCCCTCGCGGGCAGCGGGCGATTTTTTGTCACCGAGGGCGGCGATGATGGCGTCGGTCAAGTTGAGGGCGTTGATGGAGGCGGGGCCCTCCTGCTGAACGCGAGCGGCCAACGCCTCGGCGGCACCCGTGCGGGTTGCGGCATCGGAGGCGAAGAGAGATGAAGTGTCGTACTGGCCGCCGATGGCGACGGGAGCGGGAGCGGCAACGGCGCCCTTGAGGGGAGCGGGGGTGGGGCAGGCAGATGCGCTAGGCATGATGGTATCGGTCTGGAAACGGCGCGATCAGCTCGATGTCGGTGGTGCGAGCGCGTCTCGCTCGCAAAGCAAGGCCGAAAAACGCACGTATGGGAAGGTGTACGCTGGGGATTAACTGTCTAAGGCGATAAGACGCACGAAGAGAGACAAGGACAGCAGAAACGCTCTATATCTAACGGCTGGCGCCTGCAACGATGGAGACGTCGGTTAGCGCTGGGTTCGACGTGCAGACCGTGGACTGGCAGACTGACCTCTAGAAAGCGGAAGGGGAGGGAGATGAGGGAGATGAGGGCGGTGGGGCGCCCCAGACCTGCTTTAACTACAGTAATTTTTCGAACTCCGCCCGCACATGCTGACCGCGCCGTCTGCAGCGGGGGCTCACTCGCCTCCCCCTTCTCACTCCCGCCTCCACGCAAAGGCCGAGGAAGCTCCCGCCGCCGGAGCCCCAGCACGCCCCCTGTGGCCATCGCCCGGCCTTCCTGGCGCGAAAGCGACGAGAATGTGCGGTCCCCGAGGCAGGAATGGGTTCTCGGCAGACGCTGAACCTTAGTTGCATCCCATGACCTTGTGTAATTCCATGGCGACCCCAAGGGCCCGTTTCTGGTCTGCGAACTTTGAACGTGACTTTTTCTGCGACAGGCGAGACTGGTTGCGCTGGGCTGATGGACCGCCGCTCTCGGATGATCATCATCTCCGGGCGCACAGGCTCACGATCTCCCCGGCTGGAGCTTGTTTGGAGTGAACGAGTGAGTCCCGTCCAGAATAACCTTCACCCGCGTCCTCGCCGGCTTACAGAGCTCGCGTTCCAGCACCTTCGCTCGCTGACTCGCGCTCGCCTGACCCATGTCCCACGTCCGTCTAGTGCCATCGCTGAAGGAGAGGGGGCCTTGTCTCACCCAAACGACCCGTTGCCGCTTGCCCGTCAGTTAAGGTTAAGCTTTCGAACCGCCGCTCCCACCGCCTCCGAGAACGGCGCAGCCCCCAGAACCCCGCACGGACACAGCAATCTGACCTCGCCCGAGGAGCGTGCCGTCTGGGGTAGCCGTCCCATCAACGCGTTTCATCCCACCACCAAATATCATCGCCATCGATACACGGGGCTCTCGTTACGTTGGTCAACCGGAGGCTTCAAGTTCACGTTCGATCGGGCTCTCTACCCGTAGGGCGGGAAAACCTCGACACTACCTCGACACTGCGCACGAAGGTCGCGTGGTCCTCTTCTCCTTCCTCGGGCGAGGAGCTAGGAATGGCGAGGACTGCAGGGACTGGTGCCGGGTCCTTCACGCGCGGCTATGCGATCTTGTGTCCTGGAAGAACATAGGTGGCTATGGCTTCGGCCGTCAATAGCATGCATTGTAGCACTTCATTGGCGGTTGCAATGAAAGTTTGATACCCCGTTCCATGTACTCGTACCGGCAGGCAAGGATTCGCCAGCAAAGTTCGTATCCACTCATCGTCCTCTCGCAGTTCAAGCTCACCACTTCACCCTCGCTGACATCCCGTCTTCGATCCGCGTAGCGCCATGCATCATCCTACGGACATGCGCTCCTCATCTGCGTGTCTTAAGACGTCCCATCTAATCTCCACCACAGATCGCGAAGCAAGGCCCACCGAAGAAAGATTCGCTTCCCGGTTCCTGAAGATTTTCGATACACGAAGGGATCCATACACGTGCTTACCACCCACCCGGCGAACCACATTCCGCATATCAGATTGAACCTTACGAACCGCGCAAATCTGAAGCTCGAGCTCGAGTCCTTGCGACCTTCCCCGGATCTCATCTGAAGAGGTCGAGCTGGACCGTCCGCATGAGGCAACAGGCTTCGATTTGTCTTCTTTCCTCTCCCTGATCTGCGTGGTCTCGGGTCCCGTCCGGTCAAACCTCGAGGCTCTAATCGCCGGCAAGATCAGCACCCCTTCTATGACAGGTCCTCGCCTCCGTGTAGATCTGGAATGCCGGTCGCTTACCCTTTTCTTATCTTCAGCATCCTCAAGAGCCTCATGCTCCGCGGTGGAAGTGGGTTACTCACGGTGACAACGACGCTTTTCGTAGTAGACATTGAGCATCCAGGCCTGATCGTGCCCGTATTCGGGCGAAGCGACGTTCACCAATCGATGCCTCCCCGCGAAACCTGGACACTCGTGAGGAACATGTTATCATAATCTCGCAAGATAGTATCCACAATCGTATGTATATGTACCGTATTTGGTGTCAATAATATTGTTGAATGGACCCTACCCAGCGCGTTTCGCAGGCACATCATAACTGGTTCATACCTAACTCCAGCGACGCTCGCGAGTCTTATCTTTTTAACCGCGCGTGGGTCTGCGAGGGGCTCGAAACATATGGTAGCAGAACACCTTGGCGAAAGAACGCTGTAGAGTATGCTCCCCAATCGCATCACTAGCTGTTCTCATTGCGCTGTTCCCGGAACGCTCGTTGGGGAGGCTTTCTTTGTACACCGGAAGGGACGACGGGCCATCCCACTAGACATCGTCACAGTGATCGTGATATCTAGACGTCAGTGTACCCCTTAGAATAGCGCAATTCCCGATCCTCTGTGGCGCTTGTGGGATTTCGGTCTGGCTTGCGCCGCCTGCGATTGACTCAGTAGCGGGACCATTTTCCATACATCCTCGTTATTGAATTCAAAATCATCTTAGCTAAAGTCGATCAGAGAACCTCCGTCACATCAAAATCACCGAGTGGCTTGTTCAATCCGCTTCTTCAGATTGTGTTCAAATCCGTGCGTCTCGGATCCCACCCCCAGTTTGCATTCTTTCCGTTCACCAGATGATCGATGAAGGTCTGCCTTCCTTGGGGATCCATGAGTGCGACATCCAATGCCAGCATAGAGAACCCGGTCACAGTCTGGATCACACTGTGGTGACGCCACGAAAGCGGTTCCGAAAAGGTGATCTCGTGATCTCCAGACCTGACGCAGAAGATCACGACTTCTCCGTTCGTCCACAGTGCGAAGTAGGATGCGTGCGATAGCATTTCACGCCACAGCTAAACGATGATATGTCAGTATCAGGCGGTGATACATGCTAGGAACGAAAACCTGCCTGAATTATGATTTGAACCGTAGCGCCCGTGTTATCCTTCCAGCGTACCCAGTTGAAAACCCCAGTTTGATTCCCGAGGTACAGATGACCCCCGTCACAGAATATGCGCTCCAACGAGTCCGTAGTGTTGGACCAGAAAGTTTTGATCTCGGCTACGGCGACATGCTGTCTTGGCAGAATCCCAGAGAACAAAACAAAATCGGGCTGTCCTGCTTTCTCGTCGGCATTCTTCAACTGCACACTACGGCCCCATCGGGGATAGTGCGCAGTTCCCGCTCCCTCACGAAGTGTGACCTTCTCTGCACCGGGAACGTCGAGGTGCGTGAAGTCATTGGGATTGTGAGTCGGCGCATAACGCATCTTTGATTATTATCAGTCGGTGTAGACTCGAGCATGATTATACTGCGACTCACCTGCAGCAGCCAATCCACGGCGCCGATAATTTGCTTCACGAATTCATCTTGAGATGCAGGCTCAGATCCAATGGGGATCGCGGGGTCCTGCTTCCTGCGAGATATATGAAGGCTGAACCAAGACGCCACACCGGCGGCGGCATCCAGGTAATCCATAGGCGAAGGGAGCCGGTAGCCATTCTGTGAGATCCGCTGATACGTGGTGTTGAGGTTGTCGTTAGCGGCATTAGGATCCGACCCTGCGTACGCCGCAAATCGCCGATTCATATCCATGCATTGGAGGATACGCTCGAGAGCTAAGGGGGAAGAGCCGCCCTGAACTATTGTGTGACTCTTGGCTTTCGTGCTCTGCGGGACTTGTTGAAGCGGTATGCAGCTCGTGAAGTTAGCCCATTCCAGGTTTCCAGCGTTCCTGTTGATAATGAATTGTTCGAGTGTGCTCAAATTACCGGTGCCTAAAGGATGGTCGTGGGCTCCACCGTTGAGTAGAGTATGCGGATCATGGTAACGCAGAGGAAAGGCCCAAGCAGCGGGTGTGAGAACATCACCGGGCCAGTTCATGTTCGCAGCTACTGTCGGTGAGGACTCGTTGCTAGGTGTGAGGTCAAACAGGCATTCCAGATGCCAATTTATATGCATCCTGTAGTCTTCCTTCCTCTCCAAATCGCAGAAAGAAAAGAGAACAGCAGTCGGTGGTGGACAGCAGTTACGATAGCTCGGATGACCTACTCAGAAACAATGGGGGCATGGATGGATATGAACAGCAAGCCAGATGCAGTTCTTGCTGCTTTCCCACATTTGTTGATTAGAATGGTGGAGATGCATATTGCGCCAGCGTATCGATTCATCATTCTGCAGCCTAATCACAGTAGAGTGCTTGTCGGTGGATGGAGGTCTACCGGCGGGTGTGTATGGGTTGTCGGATTCCACGTGTGGAGATGTAATGCGAGAAGGGGCCGCTGGTTCAAATCAAGTACCGTGCATGCAGCGTCTATCTCAACAGTTGCATTGGATTGGCATCTGAGCTCGTCTTTAGACCAAGAGGTATAAAAGTAAGCCTATTGTGATAACACGGTGTGGAAACATACCACGGACAATGGATTGCCAGGCTTCAACATGACCCTCTCCCTGCTTCATTCGCGAGAGCATCATTGATCAAAAGAGCACCGTTGAGCAAACTCCGACGTTGTTAGTCCGCTTCAAAATGCGAGTTATTTCGATGAGATGGCTCTGCTGTTCGACAAGTCTTCCAAGGCCTCCGAGGAACAACAATACCAAGAACCACAGCATGCGCTCGTCCGCGGGATAAGCTCTCAAGTCCGTGGCTTGCTGAGAAACAAGGAATAATGAGAGAAAGCGATGAAATCGATGGGTCCCTTGCTGTCTCCGGTCAGCGCCGCACAAGATCGGATTTTTTTTCGAGGGAGAACAGGAGACACCTCATGAGCCAAGCCTAGAGCGATGCAATTACCTGAGCTTGCCTCGGGCATCTCAAAACTCGTGATTAGTAAGCCGCGTGTGCCTGTGCAGTGTAGAGTACTGCCTTTCTTAACAACTGCCCTACCACCCTGAACATGCGACACTGATCTCTCAACCCGGAAATTAGTAACCGTGCGATTTTGTTGGTAGAAAAGTACGAGTTGTAGTCCGATTTAAGATGTTCAGATAATATGTCTCGCTCAACTGCAGGAAATAGTATTGATGCAAACGCGAGCGAAGGTGGACCGGTGGGGCACCCGCCGTTTTTTCAAGTGGGAATCACAGGGAAATGATTGTAGCAGTCGATTGTTTCGACCGAGCCAAGCCTAGACAAGACTACGCGATGCACAATGGGAATCACAGGCAGGGAAATGATCGTAGCAGTCGATTGTTTCGACGTACTGCAGGAAATGCAATCCGTGGACAACAGAAAAGCACAGGCAGTAAGTGCTGTCACGTGGACTGGTTCGTCGTTTAGAAAAGAGAGAGTAAGAGCGCAGGAGAACCCAACCTTTTTTCCCCAAGAATTCCCCCCTGATACGTCAATCTGATCGCACACTTGAGATGGATTTTGCAAAACGACGTCTGGTGCGACAAACCCTCTTCAATTCAGAATATTGATCTTAGTGTGCACTATAGGCACTGAACGCCGCGGTCGACCTGCGTCTGGGCGGTCTTTATAGTGACCCGGTACGCATCACCAACCTGGCGAGGAAACGGGTTCCGCTCGATTACTATGAGGTCAAACCCGGGGTGTATCCTAATCCCGCGGGTGCCCCGCCTCGTCCTCCCTCTCGATCACCACCGTCGGAAGGTTTATGTATCGAGCTATCGTTGGACGGAGCGGTCGCGAAGGGCCGATGTGGCATTGTCTACCGGGTGAACGTTCATCGGGTTCTGTCTGCGGATGGAAAGGAATTGTCCGATATATCCTTGCCTCCACTGGTAGCGAAGGTTGCGGGTATGAGATATACACCCCACATTACCCGAGAAGCCTGGTTCTACGACGAACTGGAAGCTTTACAAGGCTCTGTCATCCCGCGTTGCTTTGGGCTCTTCGAAGCCGTTCTTCAGGAAGATACTGTGCTTGTCCCGTGGAAAGCTCACGGAATCGACAGGGGCAAGCAGGAATACTATCCAGATGCCGAGTTAGATTCGACAGATCCTCAAGACCCTGAAGCGCCCCGGTCGGACGGCGAGCACGTTGTGCATAGTCGAAGGGACCCTCGCGTTCCTTCTCCTGTGACGGTGTCTCTCCTTCTTTTCGAAGAACTCGATAGCACAGAATTACCTCTTGGAGGGGAGATGAATAAGGATCTTCAGTACGTCCTGCGTATTGCATCTCATATCGCCACATCTGAAAGGTTCACAGGGCAGAAATAGTAGATATGTTTGCGGAGTTGGATCGCTTTCTCGTTGAACACAACGATGTGGCCCACAGGAACATCCTTCGCGCACCGCAGTCGCCTACTGCTTACCCTTCTCTTCCGTCGCCCTATACTGGGCGTACATACAGCTGGCGCATCATTGACTTCAATGATTCTTGCAAGTTCAATGATGACCCTCGTGTCTGTGCGATGGTCAACCGAGAAATGGCCGAGTTCCTTGTGAAGGCGTTAGCGCAGGGGTGGTATCCGTAACGGCCGCTCCTTCTAGACTTCGAGATCTGTTATGTATATACGCCCTCAATACCACATCATCATAATCAAGGCCCAAACGGTCTGGAATGTTGTAAACCGTCCTTAGGAAAGAAATATCAGCATTTGACACCGCTCAAGGGCTGCGTAACTTCGACGAAACCGAGGACGGCGATGACCTTCGTACGGCTATCAAAAAAACTCACAGTCCATCGTCAGAAAATTAGGAGCGAGATGCTTTGGCTAGTGCACGCAAGGTCTTCACATCACAATGTTGGCGCTAAGGGAACCGAATCCTCAAGATGCTGCACAAATACGATACGCAGTCAGGAAAGATAAACGCTCGCGATCGACTCATGCTTGCCCGTCCATTGTGTCACCATATACAACACTAGGCCACCACATGATTGGCATATTATTTACAAGTGTTTCATCGCGAATTCGCGCACGCTGAACAATGCGATCTGGATTTGCGAATGGCTTGATTGATTACCGGCGGAGTATCTTGTGCAACCGTTGTGAGGGTATATAATGTAGCCGGTGAGAGCAGGATATGGATCCATTACGTCGCACCGAACAATGGGTGAAACGACTCCCACAGCCATCTCTCGTCGCGCTCAGAACATCGCCAAGGGACAACTTCATGGCAATACGTCGTCTAGTAGGTTTACTCGTATAACCTACGACCATGCTAATGAAACAAACTTTAGGCCCTGAATGCTGTATCGTATCTTCGTCTTGGAGGTCTTTTCGAGGACACACGGCAGTTTACCGGTCTCGCAAGGACGACTCTTCCACTCGACTACTATGGAGTTATACCCGAAGAATCGGGGATGCCTCCTGACCCGACACGTGCCCCGCCGCGTCCCCCTTCTCGACAACCAGTTCCACAACATCTAACTATGGAGTTGTTCCTGGGTAAAGCGCTCGCAGGTGGACGATGCGGTGTTGTTTACAAAGTCGAAGTCCTGCGAGTCCTATCTACAGATGGTCAGGAGATTTCAGATCTTTCTTTGCCTCCTCTAGTCATGAAGATTGCCGGACTGAGGTACACTCCGCATATCGCCCGGGAAGCCTGGTTCTACGACGAGTTGGAAACGCTACAAGGCTCAATCATTCCGCGTTGCTTTGGCTTCTTTGAGGCCACCCTTCCGGATAACACACCGATCATCCCATGGATATTGCATGGCCTAGACACAGGCAGAGACGAATACGACGACGAATACCCTTCGGATCTACGAGGGTTAGAGAACGAAGAGGACTCTGAGGGCTTGAATGATACCAAGAATCATAACACTCGCAACAGGTACCAGATCAAGCGTAGTCTCCACGATCCTCGCGTTCCCTGTCCTCTGCGTATCTCTCTTCTCCTACTGGAAGAACTTGATCTAGCACAACTGCCCATAGGGGTCAACGTAACTGAGGAAGTCCGGTGCGGCAGCTTACGCACATACGGTAGTTACCCACCTGACAACCTCACAGAAAGGAAGTTCCTCAGATGCTGCAAGAGCTGAACCGGTTTCAAGTGGTGCACAACGATGTTGCCCGTAGAAACATCCTCCGACCATCGCGCTCACCCGATGCTTACCCACGCCTTCCATCACCGTACACAGGCCGCACATACAACTGGCGCATCCTAGACTTCAACGACGCCCGCAAGTACGAACCTAGTGACTGCGAATTTCTCAACCGGAGCATGGCGAAGCACCTCATCGGATTGTTAGAACGCGATATGAGTACTGATTTCTCTTCATCAATGTAACATACACGGGACATGTACTTGCCCTTATGTTACTGCGCCCTCGTAGCTTGAACGTACTCGCGTAACATGCCATGAGGTCGTCTCAAGTCTGAACCGGTCGGGTTGGCTCTGCCTAAGCATCGGGTATCTTCGCTGAGAAGACTCTAGAGATTTCTATCAGCCAAGTATCGCGGGACAGACGGGACTCCACCGGTATTCCCAAAAAGGCATGCACACGACAACCTCGCGCGCCATTCTACGATGAATCGATTATTGTTGGTTAATATTTCGAGCAAACGACGCCATCCTCGTCAGTGGAAGACAGGTATATGGATTCACTGCACTTGGCTCGTGGCAGCAACGCTGGCGCACGTTTGAAGAGTATCAGGTATCATACACGTTACCAGCAGCAGCGTGCATTACGACGACCAACTCATATATGCTAAACACAGAGTAGGTGCCGGCATTCCGGTGTTTGCCCTTGCTAGTTACCATGTCCTCCTTACATCGCATGCAGCATACGTGAGATATCACCCAAAGTATGAATGGACAGTATCCATTAGGCCTTCCCTTCAAAGCGGAAGACTTCTTCCAGTTCCTGTCGGGCGATCGATGAGCACGTTATCTCAATGCCGGGAAGCCCGGCGTACCGTCCACCAAGGCGCTGGCGAATCTTTACTCCCCGTCGCCCCCGCGTTAAAGCTCTCCTGCATACCATCAGTCACGGCCCACCAACGGTTCGTCTCCGGATCTTCTGCAATGCCCGCCATGTCCTCGTCGTAATCAGTACCGGTGTACTTCATGTTGGCGATGAGTAAGTTGAGAGGCGGGTAGTAGTGGATGGAATAGTCCACGATATGGTGCCTCTCGAGTGCAGACAGGACGCCAGGCCAGACGGCAGAGTGGATTTTCTTGTACTCTTCGGCATGTTCAGGCCTGAGCTGCAGGTATATCTAGTAAGCCGGATTGCAGTCGTGAGGTATGGTTGATATCTGACTTTGATGATCTGGCATATACGTTTCGCGTTCGTCGTAGACATGGTTAGTGTCTGTGAGAGTAGTTGGGGGTGCACACGTTGATGCTAGCTGCAGGTGCGGTGATACACCAGGGAAAGCCTCTCCCGTGATTGGAAGCGGCCCGGGAACCCGTCCCCCGTACTCGAAGGTCTTGCGCCATAGCGAAACAAAAGGAGTGAAGGTACTCAAGAATGGTCTCCACTCATGGCCTTGCAACTAGACAGCATAGCGAGGATGGTACTAGTGGTGCACGACTGAGAGTCTTCCTCAGGCGTCGCTGACGACTTAGTCGAAGTCACCCCTCGGCGTTGAATTTCCGCACCGGTCCGTACACGATGGTAGCTTGAGAAACAGGAGAGAGCCTTGGCAGTGACTATAGACTGTTGCGATAGGCGCACGGATTCACAGGGGGATCAGCACGAAAAATATCAAAACGTGGGGTTGGTGGTTGTTGATGCAGTTGTCAAAGGAGCGCCAGCGCACGCAGCGACCCCCCAGATTGCTCTTCTTCTCGTCCTCCTCTACTACATACATAGCTCCGGAAGTGTATAATCTTGTTCTGATATCCTGTTCCAATGGCCGAAGGCAGCAACTACGATTACCTCTTCAAGGTCTGCTCTGTCGCATGATGGGGCTCAGCATGGCTCAACGCAACCCACTGTAGATTGTGCTCATTGGTGACTCGGGTGTCGGAAAATCGTGCGTGGCTCATGCCTATCGTTGTTATTTACGTCGTACTTACGGTGCTTTCGCCGTGACTCAGTAACCGTGGGTCCGGGCAATCCGTTGGAAGCAGGGTACACTGACAACGTCGAGCAGTACTCTCGCGGTTCACGCGGAATGAGTTCAACCTCGAGTCGAAGTCCACCATAGGCGTCGAGTTTGCGACGAGGTCGATAAATGTCGACGGCAAGACGATCAAGGCGCAGATATGGGATACTGGTACGTCAGCCCGGTCCTATATGCACGTTGTGGTAATTAGCGACCGAATAACGACACTCGACTTATCCAGCTGGTCAAGAACGCTATCGTGCCATTACCGCTGCATACTATCGCGGCGCTGTCGGTGCACTCCTGGTCTACGATATCACCAAGCATGGGTCGTACACGAACGTCACCCGATGGCTGAAAGAGCTTCGTGACCACGCAGATGCCAACATTGTCATCATGCTTGTCGGGAACAAGAGTGATTTGAAGCATCTGCGGGCCGTGCCCACCGATGAAGCCAAGGCATTCTCAAGTAAGCCATCCGACGTCCGATATGCATGGTTCATGTTGAGCAGACTTCCCTTCGTAGCGGAGAACGGCCTGTCATTCATAGAGACGTCGGCGCTGGACGCCACGAACGTCGAATCAGCCTTCCAAACAACCCTCACTGGTACGTCCGCCCATTTTTTGATAGTTTCCAGTCACATTCAACGTCCCCTCGTGAAGATATCTATCGTATAGTTTCCAGGCAAACTCTGGAGCAAAACGCTGACCCCATCAAGCCGCCCACTGGAGACACTCGTACAATCAACCCGAGCGTGGATAACAGTGCCAGCGCTCCGAGCGGGAAGTGCTGTTAGGCGCTTGACATCTCACTCTACATCTGGTCTCGTGCTGTTGGGTTACCGGACACACAATACATGCTGGCATACGCCACGCCACTATAGAACATCGTAGAGCAAGGGAGCGTGTTTACATGCACTCGCGTGTGCTATGCAATTTGTTGGGTGGCTATCTACACCATTGCTGGGCCAGTTTACATAGGCATTGGCGGGAAGGATTTCTACAGGGTCGTTTGTCAGAGGGATCATGCTCATGTTTGCTAGCGTACCAGCAGTGTACTATGGATCCTACGTCCAGTTCACCAGCGTATATTCGTTCCGATTCGAGAAAGGCGTCGTGATACCCTGCTACATGTTGTTGAGCCCCATCATCGATGTCGATGCTGTGTAAATGCCACCGCGCACGTCGTCCGACAGCACAAGATTACCACAACAAGCTATTATTCCCAGTAGAAAACAACCACACATCGGAGCCTAGAGTATACACAGGGGTGCACGAAGACATAAACCAGAAGGAGAATGGCGCGACCAACGTCAAGTTAGCCAACGCGAAGTGAGCGGCTCCCGAAACTACTTTGCGGAAGCCATACGAGGTGGATGGTGGTCGCTTAGCAGCACTTGCCTCCCTGGGCATTGGCGCTGTTGTCCACACTCGGGCTGACGGTGAGCGTGTCACCAGTGGGCGGCTTGATGGGGTCCGCAGACTGCTCGAGCGACTTGCTAGAGACGATCCGATAGATGTCTATGAAGATATCAGCACCACTTGCGATGCGTAGATGTGCACGATGATGGTACGAACCCGTCAAAATTGTCTGGAAGGCTGATTCGACGTTCGACGCGTCTAGCGCTGACGTCTCAATGAAAGACAGTCCGTTCTCCGCTGAGGATTGTAGTCAGTATAATTTTCTCGCATCAGTTGTGCCTAGTGGGAGATTCACTAGAGAATGTCTTCGCCTCCTCCGTAGGTACAGCCCGCAAGTGCTTCAAATCGCTCTTGTTACCAACCAGCATGATCACGATGTTCGAGTCTGCATGGTCGCGGAGCTCCTTCAACCACCGAGTAACGTTCACGTAGGTTGCGTGCTTCGCGATGTCGTACACAAGGAGGGCACCGACAGCCCCGCGGTAGTACGCAGAGGTGATAGCACGGTAGCGTTCTTGGCCGGCTGATATCGGGGAAGAAGCAGTAAATCAGCGCCAGGTTGGTCAGTCATGGAGAAGAACTGGGCAGCGCAATCAATGACTATGGAGACTTCGGGAGTGTTTGCGCACGCACGAGCCCAGGGGCCAGGGGGGCGAAGTTCGGGAGAAGTGGGGTACAAGATCTGCCTATATTGCAGAATCAAACTCACCGGTATCCCAAATTTGGGCCTTCACAGTCTTTCCATCCACATTTATTGACCGCGTTGCGAATTCAACGCCTATGGTGGACTTCGACTCGAGGTTGAACTCGTTACGTGTGAACCGCGAGAGCACTGATGCCGACCCCAAAAGTCTGCATTCAGTCCTTTTGTGTGGTAAGGTCATACATACGGTTACTAGCGGATCACGAGGGTATCAGAACATGGGGTACAAGGGACAACGAAGCGGCACGCGTACGATTTCCCGACGCCAGAGTCTCCAATCAGCACAACCTGCGCAATACGCAAGCTCAGTGCCCGCTCCAGCAACGACCTTGCGCTCAATCAGACCAACCTTGAAGAGATAGTCATAGTTGCTGCCCTCGGCCATTGCGCAGTTCTAAGAAATTGAAGATATATAATCGAGAAAGTCGTTCGTGAACGTCGTCAGTGCGGAGGAGTGGAGAGCGGTGTCGGGCGGACTTCGAAATTGGCTGAGCGAGTCTTGCTCTGCGCGATCACCACCGCCCCATCCATGTCTCACGTTGATCAAATGCACCGCGTTATTTGGCATCGGACACCGTGCTGGTCGTAATATGTTCGAGCTTGTAACCGGGCTTCCCGACATGCAATCACAGTCTTGGAAGTATAGATCCTGATGCCCATGCATCGTCGCTTGTGACGTTCCGCTGTTCACTGCCAACCTTGCTTTCGCACTGAATCATGTTTCCTTACTGAAAAACCATCAATGCTGACCGTTGAAATCATTCCTGCCACGGATTGATTTGCTTGGGAACCTTACCGATCTGCTCTACTGCGGAGCGCTGCATTTGGATCGCTCCCGCAGCGAGCCCGATGACTGATGGAGATGAAGTGTATAGCTACAAAGCGTTGGGTCCCCGATGTTCTTGAACCAGCTCTTGAATCGCTCCAGGCCGACACGTTACTACGCTCTCGGCTCGTTCTTGACGCAGCATCGCGGCTGCCTCCTGAAGCATGGCATATCTCGACACCTACCACATCAAGGTCGTCGTAATTGGCGATTCCGGCGTTGGCAAATCGTACGTGCCGAATTCTGCGGTGTAACCCCCTTCCGCTGATGACCTTTGATTTTCAGGAATTGTGCGTGACATCACGTCGAGGTTCTTGTCTGGAGTCTGAGACTACCGCCGGGCAGTGATCAAGCGACTGACTCGCAACACATTCGATCATGATTCTTTAACCACCATCGGGGTGGACTTTGGCACTTGGAAGATCGACGTTGACGGGACAACTATTCAAGCCACCTTGTGGGACACGGGTGCCGTTTCCAGTATTGCCGCCCCCGAGTTTGTGATACTCATGATTGTTCATGATCAGCGGGCCAGGAGCGCTATCGCTCCATCACATCGGCATACTACCGCGGAGCGGTCGGTGTGGTTATTGTGTACGATACCACTCGTTACGAAACCTTCAGGGATGTCAAGGGATGGCTCGAAGAGCTACGCGTGCATATAGACCCGACAGCAGTTATCATGCTCATCGGCAATAAGAGCGATTTGGTCCATACAAGGGCTGTGTCTACTGAAGAAGCCCAAGCGTTCGCAAGCAAGTTTTTCATGTTCCATTGATGCCAACGATATTGATAGCATATGTTTACATTCATCCAGAGGATAACAGCCTACTGTTTCTCGAAACATCGGCGTTGAACTCTACAAACGTTGAGAACGCCTTCAGGACTATGTTGACTGGTAAGGACTTCCATGGCTGAATATGGAATTGCTTTATTCATAACTGTGTGTTCAGAAATATCTCATAAATATACATCCCGTAGGCTGGAGGTGTCGACGTATGCTGCTGGTCCCTCGGCAGGCAAGAGCCTTGACTGGACAATGACGAAACATATTGCATCGGACAAACGTGGAAGGTGCTGCTAATAAGATCCACCGTTGATCGGGGAATATTATTAATCCGGATATCTATATATTCTACGGCCGTTGTAAACATTTACTACTCTGATGAACTCCTTTGTGCATACGTACGACATCAGTAGTACTTTGAGGGTACACATGAATATGTACTTGGAGGGTATATATGAATATGTGCACATCAATATAAGTTTACACGTCGGATTCACCAGCTCAACGCTTTCCCACGAGGCTCCTGCGCGCTGCGAGACGCCGCTCCGTCCGTTGCTTGCTGCTCTCGTACACCAATATACCTTCACGCATATTAAGATACCCGGCCCATCTCAACCTGTCACCAGACTTGTGCGACGGCCATCTGGGCTACGAAACCGTCACGAACCACCTACGCTATGCATTCATGTCGACGCCGTCGAATGCTCCTCGCGTCCACAATATTTGCTCTAACGAATATTGCTTCGGCCTTCGACTTTACATGGCCATTTACTACACAAAGGTTCAAGGGCAACGCTCTCCTCGAAGCTGGGACGCTTGGCCTCGCCAGCGACGTGCGCGTTATCGCTTTTGGGGACTTCAATGGGGATCAGTTGTGCGTGTTCACCACGCTGGGCACTGCCGCTTCTTCAGAAAACGGACTTATGGCGTACTCCGTAGCTTGGATGTTCTGGCGCTTGGAGAGAACCAGCAAACGTTGATGGTATACCTATGGGATCATGGTGCGCATCGTTCTCATTATCGAACATACAGCTCCTGATGACCCGTCCCATTCCCTATGAAGACGACTTCATGTTCCGGAAATCTGCGCAGTTTAGACACCCTTCCAAAGTCTACAACGTTGTGCCTGGAGACTATACGCAGGACGGCAGACTCGACCTGCTTGTCATGGGAAAGGGGGATTCAGACCGGCAGCTTGGGATGTCCCTCTATGTTGGTGCTTCTGGCGGAGGGTTTGGTACGCCTACTGCACATCTGGCATCTCGCTGGATCCTGACATCTTTTCAGAGAGAAATCCACTGCACGTACCGCCGTCAACTCTCGTCCAACCCATAGCTTTCGACGCAAACGGGGACATGAAGATAGACCTCTTAGGGATTGATCCAATATCGTCAGGCTCAAGCTCTAGTCATGCTGTCAAGTTCTGGCAAAATGTCTGGGATGGCACCGGATCGAACGTTTTCAACATGTGCGTACTGACAGGTGTATACTTCTCCCCACCGAGCTCATTCCTCGTTTGAGTCTACAGCACAACTCCCAATTTCAACGGTGCTCGCTGCAGACTATCAAATCCGCACAGCAATGCCGTCGTGGACCTGAACGGGGATTGCTTGGCTGGTATGGCGCCTTAAAATGGAAAAAGCATGAACTTGCCCTTATTTTCGACGCATGACAGACATATTCTTGGTCTGTGACGATGGGAATACGAAAAACAGACATTTTCAGATATGGGTCAATAACAAGGACTATGGCTTCTCTCTGGCTCAATCAACTCGGTTGCCGGAAGGCACGCAGGCAATTGCGTTCGCGGACATCGGTACGCTATCACATCCGTCGGCTTTGTCTCAGATTGCCTCATGGAAGTGTACTAGATCGCGATGGCACGATCGACATGATATTTCCGACTTGCACAGATGTATCATCTACCACAGGCATAGGTACTGAATGCAAGATCAACATTGCGTACAATCAGCAACTACCCCTTTGCACGTCATCTACATCACAGGCCATCAAGAATGGTAAACGCTCATGTCGACCACCAGAGGAGCTTTGCACCGCAGATAACAACTTCAAGTTTGATCTCAGCGAGAGAAGCGGTAACGATGTGCGTCCTGTCGCCGTATACGTTGTCGTTATCCTGACAGACAGGCATTGATAGGCGTTCGTCAGCTTCCCTGTTTCTTCTTTGTTCCCTTCCCGTGCCCGATCCGCATCGTCCCTCCTCGTTCTCGACACCTCCTCCAACCCCGCAATTCCACTTCCCCTCAAATTGGGCGATGCCAATCTCGATGGATTCCCCGACCTTCTACCCATTTCGGTTACTGGGCCCTCTGGAGACCGTATTCCGAGACTGGTGTTGTCGGTGCCCTGCGCGAAAGGTGTGGCCGGCTGTAAGGACGACGGCAGTGGACGGAGAGGGTGGAAAGTCCTGACCAAAGGCACGGAAACCCTCGAGAGCGTCACCGATGCGAGAAGCGTGGCATTCTTTGATATGGACGAGGACGTGAGTAGTTGGGTAGCAATCCGTCCCTCGTGACTGATCTGATGAGGTCACTGCAGGGTACGTTGGATATCATGGTTCAGAGGACCGGTCAGGCTGGTGCAGGAAACGTTATGTTCGTACAGAACAATTTCTATTATGATGCCTTCTTCCTCCGCGCTATTGGTAAGTCGAATACTATCGATTGGGCTTGATTCATTGATTCATTCATCACATGGTAGTTCTCAATGGCGCGTGCGATAATGGCTGGTGTACGGTACCTAATAGTACGGAACGATATCACGTAAGCTTGTCTTCACTCCCCATACTGTGTCTTTGATTAACATGTGACGATAGCCATACGGCGTGAGCTACTCCGGAGCGACGTTCAAATATACAGTTATCGACACTGCTGGTGGACGCTCTGCCGCTCAGGGCAAGTGCAGATGTATTCTGTCGCACATGCCTTGGCTGACCTCTACTGGGTTCAGTCGGGCAGTTGCCGCAAACCTCGTACCAGTCCTTGTTGACCCCGTACTCCTTCTTTGGCTTGGGTCGGACCAACAACTATATCGAGAACCTGTTTGTAGGGTCGACTAAACACTCACGCGAGCACTACATCAACATGGAAGGTGTTATCCCCAACTCCAAGGTGGTGATCATACCTCCTGCGTCGGCCGAAGGTGGCGCATGGAGGAAGGAGCTGTACCTCAGGCCAGGTGAATGGATACCTTGGGTCACGCTGACGGTCATTGTTGCGACGATCGTACTTGCCATCATTGTCCTGGTGCTACACCTCAACGAGAAGGTTAGTAGCATTGTAGCTCTGAGGTAGGTGTTCTCGGCTGATATCTCCCTTCAGCGAGCAGACGAACTGGAGAGGAGGAAAGCTAGTCACCACATCAATTTCGATGCGTTGTAATACATCCGGACTCTATCTATATAGTTGTAATGTTATTGGATACATAGTAGATGCACTGCCCAAATGTCCTCACTCGGTGATCAACTCCCACTGGCTGAATTTACCTTCGCCCCCCACGAAGTGTACGCGACCCTCTTCGGCCAGCTTCTTCAAGTGGATTTCGATTCCGCGTGCGGCTGGCTCCCACAAGTCCCGCGAGATATTCCGGTACATTTTCTCGACGATACCCCACACCGTCCACGTCGTATCCCCGAATGACGTGGCCCCGCCCAACACTTCTAGGACCCGCCTCTCCCGGTCGAGGCGATGCCGGATGTACATCTCGATCATCTTGGGGCCATCGTCTACGACAGCGCCATGGGCTGGATAAAGCTTGGTGTACGGTAGCGACGCACGCACTTGCAGCATGCGTCGTAAGGATGCGAGATATGGCGCGAGCTCTTCGAAAACGGAAGTGCTTCCACCGAGGACAGTGTCTCCCGTGAAAAGCGCTCGGTCCGCCGGGAAGTAAAGGGAGATGGAGTCGGCGGTGTGTCCGGGAGTGTGCAATATCTGCAGCGAGCTCGATGGTCCCGATGGTGTCGTGCTGTCGACGCTATAGGGAAGGAGTTGTCCATCTGTCAAATCGTGAAGAGTTGATGTGGGGCCAGGGGTGAACGTTCCGGGCGTCAGCGAGTCTATGGTGGATTGGAGACGTTCATCTTTGGCGTGGTTCTCCGGGAGAGGGAACTTGTGTACACGAGGTGGTATGTATGAGCCTGTGGGGTTCCTTTGCGTCCATATATCTCGAAGCAGGCCCAGTACTGCTGGTAAGCCGCCCACATGATCGTGATGCCGATGGGTGAGCACAATGTCGGAGACGTCTTGGTCGGTAGGTTGACTGGATGGAGTCTCGCGCAAGGTCGAGGAAAGAAGCGACAAATAAGATTCGCGTCCACGCTCTCCGGTATCTATCAGGATGTAGGGGCGGCGTAACCCGACAAGGTAGGTATTCGTGCCTACCACGGCATATCCAGTTATGGAATCGTAGCGCCTTATAGATGTTAAACGCTACTCACCTTGCAGGGTAAACTGCCCAGGATTCTGCGACATATCCGAATCTTAGCCAGCCGATCCTACACAAATCAATAACCGGCAACTGACCTGCCCGAGAACACGGATGACATGCTCGCTGAGCTGCAAAAGGGTAAGGCCGTAGATTTCCGGGCTGGGGAATGCTCGCTCGCCTTCGTGACATTTGGGAACGAATCCATCCTCCAATGACTGTATGGTATTAAGTGTATGAAACAGAGATCGTTTGTAATCTCGAGATAAGCCGCATGTTGAAGACCATCACTGTGGAAGATGTCGAATGCATGTGATAGACCGAGCCGTCATCACCGGCGGCCACCATGGCTCCGCTAGCAGTTGGCGGCGCTCATGCCTTATTTGCTGTTGCGTCTATGCTCTCTCGGCTTCTTCAGGTTGCAATGCCCATTCATGATTGAATTCCGCCATAAGTATTCTGAGATGCGTGTTAAGCAAATCATAGGAAAGGAACTACTACGCTTTTCCTGCTCGCAGCGAGTGACCGCTCTCACATACAACCATCACAGCATGCGACAAGGGCGAGAAAGGTATCGATGTTACCCGTTGAATGTTCTCCCTACACAGTTTGTACGGGCGAATCTGACCTGTGCGACGTCAATGCAGTACAGGTAGGCATCATGATGCTGATGTATGCGACTGCCATTGATGTCTATATGCATAGCCGCCTCAATCCTGCTCGCTGCACCGTGGTCTGCCTTCAGTATGGTACTATACCGCTGCGGTGACAGTGAACGACGTCAGAGAGCCTTCTGGGCGATTACGGGACCTTTGAACCGCTCGGTGTTTCATGGTACCTGGCTCCGAGCATCAAGCGTATGCCATCGGCCGGTCCTTCAACGTCACCCTCCAGGAGGCCGCCCTCCTGAGTCAAAACCTCGTAGTGCCTTCGTGGGGCTAATACGGTTAGCTCTGATTTTACGGCTATACATAGCCGTATCATCCGCACCGAGAGGCTCCGTGATCGACAGCATGATGAGCGCTCTGCGTTGTGGCAAGGGACCCCAAAGCTATCTGTGCTCGTGCTGGTTCAAGCCTCTTGTGTGGCCGTTGACGGTCGTCCTTGCCTCGATTTCTTCCGTTCGTCTCTTTTTTCGTGTACCTTAAGGCATCGACGGCCAGGCATTCACCCCAATACCGGCCTGTCGCAAGGCTGTCCGGAATCCAGACGGAAGAAGCAAAGTCTGCTTCCAGCCTACAAGCATGCCCCATCCGTTCATTCGTTTGTGTTCTGACCTGTAGCGCCAAAAAAGCCATTGACAAAAACTGTACAGGTTCCGAGTCCGGCGATCCGGTTTCCGCTGGCTTTATAACATTCTGGTTCACGTCGCTCTTCTTTGGCGCAGCGTTCCTGCTCATCGTGACAGTGACTGCCTTCGTTTCCAAGAAGATTCATCGCATGTCATCGTGGTACAACTTTTGCCTGTCGTGAGTTGCGTCTTATTTGCTTTTTGCATGAAAGTTAACATCTCGTAGCTGGTTCATCTTGGCTCTGTCGTTCAGCCTCTTGTGAGTCCCCAACATTGCTCGTCTCGTAATAACACATTTATACCCTTGGCACGAATAGGGCATTCTCACCAAAAGGAATCGGCGCTGAACCCCCGGTCAATCTCTGCCTTACCCAAGCGGGCCTGGTTTACGCCGCACCGGTACTGTGCGGCCTGGAGTTGTACCTTTCCCGCATATATAGCTGAACCGCGGAACACAGCACTTCTTGGAGCGGGGCCTCCCTGGTATTACAACTGTGGTGGGGTACGTCCGCATTGGTGCGAACTGGGAAGGAAGAGGAGGCGAGGAGGCGGCCAGAGGGCCAATTGCTGTTTGTGAGTGACCCATGCTTGCAGTTGCAGCGGTCGTTGATTCTCCGATGTTAAAGCTTCTCATTTTCCCTCACACCCTATACGCGATAGTACTTGTCATCAACTTTCAGGTGAGTGAAGTTCAACATGATCGAGGCGCGTTTTCTCATAATCGTACCACAACTCAGATCTCCCTGGCGAACTTTAGTCCACAAAACGTCGGACTTAATCACGAAGGGACATACTGTGTTCATAACAACACCAGCATCCCGTAAGTCTCCATGTGGCATAATCAGATTGCTGAATAACCATACTTTTACATGGGATATAGGGCATTGATCACGGCTACCCTAGTTTCCATAGCTATGATAATCATGTTCGTCTTCGAGGGCCTGTGCATTAGGCATCACTACAAAGCGTATCGGGCATTTGGATACCTGGAAGCGGCAAGACCTTCACAGGTGCTGCTGTTTCGCGTAGTTGGAATGACCGTTCTGGTTATCGGCATCCTTCTGTACGTATTTCTCGACATTCAAGTACCATGGCTTTTCTGCGCGCCGTTAACGTCAACAATTACAGCATATGTCTCATCAGGGCGTTTGACCGTGGACTGCTCGGTCGCTCTTTTGACAGTCTTGAGGACGGATTCATCGCCTTGCGTGAGTAACGCCTTGTAATTACCGAAGACATGCTTACGGCGACGTACAGTTCCCTGCTTGGTGTTCATTGTCTTCACCTTGTCCAAGGCAAGTTCTGTCCTGCTTTTGGACACATTGTTTTCTCACCCTCTACAGGATATCGTACACTCCTGGGTATGCTGGGGTCCATGTCCACAGTTTCGTCTGTGTCCAACACCGAAGTCAGACGAAGAAGGTGCTGTCCGGACACTGCAGGTACGAGGCGCGGCAGCAGTGTAGACTGCGGTGCTCCTTGGAAGCTTTGGTCACTCGCTGTATCGCAGCTGGGGCGGCCGTTGTATTTCATACTTTACCCATGGTTCCGCCGTTATAGCGGCGGCCATCCAGGCATCTTTGACACATTTCCATGTACGTGGGCATATGCAGGGGAACGTCAGCTATTCTCCTGTTGCAGTGCCATGCAAATGTATTTCTGAAAATATTTATCTTACTTGTTTCAAGGTAGGTGAACGTCATGTAAGCGTACGTCTTGATGCTCGTTTTATCTTCGAAGAGCTCTGCTCACGTTGGCCCAATGCGACGTACGCTATCGGCATTGCCCTGCAGGCGCGGTATTATTGGAAAACCTATCAATCAAAGCCGGAGTTGATAACCAAAATGAAAGCTATATAGGTGCTCTGGATCTACGAGTCGACCTATTCTCATCTCCTCTCCTGCTTATGTTCACGCGGCTGTTGACAGTCGTCCGGCTTCGATCCGTCAGGGAAATGTCCTGGGTACAACTACGCCTTCTTGCATTGTAGAGCACATTGAAAAAACACGGCATCTTGTGCGCTTTCCTACGGCGTTATGTAGGCCACCGCTAGTCTATTGCCTTGCTGGCGGCTTCGACCGGGGGGAGGATCTCGACATTTAGTGCTGGCGCTCCACCGTAGCTACACCAATGACGCGGGGGCGTGCAACAGTAATCGCTCTAGAGCTCTCAAACACCCCTTCGCGACCCATTTTCCCTGCGTGAACCCAGAATACGACCTTCTGTTCGCTTATAGGCTCATATTCATCGGACTTGTCCTGGCCTGCTCGCCCGATCGCACTCTCGGACTTGCGACACGATGACCCAACACGAAGCCTTCCTGTTGCTCACCCTCCCATCCGCAACCATCCACACGACCACCGGGCCCGCGATCACCGGCACACTCGATGTCGAATGCATAACGCTCACCGGCCACCCCACGCCCCCCAACGGGAGGGAGGTGTTCCTTGTCCTGCGCCTTGAGGGGTTCGAGCTGCCCCTGGACCCCACGCGGGTCGTTTCTCTCGCCCGGAACAGCAACGACGACAGGGTGTACACCTTCCATCCTTGCGAGAGTGATCGTTGGTCGGTCGTCCTCACCTTCCTGGTTCCTGGCGAGAAGGATGGGTCGGCCGCGCAGGACTGGGACACGTTCGACGGTGAGCATGACGCTCGTTCAGCATCAAAGAAGTCTGATCAGTACATGCAACAGGCATACTACAGCAATACGCTGACTTCCGGCTCGAATCTACCCACGAACACACACCCGAACCCGCAACTGCAGGGCCCTCCTCGCTCCCCTATGCACCCTACGCCCCTCGCCTCGCCCGCCACGCCTCAGGCGCGTACGAGGTCGTCAACCCCGATGGCAAAGAAGCACCCGACTACCGCGGGCGACTCGTGCTCGTCGACGAGTCGAGCGGTCAGGTTCTCGGCGCCGTTGGAGACAGGCAGCCGACACACGCCGACCCCACGCTTGCAGAGCACGAGGACGTAGTGATCGACGTGAGCGGGGGGACACCCGCAGCAGGAGCAGATGGCACCCGGGAAATCGAACTCGACCCGCGCGAGATATTCGTGCGGCGGATCCCGCCTGGGGAGGAGAACTACATTACGAAGGGCGCCTCGTTCATCAGGTTCGTGCTCGCAGTCTCTGACGCCCCTCGCCCATGCTCACTGACGTCCGGCAGCTACGGCATTTCGGGCGCGGCATCGCTCATCACGCACGGCATGTCCGCCGCTTCGAACTATTACGTCTCCAAAGCGACACCGCACCCGTCCGCGTCGCCGCACCTCTCTCCGGCAGGCACGCCGCCCCCTCCCCCTCCACGCGCGATTACACTCCTCACCTCCGACCGCGCCAAGCGCGGGATGGGCGTCGCGCACAGCGCAACCGGACGTGCGGTGCAGGTCTCGGGCCGCACCGTCCGCGCCGTCGAAGGGTTCGTCAAGCGCGCCGTGCAAAAGTCGATGGGCGGGTCGCACGTAGAAGAGCTCGGCGGGACGCCGGCGCCCAGCACGCACGCAAACCATCTGGTCGCGCCCGCGTTCGGGCGGGGTGCAGCGGGGCCGTACCTGTCTGAGTCGCCCCGTGGCTCGGACGTGACGCTGCCCAGCTATCAGGACGCCACGAGTGGGCAGAAGCCGCCCCCGCTGCCCCCGCGGTCGGGTGCGTCGACGTCTGGCGGGGACAGTAAGCCACCGCTGCCGCCGAGGACTCCGCCTCCGCCCGGCGCGAAGGACGGCGCCCAAGGGCCGTCTGACCAGCCGCAGCTGACGCCGGGACAGAAGTTGAAGAATAAGGCGCGGCTTGTCGCCTCCGTCGAGCTCATCCTTTCCACCCTCGACCAGTCCACGAAGAAGATCCTCGACGTCGGCTCCGACAGCCTCTCCGCCGCCGTCGGGCACAAGTACGGCGAGAAGGCGGGCGAGAGCGCGCGGCTGATGACGGGTACGATGCGCAACGTGGGGCTGGTGTACGTTGACCTGCGCGGGCTCGGGCACCGTGCGCTGCTCAAGACGGCCGGGGTGGAGGTCGTGAAAACGCGGTTGAGGGACGGGCGCGAGGTGCGGTTGAGGACCGAGGGCGGTGGCGGGCAGGAGGGAAGGGTCGTCAAAGCGGTGGAGGTGGACGGCGAGAAACGATGAGACACTCTCGAGGCGGGACAACGAATGGACTGGAATCGTGTTCTGCCTCACTTGCATCCATGGATTATACAATGTACTTCTTACGACTCGATACTGCATATGCTGGCCCGTGGGTACATATAATTCGGGATGAACGGGGCTCATCGGCGCCTTGGTACCACTCGCAGCCCAAATCTCGCGCAAAGAGCCGGCGTCGAGCCGCAGTACCTGGCCCAGCAGTGCGCGCACGAGGATGTATGGATCCGAGTCCCGGTGGGTTCATATAGCGTACCTGCTCGCGAGACGTGCTACCAGCGGCAGTCCACGGCAACAATGCGGCATCTTTCGCCGGCTCCTCGCGCAAATATGTCACTATTGCAACCAGATCCAAGTCAAAACGGCATTACGAAGATATCATGTATATCAAAGTTGTTGAACGACCAGGCAATAGTCGCGTGTGAGGGTGACCATGATCCAGTGACGGGTGTGACACCTGCTGACTCCCAACGCGAAGCACGTGAGCTGTGCGCGCCAATATTCCTCTCCCCCTGCCATCCCGACACCACAGGTCGTCCCGGAACATGAGAGACCTGGACGCGCTACTCAACTCCGTGCCAGACATCACAGACTTTACCGAGCCCGAACTGCGAGAACTGGACTCCTCGTTGCGGTGTACCATCTGCAGGGAACTCTACGACGCGCCCGTGACGCTCACCCCCTGTGGGCATACATTCTGTTCCGTCGTACGTCGCGTCTTACTGCACCCTTCGGGACTATATGCGCTGAAAATTAACTCTCTCTCACTCTGATAGTGCGTCAGGGAGGCGATTTCCTCCAGTTCCGCCTGCGCAGAATGTCGGAAGGAAGTGAGCGATACGCAGCTCAAAGCTAATATCGCGCTCGAGAACGCCGTGGTTGCCTGGAAGGCCGCACGGTATGTCCTAGTCTACTTCTATATATGATTTTGCTCCGTATGCCCACGCAGATACTTAGAGATGTGATACTGCAGCTCTCGAAAGACCGACAAGAACTCCAGCGTCGGCTAGACGAACGACCACACAAGCGGCCCAGGCTAGACAACGCTACCTCTGCCTCTTCCGTTGACCCCATCTCGGGCCCATCGACTCCTCGCAAGAAGCATTCCGACAGCAATACTCCTCAGGACGATGATGACCTCGTCCAATGCCCAATATGCCAGACCTTCGTCCTCATGGACGTCATCAACTCGCATATGGACAACAACTGCGCGGCCCTTAAACCGCCCGACTCCAAGCCCAGATCTAAGTCCGGGTCCAAGACGAAGCAGAAGGCGGCATGGTCCCAGCTCATGAGCGGTGCCCAGCAGGGTAAAGGCAAGGACAGGGACCTGTATGTTGGGCTCCCGCCCACCCTCACGATTGTGTTCCTTGACTCTGATCCCGGGCTTGCACGGCAGTTCCGAGCTCGAAGACCGCCTGCCCAAACAGTCGTACGACATGCTCAACGACAAACAGGTTCGACATCTTCTACAGGAGCATGATTTATCGACGATAGGCGACCGCAAAACGCTCATTGCACGACACAAACGGTATGCATTCTCATTCTACGCGTAGGTGTATGCGGTTGTTCTGATCCTCATGATGCGAAGATGGGTCATCACCTACAACGCCAACCTGGACCGTGCCCCGAAACGACGTCAGACCCTCGCCACCCTCCGCGCCGATCTCAAGAAGTGGGAGTCGGAGCATAAAGGCACGACGTCCAAGCCAGTGTCGGCGGTATCCGATTCCGAAGCGCACCAGGTCGGTTGTCGTCTGAATGCGGAACTTTCGTGAAAAGGTCGCTGACTTGTATTTCAGAGGACGCACAAAACCCAGTTCGCCGCGTTGGTGGCTGCGGCGAGGCAGACGAAGACTGCCAAGGATAGGGGCCCTCCCCAGTCGCCCAGCCCTATGTCTAGGTCATCGAGCGCCGTCTCTGAAAACAAGCCGCGCGAGAGCAGCGCAACGCCGGAGCCGATAGACGGAGTTATCGAACTGGAATAGAAGCCTTGCTCGAGTGCCAGTTGGCTTATATATCGTTTGTTCTCCCATCTCGCAACTTCGCACGTCTCCGACCGCAGCATGTAATATAACATCAAGTCAACCTCGTGGGATGCATCGAAAGGCCGTGAAGAAATACAAGGGTCATGTATAGGGATGTACACTAAGCATTAACTAATCCAACAGACAGAACCGAGGCACAGGACGGGCAAGGGCCGATCATGTTAGCCTCTTACAGTAATCGGGGTTGCCCGTCGGGTTGAGCGCCCAAGTGGGGAACGGGTGCACGGTGCCGCTGCCACCGCCCACAGCGAACGTCCAGACGAAGACCATGACCTGGGTACCACCGTCCAAGGCCGCGCTGAGGAGGAAGCTTTGAAACGAACGAATGTCAGCGTCATTTACATGCATGGATATGCGAAAGGTTACGCACTTGTACTTGCGGAACCAGGTGGCGCGGTACTTGCGGAGGTACCACTGCGAGAAGATGGCAAGGGCGAAGGAGGTGAAGACTGAAGAGTTGATGCCGACGCTGAGGTAGCCGAGCTCGGCGACGAGGATCGGGGTGAAGACGTTGTTCCAGCCGAAGTTGGGGTACTTCTTGTGCAGCCACCAGAAGGGGATTGGGAACCCGAGACCCGCGAGGAGCATGTACTGCAAACAGCACCGTCTGTCAGCGATCTGTGCGGGTGGTTCGTTAACATGCAGTACGTACGGGAACGAAACCGTAGCGGGTGCCGGTCGCGTACAGCGGCTTGCCGAGCGCACCCCAAGCGATGGCATCGGAGTTGTACGACTGCACCTGCTGGCCGGACCAGACGTTGCTGCCCTGGACGTCGAGCAGAATATCGCGCTGGGAGCTGAGAACGGTCCTCATGATGACGTAGTTGAGCACGCCGCCAATGATGGTCCCGATGGTCTGCACGGCGAATGTGACGCGAGGCGGGAGCTTGGTGTATTGACCCTGCACGACTGTATCAGCGAGGAGCTACGATGACGGATGGGACACATTGAGCTCACCAGCTTGAGGTCGCGGAGCAGGTTCAGCGACTGCGACACGCTGTTGTAGCCGTAGAGCGTGAAGTACATGTTCGCCACCGGCTTTCCGGGGATGATAGCTCCGCCAACCATCTGAACCAAGTTCTCAATACTCGGGGAGTAACCGACCGTGCAGTAGAGCTAGAACGAGTGCCGTCAGGAACATGGACCGCATAGATTGCCGGATGGGCTCACCGTGCCGATGACAGGGACGAAGGCAGTCGCGAAGATGAGGGCGACGAAGAGACCCCACCACGGGAGACCGGAGTGCGCGGTGTACGACGTCGCGAGGGCCATGGCGATCGTCGCGACAAAGATCGCGACGTACCAGTACCACGGTACCTCCTTGTAAACCTTCATCTTCTGGTAGTGAGGGTCGTCGCACTCCTCGGTGCGCGCCTTCTTGATGATACCGTAGATAGACTTCGAGTGCCAGAGGATGAAGTGCGTGACGGCGGCACCGATGTACATCGTACGCGAGATCTTGTACAGCAGCTGCGACGCCGCGTACCACGGCAGGCCCTGCGCGCATCGCTTCAGAATACTGGATGATGGACAAAAGGGGGCGCAAACCGCGTACCTGCTCTGCAAGTTTGGTGTAGTTAAGGGTGTAGTCGTCGTTGAGGATCAGCAACTGGTCGTACTCCGTGCCGTTCTCGTAGAACAGGAGCTGGGTCAAGAACGGGAAGTTCTGTGCGTGCCAGACATTCTGCGCATAGCATGCACAGAACGCGATCATGCAGACGGCGCAGCCACCGTAGAGCGAGAGCTGAGTTGAGAGCGGGGTGAAGAGCGAGCCGATGGAGCCGCCGCCCGAGCCGACGTACGCCCAGTCGAAGCAGAGCGAGAAAGCGCCGAGGCCCTCATTACCGGCAGCACCACCTGAAGGCCGCGTTTGTTAATCCTAACGTGGCTCGCGACAGGCGTAGCCAGCAACTCACCGAAAATACGAGTGAACCACGCGCTCTTCTGGTCGGCCAAGCAGAAGATACTCACACCAGTGAGAGTCCTAGGCGCACGGGGTCAGATTACCAGATCAGATGACAAAGCAGTGGAGATAGAACGTACGGAGCGATGTATTCCTGGACATGATAGAGTTACAAAGGTTAGCAATCACGAAATCATGCTAATCGGGATGCATATACGCACGGGGAACCATTCCCACACCTACAGATTATCAAAGAAATGTCAGATACCGCTTCTGTGGTCACGGGCGTTAGGAGAACACGCACGAAGATAGCGATAAAGACAGCCCAGAAGAAACGCAGACGCTTCTTCTGCAGTATCGCGCTCTTGCCGCGGTGGAGCGCGTCGAAGAGCTGCACAGTGGGCACGAGCTGCGGGTAGACGGCGTAGGTCGGGTAGACGAGGAACACGCGCATGATACCAGCCATGCCGTAGCCGATGAGCTGCGAGCCGATGAGGGTGAAGATGCCGACGCCGGCGTTGGGGACGACGTTGTAGTACAGGTCCTGCGCGGCGAAGATGCTGATGGCGAGCGCCGAGTCGGACGCGGTGGCGGCCATGATCGTGATGGCAACGTGCTCCTTGAGGTTGAAGGGTCCGCCGTTCATGAAGCGCCAGAAGGCGTTGTCCGGCGTCTTCCACCGGCCCACCTGGTGCGGGCCGGGGATGACCTCTTCCATGGCCTTTCCGAGGATGTAGGCGATGATTTGCAGGAAGAGCTGGCTGACGGAGACCGTTTGCGGGCGGAAGTACTGCGAAAGGGGAAGGCAATCAGCGCAAGCCGTAAGGGCGTGAACGGAGAGCAAGGACATACGAAGATCTGCCCGAGCACGGAGCCGAAACAGGACAGACCGAGAGCGAGGAACCACATGCGAAAAGTGAAGATAGGCAACGACGGATCATCCTCGAGGGAGAGAAGACGGGTAGAATAATCCGCATCGGTTTCTGTACGCAAATATCAGCGGTCGATCCAATCGACATCGTATTATCGCAGTAACTCACCGATAGGGCGCTCCTTGCCGTCCGCGCCTAGATCAATGGCGCGGGGTCCTTCAAAGACGTCACCGACATCCGACTCGAGGGCGACGTGCTTCAGGTCCTTCGCCGTGACCGGGTGCTTTTCGTCGATGATGGACCCCTTCTCGTCGATATCGGACTCGGTACGCTTTGGCGAGTCCGGGTGGTACGGCGGCGGTACCACCGGCGCTAGGTCCTTGAACTCGGACGCCATGGCAGCGGGGATGGGGCAGGGTCAAGCCTCAAGGTACGTATGCGCAGAAGACCGCCTTATATATGTGCACGCTACGGACCGCGCTAAATCCGTTGAACGTGGTTTTTGTAGCTCCAAGCCCCAGCACTACTGGCTATGTCTTGGCTTCCATATGGGCGAGGGAGCGATAAGCTGAACCACAGATAAGAATTTCGAGTTCTCCCAGGAGAAGGTTGGCGAGACGCGAAGAAGTTGATGCACCTAGGCACGCGCTCCGTCCCACTGACCCGGTTGAAGCATTCCATGCACAAGATGGCGATATCTGTAAATGAGGGCCGAGAATCACAGGGCGGCCATAGTTGGTCCAAAGAATACGCCGGTGCCGCCCTGGGAGTGTAGGGCAGTCGAAATGCAGGTTTTCCGCCTGGTTCCAGCTGGTCCCGCCCATATTCCGACTTTACGCATGATCTTGCAATTCTCTTCAAGGGGTGGGAGATAACGGGATGTATTCAGCACAGACCGCCGTAGCACACCATAGTGGTGCATTGCTGAGAAATCTCGAGCTCGACATGCCCGACAAAGCATCCGAGCAATGCCAAGATAACGAAATCAAACCTTGTGAGCACTGAACCCGGCGAGATATCGCGCCAAAGCGGCACCGGAGAGCCACGGTCCCGACGTTGATCGCAGTTCGACGGCGCACCGAGCTCATCTTGAAGGATATTGTCCAGACGCAAGAAAACAGTAGCTATATTTCGTGCATGGTAGCGCCTTCTTGTTCTTGCAGCTGGTTGCAGTCAGGGAAGAATTAGGGCGGGCCCGGCCAGGCCCGGCCTTGCAGTCTCGGGGCTGTGCATGCACGTGGCTTAGGGGCTTGTGAATTTGAGGTCGAATTTGCCCCTCTTCGGACGTAACCCTCTTGCTCCTTCTTGCTCTCGTCTGTCTAGCAGGACATGCCACAGATTTGTCTGAGCTGAAACATCACCCCCATCAGGGCCCTTTGCCTCGTTTTTACTTTAGGTTTTGGACTCGTAGCCTTGGCTGAACTGCGATTCACTATCTTGATTCTCCACGTGAAAGGAGGAGCTCGCATCGGCACCGGGAGATCGCGGCATTTTGAACCCAGACCCTCTCATTGGCGATCGTCCTGCGTGCTGGAATTCGTTTGGAATCGTCAATTTCACCGTTGGAAGACGCAAGCATGTCGCAGGCACAGGCACAGAACGACCCCCCTCCCGTGAGTTTTTGCGGTCGCGATCTCGAAACGCAAGATCGCGCTCAGATGAGAGAACGAGCAAACCGCTGAGAGTCTGACCTCGTCTCGTTAGATCCTTGCCGCTTCCGTACACGATGTCCGATACTTTGCATCCATCATGCGCGGCATCAACTTCAGTAATGTTCGTTCAAAGCTGTGGCAAACTGCTTTTGTCTGCTCTGACGACACTTGAACCGACCCTGGCTACTCAACGGGCGATGACCAGCGGGCCACGCTCACCGCGCGTGAAACCGGCCTTACCATCCATGTCGAGGAAGCCCGAACACTGTTAGCCACCGCATACATCTTCGCCGGCATGTTCGACGAATATCAATACAGCCCCGACGTTGCTGCTCCACCCTCCCAACCGGCGACGCCTCGATCCACGGCCTTATCAGCCGCAGACGTTCCTGAAACGATCTTCGAGGTGCCTCTCAACACCCTCGTCGAATGCCTCAACATCTTCGGCACCGCCGGACCGCCGCCCAATCCAAACAGCACCAAGGCAAGGACGGCGAAGTTGAAATCCGCTGAGGACGAGGAGGGCGGAGGCGGCGAAGACAGAAACCAGCGAGGACCGCTTGACAAGTTCATCGCGTCCGCCAGCGGGGACGCGAAGAGCACAGCCATGCGCATGACATTTGCTGGGCTGGGACACCCGTTGTCGCTACATATGTGCGTGGAAAGCGCAAATATGCGTGAACGTGCGTGCCTCTGATCGTACTTATTCTGACCTTCTTTCCGTAGTGTCGAAGAATCCGGCGGACCGACAGCGATTTGCGAGCTTTCGACACTCGATCCTGAAACGGTACTAGAACTACCCTTCGACTCGGACGCGACGTGAGCTCTTCCTCGTTGGTCGTCCCTCGTGCCTTGGCTGAACATCCCTTTTTCTTGCGTATGCCAGCGTGCTGAAGATCATCCTCAACCCGTCTTGGCTTCGTGACGCACTCTCCGAGCTGGACCCATCATGTGACAAGATCACCTTCATCGGGAACCCGCCGCCAGTATCTGCAGCGCCTCAGCGGGCATCCGCCAATAGAACTCCAAAACCGTCGTTCAGTATCAAGGCCGCTGGGACGTTCGGGAGCAGCGAGGTTAATTCACCCCCCTTCTCACAGCGTGAATGGTTGACTGACTTCTTCTTTCTTTCAGATGGATTACCCGAACGATAAGGAGGTGATCGAGTCCATCGAATGCTCCGCCACTGTCAGCTTCACGTATGTTCCTCTCGTGCCTGTTCGTTCCATTCGTCCGTATCGGATATTGAATTGTCGCTCGTCCAGATACCGATTCAGCCATCTATCGCGCGTTCTGCGGGCGCTATACAGTTGTACAAAGACTTCGTTGCGTATTGATGACGAGGGACTGCTGAGCATGCAGTTCCTGATGCCAACGGGAAAGATACAACCGATGGGAACAAGCAATGCCTTCATAGAATTTCGAGTGTGTTTGCCTTCCGCTACCGGTTGCAGAGATCGTATTGCTGATATCATACTGCAGTGCTTGTCCCTCGACGAAGATATGTAACTCGCGCTGGAAATAATGGTACCTTGTATTCTTGATGTGACAACAAAAAAACTTCTCTCCGTAATCAAAACATGCACACTCGCGAGAATTATGCGTCGAGACTGCTAATACACCTCACGTTACTGCGTTCGCCCACGTTATGCGCCGTAGTTGAGACGGAAGATGTCGTTGAATCTGGTAAGATGGTGAGCTTTGCACTTGTCGGGACGTTGGAAGGGGACATACACGTAGTAGCTTCCGCCGTCGGGGATCAGCTGGAAGACCTGGCTGAATTGGAGAGGATTCTGGCCGTCGTCGACCTGGAGAGATGATCACGCGATGCATCCTGTGAGTGATCTGAGCACGATCGGGAAGGGTAACGGATATTCACGAGGAGCAGGCCGGTCACGTTCACGATGAGACTCGCGACGGTCGGCGAAGACGGCTGGGCGTCCAATGTCGTGACTTTGTGCTGGACCTTCTGGAAAGGCAGGCTCTATATTTGCAGCAAGATACGCAGGGATTCATAAGCGCACGAACATCGATGCTAGGGTTCGGAACTCTGGAGCATGCGCCTACTCACCGTCAACTTCTCTGCGATCGCGGCCGCCCCCTGGAACGGTGAGCCCTCGAAGGACAGCATGGAGCTATCGCGCTGAAAGGCAGCAGAAGTGCGTTGATAATAGTACGAAAAGGCGACGATAAACGATCAGGACGCAGGTGCTTGTATCGGTGTTCAAAACGTACGTAGAGGGACGCGAGGCCGGAGCGATCGGCGTCAAAGGTGTTGTAGTAGAAATCGGTGAACTGCTTCGCAATGGCGTTGATGTCGGCCATGGTGGAGAGCGTATATAGCGGCAGTCGAGGAGGGTATAAGCGAGGGTGGTCAGATCCTTTAGCACGAGAGCAATGGACGCGTCAAAGCTGAAAGAGATCGATGCACCGATATTGAGCAACCCGAGAATGCCAAGGCCACGTGAACACACCCTAAGGTCGGAATGATTCGACTTGAAGTATGATGGCTCCCGTGCTCGGTTCTGTTCACACTTCTACTTCGGAGCAGATCCATCAAAAGATATAAGAACGCGATGATGGGCCCGCAGGACGGGCAGCCACGGCCCTCGATGAGGCGCAAGTCGTCCGCCCAGAACCTCCTCTCGTCCTTCAAGCCGGCCCGCGACACCAATGCGCCACCGCCCACGGCCTCGCTTTCCCAGATCCAGCACATTCAGGCCCATCAGCAGCAGCCGCAGGGCGTGAGTGCGGCGGGAGGAGGTCCGCCCTTGCCATCCGCGACGGCCAGCACTTTCGGATTCGACCGTGACTACGGCGCGTACGCGCAGACGCCGACGACCGCGACCATGGCCAGGCGAGACTGGGACGTGCAGAGCCACACGGAGAGCGTTGTCAGCAACGCGAATACCATCTCAAGTACCGCAACGCTCATTGGATCAACGGCGCCAGGGAGCGGGTTGCCCGTACCCACTGCAGGCAGTCCTGCTATACCCCAAAGCACCAACTTGGAACTCTTGCGGGAGATAGTGCAGAAGCGGATCATCACGTTAACATACATGCGGAACGTACACGATGGGTGAGCGAGGATCTGCCCATTTGAGACATGCGAGCTCACTGGCACGCAGCCGGAGTCACTGGTTCCACACTATCCTCATGTCTCGTCAAGACTTGGAGCGCGTTTTTAACAACCACGCCATGAAGAAGCGGTAAGCCTCGCTATGCCTATGTCGATCTTCGCTTAGGATCTTCAATCGAGACCAGAACCCACCGGTTCGCGATCCTCGGCATGTCGCTCTCTGGCTTCTTCGACGTCACTAATCCGCAGGATTTGCTACGAAGCATCCTGAATACCCTCACGGAGTACGAGTCGTCGAAAGAGGATAGCGAACGGCCGCGGATGCAAAGGCTGTTTCGACAGGGCAAGGGTAAACGGCCCACGGTCAACATGAGCGACTATGCGATGTCCTATGCGGACGACCAGGGCTCATTCCTAATAACGCCTCATTTGGTGAGCTTCGTACATCCACACAGTATTCACCGCATTTGCTCACGTCGTTTCACAGCCATTCGCGTTGGATTATAGCCAAGTCCTGTTATCCCTCCTGGACGTGCTCTCCGAAGTCTACAACAAAATTGCGAAAATTCTTGGACCATCCGTCTTCCAACATTCACATTCACACATGATGGGCCCTCTCGGCGCCCTTTCGCCACATCCAGGTGTCTCCTACCTCTTCGCCGGTGCCCATCCCGCTGGCGCCACCCCTTCCACGGCCGGCGCCTGGAACGGGGGAATAATCGGCGTCGAAGGGTTGCCATTCGCCGCAGAAAAGGACGCCGGAGATCTGAGCGGGACGTTGTGGGGGATCGCGAACGCCAACAACTCGGGGATTTCGGGCCCACAGTTTGGTGGCGCAGGGGCGAACGCGTGGGCAGGGGTAGCAGTACCGCCTACGTTCTTGCCGATATATGGAGACATGATCCAGAAGATCGATGGGAAGCTCAAGGTGAGTCGAAACGTTGTTACCTCTATCGATCTAGCCCCTTGCCCCGGGACTCGGTGTGGATAGCGTCGGGTGGTCGCCTGTGTGCGTCTGTGGTTACCTTGGGGGAAGGCTGTCCTAACTCCTACCGATCGGAGCGCGCGACGTGACGCGGCCTGACCTGCATCGAGATGCGTACTTATGTCAGAAACACGCGCTAACGTTTCAACAGAAAATCATATCGACGCTACTGAAGGAGCTCGACCAATTCGCGAGGAACGGGATCAAAGACGAGCTCGCGACGTTAGATCCGCGGCTCAGGAGCGTGTCCGTCTCCGACGAGGCGAGGGAGACCTTCGATTTCGAGGGCAATGTATGATGGGCCATATTTGTGGATTCCGTCATCGACCGGGCACAGTGCAGGAGGGTCGGACCGCGTCCCTCAGTCGGAGGCGATTTATAGTTAAGATTGAGTGCGCCCTGAAGAGCACTCATATACACATTCTGGGACTTTTTTGCATGGTTTGTAGTGGAGCACTGGTGTACATTACGGTGTATTTTTGCTATCTTGTCAAGGACGTGCTGTAACTTCAATATTCGTTTCTGAACATGCCAAAGCATCTAGGTGTGTCGTACTATTAGTAGGCGCCGAAGCCTTCACATGACCCGCATCATCTGTGGGCGCTTGAATTCCCACCCTATCCTTGCAACGCTGCTCAAATGCTGTCCGCGCGTGTGTGCTCGTCGGCGCCATTATTCTGCGCGCTCACGGATCTTTGCTGATAGACGACCGTACATACGACGCTCGCGCCGGCTAGTGAAACAGTGGAGTGCAGTATCTCGGCCTCGTTTCCGGAGCTGCACCCGCACTCCGAGTGGGAAGCCATGTTTGTGGGTACGATCCTGGCCCGTTTCGATATGTTCTGTCTACGTGGACCCACAGGGTTGATTTCGAGGACACCGGTGTTCAGCTTGTGTCTTGACCTCGTCCTATCAACGGCATCGTTTCGCTGTCTACACGGGGTTGACGCCGATAATACCATGTCCTCCCCAGCGGGACCCACCACTCGCAAGCACGGGCAGTCCATCTCTGTCGCTTCTGCGCCAAAGCCTGGTCGGCGTCCTGAGGGGCCCAGAGGGCACGCAGAAGGTCAGTTGTACAGCTTGGCGGGGCCTGTGTCACCACCACATGGGAGGAGGGTATATAACGAAGACGTTGTACCCGTATCCCCTCTCAGTCAGTAGCGTCACGAACGTTCGCCTGCACAAACAACTCTCGCCAACTCCGTGGCCGTTCTCGTACTAGGACTTCCTACAAGTAGGCGTTTCTCTCAGGATGCAGATCCTGACGTGACTCCCCACTGATCGGAGCTTTTCAAGACATCGCTCTAATGGACACTGTTGCGATTGGGATGCCTCGGGAGAGTACGCATTCTTGCATTGATATACCGCAGGTTGTCCGTCGACTGGACAAAACCATGCTCTTCGAGCAAACGCCTCCACCCAACGATGGACGTACCCACACCCCTTCACGTCCATTATACCGTGCGGTTCGCTACCCTTCGCACCTCCGACCTCTCATAAATCACGTCGAACCCGTTCCAAGCCTTGCACCGTCACTGCGGGTATTACCGGAGTCCACCACATTATCAGCAGTCGACGATGAAGCGCGCCGTTCACCGGGTCGTCCCGCACATTCATATCGAATGTGCGGTCCAGAACAAACACCCTCCTACGTATCGTCTCTTCGAGAGACACATGCTCACAGATCAGAGCATGCTGGGTCACCCCATGGCACGCCGCCGGAAGAGAGCTATTCGCCGTGTCAGGGTGGTCAGAAGAGCTTTCGGATAGTCCTTGTTCTCTCACCGTACGGCCGTGTGCAGGCTTAGTTGCTAGTAATCTCTCAGGACTTCATTCTTGGACTGCTTCGTATTCTTGTACATGATCTCCCTTGACTCGCGTTGAATGGCGTTTTCTCTACGTATGCAAACTCCGAATAGTACGGATATCCAGAACGAGAACGAACTGTTGTTGTATTGCTTTGACTTGCGGATTGTCTGAAGGTAAACATAAGGTATTCGCGGCGTCCCTACTCAGAGGAAGGAAAAGCCGATGCTATGTCTCCGCGCGGTAATTCTTTTGACTCTCGGAGCACTCAAGCAGTATCATGACTGTGATGTCCTTGCAGCATACGGGCAACCTATAATCACGAATATGCTAGATACAGGTACATCGGCGGCTGAGGCATACGAAGACGAGAGTCAGAGAGAGCAGCTATCGATACAATTATGCGTAGGTAAGACGAGGGAAGTATGCATAGATAATGCGCGGTATGTTGTATAATGCTGGATGCTATGATAACGCCCCGAACGAATCCATGTGTGAAGTGGGCAGAAGTGATCTACGCGGCATGCCGCATAGGAAATGGTGGTCCAGTTTCGAATTGACACAGAATAAGGAAGAAGGGTGACGACGCCGGGGGATCAGCCGTCCAGCAGGAAGTCCCAGTCGATGGGCGTCTCGGGAGCCTTCCTCCCGCACCCGAAAACTCGCCTCCACGTCTCGCGGGTCTTGCACTCAGGCGCGCCCGTGCTGACATCCCACATGCGGAGGGAGATAGTGCCAGTGGTGATGACGATTAGCTCGTCTGCGCCGTCCTCGAGCGCCTCGATGCAGCTGTCGCGGGGGCGAGCGAAACGGACGCGCTGCATGATCTGGTTGGTGAAGCCGGGTGAGAAGGCGAGCCGCGAGCCGCGGGGGTAGCGTATGCGCCCGCGGAAGTCCGACGGGAGCCAGACAGTCACGTCGGAAGAGTCGGCTTGAATCTCGAGATAGAAGGGTGTGTGGGTGATTGGTTGGCGAGACTGATGATGCGATAAGGATAGGTATGATGGAGTCGCATATCGATGGTGACCTACCACTCTCGCCTTGATGTGGCCTGTTGAACTGCCTACGTACATTCGCATGCGATGGTTCAGAGGTTGATTCCGTGCACGATAGTGAGGGAGGGTGAGGGTAACGTCGACTGGGCGATGATTCGTCTCAATGGCCCAATCCCATTGTTGCCTAGGCTGGTATTTGATCTTGTGAGAGCCCTCGGTTGGGTTGTCAAGCTAATGTAAAGTAAATTAGTTGTGTGTCAAGCATTGTATAGCGGCCACGAACCAATGGGCTGCCGAGAGGTGAGACGGGGCTCGAAAACTTTTCGTCCTCGTGGGACAGAGACGACGACGACGAGGCATACTGCAATTGTATTATCAGCGATCTCGTCGTTATTACACGCAGAGAACACGTACCAGGGGTCTTTGAGGCGAATATACCATTGCTAAGAGGAGAAGGGACTCTGATCGACGAAGGGCGGGGGAGAGATGACCACCCGACCCCCGAAGCGATATCTTATAGGAAAGGGCCAACATCCTCTTGTTGTCTTACTTGCATCTCGAAGAGGAAGAGAAAATACAAGGCTTGCCGTTTTCGGAAGCAAAGCGCCGTCCGCACTGAAACCGGCTTTGTTTACGTAAGCTGCCTCCGCCCCTTCTCTCCGCGGGATGCGTTGTTCCCTTTCGACGACCGTCGCAGCACAACTGACTTATACGGACAACGAGCGACAGCGTGCCGGACCGCGTCCGATTGCAATGGACCGATACGTTTCTCCTCTTCTCCACTCACTGGAGTTTGGAATGATACCCGCGAATCAGTCATCAAGACGGATGGAGGCCGTTCACCGTAGGCCCAAATCGCGGCCCGGACGTGGTCTGCGTTATTGAAGAAGAAATACAAGACTACATTGTATGGATTTAGGAAGAATAAGGGCGTCCGCATCCGCGGCCAAGGATGCACGATCTCCTCCGATCCGGCGCCCGGCGTCTATCCATGGTGCGAATGTGGTTGACCAGCTGCCGGTAAGTAGATGGTGCACTCAAACGCAATCACAGCATGAAGAAGCACGGTCGGAGCGCAAGAGATCGCCGTACGGAAGGTCGTCAGCGCACTCGCCGAGAGGGTTTGCCGCCAATGTCAAGCCGTCATCACCTTAAGTGAGACCTTGCCATCAGTCGTGATCAGTACCTTGTCTTGCATTTCAGATTCCGAATCTTCGCCTATACGGATAAGGCCCTCATCCACGCGGGAGATGAGTTCTTTCGACAGCGAGACTCCACTTGATTGCTGGCCATCGTGGCGGGAGGGATATATTGCGCCCTTGAAGCTGACAGGTAGGGCCAATATCACGTCTATATTGCCTAGAGTCTGGACGTGAAGTTCCAGTCTATGCCCCTTGCCGTTCAGCACCTCGTGCTGCGTGATATGTGTTCAGGATCATGATCGATTAAATTGATAAAGAGAAGATGTAATACATCACTGACAATCTCTGCAAGCACGACCCCATGTTTAGATTTGAGGACGATGCTCGAACATTCGTTAGGTGCGAGATCGTGTTCTTCTTTATCGCGCGCCTCTGATGACACCCATAGCCTGTACCTCGGGGTAGGAATTGGATCCTCCGAGGGCTCCACATTATCAACGTCAGCCGAATAGAAGGGTGCCGGTCGGCGGGCCTGCTCTATCTCCCGGACTTCAAGATACAATCTATCTGCAAGCTGAGGCGGCAACATCAGCCAGCAGCTCGAGAATCCTTAGCCACATTGCGTACTTGCTTCGAGGAACCATGCGAAAAAAATAACTGTATTCGTCTCGCTTCAATGCGCCATATGGCGGTCAAGCAAGGACATACAGTGCGGCGTTTCAAGCTTGACCGATTGATGGTGGGCAAAGCAGCGATCCGATGAGGCGAACGTTTCGGAGAACGACATGGAGAAGCGCTCGATGCGTTGTTTGACTTCTCGCCACTGCCATTGCGACGCAATGCGCGCTTCTTGAGCGCCGCGAGCTTGTGAGACTACGCTACATGCGTGAGCGGAACGACTGTTGAAGTTCGTGCCACTTGCCGACGAACGGGTCCAGGGTATGTCTTTAACCATCGTAACGAGTGTAGTCAAAAGTCAGAGTACCAGCCTCCAACCAGCGGGTTAGATAAAATCTAGAATGAGCGTGGAGAGGTAAATGGAGAGTGAAGGGAATTATCAGCGTCCAAGAGAGACCGATTTGAGCAATCGCGAGTTTGCCTGCTGGAAGTGCACAAAGAAACCACGTGCGCGTCATTGTCCTTCGACGCGGGCCACACCTACGCGTCGCGACCTTACTTAGTCCGACTTGTGGCCCTGCAGACGAGATGCAACTCGGATACGCCATTGTGCCTTTGTCCCACAGCCTTTCCAGTGTCATGTTATGGGAAGAGGAACAACGATGGCACAGACGCACGTTTTGAATGGTGAGGAATGCATATCAACTGTCATCGCGCCAGGTGGGTTGGCGCATCATGAGGATAAGTAGTTTTCGTCCATCGCTATCGGCGTCTAGATAAGCAAGGTAAATAGCATCAGAAGCTCCGTCCCGAGGCGTCCATTCTATAGCGCAACGGGCGCTAAGAAGACCGGCGTGGGAGATAGAGAGCGTAATGAGGGAAGCGAGGGACAAGTTGCTGTTTTCCACTTTCCAGAACTGAAGACTTCACCTCAAGGCAACGCCTGGAGGAGTAGGATCGTCTCTGCGTCGATCGGAAAGGCAGTCCGTTACTTGTCCTCGCCGTGTAAGTGGGGAACATGCTCGAAGCTTCTCTCGATCACTGCGGATGTTGAACCCCGTACATTCCAAGACAGCGTCCTAACGAGATAGCGAGCGCTCTGTGGCCTTAAATACCAACGACTAAGAGCTCGAGATCGACAAGTTGCGTGAACCACAGCCTGGAGTTGATCTAAGAAAGGTGAGCCTCAGATGCAGATGAGGTCAGCATGACTCGAGCGGAACCTGCCGGAGCGGAGTTCAAAATTTTTATCCTCGGTTTAAAGTCGTCGTCTTGACTCTTGAGCACTTCCAAAAGCCCAGAGGTCCCTCAGTTCTCGGAGCATGTGTTTTGGCGAGGAAACATTCCTTAAGGCATATCGAACGTCGTCTGAGGGCGTTTGGGGTATATGTGCAAGGCAGGAAGGTCGTGATGAAGTGCCATCAAATTTCGGACAGAGTTTTGACCCGAATCGGGCCTTGAATAGAAATTTCAAATTGCCTTGGGTATATAAGGACGCGACTCGTTTGCATCTTGACCTCCCTTTCTCCCGTCGTGAAGTTTCCCACGCTTAGAACCAGTCAACTAATTTTCCGTAGTCCTTGCACGAACATGCTCCCCGCCCGCCAGCTCAACTTTGGTCGTCCCGCCGCCTCGCAGAGCCAATGGCAACCACCTACCTATCAGCCTGCCCAGCTGCAACAGCAGCAGCAGCAAAAGCAAGTGGATCAATCTTCTACTCAAGGACTGGCGTTACCGGGCACGTCTGCGGCGAACGGATCTCTCGCTTTCCCCGGCTCTGCTCCTGCGCCATCCTTCCCTACCACCGCATCCCAGAAGACATCCCAAACCCCACCCCAGGTTTCGCAGCCTAAGGCCGGCCCTTCGACGCCCGCCGCCGTCCCCTCCACCCCCGCGCCGCTCACCCTCGAGCAGCAGCACATCACGGCTGTGGAGGGCATCGTACCTCAACTGCAGAACATCGTCGCGACGGTCAACCTCGACTGTCGTCTCGACCTGAAGACGATCGCCCTCCACGCCCGGAATGCCGAGTACAACCCGAAGGTTGGTACAGTTTCATCTTCTATGTTCTTTCACGTCGAACTTCTTTGGTTCGCGTGATTGTAGCGTTTCGCGGCCGTCATTATGCGTATCCGCGATCCGAAGACGACGGCCCTCATCTTCGCCTCGGGCAAGATGGTCGTGACCGGCGCGAAGTCCGAGGATGACTCGCGGCTTGCCGCTCGCAAGTATGCGCGCATCATTCAGAAGCTCGGCTTCGACGCCAAGTTCTCGGAGTTCAAGATCCAGAACATCGTGGGCTCTTGCGACGTCAAGTTCCCCATTCGTTTGGAGGGATTAGCGTACAGCCACGGACAGTTCAGCTCGTATGAACCCGAGGTATGCTCGGCCTCCGTCTGCGTTCTGAGCGAAGCTTATCGTCATGTAGCTTTTCCCCGGTCTCATCTACCGTATGCTTAAGCCGAAGGTCGTGCTGCTCATCTTCGTCTCTGGAAAGATTGTCCTCACCGGCGCGAAGGTATGTGCGGCATGAACCTAGTAGATGTTTACGAATATTGACTTACTTTCCTACTGTAGGTCCGCGAGGAAATCTACGCTGCTTTTAACACCATCTATACCGTGCTATGCGAATTCCGCAAACCGTGAGCGGTGTGCGCATGTCGTTTCCCTCGCGCCGGCGTCGTCGTTATTTCGAGGCTCATCTCGACGATACGACGCCGGAGGGTTGAAAACTGGCGTCAGAGGGGTCGAGGGCGGAGACGCTGACGTAGTGCACGAGGGATGCTCTACCCCCTCCCTCCCGTCGCCCACAATTGGGATTGGTCCCCTTCATCCAATCCTCCATACCTACATGTCATATTTTATTGTGGTATAGTTGCGAGTTCCATTTCATCGAGCCCGTACGAACTCTGTCATCATTACCTTACATGCATCTTTGGTATTACGCATTTGTATCATTACTACAACTACAAAAAGCAAATGGAAAGACCATATTAACGAGATCAGAAAGGGCGAATGAATGGACTTCCCCTGAGATGTTGGGTAGGATCGAGTCAGATGAAATGCTGATTTCCGTGCGGTCTGCGATAATGGACCGACTAGTATCCAGCTTTAGCATCATCGTCCTTGTTGCTCTCCTCAACAAAAATGTCGACCGGCGGCCCGCCCTTGATGGTTCCTGAGGACGCACCCAACCAGAGTGCGATGGAGAAGGTCTTGGAGGCCTTGAACATCAAGGAGAAACCCGAGACGTACGTCGGTTACCCCGACCTGCCTCTATCCAACTAACGCTCACTATCGTTCAGTCAGGTCCAGCCCGCAACTTCTGCAGGCGGAGAACCAGTCAAACCGGCGCTTGTGTCCGATGCGCACGAACAGGTTGTCACACCCTGGGACGTCCAAGGCGCGGTGTCTAGCGACGGCAAGCAGACCGCGATCGACTATGATAAGCTCATCGTACAATTCGGAACTCGGCGTGTGGATCAAGCGATGCTGGAGCGATTCGAGAGGTTGACCGGTGTCAAGCCGCACCCTTTCCTACGGAGAGGGCTGTTCTTCTCGCATCGGTGTGTACCTTAGGTCCCTACCGCGCGAGCTCCTCGGAATGTTGACCAACTGGACGCACTGTGCAGCGATTTTGATAAAATCCTGGATCGGTATGAGCAGGGGAAGCCTTTCTTCCTCTATACCGGGCGAGGTCCGAGTAGTGGCAGCATGCATCTCGGACATTCCGTTCCCTTCGCATTCACGAAGTGGGTCTTCACAGGCTCTATCATGGATGTACGCTCACGAACCGAAGATGGCTTCAGGACGTCTTCGATGTTCCGCTTGTCATCCAGCTTACAGGTACGTATTCGCAAACAAGTTCCCGGACACCCAAACTGAACGTGGTGATGCAGATGACGAGAAGTTCCTGTTCAAGCACGAGCTGAAGCCCGAGCAGACGCTCCAGTTTGCGAAAGAAAACGCGAAGGACATCATCGCCTTTGGATTCGATGTCAACAAGACATTCATATTCAGCGATTTCGAATACCTTGGTGGTGCTTTCTACAAGAACGTGTCCAAAATATCCAGGCAGATCAGCTATAACCAGGCGAAAGCTACCTTCGGTTTCAACGACTCGTGAGCACCCGTATCATAGCTATCCTCCATGATCGGCCTCAACGGTACCATCTCAGAGACAATATCGGCAAAATTCACTTCGCCTCCATCCAAGCCGCTCCGTCGTTTTCCAACTCATTCCCTCAAATCTTCGGCGAAGTGTCAAACATCCCCTGCCTCATCCCTTGCGCCATCGACCAAGACCCATACTTCCGGCTTACTCGCGACGTCGCGCAGAAGCTCAAGTATCCCAAACCGACGCTCTTGCACTCCAAATTCTTCCCCGCACTTCAAGGGCCACAGACGAAGATGAGCGCGAGCGACCCGAACTCAGGTATCTACATGACGGACACGCCCAATCAGATCAAGAACAAGATCAATCGGCATGGATTTAGCGGCGGCAAGGAAACGGAGGAAGAGCATAGACGATTAGGTGGTGACCCCGACGTCGATGTCGCGTACCAATACCTGAGCTTTTTCCTGGATGACGATGAGGAGCTCGCAAGACTGGCTACGGTGAGTGTGCTTGTTGCATGGCCCGTGAACCACGTGTGATGGATGTCGCTTTGTCAGGAATATCGTGCTGGGACGCTGCTGACGGGGCAGCTTAAGGCGAGATGTATCGCTCTGCTGACGGAGATGGTCACCAGCTTCCAGAAGGTCAGTATGTCGACCATGACCTTGCGTCTCCGAACTCATTCGTGTGACAGCGACGCTCCGAAGTCTCCGCTGAAACCCTCGCTCAGTTCATGGATGGCACGAGGAAAATTGTCCCCTCATACGGCAAGGCGAAGACTGCTCCGTCACATCCGACTGCTTGATAACATGTTATGTACTTTATCTATCCGAGGGTCTCCCAAATACGCTGTACTGAATACCGGAAGAAGAGCAAGCGAGATACCAGCACCTATAATGGCATGCTTCTAGTGGCATGCTTCTAGTGACACAGACCTTAATGAACGGGTCCGTCTCGAGCCCGTACTCGGAGCTGACAATACCGACCTGGCGTTGCGCGCCTATTCCTCAGGGAAAGCATTCAGCTTGACGGGTCGATTGTTGGACAATATTCAATGGACCACCGACTGGGATGGACGATGGTTGGAGCTGGAAACATACTGGTGGAAATATACTGACGCAACGATAGAGGCGCGAAAACATGATTGGATCATAAAAGTGGACGTGTAGATGGAACATAAACGCTTGGAACGATGTGCTGGCTTGGCGTATCGAATCGAAGATTCATCTCGTGTCCGTGACAAGGTTGCTATGACGCGCGCTATGACTCTGAGCAATTCCTATTTTTCTCAGGCATACCCGAACATGAAGGTGTGTTAAAAGAACGCCCTACAGGTCGAGTCCTCGGACTTTGTTTCCGACGAGATATGCTGGTGCGAATTTCTCGGGTTTGAAAACTGTCTCGCCGTCACTGTTCGATCACGACGCACGAACGTTAGCCAGAGCGGCCTCGAACTTGTTCTCGAAGTTCATTGCAGTAGCCTAGAGCATGCTTCAGCGCTTGTAACATGAAGATGACAAAAGGGTGACATTATCGTATGTCAATGGAAGCAAGCGAGTGACATACACAGAACATCTTATCAGAGCGCATCTAGAGGATCCAGAGCAAACTGCGTTCGACATATCACCTTGACCACATATGTAGTGTGGTCGCAACATCCTGCCCTGGTCAACAGGAATGCGTGACCGTCGCCCTGCTGAGTGCGCGCTAGTAAACAATCTCCACGACCATGTCTTCGACGCTCCTACAATCAGATCGGAGAATATTTGGAGCAAACTATATTGCCGAAGCATATCCGTAGAGAGGCGAATGGCGACAAACGGTGGCTATATGCGTTCGCAGAAGCAACGACGATGATCCTCGGCCCCAAAGGTCAATAATTCGAAGCGTTCGAACGATGATTCAAAAGGAAACCAGCGTGACCAGGCTCTCCACATCGACCACTTCGAGGTATGCTTATAAGGCCGATAGCCCCATAACCCCACCGTCGAATCTACGAGTCTTGATGGCGTCGTGGAGGCAGAAGAGCGCAGCTGAACAGCTGATTCGGATCTTGTCACTGATCAGTATAGAACAGTATGCGTCGTCCGTTCTGTAAGACGGGGATGGGAAGTGGTCGCGTGAGCGGTCGCTGGGGGCCCTCCATTGGCTGGTGTCACGCGAGATGGGTCACGGTGTGCGATCGACGGTCGCGTCGCATCGCGTCCTAGCTACAGGGGTACTCCTCGAAAGAACATCTAGGTCGTTGTCGTCGGCAGTGTAGGCATCCTCTAGGTCCCGATCGTCGAGTGCGTCAGATGTCAGGCAACAAAAGTTCCGTAAGAGGAGGACTTCGAGTTTCCTGAATGTTATCCGCTTGTCACTGTGTCACGATATAAGCTTTCAGCGTCACAACCAAGTGCTTGGCATGGAGTTAAGATCAGTTTGAGTCCTTTTATGGTACGAAGGCGATGACGCAGTAAGCCAAGCTCAGGGGAGTTCACAGCATGAATAATGGCTTGAGCAAGGGAAGTCGCGATCGCTGCAGCAATGGAGGGGTAGGATCCGAAGGCAATGGAACGTTGGTGGCAAAAAGGAGGTGAGATCGCATGCAACCTCCAGACGCCCGCGACCGCGAGTCTTCATATGGTAGAGAAGGACGGGAGGAACTGCAGGGTGTGTGCAGCGTGCAAGCAGAGCAACGACGTTCTGGCACGGCTTATCGTCGCGATAGATAATCTCATCTCCTGCTATCTCACCCCCGCACCGGAGATCCCGGTAATCTATGCAGCCTCCATGGAATCCCGCACTCGAGATAGCAGACCGGCGACAAGCGATTTCCGCGCATTACATCATAGCCACGCGCTATATGTACCTCCAGGAAGGAAATCGTTTCCCTTGCGTCTCCGCGTCGTCCTTGAGAGAGAGAGGAAAAATCCCACTTCCGGAAGGCCGGCCCTTACACGTTCATATCCCATTAGCGCCGTGCCTCGGTAGTTTATTAGACCAGCGACATAGCTGAGTTAGGGAGACAGGAGGAAAATACTTATTTCTTCCCGGGATGCGCAGCACCCGGCGGATGCGGGGATACCGCGTGTGCTTCGGGACGTAGTAAGCTATCCATTTCAAGGATCGGCAACGCTGGGAACGGCTCGGTAGGATCACGACAGGCAGGTGGCTGAGAGGCCGAAATGAGCAGCGAGAATGACGGCAGATGCGGAAGGAGAGCGCAGATGAAGCGCAAGGGCGGGAGGGGGTTGGGCGTAGAGCTAGCCTGGAAGAGACGAGAGCGTGCACGTGAGAAGGGCGAAGTCCGAGAACGTTTTCGAGACTTTCCGCGCACGCTCTTGGATTCGTGAACGGTGAGCCCGGGACGCGAGTGTACCGCGAGAGACAGCAGCCGGATGCAGGCGTTTACCGTTGCGCCTGAGTTGCGAGCGGACTGCCGCGGGCATAGGGCCAGGAACAGGCTGAGACTTGGGATGAGCATGCCCGATGCTGCTCACCATCATCGAGGAGTTGCACTGTAGACGGATCGATCCTGTCGTTTCCGGATCTGAGCCCAGATAGACTAGCTTTGATGTCCCGTGGGTATACTAGGGCCAATATGCACGAGCGGGCGGCTGGCCCGTCGTGTGGCTCCTGCAGGCGGCTTTTGCCTTGGATGTGCAGGTGGTTAGGTATTCTGCTGCCGGTGGCATCTGCCGGTAAATATGCCCGTTCTGCGACCGATACTGAGCATATATTGATTGGTCCGGACGGGCAGTATAAACGCTTACCCTAGCGCTTCCGACCCTGCATGCTTGGTGCGTCCGCGTCATGATGCGAATCCCTTCCCAAAGTCTAACACGTATCGCGCGTCCTGGTAGTCGAGAGGGAATCTCCAGTCGTTGGTAAGGCTGCAGCCGAAGGGCGAAATATAAGTATATCGGAGATAGCGGTCCCAAACGTCCTGCAAAAGCGGATGCTTATCTCGCCCCTCGTTCGGAGTTGCTCGAATGCATTGTGGCAGAGCGCTCTTCGACCTTCGATTCGCGAGGAAGGAGACAAGAATAGACCAAGAGATGCGCGGGGGCAAAAAAGCAAGGCTGGCGAATCAGGAAGGCAGTATCTGAGTCTGATTCTGAAGGTCGCCGCGCAGTCCGCGCCAGGACGAACGTGCATGGGCGCGGGATTTGCGCCCGCGAGGCTTGGAAGAAGGTTTGATATAAATGCCGGGCGGAACACCGGCGCTGTCACTGGCGTCGTGCGTCCTTCGTTCCCTTGCTTGGGCGTTTCCCATCAAGACCTTCGGCCGGGCGGGCGGGATCAGTGGTCATATATGTCGGCGTAACGTCGGAGTTGGTGTTTCTTTTAGGATTAGTATTGCGAGCTGAAGGTTAATGTTACCCAGAGCGTGACGTCGTTGCGCTCTTGGCGGCCCTCCACGATTCGGTTGACATCAAGAGGGGATACTTCGAGGCCAAGAGGAAGGAGAGATAAGCGTCGCAATTTGCGAGGGCGGGCACGAGCGCGAGCCGGATGCGAGAGAGATACACTAGCGTCGAAGGTAACTTTCGGTGACCTAACCCACTGCGAGAGGGAACGTTGGCCGAAAGCGAATTGATTCCGACGGTATTTCGCCGATGGGTGGAATCCCAGCCGGACTGGGATCAATGAGTTGAGATGCGGGTACGTGGAAGTCAGTGGCATCGGACCCCACGGTTCCACGGCCCAGAGTAGCAGGGGCGTCTCATACGAGCGCGGCGGGTATGAACATGAGCGGCATGGGCAGGGCAGTGGGTTTGAGAGGTCTCTGCCGCACGTATTGCCAGGATGTGTCCTACAGCGCCGGAACTTGCAGGTATAGATAAGGACAAAGGAGAAGCGGTAGAAGCAAGGCGCGACGTGCAAGGAGGTAAAGGCGCGCGACGAACGCGTTGATCTTGATGAACAGATGGTGTTCCAATTTTACCTTTTGCGCAGGAAGAAAGGGAACGCGAACGAATACGAAGCCCGAAGGAAACGATTCCGATGATTCAGACCATTCTTGGGAGGTTCCAGTGTTCGGGCGGCTGTCACGCACTGCAGCAGCAGTAAAGTGCCTCTGTCATCGCTCGCGCGCCCGTGATTATTTATTGACGATAAGATGGGAAGAAACGTCGGGAAGATGCGAGCGAGAAGGCGCGAGAGGAAGTGGCAGCAGCGAGCCCGCGTATCGCCCCTGAAATTACCTTTGATGAGCCAACACGGTGTCTTGGTGATGAAACGAGCGGCGCTATCGTCGCACGCGCGGCAATCGAAGGGGCGTCGACGTTCGTCGACAATTTTCTTTTTCATCCGCTGTCACCGTCGGACGCGAACATTCGGAAGATGCATGGGAACATCAGCGAGCAGAACAGTGACGCATCTTGTGCGAGCGCGTCCGGAAGACTGCTTCATTGTTTGCGCGTCCCACATGCCGGAAGGTGGATTTTCCTAAATCAAGAGAGCCGCAGGGGGTTACCGCGAAAACACACCCACTACTTGCATTGCATTGCATTCGGGCGCAGTCACGTACATACTGACGTGGCTCGCTGCGGCGGGCGGCTCATCGTTCGGTCTGATCCGCCACCGCTGCCAAGCAGACGCAGCGCGGAGACGCTCCTGCCAAAGACGGCAACCCTAAGCGAGCCATCGCGCACCGTTCCGGTTGCTGGCGTTCATTTGCGAGCAGATAACGCGCACACGAGGCGGGCATGCGAGGGTCTCGGACGAGGGGCGCGACGCTGCGCAGAACAATTGGAGGCGTGGCACGAACGTGCTGGACCACCTCTACGCGCTGTTGCCCGGCGACGGGGACGGGGCGAGTGACGAGGGGCGTGGGCGCGTGGGCGGAGGAATATCCTGTTTTGATCGGACGTGGCTGTAAGCAGCTGATATTAGTGTGATCATCTCGGGTGTCACAGAGCCCTCTTGCCTTTTCGGGCACCGGCGTCGTCCGGGGTCCGCTGAGCCACCCCCAGCCCGTGTCTGAGCCCTCTTTATGTTTGACTCCACCTAACTTGTCCCCGCCGTCCTCCCCTTCTTCGCTCTTGCCCCTTCCTCGCAGTAATCTTTCTCTTCTATATTCCGTTCACAATCCCGACAGCAAACAACACGACGGCAGCGACATCGAATACGACCAGCCCACCAATGGCCACCATGGTCCTGCCGCCCCCGCCCCGCACCCAGGGCATCCTCCTCAATCCCTCTCCTAAGCCCCGCCTATCCGCCCTTCCATTCCCGACAGACCTCTCCTCGTCCTTCACCTCTGCCGTCTCTGACGAGGACGCGAGCTCGACGGATGCGTCGCAGAACTACATTTACGCCCGCCGGCAGCCCGGTTCGCACTCGAGCTCCTTCTCCCAGCCACGCACCTCGTCGGTGCCCCTCAGCAGCCTCTCCCGCTCGTCCTCGCGCAAGATCCGTTTTGCGCCCCTACCCGACCCCCGCAGAGACGAAGACGAGAACGGTGATGTCGGGGGCGAGTTGCCCGCGGCATCGACGTCAACCCAGACGTCCGAAGCGCCGTCAAACTCGGCACGACAGGCCGACGGTGAATGGGAAGTCCTTCGCGGCTCTGACGGCGAATCACCGCCCGCAAACGAGCCATCGGTTTCACCCTGCGTCTCGGCCTCGGCCTCCACCTCCTACATCGACTACGCCCCACAGGCGCCCCCCTCACCCTTCGTGAAGAAGACGCGCAAGCTCTTCCGCCCCTTCCTCCAGAAACATGGCATCACCACGTCCAACTTGAACGTCAGCACGGAGGACGTCCTCACCCTCGGCGCGACCTACCTCTACCGCGCCGCCAAGTCTTCCGCGCAGGAGGACAGCGGATACGAGAGTTCGAGCGTCTCCGAGAAGGACTTTGGGGAGCCGCTTAGCCGGTCGTCGAGCATCGCGAGCACGGCGAGCTTGCGTATGCAACATCCTCAGAGAACCATGTTCGGGATCCCCTTCCGGCGTACGCAGAGCTACACACCCGAGACGAGTGGCCTCAGCCGAACAGCCAGCCGTGGAAGCACGAAGACAGTCGGAAGCAGCAGGACGGTGAAGCCGGCGCCCAAACACGGCCAGCGGATGTTGAACGGCCGTGTATACGGCCAGAAACGCAATCGTCAGAATCAGGTGCGATCACACAGGATGCGGCAACTCTGGCGATTTTCGCTGACTGTATGCGCGCCCATTAGAATTTGTTCGCGACCGCAAAAGACGAAGAGCCCGAGTTCGTGGAGTGGGGATACGGAGGCATGGGGAGCGTCAAAGCGTGAGTCCGCATATTTTCACGCATATACCCACGTGTCCTGACGAACGGGTTTGCGGCAGAGCGTCCGGTGGAAACGCAATGTGGAAACCGCTCCAATCCAGTCAGAGCACGCATGGTGCGAGCGCGGACGACGACGACCCGAGCGGCATGGCCTGGGTGAAGCGCCGTCGCGAGCAACGAGAGCGCGAGAAGGCGGAGAGGGAAGCAAAGGAGAAGGCCGAGACCGAGGCCGCCATGAAGGCAGATGCGGAGCCGCAAAACAGCCAGAATTCGGGTCAACCGAGCGAAGAGGATGTCACTCCGACGCTCGCAGAGCAGTCTACGTCCGAGCAGGCGGCCGATGTTGAAGTCCCCGTTCTCGCGGAGAAGGTTGCATCGCCAGAGCCTGAGGAGGTTGCCTCGCCAGAGCGTGTCGAGGGCGCCTCGCCGAAGTTGGTGGAAGACGAGCACGCTACCATTCTGCGGAATCTTCCCGCGCCGTACCCCCTTGTACATCGCCGCACGCTGTCTTCGCGCCTTGTGTCTGGAGAGGCGACTCCAGAGGAAGGGATGGTGTTCATCTCACCCCCGGCAGAAGTCGACCACAAGGTTGAAAACGAAGCGGAGAGCAGCGAGGACGAAGACGAGGAAGAATCTTCCGCAAGAGAGTTCGATGATGCGGAAGACGACGAGGTAGGCCCTGGTACCCCGCGAGCATGTTTGTTTGCTGATCATCTTGCAGGAGGTGGACATTGACGAGCAGAATCGCATCACCGCGCTCAGTGCTGGTATGGAGAAGATCAGTAAACACAAGAACGAAAAAGACCAGAGAGCGGGCGTTCAACCAAACTAGTGCTCTCAAGTGTCTCCTCAAGTCCTCCGCGGCCGCCCCTGTTTATTGGTCTCGATATCATTTCGCCCGCTGCCGAGTGGTGGAGTGGTGGTGTCGCACGCGCCTTTCAGTCCGACATCGATGGGCCCTACCGGCACTCGCAGCATGTTTTATACCCTATCTCTTGCCGGCTCTGGGAGTGCTCCGTCGCTCACCTTTACCGCTCTATCACCTATCCCCGCTCAGGTGTACTTTTACGAATCCCCTCTCGGCTGGCTCGACATGCGGTGTTCCATCAGCCCGACCAGCCTTTGGGGAGGGACACGGACGCGGACTGCTGAGAACGGCGTCGGCTCCGCGCCCCCCATCTTCCATTCGATCAAGGCTTGGGCTCTCTCACTTCAGTAATGCGCGTCCTCCATGTCGGCGAGGCATGGTACGCAATGTTTAATACATCATATGCACCTCCGTCGGACGCTCCTTCTCACCGGATCACCGGCGGATATTCCGTACAGTTACCTTCATCACATGCTTCGTCCTGCGCTACCTGCTCCTACCCCCGCACATCCTGCATACCGGTGCTCTACGGGCTGCCCATCCACACCGCCCGCACAGATCCCCGGTTACCTGTCAACTGGTCCCCGTTCAATAATAGATCACTCCCCCGCATCTGTCACGTCTCGCAATCTTCAAGCCCTCACTCTCCATAGCCATTATCTTAACATCAACAACGCATCGGCTCTCTCCCGCTTTGCAACCGCTGTGCATATTCGTCCATCCTCCGTCCGCATCGGCCTTTACGTTCTCAGGACCTTTTCCCGGAACTGTGGACTTGTCTGTCTCATCGGTGTCTGTATATAGTTTTCCCCCGTCGGGTTCGCGTCGTGTTTGTCGCGAGCGGTGTACATATATGTCGTGTTGTGCCTCCTTTCCATCTTTTCCCGCCTTGCCTCCTCCCCTCTTTCGATTTAACCCCGTGGCATCGGTTCGAGAACGCTATATACGCATCTCAATATCACACAGAGATTATCGTACCCACGCTGAGCGCCTTGTGTCCTATTCGTCTTGATCTTTGCTCGGTCGTCGTGAACACACGCTGCAATAGCGCATAGATAGTATAGTCGTTGTAACATAGCTTCCGTATCAATGCAGCATGATCTTTATGGTCTTAAGGGTTTCATGTCACACAGCACGCCGTTAAATGCCGAAATATACGTGCACGCTGCGAGCAGGTTCCGCAACGTAACGCAAGTCCGGGTTCGGACCGGATGATCTCTGTCATCGATATCCGGATTGTATCTCGATTTTAGATTGTATCCAGGATTGCTTCCGCACAACACGTGTTGTGGGGTAGTCCGGGGTAGGAACGAGCTACTCCGGATACTAATGTATGGGTCCGGCTGCATAACCATCCCATAAGTGTGTCTACATATCGTACATCGGCGCATCTATTGCACTGGTTTAGATGAGTATTGAAAGCACGCGACAGTGTTGCCAAGACCGGCGAGGCAGAAGGTCCGTCCGCTGAGGAAGGTCGACACCTTGGTGAACGGGAGGCGAGGGACCTCGCGCTCGTCCGGGCGACCGTGCGCGGTCTGTCTGCGGTCCGCGCTCCTTCGCGAAGGTCGCGAGGTAGGGGAGGGAGGATTGTCAGGGCCTAGCGCGGATAGAGAAGAGGCCTGCAGCCTGGACTGCGCCGGATCGTAGAACCACAGCTCCCATCGATCGAGCGTGGCGGGCGCTAACCCCGCAGTCGAAGGTTTAATGGGGGATGGAGGCTTCGACTTCGGTGAGGCGAATATGCTGTTGCTGCTTCTGCTACTGCTTCTCTCGCGAGGCCGGCGCCGCAGGCCGACTAGCTTGCCCTCCGAGACGTCCCAGCTGCCCCGCTCGAACGTGGCATGAGCGATTCGGGTCACGTTGACGTGTCCCCAGAAAGTATTCTTGGCCCCATTCCAGGTCGCGGCATTGTCTACTGGTGTGAAGAAGTTGGTTTCCTGGTCTTCGCTATCTGGAGGCACGGCAAGCATGTCCACCTGACCACGGTTCCGGTACGCATCCTTCTCCGAACCTCGTCTTGAATGAACGCCGTGGTTGGAGACGGGAAATGGGAACCCGTCCCCGACATGCCCCGATATGGAGGATCTTCGTGACCTGTCCAAGGGTGTCGGAGGGCCGGACGCGGTGAGTCCGTTCCTCGAACCGCGTTTCGCGAGGGTCTTCGTGGACGACGCTGCGACATACTGCTCTGGTCTCGCACACGAGCAGTAGCGCACCACGCCGTGGACGAATGCGCGATATACTGTGACCACGTTGCCGGCCGAAAAAGAGAGGGTGAACACGTCCGGAAGCACCTCGCCACAATGATTGCACGCCTTGCGCACCGCGGGCCATATCCGTAACTCGTTGATATCCCCGTACGCGTGATCGAGCATCGCGATGCATTCCTCGGTATAACCGTCCCACACAGATACGACGCCTTCGTGCGTGGCCGCCGCGATAACGAGCCGCTGCTCGCCTTCAACCTCGACCAACGCGCCATGCACCTGCGAGACCGGGTCGGCGAGGTTGCCCGCCTGCAGCGCTACGTCCTTCGCAAGCGCGACCCGATCTGGCGACGTGTCCGAAAGCTCAACCACGCCGTCCTCGCGCAGAAAGCTCGCGAGGAAGTGGACATCGCCTGCGATTGGCACGAGCGCGACCTTCGAGCACAATTCCGGAATGGACGGCGTAAACACCGCGGGCTTCGATGGCGCCCTGAGGTCCCAGCGCACAACGGTCCCCGCGCGGTAGGCGACCACGAGGTAGGTAGATATCGGATCCTCGCCAGCTCCACCCGAATCACGCAGGAAACGCAGTTCGGCGACGGAAGACATCGACGACCCAAGCGTGAACGGCCCCGCCACCAACACAGCCGTTTTACCCAATGCCCATACCGCGCCCACACCTCCGGCCGTGCCCACCGCTAACAGGCTGCCTTCGGGGTTGACAGCCATGGCGGTAACAGTGAGCGAGGTACCGGAGCCACCCGGGCTTCTCGAGAGCGCACCGATGACGTCCACCGCAACCGGGCCATGCTGGCTGTCCAATCGCCACACGGCGACCTCATTCTGGAGTCCCACGGAGGCAACGACAGACCCATCCTCGCTGGCAGCAATCAGCTCGACGTCAGATGGGAAAGCGCGTGGAAGGGTGGTGAGCGAGACGCATTCTTGGAGCCACGCCGCGCCTTGGGCACTCGCCGAGGCGTAGGAGGACGACTGATCTGTGCGATATTTCTGCGCTTCCAGTCGCTCGGTGTCCTTGAGCAAGTACAGGCACAGGCCGTACAGGGCGGTGGTGGTTGCCGCTATCGGCAGCACGAATATGTTCAGCAGCCACACGACGGCCCGAAGGGTTCGCATCGTGAAGCGCGAGGTATACGTTCGAGAAACGTTCGCTCCCACCGCTACCCCCGAGCGCGCGTCCGCATCCGGGCGGAACCTGACAACGATGGGCGACTCCATCCGAATGTGCACAAGCGGGTCGTGCGTCGGATTGAATACGTTCCAGGTCTGCCACGCAGGAGAGTCGCGCTCGGCGAGCGTGGTCAGGACGCGCGCGCGCCCCGCGGCACTGCCAGGGCTGGTGAGCGGGTCGAGACGCTCGGTGTCAAGGGTGGCGGAGGTGGAGTAATATAGCGCTGCGGTTACAGCAAGTAGCTTGAGACAGGAAACGTGTAAGCGCAGAACATCCTAATGAATATCGAGAAGGCCGACTCACGAGGAACAAGCTGACATTCTTGCCGGCACGACCCCGGAGGTGAGCCTGGACGAAGTGACGGAGGCGGCTCCACCGTGTTGCAGAGGTCTGAGGGGCTGCTTTGGTTGTACCCACGACCGGAACAGGATTAAAGCTATTCTGTTGAAGCAACTCCTCCAGCTGATAGACCCTGTGGTCAGCTGTTTGTCCACTTCTATTCACTGAGACTCACCTCCAGACGCTGCATATCGATCGAGACCACGGTGATGAAGAACGTGTGCACCAAGAACCAGTGCGCGACGAGCACCACGACCGCGAACGCGCAGAATTGGCGGATAGCGCCGTAAGAGAAGGCAGCGATGGTGCCGAGGATGGAGTTGTAGGTGACGACCTTGAGCGTGTTGGAGGTGCCGGCTTTCGAGAGCCCTTCGGCGATGCGTTCTTTCATCGGAAGGGTGATGGAGGTCTTTCCCACCGCGTCCACCTGTCCATTCAGTTGTAATTGCAGGGGTCGTAAAGCACAGTGGAGGGTGGATCATACCAGATTGAACATGTTCTCGGCGCCGACGAAAACAATGACAACGGGGAATATCTGCCTATGATCATAGTCAGCATCGAGATACTCGACAGGGTGTCGAACGACCGTATCGACTTATGCTGAGAAAATGGATAGCGGCGCTCACCACGGGATCATCGTAATCTTGAAGCCGGCCAAGGCTACGACGCTTAAACTCGTCAAGGTACTGACAGCGATCTCGACTAAGCCCGTGAACGCGAGTCCGATGCGGGAGTGCACGGTCGCGATGCGACGCATCGAACCGGAAAACCAGAAGAAGAAGACGATGTAGGCAATATAGATGAAGACGGTGAGGACGGACACTCCCGAGGCGCCGGTAGACCGTGGATCATACTGCCTCGTCGCATTAGCAATGAGTTGCACCGGAGCAGGTCAAAGTGACTACCTCCAAGGCCATCAACATGGGCTCTTGCTCTTCAACCACAAAATCGACGTCGGGCGTCGCAACCTCCTTCAGCACATGCAGCCACGCTGTGTGGCCCGAGCTGTCTGCGCAACTGGTTTCCTCGAAAAGGTAGGTGAGCGCTAGGAAGGACGAAAACTCTATTGCGGAGTCGGCTCCCTCCTCATCGCGCCCAGCGAGGACCATACGGGGCGTCACTGAAATACCCGCGATAGAAATGTTCCTTGTGGGGGCTAGAAGATATCTGAATCCCGGGTCACTGGCAAGGAGTGCTTCATCGTACACCCAAAATGCCCATGGACTAAAGGTGATGCAGTGTCCGGCGTTGTCCTTCAAACACGACAACTTGCGTTCTAGCAGTTTGGCAGCGAGCCTCCGTTCGAGCTTCAACGCAGACGAGAGCAGCGGCCGGCTGAGCGCTCCGCGTTCCTCCATCGCGGTGCTATGCACGAACAGGCGTTCCATCCGCAGCGTCTGGTCCCGGCCGCACCTGGCGCGTGTGACGCCGTCGTCTCGCACGCGCAGCGCGTCGTGCGCGGCCCACGGGGCGTGCAAGTCTTGCTGAGCATATCGTGCGGATGCTCCCGATGCGGCAAGAAAGGAGTCGATGAGACGGGAGGAGTAGTGGGAGATGTACTGCGGCTGGGAGGAAGAGTAGAGCGCGAGGGCAGGGTAGAAGAGCGAGGTAATGACGAGACATGAAATGAGGATGAGCCGGATTTGGTGCGTCGCGCAGTGACTGTACGAGATATGACGTTAGCTTGAGACCAACATTACAAAGAGAAGGACCAACATTCCAAGTCGGTGGAAGAACTTGTGGCCAACAGTCCTTGCCCTGTGCAGTACGCCCGTAGCCAAGCTTATCATTCGCAAACGCCTCCGCTGGATGTGTTCAACGTCCTACGCCACTTCGCGGTCGTCCCAGAGCGTTCGAGCGTCGCTGGTTGCTCCGTACAAAAAGTCGGGAGTCAACAATTTCGGGCGATAACACGGCAGGGAGGCAAGGAAGCACGGGCTTGTGGCTGTGACGGAATCTCTCGGACTTCACCGCTTCCCTTCCATCCCTCTTGCTGGCTTGAGTCTAGGGTCAGCATGATGATCTCTATGTCCACAGCATCTCGCGTCGTCAGGACGGGCCTTCAACGACGATGTACGTGTCTACGTTCCTGCTTGTATGGGAACGTGCGGTACTGACACTGTAGAAATGTCATACAGGGCTACACGCGAGCAGAGCGCGTCTCGCCGTGTCGAATCTCCAGATGCCGGCCATGTCCCCAACGATGACCGAGGGCGGCATCGCGTCGTGGAAGAAGGGAGAGGGTGAAGCCTTTGCCGCGGGCGACGTCCTGCTCGAGATCGTGCGTTGCGCGCTGGCTGAGGAATGGAATGGTCTGCGGCGGGTGCTGACCATGGGTGTCCTGTATGCTTCAGGAAACGGACAAAGCTACGATCGACGTTGAGGCCCAGGACGACGGCGTACTAGCCAAGATAATAGTGCGTACACGCCATGTACGATGGTATGCATGAACTAAGTTTGCCATCGACTAGGCACCGGACGGGACGAAGAACATCCCCGTAGGCAAGGTCATCGCCCTCCTCGCCGAAGAAGGCGACGACCTCTCCAATCTGGAAATCCCCAAAGACGAGCCCAAGTCCTCTGCCCCACCGCCTTCCCAATCCGCGCCTTCTCCCTCCTCGTCTTCCGCCCCGCCCACAACCGCCGCTAAATCTTCTTCCTCTGCCCAAACTCCGTCGGGCTCTCACCCGCACAAGTTGCCCACGCACTCCAGACCGCTCTTCCCGTCCGTCCTACGCCTGTTGCAAGAGAACGACGTGCCGGACCCGGAGAAGATTAAGGGCACCGGCGTGCGCGGCATGCTCACCAAGGGCGATGTGCTCGCCTACCTCGGCAAGGCCTCGAGCCCGAGCGGGACGTATAAGGAGGAGAGCAAGTCCGATAGCAAGCCAGGAAGCAAATCCGAGAAACCTGTGAGTTTACTCGCGTCTTTGCATTCATGCGGGCGCGGGTTGACTCTGATATTCCCGCTGCAGAAGGAGAAACCAACCCTAGATGGCGCTGCGATCCGGAAACTGATCGTGTCAAGTTTCTTAGATGCGTCCAAGCCCAAGCCGGCACCAACAGGTAACCTGCCTTCCTATCCGCTCTTGCCTCCATGTGTATCGTTGACACCCTCGTGAGCAGGTGCGGCAGACTTCGACTCGATAATCGCGGACTACCTTCCGGAGTCCAAGACTACGGCGGCAAAGAAGACGGACGTACCGCCCGCCGCACCCAAAACGGCTTCGGCGGATTTCCTAGACGGGCTTGTCTGAATGTGAACCCCACATACGCGTATTCTCGCATAATCATATAGATTACTCGTGCTGTCTGCTGCACGACCGCGAATATCGTTTCGTGTACGATGTCCGAGCGTTCACGTTACTAAGTAGGCCACCCGTGAGTAAATTAATGCAACACAACCATTCAAAACCCTACATCCTTGGATCTCCTTCCATTACATACCCATTCTGACCGACACCGCCTAACATGCACCTTCCTCATATTTCGTTCTTTGCTCCCAATTTCTCGTCGAGCTCTCAGTTCTGGCTTGAAAGTTATCCCGGACGTCGTAATGACATCGACAAGTTGGAGCTCGACATTATTCCATAAGGCCCGACGTGCAGGATAAAGCTGAACTGTATCCATTGATACTAGCAAGGAGAAAGGTTTCTATGGCTGCGAAAATCGAAGCGGCGAAGGCGATAGCCGTATTCTGCGGATCCTCCTTTGGTTCACAGAAAGCATATCAGCTCGCCGCTGTCTGTTCGTACACGCTATTTCTCCACACATCTTCAACTCCTGTACTCAGAGTCTTGCGCTTTGACAGCTCTCGGAAAGGCTCTCGCTGGGTCGCACAGGCCTCTGGTCTTCGGCGCCACCAACAATGGCATCATGGGTATCCTCAGTAGCACGGTTCGCGAGGCAGGCGGTAATATCGTCGGGATCACGCCATACGCGATGGTCGCAGCTGGTGGAGAAGAGCAGAAAGCGAAGGGGGCGTCGCTGGTCGATATAGACCTAGCAGTGGAGAAGAATGTCCAGGAGGAGCTTGTAGGCGTGATACCCGCGTTTTTTTTTTCGAATGTATGCACTGACCTGACTTCCAGATCCTCGTAGAGTCAATGCATGACCGGAAACGTGAGATGGCACAGCGATCGTGCGGGTTCGTCGCCCTCCCTGGCGGATTCGGGACCATGGAAGAGGTAACATATTACCGCTCTCCTTGAGCAATCGCTCATATGTTATCTGGGCGCTGATACGGTCTATGGCTCCTGCAGGTACTAGAGGTGACAACGTGGACCCAAATCGGGATCCACCAGAAACCCGTCGTCGTTTTGAACGTCCTCGGCTTCTACAATCACCTCCGCCAGTTGGTGCGGCACGCCGTCCGGACCGGTTTCATCTCGCCCGACAACGAGCGTCTGATCACGTTCGTCAATGGACCGGGTACTACGGATCCGGACACAGAACCTTCCGAGTCCGAGATCAAGGCGCACGAATCGTTCGATTGGGGTTCGGCGGCACTGGAGGCGATCGACAGGTGGAGCGCGGAGGGCATACTTACTCAGACATACGACTGGTCGTTGAAGGTGCCGCCCGAGGACGACCGGAAGGAATCGGTAGCTGCCACATGAGCATTCGCAAGATTAATATTCGACGCCATAACAGTGTCTTGCATGATACTATAGCAGAATATATGCGGCAGACACCGCTAAGAAATGGATCCGTCACCTGAGCCCGGCGCTGAAACGTTGCCTCACTGTACACCGGCGAGCAAGCGCAAATAATCGTCCTTCACGCTCTGGAACGTCTCCTCCAACTTCTCCAGGCGCTCCTCTCTCTCGAGCTGCATCAGTATTTCCTGTGAATATGAGCGTCAACCGACCTGCTCGCACATTTTATAGACTGATGCGAGAATTTACGCACGTAATTGAACCGGTACAATCGTTCCTTGACCTGAAGGCGATACGCCCGAACGGCGCTGGCATCGGCGCCAGTTGCTTCCAGATGAAGCAGCTGCAACATCTCCACCAGCCGATGGAACTGTCGCTGTAAGGCGGTTCGCATCAGTTCTGACTTCGAACAGGCACAAGCTAAGAAAAAACCGACGCCTGCGATCTTCAGCTCCAAACGCCACTTTTCGAGCCATGCCTTGTCGGCGGGTGGGCCCATCTTTCCCTGGAATGCGCCCGCGACGCGTTTCCGTTTTCCGAGGCTGGCGCTCGTGCCGGCGGTCAGCGCATCTGCGCCGAAGCCTTCCTCCATGAATCTGAGAGGTCGCCGGTCAATAGCCGGGAGCAACCCAGTTGATAGGGCCAGACCTACTTTTGGTGAGCGAGCAGCATTCTAAGGTCGCTGCGGTCCCGAAGGTCCTCAAAGGCTTCTGCCGGATCTTCGACGGTGAGCTCGGCGAAATGCGGCGAGCGAAGGACGTATTCGTATATTGATTTGTACAGCTCCGCTGAGATTCAAGGCAATGAGAAAGACGCGAAGGAAGGAAGGATGAGGTGGCTTACATCCGTGTCCGTGTCGCTGGTACGGCGGCAAAATCACGAACTGACTGCGTAAACGTCAGTCAGGGACCAATCGTATAGATCTGGTCAGCACTCGCCTCAGGCGTAGCCGTAACCGATCCGGATAGTAGTAGAACTGGTAGAGAGACGAGTATCCTGCAAAATGATAGGTGAAACTACCAGGTTGTGATCGGCTTTTCCGCTTCTCATATCTGTCGAGGCAAAAATAAGTACTCTCGTAGTGACGGGGATGAGATACTTACAATACGACGAATTCCCACCCGTCTTCCTCTTCGTTGATATAGCTTCCCGCCTCAATGTACAATAAGATGAACAACTGCATGCGTCGGTGATACTCCTTAAAGCCTGGGACGTCGAAGGTCGCCTACTCACGACCCTAGGATATCAGCCACTAACCTAACAGCGTCAAGCCTTTCGTGACTTACATGATACACCTCATACTCGACATCATCCTCCAGTGCCCTGCCCTTCCCCTTCCCGGTCGTCGTGTACGAGTATATTTTCTGTCCGAAAGGTCGGAAGGATGACGCATCGTCTTTCACGCGTTGAAGGAACGCCGCTTCGTCTGCTGCCTTATAGTGGTCGTCGGGAAGGAACTTGGCCAGGATACCCTCCACGTCGTCAACAGTGGACGAGGAAGACTTCAGCTTGGCAGAGTAGGCGGATGAGACTCGTGTAGCTAGGGATCCCGAAGCCATTTGCACCTAAGATGATAAACGAATCACGAGTTAGGATGCGTCATTCTATCGAAGCATGCCACTGACATTGATGGCGAGGTCCTTGTAGCCATATACTGTCTCATCCTCGCCGTATATCTATTCCAGTATAAGCGTGCGGTCGTTGGATAGGGCGGTGGCATGTACCGGATACGTGAAAGTGGGATGGAAGGACTCCCGCTGATCGTTTGCTTCCTCCGGCGCTCGTACTAGACGCGAAATTGTGTGCGTGCAAACGCGACATGCAGCCAGAATACGCGTGTTTCGTCATGAAGGTAGGCATTGGAGCGCGTCATTGTACGCGGAACGCGCTGGTAAGCGCGAAGTGGAACTGTCGGATGCAGGTTGACTTACGGAGCGAGATGGTGAGGGCCTCGTTCGAGTTGCATGTCCATTCAGTCATAACGGAGGACTGGCGGTGAGCGCGAAAATATGTAGTCGGTCGTCTGAGCGCTGTCTCGTGAGGTGAAAGCTGAAGGACAATCAACCGTCCAAGCTGAGTATGGCGACGGGCGTGTATGTGCAGGCTGGAACCGAAGTCGCGTGCAACAGATCTTTCAGTCGGCCACAACGACCGCCTTTCGTCATGACCTTAATGTGACCGTGCATGGCCCGTAGTATTCTTTCTGAGCATTGACGAGCAATGAATTCTCCTGCACGGCATATTGACAGCTTTGGCTACCCAAAAATACTGTCATCAACAACTTGCTTCAGTATACCCCGTGGAGTATCACGATGCGGATCAGTACGTTTGTCAACTAGTACTACGATGCGATACATGAATCTCCGCTTCAAGCTTGATCCGTGCACGAGCGTTCGACGCTCATCGGAGCTGAGTAGGTAGCGAGCGTCAGCCACTTACCACAAACCGACAACGGAGAAACAACTCTCATGTCGACTGGGCCTGCCGAGAACGGCCACCTGTGTCCCATTCCAAGATTTCCAATAGGAGAAAGGCTGCCCATTGTGTCACTGGCAAACACTGCGAGACATCCTCGATTTCTCCATCTGCGGAAATTCCTGGCACGTTTGTCCTGGCCTTGTTGAAACCTATGTCTATCCTGATCGTCGCCGTTTTGTCCAGATGTTTCCATGACTCGACTACGAGCCGACCTCGGCATACTTGACCCATAAATGCTAAACTACCTTCGACCCCGATCAACACGCTACCACGCCAATATCCGATAAGGATATGAAGATTCGGCGCTTCCAATGGCCCGCCGCGCGCTACACCATCCAATCATCTGCACCGACGATCAACCTCTGAACCCCACGTTGTGTAGGAAACGACATACCGACTTGGGACGGCCTCGATCATCCGCCGGAGAAGGGGCGCATCTATGATGTCGTTGCATCCGTATGCCATTTTTTTCTGGCCGGAAGTGGTATGGCTAGCGCCTGTCTGAAAGCATCCATGCGTCGGGGTATGCATATAAGACAAACTGTTTAGATGCCTGTGTCCCTCCCCCCCCCCCCGGTGATCCCAGGAGATATAGAGCAGTATGGTTCGTTCGCAGCGTTCTATCATGACCGTCATTCAGCCATGGGTTTGTGCTTGCTTGTTTGAAACCCTGCTTCGCTGGTTAACTCTGGTTTGGGAACCCTTCCAGCTCGAGTTATCCCGCCTCCAGATGTATGCAGGGTCTATGGTGGCTTTCTGGCCATTCGGTGAGTATTCGGCACCCCTCGAACAATCATCTCTAACACCTATCCTAGCATGGTCTCTCGCAATGACTGCTCGTACATCTGGACTATCTTCATTTGCACTGGCCGCCTACCTGCTGTGCGGTTTGATAACCGCATTCCTCTCACACAGGTACCACTCATAAGTTAACTTGTATGTTCCGTTACTCACCTAGGTTTAGTTCGTACACCAACTATTTGCTCACGGCTTCCCTAATCCGGTATAAACCTGACTAGGTACCGGATGCATCTGGAACGACATCGTCGATCGCGACTTTGACCGTCAAGTAGGCAAGTCGGCAATACAGTGCCGTCATTCCGATGGATATTGTCTCATACTGCGTGACAGAGCGTACCCGGCACCGTCCGATCGCCGACGGAAGAATCTCCGTAACCGGAGCTCTGATATTCCTCGCTGTGCACATATTCATCCTACTAGGGCTGGTATACCACATGAATTCTCTTGCGTGAGCTGCCCTGAAAGAACACTACGCTCCTTGCTTTCCGGCTCAACCTTCCATTCCTTGCAGCCGAACAGTCGGTCTGATGTCGCTGTTGTTTCCACCGGTCGTATATCCGTTTATGAAGCGGATAACGTACATCCCTCAGGCCTGGCTCGGTAGGTCATCCGCGCAGCTTGAATACAATATCGCGCTCAAATCTCGAGACCCCTTCTAGGAATCGCCATCAACTGCGGGGTTCCGATAGCTTGCGCGCAGATTGCAAACTCCGTCACCCCCTCGTGCCTGATATTGTACGCAGGGACTTGGTCGTAAGTCCTAAGTCTTCCTTCCGATCGTCGGAAGCTGAATCCCAACGATTAGGTGGACAATGTGGTACGGTACGCATCTTGGTATCAGCATCAACAGAGAGTCTTCATAGCTTAAGCTCGTTGGATCAAGATACCATCTACGCCTGCCAGGACAAGCGCGACGACGTGAAGGCCGGCGTGAAGTCAACTGCGCTCCTGTTCGGAGAGCACACCAAACCGGTCCTTGCTGTCTTTGGCTCGATACTCATCAGCGCCTTGCTTGGATGTGGGATCCTCAACGCCAGTGGCTTCGCTTACTACACCGTCTCCGTCGTCTTGGCGGCAAGTCTGCTCGCGAAAGAACTGTATCAAGTCGACCTTGACGACCCAAAGAGCTGCTGGGGCACTGTGTGTCTGGCGGTTCCCTCTTTTCATCAGCTTCGGCTAACGTTTATTTTAGTTCCACAGAAATGGCCTCACGTTCGGAGCGGTGGTGTTCAATGGAATACTACTTGACTATGTGCTATCGCCTTGATGTCTACAGAACATGGAAAGCGTCCAAGCTCCCAACGATCTCTCACCTCGAATATCGTGATTCCATTCTCGCGCTCAGACTGCCCCTCAGACAAAACTCCAACAGTGAAACAAGCCTGTTTTTAAATCTCGAAAACTACTAATTATTTCGGTCTCAGCTAAGAGTTTCCATGACATAAGCGTGTAGCGATATCGTAATAACCACCCTGCTCCTTGTGCCAAACCTGCGAAGATAACGCGTATTCATAGATACTTGGTGGTGGTGGTGTAACCGCTTGCGTCAAGGTTCAGGATGAAAGCAGCAACGCATGTTGACGCGGCATAAAATAAACGTTGTATTGGTCGCGTAATTCCTGGCCACTAGTCTCGACACCAGACCATGTGCAAAAGGTTCGAGGTTTGGGTGGTAGCTCGCATGACACTTTTTTTTGGCGTTGACGTGAAGCGACGTGCGGGTTTCCCAGCTACCAAACGTCTCGAGACTACCTGGCCACTAGGTTATGGTCTGTAGAGAACATAATATTTCAGATCTTGCACCGATCTACCCACGGAAATACACGTGTACGGTTGCCCATCAGGGTACCGGTCAGGTCAACGTCGCAGTGCCATACCTACTTTTGTGTATGAACCACGTACCTGTCCTTCGCCTTACGGCAGCTGGCGCATTTCCTATCCTTCGTCTCCCAACGAGTCACCTTGTACTGCCGGTATCACTGTCCAGTCCGCGCGGGCTAGGATTGCTCGGAGGGCTTTTTTCTATCACAATCATCGCACAGAAATATATCAGAGCCAATCTGCGACCCTTTCCGGGGTCAGGTGGTCTATCAAGGTGCCGTTGCGGCGCGAGTCTAAGGCGATCATACAGAATCCCGTCAAGACTTGAAGCAGATCCGGGTTATTCCAAGCAATCAACTCTGGAAACGTCCGCTCCTGCTTGACGTGGACCGATACGGTCTGCCCCTTCGTGATAAACCTGAATATCATCGCGGACACTGAAGTGTCACCCAACATGGGTAAACGATATATGGTACGCCCTCGCTGTCCATTGGAGGATCATGCCGGATGTAATCTGTACAGGAACTCAACGCTGCGGCGCAGCTGAGCATAACTGGTCTATTTAAGGATAGTCGGATTTCAGCGCACCTCTCGAGAGTGACCGTCCCTCTTGATTACTATACCGTCTCGGACGGCAAATACCCCGAACCCCAAGGCGCACCACGTCGTCCAACCTCGCGGCTTCCTCCTTCCGAACGGTTGAGGATCGAATCATCTCTCGGTAAACAACTGTCTCACGGAAGATGCGGCGCTGTTTACCAGCTGAAGATAACACGAGTTTGTTCTTCGGACGGAAGGGAGCTTTGCGAGGTCCTCTGTCCACCTTTGGTCGCAAAGGTCGCCGGTTTCCGCTACTCAAGCGATCTAACTCACGAGACCTGGTTCTACGATGAAATGGAGACGCTACAGGGCTCCGTGATTCCTCGCTGCTTTGGTCTGTTTGAGACTACCCTCAGAGATGGCACTACGATTCGTCCCTGGATTTCGCATGAACTCCACAAAGGTGAGTTGGATCCCGACGTCTACGAGATCTCTGAACTTACGAACAAGTTAGCTGGAGCAGCCCGCCGCAAGGCTCCCAATGCTTTCGAAGAACGGCCCGTTCCCTCTCCGTTGCGCCTCTCTATACTGCTCTTGGAAGAACTTGGCGGCGAACATCCTCCAATGCGGAAGGCATTGACTCCGGAAATTGAGTATGTTCATCTCGTTTATGCTTGCCGAATTCTGTCTCACACAAACAAGGGACCAGATCCTACACCTCGTTGAAGAATTTGGTCCATTTCGTATCGTGCATTCTGACATCAGACACAAGAATATTCTCAACGCCCCACGGATGCCTGGTGCTTTGCCGTCCCTCCCGTCGCCATATACCGGGCGCACGTACGATTGGCGCATATTCGATTTCGATTGCTCCGGGAAATGCAATAGCGCCCGTGACGTCGGGGACTGGCTTAATAGACAACAGGCTAACATGATCCTGGGAGGATTGAAGCAAGGCGAGCCATGGCCTGATGGCTGCATATGAGTGTATCATTGTGCAATTTCAAATGATGCGAAGAATTGGACAACTTCATGCATAGATAGCGCACCGAGATCCTGATAGTATTGAATGACCACAATGTGGCACGGAGACTCCGGCGTCATACTCACGGGAGTTCGTTCACATGGAATGATGGTGCATACGCGACATGAGATGCTTACGGTGATACCGCGCATGGGACCTGCCCCGTTGGTTGGGCACGTTATACTCGCGCATCACTGGTAATAACTTCACGTAAATCGTTTACGCTAATTTGAACGAACAGGGCTGCGTCAACCTTTACCGCAGCGTGACCAGCTCTGCGAAACTAATTCAGTACAGAAACTCCTACTCGCAAACCATAACTTCGCACCTTCCGCAGACGTCGGATGTATCGCAACACACGAGTCAAAGTCATCCTTCGTAGCTGGAAGAAGATGCGTCATAAGGACCGCGTCGCAGCTTCAAGCAATGTGAGCTGAAAGAAAACTTACCGCCCATTTTGACGGCGACACCGAAGCCCTGAAGCACCTCATCACTGCCGAGACCGATGATGTGCACGCCGACGACTTTTTCTTCCTCGCCCACAACGATGAGCTTGTACATTGATGGCTCTTTGTGATCCTCGTCGATCATGGAGAAGTACAGCGCACGGAAGTTCGATTTGTCTGGTGGGAGATGGTCAATCGTAGAAGACGCATGTATGCTATCATGAACGGACAGATCTTGACGGCGTCACCGTATTTCTCCCGGGCTTGAGGTTCTGTCAAGCCAACAGTGCCAATGGTCGGGTGGCTAGGCACATTCAGCGACAACTCAGACCGGAATTGGAACAGAGATTGACTGACGAGAAGACAACAGTCGGAATATCATCATAGCTGAGTTTGTCGTTCTTGAACTTGGGCGGGCCGAACAGCCTGTTGGCCAACCGCCGTCCCGCAGCGATAGCCACCGGGGTCAAGAGCGCCTTGCCTCCAACATCTCCAATCGCGGTGATGCTCGGAACGGACGTTTGCTGGTACTCGTCGACGGGGATATCGCCCTTCTCAGTGACCTGAATGCCGACCTTCTCCAGGCCCAAATCGGCCGTCTTCGAGTGCCTTCCGATCGCCCAAATGAGCGTGTCGACCTCGAACGGCTCGCCTGAGTCGGTATGCACCGTGAGCGGGCCGCCCTTCGTGCCCTCAACCTTCGTGACGTTCGTCTTCTTGTGGATGTTCACGCCCGTCTTCTCCATCCAGTTCGTGAGGATATCCTGCAAGCTCGGATCGAATGTGCGCAGGACCTTCTCGTGGCGGATGAGGAGGTGCGTCTCCGAACCGAGCGTGTGCAGCACGCCTGCGAGTTCAACGGCGATGTAGCCCGCGCCGACGACGGCGACGCGCCGCGGCTGGTCGGCGAGGTCGAAGAACCCGTCCGAGTCGATACCGAGCTCCGCGCCGGGCACGTCAGGGAACGTCGGCGTACCACCAACGGCGATACAGATCTGCTCGCCGTGCAGCTCGTACTTGCTCCCGTCCGGGCGCGTGACCTCGACCGCGTTCGGGGACGCGAGGCGCGCGTAGCCGTGGTGGTACTCGACGCCGTCCTTCTGCAGGTTGCTATCGTAAATCCCGTTCAGCCGGCGGATGTACGCGTCGCGCTGGGGCTTGAACGCGTGCCAGTCGAACTTGGGCTCGCCGATGCCGTCGCCGATGAACTTGTAGTTCTTCGCGTGCCGGATCTTCTCAGCAATGTCGGCGGCGTGCCACATGACCTGCGGAGACGGCGTAAGCGGGGCAGGTCTTGGGACGGGGACGGAGGACGTACCTTTTTTGGGACGCAACCGACGTTGACGCAGGTGCCACCGAGCTTGCCCTGCGCCTCTATGATGGCAACCTTCTTGCCGTAAGAAGCCGCGCGGCGCTGTAGGTGCAAAGGTCAGTGCATACAGAAATAATACCGTGAAAATCGGACACACGGAGGTGGCCATTCCACCGCTGCCTCCGCCGATCACAATGTAGTCATACTTGTCGGCCGAGGGCTTGTCCACCGGAGGCATTGCGAGGCTACTGCTGGCTGTGAAGCTTCGAGTGATCTGGGGTCTTGGTCAACTCGATCTCATGAAATGCCTCCGCGAGGGAGACGGAATGGGCAATACGCACCTGAGAGAGTCGGGAGGCGGCGGAGACGGCGGGATGGGTGCGACTATGGTACAGTGCGTTGCGCGCAAGGTTGAGGAGAGCCAGGTTGGATGACGCCGCGGTGAGAGCGGGCCTCCTTATATCTCTACGAACGGGCAAGTCGTGTCTGCCAAAGTCAATCGCTTGTTCAGATGGCGCATTCGGGGATAAGGTCAGCAGCTGACAACGCCAGCCGTAATCGCGATATCTCGACCAATGACCGCACGTGGCCGTGGGCGCTCCTGTTCGTTGGCGGACACGAGTATGCGACGGGGCTAAATTCACGAAATCGTTTGCATCGATAGAGCCACAGAACAGGTATATAGTACTCTCTGTATTTACGATCATGAAGCAGAAAAGCGGTAAGTACTTAGATTGCTCAACTATCCTATGAGATATTCCGCCATGCTTTCGTTGAGAATTTCACAGTCCCTAAGGTCGAACTTGCGGGAGTCGTTGAAGTCCAGAATACGCCAGTTATACGTCCTGCCTGTATACGGCGATGGGAGGCAGGGGTAAGCGTTCGGTGATCGCGGGAACCGAAGAATATTTCTACGGGCAACATCGTTGTGCACCACTTCGAATCGATTTAACTCTTCCAGTATATCATAGATTTCCCATCTGTAGTAATGTCAGTCGAAGAAGATTGCACGTGCGTAACCTGCCGCACCGGATTTCGTCGGTCAGATCCATACCTACAGGCAGCCGTTCTTGATCGAGTTCTTCCATGAGGAGCAGGGAGACGCGCAGAGGAGACGGGACACGAGGGTCGTGACGACTGCGTTTTATCTTCACGTCGCTGGAAAAATCATCGAGACAGTCGAAATTTTCAGGTTCCTCGCCGTCGTCCGGCCCATTCATATCCACTGCGTATGGGATATCGTATTCATGCCTGCCTCTATCAAGGCCATGGACTCTCCACGGGATGATCGCGGTGTTCTGCGGAAGAGTGGCCTCAAAGAACCCAAAACAACGCGGAATAACAGAGCCTTGTAGCGTTTCCAACTCGTCGTAGAACCAAGCTTCCCGGGCGATGTGCGGGGTGTACCTGAGACCGGCAACCTTAACGACCAGAGGAGGCAAGGAGTAACCTGGCACCTCCGTGCCGTCCGCTGACAGAATCCGCAGTACTTCGACTCTGTGAACAATACCGCAACGTCCATCCGCGAGTGCTTCGCCCAGAGACAACTCCATCGTCAGATGCTGTGGAGTTGGTCATGCAGAGGGGGGACGCGGCAGGGCGCGTGTCCGATCAAAAGGCTTTATCACCTCTTCTGGAATGATTCCGGGGTAGTCGGGTGGTAAGACCGTCCTTGCAAGGCTGGTAACTTGTTGTCCGTCTTCGAAAAGACCATTAAGGCGAAGATGAGACACGGCATTCAGCGCCTGAAGTCTGTGTTATTAGCATGGTCATGGTAATTGCCAAATGGACGCACTAAATGCCGCATTGTCTGAGATCTTATTGCTGAGCGAACGCGACGGAAGATGGAGGAAGTGCTGGTCGTATTTGGGGAATATTCTCTTCGTGCAGGTCCCCCTGTAAAGTGTGTCCATCGCAACGGTCCACAAACAATGCCAAGGCCCTGTTGTCAAACCACCGTTCGGAACGGACCGGTACGCGCCGGTTCAATGCTTCGACGATTGTGAGCTTGATCCCACGTGTCCGTGGGCATCCGACAGCATTCGATCTAGTTCTTGCAAGGCTGCAAGGGGTCGATGCTGCTTCATATCACATGTAGGCCGCACGCCCTCCCCCTTCTGACGACCACATACTCACACGACCAGACGGCTGGCCATGTGTTGCATGTTGCGCAGTGAACCTCGTCTTTGCTACCTACGCCTGCCTCGACACCCCTTGATTGCATCATCGACAACACCTTCAACTACTCCGCTACTACAAGGCTCGTCATGTCGAAAATATACCGCAAACTCAAACGTAAACTTGGCAAGCTGGGGAGTCAGGCCTCGCCGAATACGGGGAATCAGGGAATGGAGTCCGTTAACCCAGTTGCAGCAATCCAAGCTTCTTCCGTAGAGGTGCCAATCACCGCGCACGTTACTTACTTCTCTTCTTAACTCACTTCGCAATCGGCAGGGTACAGCAAGTACCCGTGAGGGATTAAACGCAGAATATAACGTGTCTCTTACTTCCGAAAGGGTCAACACCCCCCCGCAGGAGGTCGTCACTGACGCAACACAAGCCCGTGAGCCCACCGAAGGCATAAGGCACCACCAAGCTGCATCTCACAACGCGATTGGCGAGGCCGCGGTTGCGCTGGACAGCACCCACCCAGTCAGGGACCCAACAGAGGTGACAATGGAGATCGCTGACAGCGGGCGCAGTGCTGGGGAACACGACGCTGGATTAGACATCTGGTCTCCACTCCTGGATCGTCTGGGCGCGTTTGTAGAGCTCGTAGATAAAATCACACTGGTACGACGGATGAACTTGAAGCAGACTTTTCGAATCTAACGTAGTGCAGATACATCCGTATGCCAGAATGGCTTGGAGCATCTTATCCATAGTGCCGCGGGTATGTGGAGGGAGGGATGCTCCATCGGATTTGCTGACAACATGCGCCTTCACAGCTCGTCGTCGCACAGACCGCTCGCGATCGGTCAATGCGACAGCTTCTGCAGACGATGTACGAGACGTACGACTTTGTAGAAAACGCCTCTTTGCTGCGTTTCGACGGACGCGGAACCAATTATCTAACAGCGCTAACGCTGCAGACCCTCGAGTGCGCGTACTTCATCAAGGAGTACGCGAAGGATAGGAGCTTTGGTGAGTATCACACAATTTATTGCGATGCACGAGTTGACCGCCTATCGCCAGGCCTCCGTCTCATTCACAACGCCACCAAAAACATGTTTGATCCAGCCAAGACTGCAGACGCTCGGGCGGCTGAGTATATGGACAAGCTGAAGCAGCTTAAGGCCCGCTTCATGGAAGGCGCGGCCCTTAGGCGCGAGGTCAAACTAGACGAGATCACGATCGTCGTCAATCGGGTATTGAATACGCTGAAGACGACTGGTATACCTCCTCTTCACGTTCCTTGCAACTCCTTCGCTGACCTGAGTTTTAGAGACGGGCATACTCATGCAAGAGCTCAACAGTGCTTCTGCAGGAGGGGCGCGCTACGACAGTAGGAAGGTTTGCCTGCCCGGGACACGGAAGTGGATTTTGGATGATATATCCAACTGGATCAATGGGGTTCCTCAGCAGGACGAAGTACACCACAGGACCGATGAGAAGGAGGCGAACCACCGCATCTATTACCTTTCAGGAGAAGCGGGGACAGGCAAATCCACCATAGCGCGTTCCATCGCTGCTCTGTATGACGCGATGGACCGTCTCGGGTCCTCGTTCTGTTTCGATCGTGCAGATGATCAGCTCACCCGTGTCGGCTGCGTCATCCCGACCATCGCTCGCAATATCGCCGTCCGTGAGCCTGAGATGAAGAAGGCACTTGCACATGCGTTGGGTAATGCGCCCGATCTCCCGCGGTCGAAGAGCATTGGCGATCAGTTTGATAAACTGCTAGTCCAGCCCGCAAAGCAACTCAACCTCTCGGGGCCGATGGTTGTCGTCATCGATGCTCTAGACGAGAGCGATCCTGAAACCCGCTACGCTCTTCTCGAGGTCCTTACGGAGCAGATCACAGAGCTTCCCATCAATGTTCGATTCCTCATCACGTCCCGCCCCGAGAAGGACATCCATGACGCGCTCAGAAAGAGTCCTTTTGTGTTCTGTCGCAGGATGAACGAAATCCCACCCATCAGTACTGGCGACGATATCCGCGAATACATGCACGAGAAGCTCGCCCCGCTGCAAAACCAACTCTCCCGCTTTGTCGACTTTGAGGAGACTTGTTCTCGCCTCACGGCAGCTGCCTGCCAGCTTTTCCAATGGGCGGCTACAGCGTGCCAAGTGCTCACCAGCACGCGAAAGCCGTATGCCGGGAAGCCTCTAAAGCAGCGCCTCGATCTCTTGCTTTCCTCCACCGCGAATTCCGGGGAAGGGATCCTGGACAAGTTGTATCAAACTATCTTGTCTGACACATTCGATGAAAATGACGCAGACACCCTGTCACGATACCGACGCGTAATGAATCACCTTTTCGCAGCAGTGGAGCCCGTATCTGTCGCGACCCTCGACGAGTTGATATTTGCATCCGGCACCGAGGATTGGGAAGACGGTGATGCTGAAGCGGTGCTTCCATACATGAGTGCGTTGCTGAGTGGAGCCGATGGATCGGATACAGCCGTAAGGCCCCTGCACATCTCGTTCCATGATTTCCTCCTCCACGAGTCAAGGAGTAGGTCATTCGCCATCAGCCCCGGAGAAAGGGAACACGCGGCTTGGGCTCAAGGGATCGTCAAAGTGCTCGAACGGGGGCTTCGGTTCAATATATGCGGCCTCGAGACATCCTACAAGCGCAATACGGATTATCCGGATCTGGATGATAGGATCGCGAAGAACATAACGCCGAGTCTGAAATACTCGGCAATCCATTGGGGAGACCATCTTCATCAGACAAGCTTTGACCCCGCCCTGCTTGAGGAAATCTTCCATTTGTTGAGCGAAAGGGTCCTCTTCTGGATTGAGGCATTGAGCCTACTTCGCGCGTTGAAGACCTTCCCTCCTACTATATCCGCCCTGATCCGGTGGATTCCCTCAGTATGTACCAGTCATGGTCCCGGCATGTGCACAAACACTCAGGAATGATATCACAAGGACGCCGCAGGTAGCACCGAGGTGTTTATCTTAGCCAGGGACATTCAGCGATTTATCCAAGCCTTTGGCAAAATGATGGCGGAATCTGCTCCACATATATACATCTCAGCGCTGCCATTCTCACCGGAGCAGTCGACAGTTGCTCGCAATTATCGGCAGTGTTTCCGACAAATTGCGCAAGTTCATTCCGGAACTACGAAACGGTGGTCAGCGCTGCAGTGCACAATTGAAGGACAATATCGAATTAGGCGCGTTGCCTTTCTACGCGATGGAAGACGTGTCGTGTCGAGCTCCCGGGACGAGTGTCTACAAGTTTGGGATGCGGAAACCGGCGAGCTTGCTATGCCCGTCTTATGCAACTATGACCTCGGTATTGCGCTCAGTTCGAACAGGAAATACATAGCGTCAATCTGGTCCGAACGAGGAACGGTTCTAATCTGGAATGCAGAAACGGGAGAGGTTGTCGGTCAGCCATTCAACCATCGTGATGGAGTGATGCATGTCTCCTTCTCGCTGGATTCAACGAAGCTGATCTCGTGCTCGTGGGACTTCATAAAGATATGGGACATCGAGACAGGACAGCTGGTCAAGATGTTACCGATCACTCCTGAATTGGGCAAGATCCAGTCTTTTGCATTCTCATCTGATGGGCGACAGATTGTTTCAGTCTCCGTAGTGCGCACGCTGCACGTTTGGAATTCGGAGACTGGGGCTCCGTGTAGCGGACCAGACAGCTTACGATGTGCCAAAATCATGGCCGTATCGATGGACGGCTTGTACGTTCTTCCTTGGTGGGAGCATAAGCCAGCGCAAGTTTACGACGTAGATGGGCATGCGATCGGTCAGCCTCTCCAAGGCTATTCGACGAATGTAGGCCGGTGCTTTCATCAGGAAAATCCGGATTTGCTAAAAACCTCCTAAAACGTACTAAAACGTGCTCATTTAGTAGCTTTAGAGGGTTTCGGTACCCAATAAGCGACTCTTTCGATAGTCCAATTTTTCCTGATGTTCCCCTTGCCCTATCCCAAGACAAAAGGCTCGTGGCCATCGCCGGGAGTGATAACTCGATCAAGGTCTGGACAATGGAGACAGGGGAACCTAGCGGTATACCTTTACGAGGTCACACGCGACTTATCACCTCTTTGGACATCTCATACGATGGCAAGCGCATTGTCTCAGGTTCCGATGACAAGACTATCCGAATTTGGGACATGGAACCTAAAGACACTACGCCTCCGCACTCGCAGGGCTATGGTGAAGGCTGGATCAACGAGGGCATTTTCTTTCTTCCCGATGGAAAACACATCGTGTCCTTCACCGAGAACTTAGCGGCACGTTTATGGGACTTACAGACGGGTGAAACTATCGGCGAGCCTCTGCCTAGCCAGGACGAAAAATTCGACTCCGTTGACCTCTCGCCCGATGGGAATCGATTCGTTGCAGTGTCCCGGGAGAGGTTTACAATACAAATGTGGGATGCACGTACAGGAGAGTCTATCGGGGAGCCTATGCTCCATGTATCACTTGATTCTAAAGAGCGGTACCCCGATTTGCACGTCAAATTTTCACCAGACGGAAGGCGCTTCGCCTCATTCCTTGTCTGCACCGGCGGCACCGTGCGGATCTGGGACGCGGAAATATGCCAACTAGTGTGGGAATCCCCTCCTTTCTCTGGATCTAATGTTATCGCTACCGCCTCCTGGAGAAGCATATACCGCTTAGCTTGGTCACCGGAAGGCCCACAGATAATATCTTCTCATGATGGGACACTGCGGATATGGGACGTGGAGACAGGACAACTTGCGAGGGACCCTTGGGAGCAACGCATTCCAATCAGCGCCCTGGCCATTTCCGCAGATGGCGGGCATGTGGCATCGGGTTTGCGGGGTAATACAATACGGATCTGCGATGTTAAAAACGGCGAGGTTTTCGACCTGCTTCTGAAATCGACATACATCGACCACCTCACCTTCTCACCGGATGGAAAGTGGATCGCGTCCTGCCCGGGAGTGCATATATGCGATGTATCAAAAAGGAGTGTTGTCGGTTTTTCTTTCCAAGGCCATTCGGACGAAGTTGTTTTCGTCGCCTTTTCCCCGGATGGCCAACGACTACTGTCCGCATCCAGAGAGCGTATTAGGATTTGGGATGTGGAAGCTTTCAAGGCCTGCCACCGCGATGGTGGTCTAAATTTGAACGAACCAGATGCAAGGTCTCGTACTGATCGAGGTTTGTCTTCCGCATCTCTGTGCAGTATTCATACTCAGACCACTCGGTTCTATAGTTCACGACTTTTCGGCGATTCCATCCCCTATCATGTTACTTTCAAGCAATATACAGCACTCCCTCCTCATTCCTCAGCTCGTACTTCCCGACGTCCAGGACCTCAGAGAGTTGCCTTTCTCGGAATCGATCGGTCCGGAAACTATCGAGCTCAAGCCGGATGGTTGGGTTGTTGGACCGAAGGATGAACGCCTACTATGGATCCCCCCACAACATCGCCGTGACCTGATTCAATGGCCGTGCACGATGGTCATTCCATCATACGACATGGTCCAGCTTGACCTCAGCCGTTTCGCTCATGGTACGTCATGGCAGGATTGTTATACACCGCTGCGGTAGGCTACCTCCGGTACAAACCTGCAATACTACGGATGCATTCACCTACGACAATGGAACGTGACGTCTCAGCGGCTGCAAACTACTCATCCTAATCATCAGCCTTCACGTACATAGCAGCTTAGTTATAGCACAGGTCAAAGATATCCATCGAGCACATGTACTCTACATACTAACAAAAAAGATCAAGAGAGCGTAGTGGCTGCACCACAGCTTTCCGGTCCGCAAATCAATAATCAGAACAGATATGCGCTCCTCTCCGCGCCAAGCCTGCGCTGGAAATCACCGCTGAACGACACCCTGCTCCAGCTCTCCAGCCCTCCAGAGCTCGCTCTCGAGCCGTGGCCGATGTCCGAAAAGCCGTCCGAGTCGGACAGATAGTCCGCCAAACTGCCATCGTCCTCCGAACCCGCGTCCGTATGCACGTCCGACCAGTCTGAGGGTGCGGCAACGTCGTGCAAGTCGGTATTCGAGCGACGCGGGGTAGAGGATGCGCGAGAGTAAGCGGGGAAGATCTCGTCAAACGGTGTCGTAGCCGCCGAAGACCGGGCATCGAGATGCGACGACGAGAAGTCGAGCGTGGGCAGTACGAACGATTGCGCAGGGTCCATCGCGACAGGTGGCGGGAGCGGCGCCTGCGACTCAACATCGCTGAGCGCATCATCGTCCACCACGGAGTCCACCTCTTCGTCGTCCCGCACCTCTTCCAATGCGCACCACCCCGTGCCCGCCTCCCCGATCACCGCGCGCACTTCCTCCCTCGTCCACCCCTGGAAGCACACCTTCAGCACTGTGCACATTCCGGTGGCGTCACCGTACACCTGCGTCGACGCGCCGCGGTCCCAGACATGCGCGGCGTCGAGCCGAGCGAACAGGGACGACACCTTCGCGGCGTACTGGCTATGCGCAGCATGGACGCCGCCGAGAATATTCATGATCGAGGGCGGCAGTAACCGACCGGACGATGATGGCGGGACGTCTTGCGGGAGCGGCATGCGCGCCGTCGGGGTCGGTGCGAGCGGGATGAGTAGGTAGGTCGCTACATCGTTCTGCGTCGTGCCCTGCTCCGAAAAGTAGTGCTCCAAATCCTTCTTCATCTCATCGTCCACATTGACCTCGGCCTTCTTCGCCACCTTCTTCATCAGCAGTTCCTCCTTGAGCATGCCGAGCCTTATCGCGTTCTCCTTCCCCTCCTTCCCAACCACGCTCGCGCGTTTCCCCTCCATGCGCATACGCTCGTCAAGGTCGAGCTCACAAATCGCCCTCCCAGCGACCGGCACATTCTGTATCAAATTCTGGAATATCGGTCGTGCGCTGGAGAAGTTCCTAGCTGCGCCGAGGCCGACCTGCGCGACCGAGCGCGGCACCGCAACGGTAGGCGCCCTGGGCATGTACATCGGCTTGTGGAGAGCATGCCGCATGGGGAGCGAAAAGCCCTGCTGAATGGTGCGCGGCCGAGCGGCGCCGCTGAATCCGCGTCCGATCTGGACGCCGCTGCATGGCGGCGGGCGAGCGAAAGCGCCAGTGGCGGGTGCGGTGAGATGCCCGACGAAACGGGTGAGGAGCGTGCGGGTCTTGTTGACAACGTTCTGCGGAGTGGGCGGCTGGCGGAGCGGCGGGATGTGTATGTTACGCGCGTTGCTTCCGCGCCCGAGTAGGCGCGAGGCGTGCCCCTGGACGAGGCGCGCCCCGGTCGAGGCGAGTTGCATGGTGTGTCGACGGGTCCCGGTGGACAGCGAGGTCGACGATGCTCGGTGTGGTGGTCGAAGCTGAGGGAGGAGCGCTGTGGAGCCTGCATGCCGGCGATTATGCATGCCCCACGGCACCGGCGGCATCGCTTTGCTCATCACGTGGTCGCGGCTTTCTATGGTAATCCCATATAAGCTATGTGGCGGTCTATACCGAGGCGTCTTCAGCCGGGAATTCCAGTTGAATATGCGAAGCGCCGCACTTACGAGAAGTATTTACAGAGTTTTGGGATGCTCCTACTCCTGCTCCGGCTCCTGCATCACAATCTCGCCAGGCTCAGGAGCCGAGCGTTCCCCAGCATCCTCGTCCATCCTGTCTTCAGCCTCTCCCTGTTTCCCTTTCCCTCCGCCCTTCCCCCTCCGTCCGCGTATCCTCCTCGCCCCTCTTGGCCGCTCGCTTCGCACTTTATTATGACTCCCCGCCGCCACCTCTCGCTCGCCGTCCCCGATCGTGATCGTGATCTTCAACACGCTCTTGCACCGCGTCCGCAACTCGATGTCCTCGTCCAAGTTGTCATCCGCCGGTATGAGCTCGTCCTGTACTTCGACCGTTCCCGTCAGGACCTCTGTCTTGATCTCGTCCGTGGCGTGCGGGAGGATGGCGGGAAGCGAAACGGAGAGCGTGGCGAGCTGCGGGATCGCGGCGCCCATCGCGCTCAAATGCAACGTTTTGTACCTGAACACAGCGAACCCTGAGTATATGCGCGTGTACACGAAGATCGGCAAAAACAGCATAACGCACCCGTCTTTGATGACCAGCTCTTTGCACCTCCTCAGATATGCGCCAAGCTTCGTCTTGCGAGTGATGCAGATATAGTTTTTGCCTTCGTGGTGCGCCGAACGCGGTCCCGTCGCGCTCACGGAGGGCGCTACCGTCGGCCACGGGCGCGGCGGATCGAGGCGTCGCACAGAACGTCTGGGTTTCGACGAGGATGCGTCGTCGTCCGAGGCCTCGCCTTCCTCAAGCTCTTCGTCGTCGTCGGCAGGTTCGTCCTCCATGTCGTCGGAGGGCTCTGTCGCACGGCCTTTGCCTTTCCCGGCCGATGGCGCAGCTTGCTCTCTGTCCTTCCCCTTGTTTTGAGAGACATCGACGCTGGTTCCTGCGCCAGACGCAGGCGCCTTCGTCGAAGAACCCGCCATCGCCGCCTTCTGACGAGCGGGAGCGTCCACCCGTACGCGCTTCACGCGTTCCTCCTCCCCGTTCTCGGAGACGTCTTTGGCAGCACTGGCCTCCGGCGAGCGTTTGCGCTTTGGTTTGGATGCATTCGCGACATTGGAAGCTCTTCCATCTTTTGATTCGTCTTCCGCTTCCTTTCGCTTGTTTTCGACGACTCTGCCAGCTCCAGCGGCAGATGCGGCCTTGTCCTTAGTCGAGACGGACGGTTTAGACGGTCCCGCCTGCCGCGCCTTCATAATAGATCTGTTGTCAGCAGTCGCGTCGAGACGCGTCCGTTTCGCGCGTTTGTCCTCGCTGGCGTCGCAATCGGACGAGACTTGCGGCTCTGGTACGTGTTTGCGTTTCGGGCGAGGCGCGTTTTCGTTGCTGTTGGAGGGGATGGAAGAAGGTCCCGCGACCGGTCCCGCCATGTATCGTCGATTGAGCCGTAGGGTGAACAACAACAATTGGATGTTGGCGGGGTCACAGTCAGAGTGGATGAGCCAGGTCGAGCATCGAGAAAGAACTTGGCCGACGCGAGCGGCGCTGCGGCCCTTCGCCCGTACTTACCCACCATGATGATCTCGGACCGCAGCCTCGTCTTACATACCGCACTTCCACGGAGGATCCAGCGAATCCTCCCTTTGCCGCGGAATATATCGTACAGATAGCATGGACCACTTGCCGAACCTGCCCGCTGGCGTTGCATCGCGCACGCTTCCCGTGAACGACCTGCAGATGCACATCCTCGAAGCCGGCCACGGGCACACCCCCCAACGCCCACTCGTCCTCCTCCTGCACGGCTTTCCCGAGCTCGCCTACTCCTACCGCAAGCTTCTCGTCCCGCTGTCCCTCCTAGGCTACCACGTCGTCGCCCCCGATCAGCGCGGCTACGGTCGCACCTGTCCCTCCCCGCTGCCCTCCTACGCCGACTCGCCCGCGCCCTACCGGCTGTTCAACCTCGTCCGCGACGTCGTCGCCCTCGTCTACGCGCTCGGCCACGACACCGCGCACGCCGTCATCGGGCACGACTTTGGCTCGCCCCTCGCCGGCTTCTGCGCGCTCCTCCGGCCCGACGTCTTCCTCCGCCTCGCATGCATGAGCGCGCCCTTCCCCGGCGCGCCCTCCCTGGCCACCACCGATCGCCAACGCAACGTCCTCGACCTGGTCCCGGAGTTCGCCGCGCTCTCCCCGCCGCGCAAGCACTACAAGCTCTACTACTCCACTCCCGCCGCGAACGCCGACATGCACCACCCCTCCACCCCCGGCGGCCTCCCCGCCTTCCTCCGCGCCTACTTCCACGCCAAAAGCGCCGACGCCTCGGACGACCCGCTCCCGCACCCGCTCTCGCCCACCGCCGAGTCCCTGTCCGCCCTCCCGGCGTACTACCTCATGCCGCTGCACGCCTCGATGCCCCAGGCCGTCGAAAACAGCTTACCGTCACCAGAAGAAGTCGCCGCCAACGCCTGGCTCACCGACGCGGAGCTCGCCGTCTACGCCCGCGAATTCGCCCGCACCGGTTTCCAGGGCGGCCTGAACTGGTACCGCGCCGCGACCGACGCCGCCCTCATGGCCGACCTGTCCGCCTTCGCCCGCAAGCGTGTCTATGCCCCGGCCGTCTTTATCGGCGGCGAGCGCGACTGGGGCGTGCACCAGGACCCCGGCGCGCTGGACCAGATGAGGGAGGTGTGCGTTACGATGGGAAAGGAGGACGTGCATATTGTGCGTGGGGCGGGGCACTGGATTATGCAGGAGCAGCCGGAGGAGACATTGAGGGTATTGACAGAGCTATTGCAGAGGCCTGTTCGGAAGGTGCCTCAGTGAACGCGAGTGCACTGTTTGACGTCACAGGTAAGAATATATGCGTCTTCAGTTGTATCTTCAGTTGTATATGTACGCTTTTTCATGCTGTAGTACTAGGACCACCGTCTACTACTTGACCACCATCCCTACATACGTCTATGACCAAGTCTTCTGCAGCGCTGCTCTCCGTGTGGACGGCTACTCGACGCCACCGACGGAAAGGTATCAGGCATACAGTCAGCCAAACAAGGCAAAGGTCCTGGAGATGTAAGTTAGCGTTGTTCTTTGTACAGACGCGATTAGACACACCTTCGACAAGCCAAAGATGAAGAACGAAGCCAACAGAACTGCGGCAAGAGTACGTGAACCCGATGAACCCACTCTGCTGCGCTGATGGAACCTACAGAGTGCCATGAAGATTGCCTCAAAGTCGCGAAATCTGGCAGGTTGAGGAAGCATCGCATGAACAAATATCACTCTTCAAGACGTCAATATACCAACAGCACATCGAAGGACGCGACTCACAGGATACATGCGAGGACGAAGATCGTGAGTAGCATGACGCGGATCAGAAGTGTCCGAGACGGTTTCGCGGACTCGAGGTGCCCGTGTGCGCTCCAGACCCTGTAGTGGTGTCGAGCGCACAGGAATTCGAGAACGAGGATCGCGGCTATCGCAAGGATGGAGAGGGCAGCCGCGATCCGCCAGCTGCATGGTCAGGTCAGCGCTGTCAAAGGCCAAGCGAAGGGAAACCATACGTACGGGACCTCGCTCCTGTCTGTGCAAAAGAGCCCGTGTCGAAAGAGTCCGACAGAATGCGGGTGAGAGAGGGTGATCTGGCCGAAAGGTTTTGAGATGCACTCAGGTCAAGAATCGGCTGGCTTACCCCGACGTTGATAAGCACCACCAGCGTGTATAGCGCGTACGGGGACGCTACGAGCTATACCAGCGTCCAGGATCGCTACTCAACAGCCGGCTTTGTTACACACACGCAGACACTTACAAACATGGTTCGCGCCCTCGGATGCCTCTGCGCGAACCCTTGCAGTGGGCTCCGGGCCAACGCGCTCGCTGCAAGCCATAGCTCCGTGAGCAATGCAACGGCCGTGGATGCGATCCTGTCACGCATATAGCTAGTAAGCCGCCGACCACATAGTGCGTGGCGGGTACGCACAAGACCGCGGATGCATAGATCATGCTGCTCTGTGTGACACATAGCGCTAGTGGTGGGTGTGAACCGGGAAGTTGTCCGGAGATGGGTCTATATCTGTTGAATGACGATGATTCAAATTCGAAGATGAAATAAGCACTGACAGTAAAATGAACGTCAAGGAACAAAGGACCCAGCTGCAGGAAGGTCAGCATGTTGATACGACAATGGACGACGTGTTACCTGGAGCAGAAGCTGAACCACGTTGGCATGCGATACACCTTCTTCGACAGCGACGCGGTGAGCAACGCGAGCGAGAAGCATAGCCCGCCGGTCAATTGGCAGACGGTCCAGAATACAAATATGCGAAGAGATTGGTCAGAGTCTGCACGATTAAATGCAGAGGGGTGAGCACTGGCAGCGCGATTCTAGGCGTGCAGTAAACACCGACCTGTAGCAGCCATGGCGGAATACAGTCTGGAGCGCCAACGCCCTCCGCGTCCCCGTCGCTGGCCAAGTGAGGTACCTCTGATGCAGTACGGCGAAACGTTCTCGTATGCAAAAATCCGAACTAGGCGAGAGTACCTCGGAAACCGAGATTGGTGAACCCAAGAAGACCAAGGTTTGTAGAGTCACAGGAGTAGAGTCAATCCCGTTCATTTATCGTCCGTCGATATGATGCTGTAGAATCTATACCTGGGTATAGCGACTCATGAGTATATCTTTGTCTTTAGTCGCAGTCTCTCGAAGTGTTGCCGCCGGTAATCACTACCCCGGGGCGGTGCCGATCGCCCACGGACGGAAAATAGGGAATCGGCGAGTAGCATACACCCGCACACGCTGCCTATACGGGCGCTCGTTGTGATATGCATCCTTCTTTATAGCCTGTGCAGTCCTGATGGTGAGTGCAAACAGCTATCAAAGGTTCGAAAGGCCGCAAGAACGCTTCACGAACCTCAAGGACGAACCCGCGGAAACTGTGCGTATTTTTGCTGTGACCTATCAGAACGTTCGACATCAATGCCGGATTCCAGGTATACTTCTCCGGGCAGTAGGTTTGGACAGTAGCTTCTGCGAGAAAGAGGGATGGATTCGATGTGTCCTGACTCCTCGTTGAGACGGCTATGCACTAACTTCAACGCTGAGGCCGGGCGTATAGCGACTGTCGAATGCAGAGTATTTACTACGCGCAACAGAGCCCACTCGAGAGGATGCCTTGCGCAGTACCTCGTCTCAATACCCTCGCCATGATGCTGGGAAGGTCCATAGGCTGGCGGAATAGCACTAGGCAGGAGAGAGGCGTCCCCAGGCTCGTGTGACTTGATTATAGTCAAAGCCCCTATTTCGTCATGCATGCACTGCCAGTGCCGCGTGGTGGGATAAGTTTGCGCTGAACTGATCGTTGAGGGTACCAGGGCACCCCATCTTACGCCTGACCCAACTAACTGCCCTCCCCTCCGTCCCATCGCGCCTGAGGCGATACCCGCCACGATGAGCCAGGATGCAGCCGAGCAGAACATCCAGATGTGGAAGGTCAAGAAGCTCATCAAGAGCCTGGATGCCGCCAGAGGGTTAGTGCGATCAACATCTGCGGGGAACGTATATCGCTGAAGACGGGGCGTGTGTAGTGCTGGCACGTCCATGATCAGCTTGATCATCCCGCCGAAGGTGCGTCCGATCCTACGACGGCTCGCAGGACGAGTACTCAAGCGGCGTTCTAGGATCAAATCTCGCGGGTGTCCGCGATGTTGACGCAGGAATACGGCACGGCGTCGAACATCAAGTCTCGCGTCAATCGTCTCTCCGTGCTGGCCGCGATCACGAGCACACAACAACGTCTCAAGCTTTACAACCGTGTCCCGCCCAACGGTTTGGTGCTATTCGTCGGCACCATCCTTACCGACGAAGGCAAGGAAAAGAAGGTTTCCTTCGACTTTGAGCCTCACAAGCCTATCAATACGTGAGCAATCATCGTTGCTGATCGTTCAATGTATCTTCACGTATACATTCTACAGTTCACTATACCTTTGCGACAACAAATTCCATACTGAGGCGCTTGCGGAACTCCTCGAGTCCGACTCCAAGTTCGGCTTCATTGTCATGGACGGCAACGGCACCCTCTTCGGCACCCTCGCTGGCAACACGCGCGAGGTCATCCACAAGTTCACCGTCGACCTGCCCAAGAAGCACGGGCGCGGCGGTCAGTCCGCGCTCCGTTTCGCGCGTCTGCGTGACGAAAAGCGGCACAACTACGTGCGCAAGGTGGCCGAGCTGGCGGTGCAGCACTTCATCACGAACGACAAGGTGAACGTGCAGGGCATCGTGTTGGCGGGCAGCGCCGATTTCAAGACGGAGCTTGGCCAGAGCGATATGTTCGACCCGAGGTTGGCCGCGAAGGTGATCAAGGTCGTCGACGTCAGCTACGGTGGCGAGAACGGTTTCAACCAGGTCAGTATGGCTCGTTAATTGATCTAACGACTACCGCCTGACACGTGCCACGTAGGCGATCGAGCTCGCGGCCGAGTCGCTGGCGAACGTCAAGTTCGTGCAGGAGAAGAGGCTCATCCAAAAATACTTCGACGAAATCAGCATGGACTCGGGCAGGTACTGCTTCGGTATCGACGACACCCTCAAGGCTCTGGAACTAGGCGCCGTCGAGACGTTGATCGTGTGGGAGAACCTGGACATCACCCGATACGTCCTTCGCAACGCCGCGGGAGGTGCGCTTTTCTTCCTTTCGTATTCCTTCCGGCGGTAACCATGGCCGCAGAGGAGATCGTGATCCACGTGAACAAGGAGCAAGAAAAGGAGCGGGAGAGGTTCATGGACAAGTCGACCGGGACGGAGATGGAGCAGGCGGAGGAGCCGAAGCCGCTCCTGGAGTGGTTCACGGACAAGTACAAGGATTTCGGCGCCAACCTCGAGTTCGTGACGGACCGGTCGCAGGAAGGGGCCCAGTTCGTGAAGGGCTTCGGTGGGATCGGCGGGCTGCTGAGGTACAAGGTGGACTTTACGAACTTGACGAGCGTGGACGACGAGGACGAGGACGAGTTTTACGATGACGACGACGACGTTATCTGACGTTTGGGCGCGAGGCTCGTCAAGGGAGCCTCCTTGCCGCGGCGCCGGCGCACCGACGAGGGCACGCCGCGGAGGGAGGCGGAGGCGCGGGGGGCGGAAGCGAGGAAGACGACGTCGGTCGTCAAGGGGGCCCACTTAAGCGAAGGTGAAGCGGGCAGGATCCGAAGGGTTCGTCACGAAGGATACGAGGTCGCCTTCTTCGCGAAGGCGAAGTCCGGCGCAGGCACGAAGGTTTCGACGGGAGACGGGGGACGATCCGTGGGCATGTTGGCGGACCTTGGCGAAAGGCGCCGTCGCCAGCGCGCAAGGTCCTGCCCAGCGGTGCCCTGCACGCGTCAGTCGGCCGTTGACTGCAACGTCATATTGGGCATCCGAAGGTCGCGCAGGTTACTTCTCGTTTCTTGTTTGGATTTCTGATATATCGTTCGTTAACCGATCACGATGCAACCAAAGATTTCAGCATGTCGGGATGTCGACCGAGTGTTGACTAGAGAGCTAAGCGCCGTCGTATACATCCGATACGTATGCACAGTAGCAGTCGCAAAGCGATCGTAGTAAGATCGCGGTGAGTAAATGCGGAGAGGTCGGTGCGGCGGTGCGGGCTGGCGGTGCTTAGCCGGTCCCTGAAGGATCCGAATCCCGGGCCTGAGATTGGCCAGTGACTCGTGAGCAGACGGACACGGCGCGCCTCGTCGCGAACTTGTCCGCCTGTTGTCCTACTCAACGCCGACAACACATGGGCTATAGCGCGCTCGAGCGATCTGTCCCAACGCCATGGGGCCCACATCCTCCGAGAATACGGACCCATGCATCAGCGACGCTGCGCGCAACGGCGCTAATGGATTGCCATGATCAGGACTCTCCACGGTCTCGCCTGTGCCTCGAGCGTATCCCGGCGGTCGGTCCCTCGGCCTTCAGTGCCCTTCACAGGAGTCTCGACCCGTGTTCCGCCTCACAAATGTCGGCATGACAATCCCCTGTATCTGATTCGTATCCGTCCGTTCCCGTAGCCCGGGCGCGCGTGAATACCCTGGGTCCCGAGAAGCTACAGCTGCGTGTGCACCCCACCCCGATACATTATAGAGCCTCCGGGCGCGCCCACCTTCCATCTTCGCATCTAAGCTCCACTTCTATCTCCACGATTGCACCAGCTCCTTTGTTTCTGCCCCCTCGCCAGCTTAGATCGCGCGACACACACTGGACGATATGCCTGCCGAAAGCCCCGAGATAGCCGAGAGCGTCTCCCTGCTCAAGATCGAGGAAGAGGGCGGCGAGGGCGAGCAGTCCGCGCCGAAGACGTGCCCGGTCTCCGGAGCCTCCGCCAGCGCCGACATCCCCAAGAGCATGCCTATCCACGTCTCCGACGGTCTCTCGCTCCAGACCGACACGGACGACACGCTCTCCGTGCACTCGGACAAGTCCGAGAACACCGTCGGCTCGTCCAACATCCTCCACCAAGAGGAGAAGCAGACGTGCCCCGTCGTGTTCACGCAGGAGGTCGACGAAGACCTGCTCCGCACCTCGCTCGAGGACCGGATCGCGTACACCACCGACTTCCTCAACTTCACCGACCGGGATTCGAAGATCATCGCCGAGATTGGGCCGATAGTGAATCAGTTCATACCCGGGATGGTGGACGATATGTACGCGAAACTGTTTGAATTCGACGTCACGAAGAAGATTTTCATGGCGAGGAACGAGGTACGTCCTGGCGTGGATGCCCGACCTGCATGTCTTCGCCGCATGCTCACACACACCGCGTTTCAGGGTTTCAACGGACCCCTTCCTGAGAAGTTGGAAGATCTCACATTAGACAGCCCTCAGATCACCTTCCGTAAAGTATGGCTTTCGAAGATCTACAGTCGTCGCGCATTCCTGATCATCATCGTCGACAGGTGTTTTTGAAGTCCTGGGCCCGTCGTGTGTTGACAACGGATTATTCGAATGGAAAGGCGTGTTTTTTCTATTGTATGGGTGTGCGCAACCTCTGACAGTCACATGGTCATCGTAGACTTGGGCATACATGGACAAAGTCGGGATAATGCACACCGGCGAATCTCCCTTCAAGCACCAGCGGACGATGGGCATCCCGCCACTGAATGTCCCATGTGAGCCCGATCATCATTTGCGACAAAGCGGGCTGAGACTGAGCTTTCGATAGATCGGGACTGCGCGTTGACGCTCGGGTGGGTACAGACCGTTATACAGACCGCCATCCTCCAGGTACCGGAGGAACGTCTGCCCATGGCGAAGAAGATCGAGGGCATCCAGGCCCTTACGAAGGTTATGTGGTTACAAAACGACTTCTTTTCCCGGCACTACGTTAAGGAATGATTGAACATAATGCAGTCCCGAATGTATCGTCGATCTGTATACTACTACTATAATTGCCTACCTTGATACAACTGAGCCCGGTGAGCAGAGCTCCGCCTGAGAGCTCCACGATCAAGCGCTTTTCCTGCAGAGGTATCGGCGCGCATCGGCTTCTGATGGGGAACCGTACTCGCGAGTTGACCAGGAGCGAAATGGAAAGGCGTACGCTCACCACGATCGCGACGGCTTGTGCCACGACCAGTCGTCGACCTCCGTTGCCGAGGCGTACAGTTGCGCCAGTACTTCGCCACCCACACCCTCTTCCTCTTCATCGTCCTCGCTCGACGTATGGATTAGCTCGATGTCCACGACGGCGCTGAGTTCCTCTGCGAGAGCACGATCCAACTCGCGATAGAACATCGACTGGGACTCGAGATCGGCCAGGAGCCGGAGCCGCTTCAAGTTGCCGCTTTCCACCCTATGAGTAATCATGCCCTTGCAGGTCACATCGCTAACCAGCGTTTCGCCGGACAACGCCAGGACCTCCAGGCCCTGGCAGTGCGTATCTTGCCCGTAGACGTCCAAAGCGTTCACCCAGTTCCCGAGGTAGTAGCAATGGTAGACCGTCAGGAAACGCGCGCCGGGGAAGAGGGCGAGGAGGCCCACGACGTCGCTTGACCGGCAGCCCTTGAAGGTCACGCTCTGCACGCCGGCGTACGGGTTGGCGCCACCGTCGGCGAGCTCCATCACGTACCCGAAGCTCTCCTCCGTGCTATCGTCGACCGCGTCGCTCGCGGAGTGGTCCGTGAAGTGGACGGCCTTCAGCACCGGCGCCCGAAGCATCAGCAGGATATCGCACATGACGGCCCACTTGGCGCTCTCGAGATGGAGGTAGAGTAGCGATGGAACGTGGAAAGGTTCCGAACCCTGGAACGGCCCCCCGACCAGGGGTACGACGCCTCCCAATCCGAGGCTGAGGCATTGGAGGTTCGGCGACGCCTGAAGGACCAGGGAAAGGGATAAGAGGGTGTGTCCACTGTCGTAACTGGCGGGGATCCCCAGGTGCAGCGCGGTGACCCCGCTCATGATGTTGAACCCGTGACGGCTGAAGCATTGCTCGATCCGCATAACAGCGAGGTTGGGCGATGACACAGTGCGTCTGACCCTCGTAGTCGGGCTCCAGCGTGGGTGGAGTTGATATAGCTCAGCCTCGGTGTAAAGTGGATTGTAGTCCGTGAGCAGGAGCTCTTTCAGGGCGGGTATGTGAACATCCGTGAGCAAACGCATAACGAGCCCGGTTTCCTCAGCACGGTGCCCTCTGATTTCGAGAGTTTCCCAACGATGCGAATATCTCTTGAGCGACTGTATGCATAGCTCGAGTCGGTTAGCGACGTCGTAAGCCGCTGCTTCGGCTTCGTTCGGATCATTGGGGAGGCGAACGTAAGGCGGGAGGTCGAGCGAGATGTCGAGAGGGAGAGATCCAGAGTGTCGAAGGTAGCGGTCGACCTTGCGGAAATCGCGGTGCGTGGTGATTTCTATCCGTGTCCAGAACGAGGGGTAATCCTCTATGACGCCTTTCCAGAATTTGCAGACTCCCGTCAGGTAACCTGCATCGTGAGGCCCCAATGCATGATAATGTTTTGATATTTCCAGAACCAGCTCAGTCGGAAGACGATCAACGCTTGCGCTGTTGGAATAGCCCACGTTCACAGGTGGACTGAGGATAAAGCCTAGGCCGGTGCATCCAGTAGTGCTGTTGTATAGAGCGAGATGTTAGACGGAAAGCATAGGCATGGATTATGGACTTACAACTGCGGCATCAGGCAGACTGTTTGGCCTCCTTACGAGCCGAGAGTCCAAAAGTGTGCCGCGGTCGCTGATCTCCCATCCTCGCGGGCAAATATATAGCGATCCTAACAGCAAACAACATGGACCTCAACAATGATTTCTCTCCAATGGCAACTCGTCAGCCAAGCGCCTCGTTGCATACGATAAGATCGAGCTCATGGCCACAGCTCCGCGGAGTCATCACTTGTACACTGCCTAGGCGAGCCTCGAGGATGTAAAAAGAGCGACAACAATGGACTCGACGGAGCGTCCTTGAGCTCGAGGTATGCGGTTATGCAGGCGGATAACGCCGGTGAGCTAGGAGTAGTGGCTACACGTGACCGTGCGACTCACGTATTACTATTAGGATCTTGGTCAGCAGAATTGCTTCTCGTGTTCAAGTTCCTCTTACTTCTGACGTTACGTATACATGGAATGAACCATGAGCTGATAGGAAGGCGGTATAGCTACGTCTGCCCTGTTTTGATACTCTATATCAGGTATGTCACCCCGCTGCAACTTCGACTATGCGTTGTCACTGCTTGCAAAGATCCCGGAAGAGGAGGTGAAGCGCACAACACCGGGGCTTACTATTGATATCCGGATTATCCCGCATCCAGACATATTATCTGCTGGAGAGATCCCGTTCGTCCGTGTAGACTCATATGTTCATCAGCGTCTCAGTCAAAACATCGGAGATCCGCAGCACTACGCACTACGATAGAAGGCCGGACACATGATAGGACGTGCATGACAGATCTCCCAGAGCAACGTTTGAAACGTCCAGGGCCTGTCTCCCATGTGGATCTGTCCGTTGTGTTTGACATATGCGCACACAAAGGTTCCGGGCACAACGACTTCGAAACGATACCTCTTCTCAGCGCCATATGGGAAACAAGCATCGTGTCCTGACATGTGTTCCAGAGGCGGCGGCGACGTCTCGATTTCTCTTCTAGCTGCGTTGATTACCGGCCACGAGGCAACAAGCCAAGCCATTGTTCTCGAATTCGGGTCATCATGCGCGGACATACAGCACTATTCGGTTACTAGGAGATATCGCTGCTGTTCTTCGGCAATTAGGTCAAGGTATGAGTCGACGAGCAGGCCTAGGTACGCGAGCCGGTATTCAACTCGGTTTGTAACCTAGAGAGGGGAGACCATGATGAGATTCTTAGGATTAGGACATCCAAGAGTAAGCAACAGAATGACATTTGCATAGGTTGATGAATCTACCTGCGCCGCAATGGTGACCATCATGCACACAGCGCCAATATGCCTAGCACCCGCTACCATCACCAGGAATGATCCCACTCATGCCACGCCCAATCATCGAAGTCGGCGTTCGTAGCGTAGAGGTCCGCCAACTTCTCGCACAACTTGGCATCGTCGCCCTCGGGTTCGTAGGCGTACATCTTAACATAGGTCACCTCAAGTCCCTCCATGGCTTGTAACGCCTCCACTGTCTCCTCGTCAAAACCCCCGAATTGATGATGGCCCGTGAGAAGCCGGACCTCTCTCAGGCAACCGTGGTCCACCCTGTTGACGACCATCTGCAAGAAGAGGTCCTGCATCTCCTCGTCGGCGGCGTATGTATACCAGGTGAGCACTTCCAGTTTTGGGCACCAAAAACCGACCTCCTCGTCCATGTCCAATGCGGTGATCCATTCTTCCATATTATAGTTACCGCATACCGTCAGGAAACGGAGACCCCAGAAGAGCTCCAGTATTGGGAAGAAAGTCTCGTAGGTGACACACTTCATGGTAAGATGCTGCAAGAGATGGTATGGATGGGACAAATTGTCGTCTTCATACCGCTCTATGATCCCCTGAATGGACGACGCATTATTGCCGTCGCGGAGGCCCATTGGCTGACGCTGATCATAGTGATCACAGATATGGAGCGTCTTCAATGCCGGGAAAACGAACGTCCACAGGATGGCGCAGACCATCTCCTCGTCAGCCACATCGATATTCAGGTAGAGAAGAGAGGGCACGGTGATAGACACGGGGTCGTGCATGGGCTGATCCGATGGTTCGACGCCGCGCAGTCCAAGGCCCAAGCATCGGAGGTTTGGCGAACTCTGAAAAACGGCGCAGATGCTCTGCATGGCGGGTTCGTACAAGGTGCCCACTGGGATGCCCAAGTGAAGTGTCGTGAGCCCAACCATCGACACGCTGCAGCACCGCGCGAAGCACTGATCCAAACGCAACACGGCCAGGTTGGGTAAAGGTGCACCACCGAAGGTCATGACGCGTTCGCCGCGCGGTTTGAGGATGGACCACGTCGAGTCCGGATAATACTTCCGTTCGTAATCCACCAATAACAACGTCCTGAGATTCGGGGCCTGGACGTTCTGGAGGCAACGAGCGACGACCTCCGTTTGGTTTACCAAATGGGCCACAATACGTAGAGTCGACCAGCGATGGGAGTGCTGCTTCAGCAGTTCCATTCCGGGATGGATGTTGGGGGACGTATCTTCGTCACCATCTTTCCTCTCGTGGGCTGGAGGATCGAGCAGTAAGTATATGTTGAGCAGCTGGGAACCAGAAAGTCGGAGGAGGCGAGGGAGTTCCCGGTGCATCTCCCGATAGTCGGAAGTGACGGTGATGTCCGTCCAAAATCGGGATTGCCCTTCGATGATTTCATCCCAGCGCCTGCAAATCCGGTGAACGTAAAAGGTTGGGTCGTCGTCGTATTCCAATATTTTCAGGAGAATCTCTGGAGGACATCGATCGATGGGAGCATACGAATGAATTTGTCGTGCGGTATTATGTCCCGACAGTCCTCTACGAGACATGACACCACGAAGCTAATTATCCATAAACGTAAGAACAGGCACGGGTAGGAGCATTTTCAGAAGGAAACTCACGTACAGGCTAGATTCCAAGCTAATGTGTCCCCCGAAGGACGCTGTTCAGGCGTTCAGCGTCACCCAGGAATTTCCGAGGGCTAGTGGCAAGATCTTGGGGAGTCGATGGATGCTCCGTAAAAGACAGCTGCAGGAGATGACATAAGATGGCGAGCGAGACTATAAAGATAATGCCATCCGGCATCCGGAATGGACGGCTCACCCTGGGTAAGTCGTCGAGCGCCCTAAGATAAAGGATTGTTCCCGTGGGATCGGAGATCTCGCTCGCCTAGATCACCGAGGTACAATTGTGTATAAATAACACAACTTCTTCTCTTGCTAGTGAATCTCTTGAGCAGCAGATAATCGAACGTGACGGTAACGCCGGATGTCGCCGGGTCTTTAGCGGTGTACGAATCAAGATCGCAGGGATACACGCATACGAGATGGACTTGTCATGAAAATGAGCAAGATCCAGCTCAAATGCTACCATGCGACTCCCCTTCTGGTCTGCATGCTCCACTTGGCGCACCCGCGCTGAGATCTTGTCATAAGGACCTCACTGCTTACGGAAGTGTGCTCGGCTAAAAGCAGTCAGCCGACACTGAGTCTTGAGAATAGCTCCTTACCCCATGACACGATCTTGTCATGGCATCCATGTCGGCTCGCACCGCGCAATCTGTGTCCTCAGCACATCGTCAAGAAATCCGGCGGGTCGTCCCGACAGCTCAGCGGATCTTCCTGATTTAGGCTATATTTCTCCCTCGGGCCCGCCGATGGCCCTTGCCTGCCCGTATGGGTGTGAAGATCAGGAAGCAGATTCTGCCATTGTCCTTGCTGATTTGGGTTTTTCGTGCTGCGATACATCAATATTTCTCGCACGGAGTGGAGCTAGGTTATGACCCACCGTGCACCGTACCAAATTGCGCGCCAATGCCGAGGTCACCGGGCATCTCGCGTAGGTACGTTGCATGAGCATCGGTGAGAAAGCGGATGGCGCATGCTCGTAGCGAACCAAGAGAAGCCAAGCTTTCTAACCGACTCCCCAACAATTGCGAGCGATTTAGGCAGCAAGATCGGATGGTTTTGAGAAACCCACCGCGAGCTTTTGCCTGATGAACGGCCCCTTGTTATTGGTTGACATGAGATATTGGATAGTAGACATGCCCTTGTCGATGCCTCATAACGAAGAGGATAATAGTATTTACCGCCGAGTGGTTGAGCCACGAGCTCTTGATAGAGCTTTTCAGAGTCCGCACCAATGCCGCAGAATATGTCTTCGTGTAATGCTCGAGATGCTAGTAAAGGCTGCATACCATCGAGCAAGTTTTGTCTCAGGGGACGTTATGTGGCATGCAGAGCTTTGTCTTGCAGGAGATCCTGGGCACCTGTTGAAGGCATCTCGCGTGACCAGTCAAAAGGGTACACCGGCTTTCCAGACGGAGTCCATCGTTCAATCGCAGCAACAGCGGCAGTGCCCCAATCGAATAGCTCATGAGCGGCGACGTCTTCGGCGGTTGGCGAGTTTGGAGACGAGAGGGGCGGGCCGTCGACGAAGACAACGAGCGCCTCGTTGTGAGCCCGAATGAAGCCGTTCCGAACGCCGTTGCGAATCAAATCTCGTAGAGGATCATAGAAACCCAGCACGTTGACGACAACGACAGGCTTGTTGTGAATGCCCAATTGTGTCCACGTCGTTACTTCCAGAACCTAGACGAAACGTAGGTTAGTATTTCATGTCATCATGAAGTCCTATGCCAGGGGTGTGATGGTAAACTGACTTCTTCGTATGTGCCGTATCCACCCGGAAGACCGATGAATCCGCACGACCTGTCTGCCATGATCGTCTTGCGCTCGTGCATAGATCTCACCGCGATCTGTTTCTAGAAATCGGTCCAACGGTCGCGATGCAGGTCCGATAGGGCACACGTACCACCTCGTCCTTCCCCCCCTTGCTTGCCGAGCGCAACGCGCTTCTTTGCTCACCCTCACCACCAGACGCGACCATCGCGTACGGGATGACACCCAGCACGTCGCCTCCCTCGTCCCGGACGGTACTGCTAACAATACCCATGATACCTCCGTTACCTCCGCCGTACACCAAGCCACGGCCTGCTTTGGCAAGCGCTCTCCCTAAGGCTGTATGATAAGACCTTCAGTGAATATGCACACCATTGTTGCTCAGAGCTCGGAGAGAACGCACAGACAGCCGCTAGTTCGAACGCCTTCTGAGTCCCATATGACGCGCCGCAGTACACAGCGATCGCACTGTTAGTGGTAGATGACATTGGCAATGCAAGGGCGAGTGTGGGTGGACTGTGGAGGTCAACGCTGTCTTGTCCTGGCCCAGGGAGGACAACGAGTTTATTTTGGGAATTTCGGATAACGCCATGTGTTGCCGGTCGGTCCAGAACTGGATGCTTATTAGACGACGGCGCCCCTATACCGAGGTGCGAACACCCTGCCCGGATGTTGGCGGGGCAATCATCCCGACGGTGTTATACAAACAGATTCTGGCGCTCGGAGTATCGGTGAATGTATAGTTCTGTGTAGCTTTAGCAGCTAGCTACTTGCGTCGCTGGTCCAGCGCCGGACACGCTTCGATACAGGCATTGGCAGCAACAGCATAGCGTAAGGACAACATACAACAAGAGTCGCTGGGATTCTTGGTACTACGTTGTTTTCCGCTCTACACCCGATTCCACGATCCCGAGTCAGCTTCTGGCCAACCTTCTTGGCCCGGTATCCTTCCGCGAAAATTGAGTTCAATCAATAGCGGAACGAGTCCGGCCTCCTCGGGATCGGTATAGAAATCCATCATCACCCATCCCCTAACCCGAGGTTCGACGACCTGCATGTCACCACCACCGACATAGGTCCGGATATCATGCAGCTTGTCTTGGAACTGCTCCTCCTCGACCTTTAGCGGGAGCGCACCCTCGCCTCCACGACGGAAGGTGCTTGCTTGGTCGACGAGGAGGCCCAACAACCACCGGCCGACGCGTGCATTGACGCCTTCAATACCAAGACCCCACTGTGGCCAACCGAAGCCCCGCGCGATGGTAGGCGGCATGGCGAGCGGTAGCGACGATGCGGAGAGATAGGTGATGTTTAAACATGGCGTAGGAGGCTCGTTAGCCGGAGGGAGCAGTATCCGGGTCGCTAGTTCCACCTTTTCTGGTATAGACAGAAATGATGGGATGCGATACCTGAACAACCGTTCTCAAGTCAACACTCGTGAACCAGCAACATGCAAGGGCGTACTTGCCAGTCATGCGTTCTCACGAGCGTATTCTTGCAGTTCCAGGTAAATCCCCATTTCTCGCTGTCCGGCCAGTTCGACGGATGTATCCCGAGGCCTTCCAGCCCGCCCTCCCACTCAGCCCCATCGCCTCCGAAGCGGCTGAACATGACGATCTTCCCCCGAATCTCTCCGAGCGAAGGTATACGATCGTCCAAGAACCACCCTGCAAGGCCGCCTTCACTCTCCTCAATCTCCCTCCGCACTGCTGCGGAGAATGCCCGTGCGGGAGTCGTGCGCCAGTCCTCCTGCTTGATTGACATGACGACCGTTTCACGACATGACGCGGCGTCAGAGAAATAATCATGAACGTCCGCGAGAATAGATTGGAAGGTGGCTTTCTGGGGGTATATGTCGTGATAGGCGATGAGTCGATCATGAACGAGCGAGAGCCGAATGTCTAGCACTCGGATGCCCGACCGCAGCTGTACGGCGAGCGGCGTCTTGAGTGATTGACATTGAGCGAGCGGCCAACCGTAGAAAGCCATCCTATAGTGGATTGGAATGGACCGAAGGTATACGCTTGATTGCAGACTCACGTATCATGTGTACCTATGGTTATCGCATGGTTTGCTCACGGTCGGTGGCTCATTCACATGCAGTGACTTGCCTGGTAGAGTCAAGGATGAGAGTGGGACGCCATCCGGGATATCAGACAGGAAGGACCATGGATGATGCCGGGAGAGTATGAGCAGCTTGACCCCCTCAGTTGACTATGTTTGGTGCGGTCAGAACCGAGAGTATAGCAAGAGATCCGCAGTGGCTCACCCATAGCCTGTACGCACTCCATGCACATGGAATCCCGCGCTCGCTTGAGATCGCTACACTCCTCCAGGAGGGAGTGGAGCTCAGGGGGACGGTCAAGGAGTATTCGCGAGGAACGTCAGGCGAAAGGTCATCATTGGATGATCCTTTCTTGTCTACAGGTCCGTCGCGTTGATAACTAATGGCAAGAGCTGCTCTTGTCCTTGAGAAATGGATAGGTCGTGTCCCTTGGCGCGGATGCAAAACGCAGAGATGGGTTGTTGAAGAGCCGCAAGCGTCGCGTACGACGAGCCGTTCACTTGTCCAATTGAAGATGGTCAAGCGATACATGCTGTCCCTCGTAGAGCGTTCGTTTCCTAAGCAATGTGGCAGAAGGTCCTGATGGACTGTGGCAGCCTCTCAGAGTGCCAAGCCGCAGGTATAGTATGGTATTCCCTGCACGCCCCAATAGCGGAACGCCAGTTGCAGGTGACGTCACGATTCAATGATCGTATGACGTCTTCACCTTAGGCTTTCGATTGCATGTGTGGACTAGCTCACTCGGACACAAACTGATCAGACCGCGCTGTACTCAGTTATAAAGGTCGCCCGTGTCAGGTTTTTTTCCACGGGAGTGTATACGATGAATTTCAGGTTTCTTATGGGTAAGCGTCAGGATCTCAGCAAGTCCAGCTACCACATTCCGGGAATGTCTGTAGACTTCATTTAGATACGACGTCAAAACCCTTATGGAACCGCCCGACATACCTGAGGAAATATGTGAAGTAACTTGTTCCAGTACGCGCATGATGCATCCGCCGAAAAGTGATCGCCAGGATCAGCTCCATTAGTGTTCAAGCCGAGGATGGCAAGCGACGTTGTATCCTTGGTGTCATACTTCTTCCAGCCAGGTATTTCCGGGCCTTTAGTGGGATCTGGGATAGGATCGTCATGCATGATGCGTGGCAGTAGAACGACGAACGCGCTTACCCTTGATGAAGTTGGTCCAAGCAGTAACCATAAGGTTTGAGATTGCTATCTCCTCCGGAGTTGCAGCAACAAATGGCTGCGATTTGATAATGGTCCTAACATGGTCAGATGCAATGTAGCCCCATATCTTCGTCGTTTTGGTGGATTTACCTCCAGGTTCCCATTACGAAACGAATATCTGAGCCTGACGCGAAAACGCTCAGCCTTGCGTTGACAGACAGCAGGGCCAAGCTCTACCATGAAATGTTCCAATGCTAGTGCCTTGAGAGTTAAGGTTGGACGCCAGCAAGTCGAACCGGTACCTCCACACCGGCAACACCAAATCGTCCGTCCGGTGAGTGGCCAGATTATGGGCCAGGCAAAGCATGTGAGCGTCCTGTTGTCAGGTTGTCCATGAGCCTGGTCCCCATCCGCACAAGTACGACGGCATCTTACTCTCCACATTCCAGCAGTTGCATTGAAGGTTGCTGGGAACTGCGTCGACGGCACGGGATAAAGTTCCTCTAGCTTGGTTACGTTGTTCCAGGGAATGTTCAAGTTGTTGCTTTTACTGCAGCGAGGCTCAACTTGATCAGGTAGCAGAAGTCAAGAGGATCGGACGGCATACCAGTAAGCAGATATATTGCTGAAGTATGCAGTAGGCTCTGTATTCACAATGAGTGTGCCTTCATCCTTCCGACGTGCCGCATCAACACGCATGAACCAAGCTCAATACTGAGACGTACGTGGTTCGTGCCAATTAGCAACGGCACCTTGTTCGTATGCCCCGCCTTGGTCTGGGCCACGTAACTGCGATGGAACGCCTCCTTCAACTATCCGGAATATATCATGACCGTAACGAAACTTACTCATAGAAGATGGTGCGATTGTCAGTTACAGGCTGAAATTGCGCGTTCGTGCTGATCTGCGCGCTTTGCAGCTCCAGCACCAGCGTTTTGCGCAAGCAATCCAACATGCCCTTCCCGGTCGTGCAACTGACATTCGTGGCGATAATCTTGAGTTGCTGGTCAATCGGCCACATGGGCTGCGCGGCTGAAACGGGCGCAAGTCTGATCAGCAAGTTTGGGACTTTCGAGATGCGCTGCACGTACTGTCAGCGCTTTGCATGACCGCCCCACGAATGAGAGGGTCGTCAGGCCAACCGGACATATATTGGTTGGTTGTCTCTGAGAATGCAAATGAAGCTTTGTCATCTCAGGGAGTCGTCGAAGCTGCTAACCTGCTCCAACGGACTCGCCTTGAACGCATCATCAGTTCAGGTGCATACTGAGGGGACGCGATTGTTATACCTCCGAGGACAATTTTGTCTGGGTCTCCACCGAAAACTCGCGCGTTCGCTCGTATCCACTCAACAGCAGCCCGAGTATCGAGTAAGCCGATATTCTGTGTTGCACCCGAGGCCTTGATCTCTGACGAATGCGGGTAGCCGAACAGTGCGAGGCGGTAGTTATAGCTGGCGAAGACGAGGCCTCGTTCGGCCATGTAAGATCCGTCGATTTTGGGATCTGACGAGGCGCCGGTCGTGTATCCCCCGCCACTGTCCACTCGAGTCATTGACTGGTTTAATTCGGAATCTTTGAACGTACTGCGTGTAGAGGTAGATAGGCAGGCCCGATGCATTGACAGGCGCAATCACGTTGATGCGTAGGCAATCTTCGCTTTGGACTTCAGTGCCGTTACCGCCGTCAGCACTGCCAAGTCTTTGACAACAGTCAGTTGTTATTATGCTGGCAAACTCACGCCGCCTGGATGCACGCAGGCCCAAAGGCGTGTCCATCGAAGGTCGCCTTCGACGAGTATGGCCGAGGCGGACGCCAGCGGTTGTTGCCAGACGTGTCTTGCGCATAACGAATACCGTACCACTTCTTGAGCTGGACGGTGGTTCCGTTGGTGTCGTCCATAAACCCTTGGACGGGGCCAGAGGTCGTATGGGCCAGCAAAGCCGGCCCAACACTGGCTGCCGCAGCTCCCAGCAGCGATGTGAGAAAAATTCGCACCAACATCGTGGTCGTTGTGAATGAATCTCCAATACATCGCGACACCTAGTCGAGACTTATACTGGTCATTTGACGGACTTCTTGCACGAGAAGGACTGATCGCGTTCCGCAGTGATCCAGACTGGGGCGCGACGGGTGCACCTCGGCGAATGAACTCACCGAGGTCCTAGCGGACAGCACATAGACGACGACCGACATGAACATCAACCTTCTTTGTGCTTCCGGAAGTGCGCAGGTCGTAAAGGTTTATATTCTCAGGGGATCACGCCACCTCATTCGACATACACAAGGTCATCCTTCGTTTAACATGAATGTTGTCAATAATAGGCACAACCTCGATATTCATAAGACACACCGACTTCTACCATAGAGCTCCCTGCTAAGGGACGCAGACACGGATTCATCTAGTCACATTTCGCCAGTCCCATCTCCACAAGCGTGTTCCCGGTTTTCACAAAATAATAGTCCCCATACACGATCCCCGTCAGGTTGTTCGGAGGATTAGTAGGGTTATTGACCGTCCCGTTCAACAATAGGCTCTCCCATTCTGGGCGCCAAGCAAGTTTCGTGTTCGCCGATATGATCTGACGTGATGGGGGACGATTAGAGATATTATAGGATGTGCGAGTGAAACCAGTTCCGCGCACGTTGAGGGCCGCATTGATCCAATGAGTCGCACCGCTATGATTGGCGGGTTTGAGAGCGAGTTCTTGTTGAGCAAGTAGGAGCAGGCCGGACGAAGCGATCATCGCGGCACTGCTGTCAGCTGGACGAGGCGGCCCAAGAGGGGCATTGAAATCCCTAATGCAAGGTCAAGTTAGAGACGGGTCTCGGTATGCATTGTATTGCCGCGTCTTACCAGGGGACAACACCATCTGCGGGTAAGTTGTCCACAAAGTAGGACGCGGTGCGGCGCGCGGTCTCCAGGTAGTCCGGAATCTGGGTATTCGCGTATACTGTCGTTCCCGGGTTAGATAAAAACGGACAGAGATCGGAGAGACGCACTGTTCGCAAAACCATAGATAGCCCAAGATTGGCCGCGCGACCACGTGCTATTGTCCGCGTACCCTTGCGACGTGCGTCGGCGGATGACGGCGCCTGTGGTCGAGTTGTACTCGACGACGTGGAACGTGGAGCCTAAGGGTATGGAGTTCAGATAGATGATCTGGAATAGCGCGACGACCGTCACCAACCGTCTGGGCGAACGTGATTTTCCATGGTCTTGTTCGCGTGCGAGATGGCCATTTCGCGATAGGTGCGGTTGCCAGTTAGAGCTTCAGAATTGAAGAAGACCTGATTGGCGTTCAAACTTGAGGGTCCAAGAACGCGGATAGACGCGTACCTCGAGATTCATCATGTTGTCGATGATGACCTGGTACGACCGTCGTCAACCGCCTCCTTTGACCGCGATGAAACATTCGCTCACCTGAAAATCGGTCGGGTCGGCGGTATCCCAGGAGCGCGTGCAACCCACTATAGGGTTGAACCGTCCAGCCAGATGGTTTGCAAACGCATTCACCGCCGTGACTGCCGTCTGGTTGTCGGGATTCCTACCTCACGTCGTCATCATCAAACAGCATACATGTACGCAAACAACCTACACCGCCAACTCGTCCACGAACGGGAAACTAAGGAATCCGACGTCGTGCCCCACACCGGTGTTGATCTCCAGCGGTATCTCTGCCGTACTCCATGCCCTCCCCAGATCGACCCAGTCGGCCCCCTTAGTGTTCGCCACCGATTTCGGGCAAAGCGTGCTGCGATCCTGCATAGCATACAGCGTCGCGGGGAAGAACCCGGTCGTCCATGTGTCGGGCACGAACCAGAGCCATGACCCGGTATCTCGCGTGGTGTACTGGGGATAGACCCGAGACGCGAGTGAGGAGGTGTTCTGCGCTATTGCGAGGATCTTCTGCGAGACGAGAGGAGAGAAAAGTTCAGGGGGGGCCTGGTGAGAAGTGGCCAAGGCGTTCGCCGTAAGCGCACAGACAGTTAGGGCGAGCGACAGCATGGTGGACGTACCGGCAAGTCAAGACCGCTGAGGATGCCTTATATGAAGCATGCGCGATTCCTGCATCGGCCTGATTTGCGTCGAGCAGGCATGCAGCTGACCCTCGTTCGTGCGGCGTAGAACCTGGAGCGTGCTTCGCCGTGACGTTGCTTGCGTGTCACGGGACAAACGCGTGCGTTCGTGGGACCCAGTCCTTACCGCTACGGCCTTGCAGACTCTAGAGTACGCCGTCTGCAGCTCATTATCTCACCCGTAGTGCTCGTCCTGGCTGTTCCAAGGCGGCAGCGGTACTAGTGTAGAGAGAGGTGGAGAGTCGCTGCTCCGGGAGGTTGCGGAGCCCATGGGTCGAATACATGCGTGCAACACGTGAGAACTGGCAACCACCGCAGAATCTGAAGTCCAGGAGAGGCCAAGAGGCCTGATTATGAATCCTGACGCGGATGAATGAGCAAAAGGTGCCTTCGTATCATGAAGCGCGCTGGGAATCGACGCTCGTGCTGCCACGAGAAACAGTGCTGACGTTCCATGGTGTTGTGCTCCCTGAAAATGAGGGCGAATTGGTACGAGCGACATCGACAACGTTTGCATGTCATCCCCGCAAGATGGAGATAGCAACGACCAAGTGTGCATATGCGCATGTGGCCGCTTGACATAGGCTCGGAACTGGTCTCCACATATTCCTGACGTTTTTTTTCTGCACTTTCGCCCAGGAAGACATTGCTAGAGCACCGAGTGCTTGTATTGCAAGCAGTAGAGACCGCAGGCGCAGCCTTCCAAAGTTCCAGCGAATGCTGCGGCCAGCCCAAAAGCTGAAACTGGTCAAGTCAGAAACACAGCACGATCGCTGCGGCGCGCTTGCCTGGTGGCTGACGCGCGCACCACCGTCACCCCGAACTTCCATCATCTAACGACCTCCTCTACCCTCGTCCACCATGTCTGCCGGCCTTGGAAACGAGGTCCTCACCGTTATCAACAAACTTCAAGACGTATTCACCGCCGTCGGCACATCCGCGTCGGCGGTAGACCTCCCGCAGATATGCGTGCTCGGCAGTCAGAGTAGCGGAAAGAGTAGTGTGCTCGAGGTTGGTGCAATAGTCAAAATACGCTGGGACGATCTCAAGAGCTCTGTAGAACATCGTTGGTCGCGATTTCTTACCTCGTGGAACGGGTATCGTGACTCGAAGACCTCTGGTGAGCAATGATGATAAACTTGCACGCACCCGATTGATCGTGTTTTAGGTCCTGCAACTCATCAACCGACCAGCAGGGACGAACAAGGAGGCTGCCGGTGGTGTGTACTCTGAGGTTTCCGTGTATGCGCTGATAGGTGACACGGCGAAACATTAGTACCGAATGGCGCGGACAAGCAAGCCAACGCCGACGAGTGGGGCGAGTTCCTTCACCTCCCGGGACAGAAGTTCTACGACTTCAACAAAATTCGAGAGGAGATCGTCCGCGACACGGAGGCCAAGACCGGCAAGAACGCCGGCATCTCCCCGCTACCTATCAACCTCCGCATCTACTCGCCCAACGTCGTCACTCTCACCCTCGTCGATCTCCCTGGCATGACCCGCGTCCCCGTCGGAGACCAGCCGAAAGACATCGAGAAGCAGATCCGGGACATGCTGCTCAAGTACATCAGCAAGCCAAGCTGTATCATCTTAGCGGTGACGGCAGCGAACACCGATTTGTCCAACTCGGACGGTTTGAAACTGGCGCGAGATGTGGATCCGGAGGGAACAAGAACAATCGGTGTGCTGACGAAGGTCGACTTGATGTACGTTGATATTCAAGTTTGCACGAGTTTTCGCTGATCGGTCCCTAGGGACCCTGGCACGGATGTCGTTGACATTCTCGCCGGGCGCGTCATCTTCCTACGGCTTGGATACGTACCCGTCGTCAACCGTGGCCAACGAGACATCGAGACCAACAAGCCCATCCAAGCCGCACTCGAGTACGAGCGCCAGTTCTTTGAAAACCACCCCGCTTACAAGGGCAAGGCGCAATACTGCGGCACGCCCTTCCTTGCGCGCAAACTCAACATGGTGAGTGGACGAAGCTTTTCGTATTGATGAATTTGTGCTAAGACCAGCAAACCAGATCCTCATGCAACATATCCGTGCCACGTTACCTGACATCAAAGCGCGCATCACACAACAATTGGCGAAATACAACGCCGAGCTCCAGTCCCTTGGCGGTCCCATGGGCGGCGACTCGTCAAGCAACATGGTCCTGCAGGTCATCACAGAATTCTGCTCAGATTACCGCTCGGCGATTGACGGTAATATCAACGACTTGGCATTGAACGAGTTGTCGGGTGGTGCCAGGATAAGCTTCGTCTTCCACGAACTGTTCAACCAAGGAGTGAAGAGCATAGATCCTTTCGACCAGGTGAAGGATGGCGACATCAGGACGATCCTGTACAACTCTTCGGTGAGCATATCCAGTGCAGTTGCGTGATAGATGCTTAACATGTTTTCCTCTCGATGTAGGGCTCGACCCCCAACATCTTCGTCGGCACCGCTGCCTTCGAGATCATTGTCAAACAACAGATCAAGAGGCTCGAGGACCCCAGCTTGAAGTGCTGCCAGCTCGTTTATGACGAACTGATCCGCATCCTTGGGCAATTGCTCGGCCGCATCGTGAGCATTCCATATCGTCCGACCCCCGGGAAACGTTAACCCTTCGCATCTTAGCAACACTTCCGCCGATATCCCGCACTACGCGAGCGCTTCAACTCCGTCGTCGTCAACTTCTTCAAGAAGTCGATGACGCCGACGACGAAGCTCGTTACCGATCTTGTAGCGATGCAAGCGTGCTACGTCAACACCACGCACCCCGACTTCCTCAACGGCCACAAAGCGATGGCGATCGTACAGGATCGCCTGAACGCGAACAAGCCCCAGCACACGCAGTCGAAGGACGGCAAGCTTCCCCCTGGGGCAATCAACAACAACAAGGACCTGGATGTGGAAGTGAAGAAGGAGGAGGCAAGCTTCTTCGGCTCCTTCTTTGTGAAGAATAAGCAACCGGCGAAGAAGGGTGCAGCTGTTATGGAGGCTGTACGCGCTCGAATGCTCCTGAAAGATCATCCGACTAATCGTTCTTCGTCAGCCCCCGCCGGTCATCCGTCCCCAGGCTGCGTTAAACGAGCGGGAAACGATGGAAACCGAAGTCATCAGTGAGGCTTTTGCATACCTTAAGGTATTATACGTGTTGCTGATTGGTCGACCTTGCAGAGCTCCTCATCCACTCTTACTTCAACATCGTAAAGCGCGAGATGATCGACATGGTCCCCAAAGCCATCACGCTGACCCTCGTTAGCTACTCTAAGGAGAACCTCCAGCGCGAGCTTCTGCAGGAGCTTTACAAGCCGGACGTTTTGGACGACTTGATGAAGGAGTCGGACTACGTCGTCAACAGGAGGAAGGAAGTCGTCTCGATGGTGGATGCGCTCAACAAGGCGGAGGAGTACGTTTTTCTAACGGCCTTTGCTTTTGAGCAGGCAACTGATCATTCATCCCGCGCAGGATTGTGGCGGGCGTATGAGCGGGTAGATCTGTCGGCATTATTTGCGACCTTGGCCTGGGCTACAGAACACTCTCCCTACACTTGCAATGGTTCTTGTCTGTTGAGTACACGTATAATACCCGGATTAGTATGGATGTTCTCTATCTTACTATCTGCTGGAGGCGGAGAGCACTGGACGCTATTCGGCATAAAGTTGCTGACGTTCGCCTAAGGGAGAATACGATGTTCACTGTTTCCCAATCTGTCCTAACACTACAAGTGAATGATATGCTTATCCATCTCGGAATTAAGGTCATGCGAAGGTCGTTCGATCATCGTCAGCACTTCCGTTGCGCGATGCGGTAGCGAGACAACCTTCGACGACGTCCAACAGGGCGGAGTTCTCCAACGCAGCAGCTACACGCTCTTTATCGTTTAGTTGCTTGTTGACTGCTCGCAGAACCGTCAGACAATTGTCCTGGGTACATGATGATGATGGCGCACCTGCATGCTCGCTTTGGTGGGAGCCGGGTTTGACGCGGATGTCAATCTTGTAACGCTGCGGTAGGCTTCGCAAAAGCCGGACGCGTATCGACAGGCCTAGTTGCATTTCAGCCGGATGCAAGTCAAATGAGATGTCAAGTCAAACCTATGAGGGTAGATGCACCACAGTGAGGTACGGTCGGTGTGAACTCCACCGCGACATGGTTATTCATTACGGCCACTTGAGGAGCCGAGACGACCATAAGCTGCTCCAACGTCATATTAGGATGTTCTGGATCGCTGATATGACGGATTAAGTCTGCTTAATAGTCAGATACATTGAATTTGGGCAACGATCTGAAAAGAACACTGGACCTCCTACGTACCAAAGATCTCATTCTGGTCGATAGGCTCAGGCTCCTCTGATTCCTCTACAGATTCATCGCTCTCATAGTCCGAGACCCAGAGTGACGTTTCCTTCGAAGGTCCAAAGGAACGACGCCTTGTGCTTGCGCTGGGTGCGTAAACGGTGGGGTTGGGATTGTAAGAATCCATACGGTATATTTCTGTCATTCACCCTGCGCTGCTCAGCTCAGTAAGCCGACGGCAGACATGTAGCTCACGTGATCCTCCCAAATTATGGCGGCGCGTGCCTGCAGTGGAAGCGCGCGACGCGACATCCCCTTCGCTCTTGTACTTGCCCCTTCAGTATTGCAAGTTGCTTGCCTCTACCAGCCCCGAACGTTGAAGCTTTCCAAGTGCTGCAATGCCACAGAAGGTATGGCGCACGTTGCAATCGGCGAAACAACGAGGAATGATGGCTATGTGTGTAGCGCAAACGTGCCGCCCCAACCGCAGAGGAAACTGTTGGGAGAGCTACGAGGTCCACGCGGTCTTCAACCAAGGCATCAGGTGCAGAACTGAAGGAGAACGGAGGGACATCAGTGACTGCAGAAGAAAACGTTGTGAGACCTAACAGCAATATATGGGTATATATCCGCTCATGCGGTGTCGCAGGCACCAGCTACTAAAAGGGCCAAAACTACCGCAAAACCGCAGTACGGGCTTCCATGGCGCTACTATCTCCCATTATGCTGATCCACAATACCTCTTCCTTATGGCTGCGATACTTGTTAGAGGAAACAAGAAAGTATGCGTCAATGCCCGTGCCACAATGCCTTTGATAGCTCACATACTTGATGCAGGCGGAGAATAAGGGTCATACAAAAGCCCAAGCTCCTTTGAGGCAGGACCTCGCAGTTAATGTGTATGTTCGCACCATCACTCTATCTTCGGCTCACCATCAGTAATCGCTCCCTCACTATGTCCTCGATTCTCCAGGAGTACGTTGTCACGTGCCTGCGTCAAGCTATTTATGCTCTTTCTCTGTAGGACACAGCACTTGTCACCACCACGTGGGTCTATTCATCCTCCGCCTTTGTTCACGATAGCCTACACGCGCTGGGCTATATGGCCCTCGGCGCTGGTTGAGCGGTTTCTATCTCCTTATACCTCCCGCACTCAAGCCGCGCGTTGCTATCATGCCCTTCTCACTTCTTTGCTGCGTTTCGGACAAAACCTTCGATGCTGACGAGAAGCCTTCATCACGCAACGGATATAGCGCCAGTTCCAATAGTGCCATCGCCACCGCTGGGCCAAGCTCTCCTACCGTCAAGACCCCGGCGTCGAAACCGAAGTCGAAAGGAAAGCCTGAGCCCTATGCGGCCAACCGCGCCCAGGAACTGTTCGACGCCTACGCGGATGAGGACGATAAAGAAGTCATCGGCGCGGAAGGTTTCGAGCGTTTGTGCAGCGATGCGGGGCTGCCGCTGGACGGCGCCCTTCCGCTAGTATTGTCTTGGCAGTTGGACGCTAGCGATATGGGGCAAATTTCGAGAGAACAGTGGACCAAAGGCACGAGCGCGTTGCAGTAAGTCTCGAGAGTCTCGTCGTGGTCAGATGGCCATGCAGATGACGCCTTAGGATCTCAAATCTACACGCTCTCACCACATGTCTCACCGACTTGGAGAATCTTTTGTTGCTGGAGCAAGAGCCCGTAAAGCGTGGATCCAAAGGCGTGAACGTTCCGTACAACCGGGAGCAATATTTCAAGTACGCTGATGACCGCAAATCGGCATTTGGGAAGCTTTACGCATTCTGCTTCATCTTGGCCAAACAAGGGTGAGACCCGCAATGGAATACTCTGGTGTTCGCCGCGTTGATCAGGTGAATTTCGTTGTGCAATCATAGAGAGTCGAGGAATATCCAAATGGACATAGCCTCTGCATTCTGGTCGGTTCTGCTCGCGCAGCGATATCCTTTGATGAAGGAGCTGCTTGAGTTCATAGCAGTGAGTTCTGGTCATACTTCTCTGTTCACTTTTGTCTCATTCCCAACTGCAGGAAAAGGGGACATACAAATTCGTTACCAAGGATATGTGGAACATGGTCGGTGTTCACACTCTTGGACACGGTCTCGAACTCAACTTTTGAACAGACATGGGAATTCGTCCAGCTTACTGATCCCAACTTGGAGAACTATGACGAGGCTGAGGTGAGCCCACCTTCGATTTTTCGCTTCTGTCCAGCTTGCAAACGTGCTCCTTCGCAGGCATGGCCTACATTGATTGATGAATTTGTCGCCTGGAAGAAGGCAAAGGCTTCCACATAACCAACTGCATCTTTGGCACGAACTGCATTGCTCCTCTCTAATTTACTAGACCAAATAATTCTTTCCCACATCGGACTCTGCATCATCGTTGTTTAATAAACGCACGGATTGCTCTCGTATTCCATTCGCATGCTATGTCCATACACTTTCCCCAGCAATGATCAACCAAACCCGATGGCATACGACCCCGAATTTGTAGAATTTGAAACTAACGGCAACGCTCGTATTGCTTGGGTACGCTGCAAGAAACCTGACGCCGAACGCAAGCAATGACGTCAAAGCCCCACGGGCAACGTTGAATAATAGTCTGGAGTGCATGTTCAATTCGTCCAACGAACGCGTGCAGCACTCTTCGATATCAAGCCGTCCATCGCTCTCGAACACTCGCTCGCACAATTGTTACAAAACGTCACCCATTAACCAGGATGCCGAAGTACGCCGGTTTATGCTAAGGACTGCCGTGCAATCGAGTACGAGTTAACGCTCGACTCCCCCGATTCTGCGCGCACGTCGCTATGCCACTGCACGAACTGCAAAGTCCGCCTTGGCCTCCAATTAACTTGACTGGCTGACAGTTTGCCCCTTCTCCGTGGTCTCCATCTAGAAAGCATTTGGTGGTGCCTTCGGTTTGACGGCAAAGGTTTCTAAGGATGCGATCCGGTACACGAAGGGCAAGACGCAAGAGCACGCGGCTGACAACGGAAGTGGGACGATTCTGCATCGCGAGTTCTGTGACATCTGCGGGAGCTTCATCCTTGAATATGGGGTATGTATCCCCCGGTTACGGAGCTCCGGTCCAATAACTTAAGGGGTGGCTTGACCAAATCTTCGTGAGCAGGAACCGGAGAAGAACATATCGCGATACGTCTGCGTGGCCTCCTTGGATGATCCAGAGGCGTTACCACCTAAAGGCGAGTTCTTCTGCAAATCCAGGGTGAGCTGGATGTCGGAAATTCCAAGTGCGTGGCAGGGGTTTGGCAAGAGAGCGCTTCATGGACTGACAATCGGTGACAGATGTGTTCCACAAAAAGGAGATCAATGTTTAAGGCACGACGGTGGGGATAAAGTGGGGTGGAGATCCGGAGTGGTGTTGAGAGCGTGCACTATTTTATGACCTAAGGCTGGGTTATATGATCTTCGTAGAATTGGCCATTTGATGGGCAGCTAGCTGAGATCGGAGACTTGAGGAACCAGCAATACACAAAAGCCTTATTCTTGTCAAGACCTTGAGTCCATGGACGTTCGTGGTGCCGCCGAGGTTCTGCCTTCTACTCCTTAACTGCCTCCTTTATCGAGTTGGCCTGCCGTTCAAGGCTCTTGTAGATACCAGCGATATCCTCGAGTGAAAGCGATTGTTCTGCCTGGGCGTCCGCGGCCAATTTCAATGAAGGCAGATTCCTTCCGAAGGAGGGGAGTACTCTTGATGAGTGAACCCCGCGGTCTTGCAGGGGTACGCCATCACGAGATGCAGGCGGCGGGGAGGAACCAAGACGTAAACCGTAACGCTCGTGGACATCCAGCCAGCGTCCTTCGATCACCGAGTCACTGGAGTTGGCCCATAGGATGCAGCAGTAAATGACCAGAGTGATACCCAAGATGCATCCCAAGAGTCGAATTCGATAGCTTGTTCGCGAGGCCCTGGCGCGACCGAAGGCGACAGTCAGCATGAGTGGGAGAGCGGGAGATTGAGGTAGACTCTAGAGCGCCATCGACAGCCATCAACTCATGACTTACATAAGCTTGCCAGTCACATTCGATGAATGATACAACGCCGATTGAGTCGGACTGACTCCTTGCCGATCCCGCGCATACATTCGACTCATACGCCAGTCACCAACAAGTTCCCATCACCAAACCAATGGCAATAAATTCCAGAGTGGTCTATCAGATACTCAGACGACCAGCGCTGTTCACGTTCACGCAGTCTCCTGATTGAGGTAGACGCATCAGTGATCTGTGAAAATATCGAACGCCCACTAGCACAGACATGTCATCTGCCGTTTTGACCACGACCCAGTTGCCTCGCTTGCGACAACTACTGGTGGACTGGGAGAAGAAGCAGCCGCCTCTCAAACCCTTCTCCACGTCCCTGGAGGACATCAAGGCGCGTTCCGAACGCACTGCCGTGTTCGGCGACGCGCTCGACGACGGAAGCAAGGACGTGATCGTCGCATTCAGGACGCGACCCCCTCTCGAGAACGAGGCGGCGACCCAGTTCGTTACCGCGAACGAGGATGCAGGGAGCGACCCTCGCGACGTGGAGTTCTGCCCAGGCATCACGGTCGCCAGCGAGGAGCCCGGTGTGTTTGTGGCGCATACGCCCAGCATGAAGGTCTGTTTTGCTGGTGTTATGTCTATTTCGTATGTTGAGATCAACATTGACCTGTAGTGGAATGGACCTGCGCTGGCACATAAACCCTTTGACGCCGACCTTGCCTTTGGGCCCCACACGTCCAACGAAGAATTGTACCAGCGTACAGTCGTAGCTAACGATGTGTGTATATTGCCTGAGGATTGTTCATCGCTTCCAAGCCTAATTTGGTATACGCTCAGCTGGTTCCGCTGGCATTGGGAGGCGGCATCGGATGTGTTCTCTCATATGGCCAGACGGGCAGTGGTAAAACGTACACCATGGAAGGCCTTGAGCACCGCATCGCCCGCGATCTCTTTGATGTGGCTGACGTCGTTGCAAGGCGCTTCGTTGCCGCAGAGGCGAAGAAACAGTCTACATCCGATGAGCAACCATTCGCTGGCCAGGAAGAGGTACATGCAGCGGACGTCTTCACTTTCGAGGTTACCTTCCTGGAGCTGCTCGGTACATCCGCTGTGGACCTCGTCGACGGTACGACGGGCGTGGATGCGCAAGGCAGCGCCATCCGCAAAGAGATTGCTATCCGTGAAGATAAGGTATGCTCTGACCTCGCCGTATCGTCTATCGGGTTCGCTCAGAACCGCTCTCTAAGGCTGGCAATGTTGTCCCGCACCTTATCTCGACGCCGGTGCACTCGTCGACCGAGCTGGAGGACTTGATCACGAGCTCGCTCTCGCATCGCCGTACTTCCGCCACTCTACGCAACGCCCGTAGCAGCCGCAGTCATGCCCTGCTCACCATCAGGGTTAAGAATAAGCTCTTGCCATGGGCTGAGGAGGGCCAGCTGATTCTTGTTGAGTACGCACTCAGGCCGTCGAAGCTCATATGGTCGGGCGAACTGATTATCTCCTTCCAGTTTGGCTGGTAGTGAGCGCTATGAAGACTCGAAGGCGCACGACAAACAGCGCATGGATGAGTCACGGGAGAATAACAAAAGTCTGATGAATCTCAAGGAGTGCGTCCGCGCCAAGGCCAGAATGGCAGCAGAAGATGGATTCGTTCATATTCCATGGAGGATGAACAAACTCACGATGCTGCTGAAGGTTCGTTCTCTCTTAGTATCCTCCATGTATAAACGGGGTGATGAAGAGGATTCTTCCGTTCTGCAGCCAATATTTGACATCGAAAGCCGTCAGCTGTCGAAGGCAATCGTCATCGCGCACGTTTCACCTCATATCCAAGACTCTGTGCACTCGACCTCGACTCTCGGCTACGCGGCCCCATTCAAGACATCTCCACCAAAGCGTCGCGGTCCTGCGCCTTACGACTCCGTTGATCCCAGGACATGGAATCATGAGCAGACGATCGCGTGGTTTAAACGCGAGTTCGCGGAGAAGATGGTAGAGCAGAAGGGCACGGGCGCTCGAGGCCAAGAAATCGTGGACATAGACGTACTTTGCCCTGGAGACATGACCGCACGCCATTTCGGGAAGATGACGACGCCCGAGTTCGTTGCACGGTGCTTGCAGGCCGTGAAGCCGACGGTGCGGACAGTCGACTCGGGGCAGGCGACGGATGGAGACGCCGTCTGGACCGCTGACGCGCTTAAGGAACTTGCGGCGACCGTTGTGGGCAGTTTGTTCTACCTCCTCCTGTCGGCCAAGACAAAGAAGCGCAACCAGGTTATGCGCACCCGTAAAGGCGTTGGCGATGTTACCGAAGCGTATGGTGCGACTCCTTACCTCTTTGTTCGGGATAGCAGGTGTTCACGCGACGTGCAGGAGCTGCCCCAAGCGATGGTTACAGGCCGGATCCATGGACAGATGAAGAAGAGTTTGAAACCAAGATCTATTTCGACAAGGAATGGAACACTGTGAGCGACGCTGCCATGAAGCCTCATCGGGACAATGGTGACTGGGAGAAGGCTCGAGAAGCGCTGCGAACTGCTCGTCTCGGCCTGATACAACAGTGGCGCGAGGCTAGAAAGGAAGGCAGGGCTTGATCAAGGCGAGGGCCTGGAAGGCTAGCATCGTGCGTATTTGATTGGATATACAGTAGACTGCAGGACGACGATGCAAATGGTGTGTCCATGTGAGATCGCATGTGCATAAGTACTTCATTATATGCGGATTAAATTGTTCGTTGCGTTACAAGCTAGTAGTCCCATTCGGAAGGCTTGAGCCTCTGCATTTTCTCCATCGCTTCCCGCACCTCCGCTTCCGCGAAGACGGCAGCCTCCTTCGCCACAACCAGCTTCTCCTCCAGCTCCTGAATCGTCATCAGCCGCATCTCATCTCCACTCCCGGTCCCCACATATCCCAGATTATCGAAGCGACGGAGCGTGTTTCCCACACGCGGCGCAAAGCCATACTTATCCCAGCCCTTGTCGTTAAAGGAGAGCACAGCGCGGACAGCGGCGGTATTGATATCTCTATGCAGCTCTTCAAGCTTGGAGAGTTGAACTTCCATCCAGCGGGCACGACGTTCCAGAGCCAAGGTAAGCGCCGCCACCTCATCTTCCTTCGCGCTGCCGTCTTCACCATTATCATCCAGGAAATCGTCGCCTTTGAGCATGTCGCGAAGCACGCCGTCGAACGAAGAACTGTCGTCCCACGTGGTGCGCGGAAGGAGTCTCAAGAGGTCGGAAATAGTCTGAGTCAATGTCTCAAGGAGTTGTTGGAAAGAAGATACTGCGTTGTCGATGGAACCCGATGGCATATTGTTGGCGAACGAGCCACCGCCAACCGACAGAGCGGAGAGAGCATGTACGAGCGGGCCATACTCCAGCGGCATCTTCGCAGCAGGATTGATTTTCGATAGATCGAAGAAGGGATGTTTGGATATATTCATCCAAGGCTGTCGCTCATCGATCTGCTCGAGCAGTGCGGCGATGGAAAGCGGGCCAGTAGGGAAGGGCGGCTCTGTTGACTGGGAACGACCGTGTGTCTCGGCCAGCGACGAAGGTCGGGAAGGGACTTGCGGGGCATCCGATGCAGCCGATGGCAATGTCGAGGTGGTGTCATGGATAATATCGCCTTCCTTGGGGATCCGGATAGGTTTGGTAGCAGGCTTGTTCTTCTTGGGCATTCTCGACAAAAGTGGTCCTTGCATCGGAGCCTCAGGGGTAATTGGAGAAGTCGGAACCTCCTTATGGGCCTTGGTTGCCGGACGGGCATCTGGACCGCCCGCTTGCTTTGAGGCTTTCTCTGCTTGAACAGCCTTCCTGGCCTCTCTGGCCGCTAAGGCAGCCTTCTCTCTCGCCGCCCTTTCCTGCTCTAGCCTTTGCCTTTCTGTCTTATCTTTCGCCGCCCGCTCCGCCTTCAGTTGCAAAGCCCGCTCCTTGTCCGCTTTTTCCTTCTCAGCTCGTAGCCTCTCCTTTTCCAGTCTCTCTTTCTCCTTTTCGAGCTTCAGAGCGGCAGCTCTTTCCTTCTCCGCAGCCTTTTCGGCGGCTAGTTTCGCTTTTTCGGCCGCCCTTGCAGCTGCCTTCTCTTGCGCAGCCTGCGCGCGAGCTGCAGCACGTTCAATGGCTGCAGCTTTCTTCGCAGCTTTACGCGCAGCCTTGTCTTGCGCAGTGGTATCGATGATCGTCGTATCTTCGGGAGTCGCCACCTCCTTAGGAGAATCGGCGGTCAAAGCCGGGAAGTCCGCGGACGACAAAGGGGGAGGAGATGGAGAAACGGGTGATGCGGATGTGGACACTGCATCGCCGCAAAGAATGGCATTAAGTCAGCGCCAGATTAAGGAATATAAGCGTGGGGGAGGGAGGATCACAACAACATGTGGCAGAAGGGACAAGGAAGACAAGGAGAGCATGGGCTTGCTGAGGATTCAGCGCCGGTAGTAGTAGTTCCGCACTGGCAAAGCACGGCTCGGCTCGGTGGACTCCCTCCCCTGAACATTGCGGAGGAATAACTTACCATGTGCGGAACCGCTAGTCTGGGATGGCTCGATACTTGAGGAAGGACCACTACCCAGTCCCAAGTTCGCAGTGTTGAGGCTGCCATTGCTCAGCTGGGGAAAGGATAGTCCTGGAGGCGGTGCGAACGATTGGCCAGGTTGTGGAAAGGGGTCCAGCCCAGGAGGCCCAGGAAACCGACTATCCGATAGCGCCTGTGCTCCACTGAAACTGGCGGACATGATCGCGGGATCGTTGAAAGGGGGACCCCCGGTCCTGTAAGGCACCGACTGATGGATACTCTCCACTATCCGGTTCGATTAGTCCTGACGGAACCAAAAACAATCGATAGCACTCACTCCCAAATGAACTCTGGCTTGCTGCCCTGCTCTGACTGCGCACGATGAAGTCACGCAGCTGCGCTTCACTCAAAGCGCTAGACATTTGATCTGCGAAAGGCTGGAAACGAGATCCTGGCGCCACGGCCGGCTGAGCCTGGACTGCGAGGGGCGAGCTCGCTGACGAAGGGGGGCGCATACCAAAATCTTGCCGTGCATGTTGCCATTGATGCGAATTAGGCCCATAAGTAGGATCGGGTGACATGTATGATTGCGCCATGGAATTCGTCCGGCTGATCGGCGAAGCATGGTGTAAGGAGGGCGTCGCCATCATCGGCGATGCCGTATGGAGAGGAGACGGAACCCCCGTGCCTGTGGACGCTTGACGTCCCCGTGCAAAATCGAACCTTGAAACCTTAGGGGTGGGATCATCATCCATTTGGGGAGGGCTTGATGTTGAGAGAGACGAGTCATTGATCTCCGCGAATGGATCGAAGGAGCCTGAATAACCTGTGCTAGGTTTCGCAATGCCCGGTGGACCAGCTGGCTCGCGACCGTCCAAAGGAAGCGACGAAAGCAATCCAGAGAACGAGTCCAGCGGCCCATTGGAGGCTATGTCGGTCAGTCCTGGTAGTTCCATGACGTTGTCGTTGATTTCTTTCCTGGACACCGAGGAGTCCCAGCTGAAGCTGAAGGCACCGCGTTCGCCATCCCCGCCCGTCAATACTGATAGAACGCGATCAAAGTCCGGGAACGGCGCAAGGCCTGTACCGGACCGCAAAGACTTGCGCCTTAGCCTGACGTCATCCAGGAGTGCCTGCGCTTGTGTGGACATCTGATAATTTTGCGAGCCTCTGGAAGAAAGAATCGGGGAAGCTGTATCCTTAGGTCGGGGCAGAGCTAGGCCGGGAGGCGCACCAAGTCCTGGAGGCGCACTTGGAAGACCGGGAGGTAAGATAGGATCGGATGGTACGGAGGGTATCGACGAGCGACCGGATGCTGCTGATTCCGGGCGGACTTCCGGCTCTGGAGGAGCAACAGGCGATTCCTGTGCAGCGGATGCAGGCTCTGAATCGGCAGTGAAAGACGATGCAGGGGATTGCGGTCGGGCAGACACCTGAATATCCTTTTCCGGCCGTCGCGGCTGCTTCAACTCGACTGGAGTCGCGGGGCGGGGTGGTAGTCCTGCGTTGACGGGCGTTCCAGGGCGAGAGATCGATGCGTGCGATGGCGTCTTCGCGCTGGTGGTCCCACGACGTTCCTCTTGAGGTTTTGCGGCTGTGTTGCTGGCTACGGCACCCCGTTGTCGCTGAGCAGCCCGCCTCGCTGGTCGCGTGGTAATGGGAAAGTCATCCACGATTGCCCGCAGTTGATTTGCAGGAGCTCTACCCTTGTTCGCCCATGCAGCGCCTCTAGGAAGTCCACCTTGTTCTGCGACATCAGTGATGAAAACGGACAATTTGTGACATTACTATACCATCTGCATCCCCAGCCTTTTTGCCCAGGATGGTCCGAGACCTTGTTTCCGTGTCCTTCATAGTATGTTTCCTATCGTAAGAGTGAGCATCGACGTCAAGACTGGGGCACAATAACATACAGTGTTGTAAGATCCTCCTTCGTAAAGCAATCCTTCTCATCGCTCCACTCGTGAAGGTTCATGCAGTTTCGGTCATTACAGCTGCGCCCGCGCAAGAATGCTATGCAATACTTCGTCGTCCCGTAACTGGCTCTCATGACCTCGTTACCGCCGCCGGGTGACGGTGCTCCGTCGACGGCGGCGATGGCGCGGGCTGCATCTTCACGCCGATTATAGGTGATATACAAGCCGACCACAGGCCCCTTGCCTCCTGGTGGCGTCCGCTTTACGATGAACACGTTTGATATCTTGCCGTATTGGCCAAAGAATTCGTTTGATCGAAGGGTCGGAATGAGCTATATGTGACGTCGTGGTAAGTAAAAAAATCAATCTCCGCAGCGGATGCCAACAGAGCGCACCTCTTCCTTGGCGAAGCGAGGACCGATCCCGACAACGTACACGACGTTCCGCTGAACTACACGGAGGTTGGCTAAGTGCCGCCGGTTGAGCGCATCCAGCTCCTTCCGTTCGCGTTCACGTTGTTTCTTTTGTTGCGTCAAACGCTTGTGGCTGACGCAAGTCCGTAAGCCAGGGACAAAACGCCGGTCAGCGGTGACTTACTCCTCCTTGGAAATCGGCTTAAATTGCACGCCATCCTCCGTGTACTCTCGCCGGCATGCAGGACAACGCCCGTTCAAGTTTTGCTTGATGTGGTTCCAGCAAAAGCGACAGATCTGAAGAAGGTGCCAGTGAGGCTTACAAAGCAATTGCGTCGGGCAACGACTTACTTGATAGCCACATACGCACGGCTTGAAGTTGAGATCGGATATGTCCATTTCTTCCAAGCAGAGCGGACATTCCTCATCATCCTAAGCAGTCATCAGAGCTGGAGAATTTCGAACTCGTGGTATTATCACGTACTGCTTCGTCGTCGCTCCAATACGCGTCCTGAACGCCAGCCAGGACATGCGACTTAGTTTGGGGCATCGAGAAAGCGGCGTGGGGCGCCGGCGCCGGAAGGTGTGCGTGTAACCTCGTAGCCATTATTCGTTGAAGGTGTGTTGAGCTGGTTGTTAGACCGCGTCGCTGGAAGTAACCGCGATGGTGGAAGGTAAAGAGTAAAACGCGAGGCTGGAGGCGGTGGTGCTCAGCCTCGTGTTCTGCACTTCCCAGGCTCATTGACCGAACTGGCAGCTTGTCTCCCTACGCCACCATTGCTTTGGGCCCATCTCTCGTTGATTCCGTATATACAACACTGGAATGTGAGGCAGTTCACTATCAACCGTACGTATGCTGCTTGCATGTATGACTCCCAAAATGGGTAAGAACGCTCATCGTAGCGTTATTGGTAGTCCCAAACAAAAACCTATCGCCTGGCATAGCGCACCGAGGTTCAGTGCGATCATAGATCAGATGTCGAAATCGTCGTCGTCATCCAACTCTTTCCGCCTCTGATACTGTGAAGATAGGATCAATGAGAGCGCCCGCAAGCCGAACGCCCATGAACTCAAGCCGGCAACTTACAACAATTGTTGCCTTCTTTGCGCTGGTCTTAGACTGTGCCTCCTCCGCCTACGATATAGAATAAGTAAGAGCTTAAGACAGCAGTGTAAGAAGATCTCGCCTGTTCCAGGAGTTCGATGAGCTGCTCTTCGCTAACCCGTCCTCGTAATTGTCCTGTCTGAGCCATCCTCAATAAAATGGACTCGATCTGCCGAGATCGTTCTGGGTTCGCCAAGGCTACACGTCTTACTGTGAGTTGCATGCCGGGTCCAGTATCGATGGCAATCAGTAACAGAGCATAGCGAATGCAGGGAAATTTGATCATTACACCAAGGAATCCAACCAACATTTCAGTAACAATCATGGCGTAGGTTTCCAACACCGCCTACGCACATCGCGCTCCTGCACTGGGTTCGAGTACGGTAGCCAAGAGGTTTCTGCGCATTTCCTCCTCAGCAGCCGCCCGCTGAGCGTCATCTCCCCCACTGGGGGCCTGGGAGCTCTGAGGTGTTGCTGGACTCCTCGTACTGCCTTGTTGCTTCAATTGGTTCAGGCGAGCAGCCCTGATAGCAGCAAGCTCAGGATCGTCGGACATCGCAACTGCTTGAACTTGAAGAGGCGGTGGTCAACTACACTTCACTGAGCAGGATGATAGGCAAGAGCGTACAGCCTCGTACAGCCACAGCCACGGAACTCAGAGACTACCAATCACTGTCAGGCAGTGTCACCGTCAACGCTGACTGCGAAGTCCCAACTCGATTTTGATCATGTATGCATAATAGCTTGAGTATGCTCAATTCATTGTGCCTGGACGATCGTAGCCTAATGTAGGCATAATTTTTCTTTGATCTCCATTGGTACTTATACCTAACGCCTCCAACAACGTTTGTGTTCGATCACATTCACAAAGGGATAATTCACAAGCTCGTACAATTCGTATGATGAGCGTGCGTCGTGGATGTGCTATACGAAGATTTCACGTACTGCTGCGCGGGGGAAGGATGTGGATGAACTGCGCAGTTCGATAATGACACAGACGACTACACGTATCTCCATCAGCGCACTGCGCACAAGCCGTTCGATCAGCTGGTCGTATGATATGCCATTGGCTGCAGCTTGGAGTGGGAAGTCGCTCCAGTCCGGGACCATCCCTGGAAGTGGGTTTATCTACATTGAATCAATACCGGTCAGCGGACGTTGTTACCGGAGACCCTGGATCAAGCCGACCTTTATGACATGAGGCTTCGCATCGGTTCCCATCCGGTCATACCGGACATCTACCCGACCGCCGTCACGGCACCCAAGGGCGTGCCATGCCCGAAGAGCTATCTCGGAAACGTCCGCGATGACCTGATCCATGGGGCGGATTCGAGATGCGACGCCTCTCTGTTGCAACATGCGAATCGCCGGATGGTCGACGACTGACCCACCGACATCATAGAATATGTAATGCGGGCAGTGCTGCCAGTCCGACATCTCCGCTGCGCCGTAAATACTGCACTCGCGAGCATGAGGATTCCCCAAAGGGGATGCCGATGTGGGTCTGAACACGAGCTCGGTAACACCGATGACAACGGCAAGCTCCGCTGTCCCGATGATACCGACTGTGAACTCCCTTCCTGATAGAAATTTCTCGACCAACAAGTCCTGCTCCGGGAAGCGTTTTGTGAGGCTTGAAATGACCGCGGGAAAGTCGTCTTCGCGGGTGATCAGGGAAGAAATATCCACACCTTGGCCAGAGCATTCGCAGGCGGGCTTGACGAAGAGCGGCAAAGTCTCGAGCGCGGCTTTCTGTACAGAGCTCGCGATGGCAACGGAGAGGGACATCTGGTAAGTACGGACTAGAGAGGTAGCCGAGATGATTGCATATGGAGCGGTGGGGATCTGATGATGGTCCAGAACCATCTTGAAGGATACGTTTTAGGAGAGAGACAAAGCTCATGCAGGCGGCTCGTACCTTGGTTGTCGCCTTGTTCATGCATACGGAGTAAGTTGAGGCGTTGGAAAAAAACGTGGTTGACGCGGTGTGCCTCCAAGAGGCTAGGAACCTGTGCTTCACGCGCACTGCCAGATAAGCCCTCGCACATATTGAAGACGACGTCCCAGCTCTGCCCTTGAGCAAGCCGTCGCACCAGTGACTTGATGTTACCGATCTTATCAACGTTGCCCAACAGCGAGAGTGCAGATGCGATACTCTCTATGGTCTCGTCCGAGTCGAGCACGATGCACTCTGCCTCCGAGTAACCTTCAGCGAGATATGCAGATTTTTGGTCAAAGGTGAAGCCTATGTTGAGTGGTTGTTCCAGACGAGCGCTCATGTCGGGAATCGAGAGATCGGGAAGTGGTATCGACCATCAACGGGGAGCACGCGTTATCTGTACTTTCCGCGCGACCTCGAAAGACGGAAAGAATCCGCGAGGATCGCTTGAAATGTGCCCGAAAAGGCATACCCAACCCCGCTAGTGTCGATACGCGAGACCAAACGGTGGACTCCTGCATTGATTCAACATTGTTCACGAGTCTCAGATGTTCTATCGTTGGCAGGTCAGTCACTCCTTCGACTACTTCAAGAATCATTTTTACCTATTACCATAGCATGGTATGACGATATTATCCAGGAGCATGTCGTCCACGATGTACGTAACAGCCATCGCGAATTCTTCGCCCGTACTCGTATTCGAGCTTATCCCGCAATGGTTGACGTACTTGGGCCTGACTGAAGAGATGCACTGACGTGCATTTTTACCATCGTTCAACATTTCGTCCAGACGCCCATACTTTCTGGAGTTCCAGTCCACAACTCCAGTCCAAAGAACAGCCTGAGCTGCAGTAAGATATTCAGAGCCAGATTTGTCGCAACAGAAGTTCAACCGGCGACGCAGCCCGGCTGCCAAGCTCTGAGACGAAGACCTTTTCTGACAGCACATAGCGGAAACTGAGAGGACATATCCTTTCACCTTATTGGGCGGCGTTGTATGCGCGACGTCATCGTGCATGAGGTGCCAGTGTCGAAGGCCTGAAGGCTGCAGATCTAGTGCCGGGGTGGACTGTGGTTCATCGTGGGAAAGTGGCAACAGCCTCATCCCCGCTTCGGACCGCCCCTTTGTTGGTGAACAGCCACCACGTGGTATCCTATTGTTGTCTCGCGCGTCTTTGTCTTTGAGCTCCTCCGTATTGTTTGGCCAGTGCGACGGAGCAATGCATTGTCTCTCTCTCGATCGTATAAAGGCCTCTTTGAGACGTCTGGGATGCTCAAGTTTACTTTCCCCACCTTGTCGCAGGTCGCCATCATGTACACAACTGCCTTCCTTGCCCTTCTCTTGACCTTCGCAGCCATCCCGCCTTCGGACGCGGCGCAATTTAACGTAACCGTAGGAGGGACTGGTGTATTAAAGTATGATCCTGAAACTATAGTGTGTATCTTGGAGTATGCCAGTCGATTTTGTGCTGATTATCCGCCCGTCAGAATGCCTCCATCGGCGATACCGTTCTCTTCAACTTCCAGTCAGTCAACCTCAGTCTCAAACCGGACGTCCGACTAACTTGACACGCAGCCAGAAGAATCACACCGTAACTCAGTCAAGTTTTGCGAATCCTTGTCAACCTCTCGAGGGAGGTTTCGACTCCGGATTGTACGTAAGAACTCGTTCATTCGCGGTGACACGTAATGAACGTGTTGTAGTGTTCCCGTCGGCGATGACGTTGTGGACAACTTCCCCGTCGCTCAACTGACCGTAACATCCGAGGACCCCACCTGGATCTTCTGTCGGCAAAGTAATCATTGCCAGCAGGTGCGTTGTAGTGACTGCAGTTCATATCTCCTCCGAGCCATCTAACGGTATCGTTCTGTCCAGGGCATGGTCTTCGCTATCAATCCCACTGCAGACAAGACCTTCGATGCTTTTCAACAGGCGGCCATCGCATCCGGAAACAACACGGCCTCTGCGAGCGCCAGTTCTACCTCTACGGCCACTTCAAGCATTATCACCTCTGCCGCCACTAGCACTCCGTCTGTGGTCACCGTTACTGCCACCGTCACCGTGTCTTCTGGAGGCGACATTACGACGACGTATGGTTCCTACCCTGGATCGGCTGCGCCTACCTCTGCTGTCAGCTCAGACCATAAGGTCGTTGTGGGCGGCAGTGGCCTGTTCTATTCCCCTTCGAACATCACCGCACAGTAAGCTAGCAAGACGATCATAGATATAGCTAGACTTACACTCGCCCAGGCCGGGAGATACCATCACATTTGAATTCCACCAGAAGAATCACAGTACGTTTGGGATGCCTCGCAATTCGACATTCCCGTTAACGTTTCTATCCAGCGGCCACCCAGTCGAGCTTCGCCAACCCTTGCCGATCTTTGACGTTGACGAGCACAACTGGTCAAATCGGCTTTGACTCCGGATTGTAAGCTACCTAGTCGTCGCACTCCTTGCTTATTACTGACGCACGTCCGTGTTTGCAGCATGCCGGTGTCCGATAACGCTACGACCTTCCCTACCTTCACCATTCAAGTGAACGATTCCTCGCCCATCTGGGTTTACTGCAAGCAGGCCAGTATACGGCTCCGGTTCCTTCGCCGCCTGACCCACTGATATTCTCTATCGTGCAGGCGAACCACTGCGGACAGGGCATGGTCTTCTCCGCCAACGCGATCGAGACTGGACCAAATAACTTCGCCGCTTTCCAAGCAAAGGCGAAGGCGCTCAATGGCACTACCTCGAGCGGCAGCGGCAGCGCCGCCTCCGCATCGGCCACGAACTCTGGCGCAAGGACGGTAGCGAAGTGGCATGCCAGCGGGTTGGCGCTTGTCGCCATGGTCGCAACTACCCTTCTCTAAGCAGTCCTTAAACGACTTGGTCGCGTTTCGCTCCGTTCGCTAAGCTACGTGTATCGATTAATGACCGGAAGGGTACAGGGTGTAGCATTTTCCCCCGCAGTATCATGGTCCTCACATAGACTTTAGGGCATAATGTAGCGTGGCCACGAACCTAGTCCTAGCTTACTCCTGTAGCAGTTCCATAATGTATTGTATTGGATTCAATTGGATTCATATTGTGAGATATACAGTGGTGATGATGAACAGACAACGATAGTTCTGATAGATCCAGTTCGTTCATTCGTCCGAAAAAATACGAGCAGTCCATATGCATGCAGTACGTCAAACATAAGCCCTCACAAATCCGCCCCACTTCTCAATTACCGGAAGCACGAGCTTCTCCCATTCTTTGCCTACATATGGCCCGATCTGCGGACGCTCGAACGTGAAGATCTCTTTGTGTCGTTGCCCGCCTATGATAGACCCAGCGATTCAGGAATCATGCGATGTGACGCAGCAAAAGTAGCTCTCACAGTCTTCACATCTGGCATCCGCCTTCTTCCCACTTGCAGTCGAGTTGGAGTTCGTTCTTCCGTTACCCGGGGTGGGAGCCTGGTTCGGGAAGTTGGGGTGGAGATAAGGCTTGTTCAACGTCAGATCCGTGAGTTCCAGGTGCACGAGCCTCTCGAGCCGATGGCAGCATGGACCCTTATCACCCGCCTTCACCCGCCCTTTAAGCAGGCTGCTGTTATCTTCCTCGACGCTGCCCGGCCACCAGCCGCGGAGGATGGGTTCCTTAGATTTGCATTGTTTGCCCCATTCGTCAATGCGCTTCGTCAGGTTGACCGCACGACCGACTTTGAGGTGAATGTGGGAAGGCGTCTTCTTATCTTTGATGAGGCGCCAAGTCAGAACAATATCGCAAACCTGATACCATACTTTACCTCTTATCTCGAAAGTGTATATGTAGCCCGCCTGATCGCTCAGCGAACGAGCCTTCTCCATCTCGATACGCAAGGCGACCTGAGTATCTTGTGACAGATAGTTCGGTATCCAATCCTTGTATTCCACCCATTCGCCGTTCTGACGAGCGTAGAACCCACTTTGACCCATCTTCGCGCGGCGCATATGCAACGTCAGCTCTGCGATGCTTCCAGTAAGCAATGTACTAACCAACTCCTTAGAGTGTTGGAAGCAGAATATCTCCACCGCTTCATCCTCGTCCTCGTCTAGACGGGCAACCGACATGGGTATCTTGACTTGCCTCGTGCACCGCCGTCCTGCCTTAGTTTGACCACTGCATTGAACCGTGTTACCACTCGCTGATCCGGCAATAGAAGTAGCCGGCGAAGATGGCGTGGAGTTGCGCCGCCTCTTGGGCAGGGGTGTAGCAAGAGGAGGCTGAGTGGTCGACGGACCGGCCGACGCATAAGGAGGCTTGACTTTGGAATCAGAATGCGGCCTTGCATGCAAAGCTGGAGGACTAAGAGTCGGCCTAGCTGGTGTCTTGGGTGGAGAAGGAGCACCCGAGCGGAGATGTGGAGGCGAAGAGAGCGCGGGAGGATGCTGAGCACCGGGATCCGACTGAGGTTTAGGATGACCGGGTAGAGGCCGCAGATCGCTGCTAGGTTGCGCAGGGGGTGGCGTGTACAGTCCAGCCAACGCGTGCTGCATAGTCATACTCGTCGGGCGTTGCGGATTCTGCGGAACCGAGACAAGCATGGGGAAGGGTGTTCGGTGGTTAGGGATGCTATCTGGCACATGGAAACCGCCCACACCGGCCGTAGCAAGCGATGGAGATGGGAATACCGGAGGGGTTGTTGATTTCGGCGGGGATGCATTATGCTTCGAAGAGGACGGCGCGAATCCTCCAACAAAAGGTCTGCTATCATGTAAGACAGCCTTGGATGTACTCGGCCGTTTACTTCCTGTCGATTGGACATCGAGAGATTCCAGACGTTGGGCTAGCTCATCGGGATTGACGGCCGTAGGGCTAGGTATCTCCGGGGGTGCAGGCGGGGCATTGGATCGCGACTTGTTCTTGCGGTGAAACCAGTTAGGCATGCAGACGAGTTGATTGCAATTGAATAGATACCCTCCGTCGTGTCCTTATATACGGTTGCAAGCGAGTGTGCAGGATACGATATACCCTTGCGGGCTCGCAACGTGCTGCACACGAGGCAATGCAAACAGCACAGCCTTTTCTCACCGTGAGTCAGTGACGCGACTTTCCCGGGCCGTATACAATAATGGCGGCTTTTGGGACACTCGTTTTCATTGTCGTTCATTCGTTTTCATCCAAAATCACTGAAAATCATCTGAAATCACTCCAGATCATTCAGTTTCACTCAAATTCATCCAGATTCATGCAGTAGTACCGCTAGCGCTAACAGGGCATCGTGGCAGTGCAAATATTTTCATTTTTCATCATTTAAGCTCACTTGTGGCTGTGCATATGGAATAAAGTCGGATTGCTGAAGTCAAGCAGGCATCAATAGTAAGATGAAATTAAGTATATCTGATGTATGTTATATGTGCACACAGTAGGAGTTGTGATTATTGGATGATTCTAGGTGCATGACCAACATAGTTCTGTGGCTATGTAGGCCTCTCTGAAATCAAGTGAAAATGGGTGAAAATGAAAACGAGTGAAGATGAATGAAAACGAGTAAATCAGGATGAATGTCAATGATTTTGAGTGAAAATGGATGAAAGTACGAGTGAAAATCGGTGAAAGCGAATGAAAGCGAATGAAAACGGATGAACTACCGTGACTTTGAATGAAAATGGATGAATCTGTATGAATTCTCACATTGACATTATTTTTGTCCGATACAGACCACCATACACGACGCATCCCGCGTGATTAGCTGTCTTCACTACTGGCAAACGCTAATTGCGGATTTCATAGCAACAAACTCGCAACCTGGCGACAAATCTATTTTGTCCGCCGGAGGTGTTCCAATGCTCTGGAGGCGCGACTTGTGTGATAGAATAGTGGCATTGACATACGGAATATCATGTAGAACAGGGCGACAGAGAAGACTCAGAGATCAACGGTGCGTTTCTCCACAGCACTCTTCTTCGCAGCCTCGATAATGCGGATGCCAAGTTCTGCATGTTCGGGTGTGACTTCCAGGGTTCTGATCCCGTTTATCGCATCCGCGACATTGTTGTAGTAGTCCTTGTAGGAGCCAGGAAGAGTTTTTATCCTGATTGATGTCGCGTGAGGCTCAGGGTACATACAACCTGGAGAGGAGTGCTTACTTCAAGAAGTGCATTGTTCCGTCGGGGTCCCTCCTTCCAAATTCGCCCCAATTCTCTTCTGGATCTTCGCCAAATCCGGGATCCAACGGACTTAGTCCCTCTTGTATCTGCGGCTCTGCATATCATCTGAGCAGGAAAGCTAGCAGAAGCTCAGAGTATATCACCTTGGACATCCAAACCGAACTTGACGAAGCTCGTTTCGCGACCTCGCACAATGAAGCGGATCTGGTGCGACAGCACGGAGTGTAGCGCAGACCGCAGTGTTACCAGAACCGGCGAGTCAGCGTAGCGCATGTGAATGATAAACTGAGCATTCCCAGTAAGGTCAGTACGGCAGAACACAAATATCGAATTTGCTACGACGCACCGAGTCGTCCACGTCCAGGTGTCCCTCTCGTCTTCCGTTTTCCAGCAGCGCAGTGACAGACTTCGGAGCGCCGAAGAGAGCAATAGCCTGATCAATGAGGTGCGAACCACTGATATGACATGTGAGATTGATCTGGGGGTCCCGAGAACAGGCAGCTCACAGTCCGAATGTAATTCCAGCTGAACCGCCAGGGGGGCCCAGAGGCCAGTCAGCACGAAGGTCAAACCTTTACGCAAAGTGTCAGCCACGTAATGACACACATTCGGCGCGTACTTACCGAGATTCGAAATCCACGAGCTCCGACACCTTCAAGCATACCCATATGAGTGGTCGTTTCAGTGATGAAAAGTACCACTAACCTTCCCGCTCTGGATCAATGACTGGACGGTCCTAAAGTCACCGTCGAACCGGCGGTTATGGTAGGGAGCGAGGACGAGCTTCTTGTCTTTCGCTATTTCGATGAGCTCCCGCATTTCAGCGCTTGTCGCGGTAACAGGTTTCTCGAGGATGACTGTGGCATGATATGTATGAGTTCTAGACGGGGAGCAGCCTAACGTACCATGCTTCCCGGCGGACAAAGCTGCTTTCGCGTAGTCGTAGTGCGCAGAATCTTTCACTGCCACAACGACCTAGGGACGATAGAATGAGGAGCGGCATTAAGATAACGTTGTCTTGGCTTACCAAGTCGACTTCGGGATCTCCCAGAACGTCGTCCAGGGTGTTAACGACCTTCACACCCAAATGTCCATATTTATCCCTAGCGATGCTCTTCTCTGGCGTAGCTCTGCGCTCGAGGATGGTGTGCAGCTGGTATACCTCCGGTAATGCAAGCTAATAGGAGGTAGGTCAATCGAAGGTGGGCCCGCCGCACTATTGTATCAACATACGATGAAAGGGATTTGGAACACCTTCGCGGAGAAGCCCACGCCAAGGACAGCAGCACGAATGGGGGCCATTGCGGAACGATGTTGACACCTGGGACGCGAGCTGCGAGCTGGCTGGCCACAGATATAGTGCTTGCATGATCCCCCAGCAGATCAAGTTTTTATAGAGGGTGCGGCTGACCCGGTTGTGTCGGTCCGCGGAGTAAATTCGGCGTTGGACTATTGTGCTCCTGACTTTAACTGACCAAAAAGGAAGCTGATATCAAATTCTCGTAATCAAGAAGCATCACTCTATGTAGCATATCCCCTAACTGGTGGGACTTAGTAGAATTAAGCCTCGCGTCACGCCCAGGAGCTACAACGCGATACGAGCGGTGGTTTAGGAGCCTGCGCCAACCTATTGTATCTATAGGCTTTATTTTTTGAGTGCGGGGAGTAGCCGACGAAAATCCTAGGTACATAACTTACATGTGTACATACAGTGTTATGCAAGAAGATTACTTAGGTATTTATATCGTGGGAATGCTCATTCCCTCACATCCGATTATCTTGAACTGGGAGGCGCTAGGCATTTGTTTGGCCTTCCTGGTGTTGCTGCCATCCTATCTCAACACAGCGCCAGGAGCGTAAGGCGGACTCGGACAGTCTCTGAGTTATACCATGGCATCTCCATACACGCCGCTGGACCCCATAAATCCGCAGCCAATCGGTCATGGCGCGCTGCAACCCATCCCAGCGCTTTCATTCGACCCCAGCTCGGATACACTATGGACGGGAACAGATTCCGGCACCGTGATTGCGATGCACTCGTCGCACGGGGTTCGGGGTGTCTCTTTCAAAGTTGGAGGAAGATTCGGCGTCAAGAAAGTGATAGCCGGGGACAACTACGTGCTTTCCATGGCGTCTGAGCTGGGTCTTGGGGTCGGTTCATGGGGAAAAGGTGGAATGAACAAGTGGTATTCTCGGTTGGTGATAGCTAGTGGTGTCACGGTTGATGTCGGATCGCTCATATACCTGGTGGGGTTGCATCCAGCCCATCTGCAACAGCGCTCACATTTTCGAATGTTTCAACCTCGTCTCAAGCTCTTGCGGTTTCTACGGTAGCACCCGAGCTCGTGATGTTGAATCCCTTCACTGGAGCGGAGATCCGTCGGATTTCCACGAGCTCGGCTGTGACGCACCTGCAGTTCTCGCATCTTCACCTCTTGTCCGGTTCGCGCGATGGCTATCTTCGTGCTCATGATCCTAGGACCGGGCTGAGAAAGGCTGAGAGTGGCGCAGAGCTCTCCGTCAAGGCCCACGCAGGCTCTTTCCAAGGACTAGCGTCCAGCGGGAACTATATTTACACAATTGGATGCACTGTCCGGTAGCTTCATCAGTTCAACTGTGTTTTGTTTTGCTAATGAATACCCAAAACAGCCAAGGCACAACATTTCCTGAACCTTTGGTTAAAATACACGACATCCGTACGATGCGTCCGATCGCTCCGGTCCCTTTCTCAGAGGGACCTGCCTTCATAGACGTACTTCCTCGACTTTCTTCGAGTATTGTCATCACGTCAAGCCAGGGGCTGGTGAACATAGTCGATGTTTCGAAACCTGACACAACCAGCGATTTTTACCAGGTAATTCCCATCGAAGTGGACATCGGGATGTCCCTTACTCACACATGACTAGCTTGAAACCGCGTCATATATATCATCTAGCGCTGTTTCTCCTACAGGAGCCTATCTCGGATTCGGCGATGGTCATGGTTATGTGCACCTCCTCACCAATGTGCACGAAGTGGACGAAGAACACCCCGTACCATTGAACGGATTCGAAGGAAAAACTGTCGAGTGGGCCCCTCCTCCTGAACCAGCGCCGGAGCTTCCAGATAATGCGTCAGTAATCTGCGTAGATCAATCCTACGATGCTCACACGCAAAATAGCCCTTTGAATTCTGTTGGACTACCTTATTACACTGAACCCCTGTTCTCATCATGGAGCGCATCGATGTTCTCTCCGGACATAGGATTCCCAGCTCCTCCCAAGATACCGAACCAAATTTTACACAACCTGAAGATCACCGGTGGCCTGGCGTCTGCGACTCTCCCAAAGGAGCTGAAGGGACGCCGAAATGTTGTCAGCGTAGGGATGAGGAAAGATCAGGCGCGATTCAGAAGCGGAAAAATGCAAAGAAGTGTAGTTCGTACCTCCTCCTCTGTCTTGCGTTCGTCTCTACTGACGAGATCTTCGCGATCAGTCCGAACCCGAGACCCCTCAATCAAGCTCGGACGTCCCAAAAATATATCGCAAGGTGGAGATCGAATACTCGAAATTTGGTGTCGAGGATTTCGACTTCGGGTCTGTTTCATTGAGCAGGCCTTCGTCTCTTGCAGTTCTGATAGTTCTGGCAGGTACTATAACAAGACCGAGTTCAGCGGCCTGGAAACACACATTTTGCAATCATACACCAATTCCATCGTGCAATCCATGCATTATCTCCACCCGATCCGACGTCTCGCAAAATCGCATATCATCACAAATTGTCCGCATGAACACTGTCTGCTCTGTGAACTTGGGTTCGTCTCGCGGATGCTTGAGGACGCTCGAGGGATAAATTGCCAAGCCAGCAACTTCTGCAAGACTGTTGGAGTGCTCGCTCAGGGTATTCCTGTCTCTCCAAGCTACAGTTTACATTTCCAAGCTCATGAGACCGGCAGTGCACAATCAAATGGAGCTATTGGACTATGGGATCGACGGACCATCCGTTGACTGGGCTAACATCATCCAAAGCTTCAATCGTTTCCTCGTGGAGAGATTGAACATGGAGGCCAACGTCACATCTCGCAATCCGTTGATCCTCCCACGTACGAGTCTTCAACCACAGACGGCACCGCCGGTATCTCCGATCACCCAGCTCATGGGCATCGATGCCAAAAATGTCGTTGTGTGCACCACGTGCAAGGGAACGCGCGAGAAGGCAAATTTGACTCACGTAATTGACATGGTCTACCCTCGTGCTGTACGTTCATACTTTACAAACTGGTGTCGTGTTGTCTAATCAAATCACAGAATATCAGTGCGAATACGCAACCAGCGCCTGATATCTCGAGCGTTTTGAGCGACTCGCTCCGGCGCCAGACGACACATCGAGCGACATGCCAATCGTGCAGAAAGATGACAGTGTTCGAGACTACGCGGATCATTCCTGCCAAGGATTTGCCTCCTATACTTGCTGTCAACGCGTCGGTATACAACGAGGAGTCATTGAAGATCTGGCAAGATGGCCGGCGACACCGTTTCCTGACACCCACTACTCGGGTTAAGTGCGGTGATAGTGAGGAAGATGTAGTGGAGTACGAACTGAGGGTGAGTTAACGTAGGGATATCATGCTGAGCGGTACTCAGAAACTTCCTAGGCAATGACGATCGAAATCTCGGACAGGACAGGCCCTTCGCACCTATGCGCCATAATCAAAGGTTAGGATCGCCACATTCGCGTCAAATCTCGAGATTGAATTAGGCTTGTAGTTCCGGAGGCAGAAGGCCGGAATGATCTCATGAGTCCTTGGTTTTTGTTCAATGATTTTGCTGTCCGAAACATACCAGAAAGCGAGGCTTTAGGATTTCCGGAAGATTGGAAGGTGTGTCCTGATCACACAGCATCATGTTAGCTAAGGAAGGTTGGTTAGATTCCAACCGTCCTCTATCTGGAACGAATGGACATCAAGTCGGCGCTAGATTATAGCAAGTTACCAGAAGGGCTCGACCCCACCATATTGTGTCGGGACACAAACATAGCCATGTGAGCATACTTGCTATGGCCTATGACTCAGCTTATGCTATTCAGAATGCGAGACAAAAATCTGATCAAACACGAGTGCTTACGACCGGACGAGCTGCCTCGGCCGGGGACCATCGTGTCTATCGATGCAGAATTTGTTCTAATGCAACAGGTCACCCTCTCTAGCATTCTTCGGCTGCGCATACTAACTTCTCGTTCAGGAAGAGACGGAGTTTCGCTCCGACGGAAGCAAGAAGGTTCTCAGACCTGCCCGACTTAGCCTTGCCCGTGTATCAGTCCTCCGAGGGGACGGCCCCAAAGAGGGGGTACCGTTTATTGATGATCACATCCACACGAGCGAAGTTATTGTCGACTACCTCACCGAGTTTTCTGGCATCAGGTGTGAGTTATCTGCGATTCTCCCTATGGTTTATCTCTCATCATTCGCAGTTGGGGATCTTGATCCTCACCTCTCGCGTCATACATTGACGCCCCTAAAACTTGTCTATAAGAAACTCCGTCTGCTGGTGGACAGGGGGTGCATCTTCATAGGACACGGGTTATCCAAGGACTTCAGAATTATCAGTAAGTCGTTATGTCACACCGTCGGACATGAGCAAGGACGAACCATGATATGTTAGATATATTCGTTCCGCCCGACCAGGTCATTGACACTGTCGATCTCTACTTCATCAAGTCACGGCAGCGGCGGTTGTCGTTACGATTCTTGACATGGGCGATACTTCAGGAAAATATTCAGCAAGAAACTCACGATTCTATTGAAGATGCGCGCTCTGCTCTGCGTCTCTTCAAGAAATTCAACGAATTCGAAGAAGCAGGAGTATTCGACCAGAAGTTAGAGGAGTTATATCGTACCGGCAAAGAATATGTTTGTCTGTTTACACGCATTGGGACTTAATCTTCGCTCATGTTATATGTTTGCAGAATTGGAAACCTCCTGCTCCGCCAGAGGCCACCCCCTCGGCTCCTTCCCCGCCCACCATCTCAGCTGCTCCAGCTGCCTCTCCGTTCGCTTTCCTCATGCAAGGCGGCCTCCTGCAGCACGCCGCACAAGGCGGAACCTTCCCGATGTTCCCTGGAACCACTGCTCCACCAATGTTTACGCCCCCCAACCTATCTCAATTCAACCCAGGCGCAAACATGTTTTCTCCTCAAACATTTCCGCCTTCGAACGGTTTCCAACAACCAAATATCTTTCAGCCCACGCCGTTCCCGGCACAGGCCAATATGAACCTACTGCAAGCGTTGGGTAATGGTAGGCCTGGCGTGAGCGGAATCCTCGGTGCAGGGACGCCGCCATATCCGAGTAGTCAGTCACAAACACCTGCGCGCCCTTTCTTCAGCCCAAATCCTGGGAGTGGGCGAGGAGGTGCCCATGATCGGAACTGGCGGCAACGTCACGGTGGATGATAACTTCATTGCGTACACCATTGACCTGTGTCCTTTTGTCGTTTTGGTCGCTATGTGTGAGGTTATGGCTGGTTCTGTTTGTCGTGTAATTGAAGAGTTAGCTGTAGCATTAATTTGATTCTTCACATTCCTGGAACTCGGTTTGCGGAGGTGATGCGACTTGTTGAATGATGGTGACTTCTCTTCTGGCTCTCACAAGCTCACTCGTGATTACCACAAGCCGGACCCAATATGCTTCTGATCAACGTCTATACGACGTCCCATCATCCGCGTGGAGTACAAACCGGGCTTTACTGCATATGTCAACTGCTCTCGGTCACCGAGTTCTCTAGATCGTCGACGACCCACTCAACTGCCTTTACTCATCGCTAGTTTGTCCGATGGAATGTGCTTCGGGGCAATTGCTTGTAGACCCTTTCGTCTTCGTACAGCCTGGGTTTGCAGACAACGAACCGTTGTACTTGGCAGCAAAACGGTACCGACCAGACGGAGCAGATAGAGCGCAGAAAGGGGTCACCCTTGTTCTCTTCCACGCAACTGGGAGTCGTGAGTGTACCTCCTGCACCTCTTCTTCTATGTTTATGGGGCCTGTCGGACGCAGTCAAAGAGCAGTGGGAGCCTATGCTGAAGAGACTGTTCGATCTATCCCGTACCAAGCCTCCATCAGAGCGCATCCGGGAGGCGTGGTGCTTTGACCGTCAAAATCATGGCGACAGCGCCGTTCTGAACCGGGATCGCCTTCGTTCACGGCCGGATGGTGTAGGTTAGCACGTTGGTCAATGTTAATCTGAAGTCAAGGGTTCATTGCTTATCACTGTTTCGCATGTGCAGGTGTTGCGGAATATGGAGCGGGTGTCGCGCATTTCCTTCGGTCAGACCATGTCCGTGGTCACCGGATAATCGCTATCGGCCATTCGTCAGGCACCGCAGCTCTGTCTGTCCTGTTGTGTTATCTCAAAACATACCCAGGCCTAACCTACCTCCCAGAACTCTATCCTCTCGAGATTTCCCAACCGGAAATCTGCCTTACGAGGGCATCGTCCTCATCGAAGCCGCTATCACAGACAAGGAAGAGTACTACGCTAATGTCACAGCCCGCGAGCGTGCGTTGGGACTCGTCCAGAAAGCAACCCGTGCACGCCGGAGAACTTGGGGGAGCAGAGAGGAAGCTCGTGCGTGGATGAGCCGCCGTGTTCCGTGGAATTCTTGGGATCCTAGATCAGTCAAGTTTTTCGTTGTACGCACAGTCCTGTCGCGAGCCTACTTATTTGTGCTGACGTGAGCTCACTAGAAATATGGCTTGCGCGTCGTGGATGTAGATGGAAATGTTCAAGTCACCCTCAAGTGCGATCCGGCGCAAGAAGCGAGCGCGTTCGGCGATGTATACGGACATTTTGACTCCTTCGATGAGCTCAAGCGCATATGCCCTCATATTCCAGTACATCTGATCTTCGGATCAAAGATCGAGTTGATGTCAGTCGTTATTTTCACTTCTACTATGAGACCTCAGGCTTGAATGCGATTTTGATAGCCCACGTGCTACGCAAGACGCGGTGATCAGGGCATGCGAAGGGCATTACGCTTCATGCGTGAAGATAGCTGACCGCGGCCACTTCGTGAGTGGCGTCCAGCTCTGATGCGCTCCGTCTGACTTTTGATGGCCCTCTTGAAGCTAATACAGGAAGATCCTGATGCCACGGCTGAAGCCGTTAGCCGGGCTCTAAGCCATCACGCGTCTCCCTTCTCAAAGCTTTAAGCAGCGCGGATTATGATGTTCGCGCGCGCGACCTTCAACATGAATTCGCCGAGATGATCACCATATCTATTCACCGCTTCTCGCTAAGCACTCGCCAATCCACGACACCGTATTCCCCATAGCGCTCCTTAAGCCATTCGTTGGCCGTAGCGAAGTGCCCATTGCCTAGAAACCCACGACGTGCTGATAGAGGCGACGGATGGGCTGACTTGAGTACCAAGTGTTTGGTCTAAAATATTTTGCCTGATCAGAAGGCGTACATGAAATCAAAGGCTTCGGCTTGCCTCGTCAATACCGACACTCGCACATGTTTTCTGTGCGTGTAAACCCCACGCCATGAAGACGACGCCTTTATCACCCGCTCTCCGCGAGCTTGAACTAGGAGGCTCATCTGATACGCGTCCAGCACCTGCTTCTCCTGGAGAAGCGGCATCGAATATAATTGTTTTGCGTGCGAGTACGGCACGTAGCGCGGCCTGTGTAAATTCCTCCCATCCTCTTCCAGAATGCGAAGCAGCTTTGTGAGCGCGAACGCTGAGCGAGGTGTTGAGGAAAAGCACGCCTGCTCGTGCAAGTGGTGAGAGATCTCTGGGATCAGGCAATAATATGAGCCGGGAAAGGACTCAGCGCCAAGAAACATGCTAACCCGAAGGCTGGCGGAATGAAGCCTGGTATGTCGGCTGCAAGCTGCTTGTAGATGTTGCGAAGCGAAGGCGGGGGTTTTGTGGGTGGCAGTACCGAAAATGCTAGACCTGAATTTAACGTCAATTTACTGCGAATGTCGAGAAAATGGTTGCTTATTCACCATGCGCCTGATTGACGTCGTGATACGGATCTTGCCCAAGGATCACGACCTTAACTTGATCTAGAGGTGTAAGCCGCGACCAAGAATATATGTCTGCAGCTGCCAGGCAAGTTAAGACTATAGCTTGTGCGCACATCATACAAGACTCGACACGCACCAGCAGGATATATTGTGTGAGATTTCATCTCCGCAGCGAGGAATTGCTTGAGCTGATGGGGCAGAACAAGAGCGACCATCAGTGTCGGGTTACCGTATGCAGTGATGGACGCGAAGTCAAAGACGGTATAGTCTCACAGCTCTGCAGTATGCTTTCAAAGGGCTCTAAGGACATACCTTCCTGAAGTATGGCTTGCTAAATTCTGGTTCAAGCGCCGCATACCAAGCTTCCTCTATGGTATCTTGTTCTAGCGAGTGCATCATAGCGTCAGAGGAACCATGCTGCAGTGGGTCTGGTTGTAGATCCGAGCGTGCCTCGGAACTATCTGAGGATATCCTCCTTCTCTTGTTCTCCCGCGAGGCTGAGGCGGTGGTTTTCAGCGTGAAACCCGAGTTGCGAACGGTTTGTTGTACGAAAACCTTCGCCGTTCGAGAGACACGTAGCATTTTTGCAGAAGAGTCCTCCAGACTGTCCTCGTTGACGCGTTTAGGAGGCATTCGATGCGCTACTCAGTTGTGGGAACAGATACTGTGTGCAGGTCGAGGGACGCGTCCGTGTGTCAAGGCGCGTCGCGTGCGAATAATCACGTGATATCAGAGTCAATGTCAGTGCTTAGCTGCTTTGTGACCAGAACAGCAAATTTTGTTCCGTCCTTCTCAGTACTACGACGCTGCCGTCACTTGCACGCATCCAGACGTGAGTTCACGATCCCTTGTCTTCGGCCTTCTCTGTTTGAGGATGAAACGCACTGGGCTCTGACCACCTTGATGTTACGCACTACTCTTGTACGCGAGAGGCGGCCTAGAAAACCGTTAACTGATCTTTCCCGTTTATTACTTGTCCATGTTCATGCTGCAACGTTCCGCTGACTCATACTGCAGTAAAAATGGCGGACGGGGATGCAGCTACCTCTAAGCCGGTATCTCCTACCAAGTACCTGGAAGATATGACCCAGAGCATGGAGTCCGTCCGCGAAGTTATCAAAACTCTGAAGGAAGAGTGAGTGTTCTTGCGTTGCGTGCCCAGACTCTTGCTCATCATCTTCATGTTCTGCGCAGCACAGACAAGCTGGATACCAAAGATGGGATTTCACTCCTTTCCCTCAAGCACCACCTTATGATGTCGTATCTCAACTCGCTGGTCCTCCTATCCTCCCATCGGTTACTTGGACATCCGCTGACACAACGGTCTCCGCCTCCCGCGCCGTTCTCATCGGAACAACGGTAAGTTGGTCATCACCCGCTTCATCGGCTCTGGCTTACATGCAATATAGCTCATTGAGAGGTGGCGACGAGCCAGGCGCAGGCGATCTCATCGACCATATGAATGAAGATAGGGTCATCCTGGACAAAATCAAGTTTCTCGAAGGGAGAATGCGTTATCAAATTGACAAGCTTGTTCGTCTTGCACAAGAGGCGCCAATGAAGAATAAAGATGTCGTGGACGGTATGCAGCTCACTCATGCCCTTGACCCGTTTCTTACCGTGGATATCCTTTCCTTTAGACCCGCTGGCCTTCAGGCCGAATCCTCAGAACCTTCTCAACGTCGAAGCCTCTGGATCAGGCTCCGAAGATGACGATGAGAACGAAGATGACGTTAGCAACCAGCGGACAGGGATATATCGTCCCCCCAAGCTAGCGCCCATGCCATACACCGAGGCTCCTCGGAAGAAGAAAACTAAGGAAGAGCGAGAAATGGAACGGGCTCGTCCACCGAATGCACTCTCGTCTCTTGCCTACCTCGATCCATCTCGGCCAGCCCTGGAGAGCACATCCGGCCTCGGCGGCGACGTCGCTTTGCAGGCGCACTCCGCTCGGGCACGCAACGTACGCCGGCTGACAGAGTTCGAGGAGGAGAACTTCACGCGTCTCGTGATGAAGAAGAAGGATGCCAATAGGCGGCTGCGCGATGAGGAGGCGTTGGCCATGGGCCTTAACCCGGGCGCTTTGGATAACCGCCGTGGGCGCCGCAGCGGAGACGGTCTAGTGGAGGAGTTCAGTGACGTCTTCAAGGCGGTCGATAGGAGTTCGAGGACGAACCGCGGCAGGGGCGGAGGCGATGGGTACGAGGAACTACGGGAGAGAGGCAAGAAGAAGAGCGTGTTGGAGAGAGCGAGGAGCGCTGGCTCAAGGGTGGACCTCGATGCGGATACGGAACAGGGGGCGGATAGGAAAAGAAAGAGGAGCAGGTTCGAGATGGACATTAAGTCGGCCAAGCGTCGCGCGAATAGTCGTGCAAGGAGATGATCGCGGCCACATATACTGTACCGGATCTTCTCTGCTCACGATTCGCTGTTTATCATCAGAGTTCAATCTCATACTCTCGAGAGCATAGGCGACCTTAGTCGATATATATTATGTTCGCACGCCGCACACGTTACCGACGTTAGCTCCCAGTTGGTTGGATTTGGGTTTCGGTCCGGTCTTTTACATGTCGATACTCCCATCCTCGGAAGAAATGCTACATACCCTAACTGTTGACATGGCCAAATGTGCTCCGGCTGCAGTCCACGTCCGCTGTTCCTATAGACAAACACCGCCTGACCGGCTACGACCGTCGCTCTGCGCATTCGTTCAAATTGAGCACCAACATCTATGTTGTATACGCCGCTGGCATCCTCCCTTGGGCTTTGGTACGTTGCTAATGCGAAGAAGACCAGCTAGAAAGTACGCCGGCAGCCGATGAAGAACTGCTGATATACGCTGCGTCATAATGTCTCAGTTCTGCGTGCCGGAGGCCGAACTTGCAACCCTGCCTTCGACAACGATTATTTTGTCGGCTGCCTGCGTGACTGTCATGCCGTCCCTCAACCGGGTGATTCGGCGTCGACTGGGAGCAAGTGTTGTTGCTTGCCTGTCTCAATGAACCCCAGGATGATGACCCCTATCCGAGCATGCAGATCCCTCTATAACAATTGTGAAGCTCGGCTACTTATCTCCGGCGACAAAGAACATGTGGCCGGCAACCTGGCGGTAACTTCGTCCGGATGACGACCCGTGTCTCACTTGCTTCGCCTTCATTGTCCACGGTAGACTCAGGACGACGTCGGTTTCTAAAGCCTATCTTGCTCATAATTGACGATGTCCGAGCCGTCGAAGTCTTTTTATCTAGCGCTCGTGCCTGGTTCTCCAAGGGCTGCGTACTTAAAGCGCATGTAATGTCTGAGAGCAGCTTCGCAAGCGCCCATAACCATCTTCCGCTGGCGGAAACAGTCCATTCACGCGCCATTCGCTCGTTATTTATTCATTCGCATCGTGCATCTCGTCTCGTATCATTCATCCTCTATATCATATATATCCATATAATCCCGACGAACAACATGCCTAGAGCCGGTTCCGGAAACCGACGCACGACACCGAAGCAATCTGGTGGCCGGCAGGTATGCTCCCTTGTCCTTGCTGACCGAAACGAAGACCTGACGTTGAGTCTCCAGGCCCAGATTAGAAAGCACTTCATATGCGAAATATGCGAGCAGATTGGTGAATACAAGGCATTTCCGAGGAGGAAAGAGCTACTCCGCCATATGATGCTTCACGACCCGAATGCTCCGTAAGCTTCTATCACTCGAGTCGCATTTAGTTTGCGCTCATTCACTCTGTCATTAGCAAGTACGCATGCAAGTGGGAAGGCTGCTCGAGGACGTTCGCGCAAAGATCTAACCTGAAGGTGCACGAGCGCATACAGTACGCATGACCCATTACGAACAGAAGCTCCGTTATGCTGACTAAGTGTGATGAAACAGTACCGGGGAACGCTGGGAATGTCCATATTCTGGTTGTGACACGACATACGCGGACAACTCTTCGCTTCATAGGCACAAGCAGAGGGTTCATGGATACCAGGCACGGAAGACGGCGCCGCGTCAAGGCGCATATCTTCAGATCGCTCCATTGGCTGCCAACAAACGCCCCGCCCCGCATGCGGCTAACACTCGTTCGACCAAATCTCGCTCCAGCTCGAGACTATCCCAGCACGATATTCCAAGGTCCGAAGAATACTCTCCTGCTGCGCCCTCTAGCGACAGCAACGGTTTACTCCTGTCGATTGGCTCCCTCGATCTAACTGCTTCCTTCAACCCCGATGGTTGCTCTGTGCTACCGGAGTTGAACTTTTCGGATTACTCGTACGAAGCCGTGTCCCCCATCCAATTCACTCTCACGCAACTAGAAGACGTGCCCATGACGGTTCAGACCCTCGACACGCTCGCCGTTCCGTCCATCTCCCGCCCCTCGATCACCCGACCTGCCACGGCGCCCCCTGCCTGCGAGCAGTTGCATACCCCGTTTTACTTCTCGTCGCCCGATGATCCCATTTTGGACGCGACGGGTAGGTTGACGCCGATTGGCTGGGAATCGGGGAGGTCGCTCAGCCTCCCCTTGTCAATCGACAGGAAGTGGCTCACGACGCCCGGGAATTCGCCTTACGTTGTCTCGCCCCTCAGCCTTCCGGCTGACCTGTCCTCGCCGTATCTCGGTCCTTTGCCGGAGCTGACCCACACGCCTTCGCCTTCCCCGATGATCCTGAATGTGGACGAGGTTTCCTACAAGATGCTCGGACTACCCGTGACGAGCGGCCTGCTCTCGGATATCGAGAACGCTTGCATTCCGGGGGAGGCGAGCTATTTCAACGAGGTGGACACCTTCACCGCCCTTCTACACGGACACTAGAGCACGCATCAGTCGCCATTGTACACAGCACTGCCGTTTATTCCGATTCGCCGCTATACAGCCCGTATAATCCGTTCGTTGTGAATGCTATAACTGTACTTACCAGCCTTTGGCCTTAATGGTAGTTGCTAGGTCATGAGCGCGCGCTGCGCGACGCTGTGCACCAATAATGGACATGTCGTAACACCATTCACGGACTGTCTATGTGTCTTTGGCACGTAATATCAATACTGCTATTATTGATTATCGCCGTCAATCTTGCCAGCATAGCATGCAGGCTATAGTTGGACAGTGCATAAGATGTACCCACTTGATGCACTTATCATGCAGCATGGAGTAGATACAAGGCTTTCTGGACACATAACGTGTATATAACTTACCATGATATTGCATCTGCATCATCGTCCCTTTTACATAATCTACTTACTGTAAATCTTACGAGGTCATTTAAAGACGTATCCAAGTGTATTTCACATTTTTCATCCACCAGAAAGCCGCCAACGACAAGGACTGTATGCATTGTAACGCTGCGTGATGGTTAGCCGAGCGGAGTTTAAGGAATGTATCAAGGCCAGTCAGATTCGGAGCACCAAAGTGCTTGATGACTAAGTCGGCTATCAATGTGACCGGCCTGTGACTGACGATTCGACGGGGTTGACGAAGTGAAGGTAACATATAATTAGTACGACTTCGATCGCCGTGAATATTCGTCCCTACATATTGCTTTGGACCTTCTTTTCTGACATATATGGGGAAACAGTATCTGGTGTGCCGTTTGTGTGCTGTCAAAGAGCACGCTCATTCATATGCTCCCTTTCAAGGAACTCAACGCGGTGGCGCGTTTGAGCGTAGTTGGCCTCTTTAAGGACAAGCACCTCGTCACCGACCTTTCGAGAGTGGCCGTCCCTGTTGACTACTGTGATGTTGAGGACGGCAATTATCCTGAACCTCAGGGTGCTCCCCCGCGTCCACCCTCTCTGCTACCACCCTCAGCTTCCTTGCATATGGAGCTATCGCTCGGGGAACAACTTTCTCACGGGAGATGCGGTACCGTATATCGAGCCAAGGTTTCACGAGTTTGTGATCCAGACGGGACGATGATTTCGGATGTCTTGCTCCCACCGTTGGTTGTCAAAGTCGCCGGTCGCCGATATTCAGATTCCTTGAACCGCGAGACGTGGTTCTACGACGAGATGGAAACATTACAGGGCTCCGTCATTCCCCGCTGCTTCGGTCTCTTCGAGGCTCCCATCGACGACGGCTCCGTTATCCTCCCCTGGATTGCTCACGGTGTGGATCGAGGCAGGTCAGATAAACGACGGGGCAGTGTCGATATATATGGGACAAACCCGTCGGTTCCTTCTCCGCCGCGCGTCTCCATACTTCTATTGGAAGAACTCGGCGGTGAACATCTTCCTTTGGGTGGAGAATTAACCGATGATATCAAGTGTGTCCCTCCAGTCTGCTCATTCCACATGATCTAATATGCATTAGGGATCAGATATTGAGCATGTTCGATGAGATATCCCGATTTCGTATTACACATGGGGATGTCAGACACAGGAACATCCTCAGCGCACCTAGGTCGCCTGGTGCTTATCCGTCCCTTCCATCACCTTACACTGGACGGACGTACGACTGGCGCATCTTCGACTTCGACGGTTCCAGTAAATGGAACGATACCTTTAAGGCGGCGAAACATTTCAACAGCTCGCCAGCTTCTGTGCTGTTGAGGGGATTGCGGAGGAATTACATTATCGAGCCATGGCTTGAATAGAAGGTAACATGTACATTGAAAACAGGAACCATTCAGATCTCGTCGGAATCATTGTACATCGACGACAGCCTACTACTTCCAATAATGATCATGTATGGACTGGTGCTTATACCGAACCGACGCAGCCGTCGTGTACGCTCGATAACGTTTTGATTTCTTATGCAGCGTTAGTGATCCATACAGAACGCCGATTTAGGATGTCTTGCTTCCGCTGTTGGTCGTTCAAGTCGCCGGTCTACGCTACTCTAATTCCCTGACCCGCGAGACCTGGTTCTGTGACGTTACAGGGCTCCGACATCCTCCGCTGCAGGTCTCTTCGAGCTATGTATCATCAATGACGGCACCCTTATCCTCCTGTGGACAGCACCTGGTGTGGACCGAGGCAAATCAGTTCGAAGATATGGGGTAATGTCAATCCGTCGGTTCCATCGCTTCCCCATGGCTCTGTACTTCTCTCGAAAGAACTCGATGGAACCATGGCTTGATTAGTATGTATTCTGTAAGTTAAATTCGCACACAGCCAAAGATCTCGTTACATAGTCTGTAGCGCTCGCTGTACATGGATGGTGGTTAGTTCACGGTGGGAACTTGCGAGGCGCATTTCCTCCTTCTCTCTTACCGCCACTCCAGCATGTCGGCCGGCGGACTCTACGGTGGCCTGAAGTTCTCTTCAGGAGCAGCAATCTCCTCTACCATCTCGCAGGCTCAGCCGAACGACAAGAAAGACGACGCAGCGGCTGCGCCGACCCTACCAGCCGCCTCAACCTCCGAAGCGACCAGCGCCGGCGCCCCCGCTCCCAGCCCGACCGCTGCGGCGCCGGCAACAGCATCAGCGGCAGCGACCAAGTCCACAGCCGGTATCTTTTCTTCTCGCTCTGCGTAGAAACGCACCCGTGACCGTTTGTTCTGAAATCTCGCTCTCCGACCCGGCTCACAAAGGATGGTCCGCCGCGCTCGCCTTCGCGCCCGTGCGCCGCAAGCAAGCAAAAGCCGAGGTCAAGCCCTCGATACCGCTCGGGGCATCGATTGCGTTTACGCCACCGTCTGCGGCATCCGTCTCGGCCACGGCCGTCATTTTCGCCGAGCCGCAACTCGTGACGCCGGCGGCGAAGAGCGTGGAGGCAGAGGCGGCACCGGCGCAACAGACGCAAGGGTGGGGAAAGAAGATCAAACCACCGTCGATGGTCCTGGACGAAGACGTGAATGGCTTCCGGGTGCAAAACAAGGGTCGTCAGGGAGGCGGCGGCGGCGGCGGTGGTGGTGGAAAGCGAAAGGGAAAGAAGGTATGTAACGTCGTCACCCCGATCGTACTCGAACTGAATTGGATGCAACTCTATAGAATAAGAACGCTCATCAAGTTGCGGTATGGGATCCACTTGAGCCATACGACCCGAATCGGCCCAACGACTACAATGAGTTCAAGATGTGGAAGCAGCGCGAGCGTGAGGATCGCCGCCGACGTGCAATCGAAGAGCGCGAGCGCAAGCGGCACAGACGCAGCCTTAGTTACTCCGAGGATGAGGAGAGTGGTTCCGAAGACGAAAGGCCAAGAAAAGCTGGTACGCTCTCTCCGTACTATAAACCTCACGAGATATTCAGCAAAGCCTTTAGGCCGATTCATGGAGGATGACTACGACGACCGTCCTCGTGGGCTCGGTGCATCCGCTCCGTCGGCACCCGTCGTTGTGAGCAAGGACATGACCGGCGATGAAGCATACCAGCGGCGTCTCGCGATGTCCCAAGGATTGTCCAGTGCACCGCCGCCAGATATGACCGGTGACGAGGCTTATCAACGTCGGTTGGCCATGTCCCAGCCGGGGTTCGTAAAACCTGCCGCTCCGCCGACGGCGCCTGTCAGCGGGACCGCCACGCCCATGGAGGACGATGAGCCCGCCAAACTATCCACGAGCGAGACAGCTGGCCCGGGGGTTTCCCCGCCCCAAACGGCACCGACCGCTTTGCCACCTCCTGGCATACCGGTGACTATGCCTCCTTTCCCCCCGAGTGCCGTTGCTATCGCGAGTGTTATCCCGCCTTTCCCGCCCAACATACCGATGCCGCCTTTCCCTTCCTCGGCAGGCATGACAGGACCTCCTTTCCCATCCCCTCACACGCCTTCTGTTCCCTCGTCCGTTCCGCCTATGGCAAGGGCACCCGAGCTGGAGGGTGGAATCGAAGAAGAACTGGGCTTCAACCCGTTCGCACCGCGACCAGCCCCTCCCCCTCCGCCGCCTGGGGCGCTGGACGCGGCAGTGCAGAGCAAGAAGAACGCTGCTGCAGCGATCGCAGCGAGGTTAGCTTCGCTCGCTCCTGGGGGCAGCGGGGGTAGCGCTGGATCTGCATCACCTGCACCCGCAGACGAACCCGTGAAAAGGTCCGTTCCGTGTCTTCATCCATCGATGCCACGAACACTGATATATCTTGATGCAGACCCGACCCCGCCGGATTCGCCGCCCGTCTCATGGCCAAGTGGGGGCATAAGGAAGGGCAGGGTCTCGGCGCGGACGGCCAAGGCATTGTCAATGCGCTCACCGTCGAGCAGGTCTCCGCCGGAAAGGGGAAGAAAGCGGCACAGGCACAGGCACAGAATGGAGGCAAGGGGATTGGGCTCGCCGGGAAGGGGATGGGGAGGATTATCAACGACAACGAGGACGCGAAGACGAGGGAGGATAAGATGCGATTCGGCGAGCCGAGTAGGGTGGTCGTGCTCACTAATATGGTGGGGCCGGAGGATGCGGACGATGAAGATTTGAGAGGCGAGATTGGTACGCTCTTGCTTCAGCTCCCGTCCGCGTCCTGCGTTAAAACGACGCGTTTTCTTTCTTTCAGGCGATGAGTGCTCGAAGAACGGGACAGTTGAGCGCGTCGTCGTGCACCTCCTCAGCCCGCCACCCGAGAACCCTGAGGAAGCTGTCCGAATATTTGTTGTGTTTGCCGGACCAGCTGGCGCATGGAAGACGGTGCGCGAGCTGGATGGGAGGTACTTCGGTGGTAGGACGGTGAGGGCAAGGTATTTCCCAGAGAAACACTTCAACACGGCTTGGTGGGACGCGCCGCTTGCTTGAGTGTGTTATGTTTGTTTCCTTCTTTGCATGTCCCTTGCTATACTGTAGTGGTCCGTAAAACGGCCTTGCTGTGCTCGGCTCGCGAGATGCGTCATTTGCGCATCTAGGAATGCAATTCTTGAGTGCGTGACGCCCACAACTGTGATCTGTCCAGAGGGCAACACATCCGGCATGGAACGCAAAGGGTGTTTATGTTGATCTATGTCTATGGCACATCCGATAGGCTAGTACTTTTGCGAGCAATCTACTCGTGGTCTTGCACGATGTCCTCCTTGCGCGGTTTGCTGACGGGTTTGCTGTTCATGATTTCCTTGCCCTGGCCGATAATGGATTGCGTCTCGTCGTCGAGGAGTGTGCCTATGATTCATCCTCAGCTTTGCGATTCTAGCAAGGAAGAGCGAAGACGTACCCAAGCCCTCCTCGCGGACCAGACCCAGCACATGCTCGAGCTCGACGTATCCATCCTTGTCCACGTCGAGCTTCAGGATCACCTTGTGCGCCACGTCTTCGTCCGGTCGATGCTTGATCACAGCCAACGCCTTCTCGAGGTCCTGCACAGAAATCCTACCCTGGCTGTCGCATGTGATCATCTGGAGCGAGTTGCCGACGCGCTCGTCGTACGCCTGGATCTGCTGGTCGATCTTGGTGAGCATCGAGCGGATGCGCTTGGTGAGCGCGCCCGAGGGGGACTTGGGGTCCTCCTCGGCCTGTAGGTTCTCCTCCATCAGCGCGCGAAGCTCGGAGCGCTCCTTGAGGACGGAAGACTTGGCAGAGAGGATGGAGAGCGCGGCACCGAGCTCCTTGAGCTGCTCGGTCGTCATCCGCGCGTCGTCCTCCGAAACTTCCTTCGGCTCCTCCGGGCGCAGCTCGGACTCGGGCAGAAGCGACTGCGCGAGGCGAGCCTCCTCTTCGCGCTTGGCGCGTTCGTCGGCCTCGCGCTTCGCACGGCGGGACTCCTCCTCTTTCTCCTCTTGCTCTTCCTCGTCCTCGATCAGCTCTTCCTGCTGCTGCAGCACCTCGAGCTTCTGCTTGTAGCTCGCCTTGTCCGAGTCGACCTCGAGTTCGGCCTCATTCAGGAGGTTGTCGGGCAGGCCGCTGAGCACGCTCTCAAGGCTACGGACGACGGAAGTCTTGCCGTCCTCGTCTGTGCCTGGCGTGCGGTCAAACTGGAAGGCGCGGCCGAGGACGAGGAGGACGCCGCTGACGCGGTTGTGGAGGTGGAGGTCGATCCAGGTGGTGAGCTCCTCGCGGAGGCGGGCAGGTGAGACGCCCGAGGTGCGGATGCCGCGCGATTGGCAGGCGGCTTGGAGCTCGGAGGTGGAGAGCGAGTCGACGCCTTCGGCATTGATGAGCTGGTCGTCCCGCCGGAGCTGGGTGAGGCGGGCGCGGATGGTGCCACGGAGGAAGTTGTCGGTCCCGAAGGCATTGATGCCCATGTAGCGGCACATGGAGACAAGCTGCGGCCGGGAAAGGTTGTCGAGGGTGAGGTCATCGTCGAAGAGGCGGGCTACGGAGATAATGTCCTGTGCGGAGGGTGACTCGCCGGTCGACCGCAGCTGCGGGTGAGGGTGTGATGTCAGGTGGGAGGCTCTTTGTTCGGTGGCGGGGGACGGGGACGTACCTTCCGGAAGAACTCCTTGAATGCATCGCTACCAACGATGTGCGCGTTGGCCTTGAGTGGCGATTCGCGGAGGGTTTCTTGAAGGAAGTTGGCCATGTCTAGACGGACGCGAAGCAGCTTACGCTGTTTCTCTTCCTGCGGGTAGAGTAAGCTTAGATTGTGCACGGCCATTGGTGAGAACCAACGTACCGCTGCAAACTTATCTTCGAACGTAGAGGGAAGCATGTTAGGGAAGAGTTTGAGCGCCACGGGAAGCAAGAACTCCATGAACGGCACGATGACGAAGACCGCAAACGGGATGAGACGCAGGAGATCGGATGTCGTACGTTTCAACTGTGGATGTCATCGTGCGTCAGTTCGTGGGGGAATGCGAGAACTGTATGTATTCTGACCTGCCTGCGCTCACGTCGGGTCAAAGGCTCGCCCTGCAGGATCTTCCACTGCAACCTGGACGAAATTCGGACCTCCCTGACGAGCAGCTTCGAGCCATTCCAGTAGTGGGCCGCCTCGTGCTTCACCTTGCTCCATACGCGCGTGGCGAGCGGCTGCTTCGGGGGCGCAGGTGGACCGGACTTGCCCTCCGCGCCCGTAGACGGCTCGGAAGACGAAGAGGGTGCGTGGGTGCTCGCAGAGGCCTTGCCGGAAGGCGGAGGCTGGGTGCTCTCGTGCCGTCTTTGGAGCGCTGAGTCGGGGCGCAGGAGGAGAACGATGGGGAGCGCCCTCGCCGAGCCCCGTCGGCTTAGGGCCAAGGACGCCGAGCGGGCAACGGCGAGGCTATGGGTGCGAGTCACGGCAGACGATGAGCGGGGCAGCCATAGCGACATGTAGAGATTATTATGGCCAGTCAAAGACCGCCTTGCAGAAGCGAATGTCGAGTGTAGCGTAGGCCAGGGCGCGAGTAACGAGTTGGTAAGATATGGTCTGGCCGAAGGGGAGGAGACGCGGAGTGCCGAAGCGCGTCACCGAAACTTCACGTCGGCAACGCGGCCGTATGCCATCCTCATCCCGTTTCACTGCATAGATCATTTCCACGAGCATTCATCGCTACCTGCATGCACCGATACCTGCATAAACACGGAGTATCGATAAACAAGGCACTCCACCATGACTCGAAAGATGAACCACACTCTCATGCATCATTACTGGACTTGACGACTGTATACGACGGAGGCTGTTGGACTGCTCGAGCCTTGCATGCCGCAACTTTTGAAACCAGTCAAGGGTGTGCGAAGCTAGATACACAGCACCGTATCACCCGCTCTGGCGTTATTTCATCACTTTCATCGGGAAGCATTGATACTTGACCATCAGCGAACACCGGTTAAGCACTGGAAATCATTCATGAGCGCTGAGCGTTGTGCAATATGGCACAACCAAGCACAGGCTCCAAAACGGATATAACGGAACCAGTACATCTCGTATACTTTAAAGATCGACTGAGGTTGGCTGGATACCCCCCTCTCCCTCGTCCCGAGTGTGTTAACCAACCCTTGTTATAATCCTCGTTTCAACGAACATACGACGCTCTGCTACAACGATGGCAGTCTTCACAGGGACCTCAGACAATGATGGGTCGAGGGTTTGCGACGAAGAGGACAGCGACACCAGGTCGTCGCTTCCGATTTCAAGGCCAAGTCTTGCCGTCAAAGGACCTAGGTTGCAACCTCTTCGCATTGAAGAGCCCACGCCTTCGCAACTTCCTCAAAGGACGCTCCCCATTGGGCCATGGCGGAAGGAGCTCGATTTCGCCCGTCCACCCGTGGGGGCCATGTACGACAAGCTCGATACCTTCTTTCCTGAGCATCAGCTCGACGAAACCGTCATCGAATCGCCCGTTGGTGGCGCTTCGCCGGAGAATCCAGTCGCCCCCGCGTCACCTATGGCCTCCAAGAGCTTTCAAGGCAAAATGTCCCTCAGGACGGTCGCTGCAGAGCAAAGACGCCGCCATGAACTCCCTTCGCATATGTCCGAAACTATGCCACGTCGCAGGAACGTCAAGTTATGGGGGAGGAAATTGAACGAGGTTCCGCTAAACGCGGGATCTGCCAGCGAGCGTGAGTGGATGCCTCATATGCGACATCATTTCCTTACCTGGCCCTTTCCCATAGCCATCTTCAAATGGATGCGCGGCGAGCTCATTGGGAAGGGGAAGTACGGCCGTGTCTATCTAGCGTTGAACGCTACCACCGGCGAGATCATAACGGTCAAACAAGTGGAGTTATCACACACTATGGCCGATGAAGAAATGGACCGGGCCTGCGTGACGGCGCTGAAGACTGAAAGCGAGACACTCAAAGATCTAGACCATTCGCACATCGTCCAGTACCTCGGATTCGAAGAGACTCCAAATTTTTTGAACATGTTAGCACTGTGTATTCTCCTCACGTTACAGTGGTTGGCTAACTGTCTTGCAGCTTTCTGGAGTATGTACCCGGTGGATCCATTGGGCATTGCCTGCGCAAGCATGGCAGATTCAAAGAGGAGGTGACGAAATCGTTTACTGAGCAGATCCTTACCGGCCTGGAGTACCTTCACTCAAAAGGCATCTTGCACAGAGTCAGCTATTTCGTGCTCTTTTTTGGCTCGTACTGTTTCGCTGATCGCGCTCGTAGGATTTGAAGGCGGATAATATCCTTGTTGAAGCATCAGGAGTGTGCAAGATTTCCGACTTCGCTGTTTCCAAGCACATGCAAGCCTCGAATGTCCAAGCGGCACACTCGCCGCTAGTGGGAACCGTTTTTTGGATGGCGCCGGAGATTGTGAGAAGTGGAAAGCAAGGATACGATGCTAAGGTTGACATCTGGAGTCTCGGATGCGTGGTGCTCGAGATGTGGACCGGCCGACGTCCGTGGAGCGGCGAAAGCGAGGCGATTGCGGTAATGTTCAAGGTAAGCTAAGCTGTGAGCCGAAAGCTGAGACGTTCGTCTGACGCACCTTCTTTAGTTGTACAACAAAGAAGCGGACCCTCCTGTCCCCAAAGATGTTGTTCTGTCCTCTCTTGCGGATGACTTCCGCCTCAAGTGCTTCGCGATGTCAGTGTGATTCATCCGCATGGCTCATTATTGAAGCTGACTGATGTTCCTACACCAGTAATCCGGAGGAAAGAGCGTCCGCAGCGGAATTGAGGTCGCATCCATATCTCGAGCTCCCTCCGGATTGGGTATTCAAGGGTTTCCAATGAGTTGTTGCGACCCAAGTCAATCCCGTCCGTTATCCGTGACTTCGTGTTGTGTCCACTCCTCATTTTCTGATTACAGCCGTTTTCAAAAATCATGAGCGCGGCACCAGAAACGAGATGCGCGTCGTGAATGACCCCAAAGCTGGGTTTGCCGCCAGCACATTGTGTTCGACGACGAACTCTACGATGATGCGCCCTAGGATAGCATGGAAATGATCAAAATACGCGTGAGGAGCTCAGAGGATGATTCTGAGGAGTGGTAAACATGATATTCAAAGGTATTAACGAGCAATTTCCCAGTAGCAGGCAAGGATAGCGTCAGTGAATGTGAACCATGAGTATGGATGCTACATCCAGCAAATCTGGACACAGTCCAGCCTCTGTATGATCAAATATGTGTCCCAGGAGTCTACCGATGTTTTCGACAACGAGATGTTTGGGAACTCATCGTCGACTCGTCATTGGGGAGCATTGGGTAAGACCCTTATATTAGGGTTACTGCCAGCAGCAGCATGGCTCACTGAGGGGCAACCATTGTACAAGTGTACTGCTCCAAATTAAGGTGTAGCCCGCTATCAAGAAGATCCCATAGGCGAGTGGAAGTTGACAGAATGGGTGAAAGACAATCCGCCGGGAGCATCAAGTTGAGGGAACCAGAAACCCCCAGAAACATTGCACATCGTATCTCGAGCTCAAAATCGGGCTAACCTTTGGCTCCCTTATGCTCGGGCACTCCTCAGACCACAACAGCAATACGATCCCGTCTAAATGCCTGAGCTGGCTGACCTCCTGAGCTCGCCGGCTCGCTGATCTGGCGGTAACCCTACTTTAGGGTCGTTCACGACGCGCGTCTCGTTTCTGGTGCCGCGCTCATGATTTTTGAAAACGGCTGTAAGTATTGCGTCGTGACTCAGTTCCCCGGACCCCGTGTGATACTTGTGTACAGGCGCCCGTGGCAGTGCAATCATTCACGAGAGGTTTCCAGCTGCCACTGCTGCCAATATCGTTGTCCATTTGTCAAGTTATATTTCTACGAGGAGATGTCGCCGACGGCGGTAGAAGCAGATTTACACGATCCGACCAGTCGCTCGTATAGAAAGGCGTTGCGAAAGCATATCAAGACAACGAAGAAACGGGACCCCCAGGTCAGTCAAGACTGGACACCCTTTCGCGCCGCAGAGAAGCGATACAAGGCCCGCTTTCCACCACCAAATCTCGACGACGTGCTCGATTTGGCTGCTCTGGATGATGACCGCGAACTAGGATGCTGGAGGGGCAATCCACGCGCTATTGAAACGGAAGCATTCGACGCTGGGAGTAGACGAGGCTACACCGTGCCGTCTATCCCTGGTAAGTCCTGATTACCTATGAATCAAGTAGGCGGATTGAGGACGAGCAGGATGACTAACAGGGCTCGTGCTGTTGCCATCATTCATATCTGCACCTGAGCAAAGGAATCTCGTGAAATGGGCTTTGCGAGATCACGCCCGCCATCCAAACCCGACCAACCTTGACGCACACTATGACATGCCCACAGATGGGCTCTGGAACACGTATCTGGCCGATCCGGAGAGTACAGCACCCATAAACCTTCTTGCGTCAACGTTTACGGCGCCTCCACCGTCCTCGGCATCTCCGTCCGGACCACGAGAACTCGTATCTAACCCTCCTGCCTCTCCCTCGTCTCTTCCGGAGCTGCTTTCGATCCCCAAGCCCGCGCCGGCTCCCTCCCTTACGGTACCACCACTTCCGGCCTCGCAGCTGCTCCCGAAGCTGAGATGGGCGAACATCGGCTGGTTTTACCATTGGGGGACCAAACAGTACGACTTTACCAGAGGAAAAGGCGAAATCGCGACACCGGTGCGGAAGCTCTGCAAAGACGCTGTTGCGAGCGTGCCTTGGGAGAACATCTTTTCAGGCGTCCATTTGGACTGGGGTGCAGAAGGGGAGGATTGGAAGGATTGGAATCATACATACGGTAGGTTGTCATCCCCGACACATTCTCTTTCAATGACCCTATTTCTCAGAACCCGACGCGGGTATCGTGAATTTCTACCAGACGAACGTACGTCACTCTCGTTCTGCTCCGGAAGGATCACGCTCTTACAAACAGCGCCGTAGGATACGCTGATGGCTCACGTCGATCGCTCCGAAGTCTGTGCAACGTCGCCTCTCGTTTCAATCTCGTATGTCGTTCTTTTGTTAACGGATATCTGACATCTCACCAGAAATCTCTCAGACTCGGGTGCGCAGCCATATTCCTCATCGGCTCTGCAACTCGAGACGATCCCCCGACGCCCATTCTACTGCGTTCCGGTGATGTTGTAATTATGTCCGGACCCCGATGCCGTCGAGCCTATCATGGTCCGTATCCTCCTCCGCGTGTTTTGATCCACCTCCTTATCCATATTATGGACGTTCATCCAGGTGTCCCTCGCATCCTAGACGCAAGCTTACCCGCGCATCTTTCGGCGCCTACCGCTTCTGAAAACGAGGATGAAGAATGGCTTCCGTACGCGCGGTACCTCCGTACCACCCGGATAAACGTTAACGTGCGACAAGTGTTCCCCAAGGGCTTCGATCCCAGCGCTGTACTGGGGCCTTGTCTGGCAACACTTGACGTTCAGGACGCCCATAACCGGTGAACCGCTGCAATTGTCGGCAGATGCGCATGAGGGAACGGGTGTAGAAAGACGGGGGTTCAATTGGCATGGATTCACCACCTCGTCGATCCTGAATGATCACTGGCCTTGGTTTCTGGTGGACGGTGGGGCATCGTTTGGCCTTGTCGTGGCAAGTCACGGCCCCAATGTGACCATGCCTTTCTATTCAACCCAGGGGCAACGGTGGCCATGGCTTGGGGCTCTTTTCGGCGGCTGAGATCCAGGCTTCGTGGGCCAACAAACCAGGGTTGTGGCATTCTTGACTTCGAATTAGGCCACGCCCGTCGCATTCAGCGCATTGTCGCAGGCTTTGCATGCGGGACACGATCAGCGGACGCTATAGCGGATTGCAACGTTGTTGAGAGACTGTCCACCACGCATTTCCCGTTGCTTTGCGGCTCGACAAGATATAAACTCCCGCCTTCTTCTAGCATTCCCCTACCTATCCCCTATATCGTTAACGCGAGGACAACATGGAGAACTGCCCATTCTTCCAGCCTCGAGCCCGACCGCCTCTGCCACCCTTTGTATTCAACCCCCCTTCGCCGAGGAGTGTATCCGACATCTCTTCGCCGGGATCGTCAGTCACAATGACAACAGAGCCGGACAATTACTTCGATCCCCATGTCTCGCCGCAAATTACCTTCGAGCAGGGGCGGTCTGTGTCGTACACGCCGCCATACACGCCAACTTACACACCAAGGGCTGCATCCACACTTCGCAACTCGATCACGCCGAGCGAATTCATCGAGAACGGAACGAGACACGCCGCTCAACTGAGGTCAAAATCCAGCCGGGCCTCACTAGGACGGCGTACGTCCGGTCTCAGTCTACAGCAGCACGCCATGAAGAACCAGGCTTGCAAACATTCAAGTCGGGAACTCTCGTCGCGACAGCGATCTGCAGGGGCTAGTCCGTACCCCGACGCGCCTGCGTTGGCCGTCTCACCCGCGAGCACTCCGACGTCAAACAACGAATTGATGTTCACCAACCTGCCCCGTGCTCAGTTCGTACCACTCACGCAAGAAAATCTATTGGTGCATGAGCAGAACATCTCCAGTCGCCTTTACTCCCAACATGCGCCTTCCCACGACAAGCGCAAGATGGTGTATGAAGCCTTTCGTTCTGCCGTGCAGAAGGACCCCGTCCCCCGAAACACGAGGTCTGAATCGCTTGAAGCCTGGGACTGCGTGGGCTGCATGGCGCACCCGCATGAACACTGCCCCGCGCACTGCGGGGAGTCGGCCATAGACTGCACCTGGCGCCGCAGATGATGCGACGCCCAGCCCACGACGTATCACGGTTGAGCTTCCGTGCTTTGCCTGCTTATGCCCTTCTCTGAGTTGACTCGGTATGGCATGGCAAGCGTACATTATCACCCCCATGTTTCCGCCTGAGGTTCTCCGCGGCCTGAATGCTACCATCGCTATGTAATATAGACATCGTCCTAATACAAATAGAAAGTAGACAACTATGCCTCGAAAGCCCCTTCCAAATTGAAGCAACCGAGGACCACGAGCATCACTCGCGAACACGATCCGTCTGGCCGAGTCTCCTCCCGGAGCCACTGCCACTATATAGAATGCACTTGGATCGCTTCCTCATATCTGCCTTGCATTAGCGCTAGCAGCTGCATCTTGCGTTTGTTTCTTTCGTTGACCAGCTTGGCCGGCGCGAGCCCGTGGATCGTATTCGCCCCTCCGGCCAGGTCGCTGAAGTTCGATTAGCGCTGACAGCGGACACCATGGGCGACGCTCATCCGCGTGCCAAGGTCGACGAGATCAAGTCGGTGACGGTACTCTCCATGGGGGACGACGTTGACATAGGCGTTGTTCCTGCCCTATAGGGCGGTGTACGATCGTCTTTTCAACTCCTCTACGAGGTTAGGAAAGATCAAGGATGCCGCTTTAGGTGGTCGCTTGTTCGCTCCCGCCGACGACGGGCATGGGGTACCAGGACGCAGTATTGCTTGGAAGGTATCGACGCAGTCCTGCTTAGTGCATTCATCGACTTGTACTCAGCACATCCTTAGCTGTTTCTGATTCAAGTAGAACCTCTACAGCCTGACCTACCGCTCAGCCAACTGCCATACCTCGACACATTGCAGCGGTCTCGCAAGGAGTTCGTGGACTTGATGATGGAAAAGGTGTGCTAGGTCCTCAAGTTTATGTATAGTTTGCTACTAAATACCTTCGTGAAGATGCGTGCTCCAGATGGCAGTTACGAAGACGGATTCATCATTCCCGGAACGCATGCATCCCCACCACGCATCAATCGTTCTACCAGCAACCTCGAGAAGAACAATCCTTTGAGCTTGCATGACGAAGTGAGCCTTGTGCGTCCTTCCAAAACCAAGAACACATCAATTGATCCGTACAGAACCCGTGGAGAGATTGGTTCGCTGCTATTGAGCTTCGCAAGACCATACTTCAGGATGTCGAGCGCACGTTAGTGAGCCGTGCGGCCCCCGTCGCTGTTGCTAGCATCAACTAGATACCTAATTAGATTTCCGGATCTCCTCTACTTCCGTGACCCCGACGTTCAAGCCCAATTGACGAACATATTGTATCTTTACTCGGTACTCCACCCGGACATAGGATATCGGCAAGGCATGCACGAGCTTCTCGCGCCGCTATACCATGCCGTCGATTTCGATTCGCAACTTGAAAACGATTCATCGACTAACGACGCCACGCTTGCAGAGTTCTGTTCTCGGGCGTGGGCGTCTGCCGACGCTTGGGTTTTGTTCTGTGCAGTTATGAAGGGCGTTGGCCGATGGTGCGATCTCCCGAGGTGTCCCTGGGCCAATGCATACATGGCTGACATCCTTATTCTAGGTACGAATGGCGAGAACCGTCGGCTTCGATTACTGGAGCGTCCCCACTTGGATCACATGTTCAACTGAACGTACCCACCCGTCAGGCGGAGATTAAAGCCTACGTTGCTCCCGTAGTCGAGGCTTGTCAACGCGTTCAGTCAACATACCTAAAGAACGTCGATCCCTTGCTATGGAAGAGCATGCAAGCAGCTGGGATTGAGCCCCAAATCTACGGCATGTGAGCAGCTTGGACTACCTTACATCACACAGTCTGATTTCAAGTAGACGATGGTTGCGACTACTGTTCACGCGCGAGGTACGATTCCATATCGTGAAAATATGAGCCACAGGCTCATCCTTGTATAGTTTCCCCTTGAGGAAGCTATGATTATGTGGGACGGGCTTTTTGCTTGTGACTCCTCTTTCGACCTGGCGCAATGGGTATGTGTTGCCATGCTAGTCCGAATACGCAACCAGTGTATGGAAACTTTATCGCTGCTGCCTAAGGTCGCTAACGCACTCGGCAGTGATACCGGCGGACTATACCGGACAGCTAACATTCCTCCTCCGATACCCTGCCCCTCCTCCGCCCGATGCCGATAATCCGCCCACATCTCACCCCATCACGCTTTTACTTCGACAGGCCTTGACGCTCCAGATGTCTCCCACTCCGTCAACAGGCGTGTCGGTTGTCCTCGAGAATCGCAATCTACTCAATATTCCCATGGACGTGCCAGAACCTCCGCCGCCCCCTGTCCGGCGGCGGCCCGGCCATGTGCAGCGAGGCCAGTCCATCTCTGCCTCAGAAGCCTCTGGGAGTACCGCCCGCCAAACGCCTATATTGTCGTCCGCTACCCACGGACGGCAGACTTCCAGCCAGCAGAGTCTCGGATTACCGGAAACATGGGCCAAGGGAATTCTAGACCGGGGAGAAAGTCTTGGTATCAACAGGGCCAATATCTTGACCGCAGTGACCGAATTTCGAGTAAGCTCCGTAAGCTCCCTCATGCATAAATTTCAAATATTGACGAAGTCACACAGCGTAACCTCCCAGAACTGGCGGCCCAAGCAGCGTCGTTCGTCCGCACACCGCTATCCCCCAGTCAGCAACACGATACATTCCCTCTCGCTGTCGATCGCCCAGTCGAGGAGCGACCTCCCTGGGAACCTCGGACCAGATTTGAGATGGAGCGCGAGATCGTCCAGCTCAAGTCTGCGCAGAAACGTTGCGGAAAGGCTTTGCAATGGGTCGTGGACGCCCTCCTGCAGGACGAGGAGAACAGCACCGATTCGGAGAAGGTTAAGAGCATTAAGCAGAAGAAACGGGATGCGTTGGAATCGCTGGCATACGTCAGAGACATATTGAACGGAAACGTTGCGGACATCGAAGACGATCGGCTGGTCAGCGAGGAGGATCAGCGGAGAGCGAAGGAGGCAAACAAGCAGATTGGTCCCGCGATGGGTCCCGCGCCGCAAGCTACCACCGCGGTCGCAAAGCACATATCGCCTCCGCAGCCCGCTGCGCCGCTCCCCCTGCCGACAGTCGAACCACGCTCTCCGGGAGGCCGCACAATGGGCCAGCACCCAGCTTTCGCATCTTTTCCTTCGACAGTTTCCTCCTCGCCGCCTCGACCTACCAGATCGAGTTTGGCATCGACCAACGATCAGCTGCCGCGTGGCGCTTCAACCCCGCTTAACTCTCCTCCCGTACCGAAATCGGACAAGAACGCCACGGCTTTCGCGCCTTGGAACTACACGCCGTCTGGTTTCGCTTCTGCTTCTGCTGTGGTTCCGCTTCCACCTCCAGCGTCGGTTGCACCGATGTCTCCCGCTACTCCTTCCGGGATGAGGTTTCCTACCATTAATGCCGCGCCACCCGCCGACGCAGCGGATCGGGCTTCCCGGCGCACGGTATCGCATGATCCCTTGGGTGCTATTCCTTGATCTATCGCAACAACTTGGAAATATGTGTCGGATATATGAGCGGTCTGCGGATGGTGATGGTGTATTATATCCGATGTATCACGTAGACTAGTTTTGCTTAGTTTTTTGCATTGGCTCATATCGGTTGCATGCGGCTGTCCAATCAAGAGCATGAAGCTGTAGTTTGTACTTGTGTGTCGAGGAAGTACAGCGGGCTGATAAAGGCGTGATCGATCTCATCAGCTCTTTGGTCTCAGCTTTGACCTTCACTCCCTCCGCTCAGTTGCCGCATACCTGACATGCAAGACAAGTCGTCCGCTGGCGGGCTGATGGTACGACATCCCCCTCAAAAATCTGTGTTCTGCATTCATTAGCATGCTACAATTGCAGCAACCATATACTTCTGGTTTTCGGCGCCGGTGGCGATAACAGTTGTCACTTCGCCGTTCAATCGCCACTCATCTAGTGCACTCACGGTCGCTCTAAATCGCCTAGCACTCCTCCAGACTCTGAATGGGTCAGATCCTTGAGATCGTGTATGATCGTCGCGTTGCCGTCGTGGGTCTGCGTGATTGCCAGACGCCGGAGGTTCATTCGGGCCAAAAAGTCGACAGCAGTCAGAGTGGCTTCTATGCGAGCAATACAACAAGCTAGCTATTCCATGCTTTGGTATACAAATGCTCAATATAGCCGTGAAGTCATGCGCGCGGGGACCCGCGGGTAGCGCCACCCTTCCCTCTGGTACGAACCTTCGTCTTCTTCTTCCCGCCACTCGTCTTACCTTCGGGCATATCCTCGCAGTAGTCCCCTTTTCGATGTCGCATGAGCGCATCATCGCGCGAGAACCGCTTTTTGCACCACTCGCATTGGAGATGGTCGTTGTCGTCGCGCTGGTCCTTCGGTATGCCGGTATGCATGAAGGAATCGAAGTGTCGATTCAAATCCGACCGCCGCCCAAAACCCTTGTTGCATTTCGCGCAGTAAAAGGGCTTTTCGTGTTCGGCGACGTGAACTGGCTCGACAGTCTTCTTCGGCTCGCTTATGCGCGGGCGTTTCTTCGGCGCCGAACGGCGGTGGCGGGCGCTGCGTCCTATAGCCGGCAGGTAGTCGTCCTCGTCCTCGTCATCTTCGACGTCGTCAAGCCTCCGCTTCCGATTGTTGGATGCCGTCTCAGCCTTCTGGACCGCCTTCTGGACCGCCTTCTGGACCGCCTTTTCCAGCCGATGTGAACGTCGGCGGACTGATTCCGTCGAAGAACCCCCGAAGAGGGCAGAGGGCACGTCGGGTAGCAAGGAGCGGTCGTCGGCTTGGCCATCGTTCGGTGTTGACATCGTCGACTGCACCAACAGCTCGGTATCGGGGGCTGGGCCGCGTTTATGACGGCCAGGTGGCCTCGCGTTTTGTCCGTTCAAGCGGGCACCGTGCAGACCAGAATGATCGACACGGTGAGTGTCATTAGATGCATGCTGGGAAGCATGCTCAATGAACTCATCAGCGCCGGAGAACCGTGGCGAGGACTGCGTGGAGGATGACGATGGTACGGAAGACTGGGCGATCTCCGACACGGAGTCGTCCCAAGCTGGACCGGGGGATGCGACCTGTAACATACAGTGAGGTTGACTATATGATCGTTGTTCGTCCGGCATACCTCGTTTTCATGTTCATAGTAGTCTTGAAGCTCGTCGTTGAGATAAATTGGGTCGATGAATGTGTGCTCAGGGAGGTTGAGGCCAAAGTCGAACGAGTTCTGGGCCGAAAGGCCGTCGAGAGAACCAAGACGCGCTAGGCGTTTACTGCAATCGTCGTACATGTAGTGGTCCCTGTCGGGCGGTTCATTCATGTTAGGCGAGCGATAGCTGACGGCCCTTTCATCACATACATTGGGTTGACCGTCTGGAGGCCCGAATCGGGGTTGATTGTGGTATGCGATGTAGAAGGCACGTTGAGCAACGAGGAAAGCATTGACGACATCGCGGGTCAATTCAACGGTAAGGAGGAGGGGTGGAGTATCCGAGGCGACTTATGTTTCTTAAAGGTAGGCAGCTGTGGTCTGGAGCCGTTGCCATTTTCTCCCTTTGTCACCCCTTATTCGCCGGATGGAAACATGTAGGTCCACTACGGATATCAGCGTCCGGCTAACCGAAGTCGAGCGGAGTATGTTTTTCAGGCTTCCGAGTGCTTCCGGGTGGTTATTCGAGGCGCCCATACCGCGTGTATGATATACGAGCTGGCGATATTATGCGCGTGTGCCATCCGATACCAGGAACGGCATCTAGCCCAGTCAACTATGACTCTGCGCGAGTAACGGATGGTTCGGGAGCGAAACACGTTGGCTCTATGGCCTCGGAGCGACGGTCATGAGGATGAGAACTGGCTGTGATAAGCTTGATTGTGAGTGCTCCCCAAGAGATCGATGCCTCAAGGACAGCTTCACAGCTCCGACGACCTCCATGCCGCCGACCGTTAAGGGGAAGCTGGAACAACCTTCTCACGCAGGCTTCGCGACCGTGCGACTTTCGATTAGGGGCACCTCGGGCATCCTCTGCCCGCTGCAGAGGGTCATATTTTCTTGGGCACACTTAAATAATGATGAGTGTACCGCTCTTCTAGCTACAGTCTACTTACAGCCATTTCTATGCTGTGAATCCTCTGGCAGATGCCGTGGAGGCGAGACTCGATCGATCTGCCATGTAAGTTCCCTTTTATAGCTAGCCCCCGAATCACAGGGATTTCTGAATGAACAACAAGGGGTCGACAGCTTCCAGTTACCGCATCTCGATGTATCCTGACGATGACTATCTTACAGATCTCACGGACCGTTCCAATAGGCGCTCGTCTGCGACTCCGACTGTCATTCTATTGCCTTCCGAGATCTCTGGCCATATGACCCTGTGGAGACCTTATTCTTCCGAGGAAAGTCTCGCTATTCTGCGTCGAGATGATCGTGATATCCGATCTTTGGGGCCAGCCATTCCTGTGAACCCCTTGCCCAGTTCGGCAGCTCTACACAGCCGGCGACTACGCGCTCTGCCGAGCCGCCAGGTCGAAGGGTGGGAATCGGGACTTTACTTCTGCGCTCACCGGTGCTATATTGTCCATCGAGTGCGGTTCCCATCAAAGTCTGGACTCAAGTATTATCCGTTCTGCTGCCCCACCTTACGGTCAGCTTCTAGGATAGCGTCACCGCCAGATCCCAGCCTTCCAGTCAGTGGCACTCATTCTCACTTCACGGTAGACCGTCGACAGGGAGGTTGCACCTCCGTTGAAGCTGGCGACTGTTACGCACGTCCGTTAAGTCGTGTCATTCAGGTCAGCGTCAGGTTTCGTTGGTTCGAATGTGTTGTATTTATTCAATGCTCACTTCATAGGATGCTGCAGCCTCTTAGCAAAGGCATGGGCCCGGGACGCCTCCCGGAGGTTCTACCATAGTCACGCTGCGGTGGGCTACAGGCTTGCCTTTGCTATATCCGATTGCACGACGGATCGTGCGAGCCAGGCACCACAGGCGGCCGTGAGCGTAGTATAAAGTATACGCCGTTCCTGTCGAGCGTTGCTCAGAGCCGTCCGGATCGACACCGTTTAGCGCATATGGCAGCACCCGCCGAAGTTACTACTGCTGCGTTAGCCGGCGTCTACGTCTTGGTGACCGTATCAATGTCTTACTTCGATGGGCGAGTACTAATGAGGAGACATCCCTTCAGAACAAGAAAATGTCGGACAACACTATGACTGATAACATCCTGCAGCTTCAGGGCGTCGGTGAGTGTGATTGCTTTTTACGCTCCAAAACGGGGATCTCACTTTGGGGCTCACAAGGCCGGCTGAAACGCAAGGCCGCATCAGCCGCGACGCTCACGCTCTACGTGAAACATTATACCGAGTGAAGCATTATACCGACGGTAATGGCGTCGAGCACCTTGACGTCGACAAGAAGATCGGCGGACTCGAACGAGATCGAGAGAGCCCTCTATTCGGACATGTCATTGGCAAAACCAGGCGCGATCAGGTAGAAGACTTGGAAGACGCTCTTCTGAAAGAAGGTTGGCATCCCGATACGCACTGCGCCATCGAGTCCATTGCTCTGCGGTACTGCCTGGACTATGCATGTGGTCTGATAGATCCATCGGCCAGAAGTCGTACCGCGAGGTTGACTTTCCGACAGAGTTGTTGTTTCAAGGTCATCAATGGAGAGAGGCGTTACACGCGTAGCATGAAGTTCACTGGTCCGAAAGGCGAGAACGTGGAGGCCCGGGTCTGGTATGACTACATCGAACCAGTGTAGCGGTAGATGGCGCTGTCCCAATTCCTAAACATCTGGCAGTGATCCAAAAACATGTACTCTAGCTTAAGATACGCATTTACAATCTTGGACGTTGCAGTCGATATGATATGCTAATAGCGTTGAGGACAAAAGCAGGCAGGGCTTGAAGATCGGGAGCGTCGGGAAAATCCGGACTGCGCGTGACCAGGAAATCATGCGCCTGTGATTGGGCCGTGTCCCGGGGTCGGCTCGGGACGTAACAATCACCTTGAACTTGCACTGAACGACGACCCGGGCGATAGCTGCTCATCGTCAACGACAACGGCGGAATGCTCAGAAAATCTGTCTCGAAGGCGTTCGGCCGTTCAAAGCGGTCTTTTCACTCCACCGCCGCGGCGCGACGGGTCGTCGCAACCAACCCTGTGAAGGCTGAGGAAGTCAAGGTGAATCCGTGTTTTCTCATTGCCCCGGAGCTCCAACTTACACACAGAACCAGAACTATGCTTCGGGCAACTATCCGCTGATCGAGCATCAATACGATGCGCTCGTGGTGTAAGTCGAGGTTCTCGACTCACACGAGCGTATGTGCTGACCGCGGCCTCCTCTTTCGGACAGTGGTGCGGGCGGTGCCGGTTTGCGAGCTGCCTTTGGTCTCGCTGAGGCTGGCCTCAAGACTGCCTGCATCACCAAGCTGTTTCCGACTCGTAGTCACACTGTCGCTGCTCAGGGCGGTATCAATGCAGCACTTGGAAACATGACGGAGGATGACTGGCGATGGCACATGTACGATACGGTGCGTGAATATCACCAGAAAAGCAACGAAACTGTGATCACTCATGGTCTTTATAGGTTAAGGGCTCTGACTGGCTTGGTGACCAAGACGCCATCCACTACATGACCCGAGAAGCCCCTCACACTGTCATCGAGTTGGAACACTTCGGTGTGCCTTTCTCGCGAACCAAGGAGGGCAAAATCTACCAGCGAGCGTTCGGCGGTCAGTCGCTGAAGTTCGGAAAGGGTGGTCAGGCGTACCGTTGCGCCGCTGCCGCCGACCGTACCGGTCATGCGCTGCTCCACACCCTCTATGGCCAATCTCTCCGACACAACACCAACTTCTTCATCGAGTACTTCGCACTCGACCTGATCATGGAGGGCGGCGAATGTGTCGGTGTCATCGCCCTCAACATGGAAGATGGCACCTTACACCGATTCCGCGCGCATAAGACTGTCCTCGCGACTGGTGGTTATGGTCGTGCGTACTTCAGCTGCACGAGTGCACACACTTGCACCGGTGATGGAAACGCCATGGTTACCCGTGCTGGCCTCCCTCTCCAGGATCTGGAGTTTGTGCAGTTCCACCCTACCGGCATCTACGGTGCTGGCTGCTTGATCACCGAGGGTACTGTTTTGCCTTTCACTTTCTGACATTCGACTGATAAATGATATAGGTTCTCGTGGCGAGGGTGGCTACTTGCTCAACTCCGAGGGCGAGCGTTTCATGGAGCGTTACGCCCCGACTGCGAAGGATCTCGCCTCTCGTGACGTTGTTTCCCGGTCAATGACCATTGAGATCCGAGAGGGTCGTGGTGTTGGTCCTGACAAGGACCATATTTACCTGCAACTCAGCCATCTCCCCGCTGAAATTCTACACGAGCGTCTCCCCGGTATCTCCGAGACCGCTGCCATCTTCTCTGGTGTCGATGTCACCAAGGAGCCGATCCCTGTGCTTCCTACTGTGCACTACAACAGTAAGCTGTTGGCCAACGCATATACGCCTCATTGCTGATTTATTCTGCAGTGGGTGGTATCCCCACCAAGTACACCGGCGAGGTCATCACCGTTGACGAGGTTCGGGCTCAAGTTGCTTGTAACACCGCATATATTGACATAATTCGATCCAGAACGGTAAGGACAGAGTTGTACCGGGTCTGTACGCTGCCGGAGAGGCGGCTTGCGTGTCCGTGCACGGTGCCAACCGTCTTGGTGCCAACTCTCTCCTCGATATCGTCGTCTTCGGTCGTGCCTGCGCCCACCACATCAAGGAGACTCTCGAGCCAGGCAAACCTCACCGCGAGATTTCTCCCGAGGCCGGCATGCAGAGCATCGAGTTCCTCGACCAGATCAGGAAGGCCGATGGCCCTCAGCCGACTGCCAAGATCCGTCTTGACATGCAGAAGGCCATGCAAGCCGACGCTGCCGTCTTCCGGACACAGTCCACCCTGGACGAGGGTGTCCAGAAGGTGCGCGAGATTTACAAGCAATACGACCAGGTCGGCATCAAGGACAGAAGCATGATCTGGAATTCGTGAGTTCCTCGGGCCGCACGATTTGTCAGAGCTCTGAAGCATCTCTCGATAGCGACCTTGTCGAGACCCTTGAGCTCCGTAACTTGCTCCAGTGCGCCGTCCAGACTATCACTGCGGCTGCTGCTCGTAAGGAGTCTCGGGGTGCGCACGCCCGTGAGGACTTCACTGAGGTGTGTCGCCTCCATCTTTCCTCTCATCCTCAGTAGCTGAGCAATTTCATTGCAGCGTGACGACGAGAACTGGATGAAGCATACTCTGACATGGCAACACGACGTCAACTCGCCAGATGTCGAGATCAAGTACCGCGGCGTTATCTCCACGACGCTCGACGAGAACGAGTGTAAGTCGGTGCCGCCGTTCAAGCGGGTGTACTAGATAGCAGCGGCGAGAGGGGGCCAAAATTCGACACTCGCATGTTCTGTGTCTACACTATGTAAACCTTCCAACACGTATTGGGACTTTTTTCGAACATGAGACAGGGTCGTGACCTGCAGTACAGTCGGTTGGGAGGACGACCGGGTTCGTCGTGCGAAGTATTCAGGTCTTCGATGCGTTCGTGCGATTGTCGGTCTTGAGCAGTCTTGAGCAGGCGACTTCGAGTGGCGTCCACGGGGCGAAATGCCAAGTATTCATGAAACGTGAACGTTTGAACATCGTCCACCTAAACCCTGCCGATCAGGCTACGGTGTGGTTCGAGTCGGTTTCTCTACCTGTCACACTCACCGAATCAAAACCACATCGAGACCGAGAAGCTGACGGTCTCGCTGCGCATGGCGTGCCACCAACCAGGTGGGAGGAATAGGAGATCTCCCGGGTTCAAGGTCGCGCTCATAGCGCGTGGAACGGCGTTTCCCCAGAAGTCTTGCAGTCGTTCGTCGTTGGGATCCGTCTCGGACGGAGCTTGCGAGGAGACATCGAAGACGTCGACACTTGATGTGTTGCTCATCGTGGGATTCAATGAGTTGACGGCCGGATTGTGAGGGGGCTGCGACGACACGCCGGTGGGTGAGGAGGTGGTGCTCGGGGGCGGATAGGGCAGCATGTGAGCCGAGACGGAGGGAGGCGCGACCCAGACGGTCTTGCTACCTACGACCTGCGCTAGATCTTGGTGACACTCGTATGTTTAGTCGGTGACATGGGACACCTACCGTACAGGTTGAAGTAGGGATCCTGTAAGGTTCAATCAATCAGGCGTTACGGTGGGAATCCCCCGACGAGCATGGATGTGGGCATACCGTATGTGCGGGTGATACGGTGCCTTTAGGCCCTAGCCAGACGTTGGTCACGAGTTGATCCTCATTTGTGGGAGGCTCGTACCCGGGAAAGTCTGGAGTTGGATCCGGGGACGCATATACGTAGTCGGGGATTGCGATGTCGTCCCGAAGGCGGGGGAACTGACGCAAGAGGTTGTACTGGGCGAGGTACGTGGGGCTAGCTTCGTCGGATCGGCATAGAGCGTCCAGAAAGGCGTCGAAAGGGAGGATCTCCTGCTTCCAGTCGTCTGCGCGATAGTCGTTGCCAACCTCCACGGGGACGACACGTCCTGCACCCGAGATGGAGCGCAGATACTGGGGAGAAGACCACGGATGGTCGGTCAAGGCGGGCCAATCTTGCACGAAACCGCGTAGAATGAATGGCCCGGAAGCCCATCCCTTCCGAAAAGCGCTGAGAGAAGGTGCTTCTTCGGGCTCGGGGATGCCCGCTGCAGCGCTGGGAAGCACAACAGAAGGCAGACGTTGGCTGTCGAACGAGCGTTCATAGGGTTCAGTTTCCGTCCCTGGATGACCTCCGAGATGGTGTGCTTGAATGTCTAGGATCAGCGCATGGATTAGGTCCAAGTGGACTGGGGCACCAGCGATGATGATAGCCATGTCAAGGTGCGCAATAGCCTCTTTCGCCAGTTCCTCGGTTACATCGTTTCTTCCAGCTTTCGTGAGGGCGAGGACGATGGAAGCATCCGTGTAGAATTCTCTCCAGCGTAGTCTATCTGTGCCTGCAGCTGCCATCATGCGATGAGACTCGGATATTGCACGCATCAAAGCGTTTGTATCACCGGCCGGTGATCCAAGGACTGCGTCCAGCGCATATACGCCACATTGGGCCAGCTCGCCATAAGCTCCTGATGTGCTCTGAGTGAGTTGCTCAAGTCCAACGAAGCCGACGTGTACCGCTGTGCAATTGTTCGAGGCAAGCGAGTGCCCAGTTTCGCGGCATCACGGAGGCAACTTAGAATATACGATTCGCCCGTGATACTTTCTCAGAGAAAGATTGACGACGCCACTCGCGACGAGGAATTGCAGGCTATGGAGGAACGTGGACGGGTTGGCGCCGTTTGCTGTACGCTACGAGGCCCTGGCAGCCGTGTTATGGCTGCGTCGGGGCGATCCGACGGTGAAGGAGACGGAAGCGCAGGAAATTTAACGGTCCCTGCTTCTGGAGGGAATCTTGTGACAGGGGGTGCCCAGGAAGGGAAATTAGACGCGTCACAGCGAAAAATCACGTAAGCCCGAATCCCGCATACATAAACCCTCTAGCCCAACCCGAGATCTTCGCACGGCTCCCCCAAACCTCTGATAACTCCGGCCCCTCGGGCCGGCTCCGGGCGCGGCAATGACTTCCAGGTATGGACACGTCGCTCCCTCGCGTGGCTCTTGGGCCGCCTTCGCTGAGCTTCCCGCTCCGGTTTCGCAGATTGGATCGTTTGCTCATTCTTCTAGACACCGGATCGTCAACAAATGTTAGGACTACTGCCGCAAAGCAACTGGCCCAGCTGGCCGCCAAAAGCGTCATCAGCGATGTCGCGGTGGAAGAGGACGTTAAGTCTACCCGCCACCATGCCGCCGTCGACCCTGCGGCATGGGCAGAATTAATGGCTGTTATAGCACGAGTCCGTAGCTGTCGTCGTTGTTAACCATTACATTCGCTAAAATAGGCTCCATGTCCAGATATTACCCTACCTCCACTCCAAATCCCATGAGACGCGTACTGCTGCATCCGTCGCCCTCTCACAAATATGGACACTCGTTCCGATATGGACTCCCGCGCCCCCTGTGAAGTCGGAAGCAGACGCAGATAGCGCGCCTGTAAACCCCCCGGAGTTCCCTAACTTCTCCGTCCGGGAGCTGATGGCGAAGGGCACCCTCCTCCTGGCGTCGTCTGGCAAGGAATTCACCAAGCCGGCGAACCTTTTGGCTAGTTCAGCGGAGGTTAAGAAAGCTCGCAAAGATGCCATGAGCCGTCTCGGTCTCGATTTTCTTGATGCTCTCGGCGGCGATGAAGACAGCATGGACCTGGATCAAGAGCTTGCAGGGGATGATGCCCTCGCGAGCGATTCGGAGAATGTCAAGCAGGAGGTCAAGCAGGAGGAGTCGACAGTGTCTCCGACTGACACCGACGTCGTCATGAAAGAGTCTTCGCCTCCACCCAGGGCCAAATCTGCTACTCCTGCAGGCACGCCAGGGCCGTCGATGTCCCCGCCTCCCGAGCAGGATCTCAGCGCGCTCTCTGCTAGGGAGCGAAACCGGTTGAAGAGGAAACGGAAGCCCGGAAACTCGGCCTTTGTTGCCGCACCACCTCCTGCACCGCAAGGTTCGAAATACACCCCGGCATCGGCGGGTCAGGCAAGCTCAAAGTATGTGTCTTCAATTTGTTTTGTGATATCGCTTTGCTGATGGGTACGATCAGGGCGCGCCTAGTAGAAGCAGACGAGGACCAATCAGCCGCCGCGTCGCGCCTATCCACTCCCAACTCTACCAACGGCAACAGCGGAGCGCAAGATAAAGTAGTCATCGACCCCACCAAAGGAGGGGCGGTGTCTCCTAAAGCTCCGCAGCAATCTAAGGCGCTCGAGGTCCCTCCGGGAGTATGGGTATGGGATGGCATCGTCAAGCTGCTTGAAGTGGACCTGTTCAGTCCAGCGTGGGAGGTCCGGCACGGCGCCGCCATGGCTCTTCGCGAGCTGTTAAAGACGCAAGGCCACCATGGCGGCATGAAAGGTAGACTTTCGCTCGCATACGCTCGTGCACCATGCCCTGACATACGTCTTATAGACGAGCTCCCTCCCGCTGAGAACGAAATGGCGCATGAACGGTGGTGCAACGACCTCGCGGCGAAATTTCTCTGCATTTTCGTCCTCGACCGGTTTGGCGACTTCGTCTCGGATCAGGTTGTGGCCCCTGTACGAGAGACGGTGTCACAGACGTTGGCATCGCTCCTCTTACACATGCCTCGTCGCTCGGTTCTCCACGTCCACGATATCTTGCTCCAGATGATCCGCCAGGACTTTCCACTGCTCCCCAAACCAGCTAATGGCAAGGGTTCCGCGCGCGCGCGCGACACGAATCACGTTTGGGAGGTTCGGCATGCGGGTCTGCTGGGGGTCAAGTATGAAGTCGCCGTTCGCAAAGATCTTGTCGAAGCACCTCCGAAGGCTGAAGATGACCTGAGAATGGAAGATGGAGTACCGTCCGAAGGGCGCGATGTATTACAAGGCGTGGTCGATGCCGCCATCCTCGGGTCAGACTAATTGTTCGACCAATTGATTCGGTACTAATGAAATCCGTTAGGCTGGGTGACCAGGACGATGATGTTCGGAGTGTCGCGGCTTCTTGCCTGATACCTGTTGCGCGGCAAGTTGTGGAGCAGATACCCCAAGCTCTGCCCCAGATCCTTAGTGTGCTGTGGAATTGTCTGTCCGAGATCAAAGACGACCTGAGCTCCAGCGTGAGCGCTGTCATGGATCTACTCGGTACGTAATCCCTTTTTTTTTGCTCGATCATGATCGCTCAACAGATTACAGGGAAACTCGTAGCCTACGACTCCGTCATTGCCATCCTGGCAGACCGCAATCTTTCGTGAGTACCGTTGTATCCATACAAACTAGTCCATTCTGACTATTCATGGCATACAGCCACTCATTGGCGGATCTCGCCCCGAAGCTCTTCCCTTTCTTCCGCCACACAATCTCCACCGTTCGGCTCACAGTCGTCAAGACCCTGCATTCGTTCATGTCGATATCATCGCTAAGCCAAGAATGGATCGGCGTCCCCTTCCTCTCCCTCCTCTTCCAGAATCTCGTGGTCGAGGAGCGCCCAGACGTCCGTGCGGCCACGCTTGCGGCCTGGAAAGCGGCGATGCCGATAGTGTGCTCCTCGGTTGACCGAGCGGAACTGTCCGTGCCGCAGCCGACATTATTGGGCTGGTATCAGACATTGATGATGCCAATCGGAGTGCCGATCGACTCGTCCACGTTTTATCATGCTAGTCTCTCTGACAGCGGGGGCGAGAGGCATAATGTGGATAAGCACATGCTAGCGCAGGACTTGTCGCTGGTTAGTGCGGACGTCGTCATGCAAGCGCGATTGGCTAGCGCGAGCGCACAAGCTGCGCTTATAGCAGCTTGGCCTGCGACGGTACGTTCAGGATACACGTATGATCCACGACGGATGCTAATAGGTTGTACTATACAGGGAGAAGCCTTCGAGAACATGTTCCGGCCGATCCTCATGCACTACATCGACTCTACCAGCATGCTGCAGAAGCTTCTCGCAGCCATCATCACGGAAGAGTGGGCGAGAGAGGCGGAAGCCAGATCTTCCCAACCCCTCATCGAACGGTGCGCCTTGGCCCAAGATCTAAGCGCGAAGACCCTCGCGTTCCTCCAAGAATCGCCACCACTATCCTATCATGAGATGGCCTTCACGCTGGCCCGTCTTCACAGCGAGTGCTACAGTCTTCTCCATGGTTTTGCGCATGACTGTAAGGTACCCGCTGCGTCGATCCCCACTCTCGGCACGGAGATTGACGTTACCGGTCAAAACCCGAGCTGCTTCACGATCGATACAGCTCAGTCCGTTGTCAGTTCGATGTTCGACCAGTTGAAAGAGAGCCTGGGCCGTACGAAGAAGCGAGAGCTTGCCATTCTCGTCGAGAAACGGGCTCAGGTGGCCGCCAACGTTGAGCGGTATACAGCTGCGAAGACGCAACACGACATTCGGGTGTCCGCGGCTTTCGCTGCAACGTTTATTGCCCTCAAGGGTATGCCGGAGAAAGTCAGCCCTGTTGTCAAGGGAATCATGAGCGGGATCAAGGTACACTTTTTGATCCTGTGTGCGGAAAAATAACTCATCATCGTTCAACTATGTGCAGAGCGAGGAGAATATCGATCTCCAGACGCGATCTGCTGTGGCCGTGGCAGCGTTCGTCGACTTCTGTGCAGCCCATCATCTGGCGCAGCCGCCCGACAAGATCGTCAAGAATCTCTGTACATTCCTATGTCAGGATACAGAGCGTACTCCCACCTTCGCCTATACTCGCAAACAGAAGGCCGGCATTTTGTCCTTCCGAGAGCCTGGGTCATCAAAGACATCCACGGCCAATGGCAAATCAAAGGGTGAACCTGCGGCAGCGGACGGTAACAGCAGCCATTCGCTGTCACGCAGGGGTGCGGGCCTTGCATTCGCTCAACTTTCGGCAAGGTTCGGGCCGCGGCTATTGGACGTCATCCCAGGCATGTGGCATTCAATGGCGGGAGGTCTGCTCTCCTCGTGCGCCACAGGTACGAAAGTCTTTTTGCTGTCACTGCACTGGATGGCTAAGGTCTACCCGAACCAATCCAGACTCACCTACTGAAGCGGATTCGCTAATCAGCAAGCAGTACGGACAGGATGTCATTGACTCCCTCAGCGTGCTTGAAGCTGTCGTGCCGACACTTCACGAAGATATGTGGCCCAAGATCCGCACCCTCTTCCCTATGATTACCCTTGCACTCCGAAGTCAATTCGCCATTGTGCGGCAATCGGCGGCTCGATGCCTTTCGACTATATGCAGTACTATGACCCTCGAAACCATGCGCTACGTTATCGAAAACATCCTTCCTTTCCTCGGCGACGCTGTAAACCTAGCTAATCGACAAGGCTCTATGGAACTTATATATCGTCAGTCCTCCCAAGAAGACCGCTTCGTTATGCTTGTTGACATCGCCTCTCAGATATCGTACAGAAGCTTGATATCAAGGCACTACCCTACGTTCTCTTCATGATAGTCCCGGTTCTTGGTCGTATGAGCGACTCGGACGACGACGTCAGAGCTACGGCGACCAATACCTTTGCGTCGTTGGTGAAGATGGTTCCGCTCGAGGTGCGTGCACCGTAGTCACTAGCTTGGCTTCCGCTCATAATTCACGCAGGCTGGTCTTCCGGACCCTCCTGGGTTCTCCGATGATTTGATGAAGCGCCGCGACGAGGAACGTCAATTTTTGACCCAGCTGCTTGATGGCAAGAAGGTCGAGGAGTACAAATTGCCAGTTTCTATCAAAGCCGAGTTACGTCATTACCAACAGGAAGGCGTGAACTGGCTTGCATTCTTGGCGAAGTACCAGCTTCATGGCATACTTTGTGACGGTAAGGGTCCCCCGATCTCGTATCACCCCAACTCATGAACATATCGCCTGTCCAGACATGGGCTTGGGAAAGACACTGCAGTCAATCTGCATACTCGCGAGCAAGCACTACGAACGCGCGAAACGCTACGAGGAAACCCAATCGCCGGACGCTGTTCACCTCCCGTCGTTGATTGTCTGCCCTCCGACTCTCACCGGTCATTGGTACTACGAGATCATGAAGTACGCGGAGAACCTCAAACCCGTGACGTACACTGGGAACTCGCGCGAGCGAGGCAAGCTTCTCGGCAAGCTCAAGAAGTATGACGTGGTTATCACGTCGTACGAAGTTGTCCGGAACGACGTAGCAAACCTCGAGCAGATTGACTGGCATTACTGCATTCTCGACGAGGGTCACGTCATCAAGAACGCGAAGACGAAGCTCACGAAAGCCGTCAAATGCATGCGAGCGCAACATCGCCTCATCCTTTCCGGTACACCCATCCAGAACAATGTGCTCGAACTTTGGAGCCTGTTCGATTTTCTTATGCCGGGCTTCTTGGGAACAGAGCAGTCGTTCAACGAGAGGTTTAGTAAGCCTATCCTGCAGAATCGCGACGGAAAGTCAAAGAATGGAGAAGCAGGTCCGTGCCTCCCGTTTGTACGTTGCGTTTAACTTCAACTGATCTCATTCCTGCAGCCGCGCTGGCGCTCGAAGCTTTGCACAAACAAGTCCTGCCCTTCCTGCTTCGACGACTCAAGGAAGACGTCTTGCATGATTTGCCTCCGAAGATCATACAAGACTATTACTGCGAATTATCGGACCTGCAGAAACAACTCTACGATGAATTCTCCCAGTCGCAAGCTCGTTCACAGGCGGAGGTGGTGGTGCACTCCGGACCCTCCGAGGGTGGCAAGGAATCGCACCACGTCTTCCAGTCCTTGCAGTATCTTCGCAAACTGTGCAATCATCCTGCATTGCTACTGAAGAACGATCCCGCGGCGCTCTCAACGGCATTGGAGAAGGTCGGGGCGAAGAAAGACCCAAGCGCTCTGAGCGATATCCAGCACGCACCTAAGCTGCTTGCCCTCAAGTAAGTTGACGCCTTTTAGGAGATGATGACTATACTGAAACTGAGTATCAGGCAATTACTGAGCGACTGTGGCATCGGGACCGCCTCAGGAAACGCAGACGAGAAAGCCGATTACCTCGTCTCCGAGACCGGAGCATTCTCGCAACATCGTGCCCTCATCTTTTGCCAGATGAAGCAGATGTTGGACATCATCGAGAACGATCTCTTCAAGCAGTTCATGCCCTCTGTGACGTACATGAGGCTCGACGGTAGCACAGATGCAAACAAGCGCCATGCGATCGTACAGACGTTCAACTCGGATCCCAGCATCGACTGTCTCCTCCTCACTACTCATGTAGGAGGCTTGGGTTTGACGCTGACTGGCGCGGATACAGTGATTTTCGTGGAACACGACTGGAACCCGATGAAGGACCTCCAAGCTATGGACCGCGCTCACCGCATCGGGCAGAAGAAGGTCGTCAACGTTTACCGTTTGATCACCAAGGGGACTCTCGAAGAAAAGATTATGGGGTAAGCTATAGTATCCCGTGTTGACGTAGGATGCTAATTGTGCGGATAGTCTCCAACGGTTCAAGTTGAACATCGCGAACTCGGTCGTTACCCAACAGAATGCTGGTCTCAGTTCGATGGATACCGATCGGGTTCTCGATCTCTTTCGACGAACGAGCGAGGAAGAAGACGCAGCTGCGGCCGCGAAGCAAAAGGCGAAGGAAGCAGACAAGTCCGTTAGCCAAAAGAACGTGCTTCAAGGCTTGGAAGAACTGCCTGCAGAAGAAGAGTATGAAGGACTTGATCTTGCGAGCTTCATGAGTTCGCTTGGTCGGTGATACCGCGCGTTAATCAGCTTATGGCGTATGTTTATTCCATCTGTTTTTCTAATCCTCGATTGTTTTTTCTGGCTGGCTAGACGTCGCGCACCTATTCTATTGTCATCCATCAACACTGTATTGCCTAGACACAATGCTTGTAGAATAATTCAAAACGTAATGTACGGAAACATGACGGTCGTCACAGCGGGAACGTGTCCTTTCTCTAATAGGTCTGGTACAAAGTTGTTTGATACGGAGGCGGTGGATCTTTTCGCCGTCGTCGCGACAGCCAGCGCTTCCACCATGTTGGGAAAGTGAAGCATGATATCAACGTTACCAATGCCACCACTGTTGCGATGATAATACCAGCTATCGCTCCCTGACTCAAACGAGCCGTTCGCGAGAGTTCGGCCATTGTGGTGGGTGACGAGGTTGAGAACACGCATGACACGTTCGTACCCGCAAGCACGAAGAACTGGTTTGAATGCGCGTATATCTGGGTTGTTCGACTATCGGAGAGTGATGCTGTGTATTCGCCGGCGGGTACGTTCACGGCCGGCCAGGTGTATTGCTCCGCGGTCGAAGACACGTTCGAGGCGATGGCACATACCAGTTGTGGATTCACGGCTGATACGGAGATGGAAAGCGGGATGGTGCTGGCATCTTTTGAGAGCCATTGCAAGGCCGCGCTGTTGCACGTCGTCACGTTAGCAACGGGGAGGAAAGTAATAGGGGATGATGCAACGCCGGAAGAGCTCGCCGAGGACGACGCTTGCGCTGCCGAGCCGAAGCTCGACGTTGGCAGGGCTGTCATTTGGAGTGGAGATTCAAACGTCGTGGGTGTTGACGTAGGTATCGTGGATCCACTGCCATCACCGCCAGAGGAAGTTATGGTAGTCGTCGACACAGCGGTCAATGTAGTAGTGCTTGTCGTGCCGGTGGTTGCTGCTGGAGGATCTTCGGATTCGCCTCCTTCCTCACCTCCTTCCTCACCACCTCCGCCGGGGCCCTTCCCTCCATGCGAAGCAGATACTGCAACGACTAGGAAAGCGAATGGGTGGATAGGCAAAGTTCGGCGCATTTATAAGGTTAACAGTGATCCGCCCTGTATTCAGCCGTCAGTTGAAGTCTTGGAAAACACTTTGATGAGGAGCCACATAGCGAACCTCGCGTCGTAGATGGAGCTGTCCAAGGGCAAAGGGTTGCGTAGATGGACATTGAGTGAGATGATCTGTTATAGTCGTGGGCCGCCATGCAGACATTGCCGCTGCTCGCGGGCCGCTTAGACTCCCATAAAGCGCAGAGAAACAACACCGATGCCTGGGTAAAGACGCAGGATCCACCCACGAAGCTACATCGGTGGACGGAAAGAATCCGAGTCGAGGGGCGTCGATACTTCCGATCTCAAACTTGTCCATAACTTCGGGTCGATCCGGCGTTTCCGCATTTCTGTACAGTTGTTCCACGCCCATCCCAGTCCGCGTTGAGTACTGCACGGGAATTAAATATCTAAGTCCGGATTCAGCTGAGAAAGTTGATACGCGTACCAACCCCCGTTCTTCCGTCAAGGTATGACATCCAATGGGCAACGATTCGTAAATTGCGCTGGTGCAAGCCTCGTCCGCTGCGGTGTACCTGAGAGTTCGTTCCCATGAAGTCCACTTGAAGAGAGGGCCGGAATACACGTCGATGTTGCCAAGACTGTGACCAACACTGGCCAGTGAGAGCCCAAGTGGCGAACCTTGAACTCTAAGCATCATGAGGCAGATCATCCTGCACGACTGCTTCTCAGTATCGAGCAGTTGCCGCCGTTCATGCAAAGAATACAATCGCTCATTGAGTCTACCAATGGGAAACCACAATAATATTCGCATAGCAGATAACATGGGAGGCGATGGGAGGAAGCAAACCGGAACGCCCGTGATTATCGGCATGTACCCGCGCGCCTTGCTCCTCTGTGTAAGTACGTTTGTAACCTACCTCACCTAGGCGGACTACTCCAGGTGCGAGGACGGAGGTTTGACCGAACCGTTGGCCGTTCCGAGCGAAGAGAATGACTCCCGATGTTGTAGTAATCGGCGCAGGTGAGACGAGGTTGGAATGTATACGCGCAAATGCGCATTCCAGGCTCACCGGGAAAGCGCCTGACAGGACCGGCCGGTCTGGTTACCTGCAAGACTCTTGTTGAAGCGGGGCTTGATCCTGTCATACTCGAATCCGAGTATGCAATCGGTGGAACGTTTCGATACAGGTCTTACGAGGTTAGCACGTCCGCTCCATCGTAGTCGCCTGAAGCTGAATGCATTATATAAATTAGAACGCCAACCTTGTCAGCTCTAAGCAGCTGACGTCCTTCAGCGACTTTCGGCTGCCTCGCGAACACCCCGACCATTTGACTTTGGAGGCACGCCCGAAGTTGTGGTTCCCGTTCACCACGTTTTCTCACTCCCGCACCAGGAATACGTCCAATACCTCGAAGCCTACGTGGAACACTTCAAGCTTGCTGCGCGCATACAGTTCGGCTGCAAGGTTGTGAACGTATCGCGTGATACGGACGGTACCCATGTGGTGACGTACGTTCGACGCGCGGCATCCTCGGATACATCGCAAGGTGGATCCAAACGCACGATATCGGGTCTTCTCACTGACAATCAGCGTGTCAAGTAGAACAGGAACGCATACAGGCGAAGTATGTGGCGGTTTGTTCAGGGCTACACGTCACCCCGGCCGTACCATCCATTCCTGGTGTCGAAAATGTCCTCAAGCGACGCTCTGAAGGCGCTCCTCTGCCAGAAGTATATCACTCCGCGGTTTACAAACGTCGATCTCAACTGCAAGGACGTCGCGTTATGATCCTTGGGACTGGTGAGACAGGGATGGACCTCGCCTACGAAAGCGCAAAGGCCAAAGCTACAGAGGTCGTCCTGTGTTCAAGGGCAGGGTAATGCACCCACATTTGGTCATGACACGCTCTTATCACTACCTGTCTAGATTCTTGTCTTTCCCGAAAGCTTTGGTGCGTCACAATGTCTGGCCGCGGGAAAACTACTCGAGTTGATCTCGGTGTGCCAGAACGACTTCTCCTTGTTTGGGTTCAAGTTTGAGTCCGACACGCCTCTGCCCATCGACTGTCTCATCACGAATTTTGCTGAAACCGCATACGTTGTGAGTCAGGCCGTGACGTACTATCCGTCAGGATGTTGACGGTTGCTGTGTAGCATCCTTGGGTTGCAGCTTCGCATATACGATGGTTGTAAGACGGACTTGTTCGATCACGATGTATTGTCACCGACCGTTCATACAGCATATCAGACTTCGTCATCAAACGTGTATTATGGATATTGACAGGTAGGTCAACCAAATATCGGCCTCTGAAATGCGACTCAGTCACCCCTTTCAGGAACTCAAGCGGGTTGTAATCAGTGGGTGAGCGGCAGAGACTGTTAGCCAACGACAACGGTTGTTCAATCAGTCCGCCTCGCAGGTTGGCGAGCTGGAGCCCGACCGCCTTGGCCGCGCATACGTGTTCCTGAACAAGGTATCATGAGCCGTATCCCGTTCTCCATGAAAATATACTGACCGCGCTACATCAAGTCTCACAAAGCCATGCCGTACATTAATCGGCCATACCGACGTCGTCCGGCATTCATGGACTACTTTTCGAAGTACGTCGACCCACCGGAGGACTCGCCGCCCCAAACGGACTTCACCGTCGAGCTTGCACCGTTCCCGACGCATTTTGACGAGGAAGGCCGAGCCGTGTTCCCTCTCGCCAAGCGCAACGACGGGAGCATCAGGAAAGACGCCCTGCGTATGGCCGGACGCGATTTCCGTCCCGATACTGTGAGCGAGCCCCGATCCCGGATATGCATTTCTTACGCTATTTTTACAGGTCATATACGCCACCGGCTATACGCAGAAATTTGGCTTTTTTGACGCGAATAGCGACTATGCCACGCCGGACCAAGCAGACGTACGAAATATCGTCAAGTCGGGCGATGAATCAGTAGCTTTCATAGGCTTCGTACGACCTGGCGTCGGTATGACTATCTATATCACGCTGAAAGACTCTCAAGCTGACGCCGTGGTAGGTGCAATACCACCGATCGCTGAGATGCAAGCCATGTTCTGGGTTGCGCTCATCCAGGGCAAGATACGAAAGCAACTATCGCCTCCGCATTATCACTTGCTTGTGAAGGAGACCGCACGGATCAAGTACGGCGTCGACCACTCGACCTATATCAGCACTCTCGCGAAGGACATGGGTGCCGCACCTGGATTATGGGAGCTTTGGCAAGAATATGGCACACATGTGCTTTTATGCTACTGGCGAGTGTTCGCTTTGTTGAAACTTGATGTCGGCCTCAAGATACTCATACAACCGCGTCTATATAGCTTCGGCGCAGCTTTCGTGCCGTTCTATCGACTCGTCGGTCCTTATCGTTCAACATCTGCGCCTCCAACTATCAGGGGCGAATTATGGGATACGATCACTAGGCGTGGTATTTTGGGTAATTTACTCATGGGCGTCATACCGATGATGTTCTATGGGACGCTCAATCTCCTAGCTTGGTGTGCGGAAACGGTATGGAGGTTAGCTGGCGGTGTGGAGGTAATGTGAGAAGGAGGATGTCGTGTTACTGCAAATGCAATTCAGGTCACTTGTTTAGTCTAATTCGACTCCACGTTCGCGCTCCTGTTCGTGCTGCATGCCGAAACCAGATCTCACCATCTTCTGGTCGGGTGAGTGAATCTGCCGTACGTGTCTTTCATTATACACCGATAATAGTACATTTATATGCCATGTGCAGGATCGCGCTTCAATCCTTTCTCCCGAAGATCGCCTCCTTGCCTGCTTGCATCGCTTTCGATGCAGTGTCCGCGGTCATAGACGCAGTAGTGGCAGCCATTGTTGAGGCCTGCGCAACGTATCCTGCACCCTGCTGGTCGGTGCCACCGGGTTGGCTGGTTGCGTTAGCCCAACCGTCATCTGGATTTCGAGTCAGACGAGCACGCAACCGGGCTGATCGGACAGGGACTGACATTTGTTGGAATTCTCGTTCAACGGGTCGATGTTCGTCGACTCGATGACGCCTGGGCGACCTTCGACGACGCCCGCAGTCTGAGAGAAGTTACGTCTGGCTTCGCGGTCACCGGTGAAGTTGGGACCGGCGCCGGCGCCTAGGTCGTCCGTTGTCGGGTCAGTTACCTTGAGAGAGGCATCAGCATGTAAGTCGACGTAAGACTCCCGTTGCGCGTTAACCTACGAAGTTGGACCCGAGGGGATCTGGGTGAATCGAGTGCATGGTGGGGTTGGCAACACCGGGGTGGACGTCTACGCCCTTGTTGCCGGTGAGCTCTTGATCGTTGAGAGACATTTTTAGGGCGAGTTGTGGTGGGACAAAGTTTGTATATTCGAATTGTAGAACGTCCATTGCGACACACTTGTCTTATATCCAGGCAGAGACGTTCTACTCTCATGACGTAGACACACAGCATCTACTCCAAACGATGGAATTGTTGTTCGCGTGAGCTGGCTTGGGGCGAAGTGGGGTGAATTGGGTTCCATCAGACCACCCCATGACGTCATCACATGGCGCACTTCAGAAAGCTTTGTGATTCTGAACCGGACACTGCTTGAAGTTGAACAAGAGAAGCTACATACTTAACGTAGACCCCAGGATTAAGATGATATCCACACGTTGGGGGCCATATAGACATACGTTTGATAGCAATCTAAGCATATTACGATGTATGATTGCTCCCAGTTCACCCGCAAGATTGCAAAAGCTCCTCGCTGATGAATCATTTTCGTTAAACTACTTGATACTCCAGATGTAATAGATGGCAGTGAGTTCGTGGACATGATGTTGATTCAATCAAGTTTTCTTGGACGTAGTAAGATGCGTTATTAAGGATAACGGGGTTGTGCAGAGTTTGTCGCTCTAGCTATTTCGCGCATGATGGAGCGCTTGACTGCTTCCTCTTTTTCGAAGCAGATGCGGCAATACCACTTGGAACCGGCGCCGTCTATGACTCTTCTGCAGCCTGTGCCTATGCAGAAGCCCGGGCGCCAGGCTGTGTTGATGTGCGATCCCATGGGGGACACGTTGGTATGTAACATGCAGGGCATGTTCGGGAAGCATCGCGGGCAATGTGATCTGCAGCACCCGCTTTTGCTGGCGTTACACAGGGAGCAGTCACCACCAAGGGTGGCAGAAAACGGTCGTGAGTCGGTTTCGCTCCTCGGTAGGAGAACGAAATCATGGCCGGCGTCGAGGTGTTTCTGTATTGCGCGGTGCTCGCTGGGGGTCAAGGCCAGGCCGTTATAAGTGGGGAGAGCGCCTGAAGATTGTTGAGAAGTGTGATACGGGGCGGCGTCGAAGGCGAGACGGGTACGGAGAACGGAGGAAACCCCGGGACCCGCCGGGGTGTTCGACAGCGAAGTGTGGAGAGAGGACGTTGTTACGGGTTGCGATGCGGATCGTTTCTTCGCTTTGCCTTCCGAAGGGGATGCGGCATCAAGTGTAGGAGGCGCATCGAAGGATCCGGATACAGACGCGTGCGACTGCTCGAAACGGGATTGCGTGCCCTTCGCGTAGCGGTTATATCTGCGTCCACCAGGGCGACGACCGACGTGGGGGGAACGATGTTTTTGAGGAGAGGTGCTTTGCGAGGACTGCATGGCGCGCCTGTCCCGAGGTGACTACAGGAGATTCGGGAGAGAAAAGGATGCTGGCTGGGAGAAGAGTAGCGCGTATTTAAGCCGGAAGGACAAAGACCGACTGTGGCCTTGAGCCAGGCAACGCTGGTATGAGCTACAGAGGCCATAATATACAAAGCCATGGCCACCGGATGCCGAGTGATGTTCCCACTGTTGAACGATGGATTAAGAAAGCTCTCCCGGAGAGCCTTCGAAGAGCATCGAGTTGCGAATCAAAGCAACACCAAAGGCCACGAGACCAGTATTGATGCGGACCAAGTGACTACTAATCCGGGGCCGCGTCAATGTCAGGCTTCGAACGCAAGCAATGGAGCGTGAGGCCATATCTTGGCCTGGTCGAGGCAACAATGACACCTGGATACGTGGACCGTACGCTTACTAGTTGACATCGTGGTCGGTGTCCCTGGTCGATGTCCCGTCAGAGCAGCTATAGACCTGAACATGAGCTCGGATGACCCGGTGTAGCATGTAATCTAAATATGAATGCATGAAGAGGGGTGGTAGCTCTGACGACGGCTAATGCGCTGAAAGAAAGATGTCGGACGTCGACGTCGCGGCAAGTGTGCATTTCTTACGACATTGAATTGGCTGAAGGCAACTTATCGCAACGTATTACATAATGGACAGAGGCGCTTCCCAAGCGCCGTCTATTATATATAACGCTACCTACTGGGATCCATCCTCAATGGCATCGTCCTCGCGACTTCTCCCTGATTCCACATCTTCTGCGATCCAATACTTGCCGGCCATACAGCTGTTGCTTGACCGGGCTCATAGGCTTTGACGCCGCGACCAGGTGTCGACTCAAGGCAACTGGCCCCGCATGCCCACGGTCTCTTCCCATCTGCAAGGACAATTGCTCTCAGCTTACGTATAAAATCTTGGCTTTCCCGAAAGTTCCGTCGCATCGTTGTACAACGTCCTCCCCCGGACTTGACTGTCAGCTCGGTTCTCCTAGCAAGTATCCACCCTAATGGGTTTGTTCTTCTCCAAGGGATATGACCCCGTACGCGACCTCGGCGATTTGACAGGCAAAGTGGTCGTAGTCACCGGAGGCAAGTGAGTAGAAACGTATCCTTGTACCCTCCGAGGATGTGATTCACCATGTCTTCGCTAGCACCGGTATTGGACTACCAACTGTGAAATTCCTCGCAAGAGCAGGCGCTAAAGTCTACCTTGCCGCTCGAAATGAGGCGAAAGCAACGGCGGCCATAGAGGGGTTGAAGAAAGAAGGGTTGGGATCGAAGGGCGGGGAAGTGATCTGGCTGAAGCTGGACCTGACGGACCCAACGCTGACGAAGGCCGCCGCGGAGGAGTTGCTGGCAAAGGAGAAGCGGCTGGATATCTTGATCAACAACGCTGCTCTGTGAGTGCTTCCGACCTATTGTCTACCAAGGCGCTCATTGCGGGCCTGCAGTACAATCCACCCCTACGTGCAAACCAAGGCCGGTACGTTGGTCAATTCTGGGTGTATTCCGTCAATTCTGATGACCTTGATTTAGGCTATCAGGAGATTATCATGGCGAAGTGCATATCATATGTATAGGGTGTTGGCTTGCGACTCATTAACGTTCGGCAACCTTAGCCTTATAGGACCGGTCATCTTCACGCAGTACCTGTTGCCGCTGCTCGAGTCTACAGCACAAGAGCCCGGCGCAGACGTCCGCATTGTTCAGGTACGCCCCCTGTTCAGTCAGGTGAACCGACAGTCGCCTCATCTTCTCATCTTAGCTCTCTTCAGACGGCCATCGCATGGTCTCGAACTGCAAATACGCACCCGAGGACTTCAACGACGAATTCAAGAGCTCCTTCATGCCACAGATGGCCCGCTATGGTGCTGTCCATCGCCTTTGCGCTGTGATAGGCGCGTCGTCGCTCATACTGCCATTGCTAGGTTATTCCAAGATCGCGTTCCTGCATTACACCGCCGAACTGCAGAAACGGCTGACCGCCAAGGGCATCCCCATTATATGCCTATCCGTACATCCCGGGATGGTTGAGACCCGTACGTGTGTAGTCCTATGTCTGTCATTTAGACTCATCGATTCCCTAGCGAACGGAATCAAACATTGGTCGAAATGGCACCTCGCTTGGGTTCCGAAGGTCTTTGGCGCTTCTCCAGATAAGGGATGCCATAACAGCTTGTTTGCGGCCACTGCGCCCGTCGTGCGCGCCGAGGCAGAGAAATACAAGGTGCGTTTTGGCTCCTTCGGCCGCTCTCGCCATTTGTAATTTGAGATGGTCCGTTGTCCAGAATTCCTACCTGACCCCGGTGGGAAAACTTGTGGAGCCGAGCAACGAAGCGCGGAAAGAGGACGCTAGGATTCAGGTATGGAACAGTCTGCAGACTGTCTGCAAAGACCTTGGTGTTCCACTACCAGACGTATGAGGGATTAGTAAGCTACATATTCTTATAGTTTGATAACGAGCAATGCAATATATCCACTGCGCGTCTCTAGCCTATGGCGTCTCAATTTCGCTTGGCCTAGAGCATCTGCAACGAGGAGGGGTGTCCAGAGACGGCAGGACGTGCATGACATGTTCGATACACGCATGCTGTCGCACGAATGTAGGTTCACGCGAATGTGACAGATGATGCGCTCGCCATGTTAACTGTCCAAAGATGTTAGGATGTATCACAGCGGGAGACTGACGTGTGAACGCACCTAGAGCCTTGATGCCACACGCCACACGGGGAAGATAAGTACGAGGATGCAGGACAGAGCCGTACCGCCCAGTCTTCCGAGATATGAAAAACTTCAACCCCGTACTCTCCTTGTTGATCTGTTCGATTTGCTTTGGTATGGCCATGGCTCGTTCCTCGGACTCTGGCCGAGTGGCGGCACTCGAGCATCGAACGCTGACTTGCAAGCAAGCCTGCGGAGAGGACTGCGAGGTGTGCGAAGTACGCGGAGGAGCCCCGCAGTGCAACACATGCGTGTGCGTAATCGCCGATAGCGTTTACATCTATTCGAGGAGTTGTGCTAACGTCTACGCAGGCTAGGGCCACCATCAGCTCGATGAGGGTGGAATGCGCTGTTCGTTATCGCTCACCTTGGCTTGCACTCCCGTTGATTTCCGGTTCGTCCTATCCATGGAGTGGTCTTTACCGCGTTGTTGAGTCGATGGTTAGCTTTGGCAGACGATGTTGATTTGCCGCGCGTGTCTGCTTGTGGTATCGGGTGACGGATTACTGGGGTGACGAAAATACGTTTATACTACAACGAGTTTCCACTGAAATGGGAGAACGCAGTTAGAAGCGTGGCTTGAACCAGCCCAGCGTGCGCTATTTGCGAGCTTGTACCTCTACCCTTCGCACCACTGACATCTGAGAGCATACGAGAATCAGGGGTCGGAACGACGTTGCAACGCTTGGTCTTTTGATCGCCGAGCCTTTTCATGGAGAGAATACGCAGTGTGCAGTGATGTGACAAGCTGACCACTACCGTTCCGACATAACCGTATCAGCCACACTGCAGTACTGGGGAAGGTTTGAGGCTGCTTCGGCTCTAGGAAGAACTGCCATCCGTAGAAAACAATGTAGCAAGCGTGGCTTCGTCTTCACCAAAACAGAGGAAGTGCCTTTCCATGCCTAGGCATGGGCATGCCGCATGACCCTAGAAGGTGGTTCTCCGGTGGGGGAAAGGTTTCGTACGTTCGAATACGCCGAGGAAGGCGAGGAAGCATGGCTCAGCCCGTTCAAGCAACGAGCATATCGTTTTTTCTTAAGAGAGAGTAGCTACGACGTTCGGTCAGATCGGCACAACGCAGACAAATGGCATGTCGAGCAGGACATCGTCGAAGAGCGCGTGGGTCGCGGTGATGGTCGAGTGAGAAGTGCAAGACTCGAGCACCGCCATCCCCGACCTCCCACCACGTTGGATGATCCGCTCGCTGGCCTCCGGGCTCACCTCCGGGGCTGCAGCATGGGCCGCCACCGTCGCTGCGCGTGCCCGAACGCAGAGCGCATGTGCGTTCCCTAGACACGCTTCGGCCTGGGGCTGCTCAGGACCGGTTCTTACCCAGGCGCCCATACGGTTCGCGGTCACGCCGTTCAGCCGCCATGGTCATCGATCAAACCGAGCCGCCCTATTTAAGCCAAGGACTGCGACGCGGGCCTGCTCCACCATCGCCAGGATGTCCACCCCAATCGTCTCCGCGAGTTCCGCCGCCGCGCCCCAGGACTTCCGCCTGCCGACCGCCGTTCGCCCGAGCCACTACGATGTCACCATCAGGACGGATCTCGAGAAACTGACCTTCGACGGTTTCGTGAAGATCAAGTGAGTCGAGCCCAAGTCTACCTTGCTCAAAATGCGGGAATTGAAATGCGTCCGCAGCCTCGATGTCAAGGCAGAGACTTCGACCCTGGTTTTCAACTCGTCCGACCTCAACCTCGGCAACATCACCCTCCAATCCGATGCCCTCCATACCGCGCAGACCGAGTCTTCTCGTTCTTTTGAAAAAGAGCAGGAGCGGATGCACGTCCACTTCGCCACGTCACTCCCCGCGGGCTCGAAAGCGCAGCTACAGATCGCGTTCGACGGAAAGCTGACCGGCAGCATGATGGGCTACTACTACAGCACGTACGAGCAGGACGGCAAGACCAAGTACTACGCGTTGACACAGTTCGAGCCTACGGCGGCCCGTCGCTCGTTCCCTTGCTGGGACGAGCCTGCGCTGAAGGCGACGTTCGCCGTCACCTTGATCTCGCGCGCGGACACCGTCAGCTTGAGCAACATGCCGGCCATCTCGGAGGAAGTGTATACAACGGAGCCGTCTGCGACTGGGAGCACGATCTCGTCACTGGCATTAGGCAGCAAGTCCGAAGAGAAGTGGAAAATAACCAAGTTCGAGACGACGCCTCCCGTAAGCAGCTCATATTACCGTCCCCGACGTCGTCTCAGAGAGAAATCGTAGATGTCGTCTTACATCGTGGCCTGGGCAAACGGGCCCTTCGCACACCTTGAAAGCTCGTACACCTCACCCATCAGCGGCAAAACCCGTCCTCTGCGCATATACGCGACACCGGACCTCATCCACCAAGCCCAGTTCGGTTTGGACGTCAAGGCGAAGGTTCTGCCTATCTACGAGAAGGTGTTCGATATCGAGTATCCGCTGCCCAAGCTCGACACGCTCGTCGCTACGGACTTTGACGCAGGTGCCATGGAGAACTGGGTATGCTCCCCCTGTATTGAATCTTATGGTCTTGACGCTGATAACTTGTGCTATCGCAGGGCTTGATCACTGGTCGTACCAGTATGTACCTCCTCGATGCGGAGCGGGCAGATATCAAGACCAAGAAGCGGATCGCGACGACCCAAAGTCATGAGGTGGCCCACATGTGGTTTGCATCCTGCTCGTGCAACGTATACGAGGTCACATTTACCGATTCCGTCTCGTAGGTTCGGTAATATCACAACAATGGAGTGGTGGACATATCTGTACCTCAACGAGGGCTTCGCAACCCTAATGGGCGAGGTTATCATCATTGGTGGGTGTAAACCATTTTGCGTGATGGGGACGTAGTCTGACCCACACCCACATCTAGACAAGTACGGATTCGCAGTCTAGTCTTCGGTTGACATCGCTAATCGATATTTACCCAGAGTGTTCCCGGAGTGGAAGGTGTACTCGGAGTTCATCACGGACCACCTACAAGCCGCGCTTCACCTTGACGCCAAGTTGTCCTCGCATCCTGTCGAGGTAGACTGCCCGGACGCCAACGAAATCAACCAGGTAAGCCAACGGCCACCATTGATCCCCTAGTTTGCACTTAAATGTTCAAAATGTGCAGATATTCGACTCTCTCTCGTACTCTAAAGCCGCAAGCGTACTGCGTATGCTTGCGAACTGGGTGGGCGAGGAGCAATTCGTCAAGGGTGTCTCTCTGTACCTCAAAAAGCGACTCTACGGCAACAGCGTCAGCAGGGATCTTTGGGAGGGTATCGGAGAGGCCACTGGCAAGGATGTCGCAGGGATGGTCGAAAACTGGATTTCGAAGGTTTGCAGACTCCTACACCATGTCAATTCGCCATTTGGATGATTGTGTAGATGGGCTTCCCGGTCCTCACCGTCACTGAGACGGAGGGTGCCATCAAAGTCCGCCAGGACCGCTTCCTTGAGACAGGTCCTGCGGAACCGAAGGACAACGAGACGATCTGGTATGTGCAAATTCGCACAGCCGGATTCCCCCTCGGGGCTGACCGACGTTCTAGGACCGTCCCGTTGAGCCTCCAATCATCTTCGGGTATCGACACCAAGATCGTTCTTGACAAGAGAGAAGACACCTTCGCGATCGACACCAGCAAACCGTGGAAGTTGAACGCGGGTACCACAGGGGTCTACCGCGTCCTGTACACCCCCGAACGTCTGAACGCTATTGCAGAGGAGGCTGCTAGGAGCGAGGACGTGTTTTCGCTCGAAGATCGGATCGGTCTGGTTTACGACACTGCCGCGTTATCCGAAGCCGGTTTCGCCAAAGTCAGTTCGGCGCTCTCGCTGTATAAGGCGTTCAAGGACGAGAAGGAGTGTGAGTAATGAGCGTTCCTTCCTCTTCCCTGCACGAAAGGCTGACGGAAGAGATTCACAGTCCTTGTTTGGGGCTCCATACTGTCGGGCATTGGCTCGCTAAGGAATGCTTTCTGGGAAAACGACGAGATCGTGGAGGGCCTTAGGGCATTCACGCGGGAGTTGGCGGGTCCTTTGGTAGCCAGGCTCGGCTACGAATACTCGGCCGATGAATCGCCCGACATTACAGAACTGAGGACGCTTGCCGTGCAAGCAGCTTCTGGGTCCCGCCTTGAAAGGTGTGCTCTCCGATCAGTCCTTATGGCGGCGGACGTTACTCACGACCGCGATAGTACCGTCGAGAAGCTCCATGGTTGGTTCACAACCTTCCTTGAGACCGGCTCGGACGACCACATCCCTCCTGAACTCTTGGGCATTACCTACTCTGTCGCCGTTTGGCGTGGCGGCCGCGCCGAGTTCGAAGCATTGAAGAAGATACACGCCAAGCCTCGCAACCCCGCGCAGGCCATCGCGGCTATGCAGGCACTTGGCTCGAGCGAAGATCCCGCCTTAGCGAGGGAGACACTGGAGTATGCGCTCGAGCACGGCCGAGACCAGGACATCGTATACTTCTTTGGCGGCGTCTCCGCCAATCGCAAGACGAGGCGCGTGCTCACCGAGTTCTTCAAGGAACGCTACGATCAGATCTACAAGCGCTTCGATGGCAACTTCTCATTGAAATTTATTGTCGAGGTACGCAGGCGACCCCGAACATGACGTGAAGCTACGTCTGACGGGCATTCTCTTCGTAGCGAGCGTTCAATGGTCTCTCGTCTATCAAGGACCACGACGAGACTGTAGAATTCTTCAGAGGCAAGGACATCAGCAAATACCGCATGAGTCTCGAGCAGACACTGGACAGCATCAAAGCCAAGGCCGCTCTGATCGAGGTAAAGCCATATCGGACTACGATGCGAGTGTCGCGATATTGATTATGTGTTCTGCAGCGTTCCAAAGAAGATGTCGAGCAATGGCTGGCCGCAAACGTCCAAAAGTAATCGTACCGACATATTGTTACATAGTAAAAGACATAATTTCCATAATATTGGATGGAGTCGCATATTCTGTTATTCCCAATGCATTAGTTCCTTGCTCATCTCCAGTTTTTGCGCCCATGGAAGTTTCGGGCAGCATAGCTCAACCCATTGGGAAGGGTGAATGATGAACGCCAGGTTGCTTGCAGCATGTGTTCCTGTACACGCGTGGCGACCAGACGCTAGTGGAAGTAGTTCGAGGCGTACGCCTTGACACTCATCCAGACATCGTCCAAGCCCTTGACAACGTCTTCGGCTAGGGGTACCGTCAACTTCCGCAAATCTGATCATCCATCCAAGACTTACGCAAAGGGCCTTTCTCCAAATCAATTAGGTTCTGCGAAACCAGAATGAGATCGGGGTACTGTAAGACGCATGGAAGATTAAGCAGACCTGCTCAATGTGGTTGAGACTCGAAGCTCCGATGATGACTGCATCTCCGAACTCGCGCTTCATCAGGCTATGATGGGAGATCCAGCGAAGTGCTGTGCAATGTGAAGCTCGGGTGAGCTGCTTTTTCATGGGAGACGATTTCGAGGCACCAACCGATCTCGGGCATTGTCAAGTTGTGCTTGTCGGCGAGCTCCTTGATCGCGGCAACCGCCTTGAAGTAGGGTTCCTTCCAGTATCGCTGGCGGTAGTTCTGGAAAGCAATGTATCAGGATCTCACCCGATTGAATTCGGATCATTGATTCTCTACTGACTCGTCCTTGAGCTCTGTTAGGGTCGAATCGCGCGCCCGGCTCAACCTCGGCATCTGGTGAGAGGTATCGACCAGTGAAAAAGCCGCCTCCGACTTCATCGTTCGCGATATGAGAATTCGGAATGCCAATCGTGTAACATGTACGAACGTGGGTTAAACTCGTAGAAGCTGATGCCGAACTTGCGCAAGCACGGGAAGAGCTCAGGTTCTACACCGCTGAGTGATTGTTGGTTTCGGCTGAACATAAGCTTGAATGACCCGGCTTACCGATGAATGGCATTGTAGATCCCTTGATACGCTGTGGGCTGGATGTAGCCATTGGCCCGGCAAATCATGACAATTTCCGCCACCTCCCATCTGATGGGTAGTTAACACTTCATGGAACTTTCAGGAAGGAGCTGGTGCTACGCACGCCATGTAGTTGCTGATGCCAAAACGCTTGAATTTGCCTTCCTTGTAAAGCTCGTTGACAGTCTTCATGGTAACTTCGTACGGTGTGGTGCGGTCTGGGCCATGGAGGTACCACATCTCCAGGCAGCTGATATAATCAATTTAAGAAGCAGATGGTCAACCATTTGCACGTAGGGAGCGAAAGATGACCATACTCAGTGTTCAAGGCCTTGAGAGAAACATCCAGGTATTTGCGAAGATCCTACAGGTCAACATATTCAGTCGCCCGAATCACTCGAGGTGGCCGCATAATGCACCTCTGGCTTGTGGGAGATCGAGTCCCCTGGTCCCCCTGATGGCAAGGCAGGTCAACCCGTGGGCGCAGATACGACGCATCTTCACTGACATTGCCTGCCGGTTGCAGCATTGGGGTAAAGCTTTGTCTCGACCTTGAGGCCTTTCTTCGCGAGATCGATCTTGCCCAGATATTGTTCACTAGTCCCTCCGCAATAGGTGCGAGCCGTGTCGAGCTGATGGTGAAGACTGCTCAGTTAAGGGGAATAATCAGTGTCACCGTTCTTGATCACCTCAGTATGCCCGTGTTTTGCAAAGACGTCCAATATTGCCTCGACATCTGTATGTCAAAGGGTCAAAACTCGACCATATAAGGCTGCAATTCGTTTGACCTTTGATGTCGTGCAGACGCGCACCCTCTTTGCCCTCCTCGCCAAAGGTCATACAACCCTAGTAAACCATGTCCTTGAGTATGATCGCTCAAGCTTCTAAACGAAACGTGCTACAATTCACCATCACAATGTTAAGGGCGCTTTTCTGGGTAGGAGCAGCCATGATGAGGGTAGAGATAGGTAGGATCTCTAAGCTATGAGATGGGAATGTCCCTCATTTTATCTTTCGGCACTTGTGAGAGAAGCTATGTGCGATGGCTAAAGTTGGTGTCGCAGTCCTACGGTCATGACGTCCATCCTCCCGTCGGGATACCGGCCATGCGCGTACACGGAAGTACGCAGTGGTAAGCTCTGTGTTCTCCGCCTGGACCCAGGGTGACACCGATTCGTCCTGTTGGTCTAGAGACTGGATGGGAATATGAATAGTCTAACTCCGAGTCGCACGATTCGTGTAGTCTTAGATCTTGATCACTTTACATCGTTACATACATATCAAATACTCGGTTATAAGCTAAGTAGGTCATCAGGAAAACATCGAGAGTTAAGGGTTAAGGCAGCCAGATAGCGAGGCATCGAGATAGGTATCCTCGTCAAGACGAAGGAGGCGCAGGCTAACAAAACATGGGGACAGTTCTATACAGGCGTTCGATATGAACAATGAGACAACAAGCTACGAAAGCGCGACAACAGGCCGGCGTCGCTAATACACATCCAAGGTGGATCACAGTTAGCGTCCGCACGCGAGACAAACAAAACACAGAGAGCGCGACGTCATGATGTTCAAAGCGGGTTGACGTTGAAGTACGAGGCGGATGATACGGGAGTGTTGAAGTGAGCCGGGGTGGGCGGGGACAGGGGGTTTCGGAGGATCTGGTCAGCGGTCATGGGCTTGATGATGAGCGGGGAGGCAAGAGGGGAGTCTGCACTGCTCCGCTGCGGAGGAATGATGCGCAGGTTCGGCTTGGGGTGTCCAGGAGAGGTTATTGATGTCTTACGATCGCAACGCTCAGGGTGTTGGTAGGTGGAACGACGCGGAAGGGATAGGTGGCGAGGGCGGGGGTTCAGGCGGAAGTGAACCATGGGATTGACGGTGCAAGTTGTGTTACCGTTCGATGGCAAGGGGTAAGGGGGCTGCGAGGGGTTTAATGCTAGCGTGTCGAGAGTTGAGGAAGGAGAAGGGGTCGCGTTCCCGGACGAACTGGACGACGACAAAGCCGGCGCAATGCCAGTAGTGCTCTTCACGGCTGACAGCGGAGGTAGCTCGACGCCGAATGTTTTGCCAGGGAGGGGAGTGAATAGGTCTTCGGGAGTAGGGCTCCATCGATCATTCCATAGCACGGTCAGGTCGCCGCGTCGACGAGGCATGGGTGGTGGTGCTTTCGGGACTTCTGGTGGGTTCAGGGGGGTATGAACCATCTGTTCCAAGGGTGTGCGGGGCATCGAGTCCGCTGAGCTCCCGCGAAGTGTCAAATTAGGTCGATTGAGTGCACCAAACCAGTTGGTGGATGGGACAGCGGTAGCGGGTGACACAGGCGAGAGGTTACGCGGGGAAGACATCCGAGGCATGCTAAGAGAAAGCGGGGGCAGTTGCATCTGGCTGTGCAACGTCGGCATGTTCATAGCGCGACGGCGTCGAGACATCGAAGGCGGAAGCTCGGCCTGATCAGCTGACCCTGTCGCGAGAGAATAGTTGGCGAGATTGCGGATCGGGCTTGCAGGTGTCGTGATCACGGAAGGCATGGGTGCCTCGGTGGAGGCCGAAGGGTCGGAAGACGTTCCGTCAAGATGAAAGCACGTTGTAGCAGAAGTATCTCGCGCGCTGAGACGACGTTCTGAACAGCCAATGGTAAGCACGCCGTTGACCTGTGATTCTGTACCGCCGCGTCATGACTGACCAGTAGTGAAATGCATGTTCTTCATTTCATCGCTGATGGACTTGACATCTGGACATGCTCCAGTCTTTTTGAATATGAAGTCCCTGATAAACTCGGGACGCGCGACGCGCTTCTGGGCTGTATCACGATGCGACTCCGTTCCGCGAGACAAATCGAGGGCTTCAGTCAGACTTGTGTCAATATGTGATGGGCAATCTAACACAAGGTAAGACGCTCACCCTCGAGAAGAGCGGACCGTGACTCGTGATTCCATCGGCCACATCCGCCGCGCTTTGGCCTGATGTACGGTGATCGGGGCGACGAGTGCAGTTGTCGTACCTTCAGGCGGGCCATTGGTCACGTAGCTGCTGGCTCATACAAGGATGAAGGCTACCGTCGCGCGGCGGACGTGGCGGGAAACAAGCTGCAGGGCGAGACCCTCGAGCTGCAACTGGCATATTTCAACTAGCCATGGTTTCGGTACAGAGACAGGGTTGTCAGAGATATCACGGACACGTCACGTCACAGTGACGTCATTGAGTACACCACGCGATCACGAGACTAGCTCTCTCCCGCCGAGTCGGCGACGACCCGGTGCCAGTACTGTAACTTAACCCCTGCATCCATCGCGCTAGCTAGGATGGAATTGGACGATCTTGATAAAGCCATCAATACGATCAAGCATACGAGTCGCAAAGGGGGCAAAGTCAAGAAGGCTGTAGACGACATCTGCTGCCGTTTGATCCTCATTGTGATCTCCCTCCGCTTTTCCCTGTTCGATTTGTATTCATCGCGCATACACAGAATTCTTCCGCTCCTTCTAACTTGAAAACCTTTCAAAATCTCAAACATGCGCTCAGAAAAGCCATGCAACCTGTCTACGAGGTCCACCCTATCCGCGCTACCGAACTCGCGAATGCAGTTTTCCTGAAAGCTGTCCACGAGAAGATTCCTGCAGACAACAGCACGGCTGTTCTTTCCGATGGCAAAACAAGGAGGGAGCATTGGGAAGAGGTGGCGAGAGCAGTGCTTTCTGGTTTGCTTGACTTCTGCGAGAAGAAAGGTGATGGTGAGCAGGTGGAGACATGGGTACGGTCCGCACTCACTGAAGATAAACCTCAGAGAGGACCAAGACAACCATTTCTGGAGTATTTTACCCGGCTATATGCGAGTATTTCTTCCCGGACTCGTCGGTCTGTGCGGGGAGCATTGGTCTCCGGCTTCGATTGACTGTAGGTCCGCAAATCCTCACGTTTGTATTTGTCTCACCGATACTCGTAGGCATATTCGCTTCTTGAAGCCCTTGCAGAAGGCAGCGTCAACCATCAGCGCGAGCTGAGAGATCCGAATTTACTCGGCCCAAAGAAACTCGGAGCTGCGATCTCGCGGACACATGGTCAGTGGTGCAGTACCGAATCTCATTCACCCGTACCATGGATCATACGGGCATATATGCGCATATATTCGTTGAAGATATCTCCTTGCCTCGCGCTCTATCGAGCGCAGTCACGCTCATGCTATTCCTTCAGATTTCCTGGCCATCGAAGCGTTGCTGAACATAGTAGCCCGCATACTCCCTTCGTCCAAGAGCTCCGAAAATTCAAAGCGTATGGACTTCGTGAACGACCTCTTCCGAGATCGCAAGTACTGTAACCCCTTTCCATAGAGCTTGATATTGATAAACTCTCTACGCGCAGAACCTGCATTGCCCTGTGGAGATGAGTTGGCATCGCTGCTCCAAGGGACGTCGCCCAAAAATTGGGAAGAGACTGCCATGCGTATCGTGGACAAACTCGCGAGTACTCGGCTTGACTTGTACGTTTGATCCCTCACCTTGCCCAGCTGATACCTGTCTGATTTCTACTACGCTCTCTATCAAATAGCCCTCAACCATTCGCATTAAACCGCATCACGGCTTGCGGCACGATGTTCGAACAGCCTGAATCGTGGGACCGACTCCTCGTCGATGCTCGTGGGCTCCTGGTCAGTGTCGAAAACTCGGTAAGTCGGGGTTTCATACTGGGTGCTGGAACTTCATCGACGACGTTCCCAGAACGGCGAATACGAATCGCTGGAGGTTCCGTACACGACCGTAGTTTCTATCACACTTCGCGACGCCACTCACCTCAACGAACTGGATGTTGAAGTGGCCCTATCGACTCCTCCCATCATCGGCGAGAAACCTATGGCGGCTAAAGGCAGCCCATCGATGAGCTTCCAAATCCAGAAGACCGACCTGAATCGCTTTCATGGTGCTATCGAGCATCGCGGTTTGGTCCGTCGAAAACGTCAAGTTAAGCGTACAAAGCCTGACAATTGCATCACAGGGTGGGCGCGTCCAGCGAGATAAGCTCACCGCCCCACCAAGGTCCCGTCATGTCTCCGTAGCGCAGGTCTCGGTGGAGTTCGACGGTATTCCGCCGCCCATAGGAAAGAACCTTCCTTTGAGCTTCCCGGTAGGTTCGTCGCGAGCCCTACCTCCGCGAAATCTTACAACAGCACATAGGAGAGGTTGAATGTGGTCAAACAGAGTACGTGCGATATCGCATGCTCCGGGGATGAGATGACTCACTACAGGAATATGCTAGCGTACGGCATCACTGACGCTAGTAGCGAATCAGGGAATGGCAAAGGTAACGGCGAAGAGTTTTTCGACTTCGACACGGCAGCGGCATCCCCCGAGAATATACCTCCGACTGGTGAACTGAAAGCCGAAGGGCCCCCGAAAAGAGGCCCTCCGCAGCATGTTGCCGCTTCCTCCGACGACCCGCTGAACGTCCTCGCTCATACCCGCAGCTCCTCCACCCTCACCGGCGGTCAGGTGAAGGTTCGCTTTGGTGGTGTTTCCTCCTCGGACGGCCTGATCAAGGAATCACTGGATGTGCCAGAGTCTGCTCTGGCCGCACATGCCGCAGCGCCTTCGGTTGCTTTGGACCGCAAGCCTCCTCCCGCTTCTCGCCCTTCTGGTATGGAAACCTCGACAGCTTCCGCGCGCTCTGGTAAATCGTCTGGCCCCCTGCTGCTGTCCAAGCGCGCCTCTTTGCGTCCTCTGTCTAGAACTGCAAGCCAACTGCGACGCGATGTCTTCGGGGTAGAGGAAGAGCTCTCTGAAATCTCTGACGACGCAGGATCCCAACCACCACGCCAGGAGGACTCGGACATTGAGACTTCCCAAGAGGGCGTCTGTGATCAACCTGGATTCAAGGCTTCTCCGAAGATGTCCAGAAGTCCCCTCAAGTTGAAAGGCGCGCTCTCGGGCAAGGTTTTAACCAAGAACACCGCGGCTGGTCCTATCTTCAGTCAGAACCCTGTAGTCCAGAATCTCAAGAGATCCACTGTTGTGCGCAAGAGGATTGTGCTCGACTCGGATGACGAATTGGAGGCTGGCACCACGCGTCTCGATCCCGCTCCTGTCGATGGAACTGTCTCTGGCGACGTCGATCCTTCCCCTGTAGTGACTGGTGCTCCTGGACCCTGCATCGTCAAGCGACCTCTCAGGGCAGCTCGAACTCTTCGCATGGTGCGTTCCTCGGGAGTCGAATCACCGCTTGACAACGATATCGGGGTTGGACAGTTCGAGCCTGCGGAACTCTCGGCCGTATCACCCGTTCGTACGGTTGCTCCAGCCGACACCTTCAGGGTTGACCTACCTGTGACTCCTGGGAAGCGCAAGCGTCTGGCCGAGGAGGGCGACCGTGATGCTGCTCCTGCGAGTTGTAATCCACCAGCTGCTCCTGCTGCTCCTGCTCGTAAGCGGCGACGTCATGGCACCCTGGCCAAACAAGAATCAGAAGAAAGCAATATTCCTAAGAGACGCTCATCAAGGGTCTTTCAAGCTAGTCTGAGTTCCCGCATGCCCCAGAATAGCAAGTACGGCACTCGTAGCAAGAACGGGCGCACATTTTCTCCTGAAAAACGAGCTCTCTGGTCTTCGTCGGATGCTGATCACTCCTGTGACGCCGTCCCCGTTGATACTAACCGACCTACTCGTGTTACTCGCGCAAGCGCGCTGAAGGATAAAGCCGGAAACGTCAAGCCTCCTCCGCCGCCACGGAAGCCCAAGCCCAAGGCTAAGAAGGCCAGTAAGACTACCAAACTAGGTTCACCAGTCCCTCCAGGGCGCAAGGTGCTGGCGCCAGTGCCCGCAGGGGAGCTTGCCATACGCACTGCGAAGAACGCAGTATGTGTCGTCTTGTGTCTGTAGGATCGTATGGCTGACATATTCTGATAATATTACTAGGATACCGTCAACGTGGGCAATGTCGCCATCAAGACGCCTACTGTGCGTCACTCAGGTCTACCGGGGCCGTTTCTGATAACCCCTCTTACAGACCGCAGTCAAGCCCCAGGGAGCGCCACCTACTCCCCCTCCTCGCTCTAATGTTAATGCAGCGTGGGTAGACATGCCTTCGCAAGAACCATCGCTGGTCATCGCCTCGAAGATCTTGGAGCCGCCCAACTTCCAGCAATCTGGCTCGGAGGTACAGACCTCGCAGGAGAACCAGGATGCCCAGGACCCCATAGACGCCATGGACGAACTGGACTTTGACGCCATGTATGTGGATAACCTGGAGCCTGGTCCTGATGCGGAGCCGGTGTCGGCTCGCCTAAACGAGGAGAAGACCCCCCTGGATCCGCCACAGGTACGAGCGGTGGCCTTAGTGCATTCAGTCTCAGCTCATTTTTCTTGCAGAATTTCTCAATTGGAGTCGTGGACGAGTCTATCCTCGGTGACAGGATATCGACGCAAGCCACGACTAAGGAGGTATGCGTGCAGGTCAATGACAAGCAGCAGGCGGAACCGACGGTATCGTTGCAGGTACACTAGTTTCTTCACGAAAGTATCGTCGTGCTCATTCGCAGCAGGCTGTCGTGGGGGCGCCATCCAATCTGCAATCGGTCACGATCGACCTCACGCAAGACACGCCCGCGCAAAAGCCACTTAGACGTGCGGAACCACGGAAAGTGATTAGGGAAGCCGTGAATCTGCCCTCGCCAATCCGCATTCCGGATGAACTTCTGGAGCCCACGCGCTGTCCGAATAACATCAAGCAAGCCGTGGAGGGAAATGACATCGACAGCGAAAGCGATGCACATAACGTAGACTCCCCTGATCGCCACGCGATGATCGACGAGACTGCGGAGAATATCCGTTGTCCTCTGCCAGCGAATACTCTACCACCGAGAACCGCTGCCACGAGGTTCTCCGCCAAGCAGCCTGTATCTATCCTTAGACCGTCGCCGGCGGCGTCGACGCAACGCAAAGCGCGCTTCGCGGACGAATTAACTCCCGGTAAATCGTCAAGCGTTTTCACTCGTCGATCTTCAGTCTAACCCTTGCGCCGATAGCCCATCCTGAGCAAGGAGGCCGTCGATTATCAAAGATGACGAGGTTCGAAACCAATGAGGAAGAGAAGACATCGAGGACGAATACCGGCCGACGAGCAGAGCCTGGCTTGCGCGATATCGTCAGGGTAAGGTGGCTTTGCACTGTCGTCATGCACACTACGCCCTTCAGTTGCTGACCCATGTTTTGCTTACAGGCTCTCGACGGCATTAATGATGTAAGCTTTCTTCTTCTTCGCCACTCCGGACTGCGCGGTGCTGCGAGCCCGGACGTGCTTTGCTGACCGAGTCGGTTTCCCGTGCGCAGGCTATCCTGGAAAAGATCGCGCGAGGCTTTGACTCGGTCAGGGACAACGCCCTGTATGGCCGCAAGATCATACTGCAGAACGTCGGTGCGGATCTGCAGCGCATGAGCGGAGAGGCGTAAGTCAATTACCGTCTAGTCATTGTCTATTATACGTCGCTGACAGTCATCATCACAGCGCAGAACGTTACAACGTGCTTATAGAGCTCGAGGCGGAGTACGCCGCGTTCAACGCGCTCTCAAAGGCCAAGTACGGCGAGCTCGTGCGCGCGAGCTCGGCTATCGTGGACACGGCGCGAGAGGCGCTGGCGGAGCACGCCCGGCACGATCTGAGCAAGAAGTTTCCGAGGACGCTGGGCGGGCTGCCGCAGAGCATGCTGGACGTGCTGAACAAGAAGAAGTGAGGAGGACTTTCTGAGACCTAAGATTTGTTCGTTATGCTTTCGTTCCTTGCTTCTTGGAGGTGCCCTTAACGGGCCGGTATTATTCATGGACTCGACGCTGTGCTGCGTTGCCGTGTATATTATCGCTGAGTCAAGTAATGTGATGCCTCAGTCTAACAGTGATGAAGCAGACTGCAATCTACATACGTGCTCCGGTGGGTAAGGTCCTTCACACAACGGGCCAATAGATTATCTCCGCTTCTCAACCGGATCAATGCCCGGAAGGACCGAGTTCAGGTACGGCAATTATTCTGAAATCAGCGAAGCAGTAGTTATGATCGTGAAGAAGCGGCAAGTGATTTCGTACTGCAGCAGGACTGCAAGGTGCCTAGGATACCTTGTACTTTGCCAGCGGAGACTACCAAGTTCAACGCAATGCTCGCCGCGGTTTTCATAGCAGAGAACTGGAACGCGTTCGTGCAGAGTCACGTAGAGTTCATCGTTCGAAGTCGGTATGCATCTTGATATATTCCATTGACGAGCGACTGGCGAGTTCCCAAGGATCAATGATATATTGGAGCGAGTAGATGGTAGTCCCGCATGCGCCTGGAGAGAACGTCGACGATGAGCGGGAGGCCAGTGGCGTCAGACCTTGTGACGATGAGGCGCTGCACTTTGCCGCTTCGGGCAGTCGCACGCTCGACTGCGCCGCTCTCCCAGCGTTTACTCAGCCCACCATCGCGCGCAGCGACCGGCCCTCGACTTCACTTGCACTTCGACTGCGACTCAGCTTTCATCCTTGCTCAGCACCCCCACACCCCGCGCCGCTCTCTTGGCGCGACGTTGAACCGTCATGCCGTCCGCTCCCAACAACGCCCCGTGAGTCATCGCGCGCACCTCGCCTGCCCGGAAACACGTTGGCTGACATCGCGCCCCTCACCTTTCCACAGGAAAACGATAAGGATCACAGGTCGGTAGATTCCGCGTCTCATCATCGTGCACCGGACAGCCGTCTGACGAGAGCTGTCGCAGTGGTCGCGGCAGATGGGCTCTCCAAACGAGATGTGTTCAGGCTCCCGGATCCGTTCGCTGTGATCACCGTCGACGCCGAACAGACCCACACGACGAGCGTCATCAAGAAGACCTTGAATCCGTACTGGAATGAGACGTTCGATATGTATGTGTCCTCGTCGTTTCCCAAAATTTACCCCCTTTCTGATCCAAGCCGGAACACCCACAGCCAAGTGAAAGACTCGTCCGTGATTGCGGTCCAGATCTTTGATCAACGCAAGTTCAAGAGACGGGATCAGGGTTTCTTGGGTGTGGTGAACGTCCGCGTCAGCGACGTGCTTGATCTTGAATTGGGCGGGCATGGTGCGTCCACCCGCGAAAGATGTCACTTCATTCTTCACAGTATGACTAATCGTTGCCAATAGAAATGCTTACCCTCGACCTCAAGAAGTCGAACGACAACCTCGTCGTCCACGGCAAGCTCATCATCTACCTCTCCACCAATGTCAGCGCGCCCATCAGCAACCCCGGGCCCTCCCAGGTGAACGGCATCACCAGCGCCCTCGCCGGCATGGGCATGAACAACTCCTCCCTCCAGCTCGCTCCCTCGCCGACGACGACCAGCTCGAACCTTGCTCGCACCCCCAGTTCTCACGCCACGGCCGCGGATGGCCAAGCGCAGGCCGTTGCCGCCGCCCCGACCGCGCAATCGACCACGGCCACGCCGGACGCCGACCCCCTCACGACCTCCCCCCGATCCCGGCCCGTGAGCGCGAGCGGCCAGGCCGCCCCTGCCGCCACCTCTGCTCCTGCCGCTGCCGTCGCCACAGGTGCGGCAGCTGCTACAACCCCCGCCACCGGTGGGTCGCCTCCGGGCGCCAACGCGACATCGGCTACCGCGAACATGCGCAACTTCAACCCGACTGAGGATCAGTATGGCCCGCTGCCGGATGGGTGGGAGCGCCGGATCGATCCCCTTGGGCGCACGTACTACGTCGACCACAACACCCGCAGCACGACGTGGAACCGGCCCGCGACGAACCAGGCGACGAACGTCTCCACCCAAGCCGGGGAGACGAACGCCGCGCGCGACCAGCACAATCGCCGCATCCTCGCCGATGATCTGCTCGAGGCCAACAACCAAACCGTCCAGCGGAACGCGTCGGCCGCGGCCGCGGCCGCCACCGCGGGTGCCGGTGCGGTCGCGAACACGGCCGCCAACGCGCTCGCGGCGAGCACGAACGCGACGACGGCCGGGTTGGGCCCGCTGCCCGCCGGCTGGGAGGAGCGCTACACGCCCGAGGGCCGGCCGTACTACGTCGACCACAACACACGCACGACGACGTGGGTCGACCCGCGCCGGCAGACGATCATTCGCGTCATGGGCCCGAACGGGCAGAACGCGGCGCTGCAGCCGCAGACGATCTCGCAGCTCGGCCCGCTCCCGTCCGGGTGGGAGATGCGCCTGACGTCGACCGCGCGCGTGTACTTCGTGGATCACAATACGAAGACGACGACGTGGGACGACCCGCGTCTGCCGTCCTCGCTGGACGCGAACGTGCCGCAGTACAAGCGCGACTTTAGGCGGAAGCTCATCTACTTCCGCAGCCAGCCGAGCATGCGCGCGCAGCCGGGCAACTGCCAAATCAAGGTCCGGCGGAACCATATCTTTGAGGACAGTTATGCGGAGATCATGCGCCAGACGCCGAACGATCTCAAGAAGCGGTTGATGATCAAGTTCGACGGCGAGGACGGTCTCGATTACGGTGGTCTTTCCAGGTGAGTTGCATGGCACCGATGGCGGATGGCGCAGATCGTTCATCATGTTTCCGCAGGGAATTCTTCTTCCTTCTCTCGCACGAGATGTTCAATCCGTTCTACTGCCTGTTCGAATACTCCGCGCACGACAACTACACGTTGCAGATCAACCCCGCCTCCGGCGTTAATCCGGAACATCTGAACTACTTCAAGTTTATCGGCCGCTGCCTCGGGCTGGGTATCTTCCATCGGCGATTCCTCGACGCTTACTTCATCGTCTCGTTCTACAAGATGATTCTCAAGAAGAAGGTGACGCTCGCCGATCTCGAGAGCGTCGACGCGGAGTTGCATCGGGGTCTCACGTGGATGCTGTGCGTAGATTATGAAACTTCTTTGAGGTGGCTTCGCGGAGCGCTCACACTGACGCAGGGAGAACGACATCACGGACGTGATCGACGAGACGTTCACGACGGTCGAGGACCGGTTCGGCGAGATGGTCACGGTCGAGCTCAAGCCGGGCGGGGCGGACGTACCGGTGACGGAGGAGAACAAGCGCGAATACGTGGACTGCGTGGTCGAGTACCGGATCAGCCGGCGGGTGAAGGAACAGTTCGACGCCTTCATGTCCGGCTTTAGCGAGCTCATCCCGCTCGACCTGATCACCGTCTTCGACGAGCGCGAGCTCGAGCTGCTCATCGGCGGCATGTCCGAGATCGACGTCGACGACTGGACGAAGTACACGGACTACCGCGGGTACGAGATGAACGACGAGGTGATCCAGTGGTTCTGGAAGTGCGTCAAGAGCTGGCCGCCGGAGCGCAAGTCGCGCCTGCTCCAGTTCGCGACGGGCACGTCCCGGATCCCGGTCAACGGCTTCAAGGACCTCCAGGGCTCGGACGGCCCGAGGCGGTTCACGATCGAAAAGGCGGGCGACCCGAGCCAGCTGCCGAAGAGCCACACGTGCTTCAACAGGATCGACCTCCCTCCGTACAAGGACTACGACACGCTGGAGCAGAAGCTGACGCTGGCCGTCGAGTGAGTACCGGACCCTGTTCTATGTGTTCTATGTGTGCTGCGCCCTGGCGACTGGGTCGCGGCCGTGTCATCTCGTGGAAACTCGCGCTGACGCAGCGTTCACAGGGAGACCGTCGGCTTCGGCCAGGAATAAACGAACTCCGACGACGACGACACGCGCAAGACCGGGCGTGGTGTATGCGCGACGAACCAGCGGCTCTCAGCAATCCAACAACATGCCTATTTCTTCCCTCTCTCTCTCTCTTTTCTCACTGTCGTCTCTGTCCGCAGGCCTCTCGCTCGGGTCTATCCTCGACCTTTTTACGCACGTTCCCCCTATCTTAATCACGGCTGGATGCTGACTGCGGCTCTCCCTCGAGTCGACTTTTTTGCCCTTACAACTGAACCCACTTTTATCATGTTTGTGTCTCTGTCCGTATCCCACCCCACGCGAGAGCGACGGACGTTTCCGTGTAATAGTATCTAGAGCTATCACGATTGTCAATGAAGTGTTCGAAACGTATATTTGAATATGGCGATGACGTTGGGGGTATATGAACTCGGTGGCGGATTTCCCGTCAATCGCCTTCAGGGCGGTTGCGCCGCCATTTGGAAATCGCAGGCACTCTGGGGCAAAGCGGAGAGGGGAATGGAGATCTGTTAACTTTCTTGACAGCTGTGGGTGCCACAAGGAGAGCTCCGAGTGGCGCGTCGAGAACGGTCCGGGTCAGGTACTGCTGCCAGTCCGGAAAAAAGCTCCATTGGAGATCGAACGAAGGTGTTGGATATCTTTGAAGAGAGCGGGCGGATGTTCCGAGGCGCCGAGGGTGGGCGGAGGCGAAAAAAAAAATCACGAGGAAGGGGGGGGGGGGTTTCATACGCC